GGACATGGCCGACGCGTTTGAGACGGACGCGTTCTAATCGGGTCCAGACCTCTGCAGGGCCAGCCACGTGTTTATCCCTCAGCCAGGCCCCAACCCTGAGGCCGCCAGTTTAAGACCGCAAGTTTAAGAACGCCAAATTGAATTCCCCTATTGTCTCTTCCATCTAGCAGCGCATAATTTCCAGAACACTTCCTCACCAGCTTTTCATTGTTACATGTATACATAAGGGAGAGTCCTGCCATACTTGAAAGACGCTCATCTCCACTGCATTATGGCCACATTCCTTCCACATGTTTCTCCCGGGTGTCTTGCCACATCCTGTCCCTCCTGTCGGAAGAGCTTGCTCTCCGTCACCCTTTGCCTCTCAACTCTACAACAGCATGCACCTTTGATACCCCTCTTCTCTATGCTTTCCATCGGTCCCACAAAACAGCCAGCTTCCAGAACTATGTCTCCCCCACCTGATGCCCCGCCCTATCAAAAGAGCCATCTCGCTTGAACCAACAGCAGTGTGTATCCGTCCTGTCTCTGTTGACCATATGCTTATCCCCTGTATACAGTGAGGTTTCAAAAGAATATCCAACACTACACCGCCGGTCAACTCGAATGTCCTGCAGATATCACCGCGCGCGGATGTCCGTATGATGTGATCTAAGTAATTGATTTTGATGTCGCGCGGACATTTTGGCGTCCAGATGTCACACAGACATTTCGATGTGTGGCCTTCAAGATGTTGCACGGATATTTTAATGCAGTTTCCAAAAACATCATATGGATATTTTCAAGGGTATGTCAGAATGTCTGGTGGACGTTGTATACAGCTGTTGCCAACGTCGCCTTGATATCTTCCTGGGGTACCAAAAACATCATATCAATATTCTCAAGGGTATGTTAGAATGTCTGGTGGACATTGTATGCAGCTGTTACAAATATCAAAATGACACTTGGACATGCTCCATCAGACATCTACAGAACGTTTATTGCATGCACTACTCTCCCTGCTTGCGCTCTCTACGTGCCCTCCCCAGCTGCTTCGAGCCCTCTTGGCAGCTAGACCCTCTGCAGCCTGCTCCTCAGAGCCTGACTCTTCCTCGTCCCTTGTGCTACTGGCCCTTTGAGAAGCCTGCATCTCGTCTGCCTTCCGCCTGGCGAGGGTGCCGGCAAGGAAGCTTGTGGATCCACTACGTGTTGGTTAGTAGACATCATTTTGAGAGACATATGTGCGTACCAGGAGGACGGGGGTCGACGATCTGGCCAACAGAGTCACCTATCGAGCATAAGTACGTATTGAAGCAATTCAACATAGCATTGGAAGAAAAAGCTTGCTACTCACAGGCCCGTCACCTCTCCCAGCTTCGTCTACGGGTTTCCTGAGCAGCGAGATCTTGAACCAGGCCCCGCTGTCATGAGTCAGCCACGTCTCGGTCACACAAATGGAACTTACCAGCATGGCAACGTTGGGCGCTGGAGGTTCCAAGACGTTCTACAGACACATCAGATGATCTCTGATGCCCTCTGCGGCTGCGGCGTAGAGGAGTGGCAGGGGTATCAGTCTGCTCAATAATATCGCTCAAGTCATCCAAGTTATAGTCAGCAGCAAAGGGGTCAAAGGGGTCGGTAGCGGTGCATGGTGAGTGTGATCTTGGGTAGTTGAAGTGAGCAAAGGTGGGATATTGTCAGAAAAGAGACAGATCTTACAGCTTGTATATGCGCTCGGAACAATAGAAAAAGAGCGGATGGGACAGGGAGCAAAAGAGACAACAGCAACAAAAACAAGTAACAACACGATGAGGAGGAGGTGAAGGCACACACACAAAAGGCCGAAAGACCGAAAGACAATTGCGGTTGCGGCAGGGAGTGTTTCAACGCGACGCGACGCGAGTTCCAGCGTTCTCTCAAGACATGAGCCCTGGGCAGCCTGCGTACAGCTCTCAGGAGCCTGTCCCATATACGGACGATGAACCGGTATTCGAAGATACTCTCTTAACAATAACAATCGAGGAGCATGAAGCCCATGTTGCACACTTGCGGCAACAATGTGAAGATGAAGATATTGAGCAAGAGATTATGGAGGGCTTCGATCCCGTGGAAGATAGCAGACATGGTGAGTGTCTTTCCTGTTTCTGGGACTCGAGCTGACCTTGTGTAGCTGCAAGATGGAACAAACACAGCCGATCGCAACTCCCATCGGCCAGTAGAAAGAGCGAATGGGCGCCTTGGAAATCTAAGATGGTGAGTCCTGGACCAGATTGTCTCATATCATCACTCTAATCGTCTTTGAAGATGTGTCTTCTGCACGCACTCGACGGATTTCCTCAGACTGTGCGCCATCTTAACGACGACTGCTTTGTTATCAACTTATCCGCCTTTCACAATGTCGATGTTCTTCGGTCTGCCCTTCCACGCGACCTCTGCCGACCTCGCCGCTTGCTCGAAGACCCATTGGCTGTGGGCTGCGCCAGGGGGGAAGCACTCAAGAATATTAATGCCTTGGGAGATGGAGAGGAAGAGGATGGAGATGGAGATGCGGAGGAAGTAGATGGGTCTTTTGGTGATGGGGGAAGGAATGTCCGTGGAGGCCAAGGTGGCTGTGGCGCCATCAGAGGACGAGGGCAAGGACGAGGGTATGGACGAGGACGAGGGCGTAGGCAAGAAGGTGGCCATGGGAGAGGTGAAAGCTGTGAGGAGTTACAAGCAACAACTCAGGATACTGTCATGGAGAGCAGGCCTTCCGCGGCACCGCCCTTAGCCAGGAGAAAAGGGTTCCCTGTCTATATGACGACTCGATCTGGCCGGTCTATAAAAAGGAAAAGAATAGGAGCTGACGATTCTGTTTCTGATGGTTTGTCTGAAGGTGAGTACTTGTCGGACGAGGAAGGAAGCCTTGTCCAGCAAACAGAAGTCGAAGTTGAGTGGAGGGAAGGAGAAGTAGAATCGGACGACGACAATGATGGAGTAACAGTGGAGTAATGACTGAGGACGAAGATGCGGACAACAACATTGAGGATATGATCGCATATGAGGGGCCTTGCTGGAGCAGTAGGGTGTAGTCATATCTATCTAAAAGTCTTGTACATGACATATACCCACCAAATGCATGGGAAACCCGTTTTAGAAAGCAGCGCCATAACAAGCAACCATATATATATAGCATTTTTCATATGGTGGTTATGTATGTGAAGGTATCTTCCGAAGAATATCATACGGACATTTCATCTCCGAAGAATATCACAGGGACATTTCATCCTCCTTGGAGAAATATCACAAGGACATTCGGGCCTTTGCAGACGTCCGTGGGATATTCTGGTCGCGGAATGTCTGTGAGATGTTTTTGAAAAATGGGGAAAAATGTCAGAATGACATCCCAAACAGAAAATCTCTGATTTCGCAGGGACATTTCCACGGTTTTGGCCGCGAATGTCATTCTGATATTTCGTTTGACCGGTGGTGTACAATGGTGAATTCACAGTTGAATTGTTGGAACCATTGAACAAATTGTTGAGCGCGTTTGCTTCCGTTTCCTTCCAGCGCTCGCCCTAACCCTTGCCTCGCTCCACCTCTCGCACCGACCCCCCCCCCCCAGAAAAATAGCTCTTCCTCCCCATACTGTTTTTCACTCATGCATGCATAGTCCCCTCATGTCGAACTGGAAATGAACCTTAAAATAAGCTTCAAGGGCCCACCAGTTGCTCATCGCCGCCGCGCGTCATGCCTCTTCTTTTTCTGTTTCTTGCTTTCATTCTCGCTCTTTTCGCGCTCTCACTCTCTCACTTTCTCCAACTCGCAAGACTCTGCGCCTGGAAGCCGCTACTTTGCTGCAGGCCCTACTGTGGGCGGAACAGCCGCCGTTTCATCACCATCTTCCAGCCCTACGGCCCTCGTCGCGACGTTCTCCAGTACTCCCTCGGTCCCCTGAGCGTCATGCCTCTTCTTTTGGCGTTTCTCGCTTTCATCCTGGCTCTTTTCGAGCTCTTTTCGCGCTCTCTTCGCAACGGATCGTCATCTAGATGTATCCAGTTGCAGAGCTCATCATGCAATGATCCCTCTCACTCCCCACCCGCTCATCGCCGACGCGCGTCATTCCCCTTATTTTGGTGTTTCTCGCTTTCATCGTCACTCTTTTCGCGCTCTCACACTCTCACTTTCTCGGATTATTTGCTCGCTCACCGTTATCTACATGGAGAGTATCCAACTGCAGAACTTATCATCCGCCGCGCGTCATGCCTGTTCTTTTGGTGGTTCTCGCTTTCATCGTTGCTCTTTTCGCGCTGTCACCCCCTCACTGTCTCGGAATGTTTCCTCTCTCACGGTTATCTACATGCACTGTATCCAGCTGCAGAGCTCATCATACAATGATCGCTTTCACTCCCCCCACCACGTCCACCCGCACCCAACAACTTCCAACTTCCGACCCTTTCCGACAACCGCTCAACGCCGCTGCGGTCACCACCCATCTTTCGCTCGCCTCTGGCTCTCAATTTCCTTTCAATTTCCTCTCAATTTCCTCTCAACTTATTGCCATCGTTACTATCGTCTAGCTCCATCACTCCCTCGCTCCTGACTTTTCCCTCAGAAATGCCGGAATCTTTCCCATCAAACGAACGACGGTCAACAAAGGCTGGTGTCCTCCAAAAACACCCCCCACCAACACTCCTCCAATCCTTCGGTCTCATCCGGAGGGCGATGTCCCCCAGTACTCTATCGGTCTCATGTATGCGAGAAATGTGGTGCTCTTCACTGGGCAGGCGAACGTCCAGCCATCGCCAGACACTCTCCCTCTCATGAAGCCGCCTTCTCTTCCTGCTGTTCAGGGTCAAGGTACAGCATTCATACAAGCCATCGACTCGGACCGCCCTGGTGTCAAGTTCTTCCAGTCTATAGTTGACACTATTGATGGCGAGAACCCTCTCACTATCCTCTCGTCGCTCATGACTCCCACCACGATCCTGGAAACATCGCCCACAACGGCAACACCTCATCTGCCCTGCTCATGTACTCTGCCTCGGAGGCACATATCAATACTCTCCCTCCCACCGGTATGTGTCTCTACAACCAGAAGCCCTCAACTTTCTGACCTTATCAAAGATCTCAAGTACGAGAGACTCCTTACAGGAATCATCTGGTCTATCCAGGGCGTGGGCATGGTCCGCAACATGCAGTCAATGCATTGGTCTGCACCTTCGCTTCTTCCGCTCCCTCCTCTTCCCCTTATCACACCACCCCTGTCCGCTGACGCACCAACGTCGCCTTCCCTCATGAGCCTGCAGTCGAATCTTCCTTGGCCCCACCAAGAAATCCAGAAAGTAGTGACCTCTGTTTTTGTTGGTTGTACTATATGCATCTTTCTCGCCCGTCTGCCAACCTCTGTTGCCTTTATCACTGTTTATGTTCCCGCCAGACCAACTTCATGTACTTCCCTGCTGCTATCGGCGAGATGTACGTACATGTGTACAAGTAATTTGTATTTTGTGATCAGTCTAAAAACTTGCCCGCGAGTTGTCGAGCGGGTCTGATACTTACGAGCTCTATGAACTACTCACCTCAGAATCGCAATGCCTGGGGACCAAAAGGCATCTACAACTTTCCAATATGTGGTAGAGTGTATAATATGTGGTCAGATCTCTCTTGTCTCCCCTGAATGATCACCCCACCTGGACCTCTGTCTACATTGCCAACATCAACATTCAAAAGAGAGCAGAAGCCCCACAAGGCAACATATACAGCCTGTGCAATACCCATACTCTCATTTTCCTTGAGCAAGAGCACAACAGTAAGACCCATCACCTGTCTCCACCTCAAAATGGGGCAAGAAGGTCATGATCCTTGAATATGCAATACACCCACAGTCAATGAAGTTGCCCTGATCTATGATGTACACAGTAACAAGCGGCACAACGGCAGGGAGATCATCTGGAGAGCAAATTTTGGCTCCATGTAAAATGGCCTTGCATGCCAAGCCCATATCAACCCATCTTATGTGACCTAGCTTGGGCGCTGCCGTGCACTGAGACCTCTACCACACCTGCACTCTATGAAACCACTCACACATGTAGCAAACCACCACCTCACTCACATCTCACTTGTATCATGAAAGCCACCATCTGCCTCTGGCATACTTTGCAGATGCCAGATTTGAAATAGAGAGCATAGTATTATTCAGCCACAGCACATATCCTGCATAATCAAGTGAGAGATTGGAAAATATGGGTGGCAAAAGAAGAAAGCGTTGGAAATCATTTGTAAGAGCTCATATTGAGAGAGTGCAGCTTGGATCATGAAACCCGGACTACGGTCAATAGAGATTACAATATATGGCTTGATAGTATGTAGTTTGTGGGTTCAAGTATGAGTAAAGTGATTGGTAGCAGCTGCGCGATGGATTGGAGGGGGGAGTGAGGTGGTAAAAGGAGAGGAAGGAAGGAAGTGCAGTGAGGAGAGGAGGTCTCCTCCTGCCACGCCTTTTATACATTGCAAAAGCTATCAAATAGGGTGATGTTGGGGTACGCCATTCCTATGTATACAAATAGGATAGAAAATAAATGAGGAGAAGCGAACAAAGATATCACACAGAAGACGGAGGTAGATAGTGATGAAAGAGAACAATATAAAACCAAGCAGATCTTGGAAGAGGGAGAGGCTCGAGCATTGAAGGTGTTCAGCAAGTGGAGGTGAGGTGGAGGTGGACTTGCCAAAGTCAAATCAAGAAGCCAAAGTGCCAGAGCAGGTGAGGAGTATTGATGGCAAAGGAGAGGGTTCAGTAGCAAAGAGGATGAGTTTCATTACACCATTGATGAGGCAGAAAGGTATGAAAGGGAGTCTTCATAACCAGCAGATAGAACCACATTGGCGTTGTTTTGTATTGTACACAGTCCTTACCCCATCCCTACCCCTTTACAATCTCATTGCAGACAACTTCTTATATACCCAGGTCCCTAAATTTTGTTCCAGGAGACCTGGGTACAGATTTTGGATTAGAGCTGGAAATGACATGCAACAATTGGGTGCCATAGCCCATAATAGCCTTATATAAGGAGGATCTTAGCTTGTTCATAAAACTGTATTTGATATGTTCATGAATCAAGATAGTGACAAGGCCATTGGTTGCCAGTGGCATCTTATTGATGTTTGTGGGCAAGAGGCATGGCACCAAGATTGAGCAGCAAGCTTTTAATACTTCAAGCAGTCATGACCACACTCCAGGTTTCACCATTGTTCAACGGATAAGTCTAAAGATAACATCAAGAAGTACAGCTGGACATGTGGAGATGCACTTGTCATTAATTAAACAAACAAAAGCATCTAAAGGCATAATGAGCCCCTTCTATCATTATCACTCCTCTAGCATTCTTGAAGCAAAAAACCAATGCTCTATCTTCAGGAGTCTCATCCTCTTTATCATTAGTATGTTTCAAATACCAAAAAATTGCCGCGGATGATTTTTCATCTCGGACGATATTTGCTTCCGTCGAGGGGAGTCTTTGGCTGGGGATTTTTATCTCGAACAATTTTAAATTTGAAACCATTTTTTGTGAGATGCAGGATCAAAAACAATTGTCTCAACCTCCGCTCTCCTCTGACCTATATCCGACATGTCAGTAGGGGAGTATCAAGGTAGTAGAGAGGATGGTGTGGGACTGTTGGTAAGATGGGAGGGGAGATAGTGTGCTGCTGAGGGGACAAGTTGTGTGGGTGGTCAAAGATACATGGCAAGTGAAAGATGAGCAAGTAGAAACAAGGATGAGGACGCCAGCAGGGACACAAAAACGTTTCGAAAAACATATTTTTGATCCCGCATCTCACAAAAAATGGTTTCAAATACCGCACCGATTACCGCACCGATTTAGTCCGACTCAATTTTGGCCGTGTTTCCAGAAAAATATTTTTTGTTACCAGATTGTTAAGATATGTACAGAATTGTTACACACCTCCACCTTGCCTCCACTCTATCTGTCCACCCCGCGCACGCATTGCAAACACAGTTCACCCTGCTCGCTTGCCCACGGCAGTTCCGAGAATGACCTTCTCAAGGATCAATATATGTCTCGAGTGAGTACATATACTGGAATGTTTACCTGAAACAACTGATCCATAAAGCCATTGTTCACGTCGGGGGGTGGTGATCGTTGGTAGCTTCTGCCCTGGTGGTGCCTCTGCGCCATGCAATTGTGGCAAAACTGGTCAGCTCTGCTTCATCTCTTCTAGTTTGCAACGACGAGGATAACGACGAGGGGCCGAAGGACAACAACATCGGCAATATGAAGTCCAATACACATGGGTAGCCCCCTGTCAAGAAGGCTAACACATCATCTGGTGAGGGCGTTCATCAAGTGCCTCCTTCTTCGGCTTCTTCCTCTTTGCACCGCTCCTCTTTGGCTGTTGGTGACTCTTCTGGTGGCTCCGGGTGGGGGGCAATTGCTCGACCCCATCACCATAACCCCGGCCTCTGCAGTGGGGGGGCCGCAAAGGCTGTGATCCTCATCCTCCTCCAAACGCCAACAATAGCAGCTGCCAACACCGCCCCCATCTTCTCCAGCAGCTGTACCACCCACGGCCCCAACAACTACTTTGACCGCCACCACTCCCATCTCTTCCTTATCCCCGGAACCTCACTTCCCTCTCAGTGCTGGTATTACAACACAGGACTATTTCAGAATTACAACGATTGTCAAGAACCACACGGGGCCCCCACCAGCAGCTCGCCCTCCTCCTTCGACCTTCCTCTACCATGAAGTCTATTTTATCAGCGACCACCACAGATAGACGGTCTCCCTCCCAGGCCCGGCCACTCGGCATTCTCTTACAAAGTGTATACCGGTCTGTGTATCCCTATACCGGTCTGTGTATCCCCCCCGACATCACAGAGATCCATCGCCCTTGGACATATCCAAAGTTGTCATGGCCCCAATGTGTAGCCACCGCGCTCTGTCCGGCCTCCAATATCACCCTCTGCTCCTCGTTCCACCAGTGGATAGAGGCCTCTGCCTTTGTCTGTCTGTACATATCTTGTATCTGTTCTAGCTGTTTGTGGTTTGGCCCTGTCAGACATTCCATCCCCCCGTAGTCTTGTGAGTAAAAGTAGGCGTCTTGACGAGAGCCGCCTGAAGGGTTAATCAGTTAATCTTGTCGTTTTGGCGGCGAACACGCCAGGTTCGATGGAAGCGTAGAAACTCGTATATCAATCTGTTCATAACAGGGACAATCAGCCAATGGAGGATGAGGCTATATACTCCTTGACTTACAGATGGGTCCTATGGAACCTGTTGAAACCCCTGCGTGTGGCCGCACATACTCTGCGATAGACAACAAGAGTGATGAGAACGAACCTAAGAGCTTCCTGTAAGGCAGTTGCTTCAACCATTTCTGAGCCTCAATCTGTAGCAATTTGGAAAGGATAACCTAAGGCGGGGTTGGATAGAGTCCATATCAGGAGCAACTAGATCGCTTTCCCCTCTGGTCCAGTATGGTGTCCAGAAAGACATACTTGACATCGACATACACTATCGATCATCACCACCGCCTCCCCCCAACGTGAACAATGGCTTTATGAATGAGTCGTTTCAGCCAAACATTCCAGTAGATGTGCTCGCTCAAGACATATCTTGATCATTGAGAAGGTCATTCTCAGAAGTCGGAACTGCCGTGGGCAAGCGAGCAGGGTGAACTGTGTTTGCAATATGTGCGCGGGGTGGACAGATAGAGTGGAGGCAAGGTGGAGGTATGTAACAAATCTGTACATATCCTAACAATTCGGTAACAAAGAATATTTTTTCTGGAAACACGGCCAAAATTGAGTCGGACTATATCGGCGCGGTATTCAAATTCAAAATCGTTTGATATGAAAATCCCCAGCCAAAGACTCCCCTCGACGGAAGCAAATATGGTCCGAGATGAAAAATCATCCGCGGTGATTTTTTGATATTTGAAACATACTAATATATGACTCAGTAGCCAAGAGAGAACAAGATTGCCCAACTTTTCAACCATAGAATCACTGAACAAGAACCTCTCACAACAGCATGCTTGATATCTCATGAAATAGCACATAGATATGAGGGATAATAATATCAAGGTAAGATTGTGTAAGGGATTGGTACAGATGTTATGACGTGTACTTTGGACACAGGGTTCGGTGACTAGGGTTGCCGCTATGGTCTCAGGGATGTGTAGGCGGGATTGCGAGATGAGGTTCCCATATATACATTGTGCCGCGTCTCCGTATCCTTTTCCCAATCGATGTATTCTCGTAATAACCTCCTCACCTATATATATCCTTCATCCCTCCAGCCTATTCGAGGTCGACATCTGGTGCCCCTAGTCAGATTCACCACATAACCGCCCTTAGGTTACGCCTCACCTATCCTACCCTTACAGATTGGTAAAACTTGTGAGAAAGATGAGTCAGAGTCATAGGAAAGATGAGTAAGTGCAATGATTAGACGCTGTGGTGGTGATGTGATGCCCAATGGACCAAGAGATGAGAGAGGGAAGGGGGGGGGGGGCAAGGTGTCACGCTTGGGGAGTGCCCTTGTCGTGCTGAAGAGAGTTTTGTTATAAGGGGCAAAAACCTTTTCGTTATTGTCGCATATGAAGAAGAAGAACTATGAAAACTACTCTGATATGTGTATAAACGGAGAGCACGGTCCACACACACACAACTAATCTACTGAATCTACTTGAATGAACGAATTACACAGATGACTCGTTTAACCATGACACAAGGTCCATAGTTGGATGGACAACTAAGGGAGAGGTGTTGGTGTTGATGCTGTTGGTATTACCACTGAAGGGCCTAGTTCTCTTTGGTAGAATCTTGAGTCTCAGCAACCCTGAATCATGTATTCTGTCTGCATCAATACAAAAAGGCACAGAAAAGCACAGAGCATCAGGTCACAGCCCAGGATACTATACTAAGACTGATTATTAAGGTAATGTCAAGGCTTACTTTAGTTGAAAGCATCTATTCTAGTACAATAGTCTTGTATAGTAGTTAGATGCACTCATACAGTTGATGTGCTTATATCCCACCCAGTTACATATCCCTCTAAGTCCTGAAACGGTTCTTACACTGCTGGACAGTCATAAGGTGGGTGTAGCGTGCTAGGCGCCTGCATGCCCCATGGACTATTTTCCCCTTGCTCATCTCCGTCTTCGTCTCCGTCTTCGCTTCCGTTACTCGTTCTCGTTCTCTTCCTTCCTTCTAGTAAGGCTGTCCGACGTACGTCGACACACCCATCTTCGCTACCCTGACATTCCTCCACCCGTCTCCTCTTCCTTATTGTCTTTAGCCTTTTCATACGCTTCGCTGGTCGACTCGTACCCTTATTCGCTTCGTGCCGTAGACGTATCACGTAGTCGCTCCGTCTATTGTCTCGTCACTTATTCATGTATATAAAAAAGGCTGGGTGTGGGGACAGAGACCTCAAACACACATTCTTTGACTCTCTTCACTCCCCTCCTCTTCTTCCTTTACCTCTACTACTACTTCCAAGACCGCATCCAAGCACACCTGTGTCTTCCTCTTCACGCACTTGGACTCAACCCTTAATTACACATGGTGATAACTTCAGCTGACCCCCCAGAGCAGGCCTGATCACCACATCTGGGGGCCTAACTGGGTTTTTGTCCTTCTACCTGAGGTTGGCCACACACTTGTGTACTGGTTCAAGGTCTAGTACCTCTATCACCCTACTCCACCGCCACCCTACTTCCACTTCACCACTTGCCCTCCTCTACACCCACCCTTAGGTGTATTCATCTCGCTATCTACCTGGGCACCAAGTCTACACTGTGTCCTCTACTACCTCTTTCTTGACCGCTTCTACGACTAGCAAGAAAAACTAGAAAAAACCCTGAGGCCGCGCGCACCTCAGGCATCGAAAACAACCAAAAGATTCGAATCTAAAAAACCAATAAACCACCAAAAGCATCAGTTTCTCTACTTGCCCCGGCCCTCTCCGCTTTCTTCCGTCCTCGGTAACTCCGCTCTCTTCCCCGGTAACTCCGCTCTCTTCCTCGGCGCCCTCCGCTTTTCAACCGTTACGTAGCAGCGGTCTCACCTCAGCACAATTATCGCTGCTGCTATACTCCGGCACAACCCTTTATCGTTGCCGCTTCCTCCTAGAGCCGCCCCTCCTAGCAACTTTTGATTGCTCCTCGACACTCTCCTAGTATCCATTCCTCCGGCTTCCTTCGAAAAGCCGTTCGAATTCCTGGCGCCTCTCCGTCTTCCTCCGTTGACTGACGAGTTTTAACGTAACGACGAGGGTTTAACTACCACAAGGTAGCTTTTACCACTTCCTCCTCTAACTCTTGCGAATCTCGCTCCAAGACGCTCTAGCTCTCGATACTCTATTACGAGACGCTCTCTTTCTCTCGACGCTTCATCCCGAGACTTCTCTCCTCCTACGACTCAACCGTTCCTCTCAAGAGACTTCCTTGCGCGTGCATTAGTCAACATGCAGTCTAGCCAAGGCCCTCCTCAGCCACCTGCCTCAGGCGCTCCTCCCTCCTCTCTCGCGAAACGCACTACGGGTGCCGCAGGCACTTCTACGGGTTCTCTCAACCCCACTCTTCACAACACTCGTGGCGCCGCCAAAGCTGGTCGCACACTTGCCGCTACCGAGTCCGAGACTCCGGAAGCTGGATCTTCTCTCGGAGACAAAGGCAAAAAGCACGAAGACGCCAACGCCGACTCTACTGTACAGGCCACTCCTGTATCTCCTACCTCCATCTCTACTGCACAGGCTGCTCCTGACCCTCCTACCCCGGGTACCATCACTCCCTCAATCAACATTACTCCTCTCGGCGACGCTCCTGAGCCTACTCTTTCTCAGGCGTCCTCCTCTCAGATCGCCTCTGCTCCACCTGAGCACACGGCTGCCGATACTACCCCCGCCCCTACGTTCGACGCCAATCTCCAGGCTGCCATCGAAGCCTCGCTGCTTTCCAAATTCGCCGAGATGTTGAAGGCATCGCAGGCCACTGCTCCGCTTGTAGACCCGACCTCTAAGCCTCCTGGCCTAGAGGACCCAGCCTACCCCGGTACAGCGGCCGCCAACGACACCCCTCAAGCTAAGCCTCTTTCTCCGTACGAAGAGCTTCACGATGTCTCGTGTCAGCTTGACCAGGCTAGCGAGGAACGCGACCACCTTTTCGAGGCCCTTCAGCAAGCCCAAGCCGAGCTCACTCGCTTGTGCACTGCCTCCCTCAGTCCGGCTCCAGTCCCGACTACTCCTACTCCTCACATGTCTCATCACTCAACTCGACTCAAGCCATCCGAGCTTCCTAAGCTCAAGGGTACTAGTCACAAAGAAGTTGACTCCTGGATCGCTCAGATCTCTGCGCTCCTTCGCAGCGCCACCGTCACCGAGTCTGACGTTATCCCTTTCCTTCCTTGCGCCTTCGAAGACAGAGCTATGTCTTGGTATGTCAATCTTCGCCCTGCCAAACAGCTCGCCCTCGTTACTTGGTCAGACTGGCAAGAGGCCATTCGCCGTCAGTTCTTGCCTGCAAACTACGCCATGAAGGCCCGGCTCGAGTGTACCCATCGCCAGCTCGGTCCTCGTGAATCCTTCACTCGCTACCTTGATGAACGTAGCCAGCTCCAGCGCTACGTCTTCGATGACAACGTTTCCGACTACGTTCTCATCAACGACTTGCTTCGCGGCATTCCTCTCTACTTCCACCGCTCTCTTGTCCCTCATATTCTAGAGGACATGAGCCTGGAACAGTTCCGAGATCTCCTACTCTCTCAAGAAGAATCCTTGCGCGACTATCAGCGCATGCGCGACCGACTTCCGCAGTCAATGTCTCGCTCGTATCACTCAACCCCTTCTTTTTCCAATCGCCAGAACGACTCCTCTACACCGGTCGTCCCTCGAAACCCCTGCACATGCGGTGGATACCACTGGCGCAGAGACTTCCCCAACCTACCTCCTCCTGCCAACGGGCCTCGCTCCTCTGCGCCTCGCGCCTCGAGCACCAATACTCGGGCACCTTTCTCCTCTTCTTCCGGTAGCTCGGACAATCACCAGCGCTGCGACACTCCTCAGACCTACGTGAACGTCACCACGTCGTCTTACCGTCCTCGGGCTGGCTCAGTGAACGCCACACCCAATCAGAACGGCAACCGTTACAACCAGCCCCGTGCTCAACTGAACACGATGGTAACTCGCGCAGCTCCCATCACTCCTTCTTCTACAGTCACTCGCTCGGTCAACGCCACGGCTCTGACTGCACCAAGGCCCACAGTTCGTTTTGAACCCCAGCCTCGCGTCATCGGCTCTATCGTCCCTAGCGACACTGTTCCTATCGCTGCGCCACCTCCTCCTTCTCTGGCTCCTGCCATGACCCCTCTTTACGCGTACGGTCGCCTGAATACCGAGTCGATGACAGCTCTTCATCACCGGATCTGTATTGATACAGGTGCCGGCTATCTGTCATCGACGCCCACTACGCCAAAAAATACCTACCCAATGTCAGAGCTCAACCATGCCCTGCCATCGAGCTTACTGGTCTCGGACAAGCCGACAGTACCTCCTTCATCATAATCGACATCACCTTTACCACGTCTGATGGTCAAGATATCTGCCTTCCGATGTCTTTCAGCATCGTTGACAAGCTCAACGCCAACCTTCTTCTTGGCAACAACCAACTCTCGCCCCTTGGCACCACGGTTGACATTTCCAACCTCACTCTGAGCTTTGCGCTCCCCAATTCGACGTTGGCCAAGACGTCCTCGTTTCCACCTTCTACATCAAACCTCCCTTCTTCCGGGAGAAAGGCCGCCCGTTCAAGCTTAAACCTAAGTTTGTTGGTCCTTTCAAAATCACAAAGAAAATCAGTCCCGAAGTGATGGTCGTAGACCTGCCGCCACACATCAAAGCGCACACTTCCATCAACATCTCCCATCTCAAACACTTCGTGACCGATCCTTTCGAGCGCGCACAACCCCTCCCTCCTCCCATCAACGCAGATGACAACATCTACGAAGTCGAACACATCGTTGCCGATCGCACTATACGCGGTAAAACCGAATACCTCATCTCTTGGAAAAGTTTCCCCGATGTCTATGACACTTGGGAGCCGGCCTCCAATATTACAAAGAAAAATATCATCACCAAATACCTATCCTTCAAGAAGTGCCAAGCTGGAGTCTGGTACTCCGAAGCTACGGATACCTTCCCCTTTGTCCCTATCAGTCCTCGTTCTCCAACAAGTGTGTAGCTCTCTTTCTCAAAAAATGGTCATCCAACTACACACTTGAAGTGGATTCTTGTACTACACACTTGTAGTTGGTCCTTGACTACAGGCATGTATAGGCTTTCAATCCATGTAACAGGTAGGCAGGGCAGCAGTGTATGCCAACCTCTGACAGTAAGCTGGAGGCTCAAGACAAACCCCATGGCAATCTTCAGATTTGAGGATTCTCAGCAACCTTGTTGACTATGTCTGACTTGCCTAAGGAAAGGGCATAGTGAACAGATACATCTCCAAATAAACTTTCCTCAAGTGCAACCAAACAATTGGCCAAGTCTTGCTTGGGTTTGTAGCAGCTCCTCTTCAGTGGTAAAAGTCTCTCACCTTGAGGCCCCAAACTTATTGGACCCAGTCCACAGAACAACCACATTACTGCTGGTTCAAAACATTTGTTTATATTTGTCTATGTATCACACTGCTGGACAGTTGTCACAAAGCCAGACTGACCAACCTCGAGTGAGCAATGAGTGTTGACTGCCTCTGCTACAAGAGCCCATGGATGCTTGTTTATTCCATGTATTCCATATGCTCTTGGAGAAGTACATACTTGTACAAGCTGCATCATCTAACTTTAATAGAAAGATTGTAAAAGGATGACAAAAAAGCAAAACAAAAATCAGCCTCCGGCGGGGCTCGAACCCGCAACCGCACGATTAACTGATGGCCCGTAACCGGTTCAAGCAGACTCTAAGAGTCGTGCGCGCTACCGATTGCGCCACGGGGGCTTTGATGTTACAAAGGTTTTGGCGTTTGTTACGACCGTATAACAACACTACATATAGTTGATTCACCAACCCATTCACAGGTGTCATGGTCCAGGCCTACATGGAAACTGTCAAAGTAGTTGGTGGTGTCTTATGTGAGTACGAATTTTGGCAGTGATGAAACCATTGGCAATCACCCGACAGTATAATTGGGCACAGTTTCATTCAATTAATTGTCCTATGGTTCGATCATTTATCACATATTGAACTCCCCAGAATTGTCTTGCATGAATTGCATCCCCTCCTCCCTGAAATCGTCTTTGAAGACTTCAATGTCATCTCCCTTCAAGCGCAGTATGTTTGTGTTGGCAAAAATGTCATGCGCCGGCCAAGAGGTGAAATTGGGCGTAGCGCCGGAAGGACCGTTGGGGTCGGAATAGTGGGCAAAATTAATCCTGGAGGTATGACAGGTCAGGGAGGGGGAAGAGAAGAAGATGTTATGCGCACCAGTACTCCATCATAGCATCCGATAAAGCCCCATCGACATCGGTATACTCGGCTGATTGGCCGGTTCCCGGTCGAGCCAGACCATAGACATACGGAATTTCACTTGCATGCCACACTGTATGATATTATTAGCAGGAGTATGCCCGTACTACGCAAGCCCGACTCACCTCCTCGCTGGGCCGCGCTACCAGGCGTACTCTGTTCAAATTGATACGTCCATGTCGCCGTATTACCATGCTTGTTCGCCTCTCTCAAAAAGTGACGTCTGGGAGCCTGAAATTTGAGGTCTCCAATGATGGAAGCGAACCTCTTGTAAGCAGGTTGCAGGCCAAAAGTGTCATTGCCGGTGTCGTAAGGAGATCCCACCGTGGGGTCAGCGGGGTAGAGGTCGAGGAGAGAGTCGAGGGTGGCATTGGAGGGAGGAACAGGTTCGATTAAGCGGATGAGGTTGCGGCCGGATTCGGGACCCTCAAGCGTGGTGGGGGCAAAGCTTGTGCCTCTGTTCGATGATGATCAGGTATATGAATACAAGAGGAATGTCAAGCTCACTCGTCTTTATTGTTTCCTTGGATGAAGGGGATGTTGGCAACCTTGCCATTAGAGATGAGAGTATGCGGGGAATAGGGAATAACATCACCGTCAATGGAGGGACCATATAACCGGCTTTACCATCCATGTCAGTCTTCCTCGCTGGCACCTCGTCACGTCATAAACAGACACTCACGAGTCAACCCATTGAGTTTGGCTCTTTGTAGCCTTCTGTCCATCCAGCAATTGATCCGCCGAAAGAGCTTTCAAACAAGCCCATTCAGTACTACCGTCGCTGGGGGACTTGCATCCAACGTGGTCAAGGAAGAATTGGTAGGCATCTTCCCATGTGGAGCCGGCAGGTCCGAGGGGTGTGCCGGATGGAGCACCGGATTCCATGATCTGGGTGAAAGTCAGTGTGCACAGATACGCAAATTAGCAAGAGGAACTTGCAGCTTTTTGAAAGAGAGTTGTCTCGGGGTCGAGAAAGAGTAGAGAAACTGCCATGGCGCCGGCCGACTCGCCGAACAAAGTCACCTGTTCTTGTCCATGAGTATACGCGAATAATTTGTGGTTGCCAATACTGACCTTACTGGGATCGCCGCCAAAAGCAGCAATATTTGACTGGACCCAAGACAAACCTTGCTTGATATCTTTCAATCCGACGTTTGTGGCCTGGTTCTCAGCGTAACCAGACCCGGTACTGTTGATTTATCAGCTTGGGCAACCTCTTGGTATCCTTGAAGACTGGCCCCCATCCGAATGCACCCAGCCTATATTGCAAGGCAACAAAGACGAACGGTTTGCCCTGTAGCGCTGTGTCAGTGACGGGGCGGACGTGGCCGGTGGTATCCAGACTGACAGAGTCGACACCATACTGCAAGTTGCGAGACGCGTTGAACCAACCGGCATCCCCAGTCTGAAATCCTCCTCCAAAGCTATCCTTTCATCAATAACAACCCTTCACATGTACACCCGAGGATTCACTTACACCCAAACCATGACCGGAAGACTTGCGTCCGAGCCGCTTGACCCGCTCGGCGTGTAGACATTCAAGTACAAACAGTCTTCCGACATTGTCAAGTCGGAGTCTTGCATACACGCTGGAGAGGATATCTGAGCGGTAAAGATTGTCGATTCGTAGGCGTAGGTCTGAGGAGGAGAGAATCGGAGGTCGCCAGTCGCTGAAAAATTGTCGTCAGAAGAGTTCCTGTCGCCTCAAGTCGAGGAGGTACCCACGGGGCTTGGCGTAAGGAATACCACCCCAATAGTCTTGCTGAAAGGTAGGGTGGTTTACACCCGTGATCTCAACATCACCGCCATCGGGCCCAGCGCCCGTCAAAGTGGCTACCGGATCGTCGGCTCGTTCTTTGAGGATGGTCAAGGGAGAGGCGGCAGTGAGGGCAGCTGTGAGCACGGTGCTCAGCAAAGTAAAGAGTGTGTGAATGCGCATTATAAACGGGTGGTATAGGGAAGCAAGAAGAAGGCTGTTGTCAAGAGGCGAGACTGTATATATACGGCAAGTTTTCGTTGCTGAGCAAGTGCCCGGGCGGGGTGTGCTGTGACTTGTGTGATGCAGCTTTCGGCATTGCCCGGTGCTGTCTCGGTCGTTGTTCGGGCGGGATGGGCAAGCGCAGGCTCAAATCGGTCGCACTAGGCAGTCGCTGTGTGGAAACCACCGCCAGGAGCCTGCAAGGAGCCTGACGCGACATGATGCTGCTGTGTCGCGCCACGAGGGTGGTCACGTGCCTAATGATGATGCACTCTTGGTTACGTAACGACTGCAGTGCGCGTGTTGTTACTGCGAAACGAGATAAACAAACAACCCAGAAACGACTGACCCGGACTTGGCGCGTCGTTGTTATTTCCTCTTTCTCCCGTCATCCTGCGCCCCCATGCCGCCCTCCCGCAAGCCACCGCCTGCGCTCTACCTCCATCCCCAGGGGCTCCCCTCTGCCCCCTCTCCCGTCGACCCTCGCGCCTCCCCGGCACCCTCATACGACTATGGCCAGCAGCCCTACGTCAATCCGCTCATCGACCCCTTTCGGGACACCGCGTACAACGCATACTCGCCCCTCTATCATAACGCCCCGTCTCCCATAGCACCCGTCTCCCAGGCTGACGATACCCGGCTCCCTTTCTTCGAGGCTGCCTTGGCGCGTTCGCGCGGCGGCCATGAGCAGCTCAGCTCGTCCGACCACGCACCCGTCCCTACATACACCCAGCCACTTCCTCCTTATCTTCCCCCGCCCGACCCCAATCACCCGGACCTTGCAGTAGGATTCACTGCATCCAACACTGTCCGGTACGCGATGAATCACACTGCCCCAAGGGAAGGCTCGCGATCTCCCTCCCCTTGGATGGACGACAGTTTCGTGCAGAACGGTGGGGATGATAGGGATGTCGAGAAAGGGCACTTGCTCGAGGACAGTGAAGCCCTTCCTCGTATACCTTTCACCACGAACGCAACTGCAGTCCCCGGGACGGGAGATGACCACGGGGACCTCTCTGTTCCCTCGTACGCCTTGTCAGGAGGATATCATCCCGACCTTGATGAGAAGGAAGGTTCAACTCAACATTTTGGGCCCGCTCCCGCCGGTAGAGTGGGTCGTCGCACGCATAATGCTGCAGGCTACAAGCGCATCAAACAGACCGCGACTCTGGACGATAGCGGATTCTTTGCAATAAACATGCCCATCCCTACCCGACTCTCACAATTTTTACCAATCAAAGGAGTTGAAGAACAAAAGTCGACTAGGTGAGTACATCTATACTATCGTATGGCCGTGTTCTGACAATCGTATCGTTTCAAAGGTATACTGCCATCACTACAGACCCCAATGAAGTCCCTACCTCAGGGTTTCGCCTTCGTCAAAACTTGTTCTCTCCCCCTCGACAAACAGAACTGTTCATTGTCATCACCATGTATAACGAAAACGCCGAATTGTTTTGTCGAACACTGTACGGAGTGATGAAGAACATAGCTCATCTATGCGGGCGCAAAAACTCTCGAGTTTGGGGTAAAGATGGTTGGCAAAAGGTAGATTCATTGACGGAGCTTGATGGTTCCTTAAGTGAGCTACGCTGATTCTTCTCCAGGTGGTTGTGTGTATTGTTGCAGACGGCAGAAAGGCTGTCAATCCAAGAGTACTGGACTGTCTGGCAGCGCTGGGTGTGTACCAAGAAGGTAAGTGTACAGTCATCGTGGTGTAACCCCATCGCAACCACATCGTCACCCCATCGTCACCCCATCGTCACCCCATCGTCACCCCATCGTCACCCCATCGTCACCACATCGTGGTATAATTACATCCTGGCTAACGATTGTACAGGTGCAATGACCAACAAAGTGCAAGATAGACCAGTTACCGCTCACGTCTTCGAGTATACCACAAGTTTTGCTCTAGATCCCGACCTTCACTTTAAATATCCCGATCGAGGAATTGTTCCTTGCCAGATCATATTCTGTCTGAAAGAGAAGAATGTGAGTGTGCGAGCGTGTCTTTTGAATCGAAGCTGACATTAGCTGCGACAGGCAAAGAAAATCAACTCGCATAGATGGTTCTTCAACGCCTTTGCTCCTCTGTTATCGGTGAATATCTTTTCTGCAACGGCGTCACCCAGCTGACATACCACACCTCTAGCCCAACGTTTGTATACTACTTGATGTCGGTACACGACCTGCCGTCAAATCCATCTACCATCTTTGGAAGGCGTTCGACATGAACTCCAATGTCGGAGGAGCTTGCGGCGAGATTGCTACTTTCAAAGGCAAGACATGGCGAAGTCTGCTCAATCCATTAGGCAAGTCCCTCCTGTATCAGTGCCGTATCTTTGACTGACTTGGAAATTAACAGTGGCGGCCCAAGCTTTTGAATACAAGATGCGCGTACCCTCAAACCCCATGTTAGCCAGATCGCTGATACAGTGTTAGGTCCAACATTCTCGACAAACCTCTGGAGAGCCTATTCGGTTATTGTACCGTTTTGCCGGGAGCATTTTCAGCTTACCGTGTGAGTAATTACAGTTATTTGTGGTCTTGATGAGTCTGCTAAGTGACTCGCCATGATAGTGGATCGCTCTGCAGCACAATGCGGATGGAACGGGGCCTTTGGCGAGCTACTTTGCTGGTGAACAGCTCAACACCGGGAAAGCCGATACCTTCACTGGGAATATGTGGGTCAAGCATGACTCAAACAATACTTGATGCTGACAATATCCACAGGGTAAGCGCGGCCACACATGGGCGAAATGGGAGGACGAGAGATGCTGATCTTGTCCGCCTCTTTCTAGTATCTTGCCGAGGATCGAATCTTATGTTTCGAGATCATGTAAGTCTAGTTGCTTTCGCGACGTAGTGTGTATCTGATTGTCCGCCTTAGCGCAAAAAAGAAAGCAAATTGGGTATTGAAATTTGTCAAAGCGGCGGTTGGAGAGACCGACGTTCCGGATACCATTCCGGAATTCATCGCACAGAGGAGAAGGTGAGTTCGCCTGCTGATCGTGATATCGAGGCTGATCATCGTCTGCAGATGGCTGAATGGTTCCTTCTTTGCTGCTGTGAGTATCAGCAGGCCTGTGCGGCCTGTGCTGCCGAGCAAAGCTAACCCTGTCGCAGGTGTACGCTTTGATTCACGTCAAACAGATCTGGCATTCCGATCATTCGCTTGCGCGCAAATTAGGTCTCATGCTGGAATCTGTGTACAACGCCTTGAATCTGCTTTTCTCGTGGTTTTCCTTGGCAAACTTTTACATCTTTTTTGTGGGTGACTCCCCATCATGATTATCATTGCTTACTCAGTTGACTGTGCCCTAGGTCATCCTCACTACTGCTCTCGAGGGCGATGCGTTCAATGTACCGCACATCGACGTGCTGAACACTATCGCAAGGGTGAGATTACTCGTGGTTTTAGGCTGTATTGGCTCTGACCCCCAGATACTGTAGTACGGATACCTCGGGGCTTTGATTGGATGCTTCATCTTTGGTATGGGAAATAGACCACAAGGGTAGGTCAAGTATCTCGTAATGACATGAACTGATCGTCCTGGCAGATCTCCCTGGAAGTATAAGGCGACAATATATTTCTTCGCCCTTCTCACAATATAGTGGGCATTGATACTTTCACCTGTGTACTACAACATGCTGACACCCGAATTCTCTTCAGCATGTTGATTGCGGCTGTTCTCTGTACTATACAAGCAGTCTCGGATTTCGACAGTCCTATCTTTGCGCGCTTGGTAGTGTCTCTCATATCCACTTACGGCGTCTATGTGGTCTCCAGTTTCCTTGCTTTGGATCCATGGTAAGCTTTTTGTGCTGTCCTCGAGTTGCGTAATCTAATAAAGCTAGGCACATCTTTACCTGTTTCTTCCAATTCATATTGTTCTCGCCGAGTGAGTCCTACTTTCCTTACCTCTCGGTTGATTCTTTGCTGACATCTACAAATAATAGCTTATATCAATGTTGTACGTACCACGCAGTAACCTCCAGATTTTCTGTTTGAGCTGATTGTTCGGCGGTAATTCCTAACCGTACAGTTGAATGTCGTGAGTAAAGTTGTATGCAATAGACATGAGTTATGGACTGACACCTCTCTAGTACGCTTATTCAAATCTGTAAATTTGTTATTGACATCCCTGCCTAATCAACGCTCATGTCGATTCCTTATTAGGCACGACCTGTCCTGGGGTACCAAGGGTTCTGACGCTACGCAGGAGTCAGACCTGGGTGCCGTACAAGGTGTTGGAAACCATGTGGAGGTTGAATTAGTGACTGCTCAGCAAGACATCGATGGTGCTTATCAGGATGCCTTGGACAACATTAGGCTGAAGGGCGCTAAAGAAGAGAAGATCGACCTTGGCCCGAATCAGCCAATGTCTGAACAAGCACAGAAGGATGTCTATGTAAGTCAACTGAGCTGAATCTATCCGAAATGCTCACATGTCGCTTTGTAGGCCAATTTCCGTACCAATGTGAGGGCTTTGCAATTATGAGACTGTCTGAAATGCTCATGGTCACCTAGCTTTTGCTCTTATGGTCTCTCTCAAACGCCTTGCTGGCCAGCGCCATTTTGACAGGGAACACTTCTGGATCTTTTGATTCTTCTAGCACTTCAAAAACGACTGTCTATATGCTGGTTATCCTGAGTGAGTCTTATGCTTTATCAACATGATTGCACGCTGATATGTTTGCTAGTCTTTGTGGCAGGTATGGCGATATTCCGCTTCATCTGCTCGACAACATACCTCATCCTGAATCTCTTTACCGGATGAGGAGGTCCCCGGGTTTAATACACCAACATACCGTTCGGGCCCCACAAGCATACAAATATAGCAGTTGAACACGGACAATTATTAGTAACATAGAAAACATACACGGGCACCATACCATGTAGGGCATTTGTTCAACATTGCAATTGAGTAACGAAGCCAGGCTGAACCACCTTCTAATAACTCTGCTATCCACGTTTCATATCATGTATGTATATAGTCAGAAGACGCAATGAGTCCAACATTGAGGCAAGCTTTCCGCTTTTCTACATACTTATGGATTATGGTGCTCAGGGAAATCACGTGATCGCGCAATGACAAAAGTCTGAACCAAACATCTACTGTTTTTGATTGGTTTTTGAATGGCTGTCAATACACACACTGCATACACCTTGTGCTGTTGGTGCTCCACATTTATCCTTGTCTCCTACCTGACTTTTCGTCTCGTCACTTGTTTGATTTGGTGCTCTCATACTTTCCAAGGATTGATTGCGAAACCCCTTCGGAGGTCGCGCAAGACAGTATGGACGCCGACCTTGTAGCAATAGCTACTTCGATCAGCGAAGAGCTGTTGGATAGCCAAAGCCCTACTCAAAAAGGTATGGACACTTTCTCTTCCCGTGTACGGTCATGATGTTTTACTCACACAAGATTAGAGATCGCACTTTGTGGGCCAGCTGTGGTCCGCATATTGCTCGCTGCCTGTCTTGCGCTTCTGCCATATCAAATATCGGAACTCGATCCTGTGGAACCCGAGCTTGACGCAAAGTCTCTGTCAGCTGGTCCGCGAGTTCTCTGCGATTTGGCCCAACAGCACATCGATTCTATCCCTTTCAATCTGGTCCCTCCTCGTTGGCTGCGACTATATACCGATGCTTACATTATCTCTACTCTGATCGATATTGTCTGCCATCAATCAATCGAGGGCCAGCAAAAAATCCTCCGCCTTGGGGCAGACATCCAGCAGCTAGACAAGGTGATCATAGTGGCCGGCGCTTTGGGCCCAGGGAGACACCGATGGGTTCAAACGCTCATCAAAAAGGCTCAGGCAGTGGTTTCCGGTACCGAGGATGACATTGCGGCAGAAGTACCCCAAGAGACTATCTTCTCATCATCTCAAAAATCGAACTCGAACCCTTCTACGGCCCCAGACCCGAACTCGTCGCTCTTGCATGCTCCAAATCATATTGAAGTCCTCCAAAAGATACCATCGATGAGAGCGTATGAGAGCAGGCACTCCCACTCCCCATTCATCATTCGCAGATACGCTTCGCAAAAAGACTATGCGTGTTTCTGGCCTGCCACAGAGCTTTGGAGCTCCCCCAAATACCTACTTGAACAAGCAGGGGCGGGCAGAGTGGTGCCTGTGGAGATTGGTGGGGCGTACGATCAAGCCAACTGGGGACAGGAGATAGTACCTTTCGAGTCCTTCCTAGAGCGAGCGGGCTTCAATCGCACATTCCATCAGAAGCGCTCCACCCCTTCAACTTGCTACCTCGCCCAGTACGATATATTCAATCAAATACCGGAGTTGGCAAAAGATATTTGCTATCCTGATTATGTGTGGTCTGAGCCCTCGCGCCCTTCCACCGGCCCAGCGTATAGTCCTCCGCATGACAGTCCTGTGGTCAATGTATGGGTTGGAAATGGTAGTGGGGAGATCATCAGCCCGGCCCATACGGTGAGTCACAGATAAACATGCTCTCACATACAAAGCTGATGCCCTTAAGGATCCTTATCACAATTGTTACGTTCAAGTCCTTGGCTCAAAAAGGGTTTGGCTAGCGCCGCCTTGGTGCAGTGATCACATGTACTGCTACGGGGCAGGAGATGATGATTCAACATCCTATGGACTGGCTGAGCAGTACATGACGAATACCTCGAGAGTACCTCTTTTGAGGGATCCTGTAGAATTTGAAAAAGAGTCCCTCCGCTTCCCCGCTTTCTTTGAAACGGTTCGGCCTCAAAGCATGGAGGCTGTTTTGAATCCGGGCGATCTTCTCGTCTTTCCACCTGGATGGTGGCATGCGATGAGGACTGAGGGGGAGGGGCCTGTCTGGAGTGTCTCTATGTGGTATTAGGAAATTATATAAGATGATACTGGGCTCATCACAACAAGATTGCATCCAGTCTAGTACAAAACGCCAAGGTCTATCGCTGAGCACCTGGCTGGTTCCATGACAAAACTGTAGATATGTCAGTGCTGCTTGCAAGGTAGGTTTGACACTCACGGGACATATCTCCAAGCTTCCTGGGCTTGACAAGGTGCCTAATCAAACCTGCCACAGCTAGTGCCACGCAGAGAATAGCCGCGGCAATGTAGGCCCAACCCAAGAATGGCTGCTTGCCGCCGATCCATGACACAGTGGAGATTTCGATTGACTTCGTGCCAGAAAATTGCTTGACCGGATAGTCTAAAACAATATGAGCTTGCTGGAAAGGGTACTTAAATCGTTCTATCTCATTGAACTTACTCATGTAAGCGACAACGCGGTATCTTCCTTGAGTCATGACCTCGTCATCATTTCGAGACCACAACTTTCTAAAAGTTGACAATGTCGCGACTCTCATCCATACTTGGAAATGCTCGTCCTCGCGAAGATTGGGGAAGCCGTCAACATAGCCATTTGGATAGCGGAGGGCCCAGTTGGGAGGAGGAATGACGTCGGTGGAGGATGGGTAGTTGGGGGCCGTGGCGTAATTCTTCGCTATGCCACCCCATGCAATGCCCGATTCAGTAAAGTTGTAGGTCTGATTTTGCGCTCCATCTGTTACGATATTAGCAAACCGTAAAAGGAATGACAACTTCACTGACTCGAAGGATTCAGAAGCACCACCTGGGGAAAAGTGTCTGGAAAGAGCTAGTCAGCATGATTGGGGCGTCAGCGATAAGCACACATACCGTTGAATACACTATTGGCTATCAATCCGCATGGGTAGTAAGGCTTGTCATTGCTGGAAGTGATGGGCTTGCAGTCACCGCCATTGATCTGGGACCTGTAGAAGATCTTGAGTATATATGCCTTCGCACAGTCCAAAAAGCTCACAATGATCGATAATCCCCCTTGAGTTGACTTGCGTCAAAGCTCATGGCGTACCTCCGGTGGTTTTGATAGCTAGTAGCGGTACATGAGCCGTACTCTATATTCGTCGGACAAAGACACTTACTAGTTGCTCAACTTGTAGTACAAGAAGAGGCCAGGACCTATCAAATTCCATCAGCGCTGTAAATCGTACATGATCTCATTACGCACCCAGGTCATAAGGAACTTCAAACTCGATCTCGCACCTGGATTGTTCACCAACGGTACGAGATGAGTCGTTGCTGAAGGTCCAGGTGGGAGGAGAAATTGAGCTTTTCGAAACGGAAGATGAAGTTGCCAAGTTATCTACATGAAGTCAGTCGCGGGAATTTCTTGAGTTTGTGGTGCTTGCTCACAGTTGTAAGCATCGCTAGGCATAGTCTGGAAGCTGCCGTCTGTGGGGCCACTAGCATCACACTGGGTGTAGTCTAGCGTTATTGTTGTCACTTTGCCGCTTCCCCACACTATAAGTCCTCCTATGGGGGCGAAGATGATGCCGATGATGAACAGCGTAGGTATCACGGCCTTGGGAGTGAGGATTGGCTGCCATGCCTTGAGTCGTTGTTGCTTGAAAGCGGTATCTTGGAGTACAGGTGAGTGTTGGAAAGAGGACGATATGACAAGACGTACTGGCCGGCCTCTTTGACCATTTCACTTTCTCCTTCTCAGTGGGTGCGCCCTCGCCTTCGGGGGCTACCTTGGGTTTGCGGTTAAAGATCGCCATGGCGGGGGGACGGCGCTGACTAGACGGCTGGATGGAAGAATGAGACACAAAGTCACCACAAAGTCACCGCCCTCGGTCACTGCCCGACGCGAAGAAAGTGTTTACGTCCCCGCGCCTGCGCACCTTTGTCGTGTGTTCATTAGGCGCGCCACACATTGCCTGCTCTTGCAACGTTTGACAAACGTTTGAGGCAGCGGGAACCCCGCCAACAATTGCAGGCGATGTCGCCCTTGACTCGGGCAGTGCTTGGCGTCAGGTGATTTTCTCCGCGAAGTACTTCAACAGATAGTGCGGGGCTATGGAGAGACGGCGAGGAGTGTGGGGCAAGTACATGAGGGTCCACTGTTTCTGGCATGCATACATATCATGATACGTGTACATATAGAGACTACTTTGTAAGAGTGTCAAAAGTGTGCTTGGAAAAATGGAGAGCTCCGTGACAGTATAGACATCAGGCGAAGACAAGTTTTCGCGATACGCTGTCTCCTACAGGAGTTTCTGCCTTACGCTTCAGTCCCTGGTTGGAATCGGTCAACGGCTTTCCATTGAGTTCATCAGGCGCCAGAGGCCTGGCACGAAGCTCGGCAAGAGGCTTGGGAAGGAGCGCAGGTGGAGTAGGAACTGGATAAGAGCCGAAGAACGAATGGTTTAATGCCTTGAGATGTGACTGTCAACATACCGCAGTCTTAGATGACACTCACAATCTTTGCGGAGGGGCGTAGTCGAGGATCAAATTTGAGCAGATCCCGTGCCAAATCTTGGCCGTCTTTGCCGATGGAAGCAATCAGGCCCCACCACTGGTTCTTTGGGAAAGAGCCAACATCGTGGTAATCTGGGAGTCTGGTGTAACCCTATTATCGTCAGCTAAGTCCTAGATGGAGAGAATGCTAGCTCACTGGCCATTCTTGCTCCGACGGTGTCCCCATGGCGTGGAAAGTTTTCTTCAGTTGGTCTATATCGGTCTCCCCGGCCAAGAAGGGAGTGCGTAACACCAACTCGACAAATATTGTGCCCATTGACCATATGTCCACCGCGGGTGAGTAATGGCGCGAGCCAAACAGAAGCTCGGGGGGGCGGTACCACCTGCATCTGTGTCAGTACAGAACGCAAACACAATAGTGAAGCGCTCTTACCTGGTTATGACTTGACATGTCATCTTACTACCAGCATCTGCAAATTCGCGTGCCAAGCCGAAATCTGCTATCTTCAGCTCCCCGCTGGCCGCAATCAGCAAGTTGTTGGGCTTCAAATCCTAGGAGGATGGTCAGTCAGTCCGGCTTCCGGAATCCTCTGCTACGCGTACTCGATGGAGTACACCATTGCGGTGGATATATTCTAGTCCCCTCAACGACATCACCATCCAGCTTTTGATGTCAGCATTCTGGAAAATCAATGCCGTATCTCGAATGACAGCTTCGAGGTCGGTATCAAGAAACTCTAAGACCAGATTGACGTTCTGTTTGACTGAAAAGACATCGAGAAGCTACAATATCCGTCAGTATCTGGTCTGGCGGGCCGCTTGCGGTGCTTATACTCACAGCAATAATGTTGGGGTGTTTCAATTCTTGCAGGAACTTGACTTCCCGCAGAGCGGTCACATCCAGCCCGTGTCTCATTTCTCCGACTTTGATCTTTTTGATAGCAACTGCAATCGAATCAGCAAATGCAAGACTGAACAAGAGCAAGAAGTCAGACATACTCTTCCGTCCGGTACTCTTCTCTTTACCTGCATGACTGATCAGTCTTGCGCACTATCTGAAGCGTTTCTACTACTAACCTTTATATACATTGGCAAAGGTTCCCTCTCCGATCTTGATGCCTTTATCCCCTATCGCCAAGGTCAGCATGATATCACCTGTCGGACGCCTGGGCAGCCTCACACCTGTCAGCCCTTTCCGAATTTTCCAAGACTGCAAGATCCATTATTGCGGTGGTTGAAACCTGATAATGGATTAAAGACGCCTGAGGGTCGCCGAGGAATGCGAGAGAGAACGACGCGCCGACTGAATATTATGTGGCGGGTGAAGAGACCACAAGCGATAGGCCTGGTATGAGATGGTAGCCAACAACGGAACACGGCGTTTCTAGAGAGGCTATCGATAGTAAGCTCACAACACATCCGATGATGGCCGCCGGGGCGCCGCGCTGCTTCAGATTAGTAACGCAGAGAAGACCTCATTATACGGTTAACAACAAATTAATAATATTAAATTACCTGGCGTTGTTGCAAGACGGCAGAGATCAAGAACCAGAAAAGGATTGTTGACGGGAGAGAATGCACACCGCATCGCAGGCAAAACACAGGACTGTTTAGGACCAAGGTATATGCCTAATTCAGCTGATTATTCGCTTCTCGTACCATAATAATCTCTAGCTAATTACTTCTGACGCCACCTCAGAACGACGAGACATCACTTTCGAGTTTCGAGAGATGCCATCGGCCAATAATGACATGCAACGACGTCTGCTGACTATTTGTCTTATAAACTTATGTACGAATGATATAGTGTCTCGAACCATGTGACTTCCCTCCTTGAGAACATGCAGGAAGGCAAATATGTACGCTTCCAAGGTTGCCTAGCTGGGCTCTCATCGGCTTTTCCTACCTCTTCTCACTCTGCAAGCTGGTATTATTCGTCGGGTCTTGGTGGCGACCGAGGCTTCATCAGAGGAATCTGAGGAGTCGGGACCAAGAGCGCGCCAGCAGGACTAGCAACCCTGCGTAAAGGCGGTAGGTGAAGAGAGGAAGAGTAGCGGTCGTCTGACCGCCGTTGACCGTGTTGAGAATGTTGGGAGTGTTGAGAAGCAAACAGGCTCTGGTCACTCCCAGTAACAGAGGAATGGTCCGAGCTCTGCGACTGCAACGACGAGTGAGGAGATGGGTATGGGTAAGACGGTCGCGATGACCAGCTTCGATGATGCTCCAATGGCTGAGTGTAGGTTAGACCCACGCCCGAATTTGATCTGAACATGACTCACAGGGGCATCGCGTGCTAATCCTGGACGTATAACGTCATCCTCTACACGCTCCTCCTGCATCCTCCATCTCCTGAACTCGTCGCGAAGAGCCTTGTTCTCTTCACGTACCTCTCGTAATTCCTCCTCTAGCCCAGTATTGACCTTCTCAAGGTGGCGAATACGAAACTCGTGATCCTGGTGGACATCGTGACATTCGGGAGCAAGGGGACCGGCGACAGGCGAAAGGGGGTTTGAAGTCATATGATTGGTGGATGGAACAGTACCAGGCCAAGACGCAAAATGATCGTAGTGAGGTCTGAGGCCAGACGTTGGCAAGGAGCCTGACGAGCCTTCGTGAACGGGGCCGTCATGATCCCCTATACGCCCTTGTAAGGCTCTGTTGGCCTGCTCGAGAGACCTTATCTTCTCTTGCAAACTATCCTGATAGCCCTTCTTCCTGCTTCTGAAACGTTGCGCGGCGAGACGATTGGCCTCGCGTCGACGCGCCGTAACTGTGTCTTCTCCCGAGCCACGGGCCTTCCGGGAGCCTGATGGCCCATATTCTGCTTCTGGCGATAAGCCATTGTCGGAGTCGGGGTAGTGATGTCTTCGACAATCCTCTGGTGAAAGCGCCGTCGACGACGAATGCATTGCATGGGAGGCAGAATGAAAGTCGGACGCTTGGCCAAGCAGAGCTGTCTGGCCGACATCTGCTTGGGGCGGCTGTTGATCGGTCTGGCCGGTGTCGTTGTGAACGTTCATGGTTGGTGTTCGTATAACTTTTCTGTCCAAAGTCAGCTCGATCACTGTTCGCCCCAGCACCCAACACCGGAGCACAAGTAGGCGATTTCGGGTTCAATGACCGTACCGTGAGAAAGGAAAGGATCTTGACTATGTCAAGGAAGATGCCGAGATCGCTTGAGGCCCGGAGCCGATCTTGAGATGCCCCTTCTGAGTACGTTATGGCTGGCTCGAGACATGCAAATCTCAGAAGGGCAGCGACAACCGTTGGGGGCTAGAGTGCGGGGCGGGCCCGGTGATATCGGCTCTGCGACGGGGCAGGGAATGTCTGAGGGTGCGGGGGGGGGGTCCGGGGGGGTGCGAGAAGGGCAATCACTGGGGATGGGGGGTAAAGCAGGGTGGTGAGAGGAGAAGATGGCCTTTGATCTTTTGCGGGTTGTTTTTTGAGGCACGCCTGCTACATCATTTACACCAAGGCCTGATTCCAGCAAAGCTTATTCGTCGCTTAGTCCATGCCCACGTGGCGGCGTTCGGCAGAATCGTCCCCTGGCCCCGATCCACCAAGATTCCAGAAGATCCCTCTTTCTCGCAATTTCCCGTAGTCTCCGGTACGTATCCCATGTTCAGGTTGTTTGTGCACTCCTGTGCTCGGGCACGCAGGTTTCCAGGTGCGCCGCAAGGCTGGACGGACCACCGCGGTCTGTCCCCATCTACGCTCCCTTTTTTATGAAACTTTTCCCGCTACTCAGCATACGTATATGCAGCCGCCGCGCGATTACATATTTACAGGAGCTCCAGGAGTCACCATGTCCCCACCATATTTGCACATGTGTATGACGGACAGACCATCAAACAAAAGTCAGAACGCGTTAATAAACTCTTCAACAGCATATGTATGTATAGCAGCAGATGCAGCCAGACAGCAGCTTGCGTCTCCAGCGCGCTTACTGGTCATGGAAAGTTTTTGCACGCTATGACCCTCATTATTTCGTATACATACGTACCATGGGCATGCAGAGAGATAGGGACACACGAGTTTTACAAAGGCAGCGGACCCAGGAGGCAGACCCCGCACTGCACTGCCCGCGTGACTCGCGTCGCGGGAACTCTCGGCTGACTCGCCGCTTACCGCTTACCTCAGTACTGCTTACTGGACTTATTGAGGTACAACAGATATGAATTTCCCTCGAACCCTTATTTTGTCCATTGTCCTCCACCTGGTGCATGGTGACCTCTGTGGCCTCTGTACTCCGTGGCCCTGCTGCCGTTTCCAAGCTTTTAGTCGCTTCAAGTTCAAGACCCAGCATCCAATTTAGCCAGCAAGGTGCTCAGTCACTTATGAATCGGAGCACGGCTGGTGGAGTGGTAAGAGATATGGACTCGTCAGGAGATCCAGGAGATAAGCTTGCTTGTCATGAGACATAGATATATCTATATATTATCATATTATCGGAGAGGAAGCGAAACACTTGCAATTGAGGCTGAGGCCTGGTCCCTCCGCCCCTCAGCCCCGGTTCCAGCTTCCAGTCGGATTTGCTGTGAGTGATTGGCACGCCAACGAATCCGTGCGCTGTGCGTCCTTTTCGATCAATCGCCAACAACTGTAAAGGGATTGGTACGGACTGCTGGTCAGTAGGAGCCAGGAGATGTACGCAGAGTCTGCAGCTGCTGCTGCCTGCTGGTATCAGGGTTACGAGTTAGGCGCGGATGCGAGAGGAGGCTCCCTTACATAAAGTATATCGTGCCGCGTCTTCGTACGTATCCGTCCTTAATCGATGTATTCTCGTATATTCCTCATCACCTATATCTATCCTCTCACCACCAGCCTATTCCAGGTCGACATCTAGCGCCCCTAGCTAGATCCACCGCGTAACCGCCCCTAGGTCGCCCATCGCCTCACCAACCCTTACACTAACCTCTGAGTCTGTAATCGAGCTGGGAGATGGGAGCAGGAGCATGGCATAGGCATTACACGACTACTATTGAAGCACATCTGGTACACAAATGGTCGACAACTTCCGACTGGTACAGCCAGCAGCGAGGACACTGGTGTTGTGAAGACGGCAAAAGCTTCAAAGATACTCGGGCATCGTCAATTTCAGCATCCACACTTGCAAGAGACTCTCTGGACGAAAGGTCGGTGCCCAATGTAACTCGAGAAACGCCAAAGAGACTCTGAAGTAGATTCGCTGTGTTTAACGATAAGCTGATGTACCGTTTGGGTAACATAGACCGCTCACCATTTCTGCTCAACACAGTATGAGAAATACCACTTGCTGCTATCCAAAGCTCAGTCTCTGACGACATCTTGACGTGCCTACCACATTTGTCAGGGTGTACTTGTTATAATCCATTATGCACAACTCACTTGGCTGCACGCGCTTCTTCCACAAGTTGTGAGACAAGAGGCTTTATGGCGAGTAAGTAGCCCACATCCTTCTGCAAGGCCGGGTCTGACCAAATATCCTACCGGGTTGACATAATGAGCTAACGCCCGCTGCAAAAGACGCTAACTCACGCTCGGTTCCCAAGTCCCAAGAAATGCAGAAGAGTCTTCCAAAGGGTTGGTGTTTTGGTGCAGCTCTTCCGCCAAGTGCGGGATGATGGGTGCCATAATTTGAATCATGCGTTTCAGAACCTAAAACAGCCGTGAGCAAAGCGTCCTTTTGTGTTTGAAGAGACACACAGTCTGTAAGACCGCAACAGTGGCCAGCCGAGCCGGGCTGTCGAGTTTTTCACAGTAGAGAGTGTCCTTGACGATATCGAAGTATAAGGTGGACAGTGTTGAAACGGCAAAGGTGGAGAGAGCATTGACCACTACAATAAAATAAGCTGATTTCGCATATGACCCCGTGAGATACCCACCTTTGTTGAAAGTGTAACTGTCATATCCAGCCAAAGCCACCAGCTCCAAGTCATGCAATTGATGCAACACATAACGGTCAATCTATCTCATTCAGCCCATCTCCCAACATGTTTCTGTTTCCAACTTACAGCTCTCAGTTCCACGTCCTCCAAAGACACCTTCTCATGCTCCGATGTATTGGCAAGCAAGAACCTGGCAGTGTTTCTCAGTCTTCTGAGCGTTTCGCTAGCGTGAGATATAGAAGAAGGTCCTATGGAAGCGTCACAGGTATAGTCTACTGATGCCGCCCAAAGCCGTAACGTATCAGCCCCGTATGCCGGCGAGTCCTATGCAATGTGAGCTCTCTTCCACAGCAGAAAGCGAAATGAGAACTGACTCCGAGTCCATGAATGATCTCCATGGGCGACAACCCATTCCCAGTTGACTTGCTCATCTTGTCTCCTTTCTCATCCATCACGAATCCATGCGTGATGACCGTCCCATACGGTGCGCGCCTGTCACTCGTACTAGTGACCTTCGTGAGTAGAGAAGACTGGAACCAGCCTCGATGCTGATCTGAGCCTTCGAGATACACGTCTGCCAGTGGCAGCTCTGGATCACGGATCTTGCTATCTCTCAGGAGCGTCCAAGACGAGCCGCTGTCAAACCAAACGTCTAGGGTGTCAACACCCTTGCTGAGCTGCTCACCCTTGCGAGAAGGGGGAACGAAGTCTTCAACAGGGCCAGACCACCAGTGGTCGGTACCTTCTCTCTTCAGAACTTGGATAACATGGGCGAGGGCATCGGCGTCTGTCACTGGGCCTCCGTGGGAGTCGAAGAGGACAGGTATGGGCACGCCCCAGCTCCGTTGTCGGGAAATGCACCACTCATTTCTTGACAGCACAAAGGTCTCCAAGCGTTTCCTCGCTGTGTCTCGTCAGCCGACCAGTTGATATGTACCGGAGAAGACTCACCTTGCGGGGGATGGAAATGTACAGCCTTCAAAGCGTCCAGAGCATCGTCCTTGATGTGCTCAACATCAGCGAACCACTGGGGAGTGGCACGCACAATGATCGGTTGTTTCGATTTCCAGTCGTACGGATAGCGATGTTCAATGATCTCATCACCTAGCAGCACACCCTCCCCCCGGAGAAGCTCTACCATCGTCTTCGTGCCTTCTCCCAACACTGCCTTGCCCACCAGAGCCCTGAACTTTTCATCCTCCACCCAGCTCATCAGCTCATCGGTGAAACAGCCAGCATCATCTACAGGGCATCTCAACTTGTCGGGTAAGATTCCAGCATTGTTGAACGCTACATAGTCCTCATGGCCATGTGCAGGGGCGGAATGGACGAGGCCTGTCCCTGTCCCAGCTGTGACATGACCCCCTGCAAAGATTTGAGGTTTGGGGGAGGGAGAAGAAGGGGGATGGAAGATGTGGGTGTAGCGAGAACCGACAAGCGACGAGCCTTCAGGTTCCTGTTAGCCCGCTGCTCCGTTGGCGTCAGGGGGCGAAGGCACTTACCCGGGAGGGAACCCACCACAGTCAGGTGTCCGAATATCCGCTGCAGATCTGCCACTCGGTCGTTAGCGACGACCAAAAGTCGGCCGTGGTCGTTTCTGACGACATCGTATGTCAGATTCTCGTGAACGGCCACGCCCTACGAGGCCTGTAAGCACCGGACATGCGTGGCTCCTAAAAATACCCCTACAGAGTTTCCTGGAAGTGTCCATGGAGTCGTAGTCCAGATAGCCAAATCTACCCCCGAACTCCAGCTCTTATGTCGCGAGTAAATAGCTCTCAAGCCCTCAGACATGTCCTCTTCTTGTACAGGGAAAGACACGTAAACGGAATGTGACTTGTGACCATCTCTGTATTCCAATTCGGCTTCTGCGAGTGCAGTGCGAGATGATGGGGAGTAATATACCGGCCGGAGGCGGTATTGGATGAGTTCTTCGAATGGCAGTCAGCTTCTGGGATATGCGAGCAAGTGTAGAGAGACGCACCTTTTTGGATCATGGTTTGAAAGAGTTCAAGTTGTCGAATTTCAAAATCGTGGTCTATATCTTGATCAGTAAACGATAAGGTAAGGCTGGCCGAGAATGACTCACCGAGCGTGCGATAAGTACCGTCCTTATGGTCCCAATCCGCCATGATGCCTAGAGCCCGCATCTCCTCTTTTTGAACATCTATGGCACTGAGAGCGACTTGTCGCGCTTCGGCTCTGACTTGGCTCGGGGTCAAAGACGTATGTGACTTCTAAGACCTCTCATGAGCTTCTCAGCCCGAAAACTGGTGAATAACATACTCCTATAGCAGCGAGCGCTTTCTGCTCGATGGGCAACCCATGAGTGTCCCATCCAGGTACGTAGCTTGACCACCATCAGCATATATCGCCATGGTGGATATTTGAACTAACTGGACTCGATGGCCTCTTACGACCTTATACCTATTGATAATATCCTTCAACACCTTATTGAGTGCATGACCTGTAATGTGATTAGTCGCATGCATTGCCCGAAGATGGTCAAACTTACCCATGTGGAGATGACCATTGGCGTAAGGGGGGCCGTCATGAAGCACGAACGCCTCCTTAGGGTTATTCGCCAGCTGGTAGATTGATGAGCTTTCAGTTGGTCTTGCGCTGAGCCATACACTATGCTCACCTGCTTCTGATAGAGCTGATCGCAGGTCTTCCGTCTTTGAAGTTTCTCCGCTGCCACGATGTCTTTGTGTCTGAGAGGAAATGAAGTCTTTGGCAGCTTCAGAGTATGGCTGAATGCCTTCTTTTTTTCTTGTGGTGACAGGCCAGCGACGGAGGTGGTCGCATAGCGAATGTGGTGGATGGACGGGGAGGGGAAGAGATGTGAGCGGAGGAGGAGCGAGGAGCGAAGGAGAGGCGACATGACGGCGCCAGGAGTGGATGTACGACTGCCCGCTCTCTGCAAAGGGGCTTTGTGTCAGGCGTGTAACGGACAGGTCTGACCGTCTGACCCAAGTTGACTTTTCCAGGTGAACGCGATGAGTGGAGGTGACCGTGGGAGAATGCGCTTGTTTGGCCACCCGGCCGCCGGGAAAAGGTGACTGGACCGACACTTTTCTCTTATCCATAGATATAAATCGTCCATCATGGGGAATCAGCCTCTCCCATCTAAGGGATCCGCATCTTGTGAGCACTCGTGTGGGCATCCTACTGTCTATCTGACAATGTGTCAGCAAGGAGCGAGGACGACTTCGAGCGCGAATCAAAGGCAGAAGCAGCCGCATACTTACTCGAGAACAGGACAAAAGGGGGTACAAGAGGACGCAAACCCGGGAGGGGAAGGCTATCTGGGGCCAAGAACTCAGCTGCGTAGGTCTAGTGCATTGCATGATACTGGAAATAACACTGCGCAGCCATCATATGAAAACCGCCGAAAATGAACTGATTGTGCTGGACTACGATGGTCGTATGTATACTTTGTGAGCCACTGACAACCTGTATTCATTTTGATTCTGTAGAGGTGCAGCTGGGGTTCAACCCCCTTTTCCGCCTTGCAGGTGAGTTGCTGGGTTCCTTGCTGCCGAAAGACTTCTTACCCTCGTTGCCAGGGCTAGACAGCGATGGAGATGACATAGAAGCTGCTGGCGGGCATAGCCAGAGTCATGGCGCGGACGGTGATTCTCCCTCATTGAATTTTCTCCATATGCTGACAATCTCTAGACAGGGGCCCCATTGTGACTGGAGAAGAGGAAGAAGAAGAGAAATACAGTGATGAGGAATTCGGCCCACCCGAACCCCGTCTAGCAAACCCACACACTGCTGCTGGCGGCGAAGGAGAAGATGAAGAGGTTTATTCCGACGAAGGTATATCCCCTACCACCGTGGATGATCCTTCGAACAGCCCAGTACCTTTCATCCAGCCCAAACTACCAAATACGTTTTTGGACTTCGACTCTCTCGACGGAATCCCTCCAGTCAAACCCGCTTTCAATGTACCACCCTCATTGCTTCCGGCCGCTCCCTATATTCTCAACAAACACACCAAAGACATCTACGTTCCCGCTCACCTGAACCAGTTCTTGAAGCAATATCAGAGGGAAGGAGTGCAGTTCTTATTTGACCGGTATCAAGCTGGGTGGGGAGGAGTTTTGGGAGATGACATGGGGTATGTCATCGTTGGTCCCACTCGTAAGAGCCTGCCATTGACGAAAGCTTAGACTGGGGAAGACCGTTCAGGTGATCGCATTCGTAAGCCTCCGCATTCCTGTCATCGGGCTTGACTGACGACCACCAGCTCTCCGCCATAATGCGGAAGAGTGCCACAGCTACTCAAGACTACGGGAGACGGAAGCGCACGTTACGTCAGAGTGGAACGGGGACCATCAGCCCACAGCGCTGGCCAACAGCTTTGATCGTCTGTCCAAAATCTCTAATAGGCAATGTGAGTCCACATATAGATCGCGGCTATGACGTGCGGGAGGTGACGGATCCGGTCACAGTGGTCTCGTGAGCTGGACACTGTGCGTGCATCAACGAGTTGAACATTCTCGTATTCTGATGGCGGGCACAATAGTGGGGCTACTTTGAATACGAAGTCCTGGGTCCCGACAACTCGGAAAAGACTCGTACTGCTTTGGCCAAAGGCTATCTCGACATCCGTAAGCTTGGTTGATAATCAGGATGGGAGAAGTGCTGACACGCGATATAGTACTCATGTCGTATGATACTATGCGAGGCCATATCAATGATGTCAAGGATCTCCCCTTCACGTTAGTCATTTCCATCTACTTCGACCGCCGAATATTAACTCTTCTCCTCCTCAGCGTTCTCATAGCCGACGAAGCTCACCGCCTCAAGGAGCCACTCAGCATGACAACATTGTCCATCAAGAAGATCCAGACCCGAATATGCTTTGCTTTAACCGGAACGTTAGTGCAAAATAGAATCGATGAGATGTGGTCTGTCCTTGACTTTGTACGTTGCATCCCTCTCATCGACAAGCGCGTGTTATTCTGATATACGAGAAGGCTCATAGAGGCTGGGCCGGCACCTCCCAAGAATGGATAGACTTTGTGGTAGATCCTATCAAGACTGGGCACCAGTCAGAAGGCACGGCACAGCAGGTGGTTGAAGCTATCGTAAGGAACCTCCCCAGCCCTTGTTGACTCTGTTGGCAGCCACTAAGGAGAGTGATGTGATTGTAGCGTCGGCTAGGTATCATGACCACCAAGGTTTTACCTCATTTCTATCTGCGCCGAGATAAGACACTCTTGTCTGATATCGTGAGCCCAACCACCCCGTTCATCGCTTTCAAGGAATATTTCTCACTTTTGATTGATTCCCTTCGGCTAGCTACCCAGAAAGACAGACCTTGTTGTGTTTTGTCCCTTGACCGGCAAGCAACAAAAAGCCTACACAAACATCTTAGCCTCTGATGGTACATACTTCGTCCTTTTTAGTCTACATCGCTGATCATACTTGACCAGAGATCGCCAGGCTCAAGCAGCTCAACGCCCCCTGTCCTTGTGGTTCCAGGAAACGGTGCGTCTAGCCTATGAGCTTCCCCCTGTGATCAAATTGACTAAAGTTAGTCATCTGGTAGTTCTGCGCGATGTTGCCAGTTGGCTGAGGAACAGTATCTCACTGAAGTGCTATTCAAATTGTAAGCTCCATTCTACTGGCCTACCATTCAAGTTGCTAAGCGAGATATTTTCGGGAAGCATGACTGCCCTGTCCAAGGTTGCTAATGTGATTTTCCCTTTACCGTTCATTGAACGAAACGACTTGCTGACTTTTGCCAGCATTTTGGTCTTCTGTATCCAGGTATGTCATCTTTATCTCCTGTATTGGATCTACAGAATTGATTCTATCACAGCAAGAGACGACCTCGTGACAGTGAGACTTCTCTCGGTCTATTGCTGATCCGGAGGCTGATTGATCTGTCAGAGAGAAACGAACATGTTCTTTTACAAAATATGTGTGAGCTCTGAATTGTGATGCGAATGCTGGCATCATCTGCTGATGACCTGAATGCCAGACTGGATCCGACACTGTCTCAAAAGAGCTTTCCAGTATGCAAGCTGCCCTGTAAGTGACATTACTCATGCTCATAACCCGCCAAACCAAGCCGAGAGATGCTGACAGATACAGTGACACCGGCAATTGTGGCAAATGGAAAGTAGGTCAGCATGACGGCAACGCGTTTATACATTTGCCAATTGCTTTGCAGGTGCTAGAAAGACTTTTGACACAATGGAGAGCTGAGCCTTGCAAAAACAAAAGTGCGCTTCTTTTCCTCGTTGGGACTCTGTAATATTTGCGCTTATGGTATCTTGCTGGCTAGTCCTCCTTTTTTCAAGCTCGGTTCGTCTCCTCAAAATGCTGGCCAAGCTTTTGCGAAGCTCCTCTCTACGTAAGGCACCTCGATGATATTCATGATTAGGCTGAATCATTTCCAGTCTCCAGCTTCCCTGTAGATATGCTTACAGGAGAAGTGGATAACGAGGAACGTATGAGAATGGTTGACCGTTTCCAGGATCAAAAGCAAGACCACTTTGTTCTCCTGATCAGCACCAAAGCAGGAGGTGTTGGACTAAACCTCACTGCGGTAAACTCTTTTTACAAGTGGGTCTGGTGGGTAGTGCGCTGATTGTGTGGAAGGCGAACAAAGTGGTCATCTTCGACCCAAGCTGGAGTAAGTTCTCGGTGTGACTTCTGCTACCGAGTTTCAGCTGACGATAGCAGATCCTGCGGATGACCTTCAGGCAATGGATCGAGCTTTCCGAATCGGACAAGAACGACCTGTGTGAGTGACACTTCAGTGTCCATCATGAAGCACACTCACGCATGGATTCCAGGGATGTCTACAGGCTCATTGCCCTAGGGACTATTGAAGAGGCAAAATACGAGCGCCAAAGTATGTTCCTTTCTATTCGGCTTGGCTCTCGACTGATGGGCCAATGTGCAGTCCACAAACAGCAGAGTGCAAAGCAATTCAATGATGGCACTTTCGAGCCCCGCCATTTTCAAGGTTATGATGGTGCTTCCACTCTAGATGCACAGGGAGACCTGTATGGTGCCCATAATTTGTTCAGATATGAACCGAATGGGTTCGTTGCTCAAAACGTGAGCTTGATTTACGATTATGTGTCCCGCATAGCAACCTCCTGGGGGCGTATCACTATGTGAGATTGATTTCACTGACTATCGAGAATCAGCTGGAGGATGGGATCTGTGATGCCGGAGACGCATTTTTGGAAGAGGATCATGAAGACGACCAAGAGGGTGAGGACGATACTCACGAGGTAACGTACTCTGCATGTTCCGACTGAAGCCCTATCTGACACTCGGATAGGGCAGCGACCGAGTGAAGCAGGGTGGCTCGCAGCAGAAAAAAAAAGGACGATCAGCAGATGAGCACGCAAAGGCTTTGATGGAAGATGTCCTGGGACTCTCAGACAATCCTGTAGCTACCGTTAAAGTAGCCAAGGACATACTGGACGAACTAGGACTCACTAGTGTGTTATCAACTCTTGTATCGCAACACGGAAACTGTCGCTCACGTATACTTAGGCATTGTGCATGACAAAGCCTTCCAGGATTCTCCCGAAGAGCGACAAATCTATGAATTGGGTGTCAATGTAAGTGTTGAGGTGTCATGGCCGGCGCAGCAGCTCAAATTGAATGTAGCTGCTCCGCGACAATCCAGAGTTGGCCAAGACGATGAAAGCAAACGAACTTGCCCCAAAGAGGAAGAAGCGTCCACGGGAGATTGCCGGTGGTAATTCGCACAAAGATAAGGATGGTGGAAGGCAAAAGTTGAGTGAAAAGGCATGGAAGCGACCGGGAGGGCCGAATCAAACAAGGATTGAGCTGAGTGACGAGGAGTGACTGTAATCATGTGATAGCTGTACATCTCCATCTACGGCTCTATGAATGGCATGAAGCTAGACAGCGAAGGCGAGATTCGCGCGCATCATCTGGTCTTGAATATCCTGTCGGGGATGTTCTCTCCGTCGATATGGCGACGAACATTCTCGCTGCGAAGAACGCCCATTGGGTCCACGCGCTGCAAAATGTTCTGAAAGTCCTTGAACTTGGGGTACATGACTTCGAGACTCTTAGGACCTAAAGTGTGTTGCTTGGCCCAATGAGGTCGACCGCCGTGAGCAGCCACGAGCGCTGCGAATCTCTCGTGAAACTTGCGATAGGGCACGGCAAGACCGTAAGGTCTAGATCAGAGTCAGCCAATACTCAAAGATGCAATGCTCTGTATGCTCTGTGCTCACCTGTAGGTCACGACACCGATCCAACATGTCTCGCGGCCATAGCAGGGGCTGAGCCAAATGTCATCGGCGGAAGACCATCGGATTTCAATAGGGGAATGGAGGCGAAGACCATTCGCATCTGCTGCCTCGCGGTCTAACCATAGCTGCATTTCCTGGAGACATGCTTTGCTTTCTTTCGCGTCGATTGCCCACTCGAGAGCATATTGAGGGAACTACCGAGGGGTTAGAATATCACTGGATGTTCCAAGGGAAGCGTACCAGACAGTCGAAGTTGAGCACCTTGTATCCATCATCAACCACTTCGCTATCCGTCTTTGACAACCACCAAGCCCATCTGCCCACCGCGGCGGTCAACGAAGGAAAGATTCTTGAGAGGTAAATGAAGAACTGAGTAACATGGAAGCCGAGGAAGTGAGCTGTGAGCGAGGGAGAGCTCTGCTTAGGCTACAGTCATATCAATTTTAGTACTTGGGTATCCAGATGAGTGGCACCTACATCTTGAGTACGATTCGCTCTGCCAATCACTGCTCCTTTGCCGTCAGGATACCACCAGACCCTGACATGCTCGGCGCTGTCTTTGATGGTATCCAACTGCGCCAAGACCTCCCCAAAGCTCCTCCCTTCTTTTGTTTCTCTGAGTCTATACGCCGATTCTACCTCGACCTCCACCTCGAGAATGAGACCTGTAGCCCCGAGACCGCAAAGACTGGCCTTGTACAGATCGGGGTCTTGGGTGGCTGATACCGTGACCACAGGTACATCAGGGAGGGGGAGTGCGATCTTGAGAGATTTGACGTGCGCAGAGAGAATGGGGAACGATGTGCCGGACCCATGGCTTGCTGTAGAGATCAAGCCCGCTATCGTCTGATCCGAGATCGAGCCGACATTGCGCATCGCGAGAGGAGGAGATGCGTTGCCGAGGAGTCGGTGGATTTCATGGAGGGAGGTACCGGCGTGAAACGTGGCGGTCAGATTATCGTGATCAGTCTGGATGAGCACCGTCAGCTGGTAAACATGAGATGTCATTGTAGCATACCTTGATCAAGCCCTTGACGCCCTCCATCTTTACCAGCCACCCATTTGTCAAGGACAAGTCCGATGGAGAATGCCCCACACCAATGGGGTGAACTCGGGCACCCTCCCGCCTTGCAAGCTCCAGGATCTGCCGACATTGCAAAGGCGTTGTGGGAAGCAATACGCGTTGAGGACGACAGACAAAGGTCTTTGCCCAGTTGGTAAATTGGGCGGAGGGAGCGTCGCGGGGTGCGGTGATGGGGCGGAGAGCTGCCTCGAGGGCGGGGGTGTCTACGCTGCCGAGGTCTGCCATCGCTGAGATGTGCTGTAAGTTGCCCGCGGGGTGTCGAACGCTGCTGAGAGAACGCGGGTGGCCCGATCGGAGATTCCGGGGTCTTGAGCTTTCAAAGTCCGTCTTTGCACAGTATGTAGAGTATTGTCTCGAGTCTGGCACGAGCCCACAAAAGCTAGATGGCGGACCAGGACCTCGTCGTAGCCCTATGTTTCGGGCGGCAGAAGCACCAGACTCACATACGTACATCTGTTCTAACTATCACGCGTCGGTATGGTCCTCGGCCTACGAGACATCTGTCGGGGGGTTTTGCCTCTCAAGCGGTATATATATACAGGGGTACAACAGCAACATCAACATGAGGTGTATTCTAGGGTGCTCCTTTGCGAGATGCTCCTGGGCGGAAACGAGAGAGAGAAAGACTAGACGGGGCAGAGTATGGCGCATTGAACGTGCTGTAGATGTTTATCGAGTGGGGAGGAATTTGGCCCTATAGTAGTGACATGAGACATCACGAGATCCCTTGTCAGCTCATTGGTAGCAATCCTCCTATTGTAATGACTCACGCCTCAGCATACATTTGATCGTTTGTTCTCTGGACATGGTACGACATCAACCAGTGCACCAACAAACGCATCGCTGCAACTCACTCGGAAAACAATGATACCAGCAAATATTGCGCTCGTAAACACCAACACATCATAGATGAACCATAGTATGGCCCAAGCTAGAGATGAGCATTAGCATACGCTCAGTCAGAGTGGGAGATCGATGCTTACAGCTTGTGGGCCATCCCAGCAGTTCTGAAAACTGGGCGCAATCAGAGGTGTTGCGTTTGTCGAACAGCTTCTCGTCAATATAGTCCCAAACGACGTAGAATAGATTCATCATGCCGACGAAGATGACTAGGACCAGATAAGCAAGGCTGTAGTATGAACGGTAGGGTAGACATACCATAGAAGCGAAGAGCCTGTGATCCTACTGTGAGCATTCTCGTCCTTCAGTCAAGGATGGCTTACATTTCCGTGGTCGCCGAACCATAGCCCAACGAGAACGGCCTCGCAGACAATGATGCTGGCAAAGGCTCTGGAAGGAAGCATCAATTGATGACCGATAAAACCATCGCTGGAACAAACTTACATCCAGTGGTCGGCGCGCATGATTGGCACTAGTAAGCCAAAGTGTATGACTAGAGCACATGCTTTGGAAGCCACAATGTCGACTGATCACAGTGAGCAAAAATTCATTTCCAGCACGTCTGGCTCAAGCTCACACCCGCAAAACTGCAGCACCGGTCAACACAAGCCATTGTCGGGCAACCGAAGCAGAGTTTGACTCACGACAAAAAGAAAACCAATTATGGATGACCCGATGTACCCAGAAGACAAGGTAATCAGAGCCGAAGGACTCCAGAACATTTGAGGATATGTCGGCATAGCGTATGGATCTCTCGGAATTCGTGGGGTGGTTCGCATGAGACCCATTACATGAGTAGCGCCTCCATCGTTCGGATCGATACAGATGCTGACCACTTGCCCGCCACATAATAGCCCAGCCGATAGGTGAAATAGTTCATGGAGGCCAACGGTGAATAGCTTGGGGGCGGGAATGGTCAGTATCGTATATGGTGACAAGGCAGGCCACATGCCCCTCACCTTCAGCCCTGCTATGACATCCCTCAGGATGGGGATGTTCCAAGCTATGAGGATAGCCAAGAACATTACGCATGCGCCGATGATGGTGTTTGTCTCTGTCTGTCAGCTGCAGCCCGGTAGGTGGGACACTCACGAAATGTGTTGGGGACGGAGTCTGCCCGTTTTGTGAGGGCATGGAGGGTGGTGTTTGTGAGAGCATGGAGGAGTGCGGCATGGTCTGGGGATGTACTGGGAGGCATGGTGGACGGGCTGTGGAGAGAGAGGAGAGATGCATTGCGGCTGCTGTACTCTTGTAGATACTTAGATATACTGTACATACTGGCTGTGTGCTCGGTTGAACCCAAGTTGAACGACCCTTCTACGTACTCCGGGCAGCGGCGCCCTCCGCCCCCATTCCCCGCATAACTCCGCTGCTCCGACTTGATCTTCTGACGTCGTCCACAAGTCGTCCATCACCAGCCACACCCAAAATGTCTGCCCCCCAAGCCCCCCAGGCCGCCCCCGCCCCCCTCGCCGCCCCCATCCCCTCCGAGGACCAGGTCGCCAGGAAGGTGAGCCGACCACGCGCTACTCGCTTCTGACTCGCTGACGTCCCGTGTCTCAGTTCGACAACTGCGTGAGTACTCTCCGGTCAAATGCTGCTCGGAATAGCCAAGGCAGCACGGTCTATGCGGGCTCTCGGCGGTCAATCACACACATGTGGACTGTATGCTCATGATTGGTTCTAGGTTGCCGATCTTCTCGTCAACGCTGGTCTCGGCTTTGGCGTTGGTGTCGTCGCTTCTGTCCTTCTCTTCCGACGTGAGTAGATATATCGACTCTGCATCAGGGCTGACTGTGTATACAGGACGAGGATGGCCCGTTGCTCTTTCCACTGGGTAAGCTCAGAAGCTGGTAAATGGACGCCGTCACTAATCACAAATCTCAACCGTACAGCTTCGGTGCTGGTGTCGCTTACTCAAATGTAAGCCCACCGTATCTCAGGCATTTGTATATCATGCTTATCATCTGGCCTACCAGTGCAACTACTCTCTCAACCCCTACGTCCTCCCCGGCACCAAGGTCCTGCCCTCCCTCCCATCCAACCGATCCTAAGTATGCGGACGACATATTGAAACTTCAATCTGATGCAACATGTTTGGAGCACAAAGAACATCTGTAAGAGCTCTGGGATTGGGGCAGAGAAGCATGGTAGCGAAATGGCACCGTTTTGGGACTCGGTCTAGGTTGCGGGCTGCAGACTCGATTGCCTTTGACGATCGTCATCAGAAGCGACTGTGTTGCATTTTCATGAGGGATTCTTATCTTTCCCTTGCACTTCCCAAGGCACTCCACCGACTTGCCCTATCCGTTCATGCGCAATTTTGGGATCAGACACGTCCCGTGGTATTCTCCGTTGCTCCTCCCCCAGATAAGCTGCAGGGACGACTCCGTCAGCTCTTGCATCGGCGTTACTTTTAGGTAGATACCTCTTCTATACAGTATGGCAGATGTTACGACCAAAAGTGGAAACGATATGATGATAGTCTGATTGAGCACCAAAGTCAGCGCGCGTACAGGACCTGGAGCCATTGCAGGGCATCAATGAGGCAGCATTTACCCGTAGTCTCTTGGCGTCAGGGTTCAGAGGCGAGCCCATATTGCTTGCATCTGCTCTGGCGTGGTTACAGGTCTTGAGCAAATGAACACACGGCAACACCAGACCCAGTGCTCTCAGCTGCAGTGCATCGCATGGCGCGGCGAAACTTGGAAGTGGTGAACGCCGCCGCCCCCCGCTTGCTGCTTTCTTGCTGCTTTCTCACTTTTCTGTTGCTTTTCTGACATATTCCCACTCTCCAGAAGTCCCACTTCTTCCTCAAGGCAGTGCCCCGCTGGCCATACGTCTCTCTCCTGAACCCCCGGATCACCTCTCAGCTCTTCTCACAAACTATCTCTCCCCATTGTTCTTGACACTGATAGCCTTCGCGTGGTGTAAGTTCTTTTCTGACACTACTAACGATCTCACTCACCTATATGGTCCCATCAATCTGAGTCCCGGCTGACCTAGCACTCATCGTCCAGTGATACTCACAGTTCATCCAACATAGACCGCTCGTCATCATCCATCCAGCGCAGAGTAAGCGATCACCGTCCAACGTTGTCCTTGACTGGAGCTGACGATAGTCAGTATGAGCTATTATCCCAGAGATCTCTACAGGCCTGTCACTCGAGGATACTCGCCGGGACGACGCACCCCTCCAGACAGTCGAGGATCCGCTCCCGCCCCATACCGCCCTCCCTCTTACCACCGCTCCCATCCCACCTCAATCGCCTATCAGAACGCCTATCAAGACTCGTACCTTCCTCCTCCACCTCGATCGCCATACGGATACAGCTCGTCTCAATCAAGCGGAGGCTATGCCGATTCGTACGACCCTTACCAACCCTCTGCCTCTGCATACGACCCCGTCGCGCCCCAGATTACTTTACCTACCAACGGCAGCGCTTATCCACCACATCACTCTCTGCATCCACACACAGCAGATGTTACTCCGCGCCCATACCACGCCCCATCCACCCAAGCGCAGTCTTCCCCTTCTGTCGCAGTAGCCACTGAGAATGTCATCCGAACCCCGTCGACTACTGTTCAAATATCTGGCTATGCTGCCAACGTCTACACCTTACCACCTAGTCATCTGCCGCTGGTCAAGTATGTCTCGGCATACAAACAGGCTGCCTTCGACTTGCATCAACATCTAGCCTCAACAAACAACACCGTGTGGTACTCGGGCTCTTGTACGCGGGCCGGTGAAGCTTGGTCGACAGGTCTAGAGTGGGACACCAAAGATAAGCAGTCTGGGATCAAGACTCGTGGTGTCATCCCCGGCGGAGATTCGCTCGACGCAGAGCTGGGCGGGATCCTCAAATGCGTTGAAGGTTTTCAGGATGCTCTTCACAAGTCGGTCCGAAATGGGACGACTATCGCCAATGAGCTCGTCATCTTTTGTGACTCACAAGCTGCCATCGTCGGCATAGACTCATCGTCCCGACCTGAGGCCATCAGATTCGACCATTTGTGGCGCGAGATCTGCAACGAGTTTCTCTATGCCCATCTAACTCTTGCCTGGATTCCCCGTGACAGCGACCTCGAAGGCTATGTCCTCTCGAGCAAGATTGCGTCCACTTCTGCGGGCAACTCTTATATCAAGAAAAGGAAAGAGAAGGTGCTTTCCGAGAAGTACGTCCTACCGGGAACGAATGACCCAGAAGCTCCGGGTAGCACGGTGGGTGGACTTTGGCAGACCGGCAATGCGGACCCTTCCAAACCTCAGATACCTTATCGACGACCTGAGCCTGTACCTCCGAAAATAAGCGTGTCGCAGCCCGTGGAAGTTTCCGACATTCATCTGTCCGACAATGGGCACGAGACCATGACTCTTCCCCTGATTGATGTGAGCGAAGCCGAGGATGAGGGCATTCAGCCGAAAGAAGGGGCAATTTTCGTGACCCAGTGAGTCTATCGTCATCAGGCAATGACCTGACTGACAACATATACAGCTTTCCGGCAGAGGCCTCTGCCAAAGATATCGGAATCCTCTTTGCTCAGTATGGTGAAATGTAAGCGCGCCAAATGTTCTTGTCAGCCACAAATGCTCATATCATTGTTCAATAGCATTGCCGTCGACATCTTTCACATCTCGACTAACCACCCACGCTTCGCAAACGTCACCTACGCGAATCCAGATTCGGGGGCGTTAGCGATAGCAGGTCTAAATCGAAAGCCCATCTCGATGGAAAGTTCATTCGCGCAGGAGAATCGCGCCGATCTAGAAGTTTGGGAGCGGTGGGGCGGGCAATTGACTGTCGTCAAACATGAACCCCCAAGAGTCGTCCCTGCCAGCGTTGAAGGGTTCTTCCCGGACCTACCTGATTGGGCCAAGACGTATGGCGGCCAACAACAAGGGCAGGAATCCAGGACAGAGCTGCCGCAAAGCTCGGAAGACGTTGGTGGGAAGCGGGTGCGAGATGTTGAATCCGGAAATAATAGTCCTAGGAATGGAGGATCTCGCTCGTGGGTGTTGAATGTTTGAAAGCATGCGACTCCTTGTACTGACGTGTCCGTAGATTATCGGCTGAACCACAAAGTAAAAAGGCACGCTCGGGCCAGCAGTCGCCCTCACACCCTGTACCACATCATCAGCCGCCATCGAATGAACAGAACGGGCAGGTTCGTCGTCCTTCTATCCACCACGAACTGGCCCTCCCTCCTACTCCTCAAACAGCAGAACCTCCCCTTCCGGACGTCGTTTCGAAGGAAGGACGCTCCGCGCCTACCACCCATTTCGTCCCCGAAATGCCCGAAGACCCGATTACCGTGAGCGCCGAGACGCTTCGCATCCTAATCAGTACTGTCGTTGGTTCTTTGATCAATCATGATATTGGCAATTGGGTCGTGCACGCTTGTGTCATTACCCAGAGTATAGACAAGGTTGCGTATCAATTACAGGGCGACCTGGCTGCCATCAAAGAGTATGATGGTGTTTCCCGAGAGCACGAACGCGTATTGGGCAGCCGCGGATTTGTGCCGTCGAGGATAGATGAATTTGTGGAAAAGGTGTTGAGGGTGTTGGATGGAATAGCTGCGGCCGAGGAGACGGCGGCCGAGACCTCTCCCAAAGACACCGTCCAAGCTTTGACCACCAAGCTGGATAAGCTTCTGGAGCCGTTCCCCCTGCCCTCCAAAAATGCTATGAAGGACGCGGGTAGGCTGTTAGAGTATCTTGTGCGAGGCAAAGCTGCCCAAGAAAAGAGACGGCTTGAGTTGGAGAGGAGGGTCAAGGTCATGGAAGGGATGATCAAGGTCGGCGACGTAGTGGGCGGCGTGGTGAGGTACCTCTTGACTGAAGCTTGAGCAGACATATTACATGTCATGTGGGCAGCCTCGTGTGATATAATGTTATGTATGTCATGCATCATTACTTCATCGCAAAAATCGGGTCAAGGGTATCACTATCTATCTGGTACAAATGGTTGGCTTGAATGATTCGAAAGGTTTTTATCAAGCTACTGAAAGAAAATGCTATGAGGTAATGGAACAATGGTCTTGTTTGGCTTTTCTACTCCTCCATGAGCCTGTCTGCGGACTCATCAAAGTCAAGCCCAGAGTCGTATCCGTTTTCTGACAGATCGTCAACACGACAAGCAATTGCTGTGAAGAGTAAAACTCACCAGAGTCGGGTAGAGGAGGCGGCACATTACACAATTCGCAGTCCCAGTCTTGAGTATGCTGTTCGTTGCAAGGTGGGCACATCATCTGTACCCTATCCGGGTGCATTGGACGCTGAAGGGAACAGAGCAGTCTGTCGATACTGGCAAAGTTTTCGTCGTTCTGAGCAAAGCGCCTGTGCTTCTTGGATGCAATGTGCTTGAAGCAAATCAGCGTCTATACAGGGTCATCAAGCACCACACTTACCACAGAAAGGTCCGAGTACTTTAATCGACAATTTTCACAATAGCCTGCCGCAGAATCCTGGTCTCTCCCCTTGAGCCCCATCTCGACCTTTTGCCTGTTTGCCATCCTGTCGGCGACTGACACAGCTTCCTCGTCCACGGGTTCTCGCGCCTGCCGCAGCATGCGAATGACCTGATCTTGACTGAGGAATGCCTTGGGCGTGTCTATTGTCTGGCTCATGCTGCGACGGCGGTCCAAAGACGTGGGCGCGGATGTACCCAAAGACGAAAAGGAGGACTCTTTGGGCACTCGGGCAGCAGCCAGTCGCGCATTGCCTTTGAGCACTTGGACACGTTTGGACATTTGCATAATTGCCCTGTCCTTGTTTGAGCCCAAGGTGGGCATGCCGCCCGCAAGAATGGGTGTATTGGGAGTGGAAGTCGAGGCAATGTTGGATGTGATGACGACACTGTTGCCGGAAGCATCCTGATAGGCATTGGCGTCAGGAAGGTCGGGTAGCCTAGCTGTCGATGACAGGGCACGGAGGGAGGTCGAGCGCTGGAGGTCTCGGGGCTGCTCTCCCCCGTACGGTTGCCGCTCTGCATAGAGTCTCCATGCCCTCTCCCGTAGCTTGCTAGGAGGCACCGAACCCTGGTTGGCAGACGAGATGCGCAAGAAAGTACCGTACAGGCAGGGCCACTCGGGCCCGTCCCTGGCGTTGTAAGTGTACTCTTTGACCATAATCGTGCGATGCTTGCTTGTAGCATCCTCGATGAGTAGATGTTTATTGCCGGGCTTGAAGTAGTAGTGATCGGGCCGGGGGGCTGTCGCGTCACGTTCCCGCGTACCATGAATGCGCTCATCTTCGAGGAGGGTGGATAGTGAATTGTTGTTGACCACGGGCGATTCAACGGGAGCGACTCTGGAGAGAATGTCGGACAGTTCTGATGTGCGTGGTCAGCCTGTGGCCACATCAGACAAACCAACTCACTCTTGACGGACCAGACCTTCATGTGCAGCTCGGCAGCCTTATGAGCGAGGTCTGTGGTGCCTCCAGACTCCAAGAAGGGATTCCTAGCATTATCGCTATTGCGAGCTTGACTGAGCGGTTTCGTCTGTTTTTGTGGCGAGCCAGATTCCTTGACGATGCAATGGGTGACTCGCGTAGAGAAAAATTGCTCCACTTTCTGTAAACCATATTAGCTTGAGTCCCACTGATCCAATCAAGGCGACTCACCGCTCCCATCTTGATCACCCGGCTCCTCAGCGTCTTGCCCGGACCTTCCTCGGCCCCGATCTCAAAGTAGAATATCAAGGTAGGGAACGCCTTCACCCAGCTACGCGTCCACTTGTCTTCATCCGCCTTGCTGACTTTGCCGTTCGACGCCGATACGCCATCGCGTTCATTATTCAACTTTGTTCGTTTCGCGGCTACAGGTGTACCACCGGTAGCCGGCGCCTGTCGCTTCTGTGAAGTCGCCAATGGCTTGCTAGCATCATCCTTGGCTACGACCTTCTTCTTTGCTTCCGGCGATTGGGCCCTCTTGTTGGTGGTGCTGTGGTGATTCGTCACGGTAGCCAACACCTGTCTGTTAGGCGTCGACGCCTTGGATGCGACCGGGTTGATGCCCTTGCGCCACTGGCTAAAGATGTCTCCCGATTCTTCCTTGCCTGAAAGCACCCTGTGCCGAGGCTGCTGTCTGGCGTCGTTGGTCGAGAGCACCGACATGGCGGTGTTGGTGCGTGGCGCGCGGGGAGTGTTGGTACGCGTGACGAGGAAGGGGTCTGAGAATTCTTCTCGGGCGATGAGGGAAGACATACTCCCGGTCCCATGGGCGAGTGGCTCTGCAAGACAGGGGGCGGAGAGGGCAGGGGGACGGGGAGAAAGATGAGGAGAAAGACAGAGATGGATAGACAGGGAAATAATCTTATATGGCACAAGGCGCGTCAACACTCCCACGTGCATTTGATCCCGCCCGTTCCTCGACGCGTCTGAAATGTTGAACAACGGTAGGTATACAATATGCATCCCTCTAGATATTGAGATACTCTCGCACAGCGTCAGGCAGATATTCAGGATAGTTGGACGGCAGGTCGGTCCTTCGTTCATATATGGCCGCCGAGGCTTCTTGCCCCTCCATGCTCTTCTGGACGGCGTCCACCTCATCCATCACGCGCATGAGGTTGCCTCCAATAAGCCCAATCAGCTCTTCATCCGTCCATCCCCGGGCGTATAGTTCGGCGATGAGGTCGGGGTATTTGCTAGCGTCTTCAAGTCCTCTGACTGCGTGTTCCATGCCGTCTAGTGTCGTGTCAGCAAGTGCCATAACGCCCGAACATAGCAGCCAAAGATGAGTGAGGGAGGGAACGCACCAAAGTCAGAAGCGATCCCGACGTGGGCTTTGCCGCATTTTTTGGCCAGATACTCGATATGGTCTGCGACCTTGACCAGACAAGGGTCGACGGGGTCGGTGAATTCGGGGTAAAAGACACATTGCCTGTGTAGTAGCAGGTCAGTGATGGGAGAGAGATGTGACAAAAGGTGAGCCTACACAACGCCACTGTTTTTTCCGGGTCCGCTTCCGACCATGTCCAACACATCATCCGGTACGTTTCGAGGGTGGTCGCACACAGCGCGGGCGTTGGAATGAGAAAAGATGACCGGGGCTTTGGACACTTGGATGGCTTGGCGCATAGTCTCGTCCGAGACGTGGGAAATGTCGACCATGACTAGACTCTGTCAGCCATGTACACGCCTTGCAGGATGTCACTCACTCCCCAGTCGATTCATCTCCTTGATCAGTTCACGGCCGAGATCAGACAGACCGTTGCCAGGATGGACAGGCTCAAGTGGCTGACCCGATCCCGCAGAAGACGCGAAAGCTGCCGTTCAATTAGGGCTGAGGTGATAGGAGTGTGGGGACATACCGTTGTGGTACGTGTGCGTAAGGGTCATGTAGCGTACACCCAGCTGGGCCCATATTCTCAGAACCGACAGCGAGTTGCCTAGCATATGGCCTCTGCGCATCAACGTCAGTATCCGGCCAAGGGTTGTACTACAACTTGCCCCTCGACTCCGATCATGGTCGCGATTTTGCCCGCTCTGAACGCATCGCGAATATCTTGCGAGCTACGAGCGTATTGAAAGTCCTACATTGCGCGGGTCAGCCGACAATACAAGACAGCAACAGTGAGGCTGACCGATTCCTTCATCAGAATCTGCACGAGGTCAATGAGCTCGAGGGCATCCCTGACATCGTTGGAAGGGTTCAAAAAGTCGTCCCCGGGGCGAACCGGGAGCCAGCAGCTCATGAAAAGTCCACCCAGTTTGCCTTGTCGCATCCTGGGGACATCTACATGGCCGGGAAACGTCTCTCTGACGAGCTTGACGGTGCGCAAGGGCTCTCTATCTGGAGTTGTAGTCAGCTTGAGTGGGAGTTGCAGCGTGCAGCGAAGGACTTGCCCAAGGCTCTCATGACATAGGGCAGATCGACGTGCGAGTCGATGAGGGGATGCTGGGCGAGGAGGCCGAGGGCCCTCTCGAGGTTTAGCTGGGTGTCTTTCTGGGTGGCCATGGTGCGCAGAGTAAAGGTGAGCGCTGTTTGTTGTTTGTTGTTTGTACAAGAGTGCGATAAGCAGGCGATAAGCAGGCGAGATTGGGTTCGGCGGCCGGCGCCACACACATGTTGGATGTTGCATTCTCCGCCAGTCCGCCTCGACTCTTGCTAGTTGCTACGTAGTATTGCCGAATCGCGTTACAGCCACGCTGCGGTAGAGGTGGGCTGGCTGGGCGGCAGAGTGATCAGAGACCAGAGTCAGAGTCAGTCGTAGGCGTACCGCTCTACCGCATGCGCTCCACCAGCGGTGGGGCGCTACATACTATGATGAAAATCGAAGCTTCCAGCAGCAGGATGACGCGCACGCCCTGCATATGACGGATGGCTCGAGGCACTCTGTTGATCCATACATACAACCCTCCGCCGCGCTGGAATCTGCCCTGATCCATGACGTCACAGCCTCCCTTGACGTAAACCCTCCACCGGCCCCGATCAGCACTTGCACAAACAGACGCAGAGGCAAAAAACGCATATATAAACCCCGCCACTTTTCTTCTTCTCTCCATCCACAACACAACTACCACAACACCATGGGAAACATTATCAGTGCCATCGCCGGCGCCCTCAACGCCATCATCTCTGCCATCGCCTCCTTCTTTATGGCCATCTTCAGCGGTATCGCCTCCGTCCTCATTGCCATTTGGAACTTCAGTGAGTCCTATCCACCCCGTCCGGTGTTTTTGCTGACCCTTCATCAGTCACTTGTGGATGTTGCTCTGGCGGACGAAGAGGAGGAGCCAGGACCATATAGAGGGTGTTGGACACAAGTAAGTATCGCACTTGACACATCCAACACGAGACTGACTCTTGCTGCAGAATCCGTCGAGGCAACTCGTCCATCACCCTTTCACATGCCTCCAAGTCTTAGAATCACACTCCGCTAGAATGTCTGCGTCGCCTCGCTTGAATCAAGTATAATACCTGTTATGACCTTTTACGAATGAATCAGTATTCTTCTTAATGTTCATTGTTCCTTGTCCTTCTCAACATTTCATTGTCGTGCCCGTTACCCAACATGCTGTACTGATGAGCCTCGGCCTGGCTCCGTGCTAGGAGCCAGCACAGGCCCACAACGTCACGATCACCTTGACACCTTCCCTGATCTCCCCGACCCGATCAAAGCTTCATGTTCAATTGATGCATCATTATCCCTGGGATAAGCTGATTTTTAATGACTCTCTACAATCCACTGCTTAGAGCTCGTCGTGACCACCGAAAGGCATCTCCTCGTCGTAGGCGCTGCCACCGCCACTGTACAAGTTGGAAGTGATGGGCTAGAAATGACGGTCAGCTCGATATCCACGACGCTCTTGCAAGTACTCACAGCGACAGTAGCCTGGAGCTCAGAGAGCTGCTCCTCGTAGTCCTCGGCCTCCGCCTGGGGGTGCTCCTCGAGCCACTCAGTCTTCTCCTTGATGGCGGAAAGAATAGTGTCCTTGTCATCCTCGGAAAGCTTGCCACCGAGACCCTCGGCGTCGCCAACCTGAGACTTGAGAGAGAAGATAAAGTCTACCCCGCGTCAGCTCATCACTCGGCGCGCTATCATATCACTCACTCTGGAGACCGTTCTGGGACTCGATCCTCTTCTTGACCGCGGCGTCCTCGTCGGCAAACTCCTCCGCCTCCTGGACCATGCGCTCAATCTCCTCGGGGGAGAGTCGTCGCTGGTCGTTGGTGATGGTAATGGACTCGGTCTTGCCAGTGCCCTTGTCGGCGGCAGAAACTCGGAGGATACCGTTGGCTATACCACATAAGCAAACAACCTTAAAGCAGACACCGACACTCACCGTCAATCTCAAAAGTGACCTCGATCTGAGGGACACCTCGGGGAGAAGGAGGAATGTTGTTGAGGTCGAATTCACCAAGCATGTTGTTGTCCTTGGTCATTGATCGCTCACCCTCGAAGACCTGGATCCTGACGGTGGGCTGGTTGTCGGCGGCGGTAGAGAAGATTTGAGACTTCTTGGTGGGCACAACAGAGTTTCGCGCAATGAGCTTGGTCATGACACCACCGGTGGTCTCGATGCCAAGGGTCAGGGGGCAGACATCGATGAGGAGGACATCGCTGCTTCCGGCCTCGCCAGAGAGAATACCACCCTGGACAGCGGCACCGTAGGCAACGGCCTCGTCGGGGTTGATACCCTTGGAAGGCTCCTTGCCGTTGAAGTACTCCTTGAGAAGCTGCTGGACCTTGGGGATACGGGTAGAACCACCAACGAGCACAATCTGATAGCGAGTCAGCACATGCCCAGAAAAAAAGACAAACCACTTACGTCGTCGACCTCGTCCTTCTTGACACCAGCGTCCTTGAGGACCTGCTCGACGGGCTTCATGGTCTTTCTGAAAAGGTCCATGTTGAGCTCCTCAAACTTGGCTCGGGTGAGGGTCTACAAGCACGTCAGCAACGAAACCTCACAACACTAGGATAAACTCGCCTCGGCAAAGTCGTTACCGCTCTCGAAAGCCTCGATTTCAATCTTGGTGCTCATCTGGCTGGACAGAGTTCGCTTGGCCTTTTCGACCTCACGCTTGAGTTTACCCATAGCCCTGTTGTTCTTGGAAACGTCGACGTCGGTCTTCTTCTTGTACTGCTTGACGAGGTACTCGATGACACGGTTGTCAAAGTCTTCACCACCAAGGTGAGTGTCACCGGCAGTAGCCAAGACTTCAAAGACACCGTCCTCGATAGAAAGAAGGGAGACATCGAATGTACCACCTCCGAGGTCGTACACAATGATCTGGGACTCTTTCTTGGTAGATCGGTCAAGACCGTAGGCTGAGATACATCAGCTTGGTCTTGGACTAGATGCAAAAAAAGACTTACCGATGGCGGCGGCGGTGGGCTCGTTGACGATACGAAGAACAGTAAGACCGGCGATGGTACCAGCGTCCCTGGTGGCAGATCGCTGTGCGTCGTTAAAGTAGGCGGGCACAGTCACGACGGCGTGAGTGACCTTGTGGCCAAGGTAGGCCTCGGCAGTCTCCTTCATCTTGACGAGAACCATGGCAGAAACTTCCTCGGGAGTCTAGAGTTCGTTAGCTCAGGAACAATCCAAGTATACCCGTCCACTCACAAAGTCTCGGAGGTCGCCCCTGTGGTTGACCTGGATCATGGGCTTGCCCTCCTTGCTGACAATCTTGAAAGGCCAGTGCTTCCTGTCACGAGTGACATCGGGGTCGCTAAAGTATCGACCGATGAGTCGCTTGGCGTCAAAGACAGTGTTCTCGGGGTTGTTGGGGGCCTGGTTCTTGGCGGCGTCACCGATGAGACGTTCCTCTTCGGTGAATGCGACCCATGAGGGGGTGATACGGTTTCCTTGGTCGTTGGCGATGATCTCGACCTTTCCGCCTCGCTGGACACTGTGGAGCGGTCAGCTGTGCCTCGTGACCGCGATCGTTGTTTTGGACTTACGCGACACAAGAGTAGGTGGTTCCCAGATCAATACCAATAACAGTACCTACGTCCTCCTTGTCCTCGGCGCGCACGCCGGCAGGGAGGAAGCAGAGGAGGGCGACGAGGACAAAGGCGATGAGGGTGAGCTTGCTCATGAGGGAGGAGGCTGTTGAGGGCCGCTTTGGGCGGGATGCGAGGGAGTAGGTCATGGTGGCGAGATGAGATGATGACGAGAAGAAAAGAAAGAAGAGTTGGACAACGGCGCGAGGAGTGCCAGCGTGGCAGTGACGGCGACCTCCACCGTACCTTCCAGCAACTTCCCCGACGCGCTTTTCCTTATTTCGTCCCCCACGTGGCCCGCTCACTGTCCATCACCGCCGCCTGCCGTCAGCCACGCCATTGCACCGCCAGCCAGCATGTATAGCACCGTCCAGAGGCTCAACCACCTCTCCTCCCTCGCCACCACCTACCTCCTTGCCCTCCTCGCCCTCGTCTCCCTCGCCTCCTTCCTCGCCCAGCCTCCAGTCTCCGTCGGCAGCGTCCATGTCAAAGACCTCATCCTGTCCGTCGCCCGTCTCATGCTTGCTGCCCGTCTGACGCGTTGATATAGTACCAAGGGCCGGCTCAACCGTTTGGGAGCAAGGCCAGAAGAGCTGGCGTCTCTGCGCTTCGACATCCGTACCGACCTGAACCCTCTTCTCAACTCGTACAATACCAAGCAGCTCTTTGTATACCTCACCGCGACTTACGAAGAAGAGTCGTCTTCAGCGGTTCATGACGTGGTCCTCTGGGATCGGATCATCACGCGGTCGGACACGAGGGACATCAGAGCTGTAGGAAAGCAGCTGCCTCGCAGCAACAGGAAGAAGGGAAGGGGTAATGTGCGAGTGGAAGATGGCAAGAACAAGTATCAATGGCACAACCCATCGCATACTTTCAAGTAAGTCATCTGTCCATCCCACATTCTTCATGGTGCTCATGCGTCTCACAGGGACATTCCAACAGCAAACTTTACCCTCCACTATTCCCTGATGCCATATGTCGGCGTACTGTCCTCTGGCGTGGCCGCGGTTGCCGAGGGGCCGGTCGCTATTCCCGAGCTTATAAAGAGATGATGATGTGGGTTGCCCCTGGGATGATATCTGGGTTGTGGGCTGATGTATAGCGTAGACATTGTACAAGTAGGCTGCATAGCATGTATAATCGGCGCATGGCCATGGCTATTCAACTTTGTGCTCACAGCTGCTCGATATTCTGCTACATTCAAATGTCATTTTCGGCCTTATACTGGCACCAAGAAGTCATTCAAACTCGAAGTGACCCAAAAGTCAAGTGAGTGAAGCATAAGCAGATGGGCAACCAGTTCGCTCTGATCATCCACGTATTACATTGCCATCAAGAGTAGTGGGAGTAGCTCAGTGGTAGAGTAGTAGATTGCAATTGACATGATCGCAAGTATCTATTGGTCCTGGGATCAACCCCCAGTTCCCACTTTCTTTTTGCTTTTTGATCTTGTGTACAAACAGCCAGCGATGGCCTCGTTCATGCCAGGACGCAATATACGAATGCATATGACATCGCTCTTATTGTTTTGCTGATATCGGAGCCAGGCGCATCAAGAAGATGGCGTGTCATCTTGGTGATAGAGCTGAATGATCCTTGACCCGACTCTCATTGACAAGAAAGAAGCAATCTCACAAGTCCATGATCATGTCGCCTAGGCATCAAGACCCACCACATCGGGGTGATCAGTAACCAAAACAGGTCGCCTATCAAGCAGCATACATTCACCTGACCGAATCGACGCATGAACCAACTTGGGCCCAAATACTATAGTGTGTCTCGCTGCTCAACCATGATCGACCAGCAGTGAATTATTACTTGATGGTTTGTAGATTTCGAGTGGAAGATAGCCAAGTCGCTGAAGGTGCGAAGCAAGAAGGAAAGCAATACAAAAAGCAAAAAGAAAGTGGGAACTGGGGGTTGATCCCAGGACCAATAGATATTTGCGATCGGAACAATTGCAATCTACTACTCTACCACTGAGCTACTCCCACAACTGATAACTTTTCCTTTTTGCAGCATCCTGGAGCAGATTACGAGTGAGCTCGATACGCCTCTTGCCGTCCACATACCACTATACCACTACCCCCTCTTTGAACGTCGGGACAGTAGGACTATGCATGCTGCGGTCTATAGTACAAAGTTTTCCGCAGATGGGATATCGAATCTGATATACAGCGGGGGTATCGTATCAATGATGCGAATTTTGGCATGAGCCGGCACTACCGAAAATGCAGGAAATCGTTCGCCCTCGGAGAGAACGTATTAGAACTATAGATAATTGATATTATAAAGTCTTGATGAGTATGGGAAAACTATCGGTACAGTTGTCATTTGATGGATCTCAGACTCTGGAAGTTGCAGCCGCGCGCTCAAGAGGACTGAGCACTTTCGATGACGTGATGCTGGGGCCGCTGATGGCTGGAGTAGATCTAGATGTGGAAGCGGATGCGATGGACCGATTTGATCGTTGTTGGCGATCACGGGCGAGCTGCCACTCTGGTATTTGTCTTGCGACTTGTGCACGGTCAGCAAAGGTTACACAATGGCCAGCCCACTCACCAGTGACACGCAGCTCCTTGCCGGTAAACTTGGCATTCACGGATCGGAGATTGGCGTCTTCTCCCAACTTGATATCCCATTGCGCGTGGTCTGGTGGCAAACCGTCAGCGACATTGGTGAGAGACGCGGCGAGCCAACTCACCTCCTTCATCCCATTGATCAGCGACAATATGTATGGTCCTATGACCTCTTGTGGCAATGGTAATGTTGTCTAGTCTGATACGGTCGCGTCAGTTGTGACTTTGACAAACGATGAGCTACTCACGAGAAACCGGGGAGCCAAACCAGAATCTCGTAAGCAGTGGGAATACTCTTGATGGCGATTCTCCCTTCAGACCCCTTGATGACCTCTATCCATTCATTGTCCACACCTTCGAAAAGCTCGGGGTCAAAATCATCAAGATTGACATCGGGACGTTCCTCGCCAGAACCCAGGGACATGGCGCGACCGGCATACGTGTTGGTGACCGCAGGAGGTCGAGCCCATCTTGGTGGGGGAGGAGTGGGAGGTGCCTTGGTAGAGTTGGCGCTGTTGCCAGACGATGACGATGCTGTGCTCGCAGAGGATATTGATGGAGGGGCGAGGGCGGAACAGGACGAATTGCGCCTCCCTCGAGAGTAGAACGACAGAGGGTATCCCACGGGCGGTGAGATGGGTGCAGAGATCTCGCAGCCTGACGCGGGCGAATGCGACCGTGTCAGACTGCTACGGCTCTGTGATGAACTGTGCGACTCTGTAGATTGCCGGGGGAAGGCAGCTGAAGGGGGTGCGCCAGGGGCCGATGACCTGGAGGCAGTCGGCTGGTGCTCCTTGGGCGAGGACTGGGACAGAGGGGGGACGTTGTTGAGGGCGGTAAAGCTAGGAAATGCGTCCTCGGAGCGGGGAGCGTTGGGAGGGGTATCGAGACTGTTGGCAGAGCGAGGCATGTGGTCAGCTGTGGATACTATGCAGCATTCCGAGTGCAGAAAAGACGGGCACATGACGGATCGGCTTGGCGAATCAACGAGTCACCACGCTAATAACAAAGGATGGCCCCATACGGACGTCCTGTGTGCCAGTGGCAAAGTCCTGAACGCGCATCCTCGACGACCAGGATTGCCACCCCTGTTGCACGCCACATGTGGCTGTGAGGGGGATGGCGGTATGGACCGTATGACCGTATGCACCGTATGCACTGTATGCACTGTATGACCGTATGGGGCATGGACCCTGGCTCCTGCACTCAACATGGCAGACAGGGACACGCGGCAACTAGCCACACTCGAGACTCGACGGAACCTACCTGGCATGTTTCTTCCTGTAGCTTCCTGCGCGCTTCAACGACGGCGTCCTCGACAGCGTGGAGGGAATATCGTTGGACCCGTGCCGAGCCATGCTACTGCTCATTGTATACGGCTCGTCAAACAGCTCGTTCCGCCTCGCCACGGCTCCTGCGGCGAGGGGCCACACGGGCGGCCCGACCTCTGCGCGAGGGGTGCTTTCGCCCTTCGAGTGGCCAGTACTGGACGTGGTCGAGCCGGACGGAGAGGTGTTTGCTGGGGGGTGCACGACTTGGGGCAGGCAGTCTGATGGCGGCAGGTCGGGGGTGGAGAGATGGGGTTCTGGGGACGAGGCAGCGGCGGAAGAGGAGGTGCTCTCTGCGGACAGGTTGCGGTGGGGGGGCGGGGGCTGTGTGCGCATGCTGGAGGAAGAAGCTGACAAGAGAACAAGCCGACAAGAGAACAAACAAGCCGACAGGATAACTCGCCATCTCGACAACAACGCATCCTCAAATTCCTCCCCTATCCGGGCACCCACTTACCGCGGTGACGTATGTCTCGGGCGGCGGAGAGCCGAAGCCCATTCCCGACAGGCACGCTCCTCTTCTTTTCTCTTGTCTAACGATCAAGATGCAGGTCAGGCTGCGAGGTCCCCAGGGGGTGTCCACCCTCGAGCTCGACCCGGAGAGCACCGTGCACCACCTCCGCGCTCTCGTATTCGCCGCCACCCACATCCCTCCTCCCCAGCAGCACAGTACGTACCACCTCCCAGTACGTCCACCCTCCCCCGCTCATCTATCCAGTCAAGTACGGCTATCCCCCCAAACCCCTCCCAGATAATACACCCCTGCTCTCGTCCATACCCATCACCAACGGCGAGCAGTTCATCGTGTCTGCAGTACCCGCGGCTATCACATCTGAGCCAGCCCCGCCAATGATACCTGCCCCCAAGATAGAAGGCCCAGACAGCGTAGCCTTGCCCGGAAGAGACGCCGGCTATCTCCAGCTCAGGGTCGTCCCCGATGACAACTCGTGTCTCTTCTCTGCCACTGCGGTAGTGTTTGAAGGCGGCATCGATGCAGCCCAACGCCTGCGGACCGTCGTAGCAGAAGCCATCAGGGCAGACCCGGAAACCTATTCCCAAGTCATGCTGGGGTACGCAGAGACTATATCGTGAGGTATTCGCTCACTGTATGGCAGAATGCCTCGAGACGAGTACATCAGGCGCATTTTGAAGCCCGAGACTTGGGGAGGAGCAATCGGTGAGCAGGCCAGCCATCACATCATCATCAATCTGACACTTGTCCACAGAGCTTTCAATCTTTGCAAAACAGCGAGTTGCGAGCACCACCAGTAGCGCTATACTGATACCAAGTCTAGCTACAAGACTGAAATTGCTTCATTCGATGTCGCTACCGGTAGATGCGACAGGTTTGGCCAGGACCAATACGACTCTCGGTGAGTACTCCATGCCACGTTCCTTCTGACCCTCTATAGATGTCTTTTGGTCTACTCTGGTATTCGCAAGTCTTTCCCTCCTGTCCCGCCGACTCTGCTGACAAGTACCAGACTATGACGCCATTACCCTCTCCCCACTCCCCGTATCGCCCCCAGACTTTCACACCTCGGTCTTTCCCTCTGTCGACCAGACCATCCTCTTGACTGCCGACAATCTCGTAGCCCAACTCCGTGCCCGACACTATTACACCGACACGTCCAACTTTGATCTGAGATGTGGCGTTTGTAAGCAGGGCTTGAAGGGCGAGAAGGGTGCGACCGAGCATGCTAAAAAGACTGGGCGTGAGTGTGACTCGGGTCAGGTTGCTGCTTTGCTAATTGCCGATAGACGTTGAATTTGGAGAGTACTGATGTACCAATACACCATACTAGCAGATCAAATGCACTCCATCATCTCTTTTCATTGTCCCTCTAATACACCCAGTTCAATACCCAAAGCCCCAAAATGACCAGCCCCAACTTGACCGATGTATGTCTCTGCGCCAGATCCCCTATATTCCTCGCGACGCTCAAAACAGTCTGGTCTTTCCACGCTCGATCCGATGGCGCATAGCCCTCCGCCGTCCGGTTGGATAGGGAGGCGGCTGTGGCTGCCATCCACTGCAAATCTGTCAGCTTTGGCCGCCCAGCGGCAGCATAGACTACTCACATGAGGCCAACTCTCCCTTCTACTTTCCAGCACCTGCTCTCCCCGATCTCCCGACTCCCCCTTCGGATGGTTCATCATCGGTATACTCTCCGGCACGCCACCCTTCGCCCCGTCAATCGGACCTTCTACAATAGCCTCCACCGCTTCCGTCGCTGTACTCGGCCCCGCTTGGCCGCTCGACGGCCCTGGCCCACTCGCAGTCGCCGGAGGGGGCAGGCTCTTCTTCTTGCCTATCAGCCATTCGGTGATCTCGCCGGTCGCACCCGAGACGCGGTAACTGAGCCATATGAAGCATACCGTGGAGACGACAAGATTGACAGGTCGCCATTTGGTAGTAGGCACCACGAGGAGAATGGCTTTGGTATCTGAAGCCAGCCAGCCGTGGAACTGCAGGATGAACGTCTCCAACGAGCATTGTCCGATAAAGCAAAAGACGGTGCTGGTGCAAGACCGCAGTGTCGGGGAGGCATTCCGTAAAAATACAAAGGCCAGAATGGGCACAACACATACCACCGGGTGGTACCCATTGTACACAAACTTGTTGGCAAGATGCAGTTCAAACCAGAAATACCAAACCATGCTCAACGCGCTACCGGCGAGAACGCCCGCGCGAGCATTGTTGAACCAAGGCCGGTCGGCCAGCTGATACTCTTTGAATTTGATATAGGCGTAGGCACAGAGCATGCCTGCCCAAACGATAAACAGGTCGAGTGTGACTCGGAAACTCCACTCCTTTGCCGACCATTCGATTTTAAAGACGGCGTTCAGCACTTGAAACACGCTCCCCATGAGCGAAGTGTAGTGCATGAACAGCGTCACCGCGCCCGCACAAGCAAATAGCTTGGAAAGCAGGAATGCGGGGCGCTCGTTGTACTTGGAGCCGATGCTCATGGTGGTGTAGATGATCATGTACCACCAGGAGACCAGGGGGGCAAAGTAGTAGAAGACGTAGTCGGTGTTCATGGTGTAGGGGAGGACCACGGAAAGGAGGTTGAGGCGGACGAGAACCATCGCTACTCGTTGGAAGCCAAAGTTGGCTTTTTTGTAATCTGCGCAGGGTTAGTGGGATCTCGCGGACAATTTGACCGTCTCACAGAAGAAGAAATGTCCGTCTGGGGCAGATGTCAGCTGGGAATACGGTGCGAAACAATTTGGCTCACATCCAGTCATAAACAGGTAGGAGGCAACCAAAACTCTAATGGGGTTGTATATTCCCGAAATCTTGGAAGCACCAAAAAAGTGGTATATCAGAATGGCAACTGTTCCTGCGTCAGCTTGAAGCCGCCAGCCGACTCTCCTCACTCACTTTGCATCCACCCCTTCCACTCATCCGTAATGTCACGGTTCAAAAAGCCCAAGTCTTTTCCACTGTTCTTTAGTGTCCCCAAACCGACAATCAATGCAATCAACGTGATCACCCCAAATACCCAAGCATCAAAGTCCTTCTGTTCCTTCTGGAAGACGTGGGTGCGGTCCGCGAGGAAGAGGTAGCCCATGGCGAGGCCAAAGGTACTGAGGGCGGGGGCAGTGTTGGCTGATGGAAGGTAGTTGTGGATGGGAGACTTGGGGTCTGCAAAGGGTTGGCAAAGTCTCACATGATGACAGCAACTTACGAAGTCTCGGGGCAAGAAGAATACTCAGCGGAGCATATAGCACCATAATGACTAGGATAAGTCCCTGAATGGGAGTCACCCAGTCATATCTCTTGCAACAAGTGCCGGTTGCCCCTTCATCCCTCATCACATCGTTACACCTCCACCCCAAAAGCAACTCTGCCTGCTTGTTCATGATCCTGTCTGAGAAATGAAGGCCATCCTCGGTTTCCTCATCGACCAAAAGCTGGTTGAATACGGATGGGATGATGATGGGAGGCGGGTCGGGATGGGTGAGACGAGCGTAGAGATCGGCGTTCATGGCTTCGACATCAGTGTGGAAGATGCTCTCCGCTCGCGACGCAGAGAGCCTCGCTTGCACCGGTATGGGGATGGGGAGGACGACGATGGCGTCCGAGATTGAAAAGTCGGAAGCGCCAGACGAGCTTGGAGGAAAGGCCCTCGCATCGACATCTCTTTCAAAATCTCTGCCATGATCAGCGACCTTTGGGTTGGGTAGCAGTCCCGGAAGGGTGACTCCTGACCCTAATAGCTTATCATCCCACGGGTTTAACAGTGCAGTGCGAGGAGATCCCTGATTCAGTTTGAGATGTTCAAACGTATCATGAATCATGCCTCCCCAGGCAGCGAGACCGCCGGATGACGGGTTGCGGAGGTACCATAGTCCAGACCCCATGACCAGCAAGGATGTCGGATCGGTATGGCCGCTGCCAATAAGACTCGTCGTCTTGGTCGAATTGAGGTATGGATCCCTGCGCTAAGCTTAGCGTACGCTGTAGACGGACAGACAGTAACTGACCACCAGAAATCTAGCTCCAAGGACGGACCTCCGGATGGGTCAGCTACAAGTAACGTCCTGTCTGTATGCTTCTCTCCCTCCGACTCCCAAGCCTTGGACGTCTTTCCGATCTTCCGGGCTGCTGCAAAATACAGCTGCCTGACTGTCGAATCGCCGACAAACAGGGCGGTACGCTTCTCACTGTACGAGTCACGAAGAGATGATTGAGTATAGAGGGCGGATGATGCAAGGCATTGCTGCCAAGATTGTGCGGAAAGTGGTTGTTGAAAGCACCCTAGCGAGCGATGAGCGAGGTTTGGATCTGGGCCTCGTCTGATTCATACCTTCTGGTTGCCAGTTGGTATACGTGCCGGGATCCAGCCATTTTCCAGTGTTGAGCATTGCTGAGCAGTGGTAGGGATCTTGCCATTCTGGTGTGGGTATGGGTATGGGCTTGCCTTGAAAGAATGAAGCACGCACCGAGAAAAGACCATCTCAAGATGTTGCCCAGGACGGCAGCGGCAAGGAGGGTGGCTGAGGCGTAGGTGTACCACAGAGGGTTCATCCTTGGCGCTGGCCTGCTCCTCGAGGGCTGTGAGTTGCTGCCAGGCATGGGAGGGGCGAATGAGATGCAGTACTGGAATATTATATATATATATATATGAAGGGTGTCATAGAGGGTTTACGTAACGGCGCGTCGCGTTGCTCTCTTGGTTGTTGTCTGAGTCTCCGCTCAGATGCCCCGTTCAGCGATGCCCCCCCCTGGCCGCCCCTCCTCCTCCCCCTTTCCGCTCCCAACACAGCCCCTCAGGAGGACTCGCCAGTCTCTCGCAGCAGACCCCCATGTCCCTTCCTCATCTCCAGTCCGCCGCGCAACCCGCTCGGGGAGGAGAAGGCCGAGGGACGAACTCGAGGAGGAGGACGTCGTGCCGCCCAGTGATGACGACGAGTACGAAGAGTGGAGAGACAGACGCGCTGCAAAGAAAGCCAGAGAAGATAGTGTAGGTGCTTCGAGTCCTACTCATGCCAATAGGCATCGGCAGCTGGCTCAAGCAAAGTCTTTACCGACGCGTCCACAGCCAAAGAAGCCTGATAAAGACAGCACTGTGAGTCAATCCTCACGTACTGTGCGTGCACTGACGGCGACAAAGCAGGCAGTGCGGGCAACCCCAAGTCGCCCAAGAGTGTATATCAATCTCTTCTCCCCCGATAGACCACCCTCACCCTCTGAATCGGGGCCCTCATCACCGTCATCGGGAGAGACCACTCCCACACTACGCCTAAACTTGGCAGAAAGTGAGACTTCTGGTCGTAGTCCTGTCAATCGGCCCCCTACAAAACCCCCTGCACCGGTGGCCAACGCGGAGGCATGGGACGGAGATGACGACGAGCTCGACCTTTTGCCTTCAAGGCCGCGGCGACCCACTATCAATCGAGGGCGCCCTTCTTTGCCAGACAGGATCGAAGCACTGAGGCCAAAGTCTCCAGCAATTCTCGCGTCCGATAATCGCCTATCGCCAGAGGTTTCTGCGAGATATACAAAGGACACGGCGGAGGAGGAAGGAATCTCACCTGCTCGGTCTACTGGTACTTTTGGTCCACGTTCGGAACCGCCCAGACTTGATGCTCTGGGTGTTTTGCGCAACGGGGCTGGGGAGACTATGATCCCCGCACATTTCCAGAACGCCATGTCACAGACTTCCGCAGATGATGACCAAAGTCTGCTGGGAAATCAAAAGGGCATATCTCTTGGAAAGACGCCAAGTACTGCAGCTCGGCATTCACAATCTCCCAGGTCTGCAGCGTCGCCTGGCAGGTCCCGCGAGGACGCAGTCGGAATGCGTGCATTGGGTGAAAAGACTACGGAGTCGCGTCCCGCTTCCCCCTGGGCACCAGATAGTTCTCGTCGGCTCTCCCTCGTACGTGACGACAGACTCTCCGAAGAACCTGAAAAACAGGCAATCGCCCCTGTGACACCCTCATCCATCGAACAGGATGAGTCGCAGCTCACTCCCATTACTCCCTCGCAACCCAAACCCCAACATTCGCTCCCCGTACATTCGGCGCATGTGCTCGACTACGATCCTCCTTTCCAGGATTGGCCAAGCCCGAGCCCCGTTGAATCCCCTTTGCAAGAGCGACAGGTAGTGCCCTCATACCGGGTACATACGCCGGACTTGCTGCAATATCAAAGCCAGGTGCACTCTCCGGCCCCTATCCTTCGCGACTCTTCACCCGAGGCGGATCTGAATACGCTCTTGGAAGAGACTGCTACTCGCTCAATGCCCGCTCGTGTACCCACCCCTGATCCGACGCCAGCTCCTGCGCCTGCTCCGGTAGACGCGGCCCTCCAGCAATTTCGCACTGCTCGCACATTTCGAACTCGTACAAACGTTCAGCTACATCCTTACACAAAAGAACGCCAAATATACGAAGCTATGCTCCGTAAAGGCGGTATCCGCGCAAAGCAAGACCTCCAAAGAGCTCAAGCAGAGAACCGTCGAAGAGAAGAGCAAGCCAGCCGAGGGGACAAGGATGACGCCCTGGTAAGCCGGGAATCAGAGGCTTCCGTGTCTGAATCCGACGAGGCGGAAGACGCTATAGGCAACGGGACAGGTGAGAGGATCGTGATTGGCCCCGGCGCATCACCTTCACGACCTCTTCGACCGGGTCGTGTTCCATTACCTCTCAAAGACGCCGACCTCGATGAGTATCTCATGACCTTTGGAGTGGTTCCCGATGTCGACGATATGGACGAGACGACCAGTCGAAAGTTGCAAAGCATTGCTAGGCAGAGGATCCGGAAAGCAAAGGATGACGAAAAGAAGCGCAGGCAGGAGGAGAGACAAAATAGACGATTTCAAAAGACGCTCAAGGAGTTGAGTCTGAAAGAGTCTCGGGAAAAACGGAGGTTGGAGAAATTAAAGGAGCAGGAAATGCGGCTAAAGAAGCAGCAAGTGAGAGAAGAACGAAGCCGTAGGCTACAAGTGAGTCTCACATATGATCACTAGGGCCATCCTGACTTTGCTCCCTAGCAAGAGCTGGAGGCAAAGCGAATTGCGACCGAACAGAAACGCAAAGAGCGACAAGAGAAAAGGAGACGAGAAGAGGAGATTGACGGTGATACTGAGAGGTTTTTGAACGGCCTGCGGGGTGATAGCGTTGAGGGCGTTGGAGAAGACGGTGATGCCGACAGTGAGGATGCCCGACGAGACGAAGAGTTTGAGCTCTTCATGGAAGGCTTGAGAGGAGGCGACGAGGCTGAAGTGGTGGTAAGCCTTCGGTCATCCCTTCGTTCAGCATGTTCTGACATTCTTCTCCCAGTCCAAGACCAAACGCGCAAAGGCCTCGAAGAATAGCACCAACAAGCGCACCCCTGGCGGTATCAAAACGTATGGTCACCGGGACAAAGGACCTACACGCATACCTTCCAGCTCTGATTTTGACGACATTGCGCTGGAGGCAGGACCTTTGCATGTCTCTCGTCCCCATCGCTCTCATTCGCCTTATCGATCTCCCTCTCCACCAGTGTCATATCGTTCGAATCAAGTCGACTTTGACATGGACGCACAAGGGTATGATAGCGATCACGGTCCAGATCTTCCAGCTCTTCCACCATCATACTCCCCCGGTCCTGAATTCGCCGAACCTTTTCGACAATCCTCTCACATCTCCCCTCCTCGTCGACCTGCCCTCGGCGGCGACTCGCCTGTCGACGATGCGAATGATGATTCAGAGGTTGAAGGATCGGATGGCTCAGATTCAGAAGAAGTCTCACACGATGATCCCCGTAGGAGGATTGCCGGGCGAATGATGCCTGCTCGCATGCTTCGAAAGTTGGAGCAAGAGGCCGCCCAAAAAGAAAGGGAAAGACAGGAACGGAAACGCAGAGATCTGAGAGAACGAGAAATCAGAGAGGCAGACGGGACGATCCCTGTGGGACCTGGAAGAGCTGTGGTCAGGCGACAGAAGGGACAAGAGACCTTTGATGATATAGCGAAGCTGTTTTCTCAGGAGCACGAGAGCGATGGGGACGGACAGCCTTCAAACAGGCCGAAAGGCGATAGCGGCGATGAGGGTCGCCCCATATTGGTGTACGACAGCGATTCTTCGCAAGCATACGAAGACAACGCAGCCGAGCAGCCCCTGGCACGACTTCATCGAGGTGACTTTGCGGGCATCGTCGCAGGTCGCAGCAGAGTAAAGGCCGCAGCACAGAAAGCGGGGAAGCGGAAAACAGACGGTCGAAGAAGCAAGGCGCCGGAGCGACCAGCTATCGGTCTGGTGCGCCAAAAAGGCGGTAACAATGCGGGCCGAGGAGATCGACGTAGCAAAGAGCCGAGACAGACTCGACTGGACTTTCCCAATGTTGGTGAAGCGGAGGCTCGCTCGCGCAACAAGCGCAAGCGCCGAAATCATGATCAACGTCCTGCCATCCGACTGGACGACGACGTGATCTTTGCAGCCGATGATTTTGCGTTTGATAGTGGCAATGATGACCCAGCTCCAACATCACCTCACCCCACGCGAGTAGCGAGGGCAACTGAGCGAGTCAATCCTACTACATCGAACGTGTCCAACACTACTGCGCCGAGTCTCGATGTCGGGATCGGAAAGGCCAGGTCGTGGGCAAACTTTGATCGATTTTCGACCGACTTTGGCATAAGCCCTCTACCCGCAGGTCTCTTCTGTGACCCTGAGAGTATTCCGGGCAGCGGAAGACTCGCTTCCCTCGTGACCTTCCTCCGCCGATCCGGGAACCAGACAGGCGTCATGCCTGGGACGGTGAAAGAGTTTGGCATTGCGCTTGCAGCGGATATGTCTCCTGCTGCTGTTGAGGAGGTCATTGATATCGTTTTCGACGCGACTCATCGCCAGCTGCTTGCTCTTGCCAATCGTAGCACCAGCACGGAGGTGCCTCTCGGTCCTCTGATATTCTTGTCCTCATACGTCTCGGGGCATGAGCAGGGTAGCGAACTCGTGTCACTGAGGGAAAGTCTTCTGCGCTGTGTCGAGGAAATGCTTGCCAAGCTGGACGGCGTCGATATCGCACAGTCTAGTAGCAACCAGCTCGCGAAAGATTCGCTTCTCAATATCCAGTGGGCTCTCTTTGAGCTGGTCTGTCGCGCATGCGCTGGCACCGCCGAATCCACGGTGAATGCTACCCTTGTGCAGGAGTGTACGTTCGCGTTGTTGCGCCAACTCTTGCTCAACGGTTTTGACTTAACAATTCGCCCCCTCAAGGCCATCATGGCAGGCGAGTCTGACTCACCAGAGATCAAAGACGCGTCCATCACGCTTTGGATTTCTATCCTTCACAGCACCTCCGCTTGGGATTCTTGTGCACAAAGCAGTCACGATACTCTGTTCCTTGGTGCCTTCAACCGTGCTATTGACATTGTCTTCCCACTCGACCGCACGGGCCCGATTGCTGCCGAGCGTATATGGTATCTCGTCTTTGGTCTCTGTGCATTGTCTCAATTCAACGAGAAGGGCGAGATCAACGAGACCTTTAACGCTGTGCCTAGATGGACGCTCGTCAAGCGTGCAGTTTCCCTCATCAAGGTTGTCTTTGACGAGGACGCCGAAAAGAGGGCGCACCCCCAAACTTTGCGAGGTCGAGATAGATACATCAAAGCCATGATGGCCAGATGTGTCAAGCTTTCGGCTGTTTGGAAGTGGTACTTTGAACAGGACAGCTTTTCTCTGGTCAATCGTGACCTTGGGAATATATTCAAAGACCGACAATACAGCAATCTGCCTACTGAGCCGCCAGTGGATTATCCAGAGTTCATCACCCATTACGACATGTCTCTCTCTGCATCCGAGGATACCAGACACGAGACCGCGTTCGATCTTTACCTCCGCCTGGTATGCGTCGCCGCATCCGATATCATATCAGGCGCCGAGTCTCTCGCAGAGGCTCAACGGGCTGAAAAAGATGTCCAGCGGCTCGCCATGTCCACCATCCCTATCAGCTCTGTCAAGTTCAATCGCATATTGCCACCGGGACCCCGCGAACTTGCTCAGCTTACAAATAGGTACTCGACCATGATTGCCGCTTGTTACTTTTCTCCGTCCCTCCTGGGATACCTCCTGGCCAATTCCAAGAATTGGTCGCCTTTTGCGCAGGCTGATTACGAATCTCGGGAAGTCTGTATCCGTGGTTTGATGTACCTGGCGGTAGCGTGTAGACACCATGACCAGCCTCTCGATTATGTAGTCGAGAGATTGGCAGAGATCCTACAGATACTGCAGGAGGAATTGGAGGGCCATGCCAAAGGCATCCTGCCGCCTCAAGCAGCCAAGAAGCCCGAGATTGAGAATACAATGGTCTTGATCGTCGTTTGCTTTAAAGAGATGATCAAGCATCACTCGTTTGATGTGGAGGAACAGTCCAAGCCTGTTTACCCTGACCCGTCCCTTCTGCACGAGAGTGAGTCATAGAGTCGTATGCAGCATGTGGCTAATTATCACTACAGGCTGGACTTTGCGAATCTTTGATTTCGACCTCGCCAATGATCTCAAATGTGGATTCGAAGTCATCTCGACCATTCAAGCATTCCTGGATGCCCGAGCCAAAGTACTTCCCGACTCGGTCCGTCGCCGTCGCGCCGCCAAAGAGTCGGTCCAGCAGCAGGACAGTTTTGACGAGTTTGGGTCTATGGGAATAGACTTTACAGCCGCTGATGTGCTGGCTCTTGGTGGCGAAGAGGCAGAACCTGACCCAAATGAAGAGTCTGATAGAAAGTTTGTCGAGGTAAGCTTGCGTCTACTCTACCAGCAAAGAGAGCTGATATTGGGTAGATCATTGAGAATGTCATCTCTCCCAAGATATATCAACTTCTTTCTGACATGTTGCCCTTTGTTGTGGACGGGGAGATTGACAAGCACAGGCCTGAGGAGCGGCATTTGTTCATCGGCAAGCTCACCAAATGCTGGTCTGACTGCGCTGCTGTGTTGGTGGTCGAGCATGTGAAGCTCGTGAGTGGGGGCCCTGGGCAATCATGGTCAGTCGTGTACTGACAGTGCACTGTAGGATTGGAATACTTTTATCTCCTCTCACGGCCGACAATCTTGGACCAGGCTGGGTGACGAGCAGGGACGAGTTCAAGTGGGACTGCATTTCATGCTAAACGTGCTGGAACTGGACCCGTCTTCATTCACTGTGAGTATTGACAATTAAGATCCAGGACGCAGCTAAGTTTGTAGGAGCACGGCGATGACTTTGTAGCCTTGCTTTTCCAAAGCATAGGCACAGACAAGCTCACCATCGAACACAAGTATGCCGGTACACTTCTCAACCTTGCTCGGGCATCCGAACACCTTTTATTGATCGACGTGTGCACCAACAATACCCTCGACAAGAACCCAGATAGAACAGAGTTTATGGAGAACAGAGGGCAGATTCTGCAAAGTGAGTCGACAATGAATGGCAGGCATCAGGACTGACTCGTATCAGCATTGTTTGTGACCTGTTCCGATCTTTTGGCATCCGGCCGTACGCCCGCTTCTACAAAAGCATTCATCTATCGTTGTATCAACACTTTTGTTTCTTCTCTTGTATCTTACGATAAAGTGAGTTGTTACCTCTTGATATGCGTATACTGACAACGCCCCAGTCCATCAACGACAATAAAGTCCTCCATAAAGAATCATACCGCGCATTCCTTGATACCACTTTATCTGATCTCCAGCGTTGCGCTGGCACGTACTTCCATCCGATGTCTGTACCGGGCCTGAAATATTTCTCCAAACCATAGCATAGATAGATGTTGTCTCAACGGTCCCGATGCTCATCATGCATAATGATATCCATTCCTTTGCTTCTTGACGGGATCTTAAGGCTACACTTCTGAATATTGTGGTACAGATTGGTACAGAGTACACTCAGGTCTGGTACTCTTTGCCTGAGAAAGCAAGTCAGTATCTCGGACATGGACGCCAGACATGACTCACGCAAGAATTTGGCAATGGTCTCCAGCTGAATGTTGCTCGTCCCCTCGTAAATGGCTCCGATCTTGGAGTCTCGCCAAAACTTTTCCAATCCGGTCTCCCTGACAAAGCCTTGGCCCCCGGCCCACTCGATAGCAGACCCCGAGACCTTTTGCGCCATTACGGAGGCATAATACTTGGCCATCGCAGCCTCCTTTGTAAATGGCCTACCTTCCTCCTTGAGCCTGGCAGCGTTATAAGTCAAGAGCCTCGCGGCCTCGATTTCCGTGGCGGCTTCGGCAAACTGGAAACCCATGCCTTGGAACTCGCCGACGGCCTTGCCGAATTGCTTTCGCTGGTAGGCGTACTCGAGGGATTTGTCGAATGCGCCCTGGGCGAGGCCGATCATCTGGGCGGCGATGCCGATTCGGCCTTCGTTGAGAATCTCGATAGCGATCTAGCGCCGAGTGTCAGCGAGCTCGGATGGGAGAGGAGATGAGATACCTTGTAGCCTTTGCCGACTTCGCCGACGACGTTTTCTTTGGGAATTTTGACGTCGTCAAAGTTGAGCACGCAGGTGGAGGAGGCGCGGATACCGAGCTATCAAAGTGTGAGCCCTTTGCATGACTGTACCTGAACATACCTTCTTCTCCTTCTTGGCAATCTCGACGCCCATGTCTTTGCTCATGATGAAGCAGGTGATACCTTTGTAGCCCTTGGAGGGGTCGACGTTTGCAAAGACCTGCATCGCGTCAGCAAATGACTACAACATAGCTGGTTAAACGTACAAGGAAAGTGTCGGCCTCTCCAGAGTTGGAGATCCACATCTTGCTCCCATTCAACACGTAAAAGTCCCCGCTCGAGTCCAGCTTGGCAGTCGTCTGCAGGCCGAAAGCGTCCGACCCGGAGTTGGCTTCAGAGAGACAGAAGGAGCCGACCTTGGAGGTGGCGAGGTCCGGAAGCCACTTCTCCTGGATCTCGGGGCTGCCGTAGAGGCGAAGTACGGTGTTGACGAGAGTGTTGTGGACGTCGCAGAGGACGGCGACGGAAGGATCGACCCGGGCGAGCTCCTGCGCGGAGTGTCAGTGGGCGCTTCATGTGGCGCATCGACATACCTCGACGGCAATGATGGCGCTGGTGAAAGAGCACTCGGATCCACTGTGGTCGGCAGACGTCTCGATACCCATCAACTGGTCACATGATTGTCAGTCCGGACGCGTCAACACCGGCCTGTACGCACGCCGTTATCGAACAAGCCCTGGATGATGTCGGGGCTCATGAGCTCGTTCTCGTCCATCTCCTGGACCTTTGGGGCAATGAGATCCTGTGCGAAGCGCCTGACGGCCTCTCTGAGCATGTGCTCTTCCTCTGTAAAGTTCCAGAGGGAGGCGGGGGTGTCTATGGCCGGGCGGGTGAGCTGTGGGCGGGGGGCGGTGGTGGCGAGTGCCCTGCAGAGGCGGGCCAGGCTTCGGGGGCGGGGGGCTTTGAGGGCGAACATGGCACAGTACGAGTATCGAACAGCTGCATCGACATCTCCAGCATCTGAAGTATACAAAAAGTATACACCCACCGGCTATCCATACCCGCCAGGCACCGCATGACCGAGGCGGCCATCTCCGCCCATGACCGCATCTGTACAGCTACAGGGAATGCATCTATCTTATCTTCCATCTGCATCTCCACAATGTCCGAATACCTCCTCGCCATCAACTGCGGCTCCTCCTCCATCAAGGGAAAGCTCTTCCAGGTCCCCCAGTTCGACCTCCTCGCACACCTCGCAGTCTCAAACATCAGCTCTGCCGATGAAAAGGTCAAGATCAACATCGACTGGGAAGAGGGCAAGGGCAAGAGCTCAGAGGAAGAGGGCGAGTATGGCGATAGAGTCCATTGTATGTGACATCCACGTTTGACTGGGACGAGCTGAACATCCACCAGACGCATCCCTCGTTCCCACACTACTCGACCATCTCACAGATACATCCAACGAAAGCCACCTCAAGAAGGAGACTATCAAATATGTCTGTCACCGGGTGTATGTCTTGGCATCTTCTTGAGGTGTAAGAGCTCACTACTCCTCAGTGTCCATGGGGGAACCCATGAGAAGGGTATCCGCGTATCCAAGGGACACGAGGACGGTCTGAAGGATATGGATACACTATCCGAATTTGCCCCTCTACACGTGGGTCTCAGCCATGATATCATACCCATACTCACATACTCCTAGAACCACAGAGCAGTTCTGGCAGTCAAGTCTTGCTTGGACGCTTTGCCTGACCACACTTCTCTGCTCCTCTTCGACACCATCTTCCATGTGGGCTACCGATTACTCGTGTCTGGGCTGCGTACTGACTGCGAGCTCAGCAAACTATTCCCGAAGAGGCCTACACATATGCCCTTCCTCCGCCCGACAAACCTTTGGGTATGCCCCTCCGTAAAGTAGGTTCACACTTGCAATTTTGAGGCCTAGCTGAACTTCCATAGTACGGATTCCACGGCTTGTCGTACGCTTCCATCGTCAACTCCCTCTCCAAGCACCTCAATAAGCCAGAAGACAAGGTCAACATTGTCGTCGCGCATCTCGGAAGTGGCGCTTCGGCATGTTGTATCAAGGACGGCAAATCTATCGACACAAGTGCGTCGCCGTTTACAATCAAGATTGTAAACTGACAAATCATAGGTATGGGTTTGACTCCGCTAGAAGGTCTTATTGGAGGTACCCGCTCTGGTACCATCGACCCCACTGCCATCTTCCACCACACTTCCGATGCCGGCGCCGCAGCTAACGTCGGAGACTATCAAGTCTCACGAGCCGAAGTCGTTCTCAACAAGTCAGTCCCCTCCTTCCCCATTGCCGACTCGGGCTGATACGTGACGTAGGAAATCCGGTCTGCAGGCTTTGGCAGGTACAACAAACTTTGGCCACATCATTCAGAACCTCGATCCCTCATCTGCCTCTTCCGAAGAGGACCACAAGAAGGCTATATTAGCTTACGGCGTCTACCTCGACCGTCTCCTCAACTACGTCTCCCAGTACCTCTTCAAGCTCCTCTCCACCACGCCCTTGGAAGAGATCGACGGTATCGTCTTTTCCGGCGGTATCGGCGAGAAAGGCGCAAAGTTGAGGGAAGATGTTTTGAAAAGGTTTGAGTGGCTAGGGGTGGAGGTGGATGCGAAAAAGAACGAAGCCAAGGAGGGAGGGACGGTGAGGGAGATTACCGCGGAGAAGAGCAAGCTGCAGGGCTGGGTAGTGGAGACGGATGAGGAAGGGTGGATGGTCAAAATGGCCAAGGACGAGTTTGGCCTGTGAGCGTAAAGGCGCGCATGCTCAACTCTGGAAGTTGTACGTGGGTGGCTTTGCATCCTCAAATGATGTTTTTATTCTGCTCTTGTTGTCGGCTGCACTTGTATCTCGGAACCTGGTGCGAGGGGCCATGCCGCGGTAGCACGGGGATTGTGATGATGACGAGAGTTCCGTTAGATCATAGATGCAGTTCCCCGTAATCTATCTTGCAGCAGTGGTATTACGTATTACTGGCCGAGCTAACCGCCGGAGATGGCCGCCGGTGTGTTAGCAGTCATGTGTTGTCCACATGTTGATAGCCGGATAGCCGGATAGCCGACATGCAATGCATAAAACGCTGGATGCACAGGCCCCCTGCGCTCGGCTGCCTCCACCTCCCCGCCCCCGCGCCCATGCCGCCCTCCGTCTACACGAGCCCGCGCACAGACCCCGCCCTCCCCCGCGCCTCCGTCTTCGACTACCTCTTCCCCAGGGACAACACCTTCCCCTTCTACCCCGCCCCCCGCACAGACCCCCGCCGCAGCGCATTCGTCGATGCCCTCACCGGCAGAAGCCTCACCCGCGCCCAGGTCGGCGAACACGCCCTGGCCCTCGCTGGCGGCCTCAAGAGGCTCGGACTCGGCGCCGGCGATGTCGCCTGCATCTTTGGCATGAACAGCATCGAGTGGGTCAACGCCCTCCTGGGCTGCCAGGCTCTCGGCGTGGTCACGTCGCCTGCCAACTATGCCTAGTGAGTATCAACATCTCTCGTGGCCCCATGCTGACGGGATGCAGCACACCCACAGAGCTATTGCATCAGCTCAAAGACTCTACCTCGAAGGCTGTCCTGGTCCAGCCCGAGCTCATCCCCATCCTCCACGAGGCTCTCAAGCTGGACCCCGCGTTGGGCATTCCCGTGTCCCGCGTCATCCTCATATGCACCAAACAGCAGAAGCCTGCAGACCTCCAAAAGTTGAAGTGCACCGAAGAGATCCGAGAGTATGGCGAGGGCGTCGATGGGCGGCATCAGTGGAAGGAAGGGGACGAAGTCAACACCGCGTACCTCTGCTATTCCAGCGGGACCACTGGAAAGGCCAAGGGCGTGGAGACGAGCCACCATAATATGACGAGCCAGGTGTGTCTGACCGTCAAAACTGTATCTTCTGGACTGACATCGAGGCAGATTCAAGCTGTACACTGCAGCATTGAAAAGATGACAGAACAGGACGTTATTCTAGGCATCTTGCCTTTCAGCCACATCTATGTGAGCAAATCGTCCAATGCCCGAACCATTGACTAAATTCTGCAGGGTTTGACGGTGAACATTCACCACGCGTTGACAGTAGACACCAGTGTCGTTGTACTCCCCCGCTTTGACGAGGTCCCCGTCCTTGAGGCCATCCAAAAGGCAAGCCACCCCACTGACCCCGCACTTTACTGACAGTCCTGCAGTACAAGGTCACGTTCGGCGTCGTCGTCCCTCCCCTCATCCTCGTCCTCCTCCACTCTGCCAATGTTCCCAAGTTCGACATTTCCACCATCCGCGGTCTCCAATCCGGCGCCGCTCCCCTCTCTGCCGACCTCATCCAAGCTTTCCGAACCAAGTTTCCTTGGATCGGCATCACCCAGGGCTATGGCCTGACAGAGACGACGCCAGTGGCGGCCGTCATGACGCTCGACGAAGCAAAGGGGCATCAGGGTGGGACCGGCAAGCTGATACCGACCTATCAGGCCAGGCTCGTCGATGCCGAATCAGGCAAAGACGTGCCCAAGGGCGAGAGGGGAGAATTGTGGTTGAGGGGACCGAGTGTGATGAAGGGGTATTGGAGGAATGCAGAGGCCACGAAAGCAGCTTTCCAAGATGGCTTCTTCAAGACTGGGGATGTGGCTGTGATTGATGAGCAGGGGTATATTTCGTGAGTTTGCATCATCTCGGGCGTACTCGAACTGATGTTGGGTGAAGAATAGTAGACCGGGTAAAGGAGCTCGTCAAGTACAAGGGATTCCAGGTACCGCCTGCTGAGTTAGAGGCGCTTCTTTTGACCCACTCAGAGGTAATGGACGTGGCTGTCATCGGTATCTACTCCAAGGCTCAGGCCACCGAGCTTCCTCGGTAAGCCGCAACTCGTTTTCTCGCCTTTTTGCTGACCCCGCATAGCGCCTATGTTGTGCCCAAGAAAGGCCTCGACTCTTTATCGCCTTCAGCCCGGGAACAGCTCTCGAAAGAGATACACGACTGGGCCGCGAGCAAGACGGCCAACCACAAACGTCTGCGCGGGGGAGTCATTTTGATTGATGTCATTCCAAAGAGTCCAAGTGGAAAGATATTGAGAAAGGATTTGAGGGTGTTGGCGGCCAAGGAGGAGGAGCAGGAAGTCGTGGCTGGGAGGAAGGCAAAGCTTTGATCTGCTGATGGACCTACATGTTGTACGATTATACTCAATGTCATTCTTGATGTATCTCACGGGTCCACCATCAAGACTTTTTACTATGCATTTCATGCGACCAAGGATAAATCTGACCACTCAATTGAGCATCCTCAAAGCTCCAAACGCAAAGTTGAGCAGCGTTCCAATCACGATACCCATCTGATGACTTGTCAGCTCAACGCTCGAACGATTACAGCACGCACCTTCATCCGCTTGCCAAACACATGCGTAGGGACACTCAAACCTCCCACCGAAAAGTTGGCAGCCACCCTTGCGCTGATCTGTCTCATCTCGTCCACTTGGGCAGCCACTACCTCCTCAGCCGCAGTCGCCGGGGCTGTTGTACCCGCCTCGCCCGTGGCTCCACCCCCATATTCTTCCGCATTCGAAGCGCCTTCAGCATGTCCTGATTCTGCTCGTTGACGGAACTCTGCTATAGCCTCGGCATCGGCGTCGAAAAAGTTGGGCAAGGGACCCTCGCGTAGAAAGAACCACGACAAAAGTGGAAAGAGAAATCCAAAAAGGAGACCGTGTAGGATCGCAGTGTAGAGTCCTTCCGTTGAAGCTGTATTACTGTGAGCCATGGGAAATTAAACCAGGAAATGACATACTGGCAGCAGTCTCTGCAGTCATGTCGCCTTCTATCCACTGCTCTTCCAGCGCCCTGGCATGCTCATCATCTGTACATCGTCAGCCCATGTCTCTATTGTTAGCACTCACTGGTATCGCCAGTGTCCATATCATCAGGTACCTCTTCGCCTCTGCTTTCATAAAACTGCCGCCGCATCTGGGCAACATCCTCTCTGGAGAATCCCGTGTCTAGCAAAACATCGAATCCGCGTCTCCGAGGCATCGCCGCCTGCCAATACATTAGCAGTGTCAACCTGGACGAGTGAAGACATACCGCTTCCACCGTTTCTTGTTGTCGCTGAGGCCCCTCATTGCCACCCACTATACAATGAACATATAACTTCCTCTCTTCCTTCCCCTTCTTCCCGCCACCGCCTTCGCCAATCTCTCGGACCCCCCTGACCACGTCTTCCAGTCCCAGGCCCCCTTCCGCCTGGCGCTTGATTCTACTTTCCATAGTCTCCACCCAAGGAACGAGCCTCACTCCATCGCTCAGCAGCCTCCCCGAATGTATCAGCCTCAAGCCCCGTTCTTGCAGCTCCGAGACGTGTGATCGGATGAGTGCTTTGAGTTGAGCAATGGAGGTGCTGTGGCTAAGCATGAGCGAAAGGTTGGGATGGGGAGCATTGGAGAAGATGATGGTTATCTCGCGTGGTTCTGGAGGGGTATCGGCTGGCGGTGGTGAATCGTCCGTGGGTTTGGGCTCTTCATCCTCGGGCAACGCTCGTCCTTTGCCTTTGTCGAGTCTCTTTCCTATCCGCTGCTCTTCGTCTTCGTCCTCATCTTCTTCGGTGTCGCTTCCATCGCGGTACTCGGCTGCAAGCCTGTTGCGCTGTTCTTCGTCCGACGAAAAGGGCATGTAGCGGCGTGCTTGGAGACCCGAGCCATGACGCCGCCGGGAGGAGGAGGCGGTGGGAGTGGAGGGAGCGTGAAGCGGGAGGAGGGGCTGGGACTCGTCGGGATTGTCGCTGGGCATGATGACAAGAATGGGTAGAGATGAAGAAGGAACGTGGAAATGGAAAGTGAGGCGGGGCGCGTCGACGTTCGGAACTCCGCGCCGGCGAGGGCATGAATGTCCAACCAGCTGCAGCTGTCCTGCTCGCTCTTCGTGTGTGACTTTACTCTTGTCCGAGTAGGGCAAAGGGCTGTGCAGTCCCAGGTGTACAATGAGCGCTGAATCATGAATTGCATCAAGTCGGACCAGCCCAGTTGCAAACGAACGTCTGTTGTACACAAGAAGATACCCAAAAGATCAAATGAAGATAAAGAATGAATGGACAGTTCGTGATATGAATGAATGTGGTTTCGTAAAAGAAGTGAGGGGAAGGGACGGGTGCTTATTTGCGATATGTGCAGCAAGCGATCACGTAGGGCAGACATGAAAGGGCAGTCATGGCGAAAGCGACCCATACGAGATCTATTTCAACGTCAGTTTGTTACTTTTGAATCATACGCGCAACTTACAGAGGGAAGGACCGGCCGTCACGTATATACCGAGCTTGTAGCCATGTTGAACAGTGACCTTTTCCAGCCACGCGTCTTTGGCAACGACTGCTGTCCATAAAGCGGCACCACTAATCGCCACGCACGTCAGAATCCACCCGATCCGAGATGGATGAGCACTCACATCATGAGCAAGAATGCACCGACACCCGCACAAATGGACGCGACAAAGAATGTGAGGCGGAACTTGATGACACCAAAGATGAACGCGAGAGCCACACCGACCGATCCGACCTGGTCCAAGGTCAGCCTCGCCCTTTGTACGTCCTCGTGTCGGCCGAGCAATCAAAAACGCGTGACTCACAAAGATCAATGCACTGGCAGCCCTGGTCATAGCATGGTTGTAGCCATTCTGCTTGAAAGTGGACGAGGGAATGATGTTGACGGTCTGGATTCTGAACTGGGGAGGAACATCGCCGATCAAGCTGCCAAGAGGTTCCATGGGGTAGGCGAAAGTGGAAGAGTTGCAGATACCACTGGCGGCATCCTTCTGGTACCCACAGGCGTCTGCATTACCGTTAGAGGCAATCATAAAGAGGAGGGAGAGACCTACTGTACATGCCAAACCTGTAGAACTGTCGCAACCCCTTAAACTTGCCCATATCCTCGTCCTTGCTGTCATAAAGACCGCCAGCGCTTGTATTGGTGGCACCTGCCAGACCGTTCCCATAACTATAATCGCCTGTCAGGGAAACGCGCTTTCGCTTTTGTTTACGATGTTTGACGCGTCGGGGGCATCCTTGCACGGACATGCAAGCAGCGACCGCCACAAGGCGAAAGTGGACTCACGCAGCAACGTTGACTTCGGCCATGTAGATGGACTTGACGAGGGGCCCTGAGGAGATCTGGCCGATGTGGGCAAAGATGAGGAGGATGACGGAGACGAAGGTGAGGGCGCTGGCCCCGAGCACGCAGTGTTCTCCTCGCATGGTGTGATAGGGCAGGGGAGGATAGGATAGATGGGAAGAGGACAGATGGGAAGAGGAGATGGAATAAACTTGGATTAGAGCAACTTTGATTTCTTGGTTGTCCTCCGTTTGCAGCAATTCCAGATCCCACGTGGCGCGTCGATTTAAACATTATTCCGTGCCTGCCCCGCTCCAGATCGTCCTCTCGTAACCCGTTCCTCTTTTTCCTGGAAATATTCCTCTCGCCCAAACATCCCGTCAGTCACTCAGCCGTCAATTCCGTCAACAGCATCGGCCTGCATAAAACGTACAACCAGATATATACAAGAAGCCCGGGAGATAGGAAGGGAGACACAGCAAAGCAAAGATACTGCCCTGTACACATATGCTACAAACTTCTCCTGCGCTCAACCCCATAAGGAAAAATCAGCAGGTACTTCCGAGTACCCATTGCTTCCCAACCCTCCTTCTTCATCCATCAGGAAACTAAACACATCAAAGGCCCCATCATTTTCTCCAAAGGCTGTGCCGTTTCCAGTCCCATTGTTGGGCCTGCCATGGATAATCGCGCTGATCCTCTCGTCCGTTGACTGAGAGCCCGCGGAAGCGGCGGCGGCAGCAGCTGTATTGGCCAGCGTGTTCAAGCTCGGCCCATCAGAGGCTGGGAACACTGGCGAGGTGGCAACAGGGCTCATGTTGATATGAGCAGCCATCCCAAATGTACCCATCAACGTATTGGGGTCACCGATAGAAGAAGATACGCCGTTGGTAGATGTCGGCGTGTACGGCGCGTGGTGCCCGTTCTCGGCAGAGTGGAAAGCTCGTGGAGGCATACCGCCGGGCGCATGGGAATAGCCGTCCACTCCTACATGAGCCCGCTTGCCGCACTGCTTATTGCTCGTGTAATCAGAGGCCTTGTTATGGGACGCCATGGGGTTGCGGAACAAGTTGTCGAGGAGCGACATCTCGTAAGGCATCGTGACAGGTGGGAGAGGGGCTGGAAAGACCTCATTGGGGAGGGGGTCTTCTCGCGAAGATGATATAGGTACGCTTCTAAAATTGGTGCGTTGGGCTGGGGAGCCAGACGTGTTGGATACAGGTGGCGGGTTGAACTCGCCAAGCTGCTTGAAAATCGCTTGTGAGAGTGTACGCATCGTGTCATGACACGCAGATGCCGAAGGGACCCGCGCTGCTCATGGTCAGTCATTGCAAACCATCGGGTGAATCACACTCACGAGCAAGGAACTCGAGTACGCCCAGACATGACTCGATGGTCATCATCGCATCCTCGATAGTCGGCACATCCTCGCCTCCTCCCAGACTGTACAAGTTGGAAAAGGCATACAAGAACGAGAGCCCAGCCATGAATGAAAAGTGGCTCTGCCATTGAATTAGCGAATACTCCAAATGACGCATATGGACCTACAGTCATCCACAACCACGAGATCCTGTTGTTGAGTTGCATTCTCCTGTAGATTCTGATGTTGTATCCAGAGCTGGAGAGAACAATGGAGAGGGCTTTTCTACCAGGTCGAGGGCAACCAGGGGAGGGTCGGAACAACAAGAGGCAAGAGTCTAGCGTCCATGAGCAAAGTGCATCGCATTTGGAACAAACGACTTACTGTGATAGGATAAAGCATATCCCTCCGTCGAAACAGCGCCCCTCGGTTCCGGCGCGTTTTTGAGCCAATCCTGCAGCCTCTCATAACAATCATCCACCCACTCTTGCGATGGCAGTCTTCCAGTGGAGCTGTGTACGCCATAAGTGTTGAACAGCACTTCTGACTGGAGTTGTCGAAGCTTGGTGGTGTGGATGAAGACGGCTTTGTAGGAGCATGGCTCGCCTGTCATGGGGCCATAATGACCGGAGTGAATGTCAATGTCATGCAGATCAGATGGGAGCTGGCATCAAGTCAGCTGCTGCCTTTATCATGTTACAAGACACATACCGGCACATTGATAAACCCATCGGGTATACTGGGTGGTCTACCCAGCGATTGCGACAATAGTCTATCCATCTTGTAGGTGCACCAGAACAGTCTCCTGCGCATATCCAGCTCCAAAGCATCAAGTTGGTCAACCGGGATGTTGTGCTCGTTGTGATATCCCATGTCCACGCAAGTTCGTGTGGCGAGACCGATCAAAAACCAGATAGAGCCCTTATCGGGATTGAGGAGAGAATACCAGACGAGGAGTAGAATAGCCTGAAGGCCGACGTAACTTTGTCCTTCAAAGACGGCGTCGAGATGTTTGATCGCCTCGGCGTGGAATGCTTCAGAGCAGGCTCTCAAGTCGTCAGGAGGGTCGACGAATCTAGATGATGCCATCGTAGACAATGCTACGACGGTCAGTTGTAAACAGCGAATCAACAACACTACTCACCGAGAACCATCATGACAACAAAAATGTCACTCTCCTCCACGTCTAAACCTCCCCTGATATTGCTCAACTGCCTTCCCAGAGTCGGTATATGGATAATGGGTCCTGTCACGCCAACAAAGTCGACATAGGCTGCCACAAGTTTCTCGACGGCACCCTGAGGTGGAAGAGGCGGGATCGTAACCTTTCGCCTCGGTTTTCCCCCACTCGACACTGAAAGAGTTACCGGCCCGCTGGCCGAAGGCGGCAGTCTGGGTATCGCCGATGTGGGTGTGGGAAGGGTCTCGAGCGAAATATGATGATCATAGAGCTCAGCACTCATAGGCGAGTCGATTGTGCCGCCGTGGGTAGAACCCCTGTCACTGCCCGAAGCATTTGACCCCGAAGTTATCCCACTGTTTGCTGCATGGCCAGTCCTCAGAGCAGCATCATGGACCATCCGGGTGAGAGACGTGGCATGCAGGCTGGCAGGCTGACCGGTGGGATGTGGCCTCGAGGATGTAAAGGGAGATCGAGGCGGGTCAGCCGAGATTGGCGTGGAGGGATATGGAAAGTCCGAGTATCTTCGCTGTTGGTGGCCGTTGTTTGAGGGAAGAACAGGCGAGGCGAATGGCGAGCGAGGGGATCGTCCATCGCGACTTGGCCCATTCTCCCCCGGAAACTCGGGAAAATAATTGGACACCGCGTGGGAGGAATTCGCCGCGATGTTCCTCTTTCTCTCCCCGATAGGGTCGACCGAGGACAGGGCACTGATCTGAGCACGCAATACCGCCACCTCCTCCTCCAATTGATGCAGGTAGCTATGCAATATGTTAGCAGATATAGGTTTCGCGCAGATAGCTGCCGCGCTTGGCGATATGACGAGAGACTTTGATGGCCGAGAATCGACTCACTTTCTCGAGATGTTTGTCTTGCTAATCGCATCAAAGCCAATGCACTCGACCCCTGCACGATCGCAAGACGTACAGGCCGGCAGCTTGCCATCGCATTTTTGCTTTCTTGTCCTGCATCTCGTACAGCTCGAGATGGCGCGGGCGACCTTGTAGGACTGCGCGTCGGAAGCAGCCGATGGGGTGGGGGGCTGGGAAGCACGCGAGGACGAGGCGACAGACTGAGTACGGGGGAGAGGGGGCGGTTTTATAGGCTTGTCGTCGGCGGGAGGGTATGGGCTGTAGGACGCCCTTTTGTTGTTCTTTTGGGTGGGAGCCTTCATGTCGGCTTCGGGCGGGGCGTATGAGAAAGGAAGCAAACAGATAGCACGGCCCGGCTGATAGGAGATGCGCGATATCGGCGACGGCCGACGCTGGGTGCTTATTTGCTCCCGTCCACTGTGCTTATGTAACACCTCTATGCATCGACGACTTGCCATTGTTGCGCATCTGTTCAGCTGGTCAGCAGCATCCATCGTCCTCCCTTGCTCTAGCATCACCCAACATGAGCTCCCCGGAACCCCAAGATGCCACCCAGCCCGCCACCGGCTCTCCCTCTGAATTTCTCCAAAACATTGTCGGTAAGCGAGTCAAGGTCAGAATAGGAAGCGGAGTTGACTACACTGGTATGTTTGAAGCGACTCGAGATCATCCTCACCAGACTAATCATATGTAGGTCTTTTGACGTGTCTGGATGGATACATGAACGTGGCTCTGGAGAACACGGAAGAATGGGCGGGGGGTGTCAAGACGGCAGACTATGGGGACTGCTTTTTGAGAGGCAATAACGGTGAGTTTCATGTCGACAAGAAATGCTCGAGAGCTGATGATTGTATAGTCCTCTATATCTCTGCTTTGGAGGAGATATGATGATGAGGATCATGTATTATTATGGGCCGATTGACTGATTGACATCAAGACTACATTGAGCATTGTGCGCTGAACGACCCAAAGTGTAGGGAGCTCGCGACATGAACGATGAAGAGGAGGAAGGAACTGAGGCTCGTACGAGTGTCATAATAGGGCAAACGGCTAGCGCTCTGCCAACGGCATCCTAATCATGATCAGACCGAAAGTCACAGCGGCCACGTAACACTGGGTGCATTGTTTCAGTGACAGCCCGAGCAATCCGCCGTTGAATCGCTGCCGATTGGAGAAAAGCATATCGACATTCATCACAAGGCCCTCAAGGCCGGGTATAAAGTCTGCACTCAATGCGATTGATAGAAGAAGGGGGACAAGCAGCGGCGGTATAGGAGCAGTTTAGGGACAGAGAAGTATATGTTTTTTGTGTTTATAGACAGGGGTATTCCTGAAAGCCCAGTGAGAGAAAGAGAGTTTGAGAGATCATGACTTGGTCTCGTACAGACAAACATTTTCAAAAGCCCCACGAAGAATGAAAAGAGCGACAAAGCAAGTTTTGAATTGTCCGTGGTGATTTGACAGCCCCTCGTTAACGAGGCGCTTAGAGGATAAAGTAGCTCGCGGCACCAACGACGGTGAGCGCGAGAGCCATAGGAGCGCCGCCCACGCGAGTGAGGGCGGCAGAGGAAGAAGCGGTGGAAGAGCTGGTGGAAGAGCTGGTGGATGAAGACTTGGTGGCAGAAGCGACATCGGCAGCGACCGAGCCAGACGCCTAATTTTCATGTCAGTGCGCCCTCTCAAAGTTCAGGTAATGACCTACAGTGGAAGAAGCCTTTCCAGAGGAGGATACTGCGGAAGAGGAGGAAGAGGACGCGTCAATGGCAGCGAACACGGTGGCGTTGAAAGCACCAGTCATGGACTTGATAGAGAACATGGAGGAGAACGCCTCGTAGGGGTACTGGGAGTTGGTAGAGTCCTTCAAGGAGAGGGAAGTGAATCGAACAAAGTAGTGGGAGTCTGTATAATCACGTGAGCAAGCTGCTTTGTTGTTGACGCCCGGTAGACGAAAGGCATGACAAGGGACCCGCCAAGGATGATCCGTCTGCCTCGTTGAGCGAGATCGGAAAGACTTACCATCCTGTCCAATGGAAGGGTCGATGGTAGCAGAGATACTGCTAGCCTTGGAGACGTCGACGCTCGCGGCGAGGTTCTGCAACTTGATCTGGTTGTTGACAGAACCAGTGTAGATGGAGACATCGCAGGGTCCAATGTCGGCGACGGTGGGAGTCTCTCCGTTGTCGGCTGTGCGTGGATGGGTCAGTGTCGCGTTCGGCCTAATATGCAGGGCATGTTGTTTGGGTGATGCCCGGGCGCCAGGGCCCATATCATGGCCGCAGAGAAAGGCCTCAACTCACCCCACTTGACTTCAAGCACCTGGCCACCGATGGCAGCGGTATCGTTCACAGGGCTGGTGATGTAGACGCCAGCCATGGCAGACTGGACGGCGGCGGAGGCGGCGAGGACATAAGTAGCGAATCGCATTTTTGCTGATGTGATGGGATTGTTGTTGAAAGAAGTCGCTGACGAAGGGTGGTGAAAGAGTGTGGTCTGCAAAAGAATGTGTAGTAGTTAGCTCGTCAAGAGGTTATAGAAGTGTACGGATGGATGCATCGATAGTTGGATACAAAGGATCAGTTCGTTGTCAAGGGGCGGCCAGGAGTCAGGAGAGATTCCAGGCACGTTTGCACAAACAGTCCCTTAGGTTGCTCCCGTTCGTGGCACCCTCCAGCTGGCGGGCCCCCCCGCCTCGAGTCGATCGTGGCCGGCTGTCACAAAAAGTCGCGGCGATTCTTGGGACTGCCAACCGCCATGTCTGCCAGAGCGCTCGCCAACAACGCCCGGGTGCTTGCCCGCACCGCCAGCAACAGGCTCTACGCCACAAAAGCCTCCGTGCCCCCCAAGTCCATCGACGACAGCACCGGCGCCCTCGACTGTGCGTGCCATCTCCCGCATTGGAGCCTGAGCTGATCTCCCATAGACAAGCTCCACAGGCATGGCAAGCGACTGCCGCATCTCGTCACCCAGCACCCCAGATACCCCTCTGCTGAAGAGGCCGTCACCAACATCCTCTACAACACTCCTCCCCCCAGCGCCGAGCCCTTCAAGCGGTCAGTTCAAGTACCCGAAAGTTGCGCAAAAGCTGACGAGATGGTAGACACCGTTTGAACTGTTTGGTGCAGAACGAGCCCGGAGTGCTCTCCAGGGTGTCTGGTATCCTCGCCGGCCGTGGCTTCAACATCGGTGCGTAGTCATTGCATCTCCCATGCCACTCGAGCTCATTTCTATCTAGACTCTCTCGTTGTCTGTCAAACCGAGATCCGTGACCTCTCCAGAATGTGCATCGTCCTCAAGGGCCAAGATGGCGTTATTGAACAAGCCCGTCGTCAGCTCGAAGACCTCGTACCCGTCTGGGCCGTCTTGGACTACACAAAGACTTCTTGCGTCGAGCGTGAACTCTTGCTCGCCAAGGTCTCTATCCTCGGCCCCGAATTTGCCGAGGCGCAGCTCCTGGGACCCCTCCCCGATGCCAGCTTTGAACACGCCGTGGAAAACCAATCGCACGACCACCCTCCTTCTTTCGTGACTGCCCAAGGCGAGCAGACCGATGGCAAGTACCAACGCGAAGAGGCCCTTGCCCGGTCGTTCGAATCCGGTGGTGCCCCTTCCTCCGGCCCCCTCTACCCCACTCGATCCGGTCAAGGCCAAGACATGTCTGCCAGCGAGGCCCTTATCGCCAAAAACTTGCACTTGACTGCTATCAAGACTCTCGCCGACCAGTTTGGCGGTAGGGTCGTGGATGTTGCGGAGAACAGCTGTATCGTCGAGTTGACCGCCAAGAGCTCGAGAGTCGACTCTTTCCTGAGTCTGATGAGGCCCTTCGGTGTGCTTGAGGCTGCTAGGTCTGGTGAGTGGATACCAACAAGTACATGCATCGTGCTGATTACGTCTAGGTGTGATGGTCCTTCCCCGAACCCCTGTTCCCAGATACAACGAGGAGGATGACATTGCCGAAAAGGAAGAGATTGACGTTTCTATGCTTCCCCCCGGATAGAGATCTATCATCTTGCCATACTTTTGTACAGGAAACGATGTCATCATCTATACAGCCTTGCATGGTCTATCACAACAGGAATCTAAAGCACAGAAGCCACGACGGGGTACGCCTTCTCGTACACGGTAAAGATGATACCGCCGCTCATGACAAGTCGTCCCAGCCGGGGGACGGTACCACCCCAGAATTTGAAGATGCCCTCTTCTTTAAAGATACGCGCAGCGCAGTGAAGGGCGTTGCGATATTCCTGCTTGGCGTGGATGGACTGCATCCGAGTCTTGACGACACTAAACGGTTGTCAGTCTTGTCGCGGGTATACTATATGGCTCACTCGAATGGCATGGTAGAATCTGCATGGCATCAGCACTGTCAAACGCGTTAGCCATGGATATGACTCACAGACAGTCACAATGCCTGCCGCCGCTCCGATGCCAAAAGTCATCCACCCCGGCATGTCCTCCCCGGGCACCACACTTCCCTGCGCAAGCTGCTTCAAGGTCGAATAACTCGAGAACCGCACAGCAGAGTTGGCTCCTTGCCTCAGCATGACCGGTCCAACACCTCGGTAGATACCGAGGTAGCCTTCTTCTTTGATGATGGTCTGGACACCGTGGACGAGACCCCTGTACCGGGGTTGCGCGAGCTTGGAGTCTTCGATCATCTTGGTTCTAGAGCTTGGTTAGTCACAGTCACCTGCCAAATCTGTTGGAATCCCCACTTGATGGTTTCCGAGGGAGTGACCGCAATGACAGCTTCCGACATGCCCGCACCAAGACCAGCCAGCATCGATCTGGGAGCTGTCAATTTGCCCTACAAGCCGGGTGTCAGTTCCAACTTGTAAGCGTGGATACGCCAGCTCACTTCATCGTCCTTCAAGAGACTCTTGAATTGATCATAGGTTGTAAACCTCACACCTGCCTTGGCAGCATTTCCAATGACCACCGCAGAGACACCAGCATATAGACCCTTCACACCTCGTTGTTGTATCGTAGTCTTGAGTGCTGTATAGGGTGACATTGGCTACACGTCATCAGACCATATACATGGCATTCGTCTCTCATACACACCTTGTCGCCATTGAGGGCACCGAACTGCAGCTGCGTTTTGACGCTCTCGAGGGGAAAAGTGATGAAGGCCTCGACACCTCCCGCAGTCGCTCCCGCGAGGAGAGATGCAATCGGCTTTTCCTTGGACCCCTTGGCTGCTGTGGACATGCTGATGTTTGAGAGGGGAATTATAGAGAGATAGATGGTAGATAGATCTTTCGCACGAAAGTGGAGGCTGGGCGATTTTCCATGTCACCGTTTACTTCATCATCTCTGGCATTTGCCTTTGTTTATCTTTTGCACTATACATCACTTGGACAAATTCCGCGCCATGCAAACTGAAACTACGCCACAAGCACTATCAAGTGACAACTCGCTCTTGGGTAGAGGCTGGACGCAAGTCGCGTCGTTTGACGAGCTGAATGAGGACGAGTATGAGGAGGAAGAAGAGGTGGGTGCTATACAGATAGCGAGATTCGTACTGACTCTGGTAGGAGATGCTTGTTACATTGGATCTGGGAACTGCTGTCGACGCAAAGTCGCTCCAGACAGAGTCGGGTTATCAGATCATCGCAAGTACTGCTCTCCCTATGGGACTAACGCTGATCAGCTTATAGGGGATGGACACGTCTAGCCCATTTCTGCGATTGGGTAACCAAATATTCAAAGGCGATATCACCCCTCTCATTGGCGATGAGATTATCTGTGGCCACGTCCGAAGTAGGTCCTCTCCCCTTTCTTCTTCAACCGCTGACTTTCTGTAGACCACGAAGACATCCATGCCCCCTCACATCCTCCTGTCATGAGCACGAATAACCGTATTACCTTCCAACCCATCACTCTCCACGCCAAAAACCGTGCTCCGATCCACGCCCCCAGTGCCGAAGCGTCAACATCGGACTATGCAGTCGCCGGTCCTGGGCCAAGCACTGCAGCTGCCGAAGGAGCAGTGCCCGCCCCACCAAAGAGAAAAGGGCGGCATAGGAGAGTAATTGAGAGACCAGAGGACCTGAATACGTTTGATCTGGAGGCTATGGGGAAGCATCAAACTGGTGAGTTTTGCTTACGCCATGCGCACCTAGTGAGCTTAATCTCTGTCCAGTTGAGCTCGGACCGGCGGTGATGGAACAGCTAGGTATACCGCCTGGAACTGATGGCCGAGGAGCGATATTGAAGAAGAGAGACTTGGAGCGGGTACTGCTGGGCATTCCTGAGAGCAAACGGGGTCGCAAGAAGAAGCAGCCTGTTCCCGAGCCCACAGGCATATGATTTGCGGCGATGTGGATGGCACAACGGCGACGTATTGAGTGTTTCCGACTCGGATATGTATGCAACTGTTGTATAGATATGATTATAGCAAACGCCCTTTCACATCCTCTGCATCCTTGTGTTCATCCCCTCCGCATTCTTCCGCCTATACTCTCTTCTCTCTGCAGTCTTGTCTTCTCCCCCGACCTTGCCCCATCCGGCTAGCGGTACTACGACGCAAGTGCAGTTGTCTGACGCGCCGAGGTCTTCGGCAAAGTGGACGATGGTCTTGGCTGCGCGGCTCGGGTCGAGAGAACGGCGGGCGAGATCTATAATCTCTTGGTCCGACATGAGGGCAGTTATGCCGTCTGTTGCCAGTACAATGTAGCAACTTTCGTCGCCTATATCCTGTTACCAGGCGTACTCGGTCCAATTCGTAAAAACGTACCATCAATGACCTTGGTCGAAACCTCTGGCTCTGCAGTCACCCCCGAAGGCTTCCATTGCCCATCCCCAAATCCCCTCGTGTTTTCCACCGCTCCCATCCACCTCGATTCGCCATACGAGTCACTGACAAGCAGCCCAGCGCCCATGCGCCGGAGGCGGGAAGCCTCAACGCGGGATTCAGCGTGGTGCTTTTCGGTGAGGGCAAGGACTTGGCCAGTGGCACGGATACAGAGAAGGGCACGGGTATCTCTGTAGTCGTATCAGTGGTCGTCTGGTGGGAGCGAAATCAACGTACCCGCAGTGTCCAATCGTCACGGCCACCTTCTTTGCACCCCAATAAGGCTGCGCTGGCCCATCCAACGAATGCAGCAACACCACACTCGCTGTCGATCCGCATCTTTCAGAACCATTCACGTCTTCCAGTATCTCCTTGTCCGCTTGCAAAAAGGCCAGTGTTAAACGCTCTTCCAAAGTCATCTTGTCTCCATTCTCTACACTCGCCGCTTGCCCTTCCTGGGCGAATCTGGTCCACCGCCCCAGGGCACCACCCCGCCATCTCTTAAAGTATCCACCGTGTTTCTCTTTCGTCCATTCCACAACAGAGGCTATCGACGAAGGCTCTGCGGATTCAATGAGGGATTGAAGTTTGCTGGCGACGTATGATGAGACTTGGGGGCCTCCATGACTATCACGATCAGTTTGCTGTTGACGCACGCATGAGGACGTACCCGTCAAAGATGCCAAAATATCCAGCTTGAGATGCCAAGAAATTAGATCCAGCCACTTCAGGGTTCCAGTCCACCGGGTTCTTGCTTTTCGCCAGTGATTGTTGCAGTTCTGCAGGGTCCAGCTGCAGCGCATGAACCGAGGACGCGTCTTCCTGATACCTGCCCCATTATCATCAGCGTGGCTCCCCAAGTTGTAGAGTGGAAAGACTTGCTCGCGATACCCGCGTGAAGAGTATGATCCCACGATCTTTGGAGACGTGAGCGGTACTTTGTAGGTACCTATTAGGAGATCAGTAGCCGTCCAAACAGAGGTGGGCGACGCACCCTTGTCCATGGGGCCTCTAATGAAGTCGTGGACTGCTCTCGCTCTCGCTGGGCGGCGGTTGCAAAGGAGGGCGAGGGGCGGGCGTGTTCTTATGGGGGCGAGCATTGGTGCTATATGGGCATTGTCGGCTTGGAGTGACAAACCACGCCGGCGCTGCAAGATTTGATACGCAGCGACGGCGCGGACGGGACGCCGAGCGCCGACAACAGAGACTGCACTTCTGCTGGTGACTGGGTGCTGGTGGTACTTTTAAACACGGCTATGGGGCTGCAAGAGGCATGCAGTGCAGTACATAGGAAGTGTATTCTGATTCCTTTCTTGCAGGGCTCTGTCTTCTTATGTATACCTTGCAACCACAGCTTACACTCGGCCTGCTTACGCACCTCGAGACCACCCTACAAACAGCCCAAGGAAAGATGGCCATACGGGTCATATAATAACATACACTAATACTACATCTCACGAGCCCATAACGTACCATCCCTCACTCCTACCATATCGCCGTGCCGAATCCTCTACTCAAGCTTCTCCAGGTAGTCCAACCTATCCAAGACCACTTGCTTGCTCGTCTCTTCTATTTCTCCAGCGAGGAACACTTCGTCTAGGATTGCATATACCTATATATGGTCAGCAATTATCTCACAGAGAGGAAGACAGAAGTAGCTGACTTTGTAGAAGGAGAAAACGAGATCGAGTTCACAGACGTTTTGGAAGAACGCATCTACGCATTGTCAGCTTCGTATGCTTTTGGGCACTGGAGAATACTCGCCAAGTACCTCGACAAAGAGGTGGATTGCTTCAAGATAGGCAAGCTCATTGTCGTTGGAGTCGACACAGACGCAGAAGAAAAGACCAGCGTATCGTCGGTAGATGACCTTGTCGTCACGAAACTGTGTATGTTGTGGTAGCCCCAGAGGTAGTGGTTGGAGAGGCAGGTTCCAGTCAAGCCGAAAGCAAGTGATACAGACAAGAGACAGACGTCGGTCAGCATATGCACTCTCCAGATAACCAGAACGCACCTCGACAAAGTTGGATTGGTATTTTTGATCTCGGGGGGCAATCAGACGGTGAACCTCTCCTCTCAGGCGAACCTAGACAAGTACATCGAGTAGTCAACATCCTCCAGAACACGCATAACACCCGTGGAAGATCATTGGGGCACGTCAAGAGCTCGGACACGCACCTTTTCGTCGTCGTCGTAAGGAGCATACCACTTTGACAGCCTGGTTTTTCCTTGTCTGTTCTGTATGCTTGTGTGAGCTGGATCCAGATGGTGAATGACCGAGGGCATACTTGAACGAGGATGAACTTGATCATGGCGAGCGATAGATGGTGAAGAGAGATGGGGAATTAACGAGGGCCAGTCGGGGTACGTGTGTCTGAAAGCTCTCCAGTGTGCGGTTATGCAAGCTGAGCGTCGACGTTTGAAGGGATAGCAGGATGGACGGTATTGGTGTCGATGGCGGAATGAAATGAGAAAGCAAGAAAGGCGAACGCGCGCGTTTGTTGTTCTCCATCATCACCCTCCGCCGCCATGGCACCCCAATACGCACATCTGCCCTCAGGCAACCCCCCACCCGCATCCCATTCCCCCCGCTCATCATCCTCCACAGAGTTCCAGGATACCCTCGACCAGGAGCCCTTTGATGAGGAAAAGGGGCAGCCATTCAGAGACGATCCCCTCATAGAAGGCTCGGGGGAGGACTATGATGACGGGCAGGGTTTCGCCACAGATGCGAGGAGGGTGCGTACATGCCCCTGGGCGCCTTGGATATCATAGCTGACGTGCTGCAGTTACGGCCAAGGAGAAAGTCGCGCAAAATCTTGGCCGTGCTGATCACCATCATCGTCTTTGCTGGTGCTATCGGCGGCCTGGCAGCCGCTGGATACTCTGCGCCCTCCTTCTCTGTCAAGGGCGGTATCAAGCAGATCACCATGGATCATGTATTCAACGGGACCTTTGCCGCCTATAGCAAACAGGTGGACTGGGTCAAAGAGGGTATGTTCAAGTCACCATGCCTAGCAACCATCTCACACTCGCACAGCTGAAGACGGCACCTTCTCGCATATCAATAAGGAAGGGAACATTGTCCTCAACACTGTGAGGAACATGACTGAAGACACCCTCCTTGTGGACTCTTCTCTTGTGCTCGACACTGAAGGCAACAAGCTTCACTGGCAATCCTGGGCACTGTCCGCCGACATGGAATATGTTCTCTTCCAGACGGACCATGTCAAGCAATGGCGTCACTCGTCGTTTGGAAACTACTGGGTCCATCGACGCAGTGACTCTGTCACGTTCCCCGTTGCCGCCCCCACGAAAAAGCCCACCATCTCGCACTGCACTTGGTCGCCTGTCGGTCATGCGCTCGTCTTTGTCAGTAAGAATGACGTCTATCTCATCACTGAAAGCGAAATGGCGTCTTCTGCCCCTGAATCCATCCGCATAACCGACGATGGCAGTCATACCGTCTTTAACGGTGTCCCAGATTGGGTTTACGAAGAAGAGGTGTTTGAATCGGATACCGCTCTTTGGTGGAGTCCGGACGCAAAGAGCATCGCATTCTTGAGAAGTGATGAGAGCAAAGTCAAGGACTACAAGCTCCAGTATTACAACCCCTCTAATAACGCCTTCGAAGTGCATCAATACCAGACAGAGCTGGATATGAAGTAAGAGACGCCCTCGCTGTCATGGTCGATACTAACGGATCGCAGGTACCCCAAGCCGGGCACTCCCAATCCCACAGTGTCTGTTTACACATATACACTCTCAACACGCTCCAAGCAGCACCTCTCCTGGGCCGGCGAGATGCCTCTGGATGACCGTATCCTCGTCGAGATTGGTTGGGTTGCAGACAACGCCTTGATGGTCAAGGAAATCGACAGGTCGGCGAGACAGGGAAATGTCATAGTGTTTGAGGACGGAGAGACCAAGGGAACCATCGTGCGACTTCTAGGCAAGGACGGAGAAGAAGGAGACGATGGATGGATTGATCATGTGAGTTACAAAGCCATCTGGTGGCTGGTCAACTGACGTCTTATAGGGACAAAATGTGGTGCCAGTCAAGGGCTCATTGCCGGGATATCTTGATATCGTACCCAATCAGGGATACAACCACATCGCTTTCTTTGCTCCTGTGAACGCTAGTGAACCGATCTGGATCACTTCGGGTGAATGGGAGGTCACCCAGATCTCCGGCGTCAATTTAGAGAAGGGTCTAATGTAAGCCTGCCTTGCTGTTTTTTTGCATCATGCTGACCTGTCCAGTTATTTCACCGCGGCGACTCCATCCATTGACAGGCACCTGTACTCTGCCCCTCTCCCCATGTCTGCCGCAGGCGAATACCAGGAGATGTTGACAGCTTTGACCGATACCAAGTCTTCGGGATATTTCGAGGCGACCTTTTCTCCACAAGCCGGGTATTATGTGCTTGGGTACAGGGGACCAGAGGTGCCTTGGCAGCGGCTGATAGAGGCTGGATCTGGGGAAGAGAGTGAGTAATTGGCTTTGGTGCAAGCAGGACTAACAGCCATCAGACGCGAATGTTTTGCTCGAGGGCAACGCCGAGCTCAACAAGACCATCTCTGAATACCTCAAGCCTATTGTGACTAGGACGACCATCAACAGTGATGGCTACGGTATGTCAATCTGCGTATTTCCCGGCTGACTCCCGGCAGAACTCAACATGCTCGAAATCCTTCCACCCAACCTCGACATCACCGGCAGGCGCAAGTATCCTGTTCTCGTTCGTGTATACGGCGGCCCAGGATCGCAAATGGTCTCAAATCGTTTCGAACGTGACTGGCATTCCTATCTTGCAGCCTCCCAGCGATACATCATTGTCATGATCGATGGCAGAGGGACGGGAAACAAAGGTCGGGCGTTGAGAAACCCAGTGAGGGATAATTTGGGAAACTATGAGGTGGCGGATCAGACTGCTGCAGCAAAGGAAATGCTCAAGCGGCCGTACGTAGACAGGTCAAGGATTGGTATCTGGGGCTGGGTTCGTGTATAGACGGCGACTCTGGTTTGTTTGCTGACGTTTTCTCAGAGCTATGGAGGCTATATGACTTGCAAGACTCTCGAAGCAGAGACCGGTGTCTTCACCCTGGGTAGTAAGTTGCCCTTGCGGTGTGTCTGTATATCATCTGACGTCGTGCAGTGGCTGTAGCTCCAGTGACTTCATGGCTCTACTATGACTCCATTTACACCGAGCGATATATGTCCACTCCCGCGCTCAACGAGGAAGGCTACGTCTCCTCCGCCGTCAACAACGTCACGGCCTTTTCCGGTGATAAGGTTGACTTTATTTGGGCGCATGGAAGTGGCGATGACAATGTTCACTACGCAAACAGCGCATCCCTGCTGGACAAGTTGACGCAGGAGCAAGTTAGAGGGTGGCGGTTCAGGATGTTTACAGACTCGTGAGTTGATCCACCTGATTGGGTGATGAGATTGCTGACAACGCTCAGTAACCACTCTATGGATAAGCGCAATGCCTACAGGGAGGTGTATGAGTGGATGAACGATTTCCTGAGTGAGAAATGGGGTAAAGGCGGGACAATACATCATTGAACGTATCTTGATAGAAGAATATCTATTGTTGTATCTTTACTAAACAATCTCTCACTGTGGCACCAGATTCGGCTTGGTGCAAGCCAGTCAGTTGCGTCTTGAGTCGTAAATCTGCCGACAAAGTCGCCTGTCGCAGTAAGACTCACGTAAGCATCGCCGAAACTACCCTTGTCCTGCCTTCCATCAAGCCAGACCCCCTTCGACTTCAAGCAAGCTTGATTTGTGTTACGAGTATGTCACGACTTGACTTGGCACAGTCCTTGTCTTACACTAGGCGTCGTCGGAGCGAGGGGCTTGTGTCGAGCCTAGTCTTACACGATCAGCTACGGTATGCTCAGGCCAAATGTACTTCCAACCATCCAAAAACAGGTTCTGACACCTCATGGCATACATGACGCTATCTATATGAGGCATGTCCAGCAATGGGGCCAGCCTCGTTCGCTCACTTCTCGCTACAGATTGTCGTCAGTTTACGTATATATAATTGTGTCGCTGACGAGATGACTCACTCTCTGGATATCGCCTTCGGACCAATAATATTATGATTCTTTTACCTCCGCTCGACTCGATGTGCGGGAAGCGTTGCAATCCGGTCTATTGACCTCTTGTCGTTGAGGCTTGCGGGTTGAGACAACCGAAGGAACTGTTGGTTGGCTTGTCCATTCTTAGCATCATAGACATCGTTCGAGAAAAGCTCACATTTTGTACAATGCGATCCTTTCCCTCAGGTGAAACCTTCTATCAGGTCAACACCATCAATTGATCCCAGGGAATTGTATGGCCCAAGACTGCCGTGATTGCCTGCTGAACTCTCAGGACAACAGAGGAGGGCGAGCTTGGGCATAAGGTTTCTTATATTGAAGGTCTCAATGGGAGGAGAGCATGTTCCTAGACGATAGACGTGGATGATCGCTCGGACGAGCTTGAGGAGAACGAAGGGAAGTTTGAGGAGATCGAGAATTTGGGACTGCCTCGCGTCAAGACATTGTCATCCTGATCCCGACTCGGCACACAAAGGACATTGCCCCATGTAGCATACTTGTCGGGGTAGCCGTCGGTCGCGAGGATCAAACTTCAAGTTCACGTCAGAGCGGCCGGTGTAATAGACTCGCTCCAAGGCGGTCGAGTCGGGCTGGTGTCCCAGGTGGAAGCGGGCAACGTTGGGGTCGAGGTGCAGGGCCGCAAGGTCGCAAAAGCTGGGCGAAGAAGGGCGTACAAGGTGCCCGAGTAGCCTGAGGTTTGTAAGCGGTAGCTCTTAAACTGGGAACATTTGATATGACATACCCAATTTTTCTCCTACGTATATACATGAACAGCAGGAGTTGGGCGAACAGCTGGATGACGACGTCCGATTTGTCCTTGGCATGGTCCGATGCTGCGTGCTCAATGAGGACTCAAACATCGGCAGCGTACAGTGTGGTTTTGCGACGCACATTGTGCTGGAGTCGATAGCACTTGGCCGGCCAGCGCTTGTGCTTTGTAACACAGTCCTTGGCGGCTTGGAGCTACTCGGGAGAGAAGTGAGGCTCGGCAAAGTCAAGGATGGACAGGCTCTGGCGGTGAAGAGTCTTGAAATTGTCCAGTGCCATGTAGGCGCCCTTGCCGTCGGGGCGCTTACACACGGAGTCCTTGGCCCTCTTCTTAACCTGCCTGGTCTTGTCGACTTTGATCGAGCTCATCAACCTGAAGTTGAGGAATTTTCGAACACACTCTACAGAAGTCAATTACGCGTCAGCCACTCGGTAGTTTCCAGACATCAGCCGCGATACTACCTTTCTTTCCGACCAGCTTCCCCCATCAAGCAGGGTGTCCCTAGAGACTTGGTGAAACCTCGTAAACTCGAGGATGAGCCTTGGAACACCCTCTGGTGGATGGGCGAGCCGGGAATGCTATGGTGTCCCTAATTATCGATCTCCTCAAACTCCTCCTCGATCTCCTCAAACTCCTCCTCGTTCGCTTCATACTCCTCCGACAGGTCATCCTCCCTTCAATCCCAGAGAGGCTATTTCGCCCTCCCAAGAGGCCTTCAGCGTATTCGCTTGGGCCCAAACTCGTCCCCTCCCCTGGGCCGCACAATCAAGGGCTGTTCTGGAGGCGTTTATAGGAAGGGCGATGTCACAGCTGTGAAAGAGGAGTGTTATGAATATCTGTGAGGAGGAGAGACGAGCAAAGGGGGACGCAATAGTCAGAACCACAAAAGGAAAGATGATGGCCACGAGGGTCATGAACAGCTGGTCGTGAAGGCAGTGCCACCCTTCTGGAGGCAAGCAATCATATCTCGCGTCGCGCATCCTCAATCAGTGGATAAAAAAATTTCCGGGGTATAGATAGATAACAAGGAGAGCTATCCAGCAGTACCAACATCGATGATGCATGCATGGGTAAAAACGACTCACAAAAAAAAAACTGCTCCGGTGAGGGTCGAACTCACGATCTTCCGATTATTACGTAAGCACGCAAAGAAGTGTGGAATTTAACAGTCGGACGCCGTAACCAACTTAGCCACAGAGCATTCTATGTTTGCAAGGAGTAGCGTACCTAGATACCGCGATTCCAGCCGGGGTCATCAGCGTCCTCTCCTTCAACAACGCAGCCTGGACCGATGCTCTTTGCACAAAGACAACACGCATCGGAAGCAGCCAAGAACTGTACATGCACGGACGTCGAAACTAATTACATACAAACAAATGTCAAAAACAAGATGAGACCAAAATGGCACAATGCAGGAGATTTTCAGAACCGGCCTCTCCCCTTCACTCTCTTCATACCTCGTAAGACCCTGGAGTATGCGCCCTATCCAGAGGGATGGCCTCGTACTCTGCAGTGGACATTGCACTTCCCCTTCTGCCACCTGTGAAGCGCTGAAGGATGGGGAGCTTGTTGCCGGCGAATTGGACGATACCATCGACCGCGTTGAGGACGGCGTCTTTAGCGTCAAGAATGAGACTGGTATATCCGCTTTGGGCACCCTGATAAGAGTCTTTGGGCGAAATGGAGGAGATGGGTCGTGTCCACCACTAACAATGGTCAGCATCATTCACTGTCCAGAAACAAAGGCTCACCCTCAGAGTAAGACTCGACATGACCACCGACACACTACTACTGGCCATGGCCGCCGCCGCCATCATGGGATGCAGATGGATTCCCCAAGGTAGCAAAACCCCCATCGCCAGCGGGATCATCAAGACATTGTAGCAACACGCCCACACGAGGTTGGCCTTGATCTTTTTGAAAATCTGTTGCCCCAAGTCTATGGCTGCGACAACGTCGAGAAGGTCCGATCGCATAAGGACCACGTCGGCCGCTTCCATGGCTACGGAGGTACCCGAAGCAAGAGCAATACCGAGAGAAGCAGCGACGAGGGCGGGAGAGTCGTTGATACCATCTCCAACCATTGCCACACCTCCACCCATTTCACCGAGATCCTTTACAATCCTGGCCTTGCCCTGCGGACTCACGCCAGAGTAGACTTCATCCTCATCGATCCCGACTTGCCTAGCAATGGCTTGGGCAGTAGCAGTAGCGTCACCGGTAAGCATGGTGACCTTGATTCCCATAGCTTTGAAGGCACGGATTGCCTGGGCGGAAGTCGCTTTGGGAGAGTCGGACAGAGCAAGGGCGAGCACAGGAACAGAGCCGGTAGGCCGAACGATAGAGACAAAGATGACGGTCCGGGCGAGGTTCATCTGTTCTTGCTCAAACTCGAGAATCTCCTCGGGCATTGTAGGTTGATTTTCGGTGAAAGCCTCGGAAGACTTGGAGTCCGAGTCGAGCACAAAGCCGGCCTTGCCAACCCTGATGCGTTCTTGAACCGCGCCACCAGAAAGTTTCACCAACGCTTCGAGGCCCTGACCCGTGTGACTCTCCAACTCGACGACTTCACCGTTGGGTGGAGACAAGCCAGCTTTGGAGAGCACTTCCCGGCCATCGGCAGCCACAGCCACACCAAGCGGATGCTCGGACCTGGCCTCGGCGAGAGCGAGGAGAGAGAGGACGGTGTGACGTTGAAGGGGAGAGGCAGCGGTGGTCATGGAAAGGGTAGCAGCAGTGTCAAGGGCAGACTGGCCCAAGACATCCTTGCCAACCCAAGCTACCGCTGTCAACGCCATCTTGCCTTCTGTCACTGTACCAGTCTTGTCCAAAACCACCCTCTTTACATCCTTGCACGCTTCCAGAGCCTTGCCGCCCTTGATGAGGATACCGTTCTTGGCGCCAACGCCAGTCCCGACCATCACCGCCGTGGGCGTACTCAGACCCAAAGCACAGGGACAAGCGACGACGACAACAGAGATACAGAGTTTGAGGCAAACACCGAATTTGCCGACTCCAGGAGAGTGAAACGCCCCTGGCAGATTGTCGGACGACGTGCACAAAGAGATGACCATCCATCCCGCAAAGGTGAGAAGACTGAGGGTTATGACGATAGGCACAAAGATACCCGCAATCCTATCGGCGAATGCCTGGATAGGTGCTTTGGAAGTTTGAGCATCTTCGACGAGTTTGACAATCTGCGAAAGGGCCGTGTCGGCACCCGCTCGGGTGACTCGGAAAGTGATGGTGCCGAGGCCGTTGACGGTACCGCCGATGACCTGCGAGTTGGCTTTCTTTGTGATGGGCAAGGCTTCGCCGGTGACCATGGACTCGTCGACAGAAGTCGAGCCAGTGAGGACATTGCCGTCGGCTGGAATCTTTTCTCCGGGGACCAGTAGAACGACATCTCCAACTTCGACGAGCTCGGTTGGGATCTTTCTCGTGGGGTCTGTAGAGTTGGGCAGTTCACCTTCGGTGGGGGGGTCGACGTAGATCGTGGCAGACGACGGAGTGAGGGACAAAAGGTCGGTCAGGGCTGCGGAAGTCTTGCCCTTGGCGACATTCTCCATGAATCGGCCGAGGGACACAAATGTGATGAGCATGGTGGAGGTGTCAAAGAACGTCTGGGGGCGATACTCGTCGTCGTCGGAGAACATGGCGAAGAACATGGCACAGACAGAGTAGGAGAAGGCTGAGGATGTACCGAGGACGACCAGAACATCCCTACAGTAGTGTTAGTCATCATTTCGATCCAGGGTCGAGACGTACATTGTGGCAGACCCGTGCTTGACACTCTTCCAGGCATTCGTGTAGAATCTCCGCGCCAACCAGCATTGCACCGGTATTGTCAGACCCAAGCAAACCAGATCGCCCAAATACACGCCCGTCACAATCTTCCACATTGTCCATCCCATCAACCACGTCGGCAGATACATTGCCAGCATCCCGATCACAAACACGGGCACCGCAAAGAAGAGCGACGTAAAGAATGTCCGCCGCCAGAGGGCTGCTTCTTTGTGTTTTTGCAAGGACGCTATCTGCGAGTCGTTATTGCTAGAGACTGGGAGAAAGTTGAGGGCTGGAAAGGCGGCTGATAAAGTGTCGACGATGACCCGGAGAGAGGCGAGGAGCGGGGAATGTGACAGGGCCAAGTGCGTGTAGGGGGGCGGGCAGATGGCTGAATGGACACCCGCTATTGAGCCTGTCCGTTCCAGCAGGTTGGTGACGACGCTGGGGTTCTCCAAGCTATGCGTTCCATCAGCACCGCTCAGAGAGGGAGTGACTCAGCTCACCCATAGACCCGCAGTTCCACTTCTTCCACTTCGCTCTTCTCGACGACTGTGGCTTCGAATCCAATGTCTTCCACTTCCTCTGCTATCAGGTCATCTGTCCATGTCTGGCCGTTGTCCCGGATGAAGCTGGGGTCGTATTCGACGACTCCGCGCTCGGCGAGCAGTGATATTTGGACCGTGCATATGCCGGGCTGTTTCAGTGATGATTCTATAGAGGCGACGCATGCACCGCACTATGGCCCATCAGTACTGCCCTGCTGCTGCTGCATGTATATCGTCTACTCACAGTCATGCCTCCAACACGCAGCTCCACCCTCTTGGGAACCAGTCCGCCATCAAGGCCTTTGCCCTCGCCGAATGGGCTCTCGTCGCCTTCTAGCAGGACTGTGCCTACTTTAGGAGAGGTGAACAGGGAGGTGATGGGGGTGGGGATGGTGTCGATGATGCTATGGAGGAGACCGCCGTTGGAGGATGATCTTTGCCCCCGCGGCGGCGAGTTGAGCGGGGCGGGCATGGCTGGCGGTGGCGGGGAGGGGTTCTCTGTGGGCGGGGCGGGGAAGGGTAGAGGGTTGAGGGAAGAAAGAAGAAAGAAGAAGGAAGAAGATGCGTAGAATACAGTTATATGCAAAAGACAGCTGAGGATGGAAAAATGAATGGAGGACGTCGGCCGGTCGCAATGGCCGCATCAGGAAATTTGCCTCAACATCATCGACGAGCAGGTATGTATCCCCGCGACCACTGCCCCTCGGTGCTTCGGCAGCGACAGCAAAAGTATGTACAGCTGCATCCGATGTATCCAACACACACCGCAGTCCCAAGTAGCATAGCCCATAGCCACCAAGCACAGCGCTCGTCGGGCGACCGCGTCTTCTCCGTATCATTCGAAATCTCTTCCCTTAACCCTATCTTCTCTCCGTTGAGCCATCTGGGGCGGGGTCAGCGTCTTCTATGCACTGCAGTATGCAGACCCACCCAGTTGGACTTGCAGTTCTTGTACGCGGTGAAAAAGTCGAGACACTATTCGCAGCGTCAGCTTGGCCTCTTGCCTTGCGACTGCTCCTTACTTCTGAACGATTGTAGTGTGTCTTTTCGAGACACAGGAGCGAGGCTTTTCTGGCTTCCTCACATGGATCGGCAAACTAAGTAGCATACAGGTCAGCCCGATCTCGATGGCAGCTGGCGACCAACTTTGCTGACGGTTTTTCTGTCCTGCATAACACTGTCAGCCTTGAATAGATATATGTGAGCCTGAGGACCGGGATACACATCCACATCGCAGAACCCGAATCGTATCATGCATATCAGAGACCACTCACTCTGAAAGTCTTTTTGTAATCGGCGGGTGTTTCCAAGCTCGCGGTCGGAGGCGCAGGCATCTCGTGCATCGGCGTGGGGGTGGTTCGTGGGGGTACTTGGGACATGCTGGCTGTATCTCTTGCAGTTGTTGCAGTTGTGGACGCTCGAGGGAAAAAGCAAGATGTATAGCCGGCGGACTTGGAAGATGACAAGGAACGCGCGGGGCCTCATTTGACAGAAAACTTCGCAAAAGCGTCAACAAATCTATCCACCTCTTGCATTCAACAACAACCGCCATACAATATGCCAGCCGACAAGAAGATAGTCAAGAAGGGTGCCCACCCGTACCGCAAACCCCGCGACCCCGCCGCCCAGTCAGACAGACCGGACAACGGCCACAAGGTGCTTCCCACCGAAGCTCGAGATGCGGCTGGCTTGCCAGGCATGAGCAAACTGAAGGGAAGCATCAGGCAGACAAAGAGGCTCCTGGCCAAGGTTTGTGGCATCCCAATGTAAAGTGTAATGAAACACTGATAAAATTGTAGGACAACTTGGACCCGGGACTGAGAGTGAACACTCAGCGACGACTGGCGTCCCTCGAAGCCGACTTGGCTGCTGCCGAGCGAAGAGAACTGGAAAAGAAGAATGGTGCCAAGTACCACAAGGTGACGTTTACGGCAATGGTATGGAATTTTAACTGATCAGTAACAAAGGTCAAATTCTTTGAACGCCAAAAGCTCCTTCGCCTGATCAAACGCTTCGAAAAGAAGCTTTCAGGCGGAGAAGACGAAAAGCAGCTCAAGGAGAAGAAGAGAAAGAGGCTGGAAGAAGAGCTGCTGGATACCAGGGTCATGCTGAACTACATCCTGCACTTCCCGTAAGTTCGTGCATGATGCCGCTCACACGGGACTGACAGACGTTGCAGGAATACGCAAAAGTACATTGCCATATTCCCGTCCGCCCAACCGTCCAAACCTGATGACGAGTCTGAGCCCAAACTCACCCTCCCTCCCCTCCTGCATCCCGTCCCCTCCCCCTCAGACATCGAGTCTCTCGACAAACCAGCCAGACGGCGATACGACCTCCTGCTCGAGACCGCCAAGTTGATGGAGGAAGGCAAGCTCAAGAGTGAGCCAGAGAAGGATTTGAAGAAGGGTCAACAGGATGGTGTCGTTGTGGGTCTCGGAGCAGGCGTCGAGATTGGGGTTGGCAAGGGCGAGGTGGCGGCAAAGGAAGTAGAGGAAGACGATTTCTTCGAGTCTGGAGACGACGAGTGATCTGGACGTGTATGCAAGTCATATGTGCATACGGCAATGTCTTGATGATTTATAATTGAGCAGGTCACTCAGATGTTTCTTTGGATTGACACGGTACTAGTGACCCAAAGCCTATTATCATCCAAGCATATGGATCAGATACATCATATAATTATCAAAACGTGGTATGATGGCTCGTGTACGATCTAGATGCCAGCATCCTTCTACGGCTACACTGTATGGCTTGAAATTCTGGAAAATAGGAGAAACAAATGTGCACAGGAAACTAAGGGTATTCTAGATCTGACAAAACGCAAGCAAAGATTCAGGGTATAAAGCCGAAGCAACGAAGGGATACAAGGCAGTCGGGAGCGGGAAACCAGGTCTGCCGCTCAGAGCTTGATGGAGCCAGCGTTATAATTGTAATTGTAAATCCCATTCTTTTCAATCCGTCAGCAACAGCCTGTCGTGAACAGAGAGACTCACCCAACACTCGTCAGTGACTGTGACGTTACTGGTGGTCCTACCAAAGCCACCCTTGAAAGAGACAAACTCAAAGCTTTGGGCTCCAACCCCCATCGGTACTTCCACCATCTGCACTCCCTGCTCGACATATCGGATCACCGGCAGACTGTTTCCAGAGGTCACCTTGATAACCCCGCCCCACTGAGTCATGGTAGACACAAAGACAGTATCCTCGAGATAGTCCCAGCCAGTAGGTCTGCCGAGACAATTGTCTGTATCGTCGCAAGATGCCGACTTGAGGTGGGGACGGTGCCAGTAGACGAGCATCTCTTGTTCGATGACGGGCTCCGATTTGCCAGCCTTGAAGGCTTTGATGTATGGAATGGCAAAGTCCATCATAGCGGTGTGGTCAAGGCCGGATGCCCAGAGGGAAGAAGAGTCGTCGGTGTGGGGAGTGTTGAAGGGGCCGATGTGGTGAGACTCTCCATAGTCATTCCAAGTGACAACTGCATGGCATAAACAAAGTCCTTTGGCGGATGTAAAACTCACTTTCAACGAAATTGACTCGGTTGCCAATCGCCAGAACCTGCTCCCATCGGTCCTTCCAAAGACTCTCGCCCTTGAACACCCAATTCTTGGAATAAGATACCTCCTTGCCAAAGTGGGTCGAGAACCAGCTGCTGACCGGCATCATATAGGTCTTGTTGGAGGCTTCGAGGAGGTCGAGGTATTCAATGTCGCGAGAGGTGGACATATCCTCGTTGACGGGGACATTGTCGAGCTGTCCTGGCCAGGCAGCCCTGCCGAAAGTATTAGCAAATGGCTGTCGAGACATGATTCAACATACCAAGAGAAGAGACCGGATACACCAGCGTCATTGGCATTGTCCTCCGTAGCCTGGAAGAATGGCACAGCATAGAGCTCTTCCCCAACCTGAGAAGCGGTAGAAGACCAATCGAATCCATCACCGATAAAGGACGAGACGAAAGGCTTGCCGTCGACTCGGTACTGTGCTGAAGAGTCTTTGAAGCGCTTGAGCATGTCGGCGACACCAGTGACATTGGCGAGAGTGTACCAGTTGAAATCAAACGAGATGAAGACGTTAAATTCTGAGAGAGTCTCGCAAGCAGCATAGGCGAGGTCAAGCTGGCCCTCAGAGTAAGAGTCGACTTTTGTCATTAGTCAGCTGTGGCTCGCAGGGAAACAAGAGGACGTACCACCAATGTTGAGCGCGAAGCCATCGATACCAGCGTCCTTTGCGAGCTGCATATCCGCCAACCAGTCACTCTGCGTATACGTAGAGACGATTCCAACCATAAAGTGCGCAAACACTTTCTTCTCCCCTCCCACAGTTGTACCGCTCGATCCTGTCGCAGCGCTGGACGTGGTCGCAGTGGCCGACGCAGTGGCGGCACCAGAAGTGGCGGTAGGTCCTTCGACGGTGAACCCGAGAGAAAGTTCGGCATCAAAGGAGATGGTATAGCCGAGAGCGAGGAGCTCGTTTTGGATCTGGGCAGTGGCGAGAGAGGTGGTGGCAGAGACGGCGGCGAGCTCGACGATATCGCCCGAGACGGTGCCCGTGGGGGCGTCGGTGATCGAGGCAGAGGCGGCAGAAGAGTTGGTTTGGGTTGCTGAGGCAGCGAGGGAAGAGTCGGACACGGCAAGAGAAGAAGAATCGGAAACGGCGAGGGCAACAGCTTCCAGAGCGCTCGAAGAGGCAGTCTGGCTGACGGAGCTGGCAGAGGTCGAGGCCGTTTCGCCAGCAATGTCATCATCATACACATACTCTGTCACCCACACAGTCTCGGAAGCCTGGGTAGTAGGAGTGGCAGCTGCATTGTCCGCTGAAATGCAAATCAGCATGACTTGCCGAACATGAGAAAAACACTGACCGATCCAGGTGCTTGTTTCGTACACCGACCAGCGGCCGCTTGAAGCCACCTCTTCCCTCTTGGCTCTACGCATGTGTCTGCTGCGAGAGCGAGCGTCGTGGCGGTGGGCATATACGAGACTTGATGCCAGGAGGAGGGCTGGGACAAGGGATGAAGTGCGCATTGTGGGTGATCCTTGGCGGTGTGAGGCGGTGTGAGGCGGTGTGAGGGCAGCAGGCGAGAGGATGGGGAGAGGGGGCTGTAGGAGCAGATGAAAGAGTGGAAGAGCGCAAGATCAACTTGGCTGTGGGCAAGACACCAGGCAGATGAGAAGAGAGGCAGATGAGAAGAGGAGGGGAAGGGAGATAGAATGGGGTTTATATATTACAGGACAAAGGACAAAGGGTGAAACGCGTCACTCAACGCGCTCCCCGTGCCTGGCTCGAACAATAGGCATCCGATTCCGGAGGGGGCTGAAGGGAGCTCATCAATCACCCCTTGCTTTGTTTCGAGGTCCAATCAGTATTCCTATCGTCAGCGTCCGCATGGGACAGCATGCAGCCCCCAATCGTCCACCGTTTTTTATGAGCCATGTTGTCACTGACAGGGGATACGAGATCAGTGCGCTGTCCCCAGGCGCCATGCCCGGAGCCGCATGCTACGGAACCGCATCTACTCACCATCTACGCAATGCATCCGGATCTCTACTCGCTCTCCACATCCGCTCCCCTCCTCGTCACAATCTTGTCCACAATCCCAAACTCGACAGCCTCTTCTGCCGTCATGAAATAGTCCCTCTCCAGCGCCTTTTCAAATCTCTCCCTCGCGGCTGCCTTCTCCTCACCAGCAAGAGTACAGTGATCGGCATAGATATCGGTCAAGGAGGCGCGGATACGGAGGATCTCTTTAGCATGAAGGGCTATGTCGGTCGCTTGACCTTGGGCACCGCCGGATGGTTCTGCGACATGTCAGTCTGGTCCAGGTGAAGAGTATGGAAGCATACGGTGAATCATGACACTACTGTTTTTAAGCGCATACCGGTGTCCAGGAGCACCACCTCCGAGAAGGAGGGATCCCATACTAGCAGCTTGGCCGAGGCAAAACGTATGAACCGGGGGAGAGATGTACTGCATCGTGTCGTAGATTGCCAGCCCTGCCCCGCATCAGCTGGGTCACTCGTTGTGTCACTGACTCACCTGATGTGACAACACCGCCGGGAGAGTTGATGTACATCTTGATAGGACGTTTGGGATCTTCAGCCTCGAGGAAGAGAAGCTGGGCGGTGAGGAGTGTAGAGTCTTGCGAGTTTACCTGTGCAGTGTCAGCTCCATATCAAGCTTAGAATAGAAGCGTACAGGTCCAAGAAAGATGACACGTTCTCTCAACAACCTTGAGTAGATATCATAACTCCTCTCTCCTCTAGCCTGCGGAATCATCAGCTCCTACTTTGGGTCGTCTGCGTATGGACCCACTGTTTGTTCAACGACAATCGGCACCAAAGCATCCCGGATGACAGGATTGGCGGCTTCGTCTCCAAAGCCCATTCCTGGAAGAGAAGATGCCATGCCGAAAGCCCTCCGAGGGATGGTCCTAGATGGGCCGGCAGTAGCAAGAGAGGCGAGGGGTCGAAGAGGGGAGAAACGAGACATGGTGCGGGTATCTTGTAACGTCAGCCATATTCCATGTGCGACTGCAGAGATGCTCACGATAGAACTGGAATGATAGCCACACTGGCAAGACGCATTGAAGACGATCCATTGTAATAAGCGTTGCGAAGGGTGCCAGCCACGTGGCTTGGCTGCTCGGCGGCCGCCCGGCGGTTTCAACAATCGCTACGTGACATTTGAACATTTGAATGTGTTGTTGTTGTTGCTTTTTGACATCTCTTGCACCACTCCTGGGTCTTTTCAGCATGTCTATCAACTCTGTAAAGTTCGGGCCAGGTGAAAGGCCCGTATCTTCCCAAGGTATCTACTTTGCCACTCTCCCTTCGACCCAGCAGACGCTGACAATGGCCTTCTCAACTCTACCCCTGTTCCTCCAGGCGAAGGCCTCATGCCACTTTCACACCACGCTACCGTAACCCTCTCCATTCCCCCCACTCGCCAAGGTCCCAAACGCGCCGAAACCGTCCAAGGACGTCTCTGGGTCACAGAGTGCCGCGTACGCCCTTTACACCTGTTCTGCGGCTCCACACTGACGCATCACAAGGTCATATTCGCTGCACACAGCATGTTTTCCACTACCCAATCTTCAGCTGCATCAAGCGATCCACCGGGATATGATGCCACGCCGGCTCTTACCTCTTTTGAAATCCGGCATGTAAGTACTTTGTGTACTCTTCATTCGTCGTCCAACTTTTACGTGCACCCTAGACGTCCATCCAATCATGCACATACAACCTTCCAACTTTTTCTGCCAACTATATCCTCCTCACGTTTCTTCCTGCTCCCGGTTCTTCCTTGCCTGACCCGGGCACAGGACAGAGTCTGGAGCTCAAGATCGTGGTCGGGCAGGGGAGCGGGCATAGGTTGTGGAAGATCATCGAGGGTGAGCGGAGCCGGGCTGAAGAGAGGGGAACCGAAGCAGACAATGAAGCTTTACGTGAGTCTTTCAGTATATGATTGGATCATAGCTGATCCTAAGTCAAAGCCGTCTATGAACCATTTGGAAGCGTTCCTCGACCATTGTAATGTAGCAAAAATTCACGAACAGAAACGACCGCCAGCATGTCAATATCATATACAACACACATTTGTAGTTCTATGTCACATATTCTCAAGCCCTCCTGGGATACCACCAGACCCCATCTCTCTCCTTGACCACTCTAACAAACTTGACCACCAATTTGTCTCTCTCCTTCTTATCCCCGTCTCTTGTCAGGCCCTTCAAGAATGGGGTCATTTCGTCCGGGCGCCAGCGTGTGCGAGTGAGGAATAATTCAGAGAAACGGGGCGCAGGCTGGAGAGGGAGGGAGGAGATGGGAAAGTATGTGAGGAGTGGACAGCGGGTACCGAAGGCCAGGGCAGAGGCAGGGGGCGGGTTTGCAAGGTATTCGCCCTGACAACGTCAGCTATTGCCATACAAGAGACGGGGGCTCACTTCAAGCAACTTTATATCAACCAGATCCTCCCAGCTATCCCCAACTTCCTTCTTCCACTCGTCCACAAACTCGTCCTGCTTTTTGTTTCTCCCAATCCTCGTGAGGATACCCATCCCCACTTCCTTGACAATCTTTTTCATATCCCCTCTCCACATTTCTCCCTCCACATGACCAAACAGCCCGAGGAAAGGCGAAGAGAGGGAAGGGAGAATGTCGTATTCTTTCTCGAGCGTCTGAATAAGAGTCTTGGTAGGAGCTGTAGTATCTGACCCTTTCGAGTTGATATGGAGCAGGCTTATCAGGAGCACCAACAAGTCTTTGAGGTTGGCTGCCGGGAGCAACAACAGTTTGCCGTCTACTTCCACAACATTCCTCTCTCTCAGCCCGTCTTCCAGCTCTCGATCACTCGCTTGCACCACACTCTTGAGCTGCTCTTTCGTCCACCTCTTGACCACCTTTCCATTCTTCTCGTCCCTCTTTCTCTTGCCCAGACTCGAGTCCATGCCCTCCCAAGCAGACGGTCTCAGGACAGCCCGGATCCGCTCCAGGTTGGGTGCTATAGGCACGCACTCAAAGACCTGATGGCATATATCACTAATGTGCAGTGTTTCCTTTGCTTCCTCTCCGACATCTCTCCGGAGAAAGACGTCGGGGTCCTCGGCAGCGGAACGGCAGACGAGAAGCGAATTTGAGATGCCGATGGTGCGGAGTTGGAACGTCGCGTTGGGGGTACATATCGTCGCGTCGTCTGAGGGCCGGCCTTTAATTGTGAGGCTATCATCGTGTCAGTCAGTCTCACGATACCGAAGGGAGAGACGTACGGAAAAGGCTCAGCACCGTCCAAGGCTTCGACCTGCTTGAGGATCTCTGGCGGCAGCTCGAGCAGCTGGTAGGTCTCTTCTACGTCCAGCACCTCTGAAGCTCCCGCGCCCGCGCCCGGGGGGTACCTGAGGACGACATGCTTGTCTGGCAGGGCGTTGCTCATGCTGTTTGTGGACGCGTAAAAGCAAGAGACGCGTTGAATTGACGCGTAGTGCCACACGCTCAAAGGCCGGCAATCGCCGCTTTCCGCTCTCCAAGTCTCTACTACCACTCATAGCTCTTTTGCAGCCACCACCACCGCCACCGCCACCGCCATGTCCATCCTCGCCCGCTCCACCCTCGCCGCCGCCAGGACCGTCAGGGCCGCCCCCCGCCAGGTCCGCGCCGCCCACTTTGAGAACGTCGTTGACCAGTACGTTCTATCGCACAATCACAAAATTAGCCGGATCTGGATTGGCTGCGATTCGAGGAGGGAGAGGATATTCGAGGGAATTCAAATGTAAATATCGGGAGCTGACTGGATCCGCGTAGCACCCTCCCCACCAGCGTCAACAAGTACTCGCTCGCCGCCAAGATGGTCGTTTTCACCATTGCCGGTTTCGGTACTCCCTTCCTCGGTGCTTGGTGGCAACTGTGAGTTGGTATCTCTATGACGGGCGTGGGAGTGTCGTGAGAAAGAGGGAAAGATTCAGGTCGGAGAATGCGACAATTGCAAAAGCTGACAGTCACATAGCGTCGGAAAGAAGTAATCGCCATATGATATCTGTTGTATGGGCATCGGCGATATGCATCTCTTTCCCCGGCTTTTCAACTACATGTGACAATCCTTCGGCAGTAGAGCACGGCCAAAAGAGATACGGAAAAGGAGTTGGGACAGAAAAAGAGGGACGGGTTTGCTCTGGTGTCAACCGAAGCGAGATCTGTTTGCTCTGCTAAGTCGCTAGCAGACAGCACCCTCCTCTGGCTTCCCCGTGGCTGTCACCCAGTATCATATGTCCGACCAAAATCAACAGCGCATGCCGCCCTGAACGACCCGCTCTCGTCCAATCACAAGGCTGATCAAAGGGAATGGCCCCGTAATATGAGGTTTTCCGTCGATATCTATACGACGTCCGACAATGTTGAACGAAGGGTGAAGACGACGCAGAGTCTGGGACTGGTCGACACACATGGCGCAAACAATTCCTGGTGGTGCAGTCTCAAAGTGTTGGATACGTACAGAGATCTTGCGGCCTCCAGACTGAGGCGTCTCATGCTAATCCCACACTGACTGGCAAGTCACTTCCTTCAGTATCGGCCATGGTGGGGGTGGGGGGGGGGGGGGGGTTGCTACAACAGAGAATATATATGAGGAGTGAGGACGTACTCGTACAGTACGAGTTGCGCACTATAGACTAACTGAACAGCACGTCCCTTTTGTATCTCAGTCCAAGAGACATATGCATGTGAACATTCAGTATTCACAGGGCCATTCATCTTCGGTGTGGTCGAAGCTGCATGCCACCCTGGACCATAGTCCATAACAATTGATAACGATGGCATAATGTGCCTCCACTTTTTGCGCGCCGGGTTTCTGTCGTGGACACTGCAGCCGACTATTTACTCTTTCATCCAAAGTCAAGTCGTACACCCCGCAATGTTCTCACGTACCCTCTTCAACACCTCCCGCATCGCTCGCGTTGCGAGGACCCCCCCCAGGCCAATCGCTTTCACCCGCACTCATGCTGTTCCCTCGTTCTCTCGATGTATGTATCTGTTCCTTCTTGAAATTCAGTCAGCTGATTCCTATTGATCTAGCTTATGCCACTCCCTCACCATCCCCTTCGTCATCCACCGACCCCAACCTTACCAAAGCTCAGGAGCTGATTGAGTCTGGCACTCGAGCGTTGGAAGACCAGGACTTGTCTGCTGCTCGCGAATTCTACCAGCAGAGTGTCGATGTGAGGGAGACTCCTGAGGGTTGGTATAACCTTGCTGTGAGTCATCACACGAGAGAATGATGCAGTCGCTGATTATTTCAGAATTGCGAGTACCACTTGCGTAAGGCCAGCTCATTGTATCTTTTGATCCGAGCTAATTGCCTGAAACAGAAAACAAGGAAGGTGCCATTGCAGCTTGGGAGAAGTCTATCGCCCTCCAGCCTTTCCCTGATGCTCACACCAGTCGGTCCACATCATGTGGAATGGTATAGTGTTGATATGCTGACCTTTGACAGACCTGGCTTCAGCGTACATCTTTGACAAACCCCCCAAGCCTGCGCTTGCTATCAAGCACTTGACGTGAGTCTTTCTCGCCTCGGGGGACCGTGTAGCTTACATCTGCACAGAGCTGCTTTGGCGCTGGCCCCGGAAGATCCTGAAGTAAGTCCTGCCCTGATATGATGGATACACCTTGCTGATCCGTACAGATCGCTTTCAACCTTGCTGCTGTTTTGGAATCGGGTGAGCTGCCTATATAACGATGAGATTTGCAACTGACATGTCTTTAGCCGGCAAACTTGACACTGCCCTGACACTATACCAAAAAGCTGAAGCTGGCGGTATCGACCGTGCCGCTCAGAACGTCAGGAATGTCAGTGCAAAACTTCTCGGAGAAAAGGCCAAGCAACAAGGGCCCCAATGAACGAGACCTGACAATGCTACAATGCCATATGCATAGTGAGGGATCACCCAAATGCCCAAATAATCAAATGATGTGTGCCAATGGACACGTGAATGCTAACGATTCTAATGTTTACCGCTTTCCCCAACTCTCTGCCCAACTGCCCCGTCTGTCAGACCAGTGACGGCCTTCTCTGTGTAGAAGCTTATCCTCCCCAATGCCTTCAGAGCTCTTTCTAGATATGCCTCGCCGCAGACGGGCAAAGGCACCCACTCCCAGACTACCTCTCCGTGGCATCTCGCCCTCGACCTCCGATCCTCCTCCCAGACCCGAAGGCCTCGAGTCTGTACTCGTCACAGAAGCTCCTCTACTCGGATGATAACCATCTCCCGCCCCCTGGATCGGCACACTCAGCCTCGTCCCTCCACCTCCTGGCATGAGCGGCAGAGCTGAATCTATCGACTCGAATCTGTCTCTTCCTCGGAAGGAAAACTCGGAGAACCAGTCGATGAGGTGTGCGTGGTGTGCGTTATGTATGGCGAGGGAATGATCAGAGTCAATGGGGGTGATGGACCCGCGGGACGGGGCAAGGACTTTGGTAGCAGTAGTAGGACTGGCGCCTGATGAAGCTTCCGAAGGGGGAGCTGGTGGTCTGGGGAAAGATCCTAGGGGAACTGGAGCAGCCGAAGGCGACAAGGCCACTGTGGCGGCCACAGGGTCAATAAAGTCGACCTCGGCCCAGTGGCCAACGACGACAGTACTCATTCTCCTGTCGCCCATCTCGTCGGTCGCACTCCCTCGACGGCTGGTGGCGTCGCAGGTGGCCTCTGCCTGCTGTACGAGGGTGAGATTGAGACCAAGACCAGAAGAGCGAGCAGGGGAAGATTTGTAACGCGTGATCCGAGGACGAGGAGGAGGACTGATAGTAACCGGAGTCCCCCCTGGCGATTGTCCCGGGGATGCAAGCTCAGTCCCCTGCTTGGATGAAGTGCTGGCCAGAGATGACTTTCGAGACTTGAGCGCTTGATTTTCCAGCGGCCCCACAGAGACAGACTGGAGGCGAGAGGCAAGATTGATTGATTGTCGAGGAGTGTACCCGGCCAAGCTTGCCCTCGCACTTCCAGCCAGAGACACAGGCATACTAGGTCTTCTGCTGTTGTTTCCTTCCAGGGTCGGTGAAACGGGGGCCTCCGACATTCGTCTATGGTTGTAGGTGGGAGAGTAGTGGTAGTCTGTTGAAGTGGCAATGGGGATGAAAGCCTGCGTGTTGTTGGCCCCGAATCGGGAAGGAAATGGGTCGCTAAAGCTGGGAGAGGTCATGGCTCCCAAGATAGGTCTTTGGGATACGGGCCCTTGAGGGAACTTGTCCCTGCGAATAGATGCATCAGTATCGACCGACTTTGAGATAGAGCCTACGCACACTTCATTGCCGTGTTCATCAACTTTCACTTCTCTCGACACCCAAGCCCAGTGACCACCCCTCTGGATACCAAGTTCTCCGTCCTTGTCTATCAGAGCTTCCAACTCTCGCAGTGTCAACACTGGCAACGAGTTGAATCTTGACATGGCCACCGTGGTGGGCATCACTTGCGGTTCAGAATGTTCTATCGCACGCTTCCCACTCGTTGCACTGTGTCTGTAAGGCGTAGAAGCGCTAGCCTTTCTGTGTCGAGCCATGTCTACCTCATCGCGTGACATGAACGCAGAGCTGCTTACTTCTCTCTCCTCCTGTGATCGACTTTCGCCGGACGATCCTTGAGACGTAATTGTAGCCATGGGCGCAGAGGCTAGAGGAGAGTGATGGGTGACGCTTCCGATAGCGCCCAATGACTGTCGTACTCTTAGAGGTAGATTGACCAGTGGTGCCACGGTGACGTCCCTGCCCAAATCCACAGCTCCCACCCCAATACCTACGCCTGTGCCGCTACTCCGACTACCCTGACTTCTTCCTTCTCTTCTCGGGTGAAGCCCGGGTGGTACAGAGGGACGTTCACTGCGACTTCCCGACCTCGACACCCCTTCGGCTGTGCCCAAGCTCGGAGAGCCCCTCGACATACCAGCGCCTCCTCGTTTCAAAGGCAACCCCGGGAGAGTCCCCATTGGTACTTGTCCTCCGAAGGGAGTCAAAAGGAGCATTTGATGCGAAGACAGGCGTCGGCTAGGCGGCTGGATCTCGTGAAGATGAGGTGAAGGCCGCCGAGGACGCTCGCTAAGTGCCCTGTCGATAGAGACCCGGGAGAAAGGAGCAGTCTGCGAGGCATTGGATCCCATATGTGACATTGACTGAGAACTGGTCCTTGACATCGATTGGGACCCGGCCCTCGACATGGATGGGGCAGCCGACATCACAAAGTCACTTGAAGGGCCAGCCCGAGAAGGGCCGGGACGGCAATCTGGGACAGGGGGCGTTGTGCGCCTCTGGTGATGATGAATACTCTTGTGTGGGGCGAAAGTAGGCGTAGAATCGTCGTCAGGGAATTGTACGATGGGAAAGGTTCGCGGTCCTTGGAGGCTGTACTCTGCAAGACTTGCGTACAGCTGAGGATGCTGGGAACGCGTGTCCGATTGCCTGATATTTCGGTGAGCTCTAGGACTGCGCACCCGCAAGCTCGACTCACGACTTGACCACTTCCATGGGATCAGTTTCTTCGACCCTAAACGAGGGCTCCTCTTCTTGACTGTACAATTCGACGTCCATGTTTGGCCGCATCATACACTAGCAGGTCTGATACTTTTGGCAACGAGATAAGAGTGGTTCACCACAACGCCAGGTTTCTCTTTCTGACTGGTTCGCCTAGCTTCTGAGTAGGATGTCGTGAAATGACACTGCTGGGGGCTGGGGGGGGGGGTTGACTGCCGAAGAGAAGAGTCAGGCTCGCGCCGGCCGATGTTCTTTGGCAAGATTGACAGTTAGCGGCTTCCTGTCGAGGCTTCCGTCGTCGCGTCCGACGCGCTCTCTTGTCGGTAAAACGAAATTTGTGGTCGATCACCGGGGAATGGCTTCCGTAATAATGATGAAGGTGGTGGTGATAGATGGATTGGAGTGGAGGGGGTGATAACCAAAGTTGACCTTGCGGTGACTCGGCCTAAGTATATGTATACGGGGTCGGAGTGGGCGACTGGCCCTCCACCGCCCAGGGCATTAATGCTGCACTCCGCTCACCGGAGCAGGGGGAAGAAAAGTAAAGGAGAAGCGGCAAAGAGCAAAAGGGTTGGCCAGGATAGCTTAACCTTAAAGCTTTCGCCTCGGAAAGCTTCCGGGATTGAATCTTGCTGCAATTCGGTTTTCGGTCTCTCTACATATGCATCCAGGGCTTTTGGTACTTGGACTCGCAGGGTATCTCGTTATGGCCATAGGTGTGCTGCACGTCTCCGCGGAATAAGGAATCAAGCACACAGACGACGTTCAAGTTTGACAACAGTCGGCTGATTGCCTGATTCTATTCCAAGCAGACTTCTCTTTCTCCCCTTTTCCTATTGTTCGTCATACGCGACCTTTTTGGCCTTGTTTCACGCCTGAACCCTGTTTGCGTTCCTGCGCATCTGCTTCTGCCGTTTCCTTCTTGTCTTCTGGCTTCTGGCCCTTCTTGAACTTCTGGCCTTTGGTCAATGTTGTGGGGGCTGAACGGGTTTCGAGGTTCTTGCTCTAATCATCTGGGTCACCGGAACCTCGAGAGGCCCGAGAGGATGACCTTAGCCAAACTCAGGTGTACAACTGCACGTTCTGAGCACTGGTACATGGCATGCAGGTACACTTCCCCTTGTAGCCATATGTATGTAGCCGTACGCCGTCAGCCACCAGTATTATTGCGTTGTTGTGCTATCCGATACTGTGGGCCAGGTACTCGTGTGGCTTACAGGCCCTGTGGCTTGCAAGCAATTAAGAAACGAGACACATCAATAACAAGCCCAGCGAGCCAAGCGCGCCCAGCGCGCCGCCCAACGCCCAACCCGCTCAGGAAGTGCAGGATGCTAAACAGGAAGGTAAGGCCTTGGGCTCTTGGGTTGCGTGGCCTGCGTACTGCGTCTTTCAACATCCACAAAATTATCTTTGTATGTCTCGGAGATTGCAAGCGGCGAGCGGCATGGCGTTTTTCGGAAGTCGGAAGACGTTGCGTCGATATGCGCGTCGACGCGTCCAGTATCAAAGAGGGTCTATCAGCCAGGGGCCCCGGGTCATGATCAGAAAGTGGATCTCAAAGACGGCTTGGAGATCTTGCGTGCAGTGCTCTTCAGCCCATGGGTGGGATAATAAATTGCTCGAACGATTTTTTGCGGATCTGCGAGTTGTGTTCCCATAACATTTATGGCAACGACTGATCGGGGCGAAAAGGTTATCACCATCGCTCGTGAATAATCTCCTGATAACCGATTACATTTGCATGTTTGATTCGTCGATTTCAAGCATTTCCAGGGCCGGTAGTGCACAGTGTCCAACGTCCAGCGCGATCTTGGATTTCGGTCTTGTTGCCCTTTACCAAACCCACAGGACGTCATAGAGGGTTATCTTCTTATCTATCTTTGACCAATCAGGATGGTATCAACAAGGCACTGTTTCCGCAAGATCAGACATACGATAACTGTACATCAATTTTGATAGCGGGGAAGCTCGGAGAGTATGTACGACACCTACTTCTCTCCGTTACAACAACCCCTCATCTTGTCACCGACCCCATCTCCATCCCATGACCCTCCCCACTTGCCCCCTCCTTACCCTTCCCCACAAGCTTGGAGATGTATTTGCTCACATCACTCGCATGCCTGAATAGCAACACGACGATCGCGCTTGCCGCTAGACTTGCAGCAACAAAACCGACCAATTCTGGAGAACCTGCCGAGCCCCATCTGTTTGACGGCGATGTCGGGAGCCTGTAGAGGGCTGAGCCAACTGAGGGACCGACAATGCCGCCTACACCTCTTGCCAAAGACCAACCTAGTAATCAAATTAGAGCCAGGGCGAATCAACAGAGGTAAGATCGAGGTATTTACCGACGGACAATAGACTCTGTCGCCCCTGACCAGGCCCAGCAATTTCGTGTGCACTTTGGAACCACATGGAGGTGAAGCCACCGGTCGCCAGGCCAAAGAGAGTCGCGAAAGGGGCCAGCAGAGAGATACCCTTACTGCCACCGATTCCCCAGAATGTCAGGGTCAAGATCGTGCCTAACACAGAGCTGATCGCCATCGCCTGGGCAGGTCTCATTTTCTGCCATGATACGGTGAGTGCCATGCCAATGGAATATGACGTGACTTACGTCTGTGATCAGTCCCCAAATCAGCTGGGCTCCGATACAACTGACGTTGAAAGCCGCCAACAGACCTGCACCCGCATCGCCGCCAAGAGAGTCTGAGAATCTCGGCAAGAAAAGTCCAACGTTGCTATTGAAATCAGCCGTGTCCAAACGCGTCTGTCTGGCGACCCACAAATAACCAAAACCTTGCAGAAGACAACAGAAAAAGGTACCAAAGAAACCCCATCGCATGAAAGTGTCAAAGAATGGCGGCATGGGCATGCGAACAACGTGCGCTCTGGGGGATATGGGAACTCGCGGGTTAACAAAGAATATGGCGATACCCTGTGGAAACTCCTATCAGCGAAGGCCTGGAGAGACTGGATGAATTTACACCAAGGACAGCGGTCAGTATAGCGGTGATTCGCAAAGACCAATTGTAACCCAAGTGATTGATGAGAGCCTCCTCCAGAAACGGCATATACTTTGAGAAGTGGGCCTGTCAGTGAAATGTTCTTGTTTACGAGACAGACAGCTCACAACACCGCCCACACCACCCCCAGCGAAAATGATACCCCCCGCAGTCCCTTTACGCAGGTCAAACCATCTGCATTTCATCAGCATTGTACAGCTACGTGCATTCACCGCTCACTCGGGAAGCCATCTGATTATGGGGAAAGCTACCAAAGCAGCAGCGACACCTAGATCATCGTGAGCTTGATATTACGCCCTTGGCAAGGCAACGGCAAACCTGGTCCGACCCCCTGGAAGAGAATCAAGAGCTTCATGTTTGAGACAAAGCTGGCAGCCAGCATCGATACCGTGTAGAGTGCTAGACCGACCCAGATTGACGGCTTCATGGCCCGGGGAAAATGATTGTAGAAATAGAGCAAAGGAAGACCGAGTGAATCTGAAGCCGCCATCAGCGTTGGACGTTTCTGCAGCTCATAATCTCACAGCCAAAGAGTATGGGCAGCGTTCCGACGAAAGAAATCTGAGTCTCGGATGAAGAAGCAAATTGCTGCCAGCCAGTCAATTATTGAAGCCCTGTTTGTAGAAACTGGCTTACCGGAAGTGCTGCATAATGCTTCAGATACACGGCTGAAGCAAAGATGGGTCCCCAGAGGAGCATTTCCATGACAAAAGACGCTGCGACATAGGCCCAGGCTTCCTTACTCGTGTCTACGGCGGGCAGAGAAGGGAGCTCCCTCTCCGTTCCGAGCTGGTCCGCATACTCGCCAGAACCGTCGTTGGGGTGGGCTCGGGCTTCAGACATTGTCGGGATAGATGAGCGGAGGACAATCACAGGAAGATAGCTTTAAAAATGATCTATCCTCGACTCCGCGCCCATTGGCTGAGCAGCTTCGGCGATGCCCGCTCTTTATCTCGGGCCAATGGGAGGTGCATTACGCTGCGGTGTCCCGACCTGCTCCCGACGCGCCGGCATATAAATACTGCCCGCCACACCACCAATCCACAACACCCATCACAATGTCTTCTTGCTCTGGTAACCCCACCAACTGTGGCTTCTGTGGCGTAGGTCGGCCCCCTCCCGTCTTCGCCCACCCGCTGACTCTATCCCGCAGACCACCCAGGCCGACTGTGCCAAGACTGAAGTCCAGGGCTGCACCACCAAGTCTGCCGATTGCACTGTCTGCAACGGCCACGGATGTGCCGCTGTCCAATGCACTGGGTAGGTCTTACTGTGAAGAGTCGCAAGCTGACGCATGACGTAGTAACACTGCGACCTGCCCTACTTGCAAGGACTCTTTCTCCTCCTGCAGGAAGGTTCAGTTCTCTGCCACTGAGGGTATTGAGCCCGCCAGGCGACCTGCCCCTTCTGCCTAATTTACTATATACATAGCATCACCTCGCACAAGCATTCAACAATCAACTTTGCATAGAAAGGTATCATATCTCGTGTATGTAACATATTAATGATGACCACATGGTTTGTGGTGTCGCAAGGGTCAGATGCCTCATGACAGAACTGCATCTTGTATTCAGGTATCATCAACATATTGGATGTCATCACATACGAACGCCCATCTGATACTACAACTAACAAAGACGACTAATATACAATAGAGCATAATGCGGGAGGGTATAGAATGAAGCACAGCACTCTCTTCTTGCTCTTCATCACAAGCTGATATGAATAATGGGTAGAGACAGGTGATTCCCTTCAAACACTTTTCTTTCCTATCTTCGCGTGCCCCTCTGCAAAGGACGCTTATACAATTATGGGGAAACGTGGTATTACACAGATGGATGGCCGGGGTATAGTCATGAGGTCGGCGAAAGGGGTATTACACGACGACGAGATCGTTGGCAGGAAAGTCGGTGCGGCGACCGAGCATGCCGAGGTTGCGTACAGCTTGCGAGCGGATTCTAGACACCCTATCAGCGACAATATTACTCCAGCAAACGTTACTCACCTGGCCTGAAAGTTCTTGTCTCCCAAGTCCTTGACATCTCCAGGAGGTCCAGTAGGCTGGCGCGCCACAGTGACTACCACCCTCTTCACCTGTCCAGCAGGCGAACTCGCCGACCTGCCCTCCGCCTGCGCCCCTCGGCCGCCCTGAGGACCCTGGGGCAAGCTAAATGCTCTCGGAGTATACTTTTCGCCCGACTGAATAATTTTGGGGGGCGCCACGACGGGACGACCGATTCCGAGGGCGATGGGGACGCGTTTAGAGATGGGGGAGGCGGGGGTGGTGTGGGAGACATCGGCAGGGGGGATGGAAACCTCGGCGGGTGCAGAGATGTGGTCCTCGGACGAGGAGCGCTTGGAAAGGGCCGCGCTCAAAGTTCCGTACGAACTCTTTCCATCTGCCTCCAGGGCTGCACGAGCTCGGGCAAATCGGCCCCCAGGCTTGACAGCAGGGACAGGGCCCTCAGCAGAAACCGATTTGGTAGGGGACGAAGATTCGGACGAGCGCCAGGAGGGGGAAGTAGGGCTGCCGCTGACAGCAGAAGGTGCCTCATAACCAGAGTAGTAGGCGGCAGACTCGAAGCGACCACGGTCCTCGCTCGTAGGACTGATGGCAGACTGCGGGGCAGACTCGAATCTCGACTTCAAGTCGGCCGAGTCCATGCCCATGCCCCAATGCCCTTGGGCGGCTCTGTCCTGTCTCGCCTGTAGATTGGCGGTCATTTGAGCGCCCAATGCTGATCTCTGACGCTGAGCCTGGACCTGGGCTTGATAGGCGTCGGTCTGGAGCGCAGCAAGTTGTTGTTGGAGATGGAGTTGCTGGAGACGTTGGTCTCTGAGCTTGAGCATTTGCTGCTCTTGCTGTTGTTGCAAGAACTGCCTCTTGGTCGCTTCACGCTGAATGGCCAATCGCTCCATCTCTCGCTTCTGAGCCTGTTGCTGAATGTACAAGTCGCGCTGGTACTCTTCCGCTTGCCTTTGGGCGGCAGAACGGGCATGTTGTTGAGCTAGCATCTGAGTTTGGTAGTGACGGTCGGTGGCAGCATGCTGGGCTTGCTGCAGCTCGAGCAAGGCCATGGATTCGCGAATATGGGAGGGACTGGCCTGCTGAGACAGGAGGTCGATGAGGACCTGCTGCTGCTGATAATTGACGGGCTCGTGATTTCGGGACACGACTGGCGTCCTAGAACGTCTTTCTTTCGGTGCACGTGTAGCCTGCGTGTCGCATCAGCACTCTTCTATGATCAAACATGATACTTACACCCGAATAGCCATTCTGGTTGTAGGGATTTCCATTGGGATCCAAACCCAGTGCCGCCATCTTGGCCGCGATAAACGCCGAGTCGTCCCCATCCTCTTCCTCGCTAAAAGTCGGACCCAACGTATGGTCTGCGCCAGCATACCTTATCTGCCTCTCTGGCCCCGGAACATGCCGGTGAGAGGACATGTGGAGTGGCGGGGGCGGTGGAGCCGCGAGAGGGGTGGTGACACGGCCATCTTGTCCCTGCAGGGGAGGCGACACAGAGGATGTGTAGCCGTAGTCGAGCGGGCTGGTAGATGATGCGAGGGGAGGATAGGCCGATGCAGAAGTCACGGCAGCCATAATTCCAAGGCGTCAGGGTATGCGGTATAGTGAAAAGTGGTGTCTTTTGTATTAGGGAGGCCCGAGCGCGAGTAGGTATGTTTTTGTGGTCGTGTCTGTGCGAGGCCGGGGATGGCGAGGGGTACACTGGGGGCGGGGAGAGGCACACTCGGGGCGGGGAGAGGGTGCGGGGTGGCGGGGGAGGAGATGGAGATGCAGTTGAGGGATGAGGATAGAATCACTCCATGAATTCGTCCCCACAAGGACAACACACCAAATCCCGAATTCTCCGCCCTCTTACGTACTCTCGAGATATCAACGTGCCTGCCCAACTTTAGATAATCCCATCCAACCCTCCTCTTCCATCGGGCTATACCTGCCCTCCGCTACTCTGCGCGACGCCTTGATGTCATGCTGTGGTGACCACAGGCCCATGATCTTGCAGGTCTTCAAAGGCCAGCCCCGAGCCGCTGTGGCCCTCACGACGAGTATCGATCCTTCTGATGTCTCTTGACCAGGCTAAACGGAACGACCCGGTGAGCGACACACCGTATGTATCGGATCTTCCGCTGCCCGCTGTGAAACACTGCCTTCGTGATCCACGCTTGTACCTCTATCGCCATGTGCTCCGCGACAACGGTTGATCTTTCAGTGCCTTCCAGAGCTTCCACGGATATGCACAGATGCCGCTGACGCCATCGCTAGATTTGGCTCTGGAGGAACGTCCTAGTCCCTCTCATGTCAACATGACCTCCGCTAAAGCTGTACTGTATACTCAGAGAGTACTACCCCTCGCCACTCTGACGCCTTGACAACTCCTGTGCGGGACTGTCTCAACGCAACCCCTTATGGTCGACAATGCAACGGGGTACAGCCCATTCGATCTAGCGCTGGTGAGATCCAAGTTTAGGGTGGCCCCTGTGAGCCCACCTTCGACATATAAATACCGACTTCCTGATGATGGACTTTTCCTCAAGCAATTGACTTGCTCAGCAACGACAACTCCTCTTCTTCTTCGTCTCTCCACTTCTTGTGCTGGCCACACCGTTTCACAACTCTATTACTTGTCCATTCCTTCTACACTACCTTCTTCAACTCCCCTATACTTGCCAAAAATGATCAAGATCGCCCAGCTCCTTGCTTGTGCTCTCCTCCTCCCCGCCTTGGTTCAAGGTCTTGCCATCCCCGAGGGTCAGGCGGTGAATGCTTTTCGACTTGGCTTGGTTCTTTGCTGACTTGTTCTTGCAGGGTCTCAAGCGTACCAACGATAAAGTGGAATACGTCCGCAATTTAAACGCAGGTGTCGAAGTTGTAAGTGCTCTTTGTCTTTTACTGGCATCTGCTGACCTCGACTAGGCCCACAAGCGTGACATTTTGGTATGACCCTTCTCTTTTCCTGGCAGCTCTCGCTCATCCTGATATAGGCTCGTCACAAGAACAATGACAATACTGCCACGGACACTGCTGCAGCTGCCGTCGACACCGCCGCGGCGGCGAGCGCCAACACCACCGAAGTGGCAGCAGACGCAAGCACCAACTCGACTTCTACAGACGTGGCTGGTAACGACGCGGCCGCCTCTGCAAGTGTTGGCACGGAAGGCAAGTCTTTCTAATCTTTGAGTGCTCTGCTGACTAGTCTTCAGCTGGCGTTTCAGCGGCGACAAAGTCGGCCAAAAATGCTCAAGCTCAGGCTACCACTGCCACTGGGGCTGCCGTGAGTATCAATTAACCGTCAACTAATGATTGCTGACCATTGGCTTCTTTCCTCTCTTCTGGATCCCCACTCGAAACTTTCCACGAAATCTCGACGCCCAACGCGATTTACTTTCCACCTCAGGCCGCTAGCGACACTTCTACCACAGGGAACGCCACCAACGACAAGGCCGCCAAGAAGGCTGCCCAGGCCGCTGCCCAAGCCGCTGCTCAAGAGTCCACTGCTGCAGAAAACGGTGCAGCTGTCAGTCAATAACATTTTGCCATTGGGACAACTTGCTGATGTGTTCTATAGACTGCTGCTGCCGGTACGGATTCTGCTGCCGCTGTGAGTTTTCTTACTTTTCATGTGAGAGCGCGCTGACAATTTTGTCTTCCTCCTCCTTTCCAATCATGGCCTTGTCTCCACCAAATTTCCCTCATTCTCTCCACTCCAACAGGCTGCGGCTACCGACTCCTCTGCTGCTGCTGGGACCGACGCTAGAGGGGCAACTTCCACTGCCTCTTCCGGTGGGGATCTCCTCAGCCAGCTCACTGCGCAAGTATTGTCCTTCAACTTTGCAATCATCACACTTACTCCTCTTAGCCTTCTCCAGGGTGGTGACGGTGCGGCTGGAGGTGCGGCCGGAGGGGCTGGTGCCGCCTTGGGAGATGTCGCCAACGATGTCAAGGGTTTGCTGGGATCTCTCTAAATGTGGGAGAACGCGCTCATTCATCAAAGCAGACTGACCGTTCTGCCCAGAATCCGACCTTCCTGTAGTCTATAGAAGCCATCAATAGTACCGAGTTCGTAAACGTTGCGTAGAAGTGTAAGATGTACTATACTATGAACTTTCTTTTGACGCTCTATTCACCATCTTGTTCGCTTCTTGATGGTCGGGGTCATGGATACAAGCCAAAGCTAAACTCGGCGGAGATCATCCTGTATGGAAGTTGACTAGGTAAGTCAAATGTACGAGCTTTCTTACAAGTACCAGATATGAACGACTTGAAGAGTATTCGCCAACGACGTCAAGAGCATTGCTCCACCAGAAGCCAAGGCTAGCACTTGGAGGCGCTTGTCGTGGCGTCTAGACTGAGGCGACCCTTCAAATATATTCTGCTCGACATTTCAAGAAGGGTGAAGAGAGTTACATAGAGTTTGCAAGTCTTATCAGTTCTATGTACTTAGGCTCTATGTAAGGCGATGTCGAAATGAAGGAAAAAGACAAGACGGCCATACTCGCCAAGTCAATAAAAAACCTTTCTCGCCTCTAGCTACTCCCTCCTCCTCGCTCCTCACATCCACATCGTCCTCGCTCGCGCCTTCACTAACTCTATCCCCACCCTACTGGGTATGGGCAAAAAGATAAATGAATGTTGTACGGAGGAGTACGTTGCCAGAAATTGAATGCCATATCTTGCGATAGACATTACGTGTAGGATATTTTTTGCAATCAGCAATTGCTTCGACTCGGATTTCTCCTCACTGTCAGAAGCTCTAACCCTAGCACAAGGACTAGGCGGGGGCCGGGCACGCAGGGGGGGTCTTGTCCATTTTCGCGGACCGGGAAACGCACTTGCTCCCATTTGATCCCGTGCGTGGCGGGCGTGCGCGTCGCGGTGATGATGAGCAGCGTTGTTGGGTCCAGCTATTCATCGCACCATGTCGGGACAAGCCAAGACAACACAGAACGCTGCCGCTGGACCCTCAAATGGCGCTGCCCCCCAAGAGAAAAAGGAGCTTCCCAAGCTCGGTGCTTTAGAAGACGACGACGAGTTTGAGGTATGTCCTTTCTCTTGTGCGTGTCCAAGTGCTGATTCGATGTAGGATTTCCCTGCCACAGGTTAGCACCACAGGTCAAAACAAGGAGTCTTGCTGATATGTGTAAGACTACGGAGGGAACGTTCAAGATGCCCTGAAGAAGTCTGGTGCTGGCCCCAATGACAAGCTGTGGGAGGACAACTGGGACGACGACGATGTGGACGATGATTTCACCAAGCAACTGAGGTGAGCAATCTTGCTACTAGTGATTATTGCTGACTGCTGCTTAGAACGGCGATCCAGGAGCGCACAAACGCACCCGGGGATGAGGCCATGAAGGAGTAGAAGCATCGATTGTACAGTATGAATTTCAAGTCGTCATATCACAGCCAAACTCAAGACCTAATTATACTGGCAACTAATCGCACTTCTCTCTAAGACCGCCCAGTGCGCTGCTTGTACTGCTGGATCTCCCTCAGCGCCTCTGTCTCATCTATCTGCTCCTGCTCTTCCTGCTTTCTGCGCTCCGCCTCGTCATCCTTTCCCTGCCACGCTTCCAGCTCGCCCTTCTCCAGCTTGTCCCGCATGATGTCCTGGATCCCCTTTGCCTGTCCCTCGTCCGACTTCATACTGATCACAGGGTTCCGCTCCATCCTGTCAAACAGCGCAAATAGCCTCTCCGCTTCTCGCTCCTTTTCCTCATCCGACATCTCGTTCATGTCTTGCTTATCATCGCGATCTCGGAGGCCAGTGATCGGATGACGAGGCTCGATAGGTGTGGCTGGCTGAATGGTGATGGGTGAACTGGCATCGGGAGGATGAGAGACGGGCTGGCCCGAGATTGATATGGGCCTGAGGCTAGACTCCCAGAGCTCGGTGATCTTGGCCGGAGGTGGGCCTGAAAAGCCCTTCTCCAAGAGGACCCCCGCAGCATTACCATATCCAATCTCTGCCGAGAGGTCTGAGGCTGTCTAGGTGTTAGCGAGTTCTATGTGTTTGACATGCACTCACCGTCTCCATTGCAGACGGCCCACATGAACTCTCCGGCGGACACTTTGCTGAGGGTGTGTCCGCCGCAGCCCATAAGCCTCAGAATATTACCCAGCAGGCCTTTTCGTTTCTCGATCGGTCCCGCTTCTGGCGCTCGGTCCCTGAACAATGTCAGCTCATGTTCGACAGAGAGCCCACTCACAAAGTTGGTGGCAATAGTGTCCCCTTCATCCACACTCGCATGGTGTCGCACCCGACTGCTGCCCTTGTCAGCAGCAGCAGTACGGGGGGTAGCACCTCGTCCGGAACCAGCCCCTGTGGCAACTTGTCGTCTGGCTTCTTCGGGTACGGCAAATACGTGCTGAAGAATGTGTCCAGGACTTTGAGTAGTCTTGCGGGAAATGCGGTCTTGTGCTGCGAGCTGCCCGAGCCAGATGGCCTGCCTCCCGATAAACTGGCTCGAGGGGAGCTAGATGCTGAGTAAGAGTCTCCAAGGGCAGGCGATCTTGATCGAGGGGGCGCAAGCTGCTTGCGTGGGCTCGAAGGGGAAGCGAGGTTACTCAGCTTATGGAGGAGGGTTCGGACCGTAGAGGTAGGACTTGAAAGAGGCTCTATGGTCGTATCGGGGACGCACGTCCATGTTGGGAGCAGGCGGGGCAAGAAGGGGACGGATAGAAGGGCGTTGATAACGTGCGTGAGAGGTGGAGACAGTTCGACGGCGGGAATTTCGTAAAAGAGATGGAGAAGAGGATAGAGAATGCTGAATCATGTCAATGGGTGTCAGGATGCCATGCACTCACATGTCGAATTGTTCATCCCAAGGGTCTTGTCCACTCTTGTCCACACTCTTGTACGGGTACACTGAGAGCAACGCGTTTGTCAATTTGAGGAGCTCTGACAGGGCCATGTAATGGGTGGGTACCACAGGTAGCGTCATCAAGTGCTTCGGCCCGGGTCAGTGACGCCTTCATCCTAGCATGATACTCACCTGGACAAGCGCGTCAATCACGTCTGCCTCTACCATACCCTTGGCCGCATCTGGCCGCTCCAAGCACACCAAGAAGCCCAATCGTCCCAGCAGGAATATCCTTTCCACATGTGCTTCCTCATCCTTCTCATCCCTTTTGGGCTGCGCGAGGGCTTTGGATACGGCATCCGCTCCTCCATTTCTGAAAAACTTTGTCCGCCCAGCAGCAGACAGAACCAGCAGATTGGCCAAAATCTTGAGGGCTTCCCGGGCGGTGGTCGAACATGGCGACGACGAGGCTGGGGTCTGAGCAAGTGGTTCCGGCACGGGGAGGCAAGAGTGATAGACGAGAATGGAGATGTGCTGGGCGGAGAGAAGGGTTTCAGATCCCACAGGGTTGCGCCCCAAGAACTTGATGGCGGTGAGTGCCAGGAGGTGGACTGAGGGTGAAATCAGCGTCGCTCGTTTGACCTGATCATGACCTACCGTCTTCAGGCCAGCTGTGCCAAGCAGCCTCGGGCTCTACCTTGAGGTCGTGCAGGATGGCATCTAGGAATGCCTCTCGCTCTGTGGGCTGAATCTGGGTAGGCAAAGCTTGACTGTACATGAGCAAATGTGACAAAGAATGATATAGACTGACCATTGACCACTGCGTTGAGCTCCCTCCTCACCGTGTCCAGGCTGGTTTGGCGGTCTGCCTCTAAGTATCTTTTTGCCGTCAAGTACGGTAGAGACATGTCGGGGTGCACAACCGGAAGACCGAGGGTGTCGGTGTATAAGGGCTATTGCAGCTAAATGTCCCGATGGAAGTGCGGGAGTGATAAGAGAGACGTTGGCGAGAATTGGAACGAGCTGGGGATTATAGGACGAAAATGGTCGAGGGACATGGACGAAGCTGATGGGAGGGGCACGACCGTAGAGATGAAACAGGGAGCTGTTTTCCGTCGTTGTTTCGGTGGAGGCAGACCCTGTCCCTGGCTGGTGCATCGTTTCATCCTGCTTCTTTTCGTGGGCAGGCTGCATCTCAACAGATGTCGGGAGGTCCTGATTATCCCAGTAGAGTTGTATCCATATTCCAAAGTATGCAAAGCCGCCAGCGAGGCCCAGCGACTCCGAGCGAGGACGTCGAACGAGCGTTGCGCGAAATTTAGTTGCGGCCGAGGAAGGCTAGTCGGTTACCTTCAACATTTCCTTCAGCCACAAACTTATGCATCGCTCGGCCCGGGCATATGTCCACTACAGACTTTCGGGACAGATGCAAGAGGCGAAAGGCAAAATGCAACACTCATTTAGTTGGTCAAGTGGGGTGGCGATGATTATGCGAGCCAAACCGGCGGAACTATTCTGAAGAGCCTTGCTGCTTTCTGCCAACGCCCTGTCCACCAGGCAGACGACTCTAATCTGTCCCAGGCTCACTGTACAGCACAGGACAGCTGCCGCCAGTTTCCTATGTATCCGAGAATCAAGCTTTCTCCGCCGGAGAGTACTGAGGGTGCGTCGTGTTTGGGTGGGACTTTCAGCTTTCCAGATTTCACAACCTAGTAAAGTTCCTGTTCTCTTTGATGCAAGAGCAACGACGAGGTATCCTCACGAGTATGGAGGAACCTTCCGACACTCCTATCGATGTGTGAAGCGCCCTCAATGGCAAGCAGATCTGATTAAAAGCATAGAAAGCGCTCATAGATGATATAGCGTATCCGTGTTCATCTCATCTGCGACAAGACCGTCTTTTCCCGATTCGACTCTTCCCTATCGCTGCGCCACCCCTCCATGACCAAACAAGCCCATCTCGAGACATGAGGGAATGTCGCACGGCAATCGTCCTCCGATCACCTAGGCGCTGAATCCTGAAAGGCAAAGGCGTGTGTCGAGAGTAGCGGACCGTAGAGTAAAACCGACTTGATTTGCAGCAAAGCAGGGAGTCAGAGCCAAAGAGGCTGGTGGATGATCGGGGCGGCCAGAGAGGTGACTACTGAAAGCGACTCTTGAATTCGAGTGTCTACCCAGTCCTCCATCCAATGTCTGATAGTCGGGTGTCGATATCTCGAGGCCCTCGCCGATAAGGGATTGCCGTGGCTTTCGCATACCCTTGCGAAGATATTTCGGTTTGAGATCTGTACCAAGTCGTAGAGTTTGGGGGAAAAAAGAAGGTTGGCGCAACGAAGGTGGCTGTGAAGGACGTTCAAGAGTTTCAAACAAGCTGATGAGCTTCAACTCTGGGAAACTGCCCAAGCGTTTTATAACGGTTACTGACCACGGAACCACACGACCACTGAAAACCCCTCGAAAAGAATCATCACCCTCATATGCACATTCACCATACCACCACTTGGCCACACTGATCGACCCACTTGACCTCGAGCGCGCAAAGCTGAGCCCGTGATGCCTGTGTTTGATTAGCCGATTGGTTTCAAGTGATGTGTGTTGTTGTGATAAGACGAGGTGTTTCCCTGGCCGGAGGGCAACTGTGGGAGACAAACAATGGGCTGATGAAAAGGGTAGCAACCAGAACGGGGAGTAAAAGTACAAACAATGTGATCGAGAACGATATTCTACAGCAACACGTATCGTCGCCATATGAAGTACATACTCGATTGATTCGTGACGTGGCGAGACTTGCTGAGCTTCCTTGTTATTGTCAGTACTACGCGGGAGCAAGATGATCTGCCCTGGTACCTGGGATCTCGATGGCCGGCCGGTATCGCCCTCTAGTCAGCAGTTCTGCTCAAAGACAGTGGATAGGTGGGTGGCGCTGAGGGGGTGAAGCCAAAATCGATGAAAGAGCAGAGATAGGGCGACCTGCGTCTGCAAACGGTCAACGGTCAACACTCAACGGTCAACGGTCGGCGGGCGACGGCCGCGGTCAAAGCCAGGTCAATGGCCGACGAATGCCGGCAATTATGGCCCGTTTCTTATCTGCGTGCGCACGTACCACAGGCAACGCGGCGATACCACGGACAGTGTACGATGAGCAACGGCCATGTCCGACCGAAAAAAAAAGACATCTGTGTGCCGAAGTCGTGCCGAGATGGAGGGCAGAGATGTGAAAACTGAGATTGCAAGGGGCCTCGCATGGCACTAAAAGAGCTAAATCCGGCAGCGCGCTTGGGGCCAACCCGAGTTTTGGCCCGTTTGTCCCTTCATTTTCAAAATTCTGGGGTATTCGAAAAAAGCCAGTTTTCATCTCGTGCTGGTCTCGGTCGGTACAAGCCGAACGACAAAGGCAACTTTTTTGGACTGATTGCGAGCACAGGTGTGGCAGGTTCAAGTTGAGTGAATGCTCTTGAGTCTTGGCTGAGGCCATCGCGTCAGGATCAAAGGGTGTCCTGCGCGGCCGTCCATGGCGGAACAGCGGATAAAGCGGACGACAGCGGAAAGAAGAGAGAAGGACACGTAATGACCGCATGCATCACATATTGACAGAAGGGACGGTTGGAAAGGGGGAAGAGGAAAGACGCATTGGGCTTTATTATACAGCACACGGCGTATGACAGTCCTCGGCCGTCGTTCGGTACATCCGCGAGCCGCGAGCCATGCATGGCATGGTACGACACTAGGAAGGTCTAGTTATTAGATACGCAGCGTGTGGATGCAAGGTGGCCTGTGCCGAGGAACAGTCACAGAAGCAAAACAAGACGAGTACGACGGGAGCTGCTACGTAGTGATCGCGGAACGAAGCAAACAAGCAGGATACATGCATCACGTCGTCGCAAAGGGGTCCTGCTGGAGTGGCGCAGTAGTCGAGGGGGGTGGGGGCCAGGCGACGGGGCACTGCGCTGGTGCATGAGTGAAGCCAGAAGCCAGCGACGATGTCCCAATGCATAGGCTGTGATTCGCCGACAGAAAACTGACTATGTCATCCATATTATGCGGCAGGGGCTCAGGGTCAAACCCTTTGCAAAATACCCCATTCGTTTACCGAGGGTCGATTTTCGCGGTCCCTTGGCTCCTCGGCCTTTCGCTGTGGCACAAACATCCAGCCGTCGCCTTAACTACCGTTTTCCATCTCATTTCTCTTTTCTCCATCTCCCTTCTACTTAAACCCTCACCGCTTCTCCTCTTTCCGCTTTCGAACAGAGCGACGATCTCTAGGTTTCTGGTACCTCCTCCTTCCACTCAGACTCCTCGGTCCGCTTCTTGGCGCATAGCCTTGTATCCACCCCTATAGCCCACCCGACAACAGCTAAACACATCTGGCTGGGGCGACCTTTTTTATATTCAACTCTTTTTTAACTTCCCTCCTTCCCACTCCCCACTCTACCAACAATGTCTGAACACGAGAAAGTAGGCAACACGGAGGAGATTCCCACCAAGTGAGTCATTTTCATACGGGTGTCTTGGCTGCGGGTGATGTGCCCAACGCCAGCCTGCCATCTCTCCCCGCCGTTCATTCCGCTGACCCATCTTTGCAGGGAGTCTTCCCTCGAGAACAAGGTCGAAGGCGAGGCTCCTGCCGCTGCCGGTGAGTGGCCCTTCCGTATCGTGGCAAAAAAAAAAAAAACATAACAGCACTAACATCCCGCCCAGCCGCCGAGCCCAAGAAGAAGAGAGAGTACAAGGAGATGAGCCACGAGAACACTGGCGACCTCCACGCCAAGGTCGACATGAACACTGTAAGTCTTTTATCACCATGCCCACTGTTTTCGGCCTTTTTCACCGTGGAGCCAATGAAATCGCTCCCCTTCCCGCGTCACAATTTGCTTCCGCTAACATCCATTTTCAGATCACCTTTACCTCTGCCGACTTGTACGACAAGGACAAGGTCGACATTGAGCACGTTGTCATGGAGGAGGTCCTCCAGCTCCTCCAATGTACCGAGTCTGGTCTTACCCAGGCCGAGGCTACTGACCGTATCGGTATCTTTGGTCCCAACAAGCTCGAAGAAAAGTCTGAAAAGTGAGCATCTTGCCTTTTCTTTTCGAGCGCCACTGATAGAATTCTAGCGCTTTCCTCCAGTTCCTCTCCTTCATGTGGAACCCTCTGTCTTGGGTCATGGAAGGTGCTGCCCTCGTCGCCATCGCTCTTTCCAACGGTGGTGGTGACCCCCCTGACTGGCAAGACTTTGTCGGTATCGTCCTCCTTCTTTTCATCAACTCTACTATCGGTTTCATCGAGGAGCGTAACGCTGGTAACGCCGTCAAGGCTCTTATGGACTCTCTTGCCCCCAAGGCTCGAGTGAAGCGTGACGGTAACTGGGCCGAGATTGAGTCTTCCGAGCTCGTTCCCGGAGACTTGGTCGCTTTCAAGCACGGTGACATCTGTGCCGCCGATTGCCGATTGGTTGACGCCATTGATGTCTCGTAAGTTCCCTACCGCTTTTCTAGTAATCTGCTAACGCTGTCTCAGTATGGACCAAGCTGCCCTTACCGGTGAATCTCTCCCCGTCGGCAAGAAGCTCGGTGACGAGTGTTTCTCTGGTTCCACCTGTAAGCAGGGTGAGGCCGAGGGTATCGTCATTGCCACCGGTCCCAACACCTTCTTCGGTCGAGCTGCCACCCTTGTCGGTCAGGACAACGACCAGACTGGTCACTTGCAGATGGTCCTTGCCCGAATCGGTACTTTCTGTCTCGTCTCCATTGGTATCTTTGTCCTCCTCGAGATCCTCATTCTCTACGCCGACTTCCGATACTCCTACCGACGTGGTCTCAACAACATCCTTGTCTTGCTCATTGGTGGTATCCCCATTGCCATGCCTACTGTCTTGTCTGTCACTCTTGCCGTCGGTGCCCAGCAGCTCGCCAAGCACAAGGCTATCGTCACCCGTATCACTGCCATCGAGGAGTTGGCTGGTGTGACCATCCTCTGTTCCGACAAGACCGGTACCCTTACCACCAACAAGCTTACCATCGACAAGGAGAACGTCAAGTGCTACTCCAAGTGGGACGTCGAGGGTGTCTGTCTCTTGGCTGCCTACGCTTCCCGAGTTGAGAACCAGGACGCCATCGACGGCTGTGTCGTTGGTACTCTTCCCGACCCTGCCTCTGCCCGTGCTGGTATCGACCTCCTCGACTTTAAGCCTTTCAACCCTGTTGACAAGCGTACCGAGATCACATACCGAGACAACCACGACGGTGGCAAGCTCAAGCGAGCCACCAAGGGTATGACTGGTATCATCATTGAGCTTTGTTCCCGAGGAAAGACCAACGAGCTCGAGGACCAGCTCGAAGCCGATGTCGAGGAGTTTGCCCGACGTGGTCTCCGAGCCCTCGCTGTCGCCTACGAGGATGTCAACGGTTCTTCCCACGAGGACGAGGGTAACGGTTTCGAGCTTGTCGGCCTTCTTTCCATCTTTGACCCCCCTAGGTCCGACACCAAGCAGACCATTGACGACGCCATGGCTCTCGGTGTCAAGGTCAAGATGGTCACTGGTGACCAGCTCGCTATTGCCAAGGAAACCGGTCGACGACTTGGGCTTGGTGACCACATGTACCCCGCCAAGGTTTTGAAGGACGGTCCCGAGGCTGGTGGCAAGCACGCCAACCTCGACGAGATGATCATGGACGCCGACGGTTTCGCTGGTGTCTTCCCCGAGCACAAGTTTGAGATTGTCAAGCGTATCCAGAACCTCGGTCACCTCTGTGCCATGACTGGTGACGGTGCCAACGATGCCCCCGCTCTTTCTCGTGCGAACGTCGGTATCGCCGTCGAGGGTGCCACCGATGCTGCCCGAGGTGCCGCCGATATCGTTCTTACTGAGCCAGGACTTTCCACCATTGTCCACGCTATCCACGGTTCTCGAGTCATCTTCCAGCGTATGAGGAACTACGCCATTTACGCTTGTGCCGTTACTATCCGTATCGTTGTCTGCTTTGCTATCATGGCCTTTGTCTGGCAGTTTGACTTCCCCTCCTTCATGGTCCTTATCATTGCTGTGCTCAACGACGGTACCATCATGACCCTCTCCCTCGACCGAGTCCTTCCTTCTACCACCCCTGACTCTTGGGATCTTGCTGAGGTCTTTGCCTACGGTATCGGTTACGGTTTCTACCTCTCCGCCTCTACCATTGCTCTCTTCGCTGTCATGAACGAGACCACCTGGTTCGAGGACCGATTCGGTGTCGAGGCCTACAAGGACAACTCTTACGGTGGTCACATGGTCATCTACCTCCAGGTCGCCATCATCTCTCAGGCTCTTATCTTTGTCACCCGATCTCACGGTCCCTCTTGGACTGAGCGACCCTCTTTCGCCCTCATGGGTGCCTTCTGTCTCGCTCAGCTCGTTTCCTCCATCATTGCCGGTTTCGGTGACTGGGGTTTCACTCAGGTCCACTCTATCTCTGGTGGCTGGATCGGTATCGTCTGGATCTGGAACATTGTGTGGTACTTCCCTCTCGACTTGGTCAAGTTTGCCATGAAGAAGACCATCATTGCCGCTCTCCAGAAGAGGAAGGCCAGGCAGACCGCCGTCGCCACCCCCGACGAGGCCCTCCACCGAACTCCTTCTCGTCACGAGTCTCTCTACTCCAACCGAACCAACTTCCTTTCTCGTGCCGCCAACCGTCTTAAGGGTGGTAACAAGATCTCCATGTCCCAGACTGAGCTTCAGCGGTAAGTTCATCTTACAAGCGTCCGTGCAATACTGATTCCTGTCGCAGATTCTCTTCCATCCAGGCTCAGCAATCTGGTGCTGCCCTTACCCGTGCCCACTCCAGGCCCGCGGCTGCCGCTTAAGCGATTTTTAGGCTTTAATGTCGGAGCATTTGTATCCAGACTGCCTTCTCTTCTTATCTCCCTCAACATGTAGCAGCTCTGGTGGTTATTCAAACCAAAACTCCCCTTCTCCTCTCACACCGTCACACCATCTACCCATCGCATACATCTCTTACCTCATCCTCTTTTACGATTCTTTCGAACCCTTCTTTGTCGAGCCGCCGTCCTCGTTCATAGATTCCCTTTGTCTATTCCTTAATTCCATCAAAAGATTTTGTCCTTTCTCGTTTTCGCATAGCGTGCATTCGAATGCAAGTCTGGATTATAGAGATAACCATCATGTAATGTAGGGCATGTATCAAAGGTTAATAATAGAGTACAGAAAGGTGTTCAGTTGTAAGTTGCAAGGCACGCCCATAGGAGTGGTGACGTCGCGCGTCTTCATTCTGTTGTTTCTCATAATCTATATTCAAACCTATATTCCAAAATGCAGTCCAAATTCGGCAGCTTTGTCAACAAGGCCCAGAACGCTCTCAGGGTATGTATCCCATCTCCTCTGCTTCCGTATAGTCGCGTCACCCGTGATCCGTCATCTGTTACTGACTCTACTCTGCAGGAAGGACAGACACTGGCGACAGAGGGAAGCTCGCAGTTTGTCCAGTCGTTCACTCTTCCCGGAGAGTCTGAAAAGGCTGCCAAGATCCTGCGAGGATTCCTGGGCAGGTCTCTTTCATCTATCGAGGGCCATGCGCTGATAGAGATTTAGCCGACCCCTCACACCCCGCCACCGCCCTCAACTCTATCCCCAAAGCAGTCCTCCAAAGAGCCAAAGGTATGCTCTATCTCGCTTGGATGGCTGCTGATGCACCCTACAGGCCTCGCCGTCTTTACAATCATCAAGGCCGGTTTCGTCTTTTCCGGCAAGGCTGGCTCGGGTATCGTAGTCGCCAAGCTTCCAGATGGAAGCTGGAGTGCGCCTAGCTGTATCGCTACGGCGGGTGTTGGATGGGGCTTGCAGATTGGCGCTGGTGGGTCACTTTCTGACCTTGCTCGGATGCTAATGGGAGGCAGATATGACGGAAGTGGTCATGGTGCTCAACTCGGACGAGGCGGTCAAGGCGTTTGCTCGTGGGGGCAATGTGACTGTTGGAGGTGAGTCCTAGGAATGTCTGGAGAGCATAGCTGACATGGGCAGGTGGTATCTCGGCGGCTGCTGGACCGTTGGGTACTGGTGGCCAAGTTGCCTCTTCACTGGCCAACCCCGCCCCCGTCTTTAGCTACAGCCGATCCAAGGGTGAGCTCTTTCCATCCTGGTTGGTGTTTCTGCTGACTTGGCTCAGGGCTTTTCGCTGGTCTGACCCTTGACGGTACCATCCTTGTGGAGAGAAAAGATGCCAACAAGAAATTCTACGGAAGTAGCATCTCTGCTACAGACATCCTCGCGTGAGTGCACGCCTATGGTACCTTGAGCTGACGTAGTGTAGTGGCCGAGTGCCAGCTCCAGAGATCGCCTCTACCATGTACGACATCATCGAGGGTGAGTGTGATACATCTTGCAGATATCTAAAGGCTAATTTTGATAGCCGCCGAGGGCATCGACGAAACTGGTCTCCCAGAGGGCGGCTACGTGCCCACTGCTACAGGTGAACACGCCCCCGTCCCGAGCCCTACCACGGGGTACACCACGGGTCCCGGCACTGCGGCGGATGCTGCTTCCACGACGTCTTCGGCCACCGGCAACAAGACGGTGTTTGATGCGTCTTCCACTCATCAGTAGAGATCGGAACGCGTATGTCCCATGATAATATATGTGCTCTTTTGATAATGTAATGTCTGTCCGAGAAGAATGCGATGTCTGTATAAGCAGAGTGGCATCCGGGACACCCGGGGCAAGTCGGAGTGATTGACAAGCAAAGTGACTCGTCGTTATATTCTGCTGACAATTTACATTTCTCTCTCTCTCATCCTGTATCCTTCCTCCCCACTATGGTCAAACTATCTCAGGGGGGCGCCTCGTTTCTTGCAATATATAGTCCTAGAATCCGGTCTAGGGGTCTATACCTACTCACGACACCTCTTCAACCTGTACCCCTCTCCTCCCATTGGGCTACATGACAGTATGTATCGTCGCCCGTGTACAGCCCACAACCCTCCCCGAATACACCTCTGCCTTTTACAAAACATGGACTCTCCGTCTTGAAGGCTTGGGTGCCCGGCTGGCTGGTTATCCGGTACCGCCCGACTCGTTTGCCGATGGCATCTTTGTGGTCCAGCGCCGCACCGCGCAAGCTGTCGAGGTGGAATGGGAGATTCCTAAACCCGTTTTGAGTGTATCTGAGGCGCTTGGGGTGGGAATGGTTCAGGGAGGCAGCCAGACTCTGTGCGTCCAAGATGAGGATGGAGAGTCAGAGATACGGTATACGTGTGAAGAGTACCTTGGACCACGCCCGGATTGCTGGGGGGACGTCGAGTACAGGAGGACAAGTGGGATCGGGATGGAGGGGAAACCTCCTGGGGCGTTTGGCATCCATCTTCACAGATTCTATGTGCGCTTCCTGTTTGAGCAGGCCAGAAAACGTTTGGTTGGGGAAAAGAGGGCTGACCGATGACATGGTCGTGAGTGTACTTTTTCAACCCGTGCAACATTGCGACAAGCTGACCATGTGGCAAAGAGAGGAAGGATTATAGCCTCACGTTTCAGGATTGCCACTAGGTCTAGCGGTATCAATGAATTCCTTGCACATGGCCTCCCCTACTCCGCTGCACATCAGTGGCTTGCTATGCTGTACTCGCTACTTCCCCACACGTCCAGCCGTTGTGCCATTCTCACGACACCCCACACATGTTGAGTGACGGCCACGTGGCCCACAAGGGGACCCTGGCCTGGAACCAGATCCGGGGTCTTGTTTTTATGGCGTCACGGGGGATCTGTGCTGAATGGGGAGCAACGGTATATAAGAGCCCCCGAGTTGAGAAATCCCCACCATGCGCATCTATCACCCAAAACTCACCCAACTTGTGACCCCACCTTCTTTCATACAAACCAACACATATATACCATGCGCTCTTCTATCGTCAGCCTCGCCCTCTTGGTGTCTCTCGTCTCGTCTGTTGCTGCCCTCCAGGCCGGCACCGCCCCCAGGGCCGAGATCAACCTCATCTCTCGACAAGACGGTGAGCACTATCTGCTTTTCTTTGCCACCGCTAACCTCCCTCTCAGACGTATCTACCGGCGACGGATCTGACGACACTGGATCCACCGATGATGGCTCGAACGACGACGATTCTTTTGATGACGGTTCTGATGATGACGATGGTTCAGAGGATGTGGACAGCGCCGTCGAGTCCGCCACCTCCTCCTTTGCAACCGGTATCGAGTCGATCACCTCTGATGTTGAAAGCTTCGGGACCGCTGGGGCTAGCAGTGCGGTCTCTGCTGCCTCGGCATTGACTTCGGAGGCTGCCAGCGGTGCTTCTTCCATCACCTCTGGGGCTACCTCGGCAGCGTCTGTAGCTCGAGGTGCCGGCAGCTCTATCTCGAGCGTCGCTACCAGTGTCGCTTCTCAGGTGAGTCTGGTTGATCTCTTCCACATTAGCTAACGAGAGCAGGCTATTAGCAAGGCGACCAGCGCAGCCTCTTCGGCGCACTCGGTTGCTACGAGTTTGGCTTCTGGGTAAGTCCTATGGAGAGATGTTGGGCGATGGCTGACGAGCGATTCAAGCGCATCTGCCAGTGCATCCGACATGGCTTCTTCCAGCTCGGCCAACTCTATCCAGGCGGGCAGGCTCGAGATGGCCATGGGTGTCGGAGCTGCTGTCATCCTGGGTGCTGGTCTCGTCTTTGTCTAGAGAGGTATATAAAGTCTGTTGAGGATTATTACTCTTATGATAATGGAATTGTAACTTAGCAAAGAGTGGGCATGCATCATCTACCCACCAAGATCAAGAGACAGCATTCGGCGATCCGACACATCAGGTATGACGAGATCCCATTTCTGGCAGCCCTTCCGTCGCGATCTCGCGATATATCGCGATGCACAGCTCTGTGAGGTCGTCGTCTCCCAGGCATGCCCGCTTCGAGCCATGGTGCATTATAGCACGGGGGGCGAGACACGGGAGACATGTCGAGGCTAGTGGTGACTGCCGCCCACGTGGCAAGGCGCGTTCTGGCCCAGTGCGAGTCCATTGGAGTGATATATATAAGAGGCTGGGATGCTGGGAAATCCCCCCTCTGCATCCTCACCCTGCAATCATGCCATCCTCCACCCTCTGCCTTGCCGTCCTGGCCATCCTCTCCTCCGCCTCGGCCCTCAACACCTTTAGAGCCCCCGCCGACATCGTGGTCGTTGTCCGCCAAGACGGTCCGTACCACACCCCACACTTCTCACCCTGCTGACCATTCTCACAGACGATGTGGCCCATGGCGACTCATTCGACGGCGACGCCTGGAAGGCAGAGAGTGGCCTCCTAGGGCCCCAGGAGATCGATCGCCGTTTCGACTTTGGCGGTTTTGCTTCCAGTGTCAAAGACCAGGCGACTTCATTCGCCACAGGAGTAAAATCGCAGGCTACCGATGCGGCGTCCTCTTTCAAAAGTGCTGGTACATCTGTGGCCTCGGACGTAAAGAGTGACGCGACTTCAGCTGCCAGTGATTTCCAAAGTGCTGGTACGGATATCGCCTCTTCTGTAAAGAGCGCTGCCACGTCTGGCGCTTCATATGTCCAGAGCGCCGCGACTTCTGGCGCATCGGATATCCAGAGTGCCGCAACCTCTGGCGCATCCGACGTAAAGAGCGACGCGACATCGGCCGCCTCTGATTTCCAGAGCGCTGGGACAGCCATCGCCTCTTCCTTCCAAAGCGCGGGTACAGCTTTCGCGAGCTCTGTCGTTTCTGGTGTTAATGCAGTGCGCGGCGATTCCTCTTCTGTGACGAGCAGTGCAGAAAGTATTGGAAGTGAAGTGGGTATCGTATCTCTTGTGGCTTGTACAATCAATAACGTCATTGTAGATCCAGAGTCTTGCAACCAGCGCCGCTTCTCAGGTGAGTGTCACCTCTCTTCTTGCACAAGAGCTGACGTCGATATAGGCCGTCAGCGTAGCTACGAGCGCCGCTTCATCAGCTCAACTTGGTGCCCAGAGTCTCGCTTCCAGGTGACTTGTGTTTGAGCTGTCGCGTCCGGGGGCTAATCATTCATAGCGTCTCATCCGGTTCCGGATTTGCTTCTCCCAGCTCTGCAGCGTCAATCAGCCGAGGCGTCCAGGCGGGAACGATGGGCTTGGTGATGAGTGTGGGTGCGGCTGTTGTTGGTGCTGGCTATGTGCTTGCGTAGAGAGGTTCTGGAAGTCTGCAAGTGAGGGATACGAACTTTATAGGAACAAGTCAATAATGGGTACTCTACCATGTATCACGAGAATATGGCTGATGGTCAAAGCTCTTCAAAGCCTCTGAAAATCATGGCACAGGGCCAGGCATAGAGGAGCTTGCATACTAACAGGGTGGACTGGTGTATCAAGAGAGAAAGACACAGAAGACCAAACGCTAAAGTCTGATGATCAGTCACCGGTGAAAGCCCGCTGCTGCTGGATGGCTGGTTTTGTCACTGGGGGTAACAAGCAGAGCAGTCAGCAGAGCCATACTCAGCTCGCCAGGCCAGGCGTTCCATGGACGACCATCACGACCTATGATCTTGGACGCTACATAGCCAAATGGATACAGGAGATCCAGGAGAAAGTGACGGTCTAATCTGGTTCGTACGTACGTTATCCACGGGCGCGATGATGCATACCAGCAAGAAGTGATCTGATTATCACCACTTCCGGCGCCATACGAATACATGGCGTACATCGGCGACTGAGACGGGAAGCTACAGCTCTCGTATTCGGTATCATGTCGGTCCGGTCGGATGATGACTGAAAGAAAAAATATAGAGGGCAGCGTTTGACAAGAGACTGGACTTGACGCATCGTTACGTCATTGCGCTCGTGGCTCGCGCCATTGGTCATGTCGCAAGACAACTTCCGCTTGTGGTAATCCTTCCTGGATTACTTCCTGCTCACATTATGCAACTGCTCACCTGCCCCGCCATTCCATATATATATCCACTCCAATTATACATCCCCTACATCTCCTTCCAGCTCCTTTTATCACTCGAACTTTTAAAATATCACAACATTCCACAATGAAGGTCTACGCTCTCCTCGCCCTCCTCCCGGCCCTGGCTGTCGTTGCTGAGCCCGTTCCCGCTCCCGAAGCCCCCGTCTTTCAGTTTGGCAAGCCTGCTGTGGGCAGGGCCAATATTGCCGAGATTGACCCCCGTCAACGTAAGTACTTCAATCTTCAATTGTAATTTCTGACGATACGTTTAGTGAGCTCTTTGACGAGTGCTGCTGGGGCTGCTGGGTCTTTGACCTCCCAGGCCGGCTCTGCTATCAACAGTGCTACAGGCGGATCGGCCTCCGATTCTTCCTCTGGGTCGGCAACAGACAGCGCCTCGTCTGGAAGTGCTACCGACTCGGCTTCGTCTGGATCGGAATCTGCTAGCTCGGCAGCCTCCTCTGTTTCGTCTGGAGCGTCTTCCGGAGCTAGCAGCGCCGCCTCTGACGCCTCTTCCGGAGCTTCATCTGCTACCTCGAGCGGTGGTGGAATTGTAAACTCTTTGACCAGTCAGGCGTAGGTTATCATTATACATTGCGAGTGAGAGCTGACGATATTGTTCAAAGTGGAAGTGCCACAAGTGCTGCTGGATCTGCCGCGTGAGTAAACGTCATATTTGAGGGCCATGACTGACAATACCATAGCGGAGGTGCCACGTCAGCGGCCGGAAGCGCTGCGTAAGTGTATCAAATCATACTTTGCACATCTTTACTGACCTTTCTCTAGTGGATCCGCCGCCAACCCCGTTGCCCTCGTTGGCCAGGCTGGTGTCTGGACTGGGGTTATGGCCGGTGTCGGTCTTGTCATCGGTGCTGGTACTGTCTGGGCTTAAGACCGTTTGTAGGCTCGGGGATGCTTGTCAGAAGTCAAAGATGTTGTGTTAAAATATCGACAATGTAGCCAAACATGCAGCTTTTAATTAGGATCAGGCTTTCATATCAAACACAGTTGGTTAGCATTCCGTGCCCATAGCAGCCAAAATGATGGCTATCTGCTAGAGACAAATTCTAGGAGGGCTTCTGTTCTCAGTGCAACGAGGCGCTCCAAGCGATTGAAGGAGAAGGTAAAGTTGGTTCATCCGTGAATATAGGGTCTTGTATTACGCAGTAGCTACTTGATCTCAATGCCATCGCACAGAGGCACTCGGGGATCATATGGGTAGACATGAAGCAGCCCTTTGGAGTATGAAGCGCGCTAGGTCATACAATTGATACCTCTGCTGCGCCACTGCAGACAACGTTCACCTCGCGCGGACACGACTGTGTTGTACTCGAGCGCGAATGAAAAGGGACAAGGATGCCAAGCGTATACGTTGGACTTTCACACATCAGATCGCTTCAAGAAAAGCTCACATACCCGTCCCTGTGTACACCACGCTTTGCGGGACGGGATCAAATGAGCCCTTCGGCCATCCCCACCTCATACTCAGCTCATACTCCAGGACGCTCAAGACGGGAATCGATACATATCCATCCCTCTCAATCCCCATGTTCAAGCTCATCAAGGACCTCACACGCCCCCCCGAGGCCCTGACGCCTCCCCCGGTAGATACCCCTCCTCTGCAAGGGGCGCGTCAACGCGCTCGTTCACGCTCACGGTCGGTCTCTAGAGCTGGACGCAGTAGCTCTCCGGCGGTACTGGGGGGACGGGCCAAGAGCCCTGGACTATCAGGGATAAACCCTAGGATCGGCCATGACTTGGATGCGGGCGAAAGTGGGTGGTCAATGGCCCCAGAGTTTGGCCAAGAGATAGAGGAGGATGAAGACGAGACGGAGCCGGATGCCTTGAGAGTCGTCGAGCTTATACGAGCTCTGAGGAGTGAAAAGGATGCTATAATGAGCTACATCATGGTGAGATCTATGCATACTCGGAGGACTCGAAAGTTGATCACTTGTCCAGACATTCTCAGATTTGTTGTCCGTCCCAGGAAGCTTTCATTCTCGAAGAGCCTTCCGACGGCATACAGGCTTCAGGACACTGTTTATTGTACTGGGCGAGAATCTCGCATGGAAAGCCATGCCGACCGAAGCGGACAAGGAGGAGTGGGAGGTCCGAGAGGTGCAAAGAAAGGAAGCCATAAGACTCGCATTCGAGGTTTTGGGATGGGCTCTGGGAGATCGGCTGGGGGAGGCCCATTTCGAGGTGAGTGTACCCTGTATTGTGCTCGCTAATCGTATTCCAGAGGCAAGGCGGGTATCTCACCGTTCTTCCTGTCCTGTACCACCTTGCCCCGGCTTCAACGGGAGCCGATGCTGATATCCTTGCGGTACTATTGGCCCATATCTGTTCCAACAACTATTCTTTCTCAAACCTTTTCCAATTCCCTACCTTGTCTTCCACCAAAGATGTGTCTGGGCGTCTGGGGGAGCTCATCGTTCGACCATCAACCAGTGGTGCCCTGAAGCTGCTCTGGGCGTATCTCAATCAAGAAGGTGCCAAGGGGAAAGACAAGGCGACTTTGGGGGGAGAAGAATTGGCCAGGATTGTTCAGCTGGCATTCCAATCGCTGCTGGCCATTGTCCAGGCATCTACTCCCAACCTGTTTACTGTCGCGTCACAATTGCCCCAGCTATCCGAGTTTCTCATCACTCGGTTGTACGGCCCTGGGAAGAAGCGAGAGTATGGGTCAACATTCAAGATGGATGTACCTCAGAGTGATCAGGAGGGCGTCGCAGAATGGAGCGAACCGAATCCTCCTATGAGGGGCGTTTACCTTGCGCTCCTACGAAGGATGCTAGATGCTGGAGTCGACCAGCACGTTACTTGGCGGCTTTTCGGTCTGGTGCGGGATACAGAGACTTTTTCCGAAAGTCCAAAACAATCACCCTCGTATCTCATTTCCTCGCCCGACCCGCTTGACACTCCCGTTCCTTCACCGTTACCAACACCTAGACCACGCGATCGAGGGAAATCCAATCTGCACATCAACACGGAAGCTACCGAGGAGGAGGAAGACTGCCTCAATATGGAAGTCTTGGGACTGATCAAGCAAGCGCTGAAGTCGAAATGGCCGGATGTATTCGTCTTCAAAGGCGGAGTCAATGATAGGTTGGGCGGTCTAGAGCTACCAGAGCTGGGAAGACCCTGGGTCAATGGCCACAAAGGGTTCAACTTTTCTGTGAGTATGTCCTTCTGGCCTCTGTCATCTTACTCAATGTTCAATAGTGTTGGCTGCACATTACCAAACTCAACCAACCTCTGACTCTCCTTCATCTCTCTCAAAAGGACGCCCAATGTCCCTTGTTCCGCGTACGCATCCTTGAAAACTCTCAAATCGCTATAACCACATCTCTTCAAGGGGCGGCCCCCATATCGCCCATCGACTCTTCCAGCCCTCCTCTCGATAGCGAGGTCATCTGTGACGCCCCAGACGCGCTTGTACCTCACCTCCAATGGGTGCATTTTGCTGTTGGAGTTCGGAAACCTCGCGGTCATGAGCTTGGAGAGGTCAGGATATTTGTGAACGGTACACGGGTTGGCGCTTTGCGGATGCCTTATTCGCTGCCTACACCCCAGGCTCCGCCAGCCCCCGTGCAAGTTCGACCAGTGGCGGGCACACCAGCCGATTCTATCCGTGTGTCCGTCGGCAAAGAGTATCAAGACGAAGAAGAGAAGAAGAATCAAGGGGTGGGGAGAGAGGAAGAGAACGAATGGATGCTTGGGAGGCTGCTTCTACTTGAGGAAGCTGTCCCGGAAGATCTCGTGTTACTGATGCACCACCTGGGGCCTAGATATACAGGTAACCTGCAAGAGGCCATGGGAAAGTTCTTGACATGTAAGTCTTGTTGAACAAGGAAGCCTGGCTAACGTAGCAACAGATGAAGGTGCTACCTCGATCAACATTTACCTCCATCGCCTCGCCCAATCTGCCTCGGATAAGCGACTGTTCACAACGCCTAGCAATTCTATACTTGTTCGCGCTATACGGTCTGGCCGTGTTCTTCCCGAAGAGTCAATCATTGTCTCTCTGTCCGCGCGAGACTATGATCCTACACAGGACACATGCGTCAACGCCGCTATACCACATCCCTACCGCGCCAGACAACTCCGATATGGTACTGCCAAGCTCACAGGTAATGTTCGGGCTTTCAGGTCTACCTGCCTAGATGAAAGTGTGCAAGCTGTAGGCGGTGGACTTGTCATCTTGAAAATGGTGTCTATGAGTCGCACCAGTGAAGAACTTTTGGATACACTGATTGTCTTGAGGGATACAATCAAGGACAGTTGGTTGGCCAGCGAAGAAATGGAGCGAATACGTGAGTCAGACGGGTGAGAGAATCTTGTTGACAGAAGTTTTCAGACGGATTCGATCTCCTGGCAGCGATTCTGCGCCCCAAAGCTGCGACTCTGCTAGACATTGCTTGCACCAAGGTCATTCTGGCCATGCTGGGTATTAATATGGACAAGCCTCAGTGAGCAGCATCCGTCACTTTGAGAACGTAGCTCATATCTACCAGGCTGGCCACCGTCCACAACTCTGTTGCCTATCGAGCTATTGGCGTGGAGTTTGAACTCTGGTCCTACGCCTCCGATGAGGTCGTCAGGCTTTATCTCGAGCATTTCCAGCATCTACTGTGCACATCCAAGCACAAGCGATTCAACATCCTGAGGACTTTCCAAAAGTCTTCATTGGTCAAGAAATTGCTATATGCTCTGAGATCAGGTTTGTTCAACCTAGAAGTAGTACCCGATGTTGCTGGTGAGTTGTCAAAGCAAGCATTTGGGGATAAAACTGACGCGCTTCCAGAAAAGTTGAAATTGGGACTGGAGGCACGGTGGAGTGGTGAAGACGCGTAAGTCTTCATATCGGAAGACTGTCACTGACAATTCCAAAGCATCAAGCCTGTATTCTCCTACTTGATATCTTCCCTCTGTCAGAGTGCGTAAAGATGCACTCGGAGGGCTGTGCGCTGACCTCGGTTGCAGACAACATGGCCTTCTCTACCGGGTTCGATACACCACCACCTTACCAGCTACCTGCAGCTTTGATCCTGACAGCGGTCGCCGAACTGAGTCAGGATAGCACTCGTCTCCATAAACTGAATCGATCTGTGGCTTTGCATCGCCTCCTCGTCATACTGCTCTCCTCCAACATTTCAACCTACGTTGTCCGACCTTGTCTTGCATTGCTCGAGCAGGCCATGACCACTCGAGGCTTAGAGACGTTTTCAACATCATTCGAATCGGAAGGCGGTTTCGCCCTCTTGTCAAGAACATTGCCCGCCTCGTGGGACAATGACATCCAAGCCGTGGTGACGCGGATGGTACTTGGAGACGATCCAGGCAAAAAGTTGCGGTCACCACAGATGGTGGGATGCTTGCTATCTGCTATGGATTGGCTGTTGCAAGCAGCGGGGGATTCTGGAGAAAGCGCGGAAAGACCTTCCACCATCCGGGCGAGGTCGGGTACTGGGTCGTCCATCCACTCTTTGAGTGCTTCACAAATTAAGGGTGGGTCATCGTAAATGTGCAACCTGGGCTAACATCGAACCAGCCTCCTCACCGGCTGGAGATTTCCATGCTCGTCTCACGACGCTGTTGTGCCATATCACATCTCTCTATAAAGAGTATAGTCCCATCAGGAAGTACTTGACATACAAGAGAATCGAGCTTGCCCTCCCTAATTTCGCAGACTTTGCAGCTCTGTCAGGGAATGTGAATGTGGACTCTATCAAAGACTCTAGAAATGCCGCCATTGACTTGTTGGCTGCTTTTATCAATCTGGGTAAACTTCCAAAGACCATGTCGACTCAGGTACACATCTTTTTACACGTTTACGTTTGAGCTCATGTGTCGTAGATCGATCTCATCATTGAACAATTGCGGACCACTCCACCTTCACCCAAGATCGCGACATCTCTTGCCATGTCTTCGTCAACGCCTCAAGTCTCGTCCTACTTTGGACAGTCATATTCCAGTAAACTTGCGACATCTCCGGGCATTCCCTCATCCCCGATCAGACGTAGACCTTCCTCAGACGGTACCAGCGGGCTACAAGGATTTACCAAGTCGAGGCCACCAACGGTTGAAAAAAGAGCACCACTCAAAAGAGTCGTCACGGGCGAGTCAATCTTGGAAGGTGGAAAGGATAAGAATGCTGCTTGGAAAATGATCATTATCCAGACTGTAAGTCTTCAGGCTCTTGTTGAGATGCTGCTGACGCCGTGTGGAAGGAATTTCAAAGCCACGCAAAGCTGACTTTGGACAGGTAAGCAAAGCAAACGTTGGAGGGAACTGACCAAGAGTAGGAAAGAGCATTGGCAGAAGCTGTCTCTTGTTGAGTGGCCTCGACAAGCAGCGGTACTACGTTCCGAACATGGGCTGTGGCCAGATGACAATCAACAAGTTACTTGGCGTCTCGACGGAAGCGAAGGGCCTCTTCGTATGAGGTGAGTAGACAGTGATAATCTACATGATCTGACGTGGTCACCCAGGGCTCGCCTCGAGCGCGTTGATAATCTTCCCGAAAGTGGGATCAGTCGGACTCTCCACAAATTGCGCGACGCCATTCCGTCCGTCGATGAGCTGTCATCAGCTGTTTCACGATTGAATGCCGCTCCCTGGGAAGACCCGTTTGCACTCGCTCTCGGCGATGCCGCCCCCCCTCTAGAGGAAGAGCCTACGCAAACCACCTCGACTGCCTCAACATCCTCGGACAAGGCCAGTGGATCACATCATGCCGTCAACAATTCAATCTCCACGCAAACTTCTGCTCAACAGGCCAGCGAGACTTTCTCCGAAAACGGAGAAGGTGATTCATTCATTGATGTTGAGGAGAGCGGCAACGACAAAATGAGAAAGATTGCCAAAACCTTGCAGACCGGGGACGTTGTCGAGGAAGCACATGTGCGTAATCATCGCCGGGCGAATGCTAGTTACTCACTTGATTTGCAGAACATTGTCAGAATTGTGGGCGTCGACGCATGTCGTGCGTATCTCACACGCTAGCCCTGATGTGTGCTGATGCTTCTCTAGCCGGTCTGCTCATCTTGGGAAAGAAGAATCTGTATCTCATCGACGGGCTAGTACAGACAGGCGACGGGGAGGTCATTGACGCCAGAGATGCCCAGAAGGATGTCCTTTCGATTCCTTCTGGGACGCTCGCGGAACTCGATGCTGCTGACCAGCAGAGCTACAGATGGTGAGCACTAAATTTCACAACATTATACTGAGTAGGCGATCAGGTCTTATAACGACATCATTGAAAATAACAAGCGCGCCTTCCTCTTTCGAGATGTGGCTCTTGAACTCTACTTTTCGGACAAGCGCAACTTCCTTGTGGTTTTCCGGGACAAGAAAGAGCGTCAAGCGGTGGTCCAGAAGATTGGTACGAAGAACGACAATCGAGATGCCATCTCCAAGAGTATCATTGGCAATTTCGTCCTCGACACGGTCGCGAAAGCTATGGACAGAAGTGAACAGCAATTGGAGGCTTTACAAAGGAAATGGCAGAGCAGAGAAATCAGCAACGTACGTCTCCCAGAGATGAATTCTGCAATGAAGCTGACAATGTCACAGTTCGCTTACCTACAGCTCCTTAATCAATACGCCAATAGAACTCCAAATGGTATACTTGTCTCCAACGACGAGGCAAAATTTCGGCTGACGCTGACACAGATGTGACTCAATACCCCATCTTCCCTTGGGTCCTAGCCGACTACTCGTCGGAGAAACTCGACTTGTCTTCTGCATCTTCATATAGAGATCTTCATTTCCCAATGGGGGCTCTTACGCAGGCTAGGCGTGAAGAAGCAGTCGAGCGATACTCTGCTACCGAGAGTGTGGGAGAAACACCTTTGTAAGAGTTGGTGCCTGTAAATTGAGCTATTCTGACGATTGTTGTAAGCCATTTTGGTACCCACTACAGCTCGTCAATGATTGTATGCGGCTACATGATTCGGATGTCACCGTTCACGGAGATATTCCTTGCTTTGCAGGTGTGTATTCTCGTGTTCCATGGGCATTGTTGACACTGTCCAGGGTGGAAATTTCGATCTGGCAGATAGGTTATTCTCGAGTATCCCCAAAGCTTGGGACTCGGCCTCATCGGATAATCGTGGAGATGTGCGAGAGCTGGTCCCCGAATTCTACTACTCTCCGGCGTTTTTGGTCAACCTGGTGGGCAATTTTTCTATGAAATGCTTAGGGTACTGACTTTTCTAGAATCACCACGACTTTGGTCGTAAGCAGGCAACCGGTGACATCGTTGATGACGTCGCTCTACCACCCTGGGCTCTTGGAGATCCTCATCTATTCGTGCATCGTCACCGGGAGGCGCTCGAATCTGAATACGTCTCAAGACACTTGGCCCACTGGATTGATTTGACATTTGGGTATAAACAAAGAGACCCTTCATCTTTCAACTGCTTCCACCCGCTCTCCTATCGGGGCGCAGTAGATCTGGAAAACATTGAAAACGAAGAAGAAAAGGCAGCTTCAACGGCAATCATCCACAACTTTGGTCAGACCCCGCTCCAGATTTTCAAAATGCCGCATCCTCATCGTTTCATGGCCGGTCGGAGTGACCTCCCCCTTGGCGTCAAATTCGGGGTGGCTGAACACTGGCAACTTATGTTCAGGAGTATACTTCCCATCTCTGAGACTACAACCCCTATCGATGATATCAGTCCGCCTTTTGGACCGGACTCGAAACCCAAGGTCACTCAGAAGCACAGGCTCCCGGTGCCCAGTTCCTCCCATCTGAGCGTACATTATGGGTTCACCGATGGATCTATCAGGGTATACTATCAAGATGCTACGGCGAAAGTGAGTGCCGAATGATCCAATTGTATCTGAGCTTACACGAAACCAGCTGGCTGCTCTGGTCGAAGGCATCTATCCTGAACATGCCATTTTTGCGTCTCCAACGCTCCTCTTTACTGTTTCTCATCAAGGTGTCATATCGGCTTGGCGACTCACCATCAGCGGAGTAGGGTACCGCAAAGGGGACGTCAAAGTCCAGCGAGAAGCTACTCTCCGGGGCCATCCAGCGCGGGTGACCTGCTTGACCAGTAACAAGTCATGGAGCTTTTTGGTTAGCGGATCAGAAGTGAGTATGCTGCAAATGATCGAATACCTGCTAATGACCATGATCAGGATGGCACTGCCGTCGTTTGGGATACGAATCGCCTGCGATACACCAGAACGCTTTGTACGGGCAAGGATGAGCCGATCGAGTTTTGCGCGACCGATGAGGCAGATGTGAGTAGCTTTTGACATGTTTCCAATGGCGGCTGACGACAGACAGGGAAATATTGTCTTGGCTTCCAGGCACCACGTCTACCTCTTCTCCCTCAACGGCTACCCCATAGCTTCAATGAGCCTGGCAGATTGCATCGCCTCTTTGGATGGCGACGACGCTTCCGTGACATCAGGCGAGGATATCAGTGATGTTAATTTCACTGGCGGCATATCCTTCCTCAACAGAGAGTTCCTCAAGTACGGACCGCTCTTTGTGATCGGTGTGGGAGCTCGCGTGGTGCTTGTCCGCTGCGCGCCTGGTATCAAGGATTCGTTCAGCGAGAACGAAGACGTCAAGCCGTGGCAATTGATTGCGCAAGGCTCAATGCATCGGTCAGATGACCACCCTGGTGGCGACTGCTGTATGGTGAAGTTTATCGGGTAAGTTCCATTCTGTGACCTTGGTTACTGGCACTGATGAGAATAGTGAAATCCTGTATGCCGCTTTCGGTATTACTGATGAGAAGAAAAAGTACGCGCTCTACCAGTGGTCTTTGCCGGATGGACCAGCGAGGCATGTTGCCGAGTCGGTTTCCCATACGTGTATGGCGGACAGGTGTGGAAGGAACTTTGGGCTCTTGGGTAAGCATACCGGTAGTCCTGAAGCGTTGTTTGACTGACCGATATCCCAGAACCCAAGCGTCACTGTGGTGGATGTGGCGGTACTTTCTGCGGGTGAGTTGGGCTTTTGACCATTGCTGTGAGGCTTGTTCTCATATGACTGCAGCACACATGCCCTTCACGTTGAAACATTCACCATGCGATACTGCGACAGCTGCCGACAACATCTAGCTATCGCCTCTGCGCAAGGAATACTAGACTCCCGCCGGGATACTCTCGTACCCCCTTCGGTAGCTGCATCCAGACGAGGCTCCGTCACTCAAGACTCGCGCGTTCTCCGCGGCAGCCCTGCAGCTGCAAGTCCTAGTCGTGGTGGGTCTCGAAGAGGGTCAACCGAATAAACCTGTGTCTCTTCTGTCAAAGCAGACTTGTCTAAGCGTTGTAACTTTAGCCATTACGTAGTGTACGAATAGATCATGACATGCATCATCCACAACAATTGTAAGACCGATTCCCAGCCCAGTCCTGGCCGACTCTGGTATCCCTCGACTTACGCCCATTTCCCGAGTACACTCATAGCAATCAGACCGGCTGTCAGAGCAACAAGTGCCACCATGATCTTGGAAGCCTTTGCATCCCTCAGCGTCCCGCCTGTAAAGTCGGTGGACAAAAGTTTGAAAGCCGTATAGAGCTGTGTGAGTCAGCTTGCCAGCCATACAGAAGAGCTGACCAGTATACCTGCAGAGATCGAGTTGAGGATCCCAACAGAGAGGAGAGAAGCTTTGCCATTCTGGGAAAACGACTTGCGGACTCCGATACCGATAGCAATGCCGATAGGGGTGATAAACTAGGAGATGGTGTCAGCCGGCAGCCTTCGGTGCAGTATTGGTGATAGTCCCGCAGGGTAGACGTGAACTCACGGTGAAGGCAAGTCCCATGATGATGGCACGGGTTCTAGACATCCAATCCAGAAGAGCTATGCGAGCTCCAAGTCTAACACCAGATTGTGCTGTCAGTGACTGTCTACTCGTAGAAAAAAGACGTACGCCAGGCCCTCGAACATTTGATGGAAAATGATGACAATAAAAAGGGTGGTCCACCCATTACCGCCTCCGGCACCCTTTTACATCTCGTCAGCAGGCATCTCATGGATTGAAAAGGAAAACAGCCAGGTACCAAGGTTACTCCAATCATGATACTATGGAAGATGACACCAGCTTCCAACAAGAGTACCTGATGAGTTTGCTCCGCTTTAAACGCTGCATCAAAGCGGTTACCACAGGCGTCGCCGTGCTTATGCTCATGCTCATGTTGAGCATCTGGAGAAGGAGGCAGTTTGTGCTCCATACCTTCTTCGATGGCAAGAGCACTGTCCCTCTTTCTGAGCGTATCGAGTACCAAGAAGATCTTCTTCGAGGGACGAAAAGAACGAATGTTTCGGGTATCAAGCTTCACCTCGTCTCCGACAGAGAACTCGTGATCTCGGCGCCGTTGGTTGTAGGAATGAGCTTGGGCGGCCTGCGCTTGCTCGATCTGCTCACGCAGGAAAGCACGTAACTCGGTAATTTCGCAGACACGATCGATCGCTAGAGGTGCGGTCCCGGGAGGAGGGGGTAGGGGAGGAGTATCATCGATGGGGGAGGTGCGAAGGTCAACGCCGGTGAGGGCGCGGTAGGGAGTGGGCGGTTACGTGGTGGATCCAACTATGGGTGCTGGATATCGACCTGGGACAGGCGAGGTAGGTGAGGATGGATAAAGGTGAGGAGGAATATACGGAAATACATCTATGAGGAAAAGGATATGAACCCACCACCGCTCCACTGGCGTCCCTCCCTACCGCGCCCTCACCGGCGTTGACCTTCGCACCTCCCCCATCGATGATACTCCTCCCCTACCCCCTCCTCCCGGGACCGCACCTCTAGCGATCGATCGTGTCTGCGAAATTACCGAGTTACGTGCTTTCCTGCGTGAGCAGATCGAGCAAGCGCAGGCCGCCCAAGCTCATTCCTACAACCAACGGCGTCGAGATCACGAGTTCTCTGTCGGAGACGAGGTGAAGCTTGATACCCGAAACATTCGTTCTTTCCGCCCAGAGATCTGCCCTTAACCCGGCAGCCGTTCAAAGTGTTCCTTCCCCACCCCGTCACCATGACACCATTCTGTTCGGTCACCTACGATCTTGGTTAGACGACCACCTCCTACGCTTTCGCCCACCTTCGTGATTGCGACCCAACCTATCTGAGTTTCATCTTCGCGTGGACGCTCAGTTTAGACCGGGGGGAGTGTAAGGGATTGGTACAGACTGGTCAGTAGGAGGAGATGTAGTGACGTGTACGTTGGAACGCAGAGTCTGGTATTAGTAGATTAGTAGATTTTGGGATGACGGGTGCGCGAGCCTTGCGTGCAAGTGCTTGCCTAACTGGTTGCCGCTATGTTCTCAGGGACGAGTTAGGCGCGGAGGCGAGAGGCTCCCCGCTGCCGCGTCTCATATCCTTTTCCTCATAGATGTATTTCCGTATATTCCTCCTCACCTTTATCCATCCTCACCTACCTCGCCTGTCCCAGGTCGATATCCAGCACCCATAGTTGGATCCACCACGTAACCGCCCATAGGTTACGCCACCTACCATCACCCTTACAGAATGTGATGAAGGCGGCTGCCATAGCGATAGCCGGGGCTGTAGACTCGTAGGCAAGCTCGCCGATACACTCGTTGGCAAACATCACAAAGCCATGGCAAAGAAGGTGCTGTTATCTCGTCGGCGTTATACTCCATAAAACACAGGGCACTCACGATAAATGCGGTGGAGATGATGATACCCGTCCCGAAATGACGTGCGCCCGAAAGCCGCACTGCCCTCGTACACCTCCATCTCCCGGCTCCTAGTCTCTTGTCGAGAGGCATCACCTTTTTTGAGCCACTTGGATATCAAGGGAACCAGTACCCCCAGTCCGGATGTGACCAAAATGATGAATAAGGCTGCGATATGGAGTCCCATGTTGTAGTTGTCGAGGATGACGGCGCCACATGCTAGATTTCGGGCTGAACAGTCTCCGTGAGCATGACCGGCTGGTAGGTATAAGCGTAGGACAGCAAAAGCTGAGAGTCAAAGACTTGCCGTGAATGATGCATTCCCCGCTGTCCTCTGATGACTGGGCAGCTTCGAGCTCTTCTTGACTATCAAAACAGTCCCAGTGCGTTTCATCTGTAGAGTAAATCAGCATCGTGATCCATTTCAAATGGAAAAGACCTTACGCCAGAGGCAATTGGGACTCTCGGTAGGCGACGGTACCGAGGTAGATTCTGATGTCGCTGTTGCAGTGTAGCCCTCGGCAGGCCCCTCGCAATGGTAATGATCGACATGAAGAACACATCCAGTACTCTCAGATGGAGCCCCTGGTACGGTAGAAGAAGCGGTCGAATCTTCTACGGGTCCCTCGCAATGGTAGTGGTCGCCATGAAGCACACATCCGGTGCTTTCTGCTGGAGGTGTTGGTACGGTTGAGGAGGCGGCTGGATTGCCCAGCACGCTCGAGGTGGACGACGTAGCCTGGAAGGCCAGAGTCGAAGATGATCTTGAACTTGACCCAGTGGAGGATGCGGGTGCAAATTTAGCGTTGGTGACAAGGGCCAGGAGGAGGGCAGCAGCGCAGGTGAGCCGCATTCTTCGAGATTGTCTGTGGGGGCCGCCGGCTGGCTGACATCTGGCTTTATGCTGATGGATGCATGGAAAAGTACGCCAAGAAGCCAAGGAGAGAAGGATGGATGAATTGTGGGGGCCAAAAGATCAGATCCTGCTCTGAAAGAGGACTGAACGGTCACAGCCGTTTGATCCCGCCCCTCATGCCCACTGCACCCTGCACAACGCCTATCCGACTTCCTGCCAAGGCCCTCCTCCTGCACTAGATGTCTCCTGAAGATCCTGCTGCTCGGAAATCATCCGGGGGTGTTTTGCATGTCGCCGATCGCTCCCCGGGGCTTTCTCCATGCTGATGGCACCGTCCACGTTTTCATTCAACTTTACTGCCAAGCGGAGGACTTCTGGGTCGAGTTCATTCTGCCGAGAAATCATGATTGTCCGTCCATAGAGGGTGGTGTATAAATTGAAACCTCCCAGACATGATCTTCCCGCAATATCGTCAATCTTCCCACAGATTCTTCATGCTCTTTTCCGATCTACTCGCTACGGCCCTCCTCACCGGGTCCGCCCTGAGCATCCCCCTCGTCCCCCGCGAGCTCAGCCCCTACACCAGTGACATTGAGGTTCACTCCATCTGTAACGCTACCCAACGGCGTATGCTTCAAAAGGCTCTCTCGTTAGTCATCTTATCTTCTTTGTGCGTCGCAGCTGACCCTTTTCCTAGTGACACATACGAAGTAACCTCCTTCGCTAAAGAATACATCACCACCAACGGCGGGGACGATCCCATCTTTCAACAGTACTTTGGCACAGACACAGGTTCATACACCCAAGTCATCGGTATCTGGGATGCTTTCCTCCCGTCCAACAAAGAAGGCGTGCTTTTGCGATGTGATAACCCTGACGGCGTTGGTTATCTTTCTCTTTGCTCAAGCACGGGCTGACGTTATGTGTCAGAATTGTGGTCAAGAGGGTTGGCGCGGACATTGGGGAGGCGACAATGCCACATCCGAAACTGTCATCTGCGATCTTTCTTACACTGACAGGCTGTTTAACGAAAACTTTTTCATGTTTGGGTACTCGTCAGCCAGAAACCTTCGACTTTTTGGTCTATCGGTCTCATGCGAGTCTTCTTTTCATATTTCATCTCCAGAACACCAGCTGACTGACATACAGTCACCGATTCTTCCATGTTCCAGCGGTGACGAACGGCAAAGTCGACCACTATGCTGAAGACTATACTGGCATTCTCGAGCTCGCCGAGCACAACAGCACCTATGCCGCTGTAGACTCGAACGCCCTCCAGTACTTTGCTGCTCGCAAGTCGCTCCTCCTCTTTATCGAGACTTGTGGCTGATGTCATTCTCAGATGTCTATGCGCTTGAGGTTGCCAAAGGTGGAGATGCTTGTATCGGCAAGGTTGCGGAATCTAGCAGCAGCAAAATATCGTCTCTCGCCACATCTGCCTCTTGGACCGGTCCATCTGTGCATCGAAGCTTACTCGGCACGCTCTAGCTGTCCATTGCGTGTGATTCATCGCCAAACGATTCAAAGATCTTGAAAGATGTGCCAAAGCTTCCTGAACCCTACTAAAAGAGCTTCATCGCCGAACAAATGTAATAACGTAGAAACCTTTCTTATACATGTGATATTCTTCCAGAGCTTTTATATTTCATCAAATGCAACAGAAGAGTCTGAAGCCTGAGCTCTGCTTGTGACACGTGTATGTGTATACATCTCAAAAATAGTCCACACTCTCCGTTTCTCGAATGGCAAGCTAATCATACAACTGCCAATCAAACGGCACACTGTCCCCCCAGAACCCAGCCGGACAAGCGCCTGATAGTTGTTCATCCCCGCCCAGCGCAAAGACGTCGGATTCGGAAGTGTATTGGGACCATTTAGAGGTGGCGGTTGATGTGGCGGAGGAAGAGGGGGATGTTGATGTGGGGGATGGAGAAGAAGATGACGAGTATGCGTGGGAAGAAGAAGAGTGAAGAGAAGAACGGGAGGAAGAAGAGTGGGACGAAGAAGAACCAGGAGACAGCGCAAAATCGCTACTTCCCCCGGCCTTCTGCCCGTTCCAGCTCCAGTCCCACCACGAGCTCCATGTAAATGAGAATGACCTCTTTTTGGCAGCTGAAGAAGGGTTGGGGTTTAGAGTGGTGATAAATGCGACCCAATGGGAAAAGATGGTACTTTCCTGTATGCAGTGTCAGCTCGTAAAAGGATACTGCATGGGGAGGCTTACAAGGGTAGAAGTGTTGCTCGAAGGATCAGAGGCGGTCCCGAAAGTCGGGTAGATATCATCCTAAGCCCAGTCAGTTCGACCACCCACTTTTACGACAAAAGACCAACCTCGTGGCAGACGATCCCATCCCCGGTACAATACCCCGACTCATTATCGGGATACGTCACACCCTCCCTCCACTCTCCTACCCACACTTTACCTCCGGCAGAGGCCCACTTGTTGGCAACATCTACATTCGCACACTTCCATATCCCATCCGTCACTGCCCTTTCAAACGTTTCTCGGAAAGTGTCTCCCGAGGGACCATATGGGGCGGTAGAGGAGGTGGAGTTGATAGCAGGTAGAGAATAGTACTCTGAGCTGACTAGACTAGTAGCGCGGGATGTGCCTATGAGAGCAGAAGCTGTAGAGTAGTAGGTATCGTTGGACAGCGGTACGTGGGTGGAAAAGATGGAAGAGATGGCGGTACCGCCTTCATTCTTGACGGTGGTGAGCAAGATGGGGAGCGAGGCGGGGGTAAAGGTGAGTGAGGAGGGTGAGTTTGTGAGGGTGGAAGAAGGGTCGGAGGGGAGAGCGGTAGTGTTGTATGTCGGTCTCAGCGCTGTGTAATAGTAAGCTTGTGTATGTGTAGAGTGTGGGACGTACGCTCGGAGAAGGGGACGCCGGTGATGGTGTATGGTACGGTTGAGATGAGTGTATCTTGAGCGGTGACGAGTGCGGATGCGGAAATGTTTTTGAGGCAGTCAAGAGTCGTGCAAGAAGACATGGGCGACATGGCGTAAAATGTGGACTGGATCTGTGTGGTGATATCGGAAGACGCAAATCCAAAGCTCTACAAGAGTATGTCAGGTCAAGCCGAGAGATAGAGAAAGAATGCTCACCATGGGGTCAGACTGGAGGATGGCAGCCCTAAACAAGCCGGAAGCGGCAGGGGCACCCCAGAGAGCTATTACCGTCAGCACTAGTACGCTTCTAGACCAATGAGACTCACCTCGAATCATCGATGCCCCCGAGCTCTGGCCACCTACAGTAATCTGTCCCCTGTTCCCTCCAACATAATCGATATACTGATTGACACCCTTCAAACCCAGGATGACATCCTTCAACCCGAGGCTCGGATCAGAGGACGTTGAAGCAAGCGTCGGCGGCAAGAGACCAAAGACACCGAGACGGTACTGGAGCATGATGACAATCATGTTGCCGTTCTTAGCTAGGAGGGATCCATCGAGGCCTGGGGCAGAGGTGGAACCCTGGACGAAGGAACCGCCGTGGATCCTTGATGATGTTTGATCAGTGAACAATGGGTGGCGAAAGACAATTTACACACCAGACGAAAACGGGCCAGCCGGCGGAAGGTGCAGTGCTTTTTGGGACATAGACGGTGGCGTAGAGGCAGTCTTCAGACTGAGAGCTACCGACGGTATATGTCCCCGAGTTCTGAGGACAAGAAGGAGGTTCAGAGGCATAGTTCTGGTGGCTATGATTGGTCAGTCGAGTTCGAATCAAGGTAGAAGAACTTGCCGAATATCTGACGGAGCGACAGACTCTGCCCATCTCTCCGCAATGCCATACTTGATCGTATAGCGACAAGCACCATCGCTAGTCTCGTAGCCAGTGGCAGTGTGGCCGTACGCAGTGTAAGTACATCCGGAAGAAGTTGGGCGGTTGACGGGGAACGGGTGGGCAGCGAGGAGGTTGGAGAAGAGAAGGAGGGCGGTGAGAAGGAGCATGGGGAGTGTGCCGAGCAAGGAGGGTGGATGGGGTGGGTGGGTGTGAGGCGGGAGTATATGTAGGCTGGGATGTGGGCAGGGGCGACGCGGGCTGGGATAGAGTTGATGGGGCTGCAGGGGCTGCAGGAGGGGTGTTCCTGCGGCATGGTGTGCCGTGCCGTGTCCCAAGTTTGGTCGACAATGGCGGGGTGTGTGCCGAGTGTCCCAGCAAAGGCCCCTGCACGTCAGCCTGCCAGGGGGTGGAGTGACTCTCAGGGGGCTCTCGAGGTACCGCTGTTTCACAGAACAACAATAAGAAATCAGGCACGGCCACCCGAACGGAACTATTTCCCGGGAGGCGGCCTGCGCCGTCGACCCTCCATCATCAAACCCGTTCACAGTTGAGACTGCACTGAGCACGAGCGGTCAGGATGCCCCCGAGAATAGGGACACCCATCAGGCGCACACAGCCGCCCCCGCCCCCGCCAATACCCGCCGCCCTCCCCCCGCCGCCTCTCATCCCCACCGCCCTCCTCGCCCCCAACGAACAACGCCTCTTCCTCGTCGCACTCGTAGGGCTCGTAGAAATCACAAAACTCTGGGACACATTCCTCCCCCTCTTTGTCACAGATCCAGACCCCACATGGACCACCTCCCTACGCATCAGTGGCCCTGTCACCGTCCTCGCATGGACAGGCTTCGAAGTCCTTGCTCTCTACTTTATATCGCTCTTGCGGATACCCCTCTTATCCCCGAGCTTTAAACAGACGACATTACTGGGAGCTATTTGTCTGGCAATCAATGGACTTTGCTGGCTCATTGTAGAGCCGAGTACAACGCTCGGGTACGTCAATGTGGTCGGTACGGCGGCCTTGGGCGGAGAGTGGTATTGGAACTGGTTCTACGCCTCTCGAAAGTGGTCCGAACCGAAACATATCCAAGGCGTACACAAGATTCGACTGCTCCCCTATTCGTAAGTACCATCGCAGGTAGAAGCGCCGCGCTGACATCTTACAGGACGGCGACTTTGAACCCTCTACTGTTGACATACTGCATCCCTCCAGACAGCCACCAGCCTCTTCACGTCCCCATCGTATTCAACAACTCTATTCCCGAATTGCTCGACATTGTCGTCCACCCCCTCTCTGGCGGTGCACCTCAGACCAAAACTATCTACGGCTCAAGCCTCACCCGTTCTCCCGCAAGAGCAGTCAAGCTAAGGATCACAGACGGCACTGGGGACGACGACGATGAAGCGGAAGAGCTCGAGCCAGAGATCGACCCCCTGAGCGCGCTGGTGCTCCAATCGGGCAAAAAGATTGTGGGGCACCCGAGAGATATCGACCCGGCCTCTGTACCGAGTGTCAAACCTGCCGACTCGCTCGCCCTCATCCCGCGCAACCTCGCCCCGACCGAAAACGTCCTGTTCCTCAAAGTCGACCAGCCGTCCGTCATTACCCTCCGAAACGTCGTCGACAAGCGCGGCGACCGCTTCCACCTCACCCCCCGTCGAGAGGCCGTCATCGTCAGCTGCCCCAGCGGAGGTAAATTCGTCGAACAAGCCAAAGGCGGCAAGCTGGTGCTCAAAAACGACAAGGACCAGGCCCCCGAGCTGCGCTGTGTTGGCGATGAGGATGTGGTGACATTCGAGGCTACGGGTGTATCCCCGCTCGAAGTCAAGTGGGAGAAGAAGCGAACCAACGCGAATGGAAACACTGCAGTGGAAAAGACTGGCACCGTCGAGGGGATTGAAGATACCCTCTTCTCCGACTCTGCCGATCCTACCACCCGCACCAGGGTGTCCAAATCCCACCACGTCCCCCTCCGCGTCTCCCACGATACCCCCGGGCAGTCCACGGTCCAGCTTTTATCTGTCAAGGACGCTTTGCACAATACCTATACCCCTTCTGGGTATTCGGCCCAAAAGGCATGGAAGGTGGAGACGAAAAAGTCGGTCAAATTTAATTGCCAGGCGCCGTATCAGCTGCTGCAAAATCAGAGCGTGTCGATCCCTATCGAGATCCTCGCGCCTGATCTCAACCACCCTTCGCAAAGACTCGAACGGCCTCTCAAGTTGACATACACCTTTACACCTACATCCGGGGGTGAGGCCCAAGAGAGGGTGATGGAAGTCAAGAGCAAGAAGGAAGAGCTCGTAGTGACAGAGGCGGGAAGTTATGCTCTGGCGGCGATTGAAGGGGATTGTGTTGGGAGCGTGATGGAGCCCAGTCGATGCGAAGTGCAGGTCGTGCCCCTGCCGACTTTGGACATGAGCGTGACTACTCTGCACGAATGGTGAGTCTTCTTCTGGAGTTTGCTCAATTGTCTGACACAAACGAAGCGCGATGGATGTGGGTTCTACAGCACACCTCGACTTTACTGGCGCCCCACCTTTCAAGCTGGAATATATCGAACAGCGAAAAGGTGGTCGACCCAGGACGATCTCTCAGCAATTCTCAGGCCACCACGGGAGCATCGTCCTCCGACCCGAGCAGGAAGGGGCATACACCTATGTAAGCTTGATTCAAACCTGCAGGATGTCGCTAATCTTTCTCTCAAGACGTTCACGGCTCTCAGCGACAGAAGGTATAGGAATATCCAAGTCACTCAACCACCTATCAAGCAGACTGTACACCCTCTTGCCAATGCCGAGTTGACGGGCAAGCTCATCAAGCCGACACTGTATTCGTGTTCAGGCGATGTTGTCGGGGTCGACGTCGAGGCTCGGGTAAGTGTCCTGATTTGGTTAGGGATTAGGACTGATAAACCTTGTAGGGTATCCCGCCACTCCAATTGACATACCTCACTTCCCACGGCACCCACTCATCCAACACCACAATCTCCCTCTCTCTCGGCCGTACCAACCTCCAAATCCCCGTCCCCGAGGCCCTCTCATCATCCAACCCCTCCGCCAGCGGCAAGTTGCACATCAACTTGCTGAGTATTGAGGATGGAAACGGCTGTGTAAGAAAGTTGGAAAGCGCAAAGAGTGTGGAGGTGAATGTGAAACGGGAGAAGCCGAGTGCGAGGTTGGCCAGTGGGGGTAGTAAGCAAGTCAGGGAGGGCGAGATCGTCAAGGTGCCTCTGAGGTTGACTGGAGAGAGGGTGAGTCGCCCTTCGCAATGTCTGAAGTGAAACTGATGGGAGTAGCCTTGGAATGTGGTTTACGAGGTGGACGGAAAGCAGCAAAAGGTCACGTTGAACGACCCCAATGCGGCTATCCAGCTCAAGAGCGAGGGCGTACACAAACTCGTCAAGGTATGTCTCCCCATCAGCTCCTCGATGGCGCTGACCCTAGCACAGGTCAACGACGCTACGTGCCCCGGCGAGATCCTCGATCCCTCCTCCACTTTCACCATCTCCTACCTCCCTCGTCCTTCCCTCGCCATCCTTCCATCGTCCGCTTTGGTACTCGCCAAGAAGAGCTGGAACCACCAAGGTCTCTGCGCTGGGCAAGAAGACCAAGTTGGGCTCACATTCGGGGGTCAAGCGCCTTTCGAGTTGACGTACCGTCTGGGCAAGGACGGCAAAGATCTGGGGATCAGGTACCTCAAATCCGCGCAAGACGCTGGTGTACTTCATCTCGAGACGGACCCTGGGACTTATACGTACCAGTTCATTACTCTGTCCGATGGCAACTACCCTAGCAACGGCCTCGATCAAAAGATCTCGCACCAGGTCTTTGCTCGTCCCGGCGGTGGATGGATCAAGGGCGGTTCTAGCGGACCACTGTGTTTAGACGGCAAGCTGGAAAGCGGGGCGGTTTTGGGTTTGAGGGGCAAGGGCCCTTGGCAAGTCACTCTCGGCGTACGCAAACCCGCTTCCGCCAAGGTCGATCTCTACACCATCAACACTGCCAAACCTGAATGGTCTCTTTCTCTTCCTGATGTCCTCTTGAACGACATTGGTCGGTACGAAATTACCCTGCACGACATTGTCGACTCTTCCTCCTGTCCCATGGAGCTCTTGGATGGCGGAGAAGATGGCACTGGGTTCAGAGATGAAACACGGATCAGCGTCGAAGTTGTGGAGAGCGCGAGAATCGTCGAAGTGGATGCTCGAAAGCAAGTCTGTGTGGGAGACCACCTCGAATTCTTACTCCAGGGCAAAGCACCTTGGACGATCGAATATGCTTGGCTGGGCAAGGAGCATAGGGTGACTTCTGGCGGATCGAGGTTTTCGAGATTCGCAGAGAAGGCGGGCAAGTTTGAAGTCAAGAGCGTCGCATTGAGGGGTGATCAGTGCAAGAGGCAGGTGGAGGGAATGGTGAGGACTGTTCATCCGTTGCCGAGTGCTAGGATTAAGAGCGGCGAGGATGATTTGCGTGAAGGTGTGTCTTTTTTCTTGCGTCCGCGGAGACAAATTGCTGACGGGCACTAGGTGACGAACCGGCCGTCTTCCGAGTATACTTTACCGGTACAGCACCATTCTCGTTTACATACACCAGAAGTGAACAGTCGGGCTCAAAGTGGAAGGTGGTCGAGACTCAGGTACGTAGCTTCTACGTACCTCAAGCTTACAATGCTGATGCCTTTCAGACTGTAACCGACATCATGGAGGACAGTTATGCCATCTCGAGCTCACTGCCAGGGGATTACGAAGTGACAAGCATTAGCGACAAGTACTGTCGGTATCCGAGGTTGAACTAGGGCAAGAGAGTGTATATGTACAGTAATGCATTTTGACATGGGAAACCCTGTTACAGGATCCGTGAACTGGATCATCAGCATCGTGCCCATGGTGTGGGCGGTTTAACAAGCCATCCGCCGTTATCTCGGATGATCATGCTTATGCGAGTACATACAGAAATGATATGTGATGCCCTAGATTACATTCTTAACGGCAACGGTGCTCACCACCGCTGCCTTCTTCTTCTCTATCACATCGGGTGTTTTGAGAGCGTTCAACTCGGACAGCTTGTAGACCTGCAAAGACAATCAGCACATGCCAGCTCGAAAAGAGACGAGACACACCTTGTCGACCTTGGCCCAATCTACACCTTCGCCGACTCGTTCCAGCCCCACCAACTCCCCTTCCACAACGTCCTCCATCGCCTTCCATATTTCTTCCGACGATTGTCCCCTCTTTCCAAACTTGACCACAGCCAGCCTCGTAGTCTTTTCCGATAACCCGTGCCGTCTGATGGAATCTGATATATTGTTGTTGGGAGAAAGCAAAAGAAGGATTTCAGAGTGAAGATTATGCGAACGGGTCTTTGGTACCCGATCTTGTTCGCTATTCAAAGAGAGAGAGGATATGTCGGGGGAGGAGAGCGAAGGTGGGTCGGTAGGGGCTGGAGAAGTAGAAGGATAGGCATAGAGTAGCGTGGCAAGGACAGCAGAAAGCAAGTGTTCCTTGGACACCAGCTGTCAAGAACGGTCAGCCTCTATCACCCATGGCCAATACTCCAACATACCAAGTCGCCCTCAACAAAGCCGAAATCAACATCTGCTCTAGCTTTATCTCCTTCTTCTCCTGGGGGATATTGCGAAGCTTTTATCAGGCGCTGTCTTATCTGCGGGGCGTTTGTGACATTGTGGAATAGGGCGACGTGGATGGCGGAGTGTGCCGGGGGAAAGTTCTGGAGAGCGTAAGACTCCATGGCGTCGGGAGGATTTATAGTGCGTCCGTGACTTGCAACTGAGGTTTGCGATGGCTTTTGGCTCGTCAGCCTTCGAGGAGATTTGATCCCGTCCTTGTGTGGTTCCATGGTGCTGGCATTGTATCTTTTCAAATGAAACGTAGGGAATCTGAGCATTCCAAAGTCCATGCTTGCCTGCAGTTGAACGACCTTATGTCTCCATATCGCTCATGATGCTGCAGATGGTGCACATGCGACACAAATTGTTTGGTCCCATGGCGCAAGTACGGAAGCAAATGCCGCCCATCAAATCGTCTGGCAGTCCTTACAAAGATTGTACCAAGACCATGACTTTTCGTTCAGCCTCTCTGCAAACGAACCGCCGATATGTCATGGGTAAGTACTGCATCAAGTGATACCCACAACTCTCACAAGCTTTAGCTCGTGCCCTCACTGCCAAGCTGGTCTCGCGGCGCCGCTCCAACCCAGGTCGAGAAGGCGACGGCGAATAACGATATTGAAGAAGACGACATTGATGCCCCGCCCCCCTTCCCCATGCTCAATTCTCATCAGAGATCCCAGGCTCCGGCCCCTGAAGCACCCAAACCCCCGATACCCCCCCCCACTATTGCGCCAATCCCGACGTTATCATTCGCCATCGCCCCTCCGTCACCTACCAAGTCGACGCACGATGACGATGAGCCTCCTTCAGATCTAAACATCGCCATCATACCCGACAACATACCTATAGGGAACATGGCCCCTCCGCCGAGTACGGTGAAGAAACCGTCCTTCGGTATACAAAATGGCGGACATGATGGAGGAGGGTTGAAAGTGGCAGAGAAACCCAAGCCCAAAGAGAAGAGGAAGGGCAAGGTAGCCCTTGCGCCGGGACATTCTCCTCTAGACTGGGCGAGGCTGACATCAAGTGGACAAAACTTGAGGGGTGTGCATACATTCCAGAGAGTCACGCTTGCAGAGCTGAAGGAGGTCAGTGTGTTTTTACTGCTGACGCAGAGCTGATACAATATTATAGCATAACACTCCGGACGATGCGTGGTCGGTATTCAACGGAATGGTGTACAATATCACGCCTTACCTTCCATTTCACCCAGGAGGAGAGGACGAGATGATGAGGGTTGCGGGGCGAGATGGGACCCGTCTTTTTAGTGAGTCCCTTTCTACAACGTTTTTCTCGGCAGGACCATGACTGACGAAAATTGTCAGTGCTCACGCATTCTTGGGTCAATATGGACTTTATGTTGAAGGAGTGTATGGTGGGAGTCTTGGTCAAATGAGAGGATCTTTGTTGTTCCATTTCTCGCGCGCAATAGACTCTTTTGACGTATCCTCACGATCATGATTGGTACTCATACTGTACTCTACATTGTATACTCAACATCATCATAGCATTTCATAGATACATGTACCATCGTATACGCACACGAGCATGTCCGTGTCTATGCGTATGAGTCGCAGATCGCAGACAGAATGTCCAGCGAGCCCCCCAATCATTCCGAGATCATATAACAGTCGCATCGTCGAACCCAGTCTCCTAGTCAATCCTATGCGAATGCGGTAGAGAACGTCGAGAGAAGAAGCCACAACGAAGCTGGGAGGCACACAGCCCGACGGCGTCGCGCGGAATCATCGTTGTGGCAGTCATGTCTCTTTACCCTCTTTCAGAGATCTACAGATGCCCAGTCTCTTCCCAAATACAATTCCAAAACGGGGGAATCGGATATGTCGACCCTAGCCCCCAAGGACGACCCCGATCCATCTCCCTCTTCCCCGCCTTCAGCCATCCCAGCCCGCCTGAAAAGCAAACAGAACCAACAACCTACCAACTCTCCCAATACTGCTGCCTCCAACCGCCGTAGATTAGGCGGCCTCTTCGCTGAAATGGGCATCAGCGTCTCCCCAGCTCGAGCAAGAGCTGTTTCAGAGAGCCCGGCTGGTACGCCGTCTCGAAAAACGACGAATGCTGGCTCGGAGCTGGTGTCGAGTGTCGCCTCGTCCATAACGTCCTTTGCTGATCGTATGGCTGCTCTATCTATGGTGGCCAGCGGCGGCAACGCAAAGACTATTTCAAGCCCGGTCAAAGAAGGGACAATGGAGGGTCGAGTGAGTGATGAGGGGTGCTTTGTGGACGCCTGTTCGGTAACAAGCCTCGAGGCGGACACAAGAGAGCATTCAGACCTCGAAGTCTTGTCAGATGATCTGTGAGTGCACGCTGGCACTTTAAGAACTGTACTCATTCCATACTGTAGGCTATTGGAGATCTTCTTGCACCTCGACACCGCCGATAATCTACACGTCCTCTCGCAAGTATCAAAGAGATTTTACAACCTTTCGCGAGCGCCCATACTCTGGATGAGGATCTGTGACTCGACTGGCTACCGCGATGATCTCAGAGCCGAGGTAGACGAGCAAGCGCTAGGAGTCTGGGAGGCTCCCGATGCTGGAGAGGCTTCCACGACCGGGACAGAAGACGGCTCAATACCAATCCACTATCCAACATTCTACCACACCATGTCTTCCCTCCCCCAACACATACGGTCCCTAAAACCCACTCACCATCCTGTCCTGACGACCATCCCTGGGCACACCGACAGCATCTATGCCCTTCAAATGCTGGGGCAGTGGCTATTCACAGGCTCGAGAGACAGATCAATCCGACTTTGGCGACTCCCTGCCCCGTCTCTTGCAAAGACGAGCCAGGGTGCAGAGCTCGCTGCTTCAGTGGAGGACGCGCATGGTGGAAGCGTGCTAAGCCTTGTCTTTGAGTGTGACCTGCAAGGTAGGGGGCTACTCGTCACTTCTTCCTCGGACGAAACTGCCTCCATCTGGTCGATATTTCTCCCTCAGCGACCCTCTGACGGTGAGGCCACAATCGAAAAGCTTCAAGCACTACCACACCCTGCAGCGGTCCTCGATGCTGCGTTGACGCCAGCCCATATCGTGACAGCCTGTAAAGACCGGCACCTCCGGGTCTTTTCACGCACAACGCTGGAGCAGGTATGGGAGTTGAAAGAGCACCGGGGACCTATCAACTGCGTCACGGTGCATGGCACAAATGGCAAGCTGGAGGGAGACAACCATGAAGAGGTGATCTCTGCAAGTGGGGACGGGAGCTGGATCATATGGGATGTGAAAACAGGCAAGCAGGTTCGGCGGGGTGCTGGGGATGGACGAGGTTTGGCCTGTGTTGCTTGGGAGGTAAGTTGTCATATGCATGATGGCTTTGACTGACACTGACAGAGGGACTATATTGTCACTGGCGATAACGAATGCCTCATCAAGCTTTATGATGCTGCGACGTGCAACCTCATCAAGGTCTTTCAAGGCCACACCAACTTGGTGCGCGCTGTTGCCTTGCGTCCAAGAGAGGGACTGGTGGTCAGCGGAAGCTACGACCACAGTGTCATGGTATGTGCACGGATACTGTGCAGGTTTGGACGCTAAACCTGTGATCATAGATTTGGGACATGCACACAGGCCTTCTGATCAAACGACCCTCTCTGCCGCACACTTCGCTGGTACTTGACATTCACATGAGCGCAAATCGCCTCGCATCGTGAGTCTACAATGTCCGGAAGACGCATGGGCTGATCAGGCAACAGGGCTGGGCATGATAATTCGGTGATGGTGCTGACTTGGGGAGGAGATCTGCCCTATACTGATCTGCTGGTGTGATCGCTACATCGACTGTATATTTACTTCATCATTGCATGTGCATCTTGAAACGCAAGCCCACACTGCGTCGATTACGAAACAGTACACCGGGCGCAGAAGAATCACTACGAGCCTAGGCATTGGGCATGGCGTTACATGCGCTGCGTGCTGCCGAAACAACATGGCTTGTTCGAGTATCGCATTATAGCGCGGCAAATGCTCAGAGATAAGAATGCGATGGGCATCCTCGTGGCGCGTAAGGCTAAAACAACGAAACTTAGATTTGAAGCGGGCGATCCGGTTAACGGCATCTCGGCTTTTGAATGAGATTCAATTTATCTGCTGTTATCGGCTGGCTGCTTTGCATGATGCACTCGCGTCTGGCCCCGTAATAGTAGGGCGCTGCCCTGCGCATGCCCAGAGCCCAAAGCAGCAACATCCGCAGTACCGAGCAGCCGAGCCGTCACCAGAATTCCATACCTCATCTCAGGCCAAGAGTCATTAAGAGCACTTGGTCTTGCTTCCTTCCCTGTCGTCTTTGAGAGTGTGGTAAATTGCCCTTCTCGTCACTCGTGTACCCGTGCATGATGCAGAGCAGTGGCATTGCGCGCTACAGCTGATTCGTCGCACTATGTACTCCACCATCTAGATCAACTAGCATCATCATCGAGCCGCAGCTGTGACCGGCTCTCCCCTCGCCCAGGGCGGTGCCGAGCCCAGAAGCCATGGAAGCTGGGAGAACCTGTTTGGGATCTTTGCGATTTGGCGATTGAACTGAAGCCTGGGGAAGTGCCACATGCAGCTGTTAGGCTGCGACGGGAGCAATTTGGTAACGGGATGTCCTGAGCTATTAGATAGAGTCGCTACGTCACCCGTTGAAATTCAGGGAGATTAGCGCGTCATCAAATTCTCAGAGCGATCAATGAATAAATAAAAAACAACCCTCGCCAGCTGGGAACATTCATGGCTGCCATTTCTGCTTCTCTCCCACCACCCCCTAGCCTGCCACTTGTAATCCCCTGTACATCCGCCCTCAGCCACAGCCAGGTAAGCCCGTCCCCTCTGCCCATCACCCATCTCATCCACCCGTCCCACCTTGTTGCTCCCGCCATCCCGCCCCAGGCTGACGCTCATCTCCACAAATAGCCTCAAGAAACCTTTTCTTCACTGGTATAGGCAACACAGGAAACACACTCCGCCATGTCTGCCACAGGCGAGGACACTTCCTCCTCCTCCACCCCTTCCTTCATCTCAGCCCTCGTTGTGGCTGGTATCACCGTCGGAGCCTTCTCATTGCTATGGCTTGTGCTTCACGGTCGCAAGAACCTGAGGGGTGTTTTCTCTCCTCGAACATACCTCGCGCCTGAGGGGTCAGTTTTTTTTCCCGGTTTGTTTCAAATTTTGATGTTAACGTGATTCCACAGTAAGAGGCCCGAGCCATTACCGACAGGGTTAATAGCGTTCTGGAAAGCGCTGTTCTCAACACCGGACAAGGAGATCATCGTCTCCAACGGTCCCGATGCCTACTTTTACATCAGATACCTCAAGGTCTTTGGTCTCCAGATGCTTCTCCCCTACGTCGTTCTTACATGCGCCGTCTGTATCCCGGTCTCTGTCATCACCCCCAACTCTGGCAAGGATGGTCTCAACATGTTGACTTTCGGTAACGTCCCCGACACCAACCAAATTCGCCATGTAGCCCACTTTATTGTCGCCATTATCTTGATCGTCTGGACAATCTTCCTAATCTTTAGGGAGTACAACCACCTGGTCCAGGTCCGACAAGCTTGGATGACCTCTCCCCAGCACTTGACTCTTGCTCGTGCCCGAACTGTCGCCATCACCAATGTCCCTGACGCCATCAACAATGTCGCTGGCATCAAGGAGCTTGCTGGTACTGTTGCCCACATTGACAGCAGTGGCGGCTCTGGCACCAACCTTTTGGCCAATGTCAACCCCTTTGGCCGTCAGTCTACTGCTACCGAGGGCACCGCTGTCAATGAGACCGATGGTGTCAGGCAGGTTTGGCTTGTCCGCATGTGCAAGGACGCTGAGAAGATCTGGGGCGAGCGTGACGCCGAGTGTGCTAGACTCGAAGGTGGTGTCTCCAAGCTTCAAAAGCTTGCTGCCAAGAACGTTCGAAAGCACAAGACTCCCGAAGAGACTGGTAAGTCATGCTCAGCTGGCTGTTACAAAGTTGCTGACGTCTTACAGGCAAGCTTGACACTGAAAACTCTGCTGGCGACCTCATCGACAAGTATGTCCTCCCCAAGAAGCGTCCATCCTGGAAGCAGGGCCTCCTCGGCCTCATCGGCAAGAAGCAGACTCTTGAAACCTCTCCCGAATACATCAACGAGCACAATATTAAGCTTGACGAGCTTCGAAGCGACATTGCCTCTCTTCCCCAGGGTAACACCGTCTTTGTCCGATTCGCTTCTCAACACGAGGCCCACGCCTTTGCCAGGCTCGCTGGCAAGACTGGCAAGACCAACCAGCACATCCGTGGTGGTGTCGAAGTTGTTCCCGAGGACATTGAATGGGGCAACACTTCCATGAGCCCTTGGCAGCGATACGGTCGAAGCGTCGTCTCTTGGGCCCTCACCATTGGGTTGATCATTGTCTGGGCTATCCCTGTTGCTTTCGTTGGTATGGTTTCAAATGTCGACACTCTTTGTACGACAGCTCCCTTCCTGTCTTGGATCTGTGATCTTCCCTCGCCCGCTCTTGGTATCATCAAGGGTGTCCTCCCCCCTGCTTTGCTTGCTGTGCTCTTCATGCTCTTGCCCATTGTCCTTCGAAAGATGGTCAAGATGCAAGGCGAAGTCCGAAAGACGTGAGTGACAATAAAATATCGTCGAGCAACGCTAATGATGCCACAGCGACATCGAACTGAAGCTTTTCACTCGATTCTGGCTTTTCCAGGTCATCCACGGTTTCCTCATCGTCACTCTTGCCTCCGGTCTCATCTCCGCCCTCAGTACAATCAGTGGCGACACCATCCAGGAACTTCCTACCCTGCTTTCCACCAGGCTTCCCGATGCTTCCATCTTCTTCCTCACCTTCATTCTTACGGCAACCTTCACTGGTGCTGCCAAGACCTACGCTCGACTCGTGCCCGTCATCATGTACGCTCTTCGAGGTATCTTGGCTGGTAACACCCCCCGAAATGTTTACGCCAAGAAGTTCAAGATGGACAACTTTGCTTGGGCTACCGCTTTCCCTCCCACCTGTCTCCTTATCTGTATCACAATCGTCTACTCTGTGATCCAGCCCATCATCACTGTCCTCGCTTTCGTCGCCATGATCCTCCTTTACCTCGCCAACAAGTTTATTCTTCACTGGTGTGCCGACCAGGCCGACGCCTCCGAGACTGGTGGTTTGTTCTACGTCAGGGCTCTCAGGACCGTCTTTGTGTCTCTCTACATTGAGGAGATCTGCTTGATGGGTCTCTTCTTCTTGTCTAGTGACGAGAACGGTGATCGATCGACTACTGGTCTTGCTTGCGGTGCTATCATGGTGAGTATCGTGACTGCATTCAACAAACTCTGCTGACATTCCAATCCAGGCCGCTACCCTTGCCCTCACCGCCATCTTCCAGGCCTACATTGACCACTTCCGATTCAAGAAGGACTTTGTCTACTACGTCCACACCACCGAGACCTCCTCCAAGTCCGAGTCCATCGAGCCCAAGGTCGGCGCCGTCAAGGCTTCTCCCTCCGAGGAGTACGCCAACGCCGGCCCTGAGTTTGGCAACACCTCTGGCTTCCACGTCAACGCCTTTGACAACCCTGCTCTTTGGAAGAAGCAGCCCACTATCTGGGTTGCCGAGGACCCTCTTGGTCTGGGTGCGCAACAGGTGCAGCAGATCCAGTCCAAGGGTGTGGACTCCAGTTTGGACTTTGCCGTCATGAATGAGAAGGGTGTTATCGAGGTCGACAGGAGTGCTCCTGATGAGGCTTGGTACGGTGGTCACAGCAACTAAGGGTTTAGTTGATGTGCTCCCAATTTTATAATACACGGTAGATACCCTGACCGGAGATATACCCAATAGAGTCAGATGGATCGAGAGAGAAGAAGCAGTTTCACATTTTATACACGGTACCTAATAGGACTTATGAGTCCTATGTTTATATTACATCTTTATAGCTTGCTTCGGTATGGATATGAATCTCTATCGCATGCCTCTGTCTTGCTCATTATGCTTCTACTTGCTTGCGATAACACCACGACTCTTGTCTATGTATGGTAAAGTGACTGTCCAAACGCCCTCATGGCAAGATGCCCTACACCACGGCCCGCTTCTTCCAAGCGCCCCAGCTCGCCACGAGTCCATACACGTCCGCCCAAAATCCGACCGGCTCCTTCATCCCACTCTTCCTCTCCCTCTGAACTCTATCCATCGATATCTTATCGTCCCTCCGAGGCACCGTCTGTCGCTCCGGACCCTGAGGGAACTGGTTCCTGTACTTGGTCGAGAGCGCGATGCGAGAGTAGCAAGCACAGACGATGGCGAGACGGATGATCACCCCGCAGGATGCAGAGTAGGGAAGGTTTTGCGTGAATGTATGCGAAATGTCGAGGGTGGTGATGATGACAGAGGAAAGGATGTACAGGTTCCTGAAGATTTCTGTGCGGACAAAGGCGACATCCGCTCTGATGGGGGGCCTTCGGACTCGTGTTGTGAATCAGAAACAAACGTACTCGGCAAGGGTAGACACCCAGAAGAGAGAGTTGGCCTCTGAATACATTTCGCGGAGGGTGATGGCGCTCAAGACCATGGCAGCGGTGGCGATGTTGAAACAAGTGGTGGTGGTGAGAGGAGGCAGCCAATGTGAGGTGAAGGCAGTGAGGGAGGAAGGATAGCCAAACATGTGCACGACGGAATTGAATGTAGTGGTGGATGACATGGTGGGAGGGAGTTCTGGGTTTTGACTGGTAAGGGGTGAGCGAGCGACCTGCAGAGCAAGGGCAAGGCTTACAAGTTACTTGAAAGCGACTGGGCGAGTGTGGGTTTGTTGTGGGAGGGATCCGCTCACAGTATTTTCTATTATGAACAAACGTGGGAGAGGATGACATTGGAGGACTGGATTTTATGCGTTATGGAAACAGATCATGAGAATTATACAGAAGAGTTGTCGGATACGAAAGATGGGACCATGGCGGATATCTGGTGTTCCGACCGCGTCACGTGTGACTTTTGGTATTGGCACCGATCCTTCAGCTGTGGGGATGCATGTCAGCCTAGAAGTGAGCATGACTTGATGCTTATGTCCCATATGATGTACAACAATGCTACATACAGATGACCGCGCCCTAGAAACCTCCCCTCAAATAGTTCTGTCTCTGCTTTACAAAATCTGTGATAGCTGGCTTGGTGTGAGGTTCAATGAACAAGAGTTTATTCGAGGTGGAGGAGTGCTGAATAGCAGCGTTCGCCTTGGCCTCATTGACAGTGTCATCAAAGAGCTCTTTACTGAAGAACTCGTACATGACCGCTGTCCATGGTCAATGGTGGTCACAAATCTCCAGGAAAACACTCACTTTCTTCCATTTGAAGCCTATGCCTCTCGCTATCCCACAGATGCAGTTGATCCACAATAGTAGGATGCAGTAACGGAGGGGGCGAGTTGTACATCTGGGGGTGCGCGTGGCTTCCGAGGTAGGCTATGATCTGATGCGCCGAGATACCCTTGTCCATCGCCGCCTTGACGTGCTGTCGGTCGAGCTTGCCGACGACGAGATTGGGGTAGCGGATGCGAATGTCGACAAAGAGGTTGAGGATTGCAATCTCGAGCTCATTTGCTGCAAAGTGGGTCAGCTGAAGCTCGGCAGGCAAAAGGAGGCGACTTGCAAGTGTACGCGTAGATCTTGTAATTCGTCTCCAAGATGAGGAACCGCTTGTCATCCGCTGTCTGGGTATTGATCGCCGCAGAGTCGCCAGAGCACAGTGAGGTGGCCAAATGCGTAGGCCAGAACTGGTCGCTTTCTGGGGACCGCTTGAAGATGAAGCCGTACTCGGCCAAGTCGTTGAGCGCGGTCTGGGACCGGGGGAAGGATTCTGAGGCATTGTAGTCTTGGCCAAGGCCCATGCACCCGAGAGAAAAGAACATGGAGAGCACCTCGGCGGAGCGTTCAGCGTTGGCCTGGCGAGATGTCAGTAAAGTTTGCAAAAGTACAAAATGGGTCCCACCTCTTTTGCGTTGAGATAGTACATTAAAACCTCCCACAACTGCGTCTGCCTCTCTTCTAGTAAGAATTGGAAGCCTTTCGAAGTGATGGTCAGGCGGTTGATGTTGGGATTTCTTCCACTGGGATCCCCTCTGAATGAAAGATCAGTGACAAAGACTCGATATCGCAGTAAAACTTACGGATCAGTCATCAGACCACTCGTATGCAAGAGATGAAGCACCTGCGGCCGAGGACGTACTCCAACAAATGCTGTCCCCAGACCCGAAGATACCATATATTTTAATATGGCCTCAAATTTCTTTTCTCCTTCTGCGATCAGCTCCTCTTCTGGAGGCGTGTCGAAGCCGGCATATTCGGGCTTGTCGAATGGCACTCCAAATGAATTGGATCTTCCTCTATGCTATATGTCAGTGAGATGTAGTACATGCTGGCTTGCAGATACTTACAGACCAGTCAACGCATTCCGCAGACCCTTCTTGAAGCTATCGTTAAGAGGCCAGCTCTGGGTGTGTCCCTTGTGAACCATCGGATGGAGGACTCTTCGGGTGATTGCTGGGCGCAGGATCTCGTCTACTCTATACGGAGTCAGCGCTGATTTAAAGTGTTTGGGCAAATTTACTGTTCCAGCGAGACATCAACTTTGATCTGCAGTTGTTGCTTGACATCTACACTGCGTAACGGAGCATGCGACCAGAGGCCATGTAATATGAGTTGCCGACACACGGGAGGTAGCAGTCTACGTCTCGTCAGCTCGAGCCACAATCTTAAATTGAATAGCATACCTCAAGATACACAGACAGACAGCCTCCGATTTATAGAGCTCCTCGAAGTAAGCCTGATTCTGGTTGTCGAGAAAGACATCGAGAGCGTTTGTGGGTGTGGTGGATGCTGCCGCTGGGTTGTTTTTCGGATGGTTGAATGAAGGCTGCACCATCGTACTGTGGGGTTAGGAGCAATGTTCAAACTGGGAAGCAGGGAGTAGGAAGATATGGCGAGAAGAGTACTCAAATACGAGTACTGGCAGTGATTGCAGACGCTCATGGGCGGACATGTCCGGACCCGTTTTACTTTAGTGTCCCGTTCCTGAGTTACACCTGCAACGTCGCCTCTTTCTGCGACAACACCAATATTACCGCCCCAAAGAGTCCTCCATTCCCTTTCCACCGCCTGCCTCCCTGCCCATTTTTCCTGTATATTGTCTATATCGGCCACCTCTACCCCTTCCGACTGCTTGGGTCTTTCGATCGCCCTTTTACGCGTGGCTTTGGGCGCGCGACTACATAGTATCAGCCACTGCGTTTAGCCATACTCCTTCGAGTGTTATTCTCCCTATCGCGAGTATCAAACCAGCGCGAATCTTGTCCTGACAGCTGTGCGATCATGTCACGAGCGCGAGGAGGGACGGCCAAGCTGGCTGCTGGCGATATCGAAGGTTTGTGGCACTTTTCTCTGGCCTCCCCGCAGCGCACTCTCGGCGTGCTCGGGGAATTAGTCGCCGGCTGCCGCTTTTGGTGTGTGTTGCCAGTTGAAGAACCAAATGCTGATCACATTTCCATCTTGATTTCTCTATTCTTCCCATTTCTTCAATTTCGACTATGCTTGCATCCGCCTCATTCGCAATGTTTCCCGACACAGCCATGAACCAGATCTGGCACTCGCTAGTAGACACCGTCCGCGTGCTACCGACCATCCCGACAGACCATGTCGACCAAGAAAAACAAACCGTCAATGCCGCTTTGGAGAAACTCAACGTGCTCATGGCTCTTCGCCGAGGCGAACGCTCTACCCCCGACCCGAATCCCCATCCTCGGCTCCCAACGGCCATCCTGCCTTCTGCCGCCGTGCAAGGGGCCACCCCTGGCTCGGGCGGAGGCGCCAAGAGGAAGCGTAAAGGCTCTTTCTCGGCGTCGCCGGCGCCCATGACTTTAGACTTGACTGGTACGGCAATGGTGATTCACCCTTCGCCTTTACCTACTGCATCAGCAGCAGGTACGAAACCCAGTACGCCAATGTCGCGAGAAGCGACCGGTAAACATAGGCGCGAGTTGTATGCGGACCAGCTACCGTTACAACCTGGGCGAAAAGTCGCTTTCAAACTGCCCGCCAAAAGCACGAGAGACGGGGAGGATAGCCAGGGTGGGGCGGGGGATGATTGGATTCTTGCTACAGTCAAGCGGTGCATACTGCAAGACCGGATGAGGTATGAAGTGCAAGATGTGGATGATGGAAAGTGAGTTGCAATCGTCTGCCGTGACTACTCTAACTTTATATAGCACATACAACACGACCCTTCGCTCCATCATCCCCCTTCCCGACCCCGCCTCTCCGACTCAACTCACCTCCAATCCCGCCAACATTGAAGACTACCCCCGCGAATCAATCGTCCTCGCCCTGTACCCCGATACCACGTCCTTTTACCGCGCGACTGTCGTGGCTGCGCCGTATCCTGGCTCTGGAAACGGTCTGGGAATCCGAGGGCAGGGCCATGGACTGAAACCGGATCCGGGGGCGAAGAGGGGGGTGTATAGATTAATGTTTGTGGATGACGATGGGCATGTGCAGGAGGTGCAGAAGGATTATGTCGTGCCGGTGAGTCGGACTGAAAGGAACATTGATTGATTATTCTGACACTTGACAGTACCCTGGGTGATGATACCTTGGGATGAGATCTTGTTAGATACTGTTGATGTTGTTTCTTTGATGCATCTTCATTTGTATGACCTCACAAAGGGGCGTCGATATTCCTTTGTCCTGGTATACTGTATAAGAAACGCTCCCCTTGCCCTTTCCCGGGGTATCACAGCTCACAATGTTTGGCCTCCACCCCCTTACATCTACGTACCCCGGCGCCTCCTTCCACCCCAATGGCAATCTCAACGGCCCACACCTCGCTATGCAATCCGGCGGGCCCTCTCAAGGCTACTGGGGCTTCGTGCCATGGGAAGTACCCGAGATGCCGGAATGGGACTTGCCGCCTGCCATCAAGGCTATGCAGGAGGGGCGTGGGTCGGGGATGTATGGTATTACGCCGGAAGGCGGTGGACAGGGGCAGCCGTTCAATTATGGATGGCCGCGGTATGGGCCCATGCCCTTGCGACCTCAGCTGGGAGGGTTTGGTAAGGACTACATCCAGGTATCGGAGGCAGAGCTGATGATGGTCTAGTCGGCAAGTGCAATCCTTACGGCCGAAGTTGGCCTCATGGCTACTACAAGACGACCTACTAGAGCAGAGCTCGAGGCGGCATTGTGTGGATATGTATACTATGCAACAAATACATGCAGTGGTGATTGTAATCCCAAAAATCAGCCTTCCGTTCCCATTACGCCTTGTCCCCCGATGCCGTCTCGCCGTTCCCTTGTCGAGGCTTGGTATGTGCTGCCACCATAGCTTCAAACTTGTCTGCAACCCCTTCAAATCCGCCATAGAAGCCTCCTTCAAACGCCTTGAGCGCTTGCACTATCTCTGCCCCTTCCTTTCCCCCCTGCTTGCTCCTAAACTCAACCGACCGCCGCGCTTTGGAAGGGTTGCGCGAAGGGGGTTGGGCAGCCTCAATCTTGAACTGCAGAGGCCTGTCTTTCCGCCCGTTACTCGGTGATCTCTGCACAGAGGTAGAAATGACAGGATCTGAATCCAGAGACTTTGCGACATCTTCCAGACAGAGCCCCCCCAGAAAATTGGATTCGGGAGAGAGGATGGGTGAGGGGATCTCGAGTAGCAGCTGCTTCTCGAGCTTTACCGGACGCAGGGTCTCGATATAGATGCTCGGCCCGAGCTTGAGCGAGTCCATTGATTTTGGTATTCTCACATGGAGAGCCTTTGCGCCGAGCTTGTTTTCGGCTGCGCGAAGGATGGCATAGGCGTGGGCGAGGGAGGGGATGGCCTCGAATGCTCTGAGGGCGAAGCGGGTGTGGCCGTTGGCGGCTGCGAGGTCTGGGTGGGGGAGGGCGAGGGCGGAGAGGGGGCGGGCTGCTCTGAGGGAGGGGAGCATGGCGGTGGTCGACGGGGAGGACAACTTTTGGTTGACTTTTGGTGCATTTTCGGGTGGACGAGCGGAAGCAGATGCGGGCATGTCCGCCGTGCTGTCTCCTCATCTTCTTGATTCTTGAATACTCTCATATATATATCCCATTCTATCCCCCCCCGCCATGTCTGCATCCTGGGTAGAACCCACAAAGGCACAAGCACCCCCAAAGTACGCAACTCTCCACTCCCCGCACCCGCCATCCCCGCCGCGACTGCCCACCCGCCGGGCGTCAGACCTTGCGACCAGCGACCACTGCAGGATGCTTGCTGACGTGCATTCCACAGGGATGCCGAGCTTAGAGTCGCATGGGGATTCCTGTCCGATGGTGTTGAACACATCATGACGAGGTGTGTCTTCTTTTCTATCACAGTTCCGCTGCCTCCCGAGATGGGGCGCTTGAGGAAGGGGTGTCGGCGGGACGCACATTCGACCCCCCTGGACATATCCCCACGACCACACAGATGATATCCAGTGTGCGCCTTCCTGGCGCTCAAAAGTTGTCCAAGAAAGATCCCGCACGGGAGGCGGAACCCACGTAATGTATTGCTGACTCTATGGCAGATTGAACCTGGGCATGTCCTACTCTTACTATATCCTTCTCTACACCACCATCTACAACTACTGTACCCTCCCCGGCAAGTCGGGTGTCCCCAACTTTTCCGCCCAGCGAGGAGGTGCCAATTTGCAGGGTGCGGATTTGCATAGAAATCTTCATAGCTGGCTGTCTACGCACTGCAAGAATATGCGAGAGGTGTGTATCCAGTCTATCATAACTAGCGGCATACTCATATCTTTGCAGGAAGCAGAAAAGCTCCCGGACCAGGAGCTCCTCAAGTACTATGCCCGACAATGGGATCGGTACACCCGCGGAGCCATGTACGTCAACAAGCTCTTCAACTATCTCAACAAGCATTGGGTCAAGAGAGAGAAGGACGAAGGACGGAAGGAGGTGTACACTGTCTACACTGTGAGTACAATTCTCGTCGAAAAGTAGCCCAAGCTGACGCCACAAAAGCTCGCCCTGGTCTCTTGGAAGAACAACTTTTTCAAGCACTTTGCCGACCAAGGCGAGACCAGTCGACTCACCCAGGCTTTGCTCCGTCAAATCCAGGCTCAGCGAAATGGCGAAGACGTCGACAACAGTCTTCTCAAAAAGGTCGTCGATAGCTACGTCTCCCTCGGTCTCGACGATGCCGACGCTCAGCGAGTCAACTTGACAGAATACAACAAGCACTTTGAGCAGCAGTTCCTCAACGCTACAGACTCTTACTACCGAGCCGAGTCTGCTGCCTTTGTCGCGTCCAACTCTATTTCCGACTATATGAAGAAGGGCGAGACCAGGCTCCAGGAGGAGGCTGACAGGATCAACCTGTACTTGCACGACTCTACCAAGAACGCTGTAAGTACTTTCAAAAGACCCCAGATCCCTGCTGACATTCATATAGTTGAGGACCAGGTGCGAAAAGACGCTTATCGAAGAGCACCAAGGCATCATGTGGGACGAGTTCCAGGCTCTGCTTGACGCCGACCGAGTCGACGATCTCGCCAGGATGTACGCCCTCCTTTCCCGCGTCCTCAACGGTCTCGATCCCCTCCGAGCCAAATTCGAAGAGCACGTCAAGCGCTCCGGTAAAGCTGCTGTGGAAAAGGTACTGCCCGCTCCCGGTGCTACCAACGAGGCCGGCAAGGCCGCCGCGCTCGACCCCAAGGCCTACATCGGTGCTCTTCTCGAGGTGCACTCAAAGTACACTGCAATGGTCGACGGTCCGTTCCGTGGTGAAGTCGGTTTCAACCGATCTCTTGACCAGGCGTGCCGAGACTTTTGCAACTACAACGCCGCTTGTCCCGCCGCTACCAAGTCGCCTGAACTCTTGGCCAGTCACTGCGATATGCTTCTCAGGAAGAGCAACAAGGAGACCCAGGACGCCGAGGGTTTGGAGGAGGCTTTGAACAAGGCTATGATCATTTTCAAGTTCATCGACGATAAGGATGTCTTCCACAAATTCTATCAGAAGAAACTTGCCCAACGTCTCGTTGCAAGTCTTTCTGCTTCCGATGATGCGGAGAGTAGCATGATCACCAAGCTCAAGGAGCTGTCTGGATTCGAGTTTACCAACAAGCTGTCGAGGATGTTTACCGGTGAGTCTTGCAGTCTGGTCTCGAAAAATGTGCTGATGAATGTAGACGTCAACCTTTCCCGGGATCTTGCCGAGAGGTTCAGGGAGAAGGAGAGGGAGCAGAACGTTGATTCAGGTAGTAGGTGATTTGCCTTTCGTGGAGTGGCCCCGACTGACATCCATCAAGTCGATTTCAACCCCTTGGTACTCGGTTCCAACTGCTGGCCTATGACTGCTGCCCAAACCGACTTTGCCGTCCCCCGTGAAGTCAAGGGCACTTACGACAAGTTTAACGCCTTCCACGCCGAGATCCACCAAGGCCGAACCCTCAACTGGCTGTGGCATCTGTCCAAAAACGAGCTCCGAACCACCTATCTCAATCAAAAGTACATTTTCATGGTCAGCTCCTATCAGATGGCTATCCTCACACAGTTCAATCGTCAAGACTCGGTGACCTTCAAGGAGATGCAGGCTGCTACCAAGCTGGCGGAAGAGACCCTCAAGGGTCAGCTCGGTTTGCTCGTCAAGCAAAAAGTGTTGTTGCTGCAGGACGACACCTATGAGCTCAACACTGGGTACAAGTCGAAAAAGATCAGGGTGTCGCTCAACATGACCATCAAGTCGGAGGCCAAGGCAGAGACGAAGGATGTGTTGGCGGCGGTTGATGATGACCGAAAGTTTGTCTACCAGGCGACTATCGTGCGATTGATGAAGGGTCGAAAGGTGCGTACTCTTTTGGCTTTTTCTCAAATTTCACTAACAGGCGACGCAGACCATGCAACACCACGCTTTGATCCAAGAAGTCACCGCGCAAATATCTTCCAGATTCACCCCCAAGGTTCCCGAGATCAAGAAGGCTATCGACTATCTCATCGAGAAGGAGTACTTGGAGCGAGCGACCGACTCCAACAACACTTAGTGAGTATCATTGACTATCATAGTCGCTTCTCTTGAATTAGCTGACGCATGATGTAGCAACTACTTGGCTTAGAAGCTGGGCGAGAAAGAGGGCCAAGTCGTAGAGCTACTTGGAGGGCGTGGAAAGGAGAGCATGCCGTGTGTCCGAGAGACGGTCCACACGCAATTAGGAGCTATAATGGTCCAGGTGTGCCGTGTAGCCCTCGTAGGATTTGCTAGACGCATTTGTACTGTATATGTAAACAAGGATGGTTTTTATGACAAAAGGTGATTCGGGTGGGCATCTCGCTGGTAAGGTTGAAGGCGTCCAGATAAAGTTGATCATATAATAGACATTCTTGCAAATTCAAGGTATGATTTGATCCGATAGAATGCATCCAACAGGCCCGCTTCATCACTTCTAAGCTTACTTGGGGATAGCAGCAATCTCAACACCGCCAGTGGCGTTAAGAGCCTTCTTGATGTCACCGTAGATCAAGACTAGAAATCGCAATGAGCAAATACCACATATACAGATACAAAAATGACTTACATTGACCAGCGGTAAGGGTACCGATCATGACAAGACGAGTGGTCATACCAGTGAAGAGACCCTTGGCACCGAGGGTACCGGCCATCTGGACGAGTCGGGAGGTGGTGGACTGACCGGGGGCACCCTTGGTCTTGTTGATCTTGGACAAAAGGGTGTCGGCGGGCTGGGAGATGACGGCGGCGGCCATACCAGCGATGAGACCAGCACCGAGGTTAAGGCTGGTCTGCTGACCACCGGAAAGAGAGTCCTTGGACTTGCCAGTAGCCTTGAGGATCTTCTCGACGGCGACCTCGAAGCTGATTGATTATCAGACGGGATACCAAACTGAGTCAACGAAATATTACTCACACACCGAACTTGGCCATGGTGTAAGGGACCTGCTTGAAGAGGATGGGACCGAAACCGGCGTAGAAAGCACCGGGACCCTCCTCCTTCAAGATCCTAGCGAAACCACCAATGAGACCGTTGGCGAAGGTGGGCTGGGACACCAGTCGGATTCGGGTAGCCTCAAGAGGACAGAGGGCAATGTCGGCGAAGAACTCGGCGATGGCAGAGGCACCAAGATAGATGACCTGTCGGTTCTCTCGGGCAGTGTCGATACCGACGAGATCGATGGCCTGCTTCTTCCAGAACTCGTAACCACCGAACTTGAAAGCACCCTGGATCGCGTAACCAACAGCAGTTGGCCCAAGTCCTGTAAGTAGGGCACCGGCACCCTCACCAGCAATGATCTGTCGGAAAGAGCCGACCATACCCTGTTGCGTAACGTCAGCAAAACAGTCCTGGTGAGAATCGTCCAAAGTCGACGCGATAAGAACGCACCTTGTTGTAGACCTCGGGCTCGAGCTGAATTCGGGTCTTGACGACATCGACGGGGGTGAGGGCACCGTGGGTGACAGCACAACCGAGGGCACCAGCAAGGGCGAATCTGCGCAATCCCGTCAGGAACTAATTAAGACATGTTTTTGCGTCGCACTTACCGAGAGTAAAGGTCGATACCGGTGGGGGTGTTGGAGGCAGAGTTCTTAGCGGCCTCCTTGGCGTCCTGGAGCTTGAGGTCGGCCTTGCCGGCGAGCTCGTTGGCCTTGCCCTGGGCGTCCTCACCGAGGGCCTTGCCCTGGGCGAGGGCGTTGTCGACCTTGTCGCCGACGGAGGGGGCCATGAAGGAGCTGGTAGCAGCGAAGAAGGGGTTGGGCCTGTAGGACATTTTGAGTGGGGTGTCTGATTGTCTGGAGAGAGAAACGAAGAAAACGATTATAAAAGGCTCAGGGTGGCACAGCGGCACGGAGGGATGACGGAATTACCCATTTCTGATGCATCGGAATTTCGGAGTTACTGGGCCTACGTGGCGCGCGGGGGACTTTCTTTGTCTGCGACTGGAGAGAAGGACTTCATATGACCCACAATACCCACATGGTGCGAGGAGAATGGCCAGGGAGTAATGCTTCATTCTATACATGGGGATGTACATCAATCGTAGAGTCCAAGTGGTAATTTGATGACATCGCGGACCAACACGCTATCGCCACCATAGTCCGTTTTCTTCTTATTCCCAGCTACACCTCCCCGTCCAACACATCTCCCTCCCTCCCGAACAGCCCCCTTCCATAGGCATCAGCCACCACCCCAAATCCATCTTCAGCGCTGTGCACCTCCTCCAAAAACAGATCATGCCTGTCGGCGAGGCGGAGCTGGTTGCGCCGGATCTCTTTGATGACCGAGTGTTGTCGAGCGCACAGAGGACACTCTGGGTCAGAGTCGGGTAGACAGCTGTGTCCATATGAGCACGTGTCTATCGCAAGGCTGGTACACTTACCGCTGATGATAACTGTGTTTGCACATGAAATGCACACTCGGCAGATCCAGCTGGCCTCCACAAGAAGCACACTTCGTAACCTGGAAGACCTCGGGTTGAGATGGGTTGGTTCTGTCGAGCATTGCCTTTCGTTTTACAGCGGTATCCGCCCTATACGAATCATACAGTTGCTTATCCTTGGAGACATCAGCTTGAACTCTGCCCACAAGATAGCCCACTCACAGACTCAATCTCTGCTTCGTTATCCTCCACCTTGCCCTTCAACCAATCTTTCATATTACCCACACTCACCACCCCGTTCCTACTAAGCACTTGTACCACAGCCAGCGGGGGCATGATCTGGTACTCGTCAATCTTGGCAAGGATATTTCCCAGTTCTTTAGGATGACGTGAAAGGATTGCAGGGGAAGAAGTGAGGTAGCGCAGGACCAGGGGATACAGTTGAGGGTGGGTAGGGCCGTAAAGGTCGAGGTGGCTAAAGACCTTGGCAGAAGCGTCCACTTCGTCCCCGTCATCTTCTCCAGCTTCCATGTAGTAACGCAGCACATCCTCGTACATTCCCATTCCCTCCCAGAGCCTCACCATGCCTGCTCTAAATCCAACCACGGAACAGAGTACCAAGGCATGTAAGGGGTCGTACGGCGTATCCTTGCTGCTGATCAGCGCCAGAGCCTTTTCTCGTGACTGACTGGCAACAGTCGAGTCGAGGGATTTCGTCGCTGACAGGTACAGCTCGATCAATGTATTCCAGACCGCCCTCTGGTCAACGCCCGTGGGATCGTCCGGCGGTGGAATGTCCACCTCTCTAGTCGCGATAGGCGACGGAGCTGATGAGGGGACTGATAGATCAACTTTTTGATCCCAGAGGTTCAAAGCGACTGCTTCGAGAAAATGGACAAAGAGATCCAGGTGATCAACAAAGTGCGCAAAGTATTGCCTCGGCGAAGGAGGAACATAGTCGGGGCCTTCACTCTCAATGGCCAGCTTTTCCAAAGCACTCGTTTCCTCGGGATCTACTCGTTGGGGCTCGTTCTTGTCAGTAGGTGTGGCTGTCCCCGTCGCCTCCCCGGTAAACAGACCAGAAACTTTGTTGTACCCAAGATACGACAGCATAGCTGGACCTGTAGCGCCATTGGTCCCATTGCTGGTCCCATTGAGCTGCTCAACGATCTGAGGCGGCGTCGACGCCTTCTTTTTCCCAAGGTTGCCAGAGCAGAGGTCAACCAGCAAGGCGGTTGTTGCGGCAGGCTCTTGGTGCAAAAGCGTCCTGCCGTACCTGACCATATTCTCATCACACTAGACTGTGATCAGTCTGGCATCCACTTTGGTATTTCAAGACTTACAGCCTTAGGACCCAAGCTCCTCAAATATCTCAACGCCTCTCCGACCTTTCCAGCATCCTCTATCTGTATCCTTAGATAATCCTCATGCCTTCCAAACTTCTTTGCGAGATACGTCGCATGCTCATAGAACCCTGCCTGGCGACACACTCTGATGGCCGTATCCAGGTCGAACGGGAGTTCTTCTGCGCCAGTATCTGTCCGGTGGGCTTCAGTCTTGATGAACTGGTCAAGACGAGTACGGTCCGAGGTTTTGGTGTAACAATTGAGGAGGAGGGTGGTGTGGTCTGGGTTTGCGAGGCCGCGAGAGTGTAGTTCTTGGAGATACGTTGTGAGGTTGTGGATTCTTTGGGCATCCAGGAACTGCACAGGGTAAGTCTCGGCTCTGAATACCCGCGTTAGACTCACTTTGCGAATGACATAACTTGGTTGCAGATTCCCAAGAGTTTTCACAAACTGGCTCATGGCCCCTTCAAAGTCACCTTTGTTGTAGAGATAGTCACCATATCGTCGATGGATATCCGACACCCCGGCATCCCCGAGACCCTGCTGACGGGCCAGACTGATAGCGAGAGTGAACAGATTCCGCCGATAGAGGACGTCCAGCTTTGCCTGCGTAGAGTGTTCTTCCAGCCGAGCGAGCTAGACATGATGAGTGGTTGTCCACCATGGGAATCTGCTTACCTTTCCATTTCCCCCATGTACATAGATCCCTCCCCATTGACAGTATACGTCCCTCACGCCATCTTTGTACGTACCCGAGTACCCCACCAGCTTGTTTTGCAGATCAAACACTGTAATCTTGGCAATGTCCACCGAAGGCGAGTCGCCATTTGGGTTCGCCTTGACATAATGTCGGATAGTGGCAGAGTTTGAAGACGCCGAGGGATGGAAGGGCGGAGAAGTGATGACGAGGTTGTGGTTGAATACCGCTATCGACGACTTTGGTCCTTCGTAGGCAAATGACGCACCACGTCCCTCGGGACTGTACAAGTAAATTGCCTCGTCTCGAGCGACGACCATGTCTTTCCTCTCCCAGTCCATCACCGCGCATCCAAGGCCGCACCCGAGCTCGTCTATCGTCCGAGCTTCCCCTTTACCGCTGACAGGCGCGCATAATACCCTATTCGTGGTGACAATGAAGAGATTCGAAGAGCTCGATTGCTCGTTGAACCCAAGGCCAGTGACAGGCTCGTGGGATTGATGTACGACCCTGGCTTTGGGTAAAGACGTCAGGGCAGTAGGGGAGGTGGTGAGGGATTGCAGGAAATGACGATATAGCAACACTGTACCGTCGCCCAAGCCAATTGCGAGATGTGATAGAGTCGTGGTCAAGGCGACAGCAGATACCTAGCAGACGTTAGCATGTCATCATGTCACTGTCCTGCTGCTCACTGGATGCGGTCTCTGTCCATGCTGAATTCTGACATTTCTCAACAGCACCGGTCGTCTCTCTGGATGTTTCTTATCTTCCTTGGTCAGGTCCCACACTTTCAGAACTGGCCATAGACTTCCATCTTCCTCCCCTATCCCTACAAGCAGACCGCCCGCTTCAAGGAGCGCTGTCGCACGCCCATTCCGCTCCCAAGCGGTGAAGGATCGCTCAGGCGTAAAGTAGCGATCTACCTGGGTGATGGTCTGTCCCGATGCCAGTATGAGAGACGGTGGTAGTGGTGATTGGGAGGTGGTCGAGGTGACGGCCAGGGGCGGGGTGAGTTGCTGCGAGTGTCAGCGATGGCTGCTATGAAGACTCGGTGCGCACCCTGATTGCTCTCGGGGACTGGTCGAGGTCGTGGGTGTCCTTTACGTCGTGCACGTCGAAGAAGGTGAACTGCCTCCACTGTGGGGCGGATGTCCCCGCGTGCGACGGGGGGATGGCCATGTCTCTCGCTGTTGCTGTCGGTGATACCAACAACAACTCCAGCTTGTCCTCCTCACCACCCCTTACGTAAACCCACTCGCCCGTCGGTCAACAATTATTAAACTTGTCGATCGACCTTCGATCGTATTTTGACCGCATTGGGGCATGCATGTTGTCTATTGAAATTTGAAAGCCCATCTCGGGGTGTGCTTCATCTTTGTCTTCAACAAATACCCAGACACCATGATCATCTGGCTCATCACTCTCTTCTACGACCGACGCCACCAACGCCAGCGACAGAAGAGGTCGCGTGAATCGCTCTTGCCCACAAAAAAGGTGGATGCTTCCAGCACGGTGACGGGTCCCTCTCGACCATCTACCACCGCCCATCTTAGATAGCTACCCCCAGTTCTTGCCCTCGATCATGACTCGGCGAATGGGCACTAGGCAGAGTGGGCGGCGTAGTGGCCAGTGGGCTGCCTGTAGGGACGTCTCTCTTGGGTAGTAACAGAGAAGAAAACTGGACCCTGGGTCCGAGCCTAGGACTCGGTATGGCGGCCATGCTATGCCTGGCAGTGGGCAAAGGGGGAGTCCCCAAAGGCGAAGGAACCATCGGAGATGTGCCCGTCGAGCGCGATCGTACGTGCACAGGCGATGGGGCGTAGATGTCCTGGGATGTGTTTGGAGAAGCGGTCGTCAGATTGGGCGTGCTTCCCGAATAGCTATGATGGGATCTCCCTATGGTAGGTTTGTTGTTTATTGGAGGAGTGTACGTCTGCTGACGGAACACAGACCTGGAACTCGGCAGGGATGATGTCGATGAAACACTGTCATGCGGGCCACTGAGCGCCCAAGACTGTCCGTCCATTCTGCTTTGAGGGGTGTGAAACATCTCAAGACGGTCCGACCCACTTAGGATACTCGTCTGGGTCCCATTCACTTGCCTCTGCAGCGGAGGCCGTGTCCCCGTATCCATCATCGACGCTGGATGCCCAAACGACGAGATCGTCCCCGCCCAACTCGCATTCCCTCCCGCTCTGCGCCCAATTTCGCCCTTCTGCCTTTCCGTCGACATTGGATTTGGTGTTTGTTGGTTCTTCCAATCATTCAGAATCCCCGGAGGTGGTTTCTTGTGAAGGGTATGTGCCGCGCGCCGTACATCTGTCAAGTACACCTTCTTCTGTCCAGCACTCTGACCGACACCTTGCTCCCTTTCTGGAGATGCTGTAAGGGCTTTCTTGTTCTTTTTCCGGCGACATGAAAGGGCATCGAGAGGGAGGAAGGCGCGCTGCGGACCTCGCCAGAGAGCGTAGAGGCAGAACAAAAGGACAGCGGCACAAACCCCTCCAAGTATGACATACGACCATGCTACAGATCAGGTGAGTTTACAAGTCAGGCAGCAATGCGTCAAGCGACTTACGGGAATATTTCTCCATAAAGCTTGCATTGGGATCTGAGCCGCCGTCGGAAGTGTGCGCGTCGTCGGCTCTGGGGATGTGTGGTGACATGGTCTTGGTGGGGCTGGGATAAGAGACAGACGAGGACGGTCAATAGCTCTAAGTTCTGTTCCCCCGTCGCATGTACAAGTATACAATATGATCCTTTGGCAGTATGGGGTTAGCGGAAGTGGAAGTGGGGCAAAGGAAGCAGGGATAGACGCCACTTTCAGCCGCTTTCCATTTCGAGAGCGACACTCGCATATAGATGCAATGCATTCTACGATACGAGTAGCATTTCTCTGCTAGATTCTGGCCCGCCAAGGGACGCATGGCTGATACCAGACCAATACAAGTCTTTGTTGTTATCTTATTCAGAGGGAGGGAAGGGACATTTGGGTTAGGTGTTTTGGTCTAGTTGGTTTTGCGTTGGTATCTTAGAAAGACAAGGTTGTTTTACAGATGGTGTAGCAGTAGAGAGGCATACAGGTCATGATATAAAGATTGCGGCGTTGTTGTGCCAGAAAGGATTGTCAGGTTTACCACTCGAATTCGCTGGACAGATATCAGACTTCCGCACACCTTGACATTATCCACTTACCCATTACACTTGGCGAACAGGTAGTCCTTGCCATTCAGATGTATCATGCCATCTTTGAACACCGTCTTCCACTTGTTCTTAACCCGTTGCACCTACACCAGTCAGATATAGACACACTTGAGTTCGACTAGACTCACCTTGTCATATACGCAAAACACGATATCCACATCATCCTCATCCTCCGCCTCGGCATCTCCCCTGTTCTCATCGTCCGAATCGTCAAGGTCTGAATCTATAACGTCGTCACCCGGCAGCAAACCCGCTGCGTTCGGTTCTGGTTTATTCCCGTCCTCGGCCTGCTTCAAGTCAGCTCGGAAAAGACAATGGCTGAATGCTATACTCACAGCGCCACCTCTCAGCCGTAAAGGATCATCCTCCCCATCATACCTCGGCTCCGGCTTTACCCTCACCTCTTGCTGCTGAACCCCTCCATTTCTATAGATGTTCGCCATTGGCCCAGGCCCTCCTGCTCCTTGCTGCGGTACACCTGGGCGAGAAAAGGGATACATGTCGGGTTGGTGATGGGATGGGCCTGTGGGTGGAGAGTGGAGTTCGGCTTTGGCGCGTTGCAAGTTGGGAGAGTCGGCACCTGTTTGCGCGAAATCCGCTACACGAGTTTCTAGAAGTTTGGCTTCCCATTTCTGTGGAAAATGTAGTGGTCAGCCAACCACAAATAGCCATGCGTCTATCCTGAATACGAACGGCTTGGAGATTCTGCAAGACGTCCTCTTCCATTCCATACTCTTCGAAATCCACCTTGACACTCGAGATAACATCGTCAATGACAACTCGATATGTTTCAGGCTGCGGGTGAGGATCAGTTGTACAGGAGAGCCAGCAGATAGGTTGAGTAATCTTGTCAGTCAAGATCACGACGTCACATTGGAAGGATACTAACGACAATCTTGTTCGACCTTTATACGGAGAAGGACAAGCCATAGTCAGCACACAATTCGAGCCAAAGTCATACAGTACAGAATATCCATCATTCTCTTCAGTCGTCACTGGCAGCATCTCCCAACATTCCACTCTGGCATCACTCGGCCACCCGGGCCGGACCGTTCTGATCGCTCACGCACATTGTTTGCGGCTATGCTTGGAATGCGCTGGGCGTGAGAGTGGCGCGTCGAGGCCGGGTGGTGATTAGGGGAGAATTGATGTGAAGGAGGGAATGGGCGGTCAGTTGGACACGCGGCTTATATACTCGTCCGCCCAGTAATAAATCTCTTGTTTATTTTCCTTTTATCCCAGAATTTCAGTCCTCCACTTTCAATGAACGTTTTCAGAAGTACACCATACAAAATCGACTATACGCCATGAGAAAGCAGCTCGACCCCCGCATTCCCGCCCTCATCAACAATGGTGTCAAGTCGAACCACAGAAGCTTCTTCGTCATGGTCGGCGACAAGGGGAGGGACCAGGTGAGCTTGTAGCGCTCTTACCGCGACAATATCTGACGATACGTCAGGTCGTAAACTTGCACTTTCTCTTGTCCCAAGCACGAGTCTCATCCAGACCGAACGTCTTGTGGTGTTACAAGAAGGAGCTTGGATTCACTTCCCACCGAAAGAAGCGAGAGGCCAAGATCAAGCGAGATGTGAAGCGTGGGATCAGGGAGGCCAACGACCAGGACCCATTCGAGCTGTTCGTGACCGTCACCGATATCCGATATACCTACTACAAGGACAGCGCAAAGGTTCTTGGTCAGACATTCGGCATGCTGGTCCTCCAGGATTACGAAGCCATCACCCCGAATCTGTTAGCGAGGACAATTGAGACTGTGGAGGGTGGCGGTATCGTCGTGTTGTTGCTGAAGACAATGACCAGTTTGAAGCAGCTCTATGCTATGTCAATGGTGAGTCAATTCCAGCAAAACCTGACTCGACTGACTCGAGATAGGATGTCCACTCGAGATATCGTACTGACGCCCACCAATTCGTTCAACCCCGATTCAACGAACGATTCATCCTCTCTCTCGGCAATTGCGCCGACTGCCTCGTTCTCGACGACGAGCTCAACGTTCTGCCCCTCTCAAAGGGCAAAGATATTCAGATTGGCAAAGCTGGGGAGGAAGATGACAGAGGGCGAAAGAGGAAAGCTGAAGAGCTGAAGGAGATGAAGGAGAGTCTGGAAGGCGTGGATATCGTCGGAAGTCTGTCCAAACTGGCCAAAACGGTGGATCAAGCAAAGGCGCTTTTGACTTTTGTGGAAGCCATCTCAGAAAAGACTCTGTCTTCCACAGTGGCACTCACTGCCGCCCGTGGTCGTGGTAAATCTGCTGCTCTTGGTCTTGCGATCGGTGCTGCCCTTGCCCACGACTATTCCAACATTTTTGTCACGTCCCCAGACCCTGAAAACCTGAAAACGCTCTTCGAATTCGTCTTCAAGGCGCTCGACGCCTTGGGCTACGAAGAGCATATTGACTATGATGTCGTCCAGAGCACCAACCCCGACTTCAAGAAGGCTATTGTGAGGGTCAACATCTTCCGAGGTCACCGACAGACCATCCAATACATCTCCCCTGAAGACCACCACGTTTTGGGCCAGGCTGAGCTTGTTATCATTGACGAGGCGGCCGCTATCCCTCTGCCTTTGGTGCGAAAGCTTATCGGTCCCTACCTCGTGTTCATGGCTTCCACCATCAACGGTTACGAGGGTACCGGTCGATCTTTGTCCATCAAGCTCATCCAGCAACTCCGAGAACAGACTCGACCCACCATTACCAAAGACAACGACACCACCACTGGCGCTGGAAACGGCGGTTCGTCAAAGTCCGCTTCAGCTGGGCCTTCAGGTGCGGGTTTGGCTCGTTCTTTGCGCGAGATCAAGCTTGACGAGCCTATTCGATACTCCCCCGGAGACAACGTCGAAAAGTGGCTCAACAACTTGCTCTGTCTCGATGCGTCCATCGTGTCCAAGTCTATTCAAGGCTGCCCTCACCCTTCCAAGTGTGATCTCTACTATGTCGGACGAGACACGCTCTTCTCCTACCACCCCGCGTCTGAAGTGTTTTTGCAGAGGATGATGGCTCTCTATGTCGCATCCCACTATAAAAACTCTCCCAATGACCTTCAAATGTTGTCCGACGCCCCTGCCCACCATCTCTTTGTCCTGCTCCCTCCTATCGATGAAAACGACAACACCCTCCCTGACCCTCTCTGTGTACTCCAAGTCGCGCTCGAAGGCAACATCAGCCGTGATGCCATCTTGAAGGAGATGTCTCAATCTGGCATGCGCTCGTCGGGTGACATGATCCCTTGGATTGTTTCGCAGCAGTACCAGGACAATGACTTTGCCACCCTGTCGGGCGCCCGTATCGTCAGGATTGCCACCCACCCCGACTATGCACGAATGGGCTACGGCTCTAGGGCCATCGAGGCTTTGACGTCGTTCTATAACGGCGAGTTGTACAACTTTGAGGACGCTACCAACGACTCCGGCGAGAGTTTTGCCGATGCTGCCAAGGTTGGACCAAACGCCTCTCTGCAGAACGATACCATCGCCATCCGTGACCCTACGCGAATGCCTCCCCTTCTTCAACGCCTCTCAGAGCGCAAGGCCGAGCCGCTCGACTACCTCGGTGTCTCGTTCGGTCTCACTCGTGATCTGATGAAGTTCTGGAAGAAGGCTGGGTTCACACCTTTGTATGCCAGTCAGAAGGAGAACACCTTGACTGGAGAGTACACGTTCGTGATGTTGAAGACGTTGCTCGGAGCAGGCAACGGGGAATGGCTTGGCGCTTTTGCTCAAGGTAAGCTTCTAGGCTTCTATAGGGGGAGCATGAGCTAACCATCGAGCACAGACTTTAGACAACGATTCATGAACCTGCTATCGTTCGAGTCTTTCAAGAAGTTCGAAGCCTCTCAGTCACTGTCTATCCTTGAATCCACCGTCCCCCGCAACTCGCCATCTCCCCAACCTAAACCCCTTACCGCTTCCGAACTCTCCACTCTCCTGACACCCTTCGATCTCAAACGACTCGAGTCTTACACCGACAGCATGGTTGATTACCACGTCGTGCTCGACCTGGTGCCCACCATCGCCAACCTCTTCTTCGCCAGACGTCTCGATGTCTCGCTTGCTCCCGCGCAACAAGCTATCCTCTTGGCGCTTGGTTTGCAGAGGAAGAATGTGGAAGCGTTAGAGACTGAATTGGGTCTGACAGCTACCCAAACGCTGGCGCTTTTTGGAAAGATTCTTAGAAAGATTGCCAAGGCGTTGGAAGATGTGCAGAAGGAGGGCATCGTGTCTGAGCTTCCTGCCGAGTCTGCTCCCCGCGGGAAACAAAGCTTTGTTGCCTTGCAGCAAACCGTTGAGCAGGAACTCGCCGACTCTGTACCTCGCGTCAACCAAGGCGCGGAGACAGAAGAAGAGAAGCAGTCCAAGAAAGAGCAACGAGAGTTGCTAGATTCTCTCGACATGTCAGAATTCGCGGTAAACCAAGGTGGAGACTGGTCAGCAGCGGAGAAGCAGGTGGAGAAATTAGCGGAGGGCGGGAACGCGAGGTTGTCCAACACTGTCAGCGTCAAGTTTGACAAGGCGACGGATGCGGAGGAAAAGAAGGGCGGAAAGGGCAAGGAGGCTGTCAAAGACGGGAAGAAGAAGAAGAGAGATAGCTTGGGAGACAAGGGAGGCAAGAAGAAGATGAGGAGAGAGTAGATCAGAGCATGTGGCGCTCCCTGTTGTGGCATCTTCAGCTTTAGGTTCGAGATAATGTACAATCCTTGCATGATAATATTGAGATGGTATGCTGGGTATACAACTACAAATAAGTGTCACATGATGAAGCGAGGATATAAGACCCCTATGACGGCTGTTTCCCAGCCTCACTCTCCCCAATTCGTGTTTTTAGCCCCATTGTCTTTCGCTCTTCAGGGGTCAAAGTGAAGAAAGACTGCTTTGTTCTGATGTATTCTCTTCTCACCTACGGGAAACGTCAGTTGAGGTGGACGATAGGCCCGTGATGCCGTGCTTACAGGGCTAAAGACGTGTTCTCTGTCACCAAAGTCTGCAAACAAAACCATATATACAGCAGCAACTATTGATCTGAAGTCAGGTCCACCATCTCACTTTGCTCTCAGGATGAACGAGCTGATATGATGGGACTTACCACCTCCAAAGAACCAGCCCCCAAAGCCAATGGCCTTGCTCACTCTCTTGGGCAATATCGTTTCGTGCGCTCCTTTCGCAAAATACTGTTCCGCCTGACTCTTACTGCGTGGACCAGATAGTGTGGATGGGTCGGGGCCGGTATATGTCTTGTATGCAGGGATTTTGCGAGAGCGGTCGGGGATACCAGCGGGCGGGGGAATGGGCGACTGAGCGGGCATTGTTTTTGGCGTGCAGGTGTAGTACCAATAACAATATCTCGGGGTATACTGAAACTTGGTGCGGTATCGTATTGTGGGATAGTAGTGGTTGAGTGGACACAGGCCGAGCCAACAGTACTGAGTGAATCTGAAATTTCATCTCTTGTGGTAGAGACCGGCGGCGACCACCGAGGTTGACGCGACTCTGCTTTCATGACGCGCGCGTTCAAATATCCGTCCATAAAGTCATTTTTCGAGCGGAAGGCCAGCAAGGGACATCTGTACCGGATATGTGAGTGTCTGACGAGATAGCATGTACCTCCTACTTACGCTGAGCAGGGCTTCGCTCAACAAACTGGCCATTCGGGGCATCCGTTCCTTCGACGACAAGCATGTCCAGGTCATTGAATTCTACTCCCCTCTTACCGTCATAGTCGGGCACAATGGTAGTGGAAAGACCGTGAGTCCGTCATGGAATCCGACTATTCATGAGTCTCATTGATGCATCAGACTATCATTGAATGCCTCAAATATGCGACGACCGGGGACATGCCGCCCAATACCAAGGGTGGTGCTTTTGTCCATGATCCCAAGGTCAGTGCCCTCAGCCGTTAGCGAACAAGCGGAGCTGATAGACACTACAGATGGCGGGTGAGAAAGAAGTCAAAGCGCAAGTCCGTCTTCGTTTCTGGAACGCCAAGCGTGAACGTATGACTGCTACCCGAAACCTCCAAGTGACCACCAAAAAGACCGGTGCGCTGACTATGAAGACCCTGGAGGGTATATTGGCGAAGAATGATGTTGGAGATGGAGATGGGAAGGTGAGCTCATCTACGTGTGTAATGCTCGGAGGGTCTAACGAGCAGCATAGAAAAATACAATCTCGACCCGATGTTCCGAGATGGATGAAGAAGTCCCATACCTGATGGGCGTCTCCAAAGCCATCCTTGAAAACGTCATCTTCTGCCACCAAGAGGAGTCCAACTGGCCCCTTTCCGAACCAGCAGCTCTCAAGAAGAAGTTTGACGACATATTCGAAGCGACAAAGTACACAAAGGCGCTGGATAATATCAAGACGCTCAGGAAGGAAAGGACGCAGGAGCTCAAGGTCGATAGGGAGAGACTAAAGTTCTTGGAGGTGGACAAAAAGAAGGCTGAGCGAGTGCGTATCTTGCGATACTATCTGATGAAGCGGCTGACAAAGCCACAATCACAGATGCGCAAAGAGTTGGCCGACTCCAAGAGAGCCGAAGTGGACAAAGCTGACGAGCTCGAACGGCTCAAAGAAGACTACGAGCGCATCAAAGTCCGAAATGCCAACTTTTACGAGGAGGCTACCCAGTTCAGGCAGATCTACGAAGCATCTAAAGCGCTCAAGGAGAAGAAGAGAATGTACGAGGAGAATCAGAGGGCCACGGAGGACAACATGCAGCCCATGGATGGTGAGCTTCAAGCCTTTATTCTGGAAATGTCACTTACAAGGTATAGAATCAACTGAGGAGCTTATACAGATGCTTGACAACTTTAAATCCCACCTCGATGAGCTTCAGGACGCCAAGTTGAGAAATGAGGACGAGAAAGATAGGGTGGAGACAGAGATTGAAGAGATGCGCGCAAAGGAGAGAAACTGTGCTAGCAAACAAGGCGGGTTTCAAGCTCAGCGGCAGGTGCGTTCCTGATCCGATTCGAGCTCTGACATGGCTGACGGTAGCCGGTAGGCGTACGAAAGCAATCTCAGAGAGCGCGAGGCCGTCATTCGCCATGTCGCCAGGAATCATGGTCTGACGGGGTACAACAACTCTCCCTTGGAAGACTGGAAAGTGGACGAGTTTGTCGATAAGATTTCAGAGATGGTACGAGGCGCCGAGCATGATCTGAAAATGATGCAGGCAGACCATGGGAAGAAAGAGTTGAAATTACAAGAAGAGCTGGATCAGCTGTCTACCACCAAGGCGGCTGCTACGGCTACGAAGAAGAGTAAACAGGACCAGATCGTGCGTCGGTGATTGTCCTCGAGCTCACAAGCTGACCCGTCCACAGTACAAGCTCAAAGACAAAGTCCGCACAAGCCGCACTACTTATGACTCGGTCTCCAACTCTGTCGAACTCAATATACAACAATCCAAACTCTCCGAACAACAAGCTACTCTCGAACGTCTCCAGACTGAGATTGCGAACGCCAAATTTGATGATCGTCTGCGCGATATTCAGCGGACGGTGAAGAACAAGGAAATCGAGAGGGAAAGTATCAGTGGGGAGCTAGCAGTACTGAATAGAAAGGCGGATTCGAGAGCGAAGCTCGATTTGCAAAGTCGAGAGTACAGGGGAAAGGAGGAGCAGGTCAAGCAGCAGTAAGTCGAATGATGACAGGAGTACTGCCCGTGTCTGACAGATTACAGGATGCAGTTGCATGAGGCGTCGTTCAACAATTTGATTGGCTCAGATATCAATACTATCAGCCCTGAGAAGATCGAGGCCACAGTCATCAGCGTTATGGAGTAAGCACTCCCACTCCATGCTCCACCAGGTGACTTACACCTGTCCTAGCCGAAAGGAACGAGACTTGTCCAAAGCCGACCTTGAACTTTCAAACTTGAAAAACGAACGTGCCCAGGCCACATCAACTTACAACCACGCTGAAGCCGATTTCCACGCCAGGGAAGCTGATCTCAAAAGTGAGTCCCCCTTCACCAGCATTGTGTGTGAGCCCTTTCGGCCAGAACTGACGAAAACGATCGTCAGGACTCATACAGGAGGTAGACGATGCGATGGTCAACAACAATGGCCTTCTCAAGCTGGAAGAAGAGCCGGTGTACAATGATGTAGTGTCAAAAGTTCGCCAAAAGCTCATTGAATCCTCAAAGTATGTTGGTCGCTTGCTTTAGACACAGGAGCCGTCTGATTCGCGAATAGCCGAGTGATGGACCTTGCAGGAGTGGACAAGTTCTGGGATCAACTGTTGTCGACCGTCAAGTCTGAGAAGAGGTGCGATGCTTGCGATAGAGATATCGAGCCCAGTGATCTCAAGCATGTGACTTCGCACGTGAGTCAAGTCCCTGCTGCAACACCGGAGATAACAGCTTACCAGAGCTGGGAAGATGACGAAACGCCTCCGAGCCCTGCAAGGAGCCGACCGTGACTCCCTTGAGAATGCCCAACAGACAGAAGACGAGTGGAAAGACTACCTCGACCGTCTTTTGCGAGTCGAGCCAAATGACAAGAGAGCGGAAGACCTCGATAGTAACATCATTCCCGACCTCCAAGGGCAGATGTCAGCTATCCAAGAGAAGCTCAACAAAATCAGTGTCCAGATCGAAGAGGTACAGGACAAAGTTCAAGGGATCAAAAGAGAAATCAAAGAGTTACAGAGCCTCAAGTCGGCGGGGATGGTCATCAACAGACTGCACAATGAGGCACTGGAGCTTCAGGACGCTGTAGGGAGGCTGAAGAGAGAGTTGGAGAGCTCGGGATCGATGAAGACTGTCGATGAGGTTCAGAAAGAGATTGACGCGATCAGCTACGAAATGTAAGCGGGCCGTTCATCATAAGACAATCTTTGGTTTACTGGATGATAGCAAACAACTCTCTGCCGAACAGCAAGGTCTTTTCCGCGAAAAGGAGGACAAAGTGGAGAGACGACGAGAAGTGCAAGACGACATCTCCAGAGCCAATGTGCGAATCGGCGAGCTCAAGAGTAAAGAAGAAAAAAGAAAGATGGAAGCAGAGGCCCTGAAGGACATGCAGGAAAACCTTGTTGTCTTGCAGCAAGAGCTTGAAGTGAGTCGCTACCGGAATGAGAAGCGCATTTTCGCTGACAGAAACTGTAGGACCTTGACAGAACCGTGGAGGCGGCAGAGGCACCCTGGAAAGAGAAGAATGATGCTTTGACTCGATTCAGGATAGAGCGCTCAAGCAAGGAGAAGGACGCAAGTTCTGATATCACAGTCTTCCGAACCAGCGCCGGGGAGATAGAAGGCAAACATAAAGCATGTCAAGAGTGAGTGCTTTGCCAAGATGCGAACCAACGTTAACGAAAGGCCCAGCTATCTGTCGCAGGACAATGACACAAAGATGCAAGAGAACGAGGCCACCATGACCGACATCAGACGTCGAATCGCTTCCGCCAATGAGAAGCGTGTCTCCCTGGAAACTTTGATTCAGAATGTACACGAGAACCTCTCCAAATCCGAAACCTTGCGATCCAACATCAACAATAACCTGCGCTTTAGAGAAGGGACCAAGAGGATTGATACTGTGCAAGAAGAGCTGGATGGACTGGATTTGGCGAGTGCTGCTAAAAGCCGAGAGACGTTCAATAAGGAGTATAGGCCGATGCTCGATGAGGAGACGAATGTCCAGGGCAGGGTATGTCCTCTCTTGCAAGACCGAGTGTAACTGAAGTACTCCATAGATGTCTCTCTCTCAAGGTCAGTTGATGGAGATGGCGGGCAACCGAAAGAAGTTGGAAAAAACACTCCAGATGGACTACAAGAGTATCGATAAAGAGTTCAAAGAGCAGATGATCAAGACGGAGGTCAGTGAGCAAGCCAACCGCGATCTTGAGAAGTATGGAAAGGCTCTCGACAAGTAAGCTTGTTGCTCGGGTCTGGCTGTGAGCTGACATGGCGAACAGTGCTATCTTGAAATACCACTCGATCAAGATGGACGAGATCAACGATACTATCAGCCACCTCTGGAGCAAGACCTATCAAGGTCCTGACATTGACAGTATCCGAATTGTTTCTGACCATGACGAAGCATCGACGTCTGCCCGAAAGTCATACAACTATCGGGTCGTCATGGTCAAGAACGAGGTTGAGCTGGATATGCGAGGTCGGTGCTCGGCTGGTCAGAAGGTGCTGGCTAGTATCATCATCAGGCTTGCACTGGCGGAGAGTTTCGGGCAAGGGTGTGGTGTCTTGGCGCTGGATGAGTACGTTTCCTTTTGCCATAGATTGTTTGATGCTGACTATACCAGGCCGACTACTAATCTGGACCAAGAGAATATCAACTCTTTGGCTTCAGCACTCGCCGAGTAAGTCGCTCTCACTCGCGCATCTCAAACCATGAGCTAACATCATGTCCAGGATCATTCGTGAACGTCGTCAGCAAGCCAACTTCCAGCTCATCGTCATCACCCACGACGAAAACTTCCTCCAGACTCTTGCGCAGCAGGATGTGGTGGAATACTACTGGCGAGTATCCAGGGATGCGGCGCAGAAGAGCATCTTGGAGAGGCAGAGAGTTGGTATTTGAGCGAGTCGAATATGACTATTTTGGGATTATTAGCGGGAACAGGCTGTACTTCTATGCCATGTGTATAACTGCATTGACGCTGGTAGTATGTGCATCCCATCGCCAGTCGAAAGTCACACGAGACGCCTCCCTTTGCAGCGTCCAAGAAATGCATCTAAGTCTATTGCCAGTCACAATTCCTGGCAAGGGCATCCGCAACTCTCTCCAGACCTAATCTGTCTTCCTCTCCGAAAGTATCCAGCTTGGTCGAATCCAAATCCAACACCCCGATAACCTTCCCTCCACCATTTCTCAGCGGCACGACCACTTCCGACTTTGTGTCTCCATCACAAGCAATGTGTCCTGGGTATGCTTCGACATCTGGTACAATAAGGGTCTTTTGGGTAAGGAAGGCGTCGGCGCATACGCCTTTGCCCGGGGTTGGCGTGATGGACAAGCAGGCTGGGCGGCCGTGGTATGGGCCGAGGAGGAGAGGGGAGTCTGCTGAAATGTTGGGGTAGGATGGAGGATGAAGGTAGAATCCTGTAGAGTAACATGAGCTTCTTATCGTATCGAACTGATGCCTCAAGGTACCTGTCCAGTTCACGACCGGCGTGAAGGCATCACCTCCGTACAAAGGAGATGCCAGGAAGGAGTGGTAGAGAATGGCCGACGCTTGAGCGAGGTTGGTAACCTGGTTATATCAGCCCATAAATCCGGTTTGTTTATTTTATTGTAACTCACCCAATATCGTTCTCCCTCCAGCAGAGCCTCCAAATGAGCCACGACGTGGTCGTAGAACTCTGTCTTTCTGCGATGGTGTGTAAGCTGAGTATACTCCGGTCTGAAGGCCATCGATTTACGTCTTTATATCGTCTGGAACGTAGCTGGAGTCGGCGTGGGGCATTGCAGGGGGACTTGTCGGCGAGATTCATTTCAGGACAACTTTCTGTTGCTGTTCTGTTGACACTTTCGGACCTCCACTCGCTTACGTAAATCAACCATGACCGCTGGCCGGCGGCGGACCATGCACCACCATGATGAAGCACTTTTGGATTGTCCTTTTGGATTGTCCTCTGCATTTTCGTTGACAGACAGCATGGTACGTGGGACTCTATGCCTCGATGAGCCCTTACTGACTTTCGTAGCACGGAGTGAAACGAACCCGCCTCACATCACAAGCCGCCGCTGCCAAACGCGCAAAGGAGCAAGTCAAGGTGGACGCGTACCTTGCCCTACAGAAGGAGGTTCTCGAGCTCGTGAGTGGCTCTTGGCACACTGATCAGCTTTTGAAGCCCGACTGACTCTCGCCCGAATAGAAACAAGCCGGCGATTACTCTGAAGGGGCTCTTGGAAAGACGAATCAATTACTTGATCTGAATCCAGAGTTCTATACTATCTGGAACTACCGCAGAGATATACTGCTAGCTCTCTTTCCTTCATTGTAGGCTCTCTGTTGTGGCGCAAGTAGTCTGGTCTGACTTCTCCAGAACGCCCGAAGATATCGTTATGTACCTCGCCAATGACCTTCGCCTCACGACGTCTTACCTACTCGTCCATCCGAAAGTCTACTGGATATGGACCCACCGCAAATGGTGCCTGCAATCCGTACCAGAGGGGCCAGGAGATAGCCACGAGTGGCGGAAGAAGTTTTGGGATGGCGAGATGAAGCTTGTGGAAAAGATGTTGGACGCTGATGCGCGGAACTGTAAGACGATTCACCGGACTGAATATCCTTTGGCTGACCTCTTGATTAGTCCACGCCTGGAGTTACAGGAAATACGTCTTGGAATCCCTCCCTACCAAACGCCCCCTCTCCGCTGAGCTCAACTATACCCAGTCTAAGATTGAATCCAACTTTTCCAACTTTTCTGCTTGGCACTATCGAACCAAAACCTTGACCGCCATGTGGGAAGGAACGAGTGCGACAGAGGATGAGATCAACAAGACAAAGGATGAAGAGTTTGAGCTGGTGGCACAGGCGCTTTGGACGGACCCCGGGGATCAAAGTGGGTGGCTGTATCATCGGTGGTTAGTAGGGCCGAGTAAGTGAACGCGCGCTGTCGTCTAGAATATAGCACTGATCCGACACAGCACCACCTAAGGAGGTACTCAAGCGTGAACTGAAGAATATTCAAGACCTCTTTGAAGCCGAACCTGACTCTAAATGTAAGCAGCTGTCAACGTCATATGGCTTATCTGACGTGATTTATAGGGTGTATAAATGCCCTTGCCCACTACACTCTCCTTCTGGCGCAGCAACCATCAACATCGGACGAAGAGGCCATAGGCATCAGACAAGAGGCTGAGGCACTGTATGAAAAGTTGATTGACGTTGACTCGGATCGAAAGGAAAGGTATAGAGATATGGGTAAGTCGCGCTTGTTGCAAGATACTACGAGATATACTAACTTGTCATGTAGCTGCTTCTTGTGTTGAGGGATGTTTAACATAGAAATAGTGACTCTATGTGTCTGGTATGGATGCATGTTCATTGTGCAAGCCATGTCAGTAGTCAGTCGTGTGGTCGCGTAGGCGCGTTGCGGTCTGGATGGTGATAGTGTGACTCAAGACGCCTCGACGGCATCCAAAACGGCATCATTTACTTTATTCAGTCTACATTGACATGCTCACAGTGCCATGCGCCATATATCGTGTGCATGCATGTGATACTCTGCGATATAAAACTTCGAACCTATACCATTGAGTCACGTGACCGACGTCAAAAGTTGATCTCTTCAAGACGAGTCCTTGACGAGTCTGTTCCTTCCTCAAATCACAATCCAGGAAATAATCACCAAGATGGGCAGGAAGAAGTCTGGAAAGTCATCACTGTCCGCTTCAAAGCCCACTGCGGCCCCAGGCGCGCGCATCAACAGAATGGAAATTTACGAGGACACCCTCGAGCCAGGAAGCGTCGACGACTGTGAGTCGCCCTACGCTCTGCTGCGTGCATTCTAACCTGTCTGTAGTCATGTTCAAGAGGGACCAGATTAGTTTCAACCCCCAGGATGAATCGGAAGACGAGGACATCAACGAAGACGAGGGCGAAGAAGTTTTGAGCTTGGAGGGCGCCCGCCGCCGTGCCCGTGAGGAACAGGAAGAAGAGTATGACGAGGATGAAGAGGAGCAGCCGGCTCCTGTCAAGAAGGGTAGAAAGGAGAAAGTCAAGGTCGACGCCTCCACTCAGGGTCGATACGGCAAGCCCATCGTCTCCTCCGATGAAGAAGAAGAGGAATCGTCCGGCTCGTCGGATTCCGAAGATGAGAACTGGGGCAGACAGTATTACTCCAAGCCAAGTAACAGGCGTGAGAAGGAGAAGGAGGGTGAATTTGGAGATGAGAAGAGGGAGGAGGAGAGGGACATGGAGGAGAGAGAAGTCAAGAGATTGCAGAAGAAGCAGAGAGAGGTCTTGGGTGGCGATGATTTCGGTATGGAAGACCTTGAAGAGCAGCCTTTGTAAGTCTTTGATTTCGTCCGTCTTTGATGAGCGTCTGACACTTATGTAGGGTCAGCGAGGTGTCTCAAGACGTCCTTGACAGTCTCTCTGTGGCCGCCCCCGCCGCGCCCAAAACTGCCGATGGCCCTGCTCTTCTCCGACATTTGCAAGCCCACGAGCCTCTCAAACTTGCCCTCACCAGAGATTTCCCCCTCGTCGTGCAGAAGCTTGAGAAGACTGCTCGAGGTATCAAAAAGATGGAGGAGACGCCAGAACATGAAGCTGAGCTGCACAAGGGCCTCGGATGGTTGCATTACCGTAAGTGCTTGCCATTGCTCGCGATCGGCTAAAGACTGATAAATATCTAGAAACACTTTTGACATACGCCACTACCCTCGCCTTCTACATCCATCTCGAATCTCTCCCTGCGTCCGACCGCCCCGACATTCCCATCATCCCTCGTCTCTTTCAACTCAAACAAGGCGTCACCATGCTCGAAGACCTCGACTTTGACGCTGCCTCTTCCTCTGGCGAATCCCTTGTCCTCTTTGACCGATTCGGAGATCTGGATAATTGGCTGGAAAGCGGTGATGACGAGTTGAAGGAGGGCAAGCTGGAGTTGATCAAGAGGATGCAGGCTGTCAATGGGGACGGCGAGCTTGTGGGTCTGGAAGATGACGAGGAGGCTGAGGATGACCTGTGGCAGAACGAGGGTCTGGATGAAGATGAGCTCGCGGAGCTTCTTCAGGACGCTGGCGAGGATGCCGAGGACATCAAGGCTTTGGCTGCCAAGGACATCAAGGCTTTGGCTGCCAAGTCCTCGAAGAAGAAGAAGGAGAAGAAGAGCAAGAAGAGCAAGAAGAGTGCCGAGGAAGTCGACTTTGCGGCCCTGCTTGAAGAAGGCGAAAAGCCAAAGAAGTCCAAAAAGACCAAAGACTCCGAGGTCTCTTCTTCGACCCCCGCTTTTGCTCCCCTTGCCGAACCTGACTTCTTCCCCTCCAAGAAATCCAAATCCAAATCCAACAGCGACAACTCCGACGTCCTTGGAGACCCCACTGCCCTCACAGATGCCGACTACACCGATAAGCAGAGCAGAAAACGCTCTCTTGCATTCCACACCTCCAAGATCAACTCTACTCTGGCTCGCCGTGCCGAAGGTCGTGCAAAGAGGATGGGAGGCGATGATGATTTGCCTTATAGGGACAAGAGGAAGGCGAGGGACGCTGCTTTGAGAAAGAACGGACCGAGTGCGGAGGGCGAGGATCTAGAGGATATCAGTGCTGGGGCAGAGAAAACAAAGAAGCGGGCGAGGGACGAGGATGCCGGAGATGGCGAAGGAGACGGGGAAGCGAACGAGGCGGATGGCTATTACGAGCTGGTCAAGAGACGGAGAAGGGAAGAGAAGGATGCCAAGCAAGCAGAGCATGATGCTGCAGAGGCCGAGCTTCTTGCTGAGCGGGCAGCTTACGATGACGAGTCCGCCGATGGTCCTCGCACCATTACCCGTGCCATCGAGAAGAACCGTGGGCTCACACCACGTCGTACCAAGACGGGCCGTAACCCTCGTGTCAAGAAGAGACAGGCGTACGACAAGGCGCAGAAGAAGGTGGCGAGTCAGCGTAGTGTGTACAAAGGTGGTCAGTCTGCGTACGGAGGAGAGTACAAGGGAGAGAAGACAGGTATCACTCAGGTGGTCAAGTCGAGAAAGTTCTGAGTGCTTTCATATGTGTCCAGGTACCATGTATATCGGTCTTTGGTTGATGCCCTTGTCTGTGTGCGTTCGTTGAGTCACGTATTGATACATATGCCGATCTACTTCTTGCGATTAGATGGTGGTGGTCGTCGCTTTTTGAACATGCCGCCTCCGGAAGCTACTGTTGACTCTGACACGGATGAAGACTCGACTTCCGGTTCTGATTTCACAGTCTCCTGCCTAGCAGGTACAGCAGCTTGCTCCGGGGTTGCTTTTGCAATCTCTTCTCTGACGTCTGCCTCCTCTTTCACCTCCTTCGACGTCCCAGTCTCTTTCTTGACCGTATTCCATTCAAGCTTTCCACTCCACCCTTCTCTCTTGAGCCCCCTCTCTTCAATCTCTGCCGCTTCCTTCTCGTATTTTACACGAGGCACCTCTGTTGCCGTCTCTTCTGCTGCTACTTTGGCGTCTTCTGATGAGGCACCTTCCTTCCGTTTGACTTTCAGGCTCTTCAAGGAAGAAGGATCCCAATCGTCATCATACGGGTCGAATACCGGTTTCTTTCCCTTGTGCTCGAATTTCCATCCTTCTCCCTCTTCATCTTCCTCTCTCGGTCTCTTCTCGCCGATTGTGACTTCAGCAGCCTCGACGATGGGGGCTGGAGGCGGAAGTATCACCTCCTCCCACTGACCAGCTTCTCCCGCCTGCCCCTTGATCTCCAGCTCTATTTCATACGCAGTCTTCTTTGCGTCCTCCTCATCCACAAAGCCAAGTTGAGCAGCCGTAGAATAGTTGGACCACTTGTCTGTAGGCTTCTCTCGGGTTTTGGGCGCAGGGGCGGCGGCAGCAGTTGATGAAGGGGTGGAAGATGAGGCTTTCGAGTACCCTGAAGCTGTATCTTGGGCATGAGCGGCAGAGGCAGCCTGATAAAGTGTTAATTCCGATCACATCACCGCACTTGCCAGCGGACCTACAGCTTCGATACGAGCCATCTCTCTCGCTTCCTCGGCCTTCTCTTTCTTGGCCTTCTCCCCTCCCCGATATAGATCTCGGATAAATCTCTCCTTGTTACCTTGGTGCTTGAGGCCACTCTCATGCTGTCTGCGTGACTATGGTGGCATGGATGAGCTGGCTGTACGCGGTAAGCAACAATATGCACTCACAGGAGCGTCATCTCTAATGTAGATGCTGCAAAACTTGCACCAGTATTGTTTTTTGGAGACCCAGTATCTGCAGAGTGGTCAGTATAGACGCCATTACTCCCGACGGGCACTCACTCTGTCATTGCGTGCCGGTTGTGGATATATAGGTAAGAGGAAAGAGTTCTGTAATTCAGTTCGCCGTGGTTGGAGGCCGGTGACCGATTACTTGATTATGTAACGAAGGCAAGGTTGCTGAACAACAATTCAACATCATGACAGTTAACAATTCAACAACAACGAAGGATGCGAGTCGACACTGGACAGTGGCATGAAGCCGAGCCTCTGCTTACAAACATCACCGCACATGTCTATGCGGTTGACAGATATCGATGGGTAGACCTCTTCAACAAGGAGGGGGTTTGTAAGAATCTGACGTTGCCTTCAGAAGAAGGGTGCGAGTATGCTGAGGGGTACGTCGAGTACCTCATACTGTACCAGCTTGACCTTTGGCGATACATGCGATTGAGCGTACAAACAAAATCACTACGCAACCTGCTACAGACTGTTTCACATATTCAGGACTTGTATCCGTTCTGTCGCTAGAAGATCCTCCTTCAGCTGCTTCAGGACAGCAGCAGTGTTCACCATGACATTGCTACCAAGACCAAGAATTCCCGCCTTTTCGACCACTAGACCAGCCTTCTGCATCTTTGCGGTCGTGGTCGTCCCTTGGGAGTCTTGGTACTTGGCTAGCATCGCCAGGGTCACGGTCAACGCCTCGCCGTGGCGTATCAATATCGGGGACTGAACAGCACCGAGGAACACCAGGAGATCAAGGAACACAGAATGAGTTACAGATCTGAGAGCCTGATAGCAATTATTAGTCCATGTGCAAGTTTGAGAACATGGCGACTCACTCCGTTGATACACTTCGGGTCGAAAGATAGTGCAAACAAACGGTTCCAATCGGGCCAGACCCTCGCCCAAAACTCGTCCAGAACATCGTCCTTCTGTGATTCAAAGATACCGCCTGCGTCCATCGCAGCTTTATCTGTCACTGCCAGAAAAGCTACCCGCAAGGTCATGAAGACTAATGAGAGGATAGAGGCACCTGTGCCCTCGACGTCCTGGATAGACATGTAGTCGGCAGAAGCCCGGAGAGAAAGTGAGGTGGCTCGCGCGAGGAGTGGGTATAGAGCGAAAAGGCGTGACCTGGAAGTTCCCATGGAAACGTTGGTAGACGCCAAAAGCAAAAACAACAGGGATCGTAGTTGGATAGATGCGGCCTGAGTAGCGTATCCCAATTAGCACATGTCATGTATTTCCACTTTCACTTACGTTCATCGTCAACTGAGTCAGGTTTCTGCCAATGGTGCCCGGTATGATAATTTCTCCTTGACACAACAAAGTTCCTGCTTCCACCAATATATCGAGCAGCAGCTCTGCAGTCAACAGCGCAGATGTCATCGTTTGATGCCCACGGAACAGTATGTTGCCGCAGCCAGAGCCGCTTTCGGCCAAGACACGGTGATGCTCCGGGCCAGCTTTGCTAGTGGGCGACAGTTGTGGGAAGAGGTCGGTGTTGAGAAGCTGGGATACATCAGCCTCATCACTCAATCACGACCAACAAGACCCCACATACCTTGAGCAGCGCATGTAGAGACACAGGCGGCACAGCAAGCCCATCCACGGCGGTACTCGCAACGTTCAGCAGCACAGACTTGATCTGATTCTCAACTCCAGCTCTCGCACCTGCGCGTTGGCCGGCTCCTAGCAGCTTCAGAGTAGTCTGCCTTGTCACTCCAAAGTGGCAGAGACATTGGTTCAGGATGGTTGCTATCTGGCTCAATAGTGGCTATACCCGAGATCAGTCGATTGCTTTCTATCCGTAGGACGACGACGTACGACTAGGGTGCTAGATGGTGAAAGGTCCATTACTTTGGCACAGCTCTGTAACATGGGATTGGGATCATAGTCGTAGCCCCATTCTGCGATATGCTTGCTCAGTCGACTGATGAAAGATCCAAAGTCTTGATACCGGTCTCATCAGCATGATTTTGACAGACCTGAAGCCATAGCTCACCGTTGGCGGCCTCGACAGTCAAGTCTATGCACAGCTCGGCAACCAATCGCGCAAAAGACTCGAGAATCTGTATGATTTGATCTCGCGGTCTCCTTGTGAGATCAAGGCTACGCATGCGTGTTAGCTGTCGGATCTCTACAAGAGGGAAATATACACACAGATCGTGGAAGAGGTTGTCAAAGATACCAACTTGAGCGAGTCCTTCAGCTTGCTCGGCTGCGTCAAGGATTTGTAGCGCCTTGCACAGATTGGACTCTGTGGCAGGCTTGGGCGAGAGCGATTGACGTTCCGACTCGTTCTGCAAACCAGTTAGCTTTAAGTGCAAAGTACATTCGACGACTTGCCCTGAACAATTGTAGGTATAGCCCGGATCGTCCGAAGCTGTTATAAGTCAGCAACAGGTATACAATGAGCCACACCAACATGATCACCTTTTAATGATGCTTCTCAAAAACACTTTACCTGGTTATTTATTGGGTCAGCATCAACCTCCCATGATGATCAATGTGTACTGACTTTGATCGGTTACTGCAGAATCGCCGTACTCCGCGTTGATCTCGTTGGCTATGACCAGAGCAAGAGTGTTAAAAATCGGACTAAAGTACGCCAAGGCAATCAGTAAAAAGGTGCAGATGAGAACATTGCGACTGACGGGACGGCACGTATGATCTTATCTCTGTCCACTTTCTCTACAGCTGTTTGCAAGATCTGTATACCGAGAAGTCGGTTTTCTGAGCAATCGTTGAGAGACACAAAGTCGGCCACCTGTTGTACACAAGTCAGGGCAGCAAGTTCGACCCGGTTGACATTTTGCTGCAAAGATGTAAGCTCCGATCTCAGTTCCTGCGCAAAGTAATCACCTTGAAGAAGACCACCATGAGTACATCCAGGAGGAGCCTCTGCGTGGGATGATCGTAGGCGTTCAAATCATCAACGAGGTCGATGGCCACCGGAACAAATAAGCTACCGACTGATGCGGTATTCCTTGTCTTGGTCTCAAAAGTATGTCCTGTGATGAGAATCTTCGCAGGACTGTCTAGTACAGCACGTAGAGCCGGAAGCATCGTTGAGGTAAACGCAGAAGGGCTGGCCGAGGATGCTGAGGCAAGTGCCACTACACGTTGCTGGAACCGTTGGGCAGTGACCCAGGATACAACGACTCCAGAGGCGAGCATCTCGAGACCAAGAGCAGCAAGAGCGTATGTCACGTCTTCAGAGTCTGTCAGGCCCGTGTCCGCTGAAGACTGTAATGGCGTCAATTATGCCACATGTGAGAATGGTTGAGGCCTCACCTTTCTCGCCGGCTGAAATTGACTCATGCTGGTCACCTCTTCGGCTAGTATCTCCTCGATACTCTCCCAAGAGATGACAGCCCACTGCGGAAGCGCGAGCCTCAATCTGCTCAGACGAGTCAAAAGAACAAGCCGGTTTTCGTCACTGTTCTTAACCAGGTATTCTTCGAAGCATAGAGATATCGCCTTCAGATGAGTGGGTAAAAGAGATTTGTGGACTACAAGGTTGTCGGGGATGACTTCTCTGTTATCTAGGAGAACATCAAAGAAGACCAGTATCAACGCCACTGCAGAGGATCGCCAATTGACGAGGTCATGGTTGATCGAGGAGTCGGCAAGCTCGAGGATAAGAGTGAGTAGTCGTTCGCGAACGATTGTACTAAGGCGCAATCGTCAGCTGATAGCTCATGACTCCCATATGTGACAAATGTACCGTTCTTCGCGACTAGTGTCCAGTTGAGCGTGAATTAGCTTTACCAGAGGAGTCGCATTGACACTCAAGAGTCTCAACAGGACTCGGGCTCGCGATCGGCGGCTGACCGGCCGCGCTATGAGTGGCCAAAAGCTACGGAACATCAGTTGTAATCCGAGCCCCCAAGTCGTAGGACTCACATTACGTAGAGCCTTTCACAAGTGTGGTGCAGCTAGAACTCGCTCAATAAGCACGCTCCTCTCCACAGTCATTTCGGTGGCTTACAAATCCGACTGGATCATCAACGTTAATTGCCTTTGTGGATAAAAGCCAGATGAAATCGAGTACGATTTCACATGGGCAAGTAGTACGTTTCAGCAGATCGGCGGCCGCCAGTGTCATTCTTGCGTCGAGGGGAAAGCGAACAAAAGAGAACATTGTCCCTCGTCGCTTACCCATACTAGCCCCTGTCAGCAAGCCTGAGTGACGATGGCGTGGATATGGCTCACCTCATGGATTGCTTCATTTGCTGCCCTATCCCTCCCAGAACAGTATCCGAGACATCTTCTGAGATAACGCCGTACGCTTTGAGAATCAGCATCATTGTTCGTTTGATGAGCTCAAACCTGATGTTCAAGTCAGTACACGATTCAGCGGTCTCGAGTGACTCACTCCAATCGGCTCAAATCACCCGGTCCTGGATCAATGTTATCAAACACAGTGGTGGCCATGATGCTACACAGTCCGGCAAACATCTTGGGCTCGAGTGGAGCTCCGTTGGCGCTAACAGCAATTACGAGGTCCAGACTGGCCTCCGGAGGTACGTCCACCCCAAATTCTACCTGCTGGTCGATGAGGACCTGCAACAGCTCCCAGGGTATCTCAGCACCTGAGAAGGACAAGACTCGCATCCATCTGCAGACTCGCGCGAAATCGGACGGATTCGACATGGTTGTGGATGCTGAGAGAGCAAAGATATCGGGCGAGTCGGAAGGTTGGTGACTGAGTAGTCTAGGCAGCGAGCGATAGGCAACATCCTAATAGAATATCAGTGGTTGCCTCAGGATCTCCAAAACCCGCTCACATGATCAGCAAGAGGACCAAGATCCTCTAGCCAGGCCGTCAACAGCTCCATAACTGTTGAGAACAGTACACCTGCTTCCGCCATCACCGCCATTTTGTTGGCCGCTATACCAGCAATCTTGGACGCCATCTATAGACGAAAGTCAGTCCAGCCTTCATCTCAGCGATGACTCACCTGCTGCTGATTCGCGCCGCCAGAGTCCTCCGCCGCAGCATTCCCAGCAGCCAGCTTGCACTGCTCATACACGATATGCGCGTACATCCCCGGATCCTGATCATGTAAATCCTTGCACCAATCCCGCACGTAGGTTGATCTGATCTGCTGCCTGTCGTTCTTGTAGGCATCTATGGAGCCTTTTAGAGAACCAGGACTTGGGCGAACGCCTGGTATCCGCCGGTGCTTGGAGGCGTAGGAGGTGATGAGCTCTCGCAAACAATCCTCCTATACGGGCGTATCAGCGGGAACACGTGAGAGGATGAGAGCACTTACTTCAGCCATGATCCACCCGACTGCGGCTTTACCAAGCCTTTCAAGCGCATAAGGAGCACACAGCAAACTCGGCCAAGCCCGGTCCACCATCAGCCTCAATCCCTGCTCATTCATCGTTAAATCCAGATCATCCAACAACGACTCTATTGCCAAGACCAAGAGTTCAGTGGTGGGTGCTGAATCCATCAAGAGCGGCAGGGAAAAGGAAGCTTGGTTTTGTTGAGACTGTGAGAGGTTGTCATGTCGAAGAGGGGAATGAGGAGGGAGTGAGATGAGGCCTGTCATAATCAACTGGTTGACAAAAGCCGCCAAGCTGTAGGGGCTCGTCAAGAACAAGTCACTCTTGAGGGTTTCGTAGATGAAAGACAAGGGTAATCTTTCATAGCAATTCCCAGCCTCCTCTTCAAACACATCGTTGTTTGGTGCCGGAAGCCCTTGAGGTGTCAAGAGCCCTTCTCCAGGATTGCCATGCGAGTGGGGCAATTCTGACGAAGGCGCCCGGATAAGAGCCGTACAATACGCCAGAAACTTTTCTGAAAAGAGATACCCTGTCCCCAACGGCTTCTCGAGCCCCGCCACATGTTTGAAATCACACATCGCCCCAGATACTTCTTCTTCCTGAACTTGAAGATAGTCTTCGTACATCTTCAGCACCGGTCTGAGATTCAGAGGATCTGTCGTCTTCGTTTTACCATCCGAGCTCGAGGCTTCGCCTGCAATGCGCAAGGAGCCAGTGCTGAGTCCGTTTTTCACGAGCTGGTATTGTAACCAGAGGGCACCGAAAAGGACTGCCACTTCGTCAAAAGAGACACTTTCCATTTCTGATTGACTCAGACGCAAGCCTTGGCAGTGCTTGCTAAAGTCCTGGTCGAGAGATTCCGGGGTGATGGTGAATGGGTTGTTGCTCTCGCCTGATATCTCGTCAACCACGACTTCTTTGCCATGCCGGCATTGGGAGTTGTCCATATGGCCGAGGCATTCAGCATGGTAGAGCCGCTGGCACCCCGATTCACAAGCATACGCCTGTCGGCTTGTGCCCCATAAAGGCAGTCGACACTCTCCACACAAAGACAAGGTGAATAGATTGACAAGCCGCAGCGTGTGCTGGCCGGCTTTTCTCACTGCAGTAAACCGCGGTGGGAGAAGCTCCTCCTCCAAAGTCGGCGCGCTATATCCAAACTTGACGTGGACGAGATGAGAAGAGGAGGAAGTAGGGGTGATGATCATCACATCATACGTGAAACCCCCTGGCCCTCTGCTTGATCGTGCCGTCGTATAACACCTCAAATGACGATGTTCTCGACACATCGTACACCTGATGCCGAAGCCATGTATTTCGCCCTCACATACCAGACATCTGATGGCTTCCAGAGAAGAATGCTCCTTCGAGCTGATGCGCCAAGGCACAAAATGGTGCCCTTCCGTGTCGTCCTCCCCCAAAGCGCTGAATTGGCCTGTCTCCCATTTCGTCCGCTGGGAAGCATAAGTGGTAGATGCCAGACGGCGCGCTATCGTATTATGACCCATGACGTTGGGGTAGAATGTCGCCAGGAGCTCTGTGGCGGTGCGACGAGGGGCGGGCGGAGCATAAGCAATGATGGAAAGCAAATCAAGGGGAGAGTCTGGTTTGGCAGAGAGGATGATGGTCAACAGACGATGTACACGATGGATCATTGTCAACTTGGAGCCAGCGAGGTCGATTGTGGATGATATTGCCATCAAGATGCGGGGTACCAACGCAGCAATCTGGACTGCTGTGGGAGAAGCATCTCTCATAGCTTGGATAGACAGGAGGCCGGGGAGTTGATCGGGGAAGAATGAGAATTGTGGACTAGTGGGAGAGAATTGCTTCCAACCCGGGCCAGTAGAATTGGTATTTTCCATATCAGGAGACTCTGTCGAGATGGCGAACGTGGGAAGATGGTTGTCTGTGGTCGTTGAGGGTGGTTTCGAGAAGGGATCTGGCACAAGTCAGCTTTTTCAACACGCATGAGACAGAACACACCGATCCAATCAACATTCGCTTCCTTCTTGTCAGACACCTCGCCCCGTTCTTTCGCCAGGATCCTCAAGAGATTTTCCATTCGTCCTTCCAACCACTCGTAGACCTTTTCGCCCATTCCTTCGCCCATTCCGTACAAGCCATCAACTACCATCCCGACAACCTTGACCTTTGTCTCCACATCGCATTTCATATACAGGTAGCTCGCGATATTCAAACAAGCGGCCTGGAGCGCGTTGGGAGGGCAGAGAGGATGAAAGAGATGGGTACGGTGAAGGCAGTCGATGGAGATGAGAGAATGGAGTGCGGACAGAGCTCTCTCGAGGAGGTATGACCCAGACATGGACGGAATGGTAGATGTTGAGGCTCGGGGAACAGAGGTGGAAGCCATGGACGTGTCCGCTTCGTAGCTCATTGCGTTACTGCCCTTGGAGGCAGATGGTGCGACCGACGAAAACCTGCCTGCTCGGCCCTTCTTGTTCTTTACAGGCGTAGCGTCGAGTATAGGTCTATCTGCTTCGCCATTCTCGGCAAACAGGTCGAGGTCTTGCCGTTCAGCGAGCACAAACAGATCGCGGGTTTGTTGGACAAGGTTAAAGGTCGCCTCCGTGTCCCAATCCCCTTCGTCGAGGACGATCTGCTCTTGAAAGTCTTCACTCCCTATACCACCGACTGGGACTGAAACGTGGCGTTTGTGCGCTGCAGAGCCACTATGAGTCGCCGCAGCCGCCAGCGCCTGGCCCATTTTAAGCACCTTGCCTTTCCCTTTTCCTTTCGGCAGCCCAGAAGCCTGGCGAGCCGCAATGACTGCGCGGGCGAGGATATCCGGCGCTGGCTCGCGCTGCTCCAGTTTATCCAGCAGATGCGAGAGCAGTTTCTGCGTTTCATACAGCCCTCTGTAGTTGCTAATTTGCTGTGCCTTCCTGGCTGATATCGTGGGCCTTCTACCGAGGGTCGCTCTGCGCGACGAGAGCTTTGAGATGTCTGGCGACGACGGGCTTCTGAGAGCCTGTGGAGAGGAAGAGTGTCGGGATGAAGAAGTGGAGAGGGGAGACGGCGGATAGTCGAGAGTGGGGGAAGGGGGATTGTCCACGAAGGGATTGGGATCGATCTGGAGCTATGGTATGGTTAGCAGGGCCGGCAGGGAGAGGGAGAAAGAAGTACGCGTGGAAGAGGATGGCCACCGGGTCGGATCCCAAGAGCGCGCCGACCATCATTGTCTGTCGCCGTGGATGAGACCCCCAGCATGGCGTTGAGAGCGGAGCCTTTTTGTTTTGTTTTGAGAAACCAAACAGAAAAGACGAGTGGCTGACAGCGCGACTTGCTGAGCCTGTGCTGAGCTCAGGAAGGCATCGGCGGCCGGTTGATCTTTTGCCTCTGGTTCGAGTGTGCCGTGTGGGAGAGATATCGCCTTGTAGGTATGCTCAATGAGGGGACAGTGCGAGTACTTGCGAGTAAGCACAGGGAGCAACTTCAACTTTCGTAGACTACAACTGCATGCGGTATAATTCTCGACCAGCCCGGGACCGTCTGTGCCGTGTATGGCGCTAGGATAGCGCTTGGAAACGCGGGATTCCGTGGCAAAAGATTGCAATACTTCTATAGAATTGATATGCCAAGTTGAAATGCAAAGAGAAAGAGACAAGATTGCAAAGTCTGCCGTCGTTTGGCTTGAGTTTTCGGTCAACCGCCAGACACATCCCGGACATCGCCGCAGGCACCACGCTGTAACTTTTGACTACCGCCTCATTCGCCCATTTGCTTCTCGTCAGCTTTTCAACTTTACAAAAGATACCCTTTCGACAGGGCCATTTCCACCATGTCCACCCCCCGTGCCACCCGTTCGCGCACCGCCACCCCCCTCTCCGTCCGTACCCGCTCAACACCGCAGGCTTCCGCGCCACCTTCCCATCACCACAAGACTGCCGACGAGCTCGCTTTGGAAGAAGCCGCTTCTCTCCTCCACACCCCGACGACCGCCCGCCTTAGAAGTACCGGGAGTGATGAGGTGCTAGACGGGGGAAGTGCGAGAGCGCTGAGACATAGACGGTTAAATGAAGTGAGGCATGAAGGGGACGCTGTCAGGGAGAGGAGTAAGAGCCCGCAAAGGGACGAAAGGAGGCACTCTGAGGCCCCTTCCACTGCGGAGACCGAGGTGCGGGAAAATGATGGTGAAGAGAAGGATAAGCAGGCGACGACGCAACAGGGTTCAGACACTGGTGACGAAGATGATGAGGAGGCGTCCATGGAGTTGCCAGGGATGTCTGGTATCTCGGAGGCTACTGCAAGTGTCGCCGGGGATGAAGAGGAGCAGGAGGATGATGAGCCAGTGTCTGCCGCGCTGTCGACAGGCCGGATATTCTCTCAGCCCAGGCAGGAGGTGGAATTTGGCGAGGCAATGTCCGCGTCCGGATCCGAAACGGCGTCCGCTGGTAGCAGCTCTTCAGAGGCTGCAAGCGACTCTGATTCAGAATCTGATTCGTCAGAAGACTCTGAAAGCGAGTCTGAGAGCGATGATGACGATCAGATGGAACGTCTCTTGCAAGCGGCTCGAGATGCGGCGGCTACCAAGGCCGCGAGTGGCAACAAACAGGGAGAAGACAGGGCGGAGGCAGACGGCGAGGTTGTTTTGCAATTCGACAAGGACCAGTTCGAGAAGAAGGAGGCGTGAGTGCATTCGTCAAGAGAAGTTACTGTGACTGACACAAGCTAGTCCTATACCCGATCTATCCATCGCCAACCTTCCCAAAACCCACCTTTCGTTCACGAAAGAAGGCCAGGCCAAGGCTACCATCCCCGTGCCATCTGTCGCTTCATCATCTGCCGGTCCCTCCAAACGCGGTCCCACATCTAACAAATCTCAGGAGCTGGATGACCGTCCTTATGAGCCTCAATTGAGCAAGAAGGAGAAGGCCCTGGTACGTGCGATCGTGCGGTCTCGTGTGTATGTGCTTATATGTCCATAGCAACCGCGCAAAGCAACCACCTCTGAGCTGTGGTCGCGCATCCCTGCGCCTCGCGCCGACATTCTGCCGCAGATGAAGCGCGACTACCAAGCATTGTCCCTTGCCAACAGCCTGGACCCCAAGAGGTTTATGAAGGGCGGAAGCAAGAACGACAAGGCCCCCGAGTCGTTTGCTGTAAGTATTCCAGGTGTACATAGAGTGGCGCTGACAAGGGATAGATCGGTACAATGCTCGAGACTTCCCGCCGTGTCCGCGACACTACGCTCACCAAAGAGCACAAATATCGACCGGGGCAGGTGGTACAAAACATCATTCGCGACAACGATATGGAAGGGTACGCCAAGAGAAAGTACGGGGATCTGCAGTCGTCGAGGATGGAGAATGGGCGCGGCAAGGGGTGGCAGAAGAGGACCAAGTGGTGAGCGTGAGGTGTACTGCATCTGTTTGTATCTGTATTAGTAAGTGCGCAGGACACTGCGCGAGACACTGCTCACACCTGCAGGTCCCTGCATAGTCTCCTTGCATATCATACCTGTCGTGGCTGTCCATAGATTCCATAGCAATCATTCAACTGTGGCGGAAGCAAAAGTGCCACACTGGGGGCGGGGGAAAGCGCCGGGAGGGCGTGCCAATGAGATTCCGCGGGCGGGCTGGATGGGGCCCAGGCACGAAAATTTGCACGGACGCAGACGGGCTTGCCACGCATTCACATAACGGCCCTTCCAACAAAGGAGATCCAGCAAAAACACCAGGGGGCAAGCGCCGACACCCCCACACCACCCCCCTATCCATGGTCGCCCCCGGCAGAATGGTCACCTCGTCCCGCCGTGCTGGGCGGGTGACCAACAAGACCAAGCTCTTGATATATCGTGGCTCAGACAAGGTCGATCCCGAAGTCGCGGAAACCGTGCTGTGGGACCAGGACTCGAGTGGGGCCGGCAAGGACAGCACCAAGCATCAGCATATCGGCGCGACCGGCGTCGAGTCGAACGAGCTTCTGGTACGTAACTGCTTCCCCTCTGTCTTTTTCTCTTATGCATCGAGGGCGGTTGCATTAGGCAGCTGGAGCGTGAGGGGCGTTTGATGGGAGGGGGGCCCTAGCGCGGCTGGGAAAATGCTGGAAAAGGTGTATTCCGCGTGACGCGCTGGGTTTTTCATCCAACCGTTCTTCGTTTTCGAGCCTGCGGGCTGCATGGATGCGTGGATGCGTGCTCGGAGATGCCCCGGGGGGATGGGCGCTGTGCATACCCCCGGATGGCATGCTTGGGGCGTGCAAATCGCGTCGATGGTGGTCGCCCGAGCACAATTGCCTAATGGGGCAATTCACGCGTTGTTTGTGTCTAATGTTTGGCTCGCGCGCTGCGTCTCGTCACACGAGTTTTGGCTGACCCCACACAGGAACACCATCTTCAAGCTGCTCTATCCTCCGCCTCTGTCATCCACTCCAACGACAAGGCCCCCCAGTCCGCCGCCAACAAGGCATCGGCTGTCCTCAACTACCACATCCCCACCCCCGACGCCACTGGGCTCATCAACAATGCCCAGTTCGCTCAACTCTACCAACGGGTCAAATACAATGAACCCTACAATTTCATCCGCTTTTCAGACACTGTCGAGGAGAGCAGCTGCGGATGGGGAGGGCTCGGGTACTGCATGGATGATGCCGACGTCAGATGGCTGGCCGACTTCAACTCGAAAGCAGAAGGCTCGAGCGGAGAGGTAAAGAGTGAGAAGGAGCAGGGACGAGGTCTGCGGGCAAAGGGCAAGGAGAAGGAGAAGGGTGATGCGCCGCCGCCGTTATCGATATCGGAGGACGTGTTCGAGTACATCATGGGTGTGTTTGACAAGTATACGGAGGACAATGTCCCCATGCTTCACACAAACCTGGCACTCTTGCCTCCGTTCTCATCAATCGAAAACATGTTTGCGTCGCCCATCTCGCCGTCTTTTTTGCCCAGCAACGAACGACCTAGGGAGATTAGCGATTTCAAGGCCTTGACGCGGATGGCGAGGAGTGTCTACTCTCACTGGAAGCAGAGACGCGAGCAGAGGCAAGGCAAGCCTATTGTGCCTGCTCTCAACGTGAGTCCTTCTATAATTACAAGATCATTGCTAACCCTGAGCAGTTTGACGAGACCAACGACAATGATCCTTACGTCTGTTTCCGTCGCCGAGACATCAGAGCCACCCGAAAGACGCGCCGTACCGACAACTTTTCCATCGAACAATTTCAGAAACTCCAGTTCGAGCTCAAGGCTGCCTACAGTCTCTCGCAAATGGTTTTTCAACGAGAGACGGAGAAAAAGGCATTCTTCAAAGCCGACAAGGAAGTCTGGGAAACAAGATGGAAGCTGTTTGAGACCAAGAGACGGTGGCCGAGTCTGGGCTGTACTCCGCAGGAGGAAGAGCTCATCACTGGTCGGACTCTTGGCCCTGCGCCGATACAGATCCCATCTATCAGTGCCCACGGCTCGATTTCTTCGTCATCTGGCATCCAGCCCACTATACGCAAGCGTATGGAGAAGGAGCGGGACGATCGAACCCAAAGGGACAGGTACGATGCTCAGCAAAGAGGCGAGCGGTCAAATGTCTTGTCTGGTCGATCGAATGCTCCGGATGCTTTGAAGGACAGGCTGGCGGCGTTGCACCAGAAGATCGAGGATCTTATGGCGAGGAAGAAGCACGAGGACTCGCAGTGGGACGACTACACAGACGTAAGTGCCTTTATCCAACGCTTGTTCCTTGCTGACCTTTTGCAGAACTCGTATCAGCCCTTGTCATCACCGTTGGCTTCGCGCCATTACTCGTCCCTCTATACCCTTGATCCGTCACGCCTTAATCAGAAGTCTGATTTCGACGACGAAGAACTGGTCACACCAGAACAATTCCGCATCCGAACAGGACGAGGTGGTGTCGTGCGACTCGATAGACGGACGCCTGTGGTCGCTCATAGACGAGGGGCTCAACCAAAGACTCCGTCAGAGCTGCCATCATGGCTGTTCCCCGATAGCGCTCCGAGTAAGCAGGAGCGAAAGCGGCCGCGGTCTATCGACGAGGTCGAGGAAGAAACATTGCCCAAGGTACCGAGGTCTGCATCGACCGAGACTTGGAGATACTCTGCGGACAGAGGAGGGGCGGTTGGTGTGGGTATGGGGATCACGGAAGATCACGATCGAATTCTGATTGATGATTTGGATTCCAAGTGAGTAACTGTTGTCTGGATAAGAACGCCGCTAACCTCTTCCAGATACATCAGATATCGTGTCAGCCTTTTGAAGGAGAAGGACATTGACAAACTTCGACCAAACGCCTACATCCTTGAACAAACATACGATGCTCTCGAAGCTGCTGCAGACGCCAAACCCCCTCCTGCGCCCATCTTCCAAAAGCCTCCAGCTCCTCAGCACAACCCGCAAGTCATTGCTCATTTGCAACAACAGCAAATGTTGCATCAGCAGCAGCAGGTTGAGCAATTCCAGAGGTTCCAGATGATTGCCCAGCAGCAGGCACTTGTCCAACAGCAAGCCCTCGCTCAAGCCCAGGCCCAGGCTCACGCGCAAGCGCAAGCACAGGCTCAGGGTATCCCTCATCCGCAACCCCAGTCTGGCAGCAATCACAACTCGCCAGCCATGCACGCTCAGCAGCAGATTCTCGGCCGAGCGACTAGCAGAGTCAACTCGCCAGCTGTCAACGGTCAGCACCAGCAGCAAATGCTCCAGCAGGCTACTGAAGGTGTTGCCAAGGGATTGAAGCTGCCGGCGCACGCTGTCGCGAGACTTGGTGCGATGGCCAACGGTCACCCTCACCTGATGCAGCAGCAGCAAGGCCAACCTGCCCAATAATCCTGCGGCACCTCGAGCGAGAGGCTGTGCCACGGCGCCTGCTACATATGAGTCTGAGACTCTCGGCGCACCCTCTTACTCCTTCCTCCTCCCCTCATCTTTGCATTGTCCTCTGGTTTAGTGATACCTCAGCATAGATATACCCTCTTGGAGCAGATCTTGCTCTACATCAATCTACATCTGTTATCAGACACACCCTTCAAACACCATTATAGCTATAGTTGCTGGAATATCCGGCGTTTTGTGGAGGAAAGAAGTAAACGTTCACGTACATAGGGGACGACTACTTGGACAAGAGTAGCTGTCATCTCGATTAGTTGTACATTAGAAACAAGAAACAAATAAATGGCAAGCATCTTACTGGTATGCAAATGGGTTCATGCAATGAGCTTTGTCGCATGAATACATGATTCAAATGATTGAGAAGCATAGCGGAAGCCCGACGGTGCCTTCCACGTCGCCTCCGAACGCGTCCCGTCAGATCGCTTTGCCTTGCTTTCCATTGCACTTTATTCCGACCAAGCTCGCCAAGTACGCCTTTCAACATTCAGTATCTTTCAGCTTCAGCCTCAGTCACTGCCTCAATCGCAAGAAAGTATCAAGGTCACAACAGAGCAGGGATAATGGCGCAGCCCGTAGAACAATGGATCTACGACATCCCGCCCGTCACTCGTCTTTGGGTAGGCGCTTCTCTAGCAACCAGTCTCCTAGTGGTACGTGTCTGGTGAATGTGACGGATGGAGTGTGCGGTGATTGGGGCGTGAGACTGATCATCTCGCAGGAGTGCCAGGCCGTTGCCCCGTTGCAGCTGTACTTTTCTTGGAGGGGCGCCGTTGTGAACATGCAGGTGAGTACATCATGTTCGGCTTCTGTGACTTGTTTGATGTCTGTCTCTGACGTCCTATCTGTAGCTATGGAGGTTCATCACGACTTTCCTCTACTTTGGACCTATTTCGCTTGATCTGCTGTTTCATGTGTTCTTCATGTGAGTAGACAGGCCATATCTTGCATTGCCTCCAGCATGCACGAGGTAAATGTTCGCGGCTGATTCAAATATTAGAATGCGTTATTCGAGACTGTTGGAGGAGAACTCTTTTGCAAACCGGAGAGCAGACTACGCATGGTTGCTGTTTCTCTGTGCGAGCTTCCTCCTGGTACGTCTTCCCACCACGAACGAAGATGGTCATTCTGACTCTACACTAGGTAGTCTCATCAGTCACCACTCTACCTTTCCTCTCATCCTCCCTCGCCTTCGCACTGGTTTACATCTGGTCAAGACGCAATCCTGCAGTCAAGATGTCGCTTTTCGGTGTCGTCACGTACGTCTACCCTTGTCTTGATCAACTGCTGCTGACCTGGTAGATCAGAATAACTGCCCCGTATCTTCCGATATCACTGATCATATTCACGTGGATGTTTCAAGGCGGATATAGAGCTGCTATCCCGGACATAGTACGCCTCGAGTGGACTTCTTCAGAGCGGATGCTAAACCTTGATGGTGCAGGTGGGCATGCTGGCAGGGCACACCTATGTCTTTCTGCAAGACTACTGGCCAAGAGAGATGTGGAGCATCAGTGGGAATCCAGAGGTCCAGACCCCAGCTTTTGTGTAAGTCTTGGGCAGTGTGCGACTCCTGCTTTTCGCTGACCCTGTACACACTAGTCGTCGGTTATTCGGGCAAGAAGGTCAATGAGGTGTCCTACTTTGTTACCATCAACCATCAAATGATCCGGTTCTTGTTCTCATGTATAATCTAGCATACGTCGTGATCGCATTGGAGATCCGCGGTCAGGTTTGCTCAAGGAGAGGAGAGAACACAGAGAAGTAGGAGAGTGAGAGACGGGGAGAAATCTACGACGTACAGGGACGACCCCCGTCAATCAAGGAAAGAATAATGTGGCTCAGGTGCCGTATGGTCTTCTCAGTCCAGTTGATAGAGCACACAGTACCACCCCTGCCATCATCATGCGCCTGCGAGGATCTGTGGCTACCCGTTATTGATGCCTAATGAGAGTTCATGCGATTCAACACCCTTATGTGAGGCCAAGAGGGGACATTCACACAGATACAATTGAAAATCATGCTCCGAGAGGAGAGATTCGCACCAGAGAGCATGAATAGCCACCCATATGGTCTGCTTCGGAGGCAGCCGACGGATTCTCCGTGTCCACGCGGGTAGCCGAGCTGCTTCTTTTTATCTTCTTCCTCATCATCCATCAATCTCGAGGCAGCGCATGGCCCGGCTTGCGCTGCACTGCACGCCATCACACTATAAGTGCACCATACAGACATACCCTTCTTCACCAGGGTACCATGTCAGAGGAACAAAGAAAGACCTTCCCGCAGAAACCGGTAGTCATATCTCCAGCCTGCCAGAGATAGACACCGTCATTGATGGCGTCGACCCAGTCTATGCAGCGAAAGCTGAAGTCTTGAACCAAGCCGTGAGTAAAGGCCCCTATTCTGTGCCTGAGATTGATGCAGATGCTGACCTCTTGTGTAGATTCCTGTAGATTCAAGAAATCGGCATGGGTCGGTACCAATGGCTTTGCGTCGCCGGCTTTGGCTGGGCCTTGCTTCTCCGTTATACGTAAGTGTTAACTTCTGTAGAAGAGAAGGCGGGGATGATTATCATCAGAACAACTTTATAACATACACTTTGGCTACTAAGGGTGCGACGTTCGGCGACGGCTCGACCTACATCACCTATCGCAACTCTTGCATCATCTCTTCCCTCGGCGTCCCCGGTGCATCCTGCTTTCCACATGGGAGCGTCTTTGAAGGCGGCTTTCATGATCTTGAAGGGATGTATCCTATATCGCATTCAATATACCGTAGAGATACATGCTCACCATGCTCGCCTCTCCGCATAAGTACAAATGCAAGTACCAACGACATATCTGCATGCAATACTCTGCATCATGTCGTCGGTCGCGGCGGCGGCTGAGAAGAGTGCGGGCAATGATTATGTAAGCACGCTGTGGCCGCACTCTACGCCGCGCTTTTTGATTTTCCTTGGATTTTCCACGCGTTCGTCATTCGCAACTCGACCAACCATGCCGTTCCAAATCCCCGACATAAGCCATCGGCAGTCGCTCGTACTTACTGCCCTGGCAGCAGTCATCGCCACTTCCTCCGTCATCATATCTTTCCAGTCACTCCGGCGAGAATTCAGAACGGAGCGATTGAAGCGTCAAGTCGGCGAAGACGTCGAGGAATGGGAAAAAAGTAGGGAAGGAAGTGGGTTGTCGAGCCCAGATGAGAGGGCCGAGAGAATCGCTAGAAGAGAAAACAATTGGGCGGAAGGGTTTGACGAGGGTCTTATTCGAGAGCAGGTGCGTCGCCATCGAATTGCGTGTCTCGATGCTGATGCAATGAGGCTAGCTTACTAGAAATTACAACTTTTTGGGGGAAGAATCGATGGCTCTGGTACGGAAGGGTTATGTCGTGATTGTGGGATGTGGTGGTGTAGGCAGTTGGTGTGCCCTCATGCTGCTGCGAAGGTGAGATCCATCTTGGTTGGTGGCGCATGTTTGTTGCTGACAGCCGATCGCCAGCGGTGTTGGTCGTTTACTTCTTATCGACGTGAGCAACTGGTCTCGTCTCATTGCATGGACTAACATATGTGCAGTTTGATCTCACCACTCTCTCGTCCCTCAATCGACATGCAAGCGCCACCTTGGAAGATGTCGGAACACCGAAAGTCATTGCCATGCAAAAGTTCCTCAAAAAGGTCGCTCCTTGGGCCCAGTGAGTGTCCGTATCTGACCAGGTTACATATAGCTGACATGATCATGCAGAGTTGAGACCCATGTTGGTCTTTGGCGTAAAGGCGAGGGCGAAAAGTTGCTGCAAGGAGCGGACTGGGTCGTTGATGCCATCGACAACATCGAGACCAAGGCAGACTTGCTCTCGTACTGTCACAAGAGTGGCATCAAGGTGTTTTCGAGCATGGGCTCTGGGGCTAAGCAGGACCCTACCAGAGTCCAAATCTCGTTCGTGCTTTTCAGATATACATGCAAGATTCAAAGCTAATACTCTGTCCAGTGATATCTCGGCTACCAACGAAGACCCGCTCGCCCGAAGCGTGAGAAGACATTTGAGGATCAATGGCATCTCCTCCGGTATTCCGTATGTCAACCCAGGCCTATTTGGCGATAAGCTCTAACACCTTCCAGCGTCGTCTACTCTACTGAAGTACCTTCCGAGGTCAAGCTCCTTCCATTGGACGAGGAAGAGTTCCAACGGGGTGCCGTCAAAGAGCTTCAAGCCTTTGACGACTTCCGCGTTCGAATCATGCCTGTCCTCGGCCCTCTTCCAGCCATATTCGGCCTGAACGTCGCTACCTATATCCTCCTTGATCTCGCCGGCAAGCCGTTAACCGACTACATGGAGATCAAGAACAGGAAGAAGCTTTACCAAGGACTCGAACGTGGTCTTGGGTCCAGAGAGACCAAGTTTAAGGGAGAAAAGCTCATCGTCAAACTTCCCGTATCTCTCGAAGATATCGGGTTTGTGTTTGATGAGCTTTACCACGGGCGATCAAGTCTCCCGCCATATGAGATCTTGCAAAAGGCCAATGCTGTGCGTTGGGATAAGAGCCGAGGGCTGGATGTGGACAACATGGTTGTGATGAACAACAAGGATGTGGAGAAGCATTTCCAGGAGCATTTGATGGGCGACAAGTCGCTGGTGGATCTTTGGGGGCAGGACGTCGTAGATCGCATTAGACGGAAATCTGACGAGGCGAGAAAGGTCATCGCTTGGAGGAGAAGCTAGACTAGCAGTGTATGCACTGCTCAATACATATCACCCAGGTCTGACCCTTTGTTTAGATGAAGTGCCTCTAAGCTTTGTGCAGTGGCAGTCGTGCAAGATGTTGCTACAAAGATCTGCTCCTTTCGAGATATCTCTTCAATCCCTGTAACCCCACTCGTCCCTATCATAATCATCCTCCTGCTCCTCCTCGCTCCAATCACTATCGTCATCTCCTCCCCTAAAGCCCATCATGTCCTCGTCTGCATCCTCATCCTCGGGATAATCGTTCCTGTAGTAGTCCTCGTCATTGGAATCTTCGTCTGCTTCGTCCTCCGGTTCAGAACCAGACACCGAAGAAGGTGGAGAGCCGTCTTCAAGACCGAGTCTGCGAATTGTCAGTTCAAGCAAGAGACGGAATGGTCGATGACGTACAGTTGACCAATAGACACTCCGTCTCCCACTCCGAGATCTAGAGGCACAGACCCGCTCGTGTCTCTGTAGTACAGATCATAGACCCAGTCATCGTTACTCTCCTCTTTGGCCGCCTGCTGTTTCGCCTCCTCCTCCACTGCAGATACGCTCAGTATTACAAAACATCTTCAAAGGCTGCACATACGTTTCAAGTACTCTTGTAGCATCGGCAAGAACGCTGCCACCTCTTTATCCTCTTCTATATCGTTCTTTCTCCGAGCATCTTCTACCGCTTGGGCATCGACGAATACCAAAGCAGGATCCCGCCCCTCGGTCCTAGTAGATATCAGCGATCTGAAGCTTGTAGTAAGATGAAACGTGTCTCACTCTGCGGCGGTGATCAACCGGGGAGGCAACATTGCTTTCGTCCGAGGCGACATGGGTGGAATCACCCGGTACTGCATCTGAGCTCGAGCCTGAGACGGCCGTCTCTCTACAGGAGGCTGTTCCGGCTGCGCTACCGAAGGAACCGTTTGGGCAGACGTGGAAGCCGGCTCGTGGGACGAGGGCAAGTCTAGGGGAGGTAGTTGTGCGGAGGAGTACGTGGGATGGGAAAGTGATGGAGCGGGTGGTTCTGCAGTGGGGCTCTTTACAGTTGGGCTAGTGATGGGCGAAGGCGAAGCTCCTGATGATAGCAGACCTTGGATCCTGGTCTAACTCTCCAATGTCAGTGATGTCCGCGTCAGGCTCAACAGCCAGAGTGGCCACACCAAGCAGGGACCTTGCCTCACCTTCAGCACCTTTCCTTCCTCCCCTTCCCCAACCCAGGTGCCGGGCACAGTATCCGCCAGTCTGAATACTCCCCTCGGTCGTCCAGCAATATCCCGCCGCCTCTTTGCTCGAGACTCATCTTGGATGACTAGATGAGACGGTGCATGATGAGCATACAGGCTGCAGTTCCATAGACTGTGGTCGTACCAAGAGAGGACAAGGCTGGGTCTGTAGCCTTTCGCTTGATCCGGAGGACGGTGTAGCTTGAGGGGTGAGGAGCGGGAGAGAGAGGGTAGCTGGGGTCGACGTCCATGGTGGAGTTTGCCTGATGGTCTGATGATATATCCTAGTGTGAGCTGGAGGGCGATTGGGGATGCTGGTAGGATGCTATAGAACAAGCCAGAAATAAAGAAGAAAAGAGATATCATATTGTCAAAACACCGCTCCAGCAGACCTCCACTTCCACCGATGGATTCTCTATTTTACCACTATCCTGCTCTGCCAGAGACTGCCGCCCGCAAACATGTCCTGCATCGCTCTCCGCGCACTCCCTCGTACTCGCCATCTCATCTCCCCGAGCATGCGCATAGCACGAGCATGCGCCTCCTCTTCCGCTGCTCTCCCTACTCCACCTACCTCCAACCCATCCCCCATATCAATGTCCCCAGTCCAGTCCGACGCCATCCCCAAAATAACCCCCACCCCTCTCTCCCGCGACGTCCTCGTCAAACTACACAAACTTTCAGCTCTGCATCCCCCCCCAGAAGGTTCGGCAGAGGAGGCAGAGATGATGGAGGAACTGGGAGAGCTGGTGGGTCTGATGGACTTGGTCAAGCAGGTGCATTTGCCGCAGGAAGAGATCGAAGGGCTGTTGGGCGAAGGCATAGGGGCTATCAAAATTGGACAGTCGGAAGCTAGTGGGAAAGAAGAGGAGACGTTAGAGAAGGAGGAGTCTGGAAAGAAGCTGCTTGCATACAGTCCGACGAGAGTGGGCGATTTCTACTCTTCGGCTCTCAAGAAGACATGAACCGTATCATACGAATGTATACATGCAATTGACTGTATAGTAATTATTGGAAGATTGGCATGGTGATAGACCAAAGGAAATGGGCCCAGCGCATGGAGTTCCCGAAGGGAACATCAAGTACGAAGCACTTGACAAGCCGCGCATGATCTAAGATCATTATGCATTGAGCACATTGAAAACGAGTGACCCACTTGCACAGCACGACTTGGTCGTACATAGAACTGCGACAATGTCGCAGGACGGCAGAGGAAAGTCAAACGTTTGAGAGCCATACCACACAAGTACCATAGGTGCATTGAAGTATGAACTCGGAGGTGAGCCAGGCGACCGACCCTAATAGGATCGTCTTGTCTTCCTAAGAAGACCCTGATGGCATTGCATACTTTGTATGCGCCAACTCAGAACTGAGCAAGCACAGCCCTATGGGCGAGTCCTCACATGAAGATGTGCTTACGTCGACAAAAGGTGATCGAAAAAAACCCTCTAATCAGGACTAAGATCCTTACCAACGAGGGAAAAAGGTGAACACCCAGTGTCCATACGCGCAAATAGGTGATACCCCCCCTCTGCGCGTACTTTCGTGTTCGTGTGAAAAGGTATACAGACCCCCTCCACGATTATCGGGCAAGTGGCTATATTATAGCCACTTGCACGGGATAAGTAACGCCCGTCTTAGACGTGCGCACAAGTGCCCTCCACGCCTATCTAAAGGGTGTAGAGGAAGTCTCCCTTCTAGCAGCTTCCAGACTACTAGAAGGAACGAATATTGGACTTATGTCTTCCCCAAATTGCAAATTGGGGAAGGCGGCCGTATGCGGACTTACGCTGTCCTGAGGATAGCAGCCGGTTGTTGGACTTACACCTTACGGTTGCCGTAGGTGTTTACTCGGTGCGCTGGCGCTTGGCCTCGGGGGCGGCGGTCTCGTCGGCGAGGACGGCCTCGGGTGCCGTCTCAGCGGTTGGCGTGGGGAGAGACGGGTTGACGGGGGCAACGAGAGCAGCGTTGGGCTCGGGCTTGGTGTCGGTGGGCAGCTCGGGGTTACCCAGGACGGCTCCAGCGGCGTGGACGACGGGGAAAAGCTTGTGTTCAGCACCAAGAGTGTAGGTAAAACTCTTCTGGGCGAGAAGAGAGGGGCCGTCGGCAGGAGAGAGCTCGAGCTGAGAGTATGTCAGTAGAGAAACTAGTCGTCAGGAATGACTCACGAGGGAGATGAGGTCCTCGAGCAAATGGGCTTGACCAGCTACCTGGGAACCGAGGTTGTCATGGCGGATATGGACGACGTGGACATGGAAGTGGTCTGTGACGTGATCAGACAAAGAACGCCGAGGTTGAGAAAAGACTTACAGTAGGTTGGATGGTAGTGGACAAAGAGTCTCAACTTTCCCTTGTCTACGCCATACTTTTCCTCGGCCACACGCCAAGCTTCCTTTTGGATGTCTCGAAGGAGGGGCAAGTGGGAGGGGCGGAGGTCCCTCAGAGACTTGATAGCTCGGTCTTGGGTAATGACCACCAAGTACTATTCACACATCAGTATGCGACCCGTACAACGTTCAAGGGGTACTCACAAGGGCGTTCTGTGTAGTCTCGTCCCATTTGAGGTCGGGAAGAACTACGAAGCCATCGGGGCCGGACTTGTTGACCAAAACTCTGTCGACTTCTTTCCTGCCCTCGAGGATTTCATAGACCCTGTCGATATGATCAGCACAATCGCTGATAACATTCAGCCTTGAGACTCACCATTGGATCTTTGAGACCGGCATGGCGTCAATGAACGGCTTGACGGCGGTCTCGTAGACCTCAGCAGTCTCCCTGACCACATAGCGCTCCTGGATAGAGTACTTCTTGATATGATCCGCAGTCGCGGGGCAGATGAGCTTGAGGTTGTAGTCGGGGTGAGTGATGTCCGGCTTGACCCATGCGTGTGCAGAGTAATACTATCATTCAACATCACACGCGTCAGCACCGCACTTGGCCCTTGACGACGAATGGGCGACTTACAGGAGTGTTCTCCAAGAGAAGCTTGACATCCTCGAGGCGTTTGACCACCTCTTCCGCATCCTTACCAGCCACAAGAGACTTCTGAAGGTGGACGATTGCATCCTCGCCCTCGAGTCGACCAAGGATGAAGGTCGAGCCGGTGAAGGTGGACTCGGAGAGGATCTTCTCAGGCTGGAAGCCACCGAGAAGAGCCGGGGTGAGCTGGAGGGGGGTTGCTTGGGCGTCGGAGGACATGGTAGGGGAGGTGCGGGATGAAAGGGGGGAGGGGATGAAGAAGAAAGAAGGAAGGAAGAGAGAAGATGGAAAGTAGATCACAATGTGCGAGTAGCGGGATCAAATGGCGGCCCGAAAGCCGAAGCGACACGTCCATCACCGAAATTGCACCGAAAGATGGCTTGAATTTGGTCGCTGTCATGTACGAACGTTGAACGAGTTGTAGCACTGCACAAGCTAGCTTCAGCTAATCTCCCTGATCAAGCTTGCTTTGACCCGCTGCCACAATGTCGACCGCTATCCCCGAGACGATGAACGCCGTCGTCCTGAAGCAACCCTACAAAGTCGCTCTCGAGAAAGTACCCACCCCAACGCTTCTGAAGAGTGATGATGTTATTGTCAAAGTACATCTCGCTGGGCTATGTGGCATGTGTATCCTGCTCCGCCTATTGTCAAAGTTACTAACAATGCGAATGACAGGATCCGACCTTCATCTGTACCGGGGAACTGAAGATGCGGGCAAGGACTATGTGATGGGGCATGAGGTCGTGGGAACGATCGTTCGGAAAGGAAATGATGTCAAAGAATACAGTATAGGAGATGTGGTGGCTGTCCCATTCACGATATCTTGCGGTATGCCCCTTCTCACAGCTAATGGTCAGAACTGACCCGCGATCAGGCAAATGCTACTACTGCAAGTCTTCCCTCACCTCCCGATGCACCTCCGCAGCCTTATTCGGAACTCCAAACCTGCCCGGGTGCCAGGCAGAGTACGTCCGAGTCCCCCTGGCTTCAGCCTGCCTCCTCCTCAAACCCCCTCAGCTCCCGGAAGAGCTCATGCTTCTGATGGCCGACATTTTGCCTACGGGGTACAGTGCGGCGTATAACGCTTGGAAGCTGTTGGGATGGGGCGAGGAGAAGGGAGGTAAGGGAGAGAAGAGGGGTGTTTGTGTTGTTGTGGGCTGTGGACCTGTGAGCCGCTTCGTCGTGCATTGTTGAAGGGTGTTGCTGACCGTATGACAGGTTGGCCTTTGCGCTATCACGTCGGCTCTGACATTATTTGACAAGGTCTTTGCTGTGGACCCTACCTCTTCCCGGAGAGAACTGGCAGCTAAACATGGTGCCATCCCCGTCTCCCCGTCTGATCTCCAATCTTCAGTCTTTTCGGCCACGGAAGGCCGAGGGGCCGATGCCGTTCTCGAAATCGTTGGGAATCAGAGTGCTATAGATACCGCCTTGAGCGTAGTGAGGCCTTACGGGGCTGTAAGCAGTGTCGGTGTCCATGCGAAGGAGCTAAAGATTGACGGAGGGCTGCTTTATGACAAAAAGTGGGTGTTCTTTTAGAGCCGAATCGTTGATAATCAGGGCGAAGACGGTAGGGGAGGTGCAATGAGCGAAGCTAATGCCTTCTGTCCAGCGTGAAACTCCAATTCGGCCGGTGCTCTGTCAAGCACTTCTATCTCGCGGCCCTTGAATTACTTGTCGATAACCAGAAACTTTTCGAGAGCTTTATTGCCCACACTGTGAACTTTGATCAAGCCGAGAAGGTAAGCCTTCGCTTGGTAGTGGCCACATCGACTCGACGGCGATGAGCTGACCATATTCTAGTATTACGAACTGTTCGAACAAGGAAAAGTCCCCAAGACAGTCTTTAGGCCATAAGATTATGCAATGGATGGACGCGGCGAACGAGAGTTGGAGGAATGCTTGGAGGCGATCAGGAGGCGATGCATGCCAGCAAATGTTGAGGTATCCGATCTCCATGAAACTGCGGCTGGTCGATGGTATGCATATGGCAGCGAGCGCCTCAAAAGTTGAAAGTACACAACCCCACCCGGAACCCGGTCCTCGTCCGAGTCTCCGAGCGGCGACAGTGCGTGGGGATGAGCTGGCGATGAAAACAACCCTTGCATTTGATTACCGCCATTCTTCACCTCTTCGACTCATTTTGTCGTATTGTCGATTATAAGCCAGATAGAAAGAGCAGCAGGCCCTGCTTCACCGACTCGCGGAAACACGGCAAGCAGCTCGTGCACATGAGGGCTGTCCGCTGTACGCGTGGTAAACATCAGCTCTTTGAACGATTGTGGGTTCAACCTATCTTCTTCTGGGATCGTACGAGTACAGTACTGCCACTCGTCCTGTAAAGTACATCTGCTACCGTACTCTTACTAACGCATCCTTCAGCTTGTCACTCTCGCCCATCTGTAGCCGGCATCTTGACTCAACATCGACGACGGTACCCTGCGCTCATGTTGGTTTCCTGGTTCGCTGCTCCTTCGACATATCTCCATGACATAGTGCCTACCCGTGCTGGAGATAGGAGGGAGAACCAATTCAAAAGCAAGTTTGTGAAATCACATGAGACCTGCTGACAGCGCATTTCAGTCATTCATTCATCATCCATGTAAAATATATCACCTGATCAATCTGCTATGACGGATACGTTTAGTACCTGCCACCGCCACCACCCTGGAATCCACCGGGACTGACGAAAGAATGTCAACTGAGAAGCATTGGAGAGATCAAGAAGATCACTTACCCACCACCACCGCCCTGGAAGCCGCCCTGCTGACCACCGGGACCTCCGAATCCGCCGCCACCACCCTGGTGGGGAGGAGGGGGGGCACCGAGGCCGCCGTGCTGGCCACCGTGCTGGCTAGACTCTTCGTCAGTGGAGCTCGAGATTCAAGGGGTCCAAGAATCATCCGCCGTGCTGACCCTCGTGCTTATCCTTGGGGTGGAAGAGACCCATTGTGATTGTGCTTGTTGTAGTTTGGTTTGTGGTGAAAAGAGGAAAGTGTTGAAAGAGGTGGGAAAAGATCCTGGAGCGGCAAGACAAGGCCTTCTTATATAGGCTGGTCAGTCACTTGATGCCGTTCAAAGGCCATAGCTTCCTTAGGTGCAGTGCCAGCTAAATGACGGTTAATTCGTCATTTGGCGCAACTCGCAACAGGGCGATCTCTTTTGCCATGGTAGCCGAGATTGCCGACGCGACGCGATTATGGCCTGGTAAAGGCTGACCCGCGAATGACTTCAAAATCAGTGGAATGAAGCCTGTCCCTGGTCTTTTGCTCTGTGGAAGTGGACATGTCCCGAAAGCCTGCCTCTGGAAGTTGGAACCATTGGAATCCAACAGAACAGCCGGTAGTGCGCAGCAAGTCAGGCAAATGAAAGGTACAGAAGTCGAAGCGCTTTCTATGCGCTCCGCCGTGGGCGGTGAACAGCCGTCTGCCATAACACTTTTCGCTTCCGTTTTGTGTTGCACAGCTATGGGTCAAGATGTCAAGGGGCATTATGACGAGCAGATCCGGTCGAGTCGTACTCGTATGTACGAAGCGCACGGCGTAAAGTGTGCAGCTGGGGAGCGGAAATGCAGACGTCTCTTGGCCAGACTGGTCATAGCAAAAAGGCAAAGCAATATTCATCCCCATACAATGACCACAAAGCAGACAAGAACAGACAGCAGCTATGTACACCCTAGAGTCATTCTAAGCAACCTTGACTCCCTGGGTCCACATCCCCTTCCTGTTGCTACAATCGCCATTGGACCACCATCTCTCTAGCACCTCAATCCACCACTCGTCATTGTCAGTGTCAATAGACTTGTCTTCAAGGTCAAAGAGGTCGAGAGGGCCAGTGCCGATCGGGTTCTCGTCGCTGGCAAGTTCAACTATAGATTGTCAACAATGGCCTTGTTGTCTGAGGAAAACATACTGAGCTGAGCATCAAACTCCATCCCGACTTCCAGAGCACCTCCCAGCCCCATACCAGCCTTTCCACCCCTCGTAGCAGCCCACATTGCCTCTTTCCAATCCACCCTCAGATCCCGGCCCCCACCCTCCTTCTCCGACTTCATTCCGGCGAACGAGCACCCCGCCTTCTCACACCTGTCTCCCTCTCGCATGCGTGAGATGATCACGGCTTGACGCATAGCAGTATGGATAGAGGGAGAGTAGCCGCCGGCAATGTCGGTGCCGAGACCGAGGGAGAGGGAGGCATCGAGGGCCTCGCGGAGAGGGAATTGGCGTTCGGAAAGGTATTGGTTTGAGAGGGGGCAATGGGCGATAGTGACACCCCGCTCTTTCATGAGTACAGACATATCCTCGTCAAGGTATGTGACGTGAGCTTGGAGCGTTTGAGGAGTGAGGAGACCAAACTGGGAGACATTAGTTGTTGCTCATGCACGACCAAGAAGACGTACTTTGTCAAAGACTTTTTCATCGTCCAGTTTCTTGTTCATCATGACCATATCTATCTGATCCCTCCCTTCACACATATGACTCTGCAAGCGCACATTTCTTTCCTTGCTGACCTTGGCCAGCCCCTCCAGCAGCTCGTCAGAGCAGACCGGGACGAATCGGGGAGTAATGATAGGCTGGACGAGCTGCCTGTGCTTGGGGAATTGGGAGATGTAAGACTCGAAAGAATCGAGGAACTCGTTGAGGGAAGTGAGGGAGGATAAGGCAGAAGCTTCGCCATAAGTCGGGCGCTAGACATTTGGGTCAGCATGGACATTGTAAGGGCTTGCAAACACGCACGGGCGATTCGTCCATCGACAGCTTGCCTATGAATGCTCGGATACCAGACTCCTGGACCTTCCTCGCCAATACCAGACTGTGCACATGTCAGCTGAGTTGCTTACCACGGAACGGAACTTACTTGGCCTTGACGCCGATGGTTCCAAAGAAGACCACACACCCCGTCCCGTTCTCCCTCAGACGCTCCACGAGCCGCCCATACACTCGTTCTGCAAGCGCCTCGTCGCTATCGATCCTCTCCTCTGCCCTGTACGCATACCTCTCCAGCCACTGGAGGAGCGGCAAGTCCAAGCCCGTTCCGGCGTAAAGGTACTGAGGAGCGTGCAGATGGAGGTCGGCGTAGGTGGGCAGAAAGAACGAGTGCTTGCCTAACTGTGTCGGGTTGTTATCCTTGAGAAGAGCCTGAGACGAGGGGTCGGATAGAGGTGCGACGTGGGAGATGTATCCCTGGTCGTCCACAGCTGAGAGGGAGGTGAGCCACGTTCCATGTGTGCTTGGCTCGGCTTACCGAGTAGATGGTTGCGCCTGACTCTGAGGTGGGAGGAGGCGGGGGTGTCGACGAATGTGCCGGTGAAGAGCTGGGGCATGGCGAGCAGAACAGGAATGTGCAGAGTGAGAGATTCCGAAGAGAAAGGAAATGAGAATGTATCGCCCAGATAAGTCGAAACCGAGAGCGTTATCATCGGGCGGCGCACGCCGTCGTCCGCCTTGACCGGGCCAACAGTCCCTGCCTGAACGGCGATAGCACATGGTTCATGGTTGTATGTAATCCCGAATGCATGCGTTTCTACAACTGCCTGAACCTACACGAATCCCAAAACGATATGGAGCATATGTAATCGCTCTTTTACTTAAATCTTGACGTCGTTCGCAATGACACTCCAGGGGTGTTCCACCTCACCGGTCTGGATAGCGGTCATCTGGTGAAGTACGCCCTTGGCGATGGGTCCGAGACCATCGGGTCCGACGGGGATCTGGATGTCCCTGCCCTCGTAACCGATCTTGTCCACGGCAGACACGACAGCAGCGGTACCAGTGCCAAACACCTCAAAGAGGGTTCCGTTGGCTTCGGCATCGACCAAGTCCTTCATGATGACCTTGCGTTCAGAGACGACGAGCTTTTCGGGGAGACCGGGGATCTTGGCCTTGCCGGAGGCGTGGTCGCGGGTAAGCTGGAGAGCAGAGTCACGGGTGACACCGGCGAGAATGACATCGTCGAGGGGAGGGGTGACGAGCTCGACAGCTGGGAACTGTCAGTATGGATCTGTGGCGTCTTGAAGGAGACTCACTGCCGTCGGCTTGCTTGAAGGCGACAAACAAGTTCATGGTGCCGACCTCAGTCAAGGCGTGCTCAGGGCCGAGCAACCAGAGGTTCTGGCTGTAGCCTTCCTTAGCGGCTTCGGATTGAGGAACCACGCCGGGCGCGTAGCTATCGGTGTATCAGCAACTGTGTCATTTGGCAAGGCGCACACTTACTTGGCACCGAGCTTGAACCCACCAGTACCGCCGGGAGCAGCACGGACAAACTTGGTGGTAGCCAACAGTTGGACGGGCTTGAAGCCAGAAGCATAGTAAGGGCCGACCTGGACTGCCATCAGCGCGCGCCAAATATCTACGATTCACGTACAGGAGAGCAGATGACAAACAAGAGAGCGTCACTGGAAGGTCCCACGCCGAGCGCATTTTGGGTGCCGATCATGGTAGGGCGGATGTACAATGAGTAGCCCTTCTCCTTGGGGATCCACTCCGAGTCGAGGACGACGAGTTTCTTGATAAGCTCGGTGAGGGCTTCACCGTCAAAGTTGGGAAGCGCGATACGACTGGCACTCTGTACCGTGTCAGTACATTCACACGTCTTGTGAATACCACTCACTCTGTTCATTCGTGCCATGTTCATGTCGGGCCTAAACAAACGCACGGTGCCGTCCTCCTGCCTGTACGCCTTCATACCCTCAAAAAGGGTGAACGCGTAGTGAAAGACGGTGGAAGAAGGGTCAAGAGACAAGTCGCCATAAGGCTTGATGTGGGGCACGTCCCAGCCTGTGGCGCTGGACCAGGGGATGACGAGCATATGGTCGGTAAAAGTGCGGCCAAAGACGAGTTTGTCGTGGGGGAGCTGAGTTTTGGCTGACGTTGTCTTGTCGATTTTGAGGGCAGAGGGCTATGATAAAGAGTGAGCTTGGTCTGCCAGAGACAGGTGTGGACTCACGTCAATCTCGCCGTGTCTTGAGATGAGCTCGCCAGTCATCATATCGGTCTGAAGACCCTTGCCGTAGTTCCTCGCCTGGAACGCGGGCAAAGCGCGGGGGAACGCCGTCTGGCGGAGGGAGCGGGCAATATTTCTGAGTGGTGAGAGACGAGACATTTTGGGATGCTGGTTGAAAGAGAAGAGGACAAGAAAGTTACATACGGCGCTCAGGCGTCGTCGTTTCGAGTCGCGAGCTTATCCTCTGCACGTGACTCGGCCAATTCCGGAATTTCTTTCGGCCGTATCTATCACCTTGTTGTTGGGTTCGCCTTTGTGTTAATGCTGCCTCCTTCGTTTGTACATACGAGTTGCATTGAGAGCTGGGTCGTCATTCACACCGAATTTACTCCCGCCCGCCCCCACGGCCGCTATGAAAATCAACAACTTGCCCTGTCCGTATCGAGCTTGGGATGTCATGTCGCTTTGACAATAGGATCGCCGATCCATCAGAGTATATACATTGCGGGATCAGGAGTGATTGGGTCTCAAGGAGACATAGGCTAGGCTGAGAGGCCTTTGAGTTGCTACAACCGAAAGGTGCGCTAATGCTGACCAGTGGCACCAGACATTGGGGCTTGCAGACTCACAAGATACATGCGTCATGACTGTTATTACAACACGCTTCCATTACAAGTACAGCCGGTCCAAGAAGCTCAATAGGTCAGATCTTCCACTCCAGTCTTTGCAACACATTCTTGTACCATCAAGCGTATCTGCAAGAATACCATCAGCTCCCAAACAGCGTCAATATACAGAGCACTCACATCGATGACACCTGTCTCGACGGCCTTGATGCTCAGCAACGGCTCATGCTTCTCCAAGCTCTTATCAGATCCCTCTGCGTGTTGCAGCACGTCAGATGCCAGAGCGGGTACCCATGGGCCGACATCCTGAATTGACATTAGTATTGACAGGGGATGCGAGTGTATGTACGTACCGCGGTTGAGTTGCCCGATGGCTCGAGGTCGTCGTTTGTCTCTACGACAATCGCAAAAGTACACTCGTCTACAGCACAATGAGCTTCAGTCCTTCAGTTGAGAGGTACTTACCTTTATTTTCACGTAGCTGTCCATCCAAGGCAACAAGTTTGACAAGAAATCCACGCAGCATGAGACCTAGCTCATCGGCATTGGGGGCACCAGTCAAGCTACAAGTGATTAGCGCCACTCATCGGCTCCCATCTCGGCCGCTCACCCTATATCCTTCCTTCCCTCCAGTCCCATGATGTATCCAATATCGAATATCAGCCTCTCCATTGGCAACCCGGTCCGCACGCTCTTGATCACCACGGTCATTCTCCGCAATCTGCCCTCTTGTATCTCCTTCCCGACACTGGCGATCACCTGAGCAATGTAGGACCGCACGGTGGGGTGGCGGGATTGATAGACTGGAACGCCATGAGCACGCCGGCGGGTAAAAGTCGTCGGTGGATAGATTTGCCTGATGCAGAGAACCGTGTGAAGAGCGATCTCAACTGGGGTCCGTCAGTGCGTGTTTCTTTGGAGATCAGCAGACGTACGAAAAGACGTGAGAGCGTCCCCAATCTCTGCGAGGTTGTCAGCGAAGCCTACGTTCAGCCGGGTTAACTCACCCTTGTAGCTCATTCCTGGTTGGACCATTTCTTGCTGAGATGTACTTCCCACGGCGGCCAGAAAATGTACGCGACGCGCTGATTGAGGAGCTGCTGCACTGATGCTCGGCTGTCTTTCTGTTACATAAGCGAGCAGGCTGCTAGCGTTCCGGATCTGGCCGTTATCATCGGGTGGAAACGGAGATGTAGATGGCGTGCCTGGCCCAGTTCGAAAACAGAGGTTGATCGTTCGAAAATCGCGAGAGCCGTGAGTCGAGCTGGAATGCAGACATTTTATCACAGCCCGACTATACCGATTATCACCATCCATCTCTCCTTTTATCCGTCCCCCAGGCGCACTCTTCCGCCTGCCCACTATTTATACCCACCATGACTCGTCCCCTCGCCCTCGCCCTGGTCCTCCGTTCACTAGATAACACACCTTCCCACCGTCTCGCCTTATCACAGCTCCTTTCACGCCCCCAAAAGAAGGCAGCCTGCACAAGAGCATATAATACCACCACCGCCCCTCGCATTCCCACCACGCTTTCACACCACTCTCGCACAATGCCCATCGCTATTCCCAGCCGCTCGCTTTCTTCGGCCGCAGACGGTCAGCCTATCAAGGCGAGGTCTGGTGAATTGTTCACTGCTTCCCCAATGGCTTTGGTGGCTGTTGCTGATAGACCTTGTAGCATCTCCCTACCCCACTACCAGTCCCGAGCAGAATCTCCTTCGTCTCAAGGCCCACCTCCAGAACCTGCCCACTCCTCTTCTCAAAAATATCCACCTCGCCAAAATCCGACGAAGCGATCCCAATGCATTCTTCTCGCTGATGCGTGACGAGCTCATCGACTAGTGAGTAGAGACTCCCATCGTGTGACCCTTTTCGAGGCTTGCTATGCGTGTCTGTGCGTCTGCCGTGCGCATCTCGATCACTCAACTTTGCGAAGGGTTCCAGCAAACCTTGCGCTCGTTGGATCTGCAGGATCATACAGCGTCTCGGGATATCTCATTCATCAATGCCACGTCCTGCCACGATCTGCTATACGACTTGTGACTACAGTCGCTGACAACTTCACCCTAGCGCTCCCATCGTCTACACTCCCACTGTCGGCGAGGTTTGCCAGAAGTATTCTCAGATCTACGATGGACCCGAAGGCTTGTACCTCAGTATCGAAGACAAGGTAGGCGTTATATCTACACATCCAATACCCTTACTTACCTACCTTCACAGGACCGCATCCCCGAGATCCTCCGTGAATACGCCTCAAACCTCTCCAACACGCCCCAAATCCTCGTGGTCACCGATGGTTCTCGTATCCTCGGACTGGGAGATCTAGGAATCGGAGGAATGGGAATCAGTGTCGGAAAGCTGAACCTGTATGTTGCTGGTGGTGGTGTGAATCCGCATGGCTGTCTGCCTGTCGTCCTCGAGTGAGTCCTCTCCGACCCCTTATTCGGCCGAGCTGATGATATTATAGCATGGGCACAAATACACAGTCCATCCGAGATGACCCACTGTATATTGGTCTCCGACGCCCTCGTGCCACCCTCGAGGAGGCTACCGAGTTCATGGACGCCTTTATGGCTGCCGCTTCCGAGGCGTTCCCCAAGGCTGTCATTCAACATGAGGACTTTTACTCCGAAGCCGCTTTCGGCTTCCTGGAAAAGTACAAGGAGGACTACCGAATGTTCAACGATGACATTGAGGGGTAAGTGCCATTTATGGTATATGTATCTTGCTGACGTGCTATAGTACCGGCTCTGTCATTCTCGCTGGGTTCCTGGCCGCTGCCAAGCAGGCTAGTGAGGCTTCCGGCAAGCCCTTGAAGGACCACAGGATCGTCTTCCTGGGTGGTGGTTCTGCTGCTGTTGGGTGAGTTGCACCGCTGCATACACTTGCTGGGCTAACCATTCTGTAGTGTCGCCAAAGAGATGATGAACTTTTTCAGGATGCAAGGATTGACCGAGGATGAGGCCAGAGAAAGGTTCTGGCTCATCGACACGAAGGTCAGTACACGGGTCCGCTGTGAAAACATATACTAATCCTTTCCAGGGTCTCATCACCTCTACCCGCCCCGACGTCGTCTCTGGCAAGGTCTCTTCCCACAAGAAGTACTTTATCCGAAACGACACTGAAGGCAAAGAGTACCCTTCCCTCGAGTCCGTCATCGAGTACGTCAAGCCCACCGCGCTCGTCGGTCTCTCCACCACCTTCGGCGCCTTCTCCGAGCCCGCCGTCCGCGGCATGGCCGAGCTCAACGAAACCCCCATCATCTTCCCTCTCTCCAACCCCACCAGCAAGTGCGAGCTTTCCTTCTCTGACGCCCTCGAATGGACCGACGGCAGGGTGCTCTTTGCTTCTGGGTCTCCTTACCCCTCGCAAGAGTTTGGCGGCAAGTTCCGTGAGCCTGGACAGGGAAACAACTTCCTCGTCTTCCCTGGTATTGGCTTTGGTGCCCTCCAGGCCGGGGCTACGAGGATCACGAATGGCATGATCACTGCCTCTGCCATCTCGCTCTCCGAGGCGCTCAATGCCGAGGAGAAGGCGAGAGGGTTGCTCTACCCCAGGCTCGACAGGATCAGAGAAGTCAGCGCGAGGGTTTCCGCAGGTGTTGTCAAGCGAGCACAGGAGGATGGCGTTGACACCAACACCGAGTTGAGAGGTCTGGGTGAGTACTCTCCATGTTTCTGGCCGAGCGGTAGCTGACGACTGCTCAGATATTGACGCTCTCACGGAAAAGATGAAGAGTGCTCAGTGGTGGCCTTGAATGTAGCTTACCATGTTGACTCTGGATGTGTTAAAAAAGCCCAGCCATAACACCTATGGAGGCTTCTGGTTGCCAGACCAGCTTACGATGATTCATGTATAACGTACACTATCACTGGGAAGCCGATGATAGACTACTCGCAAGCTACAATTGAACAAGCCTTCCTTGAACTACTGTCATACCCTACACTATACTCGTCTCGCACGCCTGGCTTTATAACTTGACGCAGCACATCGCTAGTGCTAAATATAATATATGCTCTTTTTTATGCTATCCTCCTCACTTCATTCACCATCTTCACCATCTTTATGAATCCCATGATGCCACGTTCGATCAAAGTTGGATGATAGAGAAGAGTAGCGCAGCGGATGGTACGCTATCAAACGTGACGTGTGATTAACGAACCAGGCCAAAAGATCGATCCAATTTTTCGAAACTCATATTCCTCATTCTTTTCTTCACCATCTTTCGTTCTAGTAATCTGTGAGTGTCTCATCCTTCTCATCCAACAGCCCACAGCAAGCAAGTGATTCAAGGACGAACACCGATGACGAGACCTAGCGTCTTCCACTCTCCATCGTCTCACCGTCGATTGCCTATCCCGGCTGGACTTTCATCCTTCGTTTTGAAGGGCGTCTGTCTGGTCCTCGTGTGGATGGGGTCAACAACCGGTAGCGGGGTCATGGTTGAACTGGGGGATGCGGTGCCGAGTCTATACTTAGTTTGGCGACTTTTAATTTCTGAGCTCACATCTTGCTTTGGGCTGTTGCTTTCTATCGTGGCACATGTCTAAGGCCCAAAGCTGACAAGATAACGTAGGCAAAACATGGCACCATCATCTCCCTCTGGATCATCGTCATCTTCGTTATGTTACACCAACACTCTTTTGGCTATGCCTGATGGTCCTATACCGGCCGCTCACCCTGATCTCACCTCGCACACCTCATCATTCATTGGAGGCTACCCGACTTTCCCTGCGCTTCCTTCTGCCGCTTCTAACAAGACAGGCAGCATGCCCTCGGACATCAAGTGCGGTGTCTGCCACAAGTCGATCCCCCTCCTGGCTCAAGTGTATTGCCCACCCGAGGATGGGGAGAATGACCGCACAATGTATGTGTTTGCTTGCCCCAAGGTAGGTTGTCAAAAACGTGAGGGAAGTGTGCGTGCATGGCGAGCCTCGGTCCGCAATGAGGAGTATGTAAGAGACGTAGAGGAGAAGCGTAAAATCGCGGAGAAGGCGGCTGAGGAAGAGCGTGAGCGTGCTAGACAGAACCCTTTTACAGTGAGTATGCATACAGTGATGACATGTACATATTTGGCTGACGCCATTGCAGCTTGGCAGCGATGGTGCTCAGCCCGCTGGGTCTGCTCTGTTCGGTTCTGGTCAGCCTCTCTTTGGTGCTGCTGCACTCAACCCTTTCGCAGCTCCGTCAGCGTCCACCGATCCCACCTCGGCGCTCTCTGCCCTCTCTATCAACGAGGAGGAGGCTGCGCCCATCATTGCCGGTCCCTCCAAGACATTCACTCCTCCCTTACCAGCCTACCACCCCGTCCAGTACCTTTCCACCATTGAGGAGTACATTCCCCCGGCAGAGGACGACGTCTCGATTGCTTCCTCGGATGACGACGAGACGCCCGAGCAAAAGGCGGAATGGCACGAAGACGGTTGGGAGAAGATCTTGCCCAAGCGCACGGACGAAGTGTTTGAGCTTTTCGTCGGTCGGCTCGAGAGTGCCGAAGACGGCAAGAGGCAGGTACTGAGGTACGACCTGGGTGGCCAGCCCTTGCCATACTCGTCCCAGTCGCCTCTGACCAGAAAGCTTTTCCCCGGTGCGGAGAAGCCTTTGGGGAAGAATGACGAGTTGGACTTGTCTGCGCTGTACACCGACAAGACTATCCCCGCTTGCTCGAGATGCGGCGGCAAAAGGGTCTTCGAGCTCCAGGTCGTTCCTTCCCTCATCAACATCCTTCGTCCCCACACTCTCACCACCACCGGCTCTGCTTCTGAAGAGGTTGCGCCTACAGCGATCTCAGAGGACGAGCGCCGTAAAGAGTTGGCCAAGTTGGCCGCAGGTATCAAGGAAGAGGGGAACAAGGAGCAGGATGGAGAGATGGAGTGGGGAAACATCATTGTTTATGGGTGTGAAAGAGACTGTGTAGGGGTTGGAGAGGAGTGGGTCGGAGTCGAGTGGGAGTCGGGACTGGAGTTGTAGACTGCTAGAATTATAATCGCATGATATGCTATGACCATCACGATCTGATTTCAAAATCGTTATTCATTACAGACGTATCAAGAGTACAAATCTACAAAGCTGTTCTACGGTCTATCTGAAGATGCTGCATCATTGCTTGCTCTTCTTCTTACTCTTCTCCTCATCATCCTCTCTTTCCTTTCTCTTCTTCTTCGATGACTTCTCTTGTTCTATACGAGTACCGCTGGTCTCTTCCCTCTTGGTCTTCTTCTCCTTCTTGGTCTTGGGTTGACCATCCTTGCCGAGCTTGGCCTCTTTCTTCTCTCTATTTTCCTTCTCCTCCGCTCTCCTCGCCCGCCTCTCCTCCTTGGTCTCGTCCTCCTTCTGTTTGCCCTTGCTCTTATCTTTCTTATCTCTCTTCTCACTCTTCTCCTTCTTTTCCCGCTTTTCCTTCTTCTTCTCCGCTTGCACGCTCAGCCCAGAATCCTTGACACCATTCTCGACGACACTGTCTATCTCCAACGCCTTCCCCTTTCCCTTCTTCTCGCTCGGCTTGACTTCCACTTCCTCCTCCTCGTCGCCCATATACACCTTTCCCCTGAAGAATCTCGAATAGAGCTGCCGTCTGGCCATCTCCCTTGCCATACGAGTTTGAGCAGATATAGAAAGCTTTGGGGGTATGCGGGGGGCAGGAGATGAGCTGCCGGCGGGAGTGAGGGTGGTCCATGAGCTCGAAGGGGGTGCAGGCGAGGACGAGCCAGAACCCGAACCGATATTGAGAGAAGCGGCTGTGGCTGCAAAGATGCTGTCGCGGTGGTCAGTATAAAGTAGAGCAATGTATCGTAAGTGGTAGCGTACTGATCCCAGAATGGTACTGCTTCATCTCTGTCCTTTCCGATCCCTGACAAAGTCTTCTTCTGAACGACGGCTAAGGGTCTGGAGATATGTCCCTGCTGGAGAGCTGCAGTGCGTGAGTCGCGGTCCAGCCCTCTAGGTGATGCCACTCACCAGTCCCCTTTCCCGCCCAGCCCTGTTGCTCAAGATGCCTAGCGGGGTCGAATCGTGCGGTCTTGACAGCCATGTTGCGCGCTGTGAGTATAGTGTGAAAGTGTCAACAACTACGGACTGCAAGAGATGATAGAAATTTAGAGTGGAGGCATGGAGTACGTAATCACTCCGCGATCCCTTGTGCTCCTCATTTTGACGCGTCCGCTTTTGTATAACTGTCTCACGCGACGGAAATATCGAAATGAGCACCGAGAACCAGAACCAGCAGCAGATCACTGAGGGTAGGCGAGTCCTAGGCGAGGCTGAGCTAATTTCCAGACGAGGCATCCTTGTACGACAGGCAGATCCGATTATGGGGTCTTGAGGCCCAGAACCGGTATGTATGCCTTTGTGCTTGGTATCAAGTGGCTGACGATATCCCAGAATGCGTTCATCCACCGTGCTCATACTATCTCTCCGGTCCCTCGCCCACGAAACCATCAAGAACCTCGTGCTGGCTGGTATTGGTCGGCTGATCGTTGCCGACTCTGGTGTCGTCACTGAGGAGGACCTCGGGTCAGGCTTCCTCTTCCGTGAAGAGGACGGGGCGCTCGGAAAGTCTAGGACAGAAGCAGCCCTCCCTCAGATAGCGTCACTCAACCCGCTCGTGACGCTGAGCGAGATGACATTGGAAAGCTTCCAGGGGGCGGAGGACGATGTTGCAGCGGTTTTGAGAAAGGAAGGTGTGAATGTCATTGTTGCGTGTGACCTGCCGACCACCCAGAATGTAAGCCCTCTTTGGCAGACTGCAAAATATGCGCGAGGGCTCAAATATCTGTAGGAACTCATCAACGCTGCTGCTCGCAAGGCTGGCTCTTTGTTCTACGCCGCCGGCACCTATGGCTTCTTTGGTTATGCCTTTGCCGACCTCGGCGACTCCTACGAATATGTAGTCAAGTCAGTCGTGCTCCATAGAGAATTCATTTGTCAATGCTGATGGATCTATAGTCAGACAGAGGGCCTCGCGAAAAAGTCCCTCACATATACCCCTCTGAGCGCCGCCCTTGACGAAACCAAGTGGGACCAGGCGAACGGAAGTCCTTTCCGAGGTCAGACCCGGAACACAACCAAGGGCATGGCTCCCAATGCTTCTTTGGGCATACTAGGTACCTTCTACATGTCAGTCATATGGGCCGAGAGCTTATAGTTGTGTCGCAGCCCTTTGGAAGTACGAGAAGGAAAACGGTCATCTGCCCAGCGACGACTCTGCTCTGGAAGCTCTCACCTCCATATCCAGCTCTTTAATCACCTCCCTCGGGGTCAACCCCAAAGCTCTCGCCGCTGTTGATCAATCCACCCTCTCTCATCTCGCCTCCCACGCTACGCACTTCTTCTCACCTACTCTTGCCGTCTTAGGTGGCCTCCTCGCCCAGGATGTGTTGAGGGCGCTGAGTAGAAAGGACAAACCTTTTGCGAATCTGTTGGCTGTGGATACCATGACTGGTCTGGGGACAGTGAACAGGTGGAGCATGGAAGATACCAAGGATGTGTAGGATTACATGTGATTGTATATTACAGATGCAATCGATCATACCATGATTATACTGAGCCGGCGCCTCTTTCATGCGCCGTTTCCCTAAGCTTCAGCTGCCTTGCCCTTCTTCTTGCGCCGCTTCTCCTTCTTGTCACCATGATCCCCTTCAGCCTGGTCATCCTCGTCCTCATCCTCCATGACCGGACCCGACACGAACGGTTCTCCCTTTGGTTTCTCTTCCTCTGGCGGCTTCTCCACCCGCCTAGGCCTCAGGGTCAGCATCGCCTTCACGAACAGATTGAAACATACCAAGATGAATGATGCTTTGTTCCCACTCTTATCAGCTCCATGATGAAGCCCATATCTCCCAATCTTGATCGGAACATTTCAGTTTGCAGCAACGTCAAGTACACCAGACATGTCGGATATCTACAGTCGTCATATAAGCCATCTCCCACTACACGGCTGGGACCATCACTCACATGATGAAGCGAACGTAATCTGGTTCCCGCCAATATTCCAAGTATCTCAGATAAGTCAGAAACTCGGGTTTGGCCAGATAGCCTTGAATGTGCAGTTCGTGCAGGTATTGCGGATGCGCCAGACATTGCACAAACTGCGACATCTACATCAATCTCGAGCTTGACAAGTGAAGGTCATCACGAACCTCTAGTTCTGACTGAAATTTGACGATGTTGGCGTGTCTTTCGGGTGACCGGGCGGGGGCATCGGAACCGTCTGGTAGAGGAGGAGGAGCGAGGATTGTCGGTAAGGGGGCTTGCATCGGGAAGAGTGCGGATAGGGGAGAGGGAGTCTTGATGTATGCTCTGGGTTGAGCGCCAGGTTTTGAAGTTAAGTCGTGAAGTACAAATGAGACAGAAAGTGCAGGAAAGAGAGTAAAGAGATATGCCGAATGAGAGAAGTGAGGATGCACTCGCGACGCGTTTCGACCATGACTTTATGAACTGCTTCTTCACCTCAATATTCGGCATTGACTTGCAAATGTGTTCTAGCCACTTCAACCCCCCAATCCCGTGCCACTCAATGGTCATAAAATACATCGGCATTATACAAGCATACGGTAACCAACTACTAACAACAGTCGGGAAACTTTTCACCACTTCTTTCCATCACCGGACGCCGGGTCCGTCCTCGAAATTCAAATTCCGGACATGACTCGCAGCGTGAGTAGAACTCATCAGGGCTCGACAATACCATCACCCTCAGCATCCGCCTCGGGTCTCTTCCAAAGACGCAGCTTTCCCATACCTTCGAGAATCCCAATGGAATCGGGCAAAAAGTAGATATCTGTAGGCGTAGTCGCTGCAACCATATGACACTGACCCGACCAAACATCAGCCGTGTCCATGACTTGCTATACTACTTACCGCTGAATAGTCGACGAGGACGTAATTGTCGAAAGGCCATTTCGATGGGCCCGGAAGGTCGCGCGGTTTGATCTCTGCCACTCTCTCCCACTTGTATTGGGTCAGGCTGGGGTCAAAGTCCCACTAACGAAAGACAGGTGAGCGACCATTTGATTAAAGTCGGTTCACTGGCTCACAAGCATAAAGCGACAATGATCGGGAAGTACACAACCCAACCTGTATTTTCCAGCCTGGCTCATCTCATTGTCAAACGCCACAGACCGAGTACTCATAAAGTCGTGATTCGCAGTGCCCTGGCATCGTGCCACTCGAGACCGCTTCTCGGAAGGACAAAATATGGTCACCCCGTTCAATTTGCCCCCAGCAGCAAGAAGGCGCGAATCCGCGGACCATGCAAGGGAGGTAAAACAGTAGTCGTGGTGAAGAACCCGGGGTTGGTTGACCGATTCTGGGTCGAGGTATCGACAGTTTGGCAAATCATGTCCTGGACCAAAGGTGCGCTGGATTCTAGTCATCAACATCAGTGGGTGGCGCCGTGTCAGGTAGGTAAACACTAACGTGAAATCAGGCATGTTGAGTATGCTCAAGAGAGCTTTGCGACATCGGGAAAAGCGATCGACATTCATCCCCGAAAGGGCAAGATACTTTCCATCTGGCGAGTACTCCATTGCTACGATGCGTAAGCTTTGCCTCACGACAGACGTCAAGTGACCAACCATTCAACTCGTGATCGCCCGCTGACATGACTGAGACAGGGTTGAACGCGATCTTCTCTCCTCTACGCTTGCCTTTCCCCTCTACAGCCCACTCTTCGTTCATCCAACGCATCAGTTCAAGCTCCGGCTTGTTGTTCCTTATGCCTTCCGTCATATCCACCAGACACTCTTGCTGCTGTTGTTTCTTTCGAGCGTCGAAAAACTCTTCCCAAGGACGATTGACAATATTCGAGTCGGGTGCTGGCTCCGGTAAGCTAAGGTCGATCTCGAATATACGGGAGTCGCAGGGGGGATCTTGTTGATCTGTGGGGCCAATGACAGCGAGGACCCGCGTGGGGCAAGATGGATCGCTGTGAAGCGATAACACTGGATGTTCCATATACAGCCCCTGGTCGAGACTGTTAGCCTGATACAGAGGTAAGACACATGTTCCACCACCCACATCCAGTCTGAATTCCTTGCAGGTGCTCAGAACGGGATCTATCCACACGATCATTCCGCTGGCAAGACCGACCAGGATGTCAAGTCTGTCACTGGCGGTAGTAGACTGGATGACCGTATGGCAGAGAGGGGATGAACTGAAGAATATTCTGGCCAGAGGCTCCTACGTTGAACGATGTTCTAGCTGTTCATCCCGCCATCAATCGAGTCACGTACCGGCTGATTACCCGATGTACCAAGCTCAGACCAACTAATATGATGCTTCTGGTTATATACACCCCACATCGCGGTGGTGATCCCGTCCTTGCCAAGTCTGCCCATGTATTTGTTATACCGGGATGTTTTGACAAACCCGGTCACGGCCGAGTCGGTTTTGGACAATCTCATGTCCTGGGATGGGCGCGGAATGTCGTGTATCAGACCGAGCGCGGAGGACGACCGGTCCTCTTCGAGTGAGCACTTCTCCATTTCGGCATTGAAGTCATGCGGCTGGTCCTTTTCGACAATCGAGTCGAGTTCGTCGACGTCTGCACGATCAATCTGGTGGTCTTTATCGCTCATGAAGCTGCTCTTGTTGGTCATTTTGAACCTCCAGCGTTCCTTCTTCTCCTTGACCTCCTCCCTTTCCGCAGTTTCGGGTAAAAGGACTTTGGTCCAGCATACCTGTGCCCCTCCCAGCCTCACGGAAGGAGTGGGGGGGAACGGCACTGAGGTCAATTCTGTGTAGGCGCCCTCAGGTGACGTGAAAGTGTTTTTGTATGAATTGGAAAGGCGCAGCCGAGGGCCCCAATGGTCGGTTGTCTTCTTAGTGAACCTGCTTTTGATACTGTAGGGCATAGTGATAGCCATCCGATCATATCTGAATGCGAGTGACGACTTCACAAGGGGTCCGAGGAAGCCGCAGTCGGAAGAGGAGGCTGTTGAACTATCCTGTGGATGGGGATTGACTGGTTGAACCAACATGGTAGTAGTATACGGAAGATATGAAAACAAAGAGGCAAGATTCTCAATTTGAGTCTGCGGAAAGCGGATATGCCGGGTACTGAGCGCTGAAGGAATGCTTGTTCGTTCCCGCCAACACTTCAGTCAACTTCGCAACGCCTGGTAAATGGGCGCTCGAAGCACATGATCACGTAAATGCGGAACGGGATCAAATACACGGCGCGACTTACTTCGTTCTGTGGTAAACAATTGACTTTGGAAACAGCAACAACGGGAGATATCACCAATCACCTATTTCAGCTGACCGAAGCATGGAGAGAACGAGACAGCAAGTACCCCAAGCAACTCCCAAGGTTGCCTCCAGGGCCAGAGCCATCTTCGGCCCCAAGACTCCCTCCGCAAAGCCCCACCCCCTCAGCTCCCACAATTCCAATACCCACGACGTCCCTGCTCTTCCCCACGGCATTTCTCCCAAAGACGGCATGAGCTCAGTAAAGCTCAAAATCAAGAGTTCCACGACGCCTGAGGCACGGTCGAGGGTGTTGGTGAAACCGATGGGGTCAAAGCTGCCTGGTGCAGGTAGCCGTCCTGTGGCGACACCGTCCATGAAACTGGTCACCAAAACGCCCCAAGCAAGACACGAAGACGTCTTTGAGGACCAGTGGATGAGTGCGCCTGCAGATGCTTCCGATGCTGTCATGCCTGCATATGACGAATATCAGCAGGACCTTGCGGAGACAGAAGCTGTTCAGGTCTCGATCAGGTTGGTGTTCCGCCGCTGGAGGCATATCGCGCTGACATGTTACCGTCATCAGAGTGCGACCAGCGAATGATATGGAACTCAGGACCGACTCGAGATGTGTATGGACCATGCCCGACCATGACCCGCATGTCTTGAAGTTGGCGAAGGGAACAGAAGGCAGTCGTGAAGACCGTGATTGGCTGTTTGGTGAGTGATTTGTATACGTGAGAAGCTTTTGCTCACAATTGTGAAAGATCGTATCCTCCAACCCCACTGCAACAACTCCAACGCATATCATACTTCTGCGAGAACACATGTCCGATGTGAGTATAGCCTACAACGCTAGATACGGCCACTGATGGCTGTGTTTAGCTGCCATGGAAGGGTACAATGCCGTCATCTTTGCATATGGACAAACTGCTTCCGGTAAAACCCACACTCTCACAGGATCTCCATCAGAGCCTGGTATCATCCCTCTGGCCATTTCCGACCTTTTTTCGCAGATTCGGTCCACACCGGATAGAGAGTATCTTCTCCGAGCGTCCTACATTGAACTCTATAATGAGACCATCTTCGATCTTCTTCACCCCAACCACGGGCACGAGCTGCATTTGAGTGAGACCAAGAAGGGTATCACCATCAACGGTCTCACAGAGTCGCCCGTGAGGAACGAGTACGATGTAAGGCAGCTGTTGAGATCAGGAGAGGAAAAGAGGAGAGTCGGCGCTACCGATTGGAATTCTCGAAGTTCCCGAAGTCACTGTGTTTTCAGATTTGTGAGCCCTGAAATTCCTGCTTTGAGGCGTTACTGATATAGCTTTTAGTCTATCGAATCCAGAGCAAGAAGCTCATCGGGCGAAGAGACTCCCAGGACCCCGGGACGCGGCGACAAGACTACTAGGAGCAGTACACTCTCCATCATCGGTGAGTCGTCTCTGCGAGTTGGACCCAGCAATCTCGGACACTGACAGATGATTCTAGATCTTGCCGGTTCCGAGAAGCACACATCATCCAAAGAGAGGAATGCAGAAGGTCGCCATATTAACCAGTCGCTGTTGACTTTGAAGTTGGTGATCTCGAAGCTTGCGGATCTGGCATCAAAGCGCAACGTGACACATATTCCTTACCGTGACAGTAAACTGTAAGCTCAACTTTCCCTATCTTACTCATCGCTCACTCCCCGACAGCACGCGTCTCTTACAAAACTCGCTCTCCGGTGATGCTCTCATATCAGTCATCTGTACCGTCTCCCCCTCAGGACTGAACCTCGCCGAGTCAATATCTACACTGGCATTCGCTCAAGGTCTCAAACGAGTGGTCCTCAAGGCTCAGAAGAAGGAGGTCGTTGATCCTCATGCTTTGATTCAGCAGTACCAAAATGAGATCGCTGAGCTCAAAGCGCAATTGGCGGCCAAGGACGCTGGGGCTGGTACCGTTGGGTCGAAGGCCTCGAAGAATGAGGTGAGTTCCAGGTTTGAAACGAGATGCTGTATGGTTGCTGATAGGATACTCAGAAGGAGAACAACGAGGCTATGGAGAAGAGGCTGAACGAGCTCAAGAGTATGATCTTGACGTCCGTCAATGTGAAATTACCCAACCTCGGCGATCAAGCGATGGTGAGAACACTTTCAAACGACCTCAGGCATAGCTGATACTTGCCCGACAGATGCCTCCTGCTAGTCCGGCCAAGATGAAATACCCAAAACTCGATTACGACCGACCCTCCGCGGAGCTTCAGGAAGAGCTTCATGCCGAGCAGCTTTGTCGAGCTGAGCTGGAAGACGAAGTTGCCCGTCTGAGGGCAGAGCTTGCTACCCGACCACTGGAGCCTAACGCCCATATTGTCCAGCTTCAGAATGAGGTCAGCGAGCTTAAGCTCATTGCTGGTGAGTCTCTCATTGCCCCAGTTAATATAGACATCAGCTGACTGAGCTCAGACGACTACGAGCGCCATCTCCTCGAGCCTTCCCGAAAAGTCCGTGAGGATGTCGAGAAAGAATTCAGGTCGAAGATGAAGACACTCGAGAACCAATTGGACAGCAAGAAGATCTGGGCAAACAGGCTGGACGAGAATGTGCGATTCTTGAGCACTGAAAACAAACAGTTGAAGGCTGTAAGTGGATCAGGCCAGAAGTGTTGATGGCAGCTGATCGTGATGCAGCGATCCGTCGAGGCCGAAGCCAAGGTGTCTCAGATCATCGAGTGGATCAATCTTGCCCTTCTTCCTCCTGGCATGGCCACTGCCTCTAGTGCCGATCAACCACTCGAATCCCTCGTCGTATCTGACGACTTTTCTCCCGTCCCCTCCGTCAACACATCTGCCAAGAACACCTTGACCCTCTCTGCATCCAAGATGCGAGCAACATTCAGTCAGATGGACTTGGCCAATTTCAACGACAAATTTGGCACCCTGACCATGGGCGGCAACGGCGGGAGGGGTTTGGGTAGCGACTTGGTTCGTGAGGAAAGCCATTTTGACTTGGCAGAGGTAGCAAGTGACGACGAGACTTTTTGAGCGGACGTGCTGAAAGTGGGTAATGATGTGTATGGCAAGGCGAGAGCCTCTTGTGTATCTATTTTTCCGTGTGCATCATGTATGTTATTTACGAGCAGTTCTATATGTGCCCGTTTGTCATTATATCCATCTCGAGTTCATGCTATTATAACTGTAATGTCAACAACAGGCGACTGTGCGCTCTGGTAATGTGTGGCCAAGGCCAAATGCTCTAATTACAACCTATACGCCCTGATGCTATACTCTTGCGCATACTTTCGTATTCTCCCCTGGTCTTCTTCCTCTTCTCTCAGCTTTTCTTCCTCCTTCTTGGCCCACTCTTCATCCAACCTCTCCGTCTCTGACACTTCTCTTCTCCCGCTCAAAGGGCCATTACTCGTCAAATTCGAGTTTGAGTTCCAGGAGCCTTGCGCAGAGTATGAGACGGACATGTAATGCGACGCGTAGTACGCGCAGGGGTAGACGGGGAAGCGGATAGGAATCGGGCGGTGGGCCTCGTACACTGGCAACGCGGGTGCTTCGGTCATGACGAACCGCGGTGTCGGGGGTGTTGGCGGGCACTCGTACCCTTGTGGTGCGGGCGGGGATTGGGATGGCGGAGAGGATGATTGAGAGTGGGGCGGGGAATTTCGTGCGGGTGGTGAACGTGACGGCAGTTCTTCAGGCAAGGCTGATGCCGCAGCCACTGGTGGTGTCTCAATCAACCAAGGGCTCTGTGGGAGGAAAAGAGCAGCATCCTCATCGGGGTCGTCCCGATCACTCCCGTCGCCGTTGTCAGAAGACGAGTCGGAGCGAAAAGAGGCGGCGACAAAGATGCTGTGGATCGAAGATGGAAGGATTGGTGGGCGGCAAGGCTCTGCCAATAGTGGAGGCGCGAGGAGCGGATGGGGACGTTGTCGAGTTTCGGCGTCACCCTCGTCGCCTTCTTCTTCGCCACCCTCTTCCTCGCCGCTTTCGTCCCCGTCCTCACCACTTTCCTCCTCGTCACCGCTATCTTCAACATCCGAATCACTCCACTCGTTCAATTCGTCATCACTAAACACGATGTTCTCTTTTCTCGTTTCATCCCTCTCGTCGTCTGCCTCGTCCTCTGAATCCGACTCGGAGGAAGAGGTGAAAAGACCCGACGCAAAGCCGGTGATTCGGATTGTAGTCGAACACTCTCCTTCGTCCTGTCCTTCTCTCTCTTCTTCGAATGCTCCATCCATGAATCGAATCTCATTTTTTGTGGGCGTCTTTTCCGACCAAGAGTCCGACATTTGCACCGACCCAGTTGGATCAGACGTCTCCGAAGGGCTTGAATCGGAGACACAAGAGCTGGCGGGGGAGAGGCACATGGAAGACATGGAGGGGGAAGTCGTTTCAGAGCCGTGGATTGAGTGTCGGGTCTGGTGGCGCAAGTCCATGGTGGCTTTTTCAGCCTTGGGGGTGGCGTCTGGGTCCTGATAGTGGTATGAGTACAAAGATGTTGAACGAATGCAAGTCGCTTACCTCCTCGCATCCACCTTCCTTTGTACCCTGCGCGTACTCTACGCACCGTGAGCGGATCCCGATGCACGAAGCGAGCGCCTGGAAGTGATCGGTCAGAACGCATCCCTTTTCTTTTCCGTCTCCACAACGACTTACCTCATCCAAAGATGCCTTTACGTTGCAATCGTGCTGTTCTCCAATCGCTGAGCTGATCCCCATTTCATCCAGTTCCAGGACACTCAGGCCGTGATCTAACAGTCGCGAGGACATGGGAGCACAATCGTGCGGGCTGATGGATGATGGACCGCGGGTGTCATTCGAAATATAGCCGGTGTCATCCCGTATCGGGGTTTCAAGCTCAAATGGGGCTCTCAAAGGAGTGGGCAGTGATGGGGGTGGCGACTCTCCAGCCTGTTGAGACTGGATGGGCACAGAGCCCGGCTGAAAATCCGACCCGGCACCACGGATGCCGTCCTTGACGCCGCCTGGCAACCGCCGGCTCGAGCCCGCGCCCGACTCGAATTCGACCATGGATCTTCTTGTGAAAACGGTGGGCGAACACATCGCTCTCTGTCCGTCGAGTTGTTTTGTATTATATGGATAGTCCGTCGGGACGTATATCTGGGTTGGGAAAAGTGTAAGCGAGTCGACAAGATCCCATTGTCTTTTTCGACGTACTTTTAGAGCATCCATGGTGGCGGAAAAGTGACTGTACCCGGACAGGCGGATACAGTGTGGGGTGTGCGCGATGCTGTGGCTATGGGCGAGGAGCTTGAAAAGAGGCGGATGAAGAAGACAAGAAGAAGACAAGAAGGACGGCGTGGACGATCTGAATCTGACTCGCGTCGCACGGAAACAAAACGCGCAACAACAAAAGACTCGGTCTTGTCCGGACCGGACTACAGAATGGCCTCGAGCAGGAGGTGATGCATGCTTTCACTATATCTGCTTCTGGGACAGCTCGACGGCCACCTTGAACGCCCCCAGCAGCGCCGTCAACTGCATCTTCTCAGACCCTCCCAGCGACAACCGGTGTCTGCAGCATGACGTCAGTGCCCGCTTATGGTCTTCCGCGTTTCGGCGAGCCTCGAGGTTGTGGCAGAAAGACTTACTCGGTGCTCCCCAGGTGGTCCAGCAGGTATATCCTGCTCTGCTTTGGCAGTTCCACGGTATCCAGGAAATCGTAGGCACCTGCGATGAGATCCTGCAGAGCGAGACCTTTGTCGATCTTGAGCTTTGTGATGGCTGTGTTCTGTCAGCCATGTGCTGGAGCATACTGGCAAGATCGCGTACCATCATATGCACTTCCAAACTCGTCCTGCAGCATGCTCTTCACCACACGCTCAATGTCCTTGGGGTGCGGATTACCGGTACAGTTGTACACGGCAGCCTCGTCGACAATGTCATAAGCAGCATGGCATGCCTGCTCGTGTCAGCACTGGTCGAGTGGGCATGCAAGTGACTCACTTGAAGAACATTGAGAGCACGTCGCATATCACCCCGCGTAAGCTTGAGCAAAGCCGCCTCTCCGTCCTTGGTCATAGTCACACTGTTACCACCATCAGTTTCCGATTTCACGTTCTTTGGTATCCAACTCACCCCTCCTTCGCCACGATCTCATCTACCCTGATCTTCACTTCGCTCTCGGGTAAAGGCGAGAATCTGAAACGCGTACAACGTGACTGAATGGCGGGGGTGATTTTGTTGACATAATTGCAGAGGATACAGAATCGAACGTTCTTGGTGTGCTGCTCGATGACTATGGATGGATCAGCGTTGCTCTCGTGTGGTATAGATTGACGTACCTCGACGAAGCGCCGATTGAGCAGCTTGTGTCATCATATCTGCTTCATCCAGAATGACCAATTTGAATCCCTTCCTATACCTAAAGTCAGTCACAGTCTCGCGACCAGATAGACAAGACGTACGAGAACAAGACCTTGGTCATGGCAAAGTTTTTGATCTGATCACGTACGACGTCGATACCACGGTCATCTGAGGCGTTGAGTTCGAGGATGTGTTTCTTGTATGCTGTTCCGTAGAGTCTTCTGGCCAAAGCGAGAACAGTAGAGGTTTTACCGGTACCTGTGCCTTGTCAGCTCATTCAGATGATAGTATTCATTGACGCACCAGGAGGGCCATAGAGGAGAAGATGGGGTAGACGACCAGCGTCAAGAAACTTCTCAACTACCCCAAGGTCAGCTTCCTCGTCCACACCTTTTAGCCAATCCCTTACTGGTCCCCGTAATGTCCTTGTGCGATACCACATCATCGAGCGATACAGGTCTATATTTCTCCACCCTACCAATTGTCAGCTCCTGTCATTTGACATCACCCGGGATGCTCCACTCACCAAGGCAATCCATCATCGAGTACCGCCGGTTGCGCCGCATCAGTCTCCTTCCCCTTCCCCTTCTTCGCGTTCGCCATCATCGCCTCCATCGCGTTCTTCGGCTTGGGCGCTGGCGGTGGCACCTGCTGGGGTGCGTCTACGTCCATAGGTTCGGCCATGTTGATTTTATAGGGCGAGTAATGTTTGAATGGATGGATGCGACGCGTCGGAAATTGCAACTTGACCTTCGCGTCGATCTTCTGGACGGGATCAAAATGTCGCTCTATCCGTCGAAGTGACTTTTTGAGCTCACTCGTCAGTCCCATATTCACAACCAACCAACATAAAATCAATCATGGACCTCTCATACAATGTCGTTGCTGCCAGTAAGTCTAGGATAATACTTGAAGCGATCAGAAAAGCTGATCCTCCCAGACTGTGCCGAGCAGATGGCTAAGTACCAAGAAGTCGGTTTCATCCTCCCTGACCGAGGCGCAAGACTGACAAAGTATACAGTGTGTATTGAACAATCAGGCTGGTGACTGGAACTCTATATGTCGTCCCGAGGGCCAAGCCCTTGCCGCTTGCGCCGATAATGCGTACGATCCTTGTACTGGGACCGGTCTAGCTCCCATCGCTGACGACCTCCCCTCCAGCGTCCCCCACCTGGCCGAATTGAAAGCGTCTTGCTCCGAACAGATCACGACATACCGACAGTGTCTTGACCGCCACGGTGCCCAATCGGACGAGGTCATTGGCGAAAAGTGTGGTGGGTTGATGAAGAGTCTTTGGGAGTGTACGGAGAAGACTGTGGCGGGGATCGAGGCGAGGGAAGGTGGACCAAAACTGGTGTAGAGAAGACAACAAGGGAGAGCGGGTGAGGGGAAGTCAATGGGAAGGAGAGCATAGTATAATCACAGCATCGCATTCATGTAGCCCATCATCCAGAGCCTTGTTGTAAACAAAGAATAGATTTTCAAACGCGTTTGCTTCCGTTCCCTTCCAGTGCTCGCCCCAGCCCTTGCCCCCCTTCGCCTCAAGCCTAGACCCCCCTTCAAAAAAATAGCTCTTCCTGCCCGTACCGTTTTCGACCCATGCATGCATAGTCGACTCATGTCGAACTCGACGGAGGTTGGACTCAAGGTTCAAGGAACCACCGCGTTTGCTTCCGTTGCCTTCCAGCGCTCGCCCCAACCTTTCCTCCCTTCACCTGTCGCCTCGACGCACTCCAGAAAACCTAAGCCTTCCACCGCATACCGTTCTTTCCCCATGCATGCATAGTACACTCATGTCGAACTCGACGAAGACTTGAAATTAAGGTTCAAGGGTCCACCCATCGCTCATCGCCGCCGCGCATCCTGCTTCTTCTTTTTCCGTTTCTCGCTTTCATCCTCGTTCTTTTCGCGCTCTCACTCTCTCACTTTCCCCAAATCGTATAACTCGGCGCCTGGGAGCCGCTCCTCAGCTGCAAGCCCTACCGTGCGCGAAACTGCCGCCGTTTCATCATCCAAATAGACAAACGAACGCGTTTGCTTCCGTTCCCTTCCAGCGCTCGAACCAGTCCTTGCCTCCCTTCGCCTCAAGCCTAGACCCCCCTTCAAAAAACCTAGCCTTCCTGCCCGTACCGTTTTTCACCCATGCATGCATAGTCGACTCATGTCGAACTGGAAATGAACCTTAAAATAAGGTTCAACGGACGCCATTTGCTTCCGTTGGCTTCTGGCACTCGTCCAAGCCTCTCCTCCCTTCACTTTTTCCCCCCACGCAGTCGAGATAAAATTCGTCTTCCTCCCCATACCCTTCTTTTCCCATGCATGCATAGGCCACTCATGTCGAATCAACGAAAACTTGGATTAGGTTCAATCAAGGGTCCACCCGTCGCTCATCGCCGCCGCGCGTCGTGCCTCTTCTTTTTCCGTTTCTCGCTTTCATCCTCGCTCTTTTCGCGCTCTCACACTCTTGCTTTCCCCAAATCGCATAACTCGGCGCCTGGAAGCCGCTCCTCAGCGGTAAGCCCTACCGTGCGCGAAACTGCCGCCGTTTCATCATCCATCTTCCAGCCCTACGGCCCTCAACGCGACGTTCTCCAGTACTGCCTCGGTCCCCCGAGCATCGTTCCTCTTCTTTTGGCATTTCTCGCTTTCATCGGTGCTCTTTTCGCGCTCTCACTCTCTCACTTTCTCGGCATGGTTCCTCGCTCACCGTTATCTACATGCACTGTATTCAGCTGCAGAGCTCATCATACAATGATCCCTTTCACTCCCCCCACCACGTTCACGCACGTCCAACAACTTCCGATTCCCGACTCTTCCCGACAACCACTCAACGCCGCTATGGTCACCACCCGCATTTCACTCGCCTCTGACTCTCACTTTCCCTTTCAATTTTCGCTCAACTTCCTCCCATCGTTACTATAATGCCGAAATCTGCCCCATCCAAACCCCTTTTGACAACCAAGCCCTACAGCCCACCACAAACGAACGTCAAGAAACGCGGACGTCCTCCAAAGACACACCCCACCAACACCGCTCGATCTGCGCCATTCTCACTACCAAGCTCTACCCCGCACCACAAACAAAGGTCGATAAAAGCCCTACGTGCGCAAAACATTTGCCGTTTCATCAACCATCTTCCTGCCCTACGGCCCTCGGCGCGACGTTCTCCAGTACTTCCTCGGTCCCCCGAGCGTCGTTCCTCTTCTTTTGGCGTTTCTCGCTTTCATCGCTGCTCTTTTCGCTCTCTCTTCGCAACCGATCGTCATCTAGATGCACCGTATCCAGTTGCAGACTGGGGTCACCACCCGCCTTTCCCTCGCCTCTGGCTCTTGATTTCCTTTCAACATCTCAACTTCCGCACATCGCCCATCGTTGCTATCATATTGCTCCATCACTCGCTTGCTCCGAAATCTTCCCTCGAAGATGCCGAAATGTGCCCCATCAAAACCTCTTTTGACTACCGAGCCCTACGGCGCACCACAAACGAGAGTCAACAAAGGCGGACGTCCTCCTAAACCATCCCCCACCAACACTGTTGCCCTTCGGTCTCATCATCGACCTCATTCCCTCATCTGCCCGCCCGCGTCCTATTCATCTGCTGTTCTGTTAATCCTCTCAACCCGTTCACCGCCGCATCTCCTCGCCCGCCCGCACCCGATGTACTCTCCACCACCACCCGTTTTCAAGCACCATAAATCTATGCCATTGAAAGCCCCATTCACCGCCCCAACTGCCCCCACATCCAATACTTACACCCACATCCTTCAATTAGGGTCCCTTCTGTCCCCAGTACCTGGTCCGAAGCCCAACCTGTACACAGGGCAAGAAGGGGGACTCTGCTGCTTTCGACGATGATCAGCCCGTCTTCGTGTCCGCGTCGCCTTCCCTAAAGAGCCTGCAGTCGAATCTTCCTCGGGCCCCACCAAGAAATCCAGAAAGTAGTCGTCTCTGCCTTTGTCTGTTGTACTATATACATCCTTCTCGCCCGTCTGCCAACCTCAGTTGCCTTTCCTGTTCATGTTTCCGCCAGACTCACTTCATGTACTTTCCTGCTGCTATCGGCGGTACGTACAAGTAATTCGCATTTTGTAATCAGTCTAAAAACTTGCCCGCGAGTTGTCGAGCGGGTCTGATACTTGTTACAGATTATTAGATCGTACTGTCATATTCATTCGTTACTAAGTCGTCGTCTATATCGATTCGTCCGTCCGTATGGCCTCATAATAAACAACAAAGACACTAGCCACAGATAATAGAAGATATGTATAGACAGAAAGCGATGTGTGTTGTCTGAGCTAGAAATTGGTAGTACTACATATGGTCCATGTCGATGTATTCCTCCTCATTATCATCCAAATCCAACCCAAACTCTTCAGTCCCATTCTCAGTCTCGCCAACGCTCCCACTTTTGGACACGATCACCTCGTCTCTGGAGAGCAAGTCGCTCTTTGACAATGATCTCCTAAAGCTCCCTAGTGCTCCCCACCACCTACTCGCTGCCTCTGCCACAGCGGTCTCCCCATTCAAATGTATAGCCGGTATGCTCATCATGCTTCCCGCAGGCAGTGACCGTATAGAGCTGGTCGGACTAGGACATGTAGTCGTATCCGACACCATACTCCCCGGCGACGAGCTCAGCTCTCCCTTCCCAGCGCCCACGCTGCTGGCCCGGTGCAGACTCGCTGTCGACTGGCTGTGCATTGAGAGCGGATTTGGGTTCCGTAGTCTGGTGGTCGTAGTACGTCTCTGAGGTCTGGGGGGTGGGAGGAGAGGTTGTAGTGGTGGACCCATAGCGCCTGGGGAACCAGTCCCAGGGGCCGCCGTCTGAAAGAGTACGTTGGGAGATGAATGAGTATGGCGATGGCGCGATGAGAGATGCGATGGGAGCGGCCGTGATGGGCGGATGACGGTATCGGTGCTGTCCATGCTACTCGTGCTCGTCCTGCCACTCAGACTAGACGCAGAGTTGCTGGGGAGTCGCCAGCTGGTATCCAGCTCTGACAGGCTCTTGAGCCTTTCCTGAAGTCTGTTGGACGACCCTAGTCTCCGCCCCCTATCCGGGTCTTCTTCCACATCTAGCTTTGTGGGCGTCTTCTTCTCTGGACTCGGGCTGGCAGGAAAGCTCCAAGTAGCCATGACTGCCACATCCGACACCTCCGCCGAGGCTAGACTATCCACTGACGCCCTGCGACAATGTGACGGGCGTTTGAGACCGCTGACAGAGTCGACATCACGGAACGACTGTGTCCGTGAGGGCCTGGGACGGTGGAATGTCTTTGAAGGAGAGTAGGTGATAGAGGCGGGGGAAGGATGGAGTGGAGGAGGTGGCATGGAAGCGTATTTGCGCGCCTCTGGGGGGGCTGGCTGGGGCGGAGGGACGAGGGATCTGTGGCGACTGTCCTCGCCAGGAGTATGTAGAAGACTCGAGGACGGTGAACTGGAGAGGGAGATGACACTAGAGCCACGGCTCAGCCTGGCGCTTGGTCGGACGATGGGCGAGGGAGGAATGAATACCCGGCCACTGCTCGTCACTGGCCCGCTCGCGCTCACCCCCACATCCTCCGCATCCATATCCTGACCCATCTCGGCCAGTGTTGGGAGGCTCGTCGCGCTTGAAGAGAGCGAGTTTCGCGAGTACTCTTGGAGCGAAGGCCGCGGCCCATAGTCGGTAGACGGCGATAGGGAGATGGTCGACAGAGTTGGGAGGGGCGGGGACTGGGGAGCAGGGAGAGCACTCTGACAGCGCCTGTGCCCTGGACGCATAGGCTTGCCTCCGTCCATTTGGCTGATTGAACGCCTCCTCTCTTCGAGCCCTCCCCCGGGCAGGGGCTGCCACATCGCCCCTAGGTCCAGCGCCGACATGCTCGCAGCGAGTGTTTTTGTCGCCTTTCCTTGGCCTTCCTGAGGCTGGTGGGTAGTAAGAGAGTGTCTGGAAGTTTGATGCCGGAGCCTGGGAAAGGGAGGAGGTGCCAGTGAGGGTTCGTGTGAGGGAGGCGTGGAGACGGCTGTCGTGGTCTTTGATCTCGCGCGATGCAGCGGTTTAGGCTTGGAGGGGTATACGACAGGCGGAGAGGTGTCGATGAAGGAAAAGACCCCCGAGGAGAAGTGGGGTAGGGAGAAGACCATGATAGGTGTTGCTGGATTATGGGGGAGCGATAGAGCACTTTTGATGGGTCTGCTGGGTGGGTGGTTTGAGGCTTGTTGCAAACTTTTTGTGGTTTGTGCAGAGCAAGCAACGAGATACTCAGCGTACTGCGGGGGTCAGCATAGGCTGTGGTGACTCGACAGGCAGCGGAGAGACTGGAAAGGCATTTGGCGCAGGAAATTCAAAGGAGACTCACGTGTCCGGGACATAGTCCGTCTCAGGTGGTTAAAGGATGCGGGGAGGGTGTAGGAGGGGAGAGGAAGAGAGGGGGGCGGATGGGGGAACGATGTTGTAGACAGGAAAGCAAACTGAATGTAAAGTGAGATGCGGTGTCAGGGATATCCTCGTGAAACGCTGATTTTGGCCAGGGGATGTTGAAATGTTGGATGATGTGCCACGCTGCCTCGTTCGGGGGTGCAGGCGCTCGCTGTCTGATGGATGCAGAAGAACGATGAGATGGGACGATTTACGTATCCCACCCTATGCACCGCCCGCCACCCAATTCCCACTCTCCGCCCGCCCGCTCGCAGCTCCCGGCATTTTCCATCTATTTGTTGATCTTCATCTCCTCCCCCGCTTCAAGCCCAGGGATAACCGGCTTGCCTCGTCATGTTCCCCGCGGATATACAAAGCACCCCTCGAGGCCCTCAAATCCCCTCACCACCCTCAGCGACATGTCCCATCTGGCGCGTCCATTGTTTGGTTCTTTCAGGAACTCCCCCAAAGCCCAGCGATCGCCCGGGGATAAGACTCCTCTCTTCTTCGTGCGTCCCGGGACTGGAACCGGGAAGCTTAGGGAAGACTCGGCGTGAGGTGAGGGAACTCTAGCTCTCACAGTGGTAATTGTTAGAGTTCAATAATGGTTTGTTATAGTTCACTCGTGAGTCGTGGCTGTCAACTTTAAGGTGTAGTATGTATGTATGATGTACGTACATATATATGTGGGAGCTGTTGGTGGATGGTCGCTGGCGCTGAAAGCTTTGAGCTTGTGTGTAATTGCAAGTGTACACTTACCACTGTGGCAAGTTTGGAGGGAGGAGAACGTAAAGTCAGCTGCGAGCAAGAAAGAAGTCGCGTTGAAACTCCCACATCACCTTGAGCGTATGACGGCGGTGCTCGACGTTTTCCAAGCGAGCCAGCCCTTCTACTCCATAATCCACCGGTATATGGTATCACTCTGCACATTCGCATACGGTCGTCAAACCCTCAACCTGAAGCATACACGCAAGCTGGACAACAAACTTCAAACTGGACAGGAGACTAGCGCTAGGCCATGGGTTTTTCATATTTTGGGTATGTTTTTGTACAGTACTCGTACTCGCACTTTCCTCGGGTTTCAAAAAGAGACTCTTTCTAGTGGGCAATATAGCGTACTCGGTGGGGACAGCTCCCCTTATCAATTTCCTTCCCATTGCTTTTCATTAACGACTCAGCGGTCCTATGCTCGACGCCTTTACGTGTTGCTATCCCTCGTCCTTACTCCACCATACTGGTGAAAGCTCTCCAGGAGTTTCAGACTATATCCTAGGTCGCCCAGCCGCTGCTTCTCGCGCTGCAATCAAGTGGCATCATACTCCGACACCAGCAGGTCCTCTGCCGTTGCCAAAGGGGATATTAGGCGACTTGGTTGCAATGCGAGAAGCAGGGGCTGGGAGACAGGGGCTATAGTCTGAAGCCCCTGGAGATGATCCACCAGCTGGGGGAAGTAAGGACGAGAGACAGCAACAAGCCCTGTGGTGGGGTTGCATCGAACTCCCACACCAGGTCCTCCGCCGTCGCCAATGGGCCTTTCCTCGCCCACACCAAGATACTTCCTTGGTGCTGCGCAGCTACTCGCTCTTGTTCTCTCTGACTATTTGTAATTCTACAACACGCCAACCTCCACAGGCCTCCCTCGATCGATCTACCATGTTGGTTCTCAACCTGCTTCCCGAACACAGCAAAATGCCTCTCAAACGAGCAGGGACGGCCCGTATTGTGCAGTCGGCTACCACACCACACACAAGTTGGAGTTGAATATACCCCTCGCGTACTCTCTACCAGCAGGGACCCACCCAACTCGGGGTAGAGAGTACGCGAGGGGCATAGAGACTTGTGTGTGGTGCGAAAGAGTACGCCAACCTCCATGTAAGACTGGATAGAAACTCCGCACGCCACCGCTACTGACGACTTGCCCGTGGCCTGGCTGCCTACGGAGTATTCGAGGCCCTCCAGCGGCCCTTAGTAGATAAGGATGTTGCTTGGTCGACTCTGTTGTTGTTATGGACGTTCCTGTGGAGTAGAAGTAGGTCATAGTTATATCTTATCTTCTTATAGCTATCTCTATACTGGTCCATGTACGTGAACGTTACCGTGATATGTAGCCCCATTACAACTCTTCCTTCCTGATACCTCTTCTCGAACATCCACCTCTACCCTGCTTCGGTGGCCGCCGCCATCGGTGCCCCGACAGCGTGCTCTGCCGCGGCAATGAACAACCGGCCAGTTCTTACTCATGTTCTTCCTGTCGCATCCCAACCCATGTCATCTTCAGACGAGTTAGAAGAAATGGGTCCCATCACGCCTGCCATGAAACGCTTTCTCAGCGCCGAGCGCTACGCCGTCATCGGTCGTGTCCTCGATGACCGTTCTCGCTGGGACAACAAGGCAAGTCTGGCAACTATTACATGTCATAGATGCTGATCTCCAGTAGGTCCTTAGGTGGTAAGCTCCGAGATTCTGTCGATTATTTACTCTCTGACCTGGAACGCAGGTACCAAGCGCGCAACTACCCAGTTGCTGCTGTACGACCCGACAAACCGTCCAAGTCCATCGAAGGGCTGGACGTGCTGACTGATCCTGCAAGTATTTCGACATTCCGCCTGACTCCAGCTGACAGCCCACAGCTGTCCATCCCATCCCTCCCCTCTACCTCCGTGTCCATCATCATACACCCGGTCAAGTCGCTCGGCATCCTCCAATCCCTCTTTGCCAATCCCGCCAACGCACCTCACAGTGTATGGTTCCAGCCGGGTGCGGATGATGGCAGTATTTGGAAGTGGGTCAAGGAGAAGGGACTGGAGGCGAAGATTGTGGGACATGGTGCATGTGTACTGAGGGATGGAGACGGCGTATTGGACGCCATCAAGAGCGACGGCAAGGCCAAAATCTGAATGGTATGCAGCAGGTTGTGGAATGTCGAGCAAGCGTGATCGCGCGATCTAATTATAAGGTGGGCCCGAAAAGTGACAGCATCTTTTGAGCTCTGCCTGAACCAACACTACTCTGCTTCCTCCCTGCTAGAATGGACACTTAGCTGAGCCACGGGCTGTTGTAGTATGTCCCGCCGCAATGGAGGTCAACGACATTCAACTGCCGCAATGATCCTTTCTCTCCTCCACCCATGGCGGGACTTGAATGCACCACTGCTGCGGAGTCGTTCAGATCATGGGGGCAGATGGTATATGTACCCCAGACGATCAGAAAATTCCACCGCCCACTTCTCCAACTTGAGAACAGACGCCAAAAAGATCGGAACTAGCCATCTAGCCATGTCCGTCTTCCACCTCCCGACCGACTTCAAAGATGTCATCTCCGAATCTGATCAATCATCTTACCTCCAAAGCCAAGCACACGAAATCATGGCTCTGAGCAGTATACTTGATACAGGTGAGTCTGGCATATCGCCTCGACAGATTGATACGCCCATACTGACTGGGATGACAGATGACGACCAGCAGCCCACTCCTTCCCCGTATCAACTCTACCATAGGCCTCATGTTTTTGGCGACTCCGGCTGGACAGCTGGGAATAGCTCGGCCGACGTTCAAGATAGCACCTCTCCAGAGACTGGGGATCCTGAAGACTCGAAGTGGGGCGAAGGTGGATGGCCGATAGATATATGTCGAAAGGCGGACATGGCAGAGGCTAGGCAGGCGTTTATGGGAGGTGTTAGTGGTATTGCTGCTACATCGCAAAGAGAAACTACTCGGAAATCCACTCTGGTATGTTACGTTGGTTTCCAATGTTGCACGCCCAACTGACATGATTACTCGATAGAGTCCTGAATCACCTCCCTTTTATCCATCTCTCATAGATGCTGTAGAACTTACGCCACAGCTCTCCCAGTATCCTGCTTTGCAGCCATCAAATACCCACCCCACAACAAACCCCACCACCCCCACAGATCCTCCACATCTTTCTCCAACTTCCCACCCCAGTATTCCTGCTCGCAGTCGTCAGAGACCCAAACGTGTCGCATACACATTCACACACGACCCCGTCGCGCCCTTTTCCTTACAAGACTCTCAAGAAGGCTCTGAAAACATCGGATCGAGGGATGCACTGGAAGGCGATATGCGAGCGGATCAATTGAGAGATCATTGGAAAGCTATCAAAGGTGGGAGAATGGGCGCTATGAATAGCCAGCATAGTACGAGGTATGGGCCGAGATTGACGACGTGAGGTTGAGTTTGTGAGGATGAGGATGGGGGTATACACGTGAATGGCGCAAAAGTCTATAGTTTCGTTATTCGAATGCCATAGAAGAAAGAATTTGTGTATGAGCTGCAGGTTACAGGTGGTGTTGTGTCGGGCGGTGCCACAAAGAAATATTTATCTTCATCTATGTACGAGATAGCATGAGGGGCATCACGCATGATGATCAGTGGTTGTGATCGTCACGCTACTAATAGCCTGTGACCTGTGACAAGTGACAAGTGTTTGAGCATGCTGGAAGATGTCTACTCTGTACCCCGTACGTGACCTGTGCTGCGAGCAAAATTATTGATACGGTACCATGGGTCTCCAGTAACGCCTTGTTGATCTTTGATACTCGTACTTGCTGTCAGAGCCTTATTGCTGGCTCACATGATGATAACTGTACATATCGCGAGGTCTCGAGGATAGGATAGCAGGTGGAACCGTGGAAGAGCACAACAACGCGTACTTGCATTGATGAAACGCGTCTCGATGCTGCGAAGATCTGCAGGAGCAGTGACCCGATATAGATAAAGTTAGTTTCAAGCGTACATGTGTAGATGGAAGAGCAGCTGGTAACCATCCTTTCGGGGTAGTATGGCTGGTCTTGCTGGGTCTCGGGAGTTCTTTTGTCTTCTGCAAAGATTGCATGCAGTGTCTGTGGCTGGTACCAAATATCATCGATACAGGTTTGAGTCATCCAAGACAGAAAACGAAAATAGGGCGATAGATGCTGCGTCTAATGGATTCCGACCGACTGGCTATTTCGGTGCGGGTTTACGGGAGGGAGAGCCTAAAAGGCAGACTAGAAAAAGCTACCAAACTTGTCAAGCTTATGCATTCTTCGGTCTATTCTCCCTGTGCCTCCAAGTTCCTCCAGTAGGCACTGAGATGAAACAGCCATTCCATTAGACATGTGGCCTGTGAAAGGCACTTGCCCCTTCGTCCAAAACCAGTCGCGTCTGTCAACGACGTCACTTTCATTAGCGCCGTGAATTTTTTTTCTTTTTTTTCTAATCGATGCTCGATGGCCAGATCCCACTTTTGTCGGAGCCGGAGAGAATTCGGTGACTGACATGCATGTGGCTTGGCTGGATTACCATAGGCATATAAGCCCATCCCCCCAAAAGCTTGTGCCTACGCTGGGTAAGAGCCGAGAACAAAGGCCGCAACGAAGAGCTGCGGTCCCCCCAAAGGTTGGTTGATGCACTTGACGTCACAGCACAATTCTCCCTGTACTCTTCAACTCTTTACGCTGCGTGGTCGGGGCTTTCCTGCGGCCTGGCCGAGAGCATATGCGAAGCGAGCGAGTCTGAGGCCTCTGAGGACTCCAGAGATGACACCCCGAAAGCCCATGTAGCTCCACTCCCCCCGGCCTTCTCTCGCCCTCTGAGGGCAATGACTCATGAGCAACTTTCTGTTCCTCTGCCCTGCCAATCCCTGTACAGCCGAGGCTCTCGAAGATCTGTTGTTCGTGGGCGGGGCGGCGCTCTCCTGCGGCCTACACAAGCATGGTATCGATCTCACCCGTGGACCGATCGATGGCAAGGTGCATTTTATTAGGGAAGCATTAGGCTGGCTCGACATGCTGAGGCAGGCCGTCCATGCGCTGCCGATTAGGAAATTTGCTAATAGTTCCGGGGTGGGCGGCATGGACGATTAGGGAAAGTTGTAGTGCGGCTCGGGGTTCCGGGAGAAGTGACGTTGTGGGCGCTAGTGCGGCGATGGCGGTCTCGAATTCGGTGGAGGTTTCAAACAAGACCTCGAAATACTTTGAGGCGGTGAGCAACAAACATATAAATACCCAGCCCCTCCCTCTGTCCCCCCATCCTCCAAGAGTCCACATCTCCACACTTCGGCACAAAAGTCTTTCAGACACCGACACTCACTCACTACACACTCGGTACCACACCAACACACACACATATCGCCATGTTCACCAAGGTCATCTTCGCCGCCCTCGCTGCCCTCTCTGTCGTCTCTGCCGCCCCCTCTTCCGAGAAGCGAGACCAGTCCACCGGTACCGCCACCTACTACTCTGCCAACGGCGACGGCGCCTGTGGCTGGGCCATCACCGACGACCAAGAGTACGTCCTTCACACCTTATTTGCATTGTTTACTGACCCCCTCTCTAGGGTCGTCGCCGTCAACTCTGACCAGTACGACGCTTCCAAGTGTGGTCAGCAGATCTGGGTCTGGAACGCTGCCACCCAGCGAATCGCCTTCCCCACCGTCGCCGATGAGTGTATGTCAACCCCCTTTCCGCAAGGTCAACAAACATACTGACCCATTCTTCTAGGCCCTACCTGTAGCTCTGGAGACCTCGACATGTCCGGCACTCTCTTTGCCTACCTTGCTGATGGCGACATGGACCAGGGTGAGTCTCTTGCCGGTGTCTTGTAGACGATACTGACGCTGCTGCTAGGTGTCTTTGACATGCGATGGGGTTATTTCTAAACTCCTCCACCCCCCACCATCATTCATCTTCTCTTCCGTTATCCCTTAGTCTTCTATCAGAACGTTTCTGAATGGGCATTTGGTTTCCTATCTATATAGTCTGGCACTAACTATTTATCGGACTTGGGTCCCGTGGGCCACAAACACAACTTTCCGACTCTAGAAGTCATCCGTATCCAATTCACGCTCTTTGTAACGACGTTGATCCGTCCTGTTTAATGCCCATTATGAATATTCTCATGACTAAAGAATGTTATGTTTGTGGTTTGCAGGTTGCACGTGTTTGCAGATGTTCGAGAGGGGACGAATGTTGAGTGATTTTGTCTTGTTGACTCCGCGGCAGGCTTATGTTGGGCTTGCAGTATCCGCTGGGGAGTGTTTCATTCGCTGAGGTGTCTATAGATACATAAACATGCATAGATGCTCGTGAGAAGTGCGCAATATCTTTTGTCGCATTTATTCATGCATCGATCTTCACCGAGTCACACCCTGCCCAAGGCTCAAGCAGCCATCGCACACAACAACTTCCTCTTGTCTGCTGGCTGTGCTACTAGCTGCGTGGTGCATTACTCGTTGGCTCAGGTACTCAGGCTGCATACGTTATACGTAGCACTCTAATAACGACCAGGCTTGAATAGCTAAAGTACTCTGATGTAAGGAGAGGAAGCTGGGCTCCTGCGCGATGATGATAGACTGCTGTTGTTGGATGATTCCAGTGTTGACCAGCAAGTGGCCCTTTCTATTCAGGCTAAGAGACGGGAGGGGCAAAGGAGCGGTCAGCTTCGTGGCGTCGGCAAGAAAAGATTATGCTCATTGTCGCCCTTCTTACTAGCTAGCTAAATCTACAGTCGTCGTCGTCGTAATGATCATCTTTTTGGTATCAGCATCGCAACACCCAATCGCCCCCGCCCCCCGTGAACTGTGACTCGAGGAAGACAAGCCGGAGGAGTAAATCCCTCCTGGTTGTCATTCTATACCAGTAAAGACACTGTCAGACGGCAATGTTCAGTGTCGCCTGCTCGATAATCGAATCGTGTAAGAGGTCTGCACTGCTGGTAGAGTTCAGCGGCTCTTCGTCTGTTCGATCACACAGCCTTATGTTGTCTATCGCTTGCATCTTTGCATCATTATAGAACCTGATACGTTAGGTCTACCGACACTTGACTTTACGTGCTCGAACGATAAGCGTCCGGCGACGAGACGAACGAATGTTGACTGACACTTTTGGTACACATCTCATGAGCAAGAAGCGATATAGAACCTCTCTACTGTGCGCCAGCCAAGCATTACATCAAAGTGACTGAGATGGTCATATGACCAATGCCCACCATAGAGTATATCCTCTTGAAATTTTGAACGGAACCATTTACAAGAGTGATATGCGCTGCTTCTCCAGGCACCTTGAATTAGGAATCAAGAAAGGCGTTGGGTAGGTGCACGATTCGGAAGGCGCGAGCATGCAAGCAAAGCCAGGCCATAATAATTGAATTATTGACTTGATGTACTATTAGAGGCTGTCACTGCTGAACGACGACAGACAAAGATAAAGAGCGTCAATCAGGGTGAAAGTACATGTGCGTCTGTCCTGCCATCACGCCATGCGTCTTATCTCTCTTAGACCATGTGCTCGGGGGCTTCGAAGAAGTACATGCGTGTATCAGTTGTATGCAGTGCACCATGCGCATGGACCACTTGCAGTCTCCTTGGGTCCCAAACTCACGCTCGAGTGAGGAGAGGGCGGCACAAGAGGAGAAGTTGACCGACCGTTGACCGGGGGGCGGGACATGACAGGTACTCGGGGTACTCGGAGCAGCACCCCGCATGCATTCTGCTTCTTCCTGGGGTGGCTACCAACTGACGAGATTGCATCGAGCGAGTCGTGCGAGGTGAGGAGGAGCGTGTAGAGGAGGAGCATGAGGTGAGACGTGTGGTAGTACGACAGTCATCAATTCAGAGTTGTGTTTCGGCGCCTAACTTGCACCGAAATGTATATGGATACTTGGAGCTGGAGCTGGAGTGGGAAGCTTGGCATCTGGAGCGATGGAGAGCAGAGTTCATTGGAGTAGCCGAAGAAGACCGAGTAAATGAATGAATGTACGATATGATCAGCATACTTATGTTACTTCGTGACTCGATGCACAAGCTGTCGTGATATCGGGAGACGGTGGATATTGCTTGCATCTCTTCTTCTGGGCTCTGGGCTTGTCTCGGTCGAGGCTCATGGAAGTGGAGAGTGTCTACACTATGGCTGGTATGACTCTATGAGGGCTCCTCGATCAGCTTTGGCCTTTGAGCCGCTGACGTCGGGGTGTCGATGAATAGAGTCCGGTTGTAACGATCCTAATGAGTGTACCCAGTGGCTCTAATTGAGGACCTCTTAATTATCCAGGCTGCCCACTCGATGCATGTGGCGGTTCTGGCCAGAACATCGCACTCAAACAGAGAACCCCAAATCTCGTACCCGCGGGGCTTCTGAGGTCCGGATCCCAGGTACAATCAGAATTGGGGTGCCAGCCGCGTCTGAAGGACCCCCAAAAAATCCACTTTATCTCAGCTATCTCGAATTCTCGACGCGTTACGCGTCTCGGGTTTCAGCGCTGTCTCCCGCTCCTGCCACCGCCTGTGTCGCCCTGAGTGTCAGATGTGACTCGCCGAGCGACCCGCAGAGGGCACTCTTTTCTCACAGCCCCCCAAGAGCGCTCCACACTCCACCCTGCCGTCATATGCCTCGGAGGCCTCTCTGATGTAACCCCTCCATGCATCGAAGAGAACATTGCTGGTGCGTGCCTGCCATCGAGCGCCATGATCGAGCCCGATCCGAAAGACAATCCCGCCGAAAGCTGATCGCGGCCTTCCGACATTCTGAATTCTTTCTGGGCCTGCGCACCCGTCCCTCTCACAGTTTTTCCGCCTCTTCTCTACTCCTGCGCCCGCTGCGGTTATTGCGGATCCCAGGTTCCACTTTTAAAATTGTCTCTCAGGGACTCACGCTTATGTAACCCCTCGCTATACCCTGAAATCCCACTCAATCTCTCTCCTCACGCCGGCGTTTCGCGCTCTTTCTCCACTTCGCATGCAGGTTTGTAAGATTATCCGAGTGGCCATCTGCCAATCCAAATCCGTTTTCATCCATGCATACAGGGCCTTTGACGCCTCCACATGAGGGGCCAATTTTCGGGGTGGGTCTGTAACCTCGAAATTCTATTATTGTTCCCCGTTCAGCCACTCTAACTGCACAAAAAAAAAAAAACCTCTTCGGGTCTCTGCTCTGTTAACCAATTTCCAGCTTACAGCAGATGTCCATCTGGAACGGTGAATGCATGGAAGTGCTCCAGGCCCATGGACGAGTCTTCCGCCAAGGAATTGTCTTGGGCCTCGAAAAGTTGACATGGCGCCGTTTGTCCTCTCGTCGCTTGTGTGATCTCTGAACGGCATATAAAGACTCTGGTCCAACCCACCTTCCCATCTCTTCTCATCCACCAAAACACCAACCAACTTTCTTCACTCTATTCAAAAAGCAAGCGTCAGCTGCACCAATCAACACACTCACTACATACCACTGCTTTACGCATCACCACATCACCCAACCCACCCACATATCAAAATGTTCGCCAAGCTCTTCGCCGCTCTCTTCGCCGCCTCCGTCGTCCTCGCTGCTCCCATCGAGTCTAACGAGAAGCGAATCATGCACTCTGGCCGGTAAGTCACCTCCCTCCTCTCTTTTCAACATCGGCTGACCTCATCCAGTGCTACCTTCTACACCGTCACCGGTACCGGCTCCGCTTGCGAGTACACCGTCACCGACGAGGACTTCATTGTCGCCCTCAACAAGCCCCAGTACAACCTCCACAACGGTGGCAACTGTGGTCAGTACCTCACCATCACCAACACCGACGTGAGTCTTTTTTCCTTCTCTTTTTTGTCTTGCCCCACTGACTCTTTCTCCAGAACGGTAACACCGAGACCGCCTACGTCGCCGACGAGTGCCCCGAGTGCAAGGACGGTTCCCTCGACATGAGCCCTGCTCTCTTCTCCGCCCTCGCCGACGGTGACTTTGACCTCGGTGTCTTCCCCATCTCTTGGCACTTCCTCAAGAGGGACAACTAAGCGCATCGCATTTTTGCCTTGCCCTCTCTTCCCTCTTCACCCACCTCCAATTCTTGGCTAGTCCAACCCTTATAGTTTTCGTCCCGTAGCTAGTCTACACCCTTTCCATCCTTTCCACAGCTGGTCTTACCATTATAGTAGTCAAGCCCTGGCGCCTTGTTCAACTATCGTCATCACGTATAACGAATAGAATCATATTTTTGGGCGCTCTTGGTTTATTACTCTCTACATTCACTTAATTTTACGATTTACTGTATAATATATACGCCAAACGATGCTTGATGCAGAAATGAGTGTGTATCCTCTACTTTTCTATTTTTGGCGTGAAGAGCGCTGAGGAAAAATTGCAGATACAATCTTTTGGCGAAGAGGAGCAAGATACGCGAGGACCGGACAGACTGGCAGACTGACTCGAGGCAGGCGCACTGAAGAGCGGGTCTCATACACTTTATCGAAACCACACAATCAAGAGCAACAACCAACGACTCCCCCGGCATCATATCCGGTTTACAAGGCTGCGCAAGTGAGGCACCCTGCTGGACTTCTCCCGTGTCAAGCGTGCTGTGAGTCTTCTATGAATGAGGGTCCCGAGTCTTCTGACCATGCTTTGTAGGGAAGTATACGTGCGTGCCAGGCGGCTGACTCGAGGCCGACGGGCATATTTCACTTTCCGGAACCACACAATCAACAACGACGCCGAACGGATCCTTTCCCTGCTTGTTGCCGGACTGCGTAAGTGCTTGCTTCTGTTCTCTGTGCTTGCGCCTTGTCGAGTGCACTTTCGCTCACAGACACTTACAGTGTAAAAAGGAGCGACAGGGTATACATCAAGCGGGCGACGTTCACTTCCCGGGAGCCACACAACAACAACCTCCGGCAGCTTCTTCCCCCGACCCCCGATCCCCATGACATGGCTGCGTAAGTGTGCTTCTGCACTCTTCTGCGCTTCCGTCCGGCGTTAGGGATCTCAATATTTATCCCGGATATGGTGTATGTCTGTTTGTGTAGTATCAACGGAGTCGTACGGCGCACGATCATCTTTCGGGGGGCAGGGTTGACAGACGCCCGAAGGCTGCTGGTGTATGTCATCGTGCGGTATGTACTCAATCTTGCGAGTATTGGATACGAAGAGAGGGAGCTTCACTAACCTGCTTGCATACATGCCAATCGTCGACTCATTTCCTCCATGGTCGCCACTGCGCACCTCGGATCTCCGCGGGTTGCCACTAGTCTTTCGCGAGATCCCATACGAGGCACATTCATTGTTCCAGATATGTGCCTCCATCTCCCGCATCACACCTTCTCCCAGTGCCTCTGCGGCTTCTGCATACAGTTACCTACCGAGACCTGCTTGCCCTGCTCGCCTCGAACTTTTTCCATCTCCACACCCGCGACGCCTCCTACAAATCCGCACTGTCCTGATCCCAGGCCCTCTCGGACTTGCGTCGGTGCGCAGGTATAGGCACCGAAATGACGACTCTTTCTTTCCAGTCCCGGCAATCCGGAAAGCGGGGAGCAGCAAACTCCGGGGGAGGGGGGGGGGGGTCGTTGGGCAGAATTGAGAGTGGAACGGCAAAAGCGGTTGGGTCGGCCGGAAGAGACGCCCCGGCCGTTACAAGTTTTCACGAGAGGAAGAGCCGATTTTTGGAGCACATGGGAGGACCAGGGCGGCATGTGGGTCAATTCTGCCTCAATATCTCCCGTTGTCTTTTACTGCTGTACCTGAGTGACTGCATCTTTCAACAGCAGTGATGCAAGCCGAGCCATCAACGAAAAAGAGGGGCGAGGGGCGCGAGGGGGTATGGAATGAGCCTCGAAATCACTGGACTCGCCACTACGTTCTCCCATTTCTCCCATTACAAGTAGCCTGTCGGACTATTACAAGTAGCATATGGACTATCATAACCCCGGACTAACTTTCCAGAGGCCCAAAGAACGACGAATAACCGTAATCGGCAGAAGCTTTGGTGCCGTACCAGAAAATATTATCGAGCTCCGATCTTCACGACGCGCTTTGACCCTCTTTTTGTCTTAATCTCCACCTATCGCCCCTCGTGTTTCGCGACTGTGCCAGCATTTTTTATTATCTCTCGGGGTAAACTGACGTTCTCCCCATCCTCATAACAGTCGTTTACGTAGGGCCTCGATCTTTTAGCAATCCGATCCACCTGTTGAACAACCCCCGACGAATGATCCCGTCGGCCAGAAGCCAACCCGGTATCTGGTCTTACGGCTGGATCTAGAGCTCCAGGCCCAGCCGTTTAACCTCTCAACATGGGACAACGTCAAGGCCTCAAAAATGATATTTACCGTGGCACCTTTTTCCACAGTCGAGAGCTCTGGTCAAAAAAAGGTATATAAGAGCCTGCTCTGACGGTCAATCCCAATTCATCTCATCTCAACCAACCACCAACCAACCTTCTTTACAACACCTCTGAAAAAAAAGCTAGCTTTAGCTACACCACACTCACTACACACCACTGCTTTACGCAACCACCACAAAAAAACCAACACATATCTAAAATGTTCACCCAGGTCCTTACCGCTCTCTTCGCTGCCTCTGCTGTCCTTTCCGCTCCCGTGGAGTTCGGAAAGCGATCCTCCAACGAGACCATGACTGGTGGCCGGTACGTTCTCTTTTCGACGCGACGCGACGCGACGCGACTTGTACTGACCCTTCATTAGCGCCACTTACTACACCGTCACCGGTACCGGCTCCGCTTGCGAGTTGACCGTCACCGACGAGGACTTCATTGTCGCTCTTAACAAGCCTCAATACACCTCCGTCGACAACCACTACTGTGGCGAGTACGTCACCATCACCAACACCGACGTGAGTCTTTTTTCCTTCTCTTTCTAGTCTTGCCCCGCTGACTCTTTCCCCAGAACGGTAACACCGAGACTGCCTACGTCGCCGACGAGTGCCCCGAGTGCAAGTGGGGTTCCCTCGACATGAGCCCTGCTCTCTTCTCCGCCCTCGCCGACGGCGACTTTGACCTCGGTGTCTTCCCCATCTCTTGGGTCTGGGGCTCCGACAACTCCACCACCTACAACTCTACCTCCAACTCCACCTCTTCCGCCTAAGCGCCTAGTGCCCTATAGCTTGTAGCTCTTCTTCATGGTCTAGATATGCCCAGTGCATGCTAGTCTTGTGTTACTATCTACCGTATACTCCTTGTAAACCTTAAGTACTCTAGTTGGAAGCCTGGCGCCCGACTATAGTTGTCATTCTATAGAAAATCTTTTTGGGTGCTTTGGTCGGAATCGGAAAATCTTATACAGGCTGGTTTGCTTGATGCATATCAATCTGTATTGACATCTCTGCGCGTCTCTTGGTATACTCTGGGGCTCAATATCTCTAGGCTTTTTCGGTCGTAGGCGGTCGGTAGATGGTAGTTTTCCAGTCTCTCAAATGTAGACAGACGGGCTTCAAGCTGGATACATCAGTCTGGGTCCCCTGGGAGCATATCGTGGGCCTAGCTGTGGAAGCCTAGAAGGTCGCCATGCAGATCCTGGACGCGAGGGGTGGTCGACCTCCACTCTTCGCTGGACGCGCTCCTCTCCTGTTACTGCGTGTGCCGACCTTTGTATTCTGCGCCGCTCTCGAGGATGATAGGCTTCTCGAGCTTCGTAAGTACTGCCCGGGTGCGTGGACTGCATGAAACTCACAGGCAGCAGATCCTGCGCAATTACTACTCGGCCATTGGATGGAACGAGGACAACTTGTACAGCTCCTTCACACGCTCCTCGAGTGGTGAGTCGCTGGTGTCAGGTCTGTGTGCATGGCTGACGATGACCAGCTCTGCTGTGAGATGGCTCTCATCTTCTCAGAGAACCCAACTGACTCGTACCCAGAGACTTTCAGATCCCTCAGTCGTTGATACTTCAGCTCACAAACGCCCCGACTCCCGTCTTCTTCACATCCTACGCCCTCGATGCCCTTCCCCAGCTGAACGGGTCATTATCATACATCACCACTTCTGAAGCCTTACGAGAGGTAAGCCCCCATTGCTCATGTATCACTGCGACTGACGGCTGGCAGATCGGACCAGATCGTAAATTGGCATTCAAAGATGTCGTCGAGCGCTTTCGTGTACTCCCTCCGCCCAAACGGCCGCAACCGAAAGATGAAGTCTGGCTAGGTGGCAAGAGGATGGAAGGCAGGGACTACCTCCTCTACTCCCGGTTACATCTACCATCACTACATCTCTCGGGCCTGGCGACGACGAGGTTCGGACCGACACTACAAGCCCATCTCGCATTCCTCTCCCAGCCTGGCCCACCAACACCGACCCGTCCCACATCCCCAAATACGGCTCCCTCACACTCTCGACAACCATCCGAACCGTCTGCCCCCGCAGCACCGCCTACTCCAGGAAACGTGTTTCTTTCATTACAACATGATACCGGTCGGTATTGCGGAGAGTACACGTACTCGGCGCAAGATGGGATGTTTGGCATCAGGCAGCTGTACAACTTTGGCTGGCATGGAGAAGAAGAAGAAGACAAGGTGGAGAAGCGGGTCAAGGATATACGGGAGGGCAAGCGGATTGATGAGGAAGATTGGATGGAAGGTGGGCTGAAGGGCAGGTTCTCTGCCGGGGGCGAAGTGTATTTTTCGGCAAAGCAACGGAGCTTCGGTAGTAAGTCATATTTCGTACATGGGTCCATCCGAAAGCTGACGTTCGATTTAGTATCTACTGGCTTGAAATTCACGACCGTCCCTCCCACATTACCCCTTCCACCCAACGCCCCTGCTCCTTCCCCGCCAACCACATTGACCCTCCTATACAACCCCCTCATCGGTTTCCTCTCCTCAGCATACTCTGCCCAAGTCTCCCCCACGGTCGCTCTTGCCACCCGTTTCGGCGTCAACGTATACTCGTACGAAAGCGATTTCAGCGTCGGCGGCGAATGGTGGATTGGAAGAAGGCGAGGAAAGAGAGGTGCGGAGCATGAGGATGCGTTGGCGCGGATTGCCCAGGCAGGGGATGCGGTTGGGCCTGCTGTCGAGGAGAATAGGGAGCTTGCGCAGCTCATGGCGAAGAAGGCGGCTTTGAAGGATACTACTTTGAGAGAAGAGGTCATCGAAGATGTCGTTGCGGAACAGCAGCTCGATTCGCCTGTCCCCCTTGTGACTGATGCGAACGCTCGCAAGGTCTTGGGACGAGCTGTCCCCCAAACTCAAACACGAGAGCCTGTGGATGATGAGCGAGATGGAGTCCTCAAGGCGAGATTTTCAGGCAACTGGGTGAGTTCTACACGTGTATGCTGTTCTACCTGCTGACTTGAATAGCAAATCGCCTTGTTGTACGAGGCCAGGATCCGAAACTGTCTCGTCTCTGCTGGCATTAATGCTGATCTCACCGGTACCCAGCGCCCAATCAAAAGCGTCGGTCTCGAGGTGCAGTACTTTTCATAACGTCCATGCAGAGACAATTCATAGCAATACAACAACCACAGTATACGCACTGATACTCACGCTACTCGTCGTCGAGACCCACAAATCCCACATCACGCCTAAACCTTCCCAACGTCTTGAAATTGACTGATCGCCCTCCATTGGATTTTTGGCTTTGACTCTTGAGCCCGTATCCTTCTCTCAAGGGCGAACCAGGTCCCGGGCCATACCAAGCTGCCACAATCTCGCTCGTCCACCATTCCTTTTCGAGCTGCTCCACCTGTCTCTTTGTTGGACCTTCCTCCTCACTTTCGCCTTGGCTTTGGACGTCACTCTTTTTGCCACTCGACCGCCGTTTACTTGGAGGGAGGCTGTCGTTTCGGATTCTAGGCATCGGCGGCGAGCCGTTGAAGGGGTTGGTCAGGAAGGATAAGGAAACGACAGATTTTGACCTTGGCATGCCTGGAGGACTTGGGGGTGTTGGGTCTTCATGGGAGATCTTGGGAGATAGAGACGCAGCGCGCTGGTAGAAATGTGTGAGTTCTGTAAGGTGGAGAGGCGATGATATGGGTGTAGCAGCGTACGAGGCGATCACAGAGGTGATGATGTTGAGCAGTCGTTCGAGGCGTTGAGCGGGCGTGTCGTCCTTCTCTGACAAGGCTATCATTTGAGGATGTGATGAGATGGATGGATGATCAGCCAAGGGGAACTTGTGGAGGGTGGCGACAGATATATGTGAAAAGTCAACAAGTGGGTAGCTTATCGAGTAGTTGCTGGAAGGCGTCAGATATGGAATGACATCTACATGTCGATCCTTCGCCGCTCCGGCTCCCTTCCCCTGGCACCTACAGATCGTGCCATCTACATTGTCCTTCCAAGAGGATAGGATAGAATATGCGAATACTGTAACGTTTGAAAGGAAGCCCCTTCCAATCGGAAAGATCCGGGACGGAGACAAGGACGCAACCGGCAAAGCTATATCGCAACGCCGGTGAGGAGTCGAGTGGGTGAGCTTAGGGCAAGAAAGGATGAAAATGGAAGTAACACTTGTACATAGAGGAGCGCAGGGTGACCTTTGTTCGATGGAAGCATCTCTGACCCAGAAAACATTGTGTGTATCGTGCGACGGTGTCACAGGATATGCCCAACGGTGACGTTGTTGTCGCCCAGTCTTCTACAGCGACTACGAGTACCGTGCATGTACTCAAACCAATTGGTAATTGAGCAGCTAATCATGAAAACTTGAGGTACCAAGTCAACAATAGTTGCATGAGATACGTCTGATCATATAGCTCTACAAAAAGATACTTCTGACATTCTTCAACATCATTCCCTTCACACCTAGTGGGTACCCTTGTGCTCGTTTCCAGTGACCTTGTTCTTGATCTGGTTCAAGATACCTCCAGCACCGGCAGAGTCGTTACCGGGGGTGACAAAGTCCTTGGTCTGACGAGTGGCGGACTTGGTGTCGTTCGGCTGGACCTCAGAGCCAATCCTGTAATCCAAAGAGTCAGCCGCCTCGCAGTGTAGACAGCTGTGTGACTTACTGTCCCGCCTTTTGCTGAGCTTGTTCACCAAGACTCTGCTCGCCACTGGGCTTCAAAGCGCTGGTGATGCCTCCAGCGTCTGGGCGGATAGCGTCTTCGGCCTGGTGGTGGGTGCCACTAGTGGCGCTGCAACGGGGTGTCGGTCATTTGAGAAAGATGTGGAGGTAAGGGGCTTACTGCCTGACGTCTTGCTGGACACCCTCCTTGGCCTGGTCGGCGTCAGACTTGAAGACGTTGGGGGTAATGTGCTGCTGGGCTATCGAACGGTGTCAGCTTCATGGTATGTAGACAAGAAACGGTGAAAGACGTACCAGCCTCAGAGTCGCTTTGTCCGAAAACCATGTTGAGTGATAAAGTTGTTGCTGGTAGTAGGTGGAGTAGTTGGATAAGATCCTAGACCTGTTGGTTGATGAAGAAGTCAGTAATTGCTTTTGAAGCTGGCTCTTATATACATTTCAACCCCTTCGTTGACGCTTATTATTGTGTCATCCCTCCATCCACACACATGACGTCGCCAAAGGGGGCTCGATGGCGGTGACGTGAGCTGATCAAAGGAGGTGTTGGAGTAGAATGATATGATGTCTTTGGTGTCTGTGATGGAGTGAGATCTGGAGGAAGGTAACAAGAAAGGAAATCTATCCACGAGATCGTCATCATCATGCGCGACTCGCCCAAGCACACAAAGCGCCATTGACGGTGAAGGGTGACGATTTTATGGGTGTTTCCTGTGTGATTCAAGGTCTGAACGTCATGACAAGTGACCCATGACGGCTTGAAGAGAAGCTTGTATAAAAATATAGGCAAGAAGCCGAGTTTGTCTTCGTCCATACTCATCAGCCGACTCTCCATTCACCAGCTTTTGAACTTATTAGCACCAAACCGAATCAACGACAATGACTCTTGGACAGAGCGACTCCGAAGCTGGTGCGTTGGCATTGTCTCCATCGTTATCTATCCTTGTCCTAGCTGACAACCATGCTGTTTAGCCAAGCAGCACATCAAGCCCGACATCTTCAAGTCTGACGCCGAGAAAGGCAAGGAAGAAGTTCAGCAAGACATCAGGCAGCAAGCACTCCCTTCCCTTCTTCCATGGACCCACACCCTTGCCATATGAGGAGACTGACTGACATGATCCAATAGTGTCACGGGCAACACCCACGGTCACGGGCACGACGCATTCCGCCAGGACACGAGTGGCGTGACGAACGCCCTCAAGCCTAGTGGGAAGCAGAGTTTGGGCGATCAGGCCGAGCAGCTGGTCGACAGGTGCGGACTTTCTACTTCAAACTCGAGTTTGGTGGTGAGCTGATACGGGATAAACAGGGCCCAGGCTGGAGCCCAGCCGAACGACACCAAGTCTGTCACTCAACAAACACGGGATTATGTAACCCCTGGTAACGACTCGGCCGGTGCCGGGGGTATCTTGAACCAGATCAAGAACAAGATTACTGGTAATGAGCATAAGGGGACTCATTGAGCGTGAGAATGATGGAAGAGTATTATGGGAGTGTAGTGACTATGTAGGATTAATTGATGAAATTCGATGTTGGAATTGAATGAGTTTAGACACTCGACACCCAAGGTGCTCTGACCACAAACAACAACCCCATCATCAAGGGGACCCATTGAGCACGAGAATCAAGAGCGATCGACAGAGCGATAATCGTGGTAATTATGATGAAATTCGTGTGGGCTGAAAGTGCTCTATAAATGCTGCATGGTATCAGCGCCCTCCTCTTTGCTTATACTTGCGAGAACTCACCATACGGTTTCCTCTACTCTTCCTCTTCCATCCCAGCCCTGACAGCTTCATCCCAAGCCTCCTTGAACTCTGCCATATTCCGCCCTTCCCCCAGCTCAATCATCTCCAAAGGCATCATACTCGTCTGATACGTCGGCGCATTCCTCGTTACTGACGGGTGTGCTTGTGATTCGATTATGCGCAGAATCGGGAGTATTGGCGTTGTTTCTGGTGAAACTGGGGAGGAAGAGGATGAGGGGGAGATGGCAGCTTGGGCGATGGAGTGGAGTTCTTCGTATGTGAAGAGGAGGGCGTCGGTAGATTGGCGGTAGGGTTGGAAATCTATTATCGTGGCGTCTTCATAATTGGGCGTAAGGTAGAGGTCGATTGTATCTATGCTAGTCATCAGCACAATGTACGTGTGAGATGACAAGATGGGACGTACAGTTGGCGCCGCCTTCATAGTTGTCTCGGATCTCGTCCAGCCAAAACTCTTTGACAGTGTTGACTACCTTGTCCCGGAATTCTTGTGGTTGGAGGTGGTCGTAGAAGTTCATGTCTCTTTGAGACACGCCTTTGCGCAGTGATGAGCAGTTGCTAGCACCACGTTATTGAGGATGGGACCTACCGACAAGCACATTCTCCCTCACGAACGCACGCACCTCCCTCGACGGATTCAGGCTCTCAAACTTTTTCAACACCAGCTCTATCTTTGGCTTTATGCCCAACGCAGGGTCATCAGCATCCAAACCAGAGTGGGCGGTGATGGGGTCGATGTCGTGTGTGACAAAGTCGCTGGATTTGAGGAGGAGGTAGATATCTGACGGGGTGGTGCAGTATAGGGGACCGTAGGATGCTTGGGGCAGTATGAATGCAGCGTCCTTCTTTATTGTTAGTGTTGGATCTTCAGAAGGGTTATGGATGAAGGCTGACCTTGGGGCTGGTCCAATTGAGCTTTGGGAAGGCGGCACCGCCGAATGATTTGATAGCCTCTCGGATGGCCGCGTTCAATTCTGGCAGGCGATAGACGGGGGGTATGGATGAGGAAGAGCTGTTGCTGGCGTTGGAGGACGATCGGGAGCGGGAGGAGGGTTCTTGGGATATGGTAGCTGTCTCTTCGGTGCTATATTGATCACAAGTGAGTTCTCGACATCTTGCAGCTTGCTAGGGTGGCATACCCTTCACTGCCTTCCGGGTAAAAGATCGAATCCGCCTCGAGCCACTGCACACGTGGATCAGCCCTGACTAAAGCCCATATAGCATGACCTTACTCTCAAAAACTCCTCTTGCTCGCCAAGCTCTGCGAGATCGATGATTTGCGCAGGAAAGGTAATGTCGGCGAATGTGTCGTGCCACGAAGACGTACGGGCGGCATCGATATGTTGCAGCGTCAACGTCGGAAACAGCTCGACCTGTTGATTTGTCGGCGCTGGTACTGGCATGTTGTGGCGGTCCAATGGTACATACAGGACTCGATAAAAAGTGTCACAACAATTGTATGATATGTTTCATAGATATGAAACTGATTATGTAAACACGACATTACGCGTATTTGCCGCTGTTTCCTGGTTGTTTTCGTCCGTCAGTCCTCCATCCCATCCCGCGAAAGCGCACAGACCCGTCCCCAGGGTGTGCCGTCAGCGTGTGCAGAAATGGCAGTGCCCCCTCCCCGCGTGGCCATCACCGCCCCCGCCCTGCCCACAGACAGGCCCGTCCCCACCACCAGCCCCTCCCCCGACCCCGCCGTTCCCCCAGGCGGCACCGCTGGCCAGACACTGCGGCCAGATACAGATGCCCTCCAGTGGATACCCCGCAACGGAGCCCGCTCAAAGACTGGGAAAGACAAGGCGGGGTGGGGCAATCTGCCAGTGGAAATATTGCAGTGGGTTCGCTTTCGGATTCCACGACTGGACTGACGATCCTTCTCGTCAGCCGTGTACTGTCCTTCGCAAGAGATGACGTCAGTCTTGATCTGATCCTGGAATCGTTCTATGGCGAGCGTTCAGCGCGCCCGAATGAGATAGCGCTGGCTCTGGTACACCGCGTCTGGTTCTGTCGCATGCGTCTTGTCTCGAGTGGCTGGCGCAGTGCTGGTGCGTAGTATATACTATCCCATGTTTTCACTAACAATATCACAGTCGACTCGCATTCATTCTGGCCCGATTATACCCTCACAATAGATCCCTCCAGACACCATGCCTCAACCATATCCGACCTCTACTCTGCCCGCCTGACCCCCTCCACTCCGACCTTTCCGACCCTCTTCCATCGCGCGCGCAACACTACTCTCTCAAGCTGCCTCGCATGCCGCCTGAATCACCCCTCCAGATTAGGCTACTATCCCGCTGTAGCCAAGCGTATGACATATACGTCTCGATTCGGATTCGCCCCGACCTGCGACAAGCACGCCGGAACGTTTTGCACGAGCTGTCTACGCGAGAGCGAACCACTGGCAGGGCGCAATTCAATGTCAGGGGGAATGATATCATCTACGCCTTCTCCCCGCGAGTATGGTATGAGTTTGATGCTCTCGCCGTGCAACTTGGGCGATGTCGATGAACGCGGGGTGGAACGTTCACCCCGCGCACTCGTCTGTCCTGATTGCCGGCGGCAATCCATCTGGAATCAGATCCACCTCAACCTCGTCTCCTGCGCCCGGGGTACCTATCTCCGAGGCAATCGTGCCCCCTGGCTCTCGAATGAAAAGCTCAAGGATTATGTGGATTTCAATGTCGGTACGGCGTTTGAAATGGGGTATGCGGCGGTAGAGGAGCAGTGGTTGAAAGATAATACACGGTGGGATGAGCTATTTGAAACGGCATTGGCGTTGCAGAACCATGAGAGGGTGTTGAAATTGCAGTTCATGACGACTGCCACAGAGGAGACAAAGTCGCAGAGAGATGAGAGGGTTGCGCGTCTGGCAGAGCTCAGGGGTGAAGACTCGAACGGTCGGGAAACCGAGGAAGATGCGATGGAGATGGAGGCACTGTATCGGTCTTGGTGGAGAGAGATCGAAGAGGAAGAGCTGAGCAGTGACGAAGAGGAAGACGACGAACTGTTGAACGAAAAGGTGAGTCGCTGGTCTCTATGGCTTTTGCTGACTGTGTGTAGTACCGCTTGAAACTCAAGATTGGGTGCATCAACGACTTTGTTTCCGATCGCATCCGCTACGCTTTCTGGGTCCTGCCCTCTGACGAACTTGAAAAGCTTGTATCGGATGATCAATCCCGCAACTCTGATCGTTCCGGCGCGATCCACACTTCCCTCCTCGACATTGCCACCAATTTCACGCACCCTTTCGCCGGTTTCGTCCCCTTTGCGTACCAGCCAAACCACGCATATATCGATACCGTCGGCTTTATGGCGATACAGCCTTTGCCCGCCCCAGACATTGCGAGGCTGGAAGGCCGGGCGGACCCGTTCTACCCACCCGACAGGCTCTTGAGACAGCTAGACTCGGCTTTTACTGAGGTGCTTGCCATACGGACAGGCGGAGCGCTGTATAACGTTGCCCACTTTGTCCGCCGAAGTTGTGCCAGCGACGAAGAGGCGGAACACGAGTGCGAGTCGCTCAAAGTGGAGGATATCCTCTCACGTCTGACTGCGTGGGAAGTCTGGGTACCGAGGGCGCTGGCGGAGGTAGTGCTGGATGCAGAGAGGGACAAGGAGGAGGCCGAGCTTCGCGCAGCTCAGCGGGTCTGGGAGGAAGAATCCGGGCCGGATATAGTGGTGGTGGATGAGTCGAAGGAAGAGGAAAATGGGACGGCTGTGCATGAGCAGATATCGTCGGACGAAAAGTCGTCTTCGTCGTCTGCTACGTTGGGCAAGCGCAAATCGTCTCGCCCGGCGTCGCCACATGACAAACGTCAGCGCGCTTCTCCCACCACACCTCCAGCTCAGATCTCAGCCGACGCGGCATCACTCGAGGTGACGCTCGAACCTAGCCAGGGTCTGAAGAGGAAAGCACCACCTTCGCCCGCCTCTCATCATATAGACAAGAACCGGAAAGAGGTCACCCCGCCACCCGGGCCGACGTTTGAAGTTGAGAAGGATGGCGGGCTTGAAATGAAGCGGACAAGAGTCGAGTCTCTTGCTGCGGGCGACGATAGTTCCGTGGCTGCATCGTCTGCGCCTGTGAGCCCTACGCCGGTAGCGAAAGTCCTCCATGATGTGTCAGAAAGGACGAGCTCGACAGAGACGGTCGGGGATGTGCCGGTGACTCCGCAAGAGAGCTGGGTGCTGGGAGATGGGGAAGGAGAAGCGGTGTTCAAAGACGCCAGTATGGATGATGAAGAAGAGGAGCTTTTTGAAGTGGGACTGGAGGACAAGGCGAGAGCGCCTCTGCAAGCTCGTGCAGACGAGGAGCAATTGGCAGCTGGCCCAGCCACTCCACGTTCCCCTTCTACAATATCCGGCGTTTCGTCCGTCCCTACCGGCTCATCATCCCCGCCTCTCGCTCGCGAACTATCTCCTGTCAGTCACGCAAGAAGTCGGCTTGGCAACTATATGACCCGTGCCGAGTATATTGTGCCATTCATCCCCCTTACCTCAATCCCCATCCAACTCCCCCCGACTCATCCCTTGGTCGGCCACGGTCCCGTATCCCTCCCGATCAACCTCGGGCAAGGTGCAAACAGGGCGCTGTTGGCAGCCTTTTACGAGTCGCGGGCCGACTTGAGAGAGTGTAAATGTAGAATATGTGAGAGGGCGAGAAAGAAGGCATGGGATAACCTGGAGGCTATGAGGCAGCTTGTGGCGAGTGGAGAGATTGGGTGGGAAGCGCTGCTATCCTAGAGAGTCATAGAATCAAGAGAAGTCTATCAGAAGAGTCTACAATCTTGGAAATGTATCATAAGGAGACGGCCTGGTATCTTTGTATAGATTCTCGGGGATGCATAAGCCCTGACATCTTGTACATGTACTCATTTGCTTATATACAACCTTACTATATCGCTCTGTCTATCTATCCATGCCGGAGTTCTACTACACAGAAGCAGTAACCGGGTAGCCAAGGATGTCCTTTGCGTCTTCGTTCTCGACAAAGTACCAAACTACACCGTGGTCAATGGGTTGCTGCTACACGCAAAAACACATTACTCACTCTGGTTAGTGTTCCCGGTGAAACACTGATAAGTCTGAGGGCCGTCGTCACCGTGGTCAACGCACTGATACTCTTCGGTGACAGAAGAGACATTGTCACCCCCGGTAAGGGCGATGCGGTTGTCTTCCGTGTAGAGCCAGCTGTCAAGGGTCAGCAAGTCCCGATCGGCGGCTGGAATCAACTCACGTTTGTTGGAAGAGACCAGGAGAAGACTTTTGAAGCTGCAAAGCATCCGTCATCGTCAGCATAGAAAACTCCAATCACAATATTCACCTACCGTAAGTTTCTCGTTGTTGGTCGTGCCGTCACCGGCATCCAAAGCCAACTGAGGAGTAATGTTGGCAGGCTCCATGATGATACTGCCAATACTTCCAGCGGTGCTGTTGACAGTCCAGGTAGGAGCAGAGTCACAGTCCCCGTAGGTAAGCTCAGTGCCGATGCCCCACTTGCCGCCTGCACCCGTCAGACATTGTCCGTCGGCGTAAGCTTTGATACGCAGGTTGGAACTGCGCTTGGCAATTTGGGATCGAGGCTTCGCTACCGGGGAGGCAAGGGAAGAGAGGGCGAGGAAGGAGAGGATAGAAGCGAGACTGAAGAGCATTATAGCTGGCCGTATGTTGTATTGTAGTATTATTGGAATAGGCTGTATTGATCGAGAGTAGCAACTGAAGGGGATATGAAACTTTGCCTTGGGAACTGGTTCACTTTTATACCTTTTCATGATCACAGCCTCACGGGGTTTGACACGTTGGGTATACCTTTGTCAACGCAAAGGGATGGTATAATTATAGCCCAGTCTTGAGCATTACCCTGGCCCCACAAAGCAGTACAGCCCTCTAAAACGCCTTTATATCGAGTCAAGATCGGGCTCGGATGCGGTCCCAGAGGCGAGAAATGGAACCTGGTGAAACCTCAAACGGCGTGGAAATGTTGGAACCAAACAACACACTAATAGCAATAATGTGGGACCCGTAATAAGTTTTTGCTGAATTGACTGAATTTCGCAAGTCTATCACGGCCCATTAGATTTACCTCTTTGTATGATCCATCGCCTCAAGGCAACCCTCACAAACATCCTCAGACGATCTATACCATTCAGGATGGAACCCACCGAAAGCACCAAGCGCCCCCTCTCCCCCACTCCTCAAAATGAGGCTCCCGAAGCCAAGAGGCCGCACCTCGAAGCCAAGCCCCAGCAGAGCGTCGAAATCGATCCCGAGGAAGCCATGTTCAACGCCGACAACGCTGGAGGTAACACCAAGAACAAGAACAACAACAAGGGCTCGAGGGGAGGGAAGCGTGCGAATACAAAGGTGCAGAAGAAGAGGGATGAGACGCGGGAGAAGAAGAATCTGTCGTCGGATGGACGGGTGCAGCGAGCTTGGGAGCCTAGAGAGGTTAAGGAGGGAGAGACGAAGGAGGTCAAGCTGCCCAAGAAGAGATGTGCTTTGCTTATTGGGTATGTCGTGTGGTTGTCCAGTTGCTTGAGCTGACACTGTCTAGATACTGTGGTACTGGATACCATGGAATGCAAATGTACGTTATCCTCTTTCGGCTCTGAGACATACTCATACGACTCCAGACAAGACCACACGGCACGCACGATCGAAGGCGAGATCTTTGCTGCCCTCGTCAAAGCCGGCGCCGTCTCCTCCGACAACGCCGTCGACGCTCGTAAAGTCGACATTGCCAGAGCCGCCCGTACCGATGCCGGTGTCCACGCCGCCGGCAACGTCATTTCCATCAAGATGATCACCGAACCCCCTCTTCCCGAAGGTTACAAGACCATCGCCGAATACGTCAACACCTTCCTGCCCCCCCAAATCAGGATGTGGGGCTGGGTAAGGACTGTCAAGTCTTTCAACGCCCGAACGGCCGCCGACTCGCGTATATACGAGTACCTCCTGCCCTCTTACTGTCTCTTGCCGCCGAACAAGGATGATCAGCTGGCGCAGAGGCTGAATGAGACAAGTCCCGGGTGGAGGGATGTGGTTGGGGAGGAGGCGTGCGCGTTTGCGGATGCTAGGTTGCCCATGCCTACGAGCGAGGAGGGTGAGGTGGACCCCAAGGTCAGGGGAGAGTTTGAGAGGAAGAGGGGGTATAGGGTGGATGAGAAGACTCTGAACAGGTTCAGGGACATTGTCGCTTTGTACAAGGGAACCCAGTGAGTATTCTTGACTGTGTATGTGCTGTATCCGACGAGCGATAGCAACTTCCACAACTACACCGTGGGCAAGCCTTTCAACGACCGAGCGGTCAAGCGATTCATGATCAAGCTGGAAGTCAAGGACCCCAAGGTCTACGGCGACATCGAGTGGATCTCTGTCCAGATCCACGGCCAGAGTTTCATGCTCCACCAAATCGTAAGTCGCTACACCATATAGCAAGAGCTATACTCACGTTTCCACAGCGAAAGATGATCTCGATGGCAATGCTCGCCTGTCGATCCGGTTCCCCACCTTCCCTCCTCCCCGAAACATTCGGCCCCAAAAAGATCCACATCCCCAAAGCCCCTCCCCTCGGTCTCTTGCTCGAAGCGCCCCAATTCGGCGTTTACAACGACAGGATCGATAAGAAGATGCACGGTATCACCGAAGACAGGGATCCGGTAAACTTTGGGCTGTATGCGGAGGAGATTTATGCTTTCAAGGTCAAGTGGATTTATGAGATGTTGAGGCAGGAGGAATTGGAGAAGAATGTGTAAGTGTTTTGTGTCTGATTGGTACTGTCGCTGATATGGGGGTTAGGTTCCACAAGTGGATGCAGATGATGGACAACATCAGGAACAACACTCTGGGTTACCTCAAGTACGTCTTCAACTCCACACCTGAGAACCCTACTGACTCGTGTCCAGCATCAAGGGTGTCATTCCCGAAGAAGCCACCGCCGAAGCGCTCGATGCCGAGGGCAAACGCAAGAAGGAAGAGGAAGCCGGAGCTACCAAGGATGGAGCTGACGCAAAGTTGGAAGAGGAGATTGAGAGTGATGATGAGGTCGACCAGGAGGCGTTGAAGAGGGGTGATTTGGAGGGTTAGGGCGAGGATATTGCTTTTGGTAAGTTTGCGACCCCTTTCACAGGAAAGGATAGTGGGCTGATGGGGGCAGCTTGTATCATGTATAGCTATTCAGCATCTCATGCAAACACTACAAGGTCTACCATCTCTGTGTTCTGTGTTGCTCCAGGGAACAGGAAATGCCAAAGGAACGTGCCCCACTTGATGATGTCGGCGTTCCGGTCATGCCTGCACGTATGTTTTGAGGGGCTAGGTGGTTTCGCGATATCTCGAGTGGCAGTTTAAGAGCACGAGAGTCACGACCTTGCAAACTCGACTACTACATGACTATTCAATGTCGGCAACGCTGACCACAGTACCAAACCCATCGGCCAGCTCGTGCAAGACTACATCGACCAACTGAGCCGCCTTGACGCCCGGAATGTCGCGGTCGCCAATCGCCTCTCGAGGAAGCACAATCTCATACCCCCTCTCCGACGCCTGGCGAGTCGTAGTGCTCACACAGATATGCGCCATATACCCCACAATGACCACCTTCTTCTTGCCAAACTTGTCGAGCAGCTCTTGCAAGTTGGTGCCCGTAAACGCCCCTGGGTGCTGCTTGCAGACGACAGGCTCGCCAGAAGCAGGCTTGAGCTCGTCAAACTCGTCGGCGAGGCGGGTGCCGGGGGTGAACAAGGGCGCGCCGTCGGGGGTTTGGTGGACGACGTGGATGAGGGGGGCGGAGGATTTGCGGTAGTGCGTGAGGAGGGTGCTGATGGCCTTGCGGGTGGAGGCGACGTCGACGGTGGTCAAGAGGCCTTCGGCGTACCTGGGTGGGTCAGTATGATGTCTTGTAGTGGAAAGGGGGACCCACTCGTTCTGGGCGTCGATGATGACGAGGACACTGTCGTGGGTGGATGCAGTGCTGGGGGAGACTCGGGCAAGTTCTCGGTATGACTTGGCAGACATGGTGCAGTGGTGCTTGCCTGGGTAGATGGAGGCCGGTATATATAGACGACCGCAGCGGAGATCCCGTAGCACACTTCCGGAGTATCCGCTGTGCTAGGGGCGGCGGGCGCCGGGGGTTGTGAGCGGGAGCAAATGGGGCGTGGTGGTGTCAACAAGGGGACTGTCACAAGTATTTCCTGCCCCACTGCAGAATACAGAAGGCGGACGGTGCCACCCCCACGTGCTCATGTCCACCCCAGGACGCCCCTCCTCCGGCATACCCACTCCCGCATCCCGCCGCCCCCGCTCGTCCCTGGGCCCCGGCCACCCCCGCCCCGACGACGACGACGCGATGGACAGGGCCCTCCAAGACGTCCTGCGCACAAGACCCCCGAGCAGTCTCAGAAACCACGACGACGCCCCGTTCGAGTCTTCATCACATCTTTCAGCCTCCTATGGACTCCCTGCTCCGCGCACACCGGGGGTCTCGCGCCAGCGCACGCCTTCAGCGTTGGGCGGGGCGCCAGTGACACCTTCAGCAGCATCTAGAAGCGTGTCTCGTGCGGGGCTTGGGCTTCGATCGTCCCTTGCCAACTCTACCACTGCTCCATTTACACCTCGGCGTACGTCCATGGCGTCTTCGACGACATCCACAACGCCGTTTGCTAGGCGGCCAGAGTCTCGCGCGTCGGAAAGAGACCCGGGCACATCAAAATGGGTGCCTGTGGTGGGAGAGCGAGTGAGGATCAGCAGTATGGGGTACGAGGGGACACTGCGGTTCTACGGAGCGACAGAATTCAAAGAAGGCGTCTGGGCGGGAGTCGAGCTGGAAGGGGGGTTCAAGGGAAAAGGCAAGAATGATGGAAATGTCGGCGGGTGCGTGATCTCCCATTCAACTCGGCTCTTGCTCATGTACTACAGTGTGCAATACTTTTCATGCCCACCGAACTGTGGTATCTTTGTGACAGCAGTCAAACTTTCCCAACCAACAACAGGAGCCTCCCGCCCATCCTCCGTCGCCTCATCCCATCGTTCACAAGCCTCCTACACTTTATCCGGCCGCGCCACTCCCTCCATGTCTGGCCGAGCTACCCCTTCCAGACCTCCATCTGTCACCCCAGGCCGTGTCCCGCGTACCGTCTCATCAGCAGCCCGTTCCCGCCCCAGCATTTCGGGTCATTTAGACGACGATCTCCCCAGCCGGACTGCCCTCGGCAACAGTACCAGCGCCAACACCCTCGACTCTCGTTTCACCGTCGGCTCCCGCGCTAGTAAATACGCAGGCATGACGGCCAAGCAGCTCGACACTGCCCGAGCTGGCTCAGCGTCCAAACTCGGGCAGAGTACGTCGACAGTAACGGGCACGACGCCGAAAGTGTCGCGCATCTCGATGGGTCTCGGCACTCCGGCAAGGGGCCCGAGGCAGAGTGTGAGTAACCTCGTGACGCCACGTGCGCGCGCGCCGAGGTCGAGTGGGCTGCATGATATGCCCCCGCCGCCGAGTCCGGGGAATATCAATAGAGTCCTCACCGCCAGGCAGGTTGAAGCGCTGGAAGAAGAGATTAGGGAACTCAAGCGGAGGAATGGGGAACTGGAGGAGGATCTCAAGCAGGCGCCAGAGTTGAAGGAGGAGAGGGAGGATGATGGGGAAGAGGTGGAGGAGCTGAGAGGGGAGGCGGAAAAGGCCAAAGCGGATGTTGCGTTCTTGAGATCGCAGCTCGAGACGGCAGAGACAAACGCCAATGACGCTGTCCGGATTCTGGAAGAACTCCAAGGCGAGCACACTGCTCAACAAGAAGATATCGACCAAAAAGCCAAAGAGCTGCAAGATCTCAGAAAAGAGCTCAAGCTGGCGGCGGAGAGGGCAGAAGAAGAGCTCTCAGCGGGGATGGAAGCGAAAAAGGAACAAGTGCGCGAGATGCTGGAACGAGCCGAATCTGCAGAGCTCGAATTGTCCGAGATGAAGGCGCTCGTCGATGAGCTTACGAACGCTGGGCAACAGATGATCTCGCTGAACGAGACCAAGCAGTACGAGCTCGAAGAGCGACTGCGCGAGCTGGAAGACAAGAATCGCTCCCTCGACGAAAAGCTCCAGAAAGCCCGAGAAGAGCAAGAAAAGTCTCTCCTCCCGCCGTCGCCTTCCACGCGTCAACGCGAAGCTGCAACAGCTGCGGAAATCGACAATGAAACCCTCAACGCCCAAGTCAAGCATCTCCAAAGCAAGCTCAACCACCTCGAAGAAGAGGTTGACGAGGCCCGGGCGCAGGCAGAGACGGATGCCGAGGCGTGGAAGAACAAGATCAACAGGGTCAAGGAGAGTGAGAAGGCGGTGAGGGAGGAGGGTGGGGTGTTGAGGACGGAGATCAAAGAGTTGAAGGAGCAGGCGAATGGGGCGAGGGGCAAGATTGGAGAGTTGGAGGGGGCGCTCAAGGAGAATCAGGTTGCGCTGGAAGGAGCGCGAGCGGAAATTGAGAGTCTCAGGGTTGAAGCTTCTGTACGTCAGGATCATTTGCTAGCGGGGCTTGGACTGACAGCGTGGATGTGTAGGAGGCTGCGGGTATGCGAGCCGCCTTGCAGTCGGCTTCTGCCAATGAGAAGGCACTTACTGCTGCCCAAGCCGAGGTCGCAGAGCTCAAGAAGACTCTTCAAGCTGCAATCGAGTCTAGCTCCAAGGCTGCTGCCGATGCTGAGGGACAAGTCGGTGACCTCGAGGCAAAGATCGCCTCTCTCGAGGCCGAGATCGAGACTGTAAGTGCTTTGCATTCCCAGATGGCCAAGCTGACCTCCTGTAGCTCAAAAAGACCGCCGAGAGCAACATCTCCAACAACCTCCCCACCCCACCTACAAAACTCTCATCTTCATCCTCTTCCTCCGAAGACACCGAAAAGAAGATTCGCGGCTTCCAGCATATCATCCAAGACTTGTCTGCGGAGAATGCTGATCTCAAGGAGCAGTGTGAGAGCTTGAGAGAAGAAGTTGCGTTGATGAAGGAGGAGGTCAAGTTGCTGGAGGAGACTGCTGGTGACTTGCCGTCGGGTGGTGCTGGTAATCAAAAGGAGTTGTTGGAGGCCAAGACTACCATCAAGGAGGTGAGTATTCCTCGCGACATGGTGATGGTGATGCTGACTCTTTCCAGCTCAATCGAGAAGTCGCCGAACTCGAGACTCTCATTGAGACCAAGATCTACCGAGAAGACGAGCTCGAGACGCGCGTATCCAGTCTCGAACGCGAAGTCGACAGACATCGCAAATCCTCAGCCTCATCCGACCGACCTCCCCATTCCGCTACATCAACACACTTTTCACACGGATCAGATAACAGCCACTCATCGAGTACAGCTACGGGAGGCTCGAACCGAGAGGTGGAGAGGTGCGAGCTGTGCGAGGGGCCGCATGATCTCGATGCTTGTCCTGTCTTTGCTGGGAATGTTACGGGGGAGGAGAAGAAGGGCGGCAAGTGGTGTGAGGACTGTGAAGTGAGTCAACAACGCGGCTACGCCAATCGAATACTGATCTCCTATGACAGAGCTCTGAACACGACACCGTCGAATGTCCCATGGCAGAAGACGTCTTCTAGTCCCGCCGCCTTTGGGGTATCATGTCCCGGATCCATATCCACTCATCTCTAGGGTTGTGTATTTCTCAACGGCTTGCAACGAATACAGCATATCTTTTTCTCTTTTCAGCAATGTAGATTAGGCCGAAACATAGGGTAATATGCATCTTTAGGTACGTTTGACGTCTTGCTTGTAGATGGCCTCTTGTTTGAAGAAGAGTGACGTGGTGGTGTAAACCGTTGGTGCCTTGATGCCAAACAACAGCCACCAGGGTTTTGCCGCTTCGACCTTGTCTTTTGTCCGCATCACATCGCCTTCTTGTCACGGATCGCAATTCTACGCCATGGAACGGCGTGACATCGGCCAACAAATAGCGGATCGGTAGAGTAATTCGGACCAATGGAGTGAGTGCACTCGCCTCTGGGAGATACATCAATTGATCCAGCGGAATCAGAGGATGAAATCAATCTCGAGGATCTTTGCAAAGGCTTGCCTGCAGAGTTCAAGATCTATCTCAGCTACTGCCGAAGCCTCGAGTATGCCGACGAACCAGACTATGCCTATTGCAGAAGACTCTTCCGGGACGTCTTTGTCAGGGAGGGGTGCGAGGAGGATGATGTCTATGACTGGATGTCGGGTTCCTCTCCATCGAACAGGGAATGAATCACACCCAGAGCGAAAGAGTGCAAGATCGAACGATGGAGAGGTGGAATGCAAGAAGACAAGACGAAGAAGAGGAAGAGGAGGTGCTTGACGACGGGGACGTTGCCGATGTTGTACATATTCGAGTAATTGAAAATGACGGTATTGTTCCAAAGGCCCAGCAAGAGTATGAAACTGAGTGGTCAAATCGTCAAAGCAGAAACGTAGGCTGGGATGGTCTTGGAGTCTTGGTTGGAGGACGTGCTGCTATGTATGCTAGTAGCGGCAATGAAGTCGATGCCTTTGGCGTCAGCGAGAAGTCAAAGGGGTACTTGGCCTTCCGAGCTTCTGGCGTCTGGTGTGTCGGGAGACATGGCGTGGGTCTGAAAGAGAGGAAGAAGCGCGTCGCATCGTGTGAGTCACTCAACTTTGTTAGCTCAGACAACTGCCTGAATTCGAGACATTGAGCTATGTCTGTATAGCTGTCCAAGTGCAGCCACTGTTGGGATGTACGGCGGCCCCTGCTCTCACCCTGTCATGTAGTGGTACAAGAGACAAGCATAACGTAGTAGTATGCCATACTGCCCATACATCTTGGCCTATTTGGCCTCTAAATTCTTTGAGGGCGTCCAGGAACCCCGATATCTACATCCTCGTGCCTCGTGCGATCGGGAGATTCCTCAGAAAGACAGACAGACGGAAGGCGTGCAAACAGCATATGTAGAATGTATGTACATAGCAGGGCCACAGCATGCCTTAGTGCCAGTCAGTGCTGCCTACTAACGTCATGTGCCGCACGCAATCAACGGGCAATCAGTCATCGACACGATCAACAATCATGCCGGCATACGCCTGCCGCGAACCAAAGAAAGGTTTCCGTGTGATGCAGCAGGTGACACTTGACAGAGACGGGGGATTTTCGGAAGAGGCAATGGGTTCACGGCGCGGCGAAGAGTGCCGAAAGGGTTAACTGGGAACTTGTCGATAAGAACGGAGACTTCTGCCGACTGGGATCGCATCTCTCGGACAGGACCCGGTCGAGATGAAATACAATCTCCTTTCTGCATCTATATCACCACGCCCCTGGCTCTCAGACACCCCGCCATACCGTCCAGCCATGGCAGACCCCCTGACCTTTGCACAGCAGACAAGCGTCTTCAGCGTCGCAGAGGGGCCCGGTACCAGCGGCGTCAAGCGGGGCAAGACTGGATGTCTCACCTGCAGGCTAAGGAAAAAGGTTGGTCGATCGTGCTCCCAGGAGCGTCTGCTGATATCCTGCAGCGTTGCGATGAAGCAAAGCCAGTATGCCTCAACTGCGACCGCCTGGGCCTCGAGTGCATGGGCTACACCGTCAAACGGCCGGATTTTCTGAAGGAAGAAGAGGAGATAAAGCCCTCGAGGACGGCCAGACTGAGGAAGAAGACCTCGACCAGCAAGTAGCTTCTTCAGGGCATCAACATATTATCGAGCGGCTCCGCTTTGTAGCGCCTGCAGAGCTTACTTCGGAGGCGGTGGTGGTGTCGGCCATCACGGCTTTGTCGTATGTGACCTTTGCGGGGGGTACGGCGCCGCAGTGGAAAGAGTCGCTGGCAGTCATACGGGGATGTCTTGCTTCTAGTCTGGCAGCTTCTTCCAAGCTTGGAGACTTTTCCTTGCAGGCGTGAGTCCATCTTCTCGATAGTCAGGGCAAGAGCTGATATTGTGGTAGTGACTCGCCGAATGTGCCTTGGAAACAGTATCGACCGCTGATAGAGTTCATGATCCGTCTAGACATCATTGGGTCGGTGACGGAGAACAAGCCATCGCGGCTCTTGGATGTCTATCGGGTGCTGCTGAAACCCTCGAAGACGGATCCGACGACCGAGACGCAATGTATACTACCTCATCTTGTAGGATGCGACAACACCACCGTAAGCCCTTTCTCATCTTCTGGAAACTGAGCTGACATACGGCAGCTGCTGGTGATTGCCGAATGCGCCACCCTCTCCCACTGGCGCACCTCTGCCGAAAACGAAGGCCGCCTCCAAGTCGACGAGCTCGTCCGCCGTGGTCAAGATATCGAAGATCTCATGGACCACCGTGATGAACGAGAGGCGTGTCTGGGCGAAGCTGATTCAAAGCTTCCAGAGGGCCAGGCGGATAAGGTGAGGGCCATGAGGGAGGCGTTCTTTTGTGGGGCGAGGGTGCTTTGGGCGACCGTGGTCAATGGGCCTTTCCCTGGAGGTGAGTGGCTTCTGCTTATATTAGCGCCATTGCTGATAATAAACAGTTCCCAAGGTCAGTCTGGCAGTCCAAGAGACTATCACCGCCCTTCAAAGCCTCTTCAATCTGCATGGCAGCACAGACATCAACCGTGTCCTCATCTTTCCCATCACCCTCGCCGGTGCCCATGCCGAAACGCCTTCGCAACAAGCATTCTTCCGAAACATGTTTAGCGACATGTCGGAAACGGATAAAGCGTTTGGGAATAGGTGGGCAGTGCTGCAGATGATGGAGGAAGTGTGGCGGAAGAGGAGGTCGATGGGTAAAGGGGCGAGGGTTGAGTGGAGGGAGATGATGAAGAATATGGGGTGGGATGCGGGTGTGCTGCTCGTATGAGGCAGTGCAAGGTACCCGTGGGCGATGCTGCCACGAATCACATGACAATATAATGATAGGTCATCCGCTCATCAGAGTTTGAACAGTTTGTAGCGATATAGTTGTAATAGTGTGTATCATCATTGTCTATCTATCATTGTTGAATTAGCGACCCTTCAGGATTGTCAGCCAGTATCGTATCCTGGAAGCGAAGAAATGAACGCAAGCTGAGCCACAAGGGGCAAGTCCACGCTCGTCCCTCGTTCGGCGACGAACCTGCAAGATGTAGGTACAAATGCATTATCCAGATCCCAATAATCCCTTCCCCTCCTGATCTTCCAAAGTGATATATTTCTCATAATGACAACAATCCACCCCAATCCCTCAAGCATTCTCCCCGTCTTCCGCTCTTAACCAGAGAATGATCTGACGACCTTGGCGACAATGTGGAGAAAGAAGATGGAGGCGATGAAAGAGATGGAGAGGACGAGGACGACGTAGGGGTCACTGAAGATAGCATGAGCATGCGTTCGGATGTTTCCATGGGCACGTACACCTTGAGGCCAGCCTCTCCAGAGTCGGTATAGAGCTTGAGCATGGTGTTTGAAGAACCACCGGCACCGGCGGAACGAGTTGAAGAGGGTCGGGCAGCAGCAGGGGCTCTTCGTCTGTTCATTTGGAGTGCGTATTGAATCATTGACGAAAGGGCGAGTATCGAAGAAAGAAGACAATCAGCACATCATAATACAAGTACGGCTTGAAATACTTACCGCACAGCGTTAGCACCATGGGGCCTAGATACGGCGAATCCTGAGGCGGCACCGGCAGCTCCGGGGGAAGAAGGTCGCTTGTCGTCAGACTGTTATGCAATTGAATCAGCTCCTTGCTCATCTTTGATATCCTCGGGGTTGGCCGCGGAGCAGTGGTGGTTTCAGACGAGTGGGAAGCTGGACGGATAACGGACCATTATGAGGGAGTATTCGAGTGGATAAGGGGGTTGAGGGGAGGGCCGAGGGTAGGGTCTTTTGGGGAATTGGTCTCTGGTGAAAGTATAGCTGGAATTAAGAGAGGGCTGGATGAAAGAGGAGATGCCAGCGAGCCACCGAAAGCGGCAGTTAGCGCCGCCCCCCCACTTAAGCCTCCACCACAGACGCGTCTACGCGACTTGGCCATCTTTTTGTGCTTTCGTTAGTTGCTCACCAAGACCAATAAAAGATAAAAGCCATGTGGTGAGTGTGCAAATTAGGGTGATAGAATGTGAACTAATGTATCGGATAGTAAACACATCTTGAACGCCCAAGTGGCTATCCGAGCGCCCTGTTGCAAAAAATGGTTTGATGTGCGCTTCCATCTCTCAGCGACTATGCCATGGCCGGAGAGCTCATGATCATCTATAGTGCCCCGAGTGTCACGCCGAGTCTCAGGATCATGAGCTCACGAGGACAATGGAGATGGTCTTCCTCTGTAAAAAGGTGCGCCTATCGTCAAAGACCGCTATGACCTCCAGCTTATCCAAGAAAAGTGCAAGAAGGCGTTCCGAAAGGACATGTCGGAATATGAAGAAGCGGACGAGTTTTGCCCTCATTGCGACAACCAATATGTGATCGAAGCGAAGGAGGCGAAGCCCATGCTCGGTGTTGAGGGTGAAGATGCCCGTATGGACAACAGGTCGGTAAAACCTCTCAAGTCTTCCTCGCCCAAAGCTTACCAGCTGGTAGAATGCTCAAGGACGACAGAGAAAAGGAAAAGCCCGAACGGAGTGTCTTCAACAGCAGAGACGTATCCGATAAGCTCGACACAATGCCCCTCTATCAGCTCAACCCCAAACAGCAGAAGGGAAGATGACACCGCTTCAGGTTACCGCTTGCTTTCTTTGGGCTCTTGGGGGTGGAGCGATACGGATTCTGTAATATGCAAACAGAGTATCGTTGTACAGCATTTGTCCCATTCGCCGGCTATTTGCGATACCACTGACTGCACGCTGACTCGTATAGGACCGTCACGCACCCCCACATCCCTCGCAACACTTTACAGTCTCATTAGGCCCATGTACCAGCAACAAATCGTCACCTGCGTCACTCCACAAGCTGTCGTGCTGCCAAAGCTTGCCGAGGAGAGAGACCACCTTGGCTCTGTCAACTCTGAGCCCGTGCATCTCGAATGACCTGGGATGGCTAGTGCCACTTTCGCTACCACTGGATCAGCCTCTGCCCCCTCCGAACAGACCTGGAACTTACTCTGTCCAATCAGACACTGCGCTTGTAAAACACAACTTGAAGAAATCGATATACCCGTTCGTACAGCATTGGCACGGCATCGCCATACCGGGGCAATTACGACACGATCCATCCTCCGGGTTCAAGTACGGCCCAAAGTAAAACTCGGTATGTCTTGCAGGATAGTAGCGCACGAGCGAGCAGACTGTCGCGTCGTGGATAATGAGCCGCTCGATCTGATCTGCGAGGCCATAGTCGAGGAGAGCTTGCGGGATGATGGAGACTTCTTGGAATTGGAATGCTTTGGGTGCCCACATACAGATGTTGGGAGGGCGGATCTCTCTCAAGACGGCCCTGACGGGGTCGTTCGCGCACCCGGTCTCGTCGCTGCAGATATCCTTGGCAAAGGAATCGTCAAACACCAGCCATTCGACATTCATGAATGCGAGGAACCTCCCGGTAGCAGTGTTGGAGAGAGTGTCGAAAGAGGACAAGTCGGAAAAGGTGGATTGGACATTGACGATAAACTCGGCCAACACTTCAGCAGCCGCGACATCTCTCACCACAATCTTCTTGATCGACCGGCAAAGCAGCACCTTCTTGAACAATGCAACAATCTGATTCTCCTTCCCTTCCGGAAAGACGTCAATCCCGAGATTCAGCAGGTGGACCACAGGGTCAAAGTCGACAAAGCGATGGCACAAGCTGTCTGGCACGTTGGGCATCACCTGGCTCAGCTCTTTCGCACTCAAATGTCCCGCCCGAGGGCACAATGGCCATACCGACCCATCTTCGCTCACAGAGTCGCCAAAGAACTCGGTGGCTTTAGTCCCGTCGACTGTCAACTTTTCGTAGAGGAGGTAGGAGAAGAAGATATTAGTGGATTCGGAGGTGCAGAGGAGGTTGGCAATGTCGTCGCGCGAGGCTTCCGCTATGAAGGTCTTGAAGATGGAGGAAGAGAGATCGGGTGGGAGGCGGTAGCAGAAGCTAGGGATGTTGGGGTGGTCGCCGGACGAGGCAGACGCCTGCGAGTCCTCTTTGGTGTCGCTCATGGTCGCATAGAGTAGAAGGGAAAGGCGGAATGTGAATTTCTGGGCGGAAGGATGGCGGGTAGTGAGCGCGACGCCGAGATGCGTTCGTACTCTCCCCCTGTTCATTCCCATAAAAGCCCTTCCATACTAATACATACGGCAGATAAAGCACTCAAAGACCCCAGAGACTGAAAGATTTCACTCCAATCTAAATCCCGTCAGCCTCTTCACCTCTTCCAAACTATCCCTCTCCGCCTTCTCATACAAATCACAGTAATCTACAATCCCCGCCCCGATATGCTTTTCCAACTCTCCCTGCGCCGACCCATTCCCCTGCCCCGTCAACTGCTCATGCTCCCCCAAATTACTCTGGAAGATCCCAGCCGCCGAAGCCGGCAAGAAATCTTCATACACCATCGGCACATACGTCACCACCCCCGCCTCAATAAGCCCGTCGAGGGACATGCATTCAGGAGGGTTGAAAGGGAGGGGGTTGACTTTGTATCTAAAGTAGGCGAGACGCTGGGTGCGGAGGATGTGCCACGAGTCGGGGAAGGCGGAGAAGATGGAGGAGAGGCGGGATTGCCATTTGTCGTTGTCGTCAGTCGGGGTGAGGCCGCCGGTTTTGGACATGAGGGTTTGGTAGAGTTCGTGGCCTGTATGGATGTCAGTGAAGTACAAGGAAGTATAGAAGGTTATGTACCTTTTGGAGTCAGGGCACATCCTCGGGATTCGATCTCGCCAAACCTTGCTCGATGGGAGCCGCTGCTGATGGCCCCGGGTGATGAACCAGCAAAGTGGATCGGCTCTGTCAATGCCTGGAATGATGTTTGACGAAGGAGGATAGGACAAAGACGTTTAGGCGGGCCTTCGATATACTTTTTCGGTGGAATACTAAAGTACTTGTCAGCCAATATTCTCACAAAAGTGTTGAACTTGCCCTCGCTCAGCCATCATCCTCTGAACCATATCGATATCCAAAACCCTCGGCGTCAAGTGGTTGATATGAGGCCCCTTGAACCCCGCAACATCCGCCAACAACGGGTGCGTCCTCTTCATCCTATCATACACATCCTGCGTCACCAGCGCCGCTTCATGCCATTTGAAGGTCTCCAGCGCCTTCTCCACAAGCTGTTCCTTATCCTCTGGCCTTACGCCCCCTTCTTGCTCTGCTTTGGCGATAAGCACCCTTACTTCAGGGTGGAAGATATCCCTCGCATCGAGTATCTCTTCCACCTGCTCCCGGAGTTCCTCATCGAGGATAAGGTCAGGCCGGAGGAGAGAGGTGAATACGCGGAAAGGATGTTTATCGAGAGAGGCAGGGTCGATAGGGCGGAACGCTGTAGCGTGGACGGGGACGCCGGAGGTGGAAAGGTCGTAGTAACCCACGGGAAACATCCCGAGGAGGCGGAAGAGACGAGCGATCATGGCGAGTTCGCATGGGCGGCCTAGGCGGATAGCACCATGGCGCTCGACTCGGAGGCGGTCTGCAAGAGTCAGCTCGAGATGAGGGTAGGTGATAGATGGCTTACCTCCGACCTCCCAGAGACCAGGAGATGCGGTGGTGACTTTCGAGTTGACCTCGTCGACCAGCTCAACAAGATCACCATAGAGAGGGACCTCTGAGCGGTACATGTTTGAGAGGGCGGTGCAGAAGGCGGCGCGGAGGTCGTCTGGGGGGACGAATTGGGACATGGTGAGTGTCATGGTGGTCAGTGGGTTGCGGGGTGAGTAGAGAGTCAGCGGTTCTTATAGTGGCGTCTCGCTTGGTGGATGCATGGAATTGGAGCGTGACCAGCTACAAGTATGCACCCAGCGCATCTCGAGAATGATAAGCAACAGCAACCGCGCTGCTATATCCGCGGCGGGACCAGATTGCCACAAGCGCTACCATGGATCATCCTGCGACTGCGTGCCATCATCTCTTTCAATCCTCAAGATCACTACTGACTGCCCAATCACCATGTATAACAACCATTCTGACATCAAGAACTCATGCGGGGGCGGAGAGGTTCGGGCGACCAGCTGAGTAGTCGATAAGATCTGCTGGTGTTTGGGTCGGACAATTTCCCCGTTGTATCTTGCCTTGCATCTATCAACATGCGACATGGGAGGTCGGTGACTTGCCCATACCCCGACGACGACTGCCAAATTGCCCCATGTTGCCCCAAACCCCTCAATTTTCGGAAAGAGCCCCAGCTATCGTGCCAATGATCATGATCTCGATATGTATGACTTGATAGCCGGTGTGTCCCTCAAAACCTCTGGTTGATCAAGAAGATTGAGCGATATAACCGACTTCGGCTTTACCTGGGCATGTGCCACACCGTACGCATGTCATGTGTCATGAACCATGGAAGAAGAAGCTAAAGAGGCTGAATGGCATGAATGATTGGGTAGCCGGTATCGATAACGTAGTTGACTCTGAATTGCAGGGGGCGGTTCTCGTAAGTAGCATCGCCATCTTTTGCTAGCGTTGGTTGCTTTTGTACATTACATATGAAAGCAGCAAGTCTAACCAGCAGCCGGCCGATCTCAACTCGGAGGCCTCTGAATAGAGTTGAGGTCACATGTCTGATGTAGCTCCAGCAGCATGTCCCGCGCTTGTCACCTGTCATTCCTTCCGAACGTTCAAGCCCAGCATCGCAAAGAATAAAGAGAGTGAAGAGGCGGATCGGAAATGTGGAGGCCGTGAAGGTTTGATGATCATGGGCCCAAGGAGAAGGAATCCCCCCGGGGAATGGGGCAAACCCGGGGAATGGGGCAAATGGGCATGGGGAATGAGATCTAACGTTTGTTACGCACCCGGCATCGATTATCGATGACGCTGTTTGCCGCTTCATGCTCGGGCTCAGGCTCGAGAGCTTGATTAGAGTACCGAGACAGGTTGTCTAGACTGTATGCATCGCAATTGTAGGGCTCGCAGGACACAAGAGCCCAGAGACGAGTATGTCCAAGGATCAAGGACGATCCATCAAGAGATCCAAGCAAGACGCGGCTTGTATGTAGAAGAGGGGGAGTTAAAACGGATGGAAGGAAAAGAAGAGATCGCTTGCTGTTCCTCTTTGTTTACGCGTGTCGCGTTTATGACACTACGTCTAATTTGCTTTCGGGGAAGATTTCGGGGATGAGGAGGGGTGAGACGAGGATGTGTGGGGTATTGGAGGGGTGCTTTTCGGGATGTCGAATGAGGGGGATACCGTCAGAGAGAGGCAGAGGGGATGGGCATCACTCAACGTGGGTACATAGACCTTTCCTGGAACGACGCCGAAAGGGGCGATCAATTGGGATCGACGGACGGCCCTGGGTGGCGGTGTCCGGATCCGGCAGCATGCATGTCCGCCGGCACCTCTCGGCATGTCTTGGCTCATGTGGCAGGTGGCCAGGTGGGTCTCCCTCTCTGTGCATGCCGAGGAGGGAAGAGGAGGGAGGTGGCAGATGGATGAAGGACATGGTGCATAATAAAAGCGTTCACCAGTTGACCCGGATATAACCTGCCTCATACGGCCGAACCCGGTCATACGCCGATAGCACGGTAGGGCTCATTACGCTATCTTCCCGAAGAATCATTTTTGCAGCATTTGTGCCCGGAACGTGGCGGCAAGGTTTCCCAGGATGCGGCAAAAGATGAAGCCCCGCGCCGCCCCAGTTTTCATGTCACAACAACGTCAACTCCAGCAATTCTTATCATCTCTTTCTTCTCCGCTTTCCCCTCACTGTTCCCCTCAGCCATCCATCCGCCCGGCCACCAGGGCATTCCGCATCCAGCATCCTAGGAAAGAGAAACAGAGCAGAGAGTGAGTACTTTTCGACTGCGTTCCGTTGCCGCTTTTGTCGTCCGGGGCCCTGGCGGTATCTTTGGTCCTGTCGGGTCTGCGCCGTGTATGTCTTTTGTCAGAGGAGAGACGTGTCCGTGGCTCCATGGGGGGTAGCTCGGGGAGGGCTGGTGTATGGATATTGGGTCTTGGGAGAGTTGGCAGCGATACGCACTCCAAGCATGCGGTGCGGCTTCGTCAAAACCGTGCTATCCTCATGCGCAGAGATAACGGTGACCTCAATGCATCGTCCCGCTTCGTCGCCCTGGGGACGCCTATATGGGGCTCTCCACCACCGTGGGCTGCTTCGTGCATGGATATGGTGGAGACGTCGGGGCTGGGTAATGCGTGATAAGGCTTTCAAGGGGTCGTGGCGCCGTAACCGACGTCCCTTATTAAGTCAAACTTTCGTATGCGTCTGCTTCGTTCTTTCTTTCTTCCTCGTTCGTCTCTGTCTCCCCGTCTCTCAGCACCCCATTATCCAGTGCGACGGATTCTCCAGAAGATTGGTGGTATAGGGTGAGGGTTGTCGCCCGTTTTCTCTATTTTTTGCCAGTTACGTTGCCGAATCGCGTCCCCCGCCCCCGGAGTTGCCCCTCTTTGCTCTGCATCATCGACCATCAACCCACAATTTTGTTTTCCATCTTTTCTTTCATCCGCATCCATCCCATCCCCCCGATCCTCGCTGACACGAATCCTTCCAGCCAGCACGATCCGGCATTGCCACCTTCTATCTCTTCCCTCTCCTTCAAAGCAACACTCCTTTGCCCCCGCCTCCGCCTTTTGCGGCCCTCTACCCGCATTCCACCCAGCCGCCTTCTTTCTTATCTATCCATCGACAGATAGATGCCAGATACGCCCCTCACAATGGCCGCTGCTGAAGACGCCTCTGGCGATAATCATCTCAACAACCTCCCCGCCCCTGTGCCCGACCCAGTGACGGGCCGTCTCGACCCCAACGACCCGACCGTCAAGGCCCTCACCGAGGCCGCGTTGAATATGGACAAGAGCAAGATCCCCAGGCCATACAAGTGCCCTTTGTGTGATAGGGCTTTCTACAGATTAGAACACCAGGTGCGCCGGATCATCTGCGGAGGGGAGATAAGGAGGGACGCTGACGCGACAAGCACAGACGAGACATATTCGCACGCATACGGGTGAAAAACCACATGCTTGTACGCATCCGGGCTGTGATAAGCGGTTCTCTAGATCGGACGAGTTGACGAGGCATGCGAGGATCCATCTGCCTACGTCGAATGATTCAAATGGTATCAACAAGGGTAAACACAAGTACCAGGATGATGAGGTGAGTACTCTTGCATTTGATGCTGGTGCGGATGTTGATGGGGATATAGCTTGAGCATCACGATGACCACCGATCCCATCCCATGGGCCACCTCGGCCCATCGTACAATATGGACGTCGACCGCAACGCTTATCCCTACAACCTCCACTCTATCCAAATGTCTGGCCCCAGCGGCGGTATCAGCGACATCTCTGCCCTTGCCGCGGCTGCTTCCGACCAGCTCATCGAGATCGAGCGCCACGAAGCCTTCCGACGCGCCGAGTGGGAGCTGCGTCACAGGCAAATAGCGGGCGCGAGGAAGAGCAACGGCAACAGCCCTGTCGGTACACCTGGGAGCGGGTCTGGAGGCGGGGGTGGCGCGCCGTATGGGTTTTCGAATGAGCGCGAGAGAATGTCGATGAGTGCGGCGCCAAGTGGGGCGAATGGGAATTCGTTGGTGTATCCCGTTTCGGCGCCGCAAGCTGCCACAGGAACGTTGCCGGCTGTACCAGCTGGCTCCCTTGCCGACCCGACGTACCTCGTCCCGCCTTCGTGCTGCCATGAAGAGTGCCACAAGAGCTATCGCAAGCGACTCAAGCTTGCCAAGCAGACTGCGGCTTGCCCCAACTGTTTGACTTTTGCGCACCCGAGTAATACGTTTGGTGGACCTGGTCTTGGTGGAGCTGGGCATGGTGCAGGTGGTGGAGGAGGAGATGGGAGTCATCATTCTAGCAACTCCAACACGCCTCGAGATGGGAGGTCGAACCATAATTCCGCCGAGGACCTCACCAAATTCGCTTCGGGCCAGCAGGGCAACCACTACAGCATGAACCAGCCCCAACCCAACCTTTCGCAAGAGCTCGCTTCCTTGCAGTACCAACACATGCAAGCTCTCCAGCGAGCCCGGCTCGGGCCATACGGCACCCCTGCTTCGTCCGCTTCCCACTCTCGCTCACACTCTCACTCTGCTTCGCCTGCTATGCAGATCCCCAACAATGGCAGCAACAACCACCTCCGGCCTTATACCGTCGATCTCCACTCTCATCGTGGCGGTCTTGCCTCGGCGCACCAATCTGCTGCGCCCAGCCCGTCGTCTAGCGATGATAGCGACGACGAGCACATGGGCGAGCTCATGCCCCATGCGGCTTTCGAGTTTACGCCAGCTACGAGTCCAGTCTTGAGCGGTATGCGTCAGATGTCTTTATGGCAGCAGGGCAAGGCCTTGACAGCGCCCCCTTCGAGAGCTACGAGCCCTGTGCACAACCTCTCGCGTAATCCGTCCAGGCCAGGCTCGCCAGAGGGCCACAGTGCCAACTCTGGCAAACATGGTCATACTTCGCACTCTGCCCGAGACGCCAAGAACCGATCGCACCCTTATACCCACCATTACTCCACCACGCCCAACTCGCCCTACCTCCCCCAGGCAATGAAGACCCGCATGTCTCCTCCGAAACTCAACCACTCTCTTAGCGCTGCGAACCAAAGCGGCGGCGGGGGCAAGAGTGTTCAGGATATATTGAACGCGCCGTCTATCCCGCCACCGCCTAGTGATAGGATGCTGCCGCCTCCGAATGCAAACTCTGGTGCGAATGGGTATACTTCGTCAGCGCCGAGTGTGAACTATTCGTACTCTTCTCAGCCTACCTCTGCGCACCAGAGCCCGTCTACCTCGCGTGCGTCTTCGCCGGTACATGGTCAATCTACAAACAATCAGAACCATATCGCGCACGGCGTCCGCGCCGCATTCGGTATGACTCCGATCATGCAGCAGAGGGAAGCGTCCAAGCAAGCGGGTGGCAGTTTTAGCCCACCACACAAGCTTGCGCCGTTAGGGCTGGCGGGGGATGGGACGAGGTTGCCGAGTATGAGTAGGGGGAGCAGTCCGGTGCACTTTGGGGTTGGAGGGGTGGGGATGGAGTTGGATGGTCAGGCTTGAAGGTGTGCAGGGGCGGTTGTGGCTTGAGACGCCCCTTTGGGTTGCAATTTGACGAGAACGTGGGAGATTAGGAGGATGTCAGGTCAAGAGAGGGGAGGGGAGAAGAGGAGGAAGGGAGGAGATAACAATAATACCACAAAAAAGGATTCTATATACATTTTTTCTTCTTTCACATAGAGATGTTCGGCAAAGATTCTGAAAGTAGACTAGGCCCGTGATACTTTTTCATAGAGAATACGAACATTGATAGAGGGGCTTCATTTACGATGTATCAATTACACCACTTCCATTCATTTGATGCGAAACTTGTCCAGGAAAACAAGACAGTAGGGTCAAGCCTCGTCCCCTGGCAGCTTGACAAATTCTCCAACTTGCGTCCTTTCCTGATCCCAGATACCTTCCGTCCAATAAACATCTCCCTTCAGTCTGTCCCACACTTCTTCAAGACTTTCCATACGGAAGAACATGATGGAGCCTGCCATGGGCTGAGCACCGACAGGGAGGGCTGGGTCGTTATAGAGGGGATGTGATGGGGGAGGCAAAAATCCCCTGCCGAATTCTATACTCGTTCAGCCTCTGTGACATGTCACGTAAATGAACGGAAGTACTTACCGAGTCTGCCAGACTTCTTGTCCTCTTCAGCCCGCTTCAAGTGGGCAGGCCTGGCCTTGAGACGCGTAGCGAGGACATTGGGTCCGACGGTATCGGGGAGGTAGGCGTAGAACAGCCGGGGCTTTAAGAGTAGGCGGGTGGCGTTCATTTCTGGTGTAGGCAAGGGAAGAACGACGTGGAGGGATAGTGATGGAAGAGAGAACGATGAAAGAAAGCAGGATGAAGATGCGAGGGATGGATAGCGCTCCAGGCACAAGCATAACAGCGGAAGCCCGACGGCCGACAGCGTGAAGCAGTGAGAGGCAAGCGATTGGCTGTCTCTTCCAACTCCCATACATGGTTTGTCTATGGGTAGCCTGGTCTTTGGGCCCGTCTTTGGATAGCGTCATCGAGACGACCAAAGAAGGCGAGTTCAACCCCAAAACGACTCTTCAAATCATGGATCAAGTCATCACCCGCATCCAAGCTCTCCACGAACGCCAATGGATCCACCGCGGCATCAAGCCCGACAACTTTTGCATTGGTCCCATCGGGAGCAAGAGCGAGGACATGGTGTACTTGATCGACTTTGATGATGCGTACAAATACATCTCGCCGTATGGGAACCATTCCAGAGACTGGGGGGACAATCAGGGAAACTGGAATTGGACGTCGTTGGCCGTGGATGAAGGGCGGCAGACGATTCGGTGGGATGATATGGAATCCGCTGGTTATATGGCCGTTGTGAGTCTCCTTTACTTTGAAAGCTGAAGATCCCCTGACGGTCCGGATTTAGAACTTTCTCAAGGGGTGGCATGGTGACTCGTCCCGCAACAGTCATTCGACAATGGGGTATAATAAGACATCACCTCAGTAAGAAGTGACGACCCGTAGCTCAAAGCTCTGCAGAGAAGGACACTTCCCTCGACGATCTCTGCAAAGACGTCCCCCAAGAGTTCATCACATACCTCGCCTACTGCCGCTCACTTGAATACACCCAGCAGCCCGACTATGACTATTGCCGCCGGCTTTTCCAACAAGTGTTTGAGAGAGAAGGGTTCAGAGATGATGGAGTGTACGACTGGATGGCCCCGCAGAGTGCTGGCGAATCGGAGAAGCTGATCGGCCAACTTTCCTCCGATGATGTTGAGAACAGCGAGCAGTCTGAAGAGAGCTGTTCGTCGGCTGGTTCGGGTGCTGACACTACTGTTGAACATTCTCTTATCAGCCAGCCTGAGACGACTGAAGCAGGTCCTTCCCAGTGTCTGGGTTTTAAAACTCGCCATGTTATAAGGGATTGACAGCTGTATGTGGTCGCTGTGTCATAGGCGGAGTGGGCGTGAGATGTTGAACGATAATTTCGCGACGAGGATAAGAAAGAAACACAGCTAATAATATATGGGAATGGTGGTTCCTTTTGAGATGCATCATTCATAGTGGCCTGTTCAGTCTCGCATGGTCGCGTCGGTAGCATGTCCGAAACACAATTGGCTTTCGCGATCGTCGTAGCCGCCGCAACAACATGTTTCCGCATCTGCTTCGCCCATTCCGCATATGCCGTCGAATCGTCTTTGTCTCCTCATCATGAAGACTTCTACTTGTCACTGAAGCACTCAAAAGTGATTCCTGCTGAGCGTGCTTCAAGATGGTTAGAAGAAGGATCGGTGCCCGTATAGGAAATAAATATGAGATCAAAGAAGTGATCACCCACCGCGACCACGAAGGTAAGTCATCCTTCTTCCTGGCAGAAACGAGACCTCAACAGCTTGTGCGGAATAGTGAGCGTCTACGTCGCAACAGACATCCAAACGCAGGAAGAGGTTGCTCTCAAGCTCAGCTACGCAGTCGACAGGATCGAACTCGAAGCCAACTTTTACGAAGATTCAATTCAAGACCTGGAAGGATTCCCGCGAAAGAAGTGGTTCTGGAAAGTGAAACATTGTGGCTATGGTGCTCTTGCCCTCGACCGCTTGGGCCCCACTCTGGACAATCTCATGAAAGAATCCAAATTCGGCCTCAAGACGACGCTTCAAGTGATGGATCAAGTCATCACCCGCATCCAAACTCTACACGAACGACACATTGTCCACCGGGGCATCAAGCCCGACAACTTTTGCATCGGGCCTCGAGGTAGCAAGACAGAAAGCAAGGTTTATATGATCGACTTTGATATGTCAAAAGCATATGTCACCTCGGATGGTTCTCACATAGAAGACGAGGATGAGTGTGGCGGGAACAGGTACTGGACCTCGCTAGCTGTAGATGAGGGATATGAAGGCGTCAGGCGGGATGATATGGAGTCTGCTGGTTATCTGGCTGTTGTAGGGCTTTCTCGTCTGTGGCGATCTGCTCCAGCTGACAGCTTGGATGCAGTACCTCCTTCAGGGCTACCTGCCCTGGTTCACTGAATACAACAACTCTGGTGTATCCACAAGGCGTTGCAGTAAGTTTAACAAATCACTTTTCCGATGATACATCTTGACCAGTGTATCTTGCTCATACACTTTTCAGAAGCAGAAACAACCCTGGTAGAGCTCTGCACGGACCTCCCCGAGGAGCTGAGCACATATCTCACCTACTGCCAATCACTCGACTTCAAACAACAGCCCGATTACGACTATTGCCGAGGACTGTTCCGGAAAGTGTTTGAGAGAGAGGGTTTCAGAGATGATGGGGTATATGATTGGGTCGCTCCTGAGTCTGTCGTCGAACAGCCTGAGAGTTTGGAGGACCAGCAATCCTCTGGTGATTCTCAGACCAGCGATCAGTCTGAAGAAGAATGTTCCTCTGTGCCGCCATCATGCGATGACAATACTGTTGAACAGGCTCTTGCTAGCCATCTCAAGACGACCGAGGCATGTCCGGTTGAGCATATGGATATGCAGTTGCGCCAGATCTTGAAGATTAGAACATAGCTGTAGCTGCGGTATGTAAAGAGTTTATGCAGCGTACGTATATCCACAACCTGATGGTGTGTCTTTGGACTAGTATAGTCTCGAGCGAGAGTATCCGACTTGGGATATGCGGGCTTACGTTCTTCCAAACAGATATGTAGATCTCATACGTGGATATCGCCTGACTGCCTGGCCCGGTACATGTCAAGTCAAATCTAGCGATGTCGTCGTCGACCATCCCATAGCCCACAACAGGTTTCCGCATCTTCTGGCCCCGCTCGATTCCGTCTCTTATATCTTTTTCTTTTTGACGATCATCATTCAACACTTCTCCCCGCTGAAAGCACTTCCTCATGTACGCAAGGAAAGATATTGGTGAAGTCATAGGGGGGAGATACGAGATCAAAGAAGTGATCACTCACCGTGACTGCGAGGGTGAGCTATCCTTCTTCCTCTTCTTGGCCGTCGGAACGGATTCTCATTGGTTTGCGCGGAATAGTGAGCGTCTACGTTGCCACAGACATCCAAACCCAGGAAGAGGTCGCTCTCAAACTCAACACAGCGGTCCACAGAGTCCAACGCGAAACCAAGTTCTACGACGATTCAATCCGAGACCTGGAGGGGTTTCCGAGCAAGAGGTGGTCTTGGGAGCACGATTACTATTGTTTCGGCGCTATTGCTCTTGACCGTCTGGGACCGTCTTTGGATACTCTCATCAAAGAGGTGGAAGAAAGCAAGTTTAGCCTCAAGACGACTCTTCAAATCATGGATCAAGTCATTACCCGCATTCAAGCTTTACATGAACGACACATTGTGCACCGTGGTATCAAACCCGACAACTTCTGCATTGGCCTTAAAGGAAGCGAGACAGAGAATAAGGTGTATATGATCGACTTTGACGCCTCTAAAAAGTACATCATGGACGGAGTCCACATACGGAACTATGGGGACAACGACGTGGGCAACCGATTCTGGACGTCCCTGGCCATTGACGAAGGATCCAAGCCTGTGAGGCGAGATGATATGGAATCCGCTGGTTTCCTGGCCATCGTGAGTCTATCTCGCTTGTAAAAAGCTGTTTGAACTGACAGCTTGGATGTAGTACCTTCTCAAGGGCAAATTGCCCTGGTTATGCGAATACAGATCAAGCGCAGTAATGCGTGGCAGTACGTTGATCGCTTTGCCCAAAAGGATCAGCAGGCTGATATCTTTCTCAGAAGCGATCACTGCTCTGCAAGAGCTGTGCAAAGACCTCCCAGAGGAGATTATCACATACATCACTTACTGTCGATCACTTCAATTTGCCCAAGAGCCCGATTATGGCTATTGCCGTGAGCTTTTTCGCCAGGTGTTCGAGAGGGAAGGGTTCAACGATGATGGGCTGTGTGATTGGAGTACCCCTCAGCTTGTCGCCGAGTCCGACAGCATGGAAATCGCACATGGCTCCGATGATGATCTCCCCAGCAGCAATCACTCCGAGGAGGACAGCTCCGCTACCCCGTTCGATGACGATACTGTTGATGAGCAGACTCTTGTTACTGACCACACCGAGACGACCGAGGCATGTTCTGCTCAGTACCTTAATCTGCGAACCCGCCAGGTTCTCAGACTTTAAAAAGGCTACCGTAGATGCATGTATCTAGCTGTTGATCGATCACTCTCCCAGCTGCATACAATCAGCTTGCCGTGAGAGGGCATCATGAGTGATAAATCAGAAAAGCCAATTCGGGTTGGCTTCTGTCGCTGTAGGCCTTCGGGCTCCTGAGCGTAGAGCCTTTCACCCAGAGTTCAGCAGAAGCCACAGTCATCGCACAACCCACGTGCTACGCCCTTGTGTCACTGAATTGCTAGGTGTTCCTTTGATACATCGAATACGCTCTATATTGCTTTTTTATCTTACCACTTATACAACGAAGACCGATCAGAACTCAACAATGAACCCAGACCCAAACATCTCTCAACAGTCAACAAGAAATGGGAAGCAAATCAAACAGGCAACAGCACCTTGACCCCAAAGAACTCTCTCACACTATGTTTCTTCCCATTGATCTCCACCTCCTTCTGCGGCACCGTCGTGTCCCTCATCGACGCAATCTGCGCTTCTCGCCATTGTTTGTTGGTGGGGACGGAGATGCCGGAAGCCATGACGGTTTGGAATTCCTTGAATACGCCTTGAGAGGATACACAGCCTTCGCGTTTGAGGAGTGGTGACTCTGCGGTGTTGTCAGCTTCTGAGAGAGGGGTAAGGAAGGAGGAGAGGAACGTACCCATACAAGGCGTCATACGCAAGTGACCCATGGAAGCGTTGAAGAGCACGAGGGAGAGACGTTCTTCCTCCAGTTGGTCGGAGGGAGGCTCGAATACCCTGTGTCGGGTAGCCTTGAAATGACCTCCAGACAAGACTGTGAAGAGTCAGCTTTTGTGTCGAGTAAGATGGGTAAAGATGGAGGTGAGAGGATAGAGGGGATGGACGTACTCTCAAGGGTCTCGCCGATGTTGATTACGAGCGCTCCAGGCTCATACTTGACGTAATGCCACTTTTCATCCCTACCCCAGATCTGGAGACAAGAGATCGGCACAGAGAAAAGCTGGGTTGTGGTTCCGTAATCCCTACGACAAATCGTCAGACAGAGCAAGAGAGGACATGATGAGAAGGACGTACGTGTGACCGTTCATACGCAGACCGCCACTGAGCTCCCGTGTCTCTTTGGGAGGAGGTCGGAAGAGGGCATGACGGAAGTAGCCTTCGGCGACGGGGCCGCCTTGGGACTGGACGTTGTTCCAGAGGTAGTCGTCGGGGAGCTCGAGTACCTTGGAAAGGAGCGTCAAAAGGCGGCGGTTCACTTGTTTGGTCAAGTACTACCATTCCCATCAGCTCTGGCCTCCAAGGAAAGATGGAGAGGAGACGTACCTCGCAGAAAGCGGCGATCTCATCCATGAAAGGCAAGGCGCATTCGGGGACTTTGTTGGGGTCTTCGAATTCGGGGGTGTAGAAGTTGAATTGGGAAATACCGTCCGGGCGGGCTCTCTCACGCTGAGTCGTAGGTCAGCTCCCATATTCAAGATAAGGATACCGAAGAAGGACACACCTTCCAGCCGTAGGGCGCCTTGTAGCCTTCAAACAGACCGGTCTCGGGATCCCAGAGCAGCTTGGCCTTGTCTGCCTCGGAGATGTTGGCGTGGATGTATTGAGCGATGGAGAACTGGCGCATCAACTGAGAAGCCCGTAAGTATCTGGTCTATTGTCAAGAAGAGATTTCTCACCTGGTCGTATGAGACGCCATAGTTCTTGAGATACAAGAACCCGTCTTCCTTGATGGCCACTTTGGCAAGCTCGACAAGGTCTTGCACGACCTTGGGGTCGGGGGAGTCAAGGAGGGAGAGCTCAATGGTGTGGAGCTGGGCCCAGTCTTGCTCTGTCTTGGTAACAGGGGGAGGGATCCAGTCGGGGACGAAGGGCTTGCCTTGGGTGGAGGGTGGCTGGTAGGACATTGTGAAGTATGGAGGGTGATGGAGTGGCGGGAGGATATGGGTGGGGGCATTCGCGATGGCCATATATAGTTGCTGGGATGGGAAAATGCTGTCGGGATGCCGGGATCACGGGGTGGCGGGGCGATAAGATCTACCAGTGACCCGTATCGTTATCGGGAATCCGGGGGAATCCGACAGCGAGGTCATGCTGCAAGCTGTGGGTGGCTCAGCGTGCTGTAATCGTGCGCGATGCTCTCAGGCAGCATCCCTCAACCAGCTCTCGTGTATAATTGCCATGCATACATGGAGCGTATTCTCACACAAACAAACAACGTCCAATAGAGCCCCCCAGGCACTCGGTTGGCCGCCGGTTCTCCGCCCAGAACTAGCTGGAATCGAACACGGGTGCTCGGGATCTAACGAGGATTCTTATCTCCCTTATCTGTATCATATTATTACCGAGCCACCTCTATAAGAACACAGCGAATCACCACCGACCCATGTCACCCATCCACCATGTCCCGCACCCCAGAAGAGAAGCAGGAGCCAGAAAAGATCGCAGTCGTCGACGTCGCCGTGGACGACGATGTAGAGCTCGGCGGCGAACCCGAGATTGACCATGTAGCAGAGCGCAAGCTGCTAAGAAAGATCGACTGGAATCTCATCCCGGTATTTGGGGCTTTGTACATGATGTCTTTCCTGGGTGAGTCGAGTACCATGAGTATGTGCCGCCTGCTAACTTGCCACAGATCGGTCCAACCTCGGTAACGCCGTACGTGGCCACGTCAGATCAAATAAGTGTCAAGCTGATCGAGTACAAGGGACTCACAAGCTTTTCCGACGACCTTGGCTTGGTCGGGAATCAATACGGTGCTGCCGTTTCGGTAGTCTACTCGACGTATGTCGTGTTTGAGCCTTTCTGTAAGTGACCCTACGCTTTTACAATTGACTTCATCTGACATCTATCCAGGGACCGTCCTCTTGAAGATCATCACCCCCCGATACCTCTGTTCGTACCACCCTCCCCTTACCATGACTACACTAACATCCCCCAAGTAACCGCCACCACAATCTGCTGGGCCTCTCTAACAATCGGCTCCGCCTTTGTCAAGAACTACGACCAATTCATGGCCTGCCGTGTCCTCCTCGGCGCATTCGAAGCCGGCATGATCCCCTGCACCACCCTCTACCTCACCATGACGTACAACCGAAACGAATACGCCAGTCGGCAGACTGTTGTCTTTGTGTTTTCAGCGATTAGTAGTGGGTTTGGAGGACTGTTGGCCTATGCTTTGTCGCATATCAAGGGCAACCTTGCAGGGTGGCAGTGGCTGTGAGTCTTTTTTCTCTCTCATGATTCCAAGCTGACATCTATAAGCTTCCTCGTGGAAGGACTTCTGTCCATGTGTCTCGCGCCCATCGCCTGGTACCAAATCCCCAACAACGTCTCCGAAGCCCGCTGGCTCAAACCGCACGAGAAAGAGATCCTCCGCGTCAGGCAAGAGAGGAACAAGTCTGTCTATGACCACCAAGAGGAATTTTCGTGGTCTGCTATCTATTCAGTGTTGAAGGATTTCAGACTCTGGGTTGCGTATGTACTTTCCATCTATCAGTTCGTGGGCTCGAGCTGACCTTGATACTAGCGCCGTCAGTCATTTCGGTATCGACTCCACCCTCTATTCCCTCAGTAAGTCTCCCTCTCTTTCCTGTCTCAGACACCGACTGACCTCCTCTCAGCAACATTCACCCCCTCCCTCCTCGCCGGCCTCGGTTTCACCTCCACCACCGACGCCCAACTCCTCACCGTCCCCGTCTACGCCCTTGCCGCCATCTCCTACGTCATCTTAGGCCGCCTCTCCGACAAATTCCAAATGCGTGGACCCATGATTGCTGCATCCCTCTTCTTCTGCTTGATCGGTTACATCATTCTGAGTACGGCACCGCAAGTTGGGGTTCGGTATGCGGGGGTGTTTATCGCTAGTGTGGGGCTTTATGGGTCTACTTCTTTGAATGTTTTGTGAGTGCCCCTCTAGCTTGAATGGAAGGCAAGAGCTGATGGGGTGATAGGTGGGCGGCCGATAACTTTGCGGGTCATTATCGTCGTGCATTCGCTATGGGATTCATCCAACTCGTCGGCAGTACGTCCCATTCTCCTCCTTCTCATCATCCGTCCGTCTTGCTGACGCTTGTTATCAACACAGATTCTGCAGGCGCATGTGTAGGATTCATCTTTACAACCCAAACAGCCCCGCGATACTTGGAAGGACTGCACTTCGATATCGGCATCACCTTGATGTCTATCGTGTGTACTGGTATACTTGTACGTTTTCCTGATACCCGTTAGAGTGGAATGGAATACTGACAAGATACGAAACGTAGTCGGGATACGCATGGTACGGCAACAAGAAGAAGCACGCTGCGATTGCTGCCGGGGCGGAAGATAGGCCAGAGCTGGGAGACGCCAATCCTCATTACTTGTATTACATCTAATCCTTCCTTTTTGCTTGCTTGTTGGGTGTTTGAGAGTTGTACTGTGCTACTAGAGCTGCTTTCTTGAGTTGTAGAATGAGAGATGACTTCTTTCAGAGCTGTTTCTGGAGTAATGCTTTGGTTTTTTTGGGTAGGAAATGTAAAATCTGATGTTGGGTGCACGGCTGCACGAATGGGTTATCGCCTTTCGAAAGAAAGAGACTCTCTTGCCGGCAACATAAAAGAAGACGAAATACACGCTTGACCAGTTGGTCGAACTCGAGACCTGTGGGTCTTGTGCCGTTCTCATTTCTAACACTTCTTCGCCCTCCCTCTTCACCCTCTTCCAGCTTCACCAACAGCACCATTTGCCGGACTTCGTAAACCTCCCGCCGGATCGAGGCTTGTCCTCTTGGGGTCGAGTGAAGAAGACTTGTAGCCTGCTAGACTTTACATGCGACTGCTCACGTATACAACAGTAATACGATAGTCCTCACCAGATACCTCTTGCTTCTAATCGAGAAACCCAACAAGACGAGGAGAGGAGTCTCCTTCAATTGGGCACGAGACCCTTGCGAGTTCGCAGATCTATACAAGGCGCAGGGCACGTCTCTTCAGTCGTTTCAGGCTGGCTAGTAGGGATTGCCTCCTCAACAAGTATCGACGGTATCGAAGGTTTCGACAGTACCGGCGGCATTGGCGGCATTGGCGGTATCGACGGAATCAACAGGATCGACGGTGCCGGCGATTTCGAGGTCTGTATCATCGCCGCCCCCCCAAGCAGAAACCTGAGGACTCCCGGGAGACGGTTCGTTCTCCCATATATCCAGTTCAAGCTCAGAAGCTGCCCAATCATAGACCCCGTCATCCTCAAATCCTTCTCTCTCAAACACCTGTCGAAAGAGCCCTCGGCAATGGTCATAGTCTGGCTCGTCGTCGAATTTGAGTGAACGGCAGTAGGTCATGTATGTCGCGAATTCTTCGGGAAGGTCTTGGCAGAGGTATTCGAGGGTGGTCTCACTCTCTGCGAAAAATGTCAGTGTACTGGTCATATCATCTTAGAAGCGTAATGCTCTTCTTACTCTTACGAAACTCTGGATATGGCGAACGACGCGCATGGTCAGAGTGCCAGGGTAAAATTCCTTTGAGGAAGAACTATGATCAAGTGTCAGCTTGGATCTGCTGCGTTCCAGACGTAAAGACTCACGACAGCCATATATCCCATAGATTCCATGTCATCTCGCCTAGAACCCTTAATCCCCATGTCTACATTTAACGACGACCAGTATGGGTTGCCGACGGGATCCTGCTTCTCTCGATAGGGGATATGCAGTTTGGTAAGATGATCCCTGAATTTCTTGGCGAGGTCGAAGTCAATCATATACACCTTGTTCTCGTTTGCCCCTGGAGGACCGATACAGAAGTTATCGGGTTTGATGCCACAATGGATGAAGCTCTGTGTGTGTAGAGCTTGGATGCGGGTGATGACTTGGTCGATCACCTGAAGGGTTGTTTTGAGGTTGAACTTGGATCCTTCCGCATCTAAGACAAGTTTGTCCAAAGATGGACCCAGAAGATCCATAGCGAAGGCGCCATATGGGGGACGATAGCTTTCGTAGCAGGCTCCGTACATGCGCGGAAAGCCGTCCAGGTGTTGAAAGCGGCTGTACAAGCAAGATTCGTAGTGGACATAGTGGACCTTGTGATTGAGCTTGAGAGCTACCGCTTGCCCGCTTGGAATGTCCTCTGCGATGTAGATGCTCACTGTTGCATGAAGGGTGAGATTCTGCTCGTGTAAGAAGAGGAAGCACTTGCCGTTATGGTCGCGGTGAGTGATCACATCCTTGATCTGAAACCTGCCCGAGATGACTTGTCCGACCTCTACCAGCACCATGGCGGAGTGATATGAGAGTGGGCAGGGGGGATGTCTTTTGGCGAAGTGGGTGAACAGAACAGAAAGACGGGGTGATGGATGCGGATTGGCCGGTTTTATGGCGGCGGCGGCCATCCGAGGGTTGGATTACGTACGCAGATGGGGATCTCTTATCTGCTGCTTCTTATTATCTCTGGCCATTATGCATTTCCATCCTACTAATCTCAAACTAATCTACTAATCTACTACTGCAACAATACACACAGAGAACCACACAAATGCCCCAGTCCCCAGCGCCGAAGAGGAGAAAGACCTCGAGGGCATGCGATAGTTGCCGCGAGAGCAGGATCAGGTCAGCACCATTGCTCTGCGACAGGAGGAAGGGCTGACGGCAAGTAGATGTGAGTATCAAGGGCAGCAAGAGTGTAAGCACTGTAAGGACTATGGCATTCAGTGTCTTCGGGTCGCCCCTGCTCCCGTTGTGAGTCTACATCGTACCTCAAAACCACCGCTCACATCATCTCAGGACAAACGCAAGAAGATCGCCCGCGAAGGTCTCCCCGAGGAAGAAGAAGAATCTCAAGGTCTCGAACCGACCTACCTCGGCCCTTCCAGTCTCACTCAGCTGATACATTCTTCGCTCATATCTACCCCCGGTGAGGAGCGGGGCCTGGACGGCTTGGGAAGCAAGTACGACTGTCATTGGGATTCGTTGGGGAGCGGGAAAGGTTCGGGGTTGCTGTTGGGTAGGGAAGACGGGAGAGAGCTACAGAAAAGGGGGCAGACGTCGTTGCAGATATTGGGAAGGCTGGCGGATGAGGTTGTTTCGCTAGAAGTTCTCAACTCTTGCAAGTCGCCCCTCTCTTATCAGACTCAGCTGACGATGATTAGTGTACTACCAAAGCCTTCCGACATTCATTTCCATGTTCCCCGTCATCTCCGCCTCCGAAAGGCAAGTCCCACGACCCCCTCCCTGATCTGACGATGTCGCAGCGCCTTGACCAAGAGCAAAGAACCACCTGGCGGCTGGCTAGACCGCTACTCGGCCTGGGACCCCAACTCTTCTCCTCCAACATCAATCCCCCGCATCATCCGGCTCCTCCACTGCTCTCTCTCGTCCCTCTCCCGACTCACCCCTATCCCCATCAGACACGCCCTCTTATCTGCCTTGCACAAACATCTTCGTGACGGCGAAAGCGAGAGGCTGGTAAGCCAGTCGACGATAGCGAGCAGTCAGGTTTTGGTGTTGATGGGGATGAACCATGATTTGCATGGGTATGAGGAGTCGAGGGCGGCTAGTGCTATGTGGCAGAGGACGGGTACAGCAATCAGAATGGCCACTGAGCTCGTGGGTCCCTTTACCATCTCTTGTGGTTTCGATCTAACAACAGATAGGCTGTCCACCGAAAGTCGACGAAAAAAGTCATCCCCATAGCCCAGATCCACCGCCGTGCCCGTCTCTGGGGAGGTTGTGTCATAACCGACAAATGGTCAGCTCTCCGTTTTGGCCAAGTGCAGAGCATCAACCTAGAAGACTGTGACTGTCCACTACCCTTCCAATGGCCGGACCATTATCATGATGAGGCGCGTGCAGAGGGGCCGGCGTGTTTTGCGCCGTTGTATCATTTGACCAAGCTCAGTATCATCCTTGGGCAGGTCTGTGAGTTCTTTTTCACTATTGTCAAAGTGCAGAAGCTGAAGTGAGAAGTACGCATAACGAGCAGCCCCCAAGAACTCGCTCGTACCACCGACTGCGCCATCCTCCAATCCCTAACAGATCTCGACACCTGGTCCAAAGATCTGCCCACCTCTTGGGCAGTTAGCGAGCGGACAAGATTACCCCAAGCGGGCGACTTTTTCAACCTGATGTACTGTGCGGTGGAAGTGCGTCCCTTCCCTCTTATCTTGCTTCCCTTCCTTCATGAAAGGTTGGATGATGGGTGCTGATGACAATACAGTTCACACTCCTCCGACCATTCCTCTTCCCCACTCGTCCCATCCCAGCTCATATAACCTACCGTCCCTCTTCATTCCTTTTGCTAAACCTCATAGACCGCTCAGAAATGGCGCTGGACTGGCTTTCAACCGCAGAAGGAGAGCTATACCTTGATGTTTGGGGTATCACTGTTTATCCTCTTGGTACGCTCACTGCGCCTTCCGTCGAACAAATGAGAGTCCAGCTGATTCGAGATAGTGACTTGCATACTCATGAACTTCTACGCCTACAACCATCCCTCCCCATCCCCCTCCCCCACCATCTCCAACCCCCAAGCCCGTGCCCTGCACTACCTCAAAAAAGGCCACCACATCGTCCAACTCTGGGTCCAAGCCCACGCCGAGGGATGGCCCGAGGACCAGACGAGCTGGAGGACAAAAGTGGGAGATATGGTGGAGGTTGTCATGAATAGTGTTGGGGCGCATGAAGCTGGTGGTGGACGTGATCGGGGTGACAGGAGTGTGGATGAGTTTTGGGAAGAAGTTTTCCAGGGAAGACTTTAGTTGTATTTGCACATACATGAAACTATACTACTAATACTCAGCGAGAGTCCTTATTATATGATCACTGAAGGCCGACAATGATCACAAAAGCCTCGGGTCGAGATCTTGACCCGACATGAAAGCGATCAGCTTCTCTTTCTGGAACGCTGTATCAGACGCTTCCGCCCCATAGTGGCGGAACCAGGTTTCGACCTCAGAGCGGGAGAGAGCTTGTACGTCGTTGGGTGTATTGGGCACTTGCTGTAGAAGACTAGTGTCAGTTACTGCTGTATGCTATGTGCCACAAGTGGTGGAATCAATGATCACGTACCGTCATCTCATAGTCATCAGGCCAATCACAGTTGTTTACGCGACTGCGAATGAATCCGAATTTGCTACTTTCAATGAATCGAGCACGGCTCATCTTCTGTTGCAACTGGTATCAGCTGTTGCGCATACAGTAACAATCAAAGACATAGCACACTCTGTCGCGAAGCTCATGTAGAGCGGGATGCTGTGACATCTAGCAGTCTCTCTCTGACACTTCGTTGAGCCTCTTTATGTCATTGGCAAGGTCTCGAATTGTGTCGCGCAGTGAATTCTCGGGTGTGCGGGCGACTGGGCGCTCTGCTGCAGCTGGGCGTGAGGCGGCGGAAGGACGACTATGGGCTGGCACGACCGCATTCCTGGAAGATCTGGTTCGGACAGGCATCTTGTCTGTCTGCGTTGAGATATCAAAAGAACAAGAAGATGGTTGATTCAGGGTGAATAGTTGCTCCGGCATTGCATGCTGTCGGCCGCGGTGGCTTGTTTGCCATTCTTGTCCCTTTGTCATTGCGACTGTTCTTTGCGCTTTGCGTAGTCGATGGTCAATAACAGTATGATGGGTTTCATCAGATATAAACCAGCACAAACACTCATTCCTTGTCCAAAAAGTGCACATGCTCAAGCTCCTCGCCCGTTCTCAGAGATTCAGATCAATCAAGTGCATCATCGTATTCAATTCTCTCAACTCGTAGATACCAACATTGTCCATTACACTTACTACAAGGGAAAGTCAGCACCGACCCAACCGCACGATTATAGACGCGACTCACTGTGATGACACTGGGCTTCTCCCGGCCAGTAAACTCCTTCAACTTGGAAAGCTCCAAAGCGACCTCAATCAACGGCTTCAACCCCACCTGCGCATCATTCTCATATTCGCTCTCATCCTGGCTATACTTTTCCACATACAACCTAATAGTAGCCCCGCTCGAGCCGGTACCAGACAATCTGAAAATGACCCTGGAGCCATCGGCAAACTTGATGTACAAGCCCTGGTTCTTGGAGACGGAACCGTCGATGGGGTCGGTGTATGAAAAGTCGTCGGCCTCGGCGACCTTGAAGGAAGCGTCGGAGGAGGTGGCTTTGAGGGACGAGCCGACGAAACCGGGGGCAGCGAAAGTGTCGCGGATGTGGGAGACGAGCTTTTCGGCGCCCTCGGACTCGCACTCTTCATAGTCGTAGCGGGAGAAGAAGGATCGGCCGTACTTTTTCCAGAACTGGAGCTGGACTTCCTTGATACCGACGCCGGGGGTCTCCTTGTTGGCGGTAGCGAGGATAGACAACCAGGCTGTAGATAGTCAGCATGGTTTTGGGTATGGAGATGGGGACTTACCGACGACAGCCCAGACACCGTCCTTCTCACGGATGTGGTCGGAACCAGTACCGAAACTCTCCTCACCACAGATAGAAAGCCTGCCAGCGTCCATCAAGTTGCCAAAGAACTTCCATCCAGTGGGAACCTCGAACACCTCGAGACCCTTGGACTTGGCGACAATGTCGATAGCACCAGAGGTGGGCATGGATCGGGCGAGACCCTTGACACCGTCCTTAAAGTAAGGAATGGCCTTCTCAGCCCAGTCGGCAATGATGGCGACAGAGTCGGAAGGGGTGACGAAAGCGCCCTTGCCGTAGATCATGTTTCGGTCACCGTCACCGTCAGAAGCAGCACCAAACTCGATGTTTTCCCTCTCGACTCGCTCGACGAGCTCGTGGGCGTAGGTCAAGTTGGGGTCGGGGTGGCTGCCACCGAAATCGGGCAAGGGGACACAGTTCTGGATAGAGTTTTCGTCCAAGCCGAGCTCGTTGACAAAGATGGCACGGCCGTAGGGGCCGGTGACACCGTTGAGGGCGTCAAAGAGGACGGTGGGCTTGGGAGAGGTGGTGTGGAGCCAGTTCTTGATGAGGTCAAAGTCAAAGATCTCCTTCAAGAGCTTGATGTAGTTCTCGACGGGGTCGACGACGGTGACCTTGAGGGGACCGTGAGTGAACTCTCCAATCTTGGAGAGGTCGAACTGGAGAATTGTTAGACGAGGTCAAAGTATAAACTTTAGACTCACTTCGGGGAGGTCGACCTGCTTGTACTCGGTGATAGAGTCAGCAACCTTGTGAATGGCGTTGGTCACCTCCTCGGGGGCAGGACCACCGTTGGCAGTGTTAAACTTGATACCAAAGTCGTTCTCGGGACCACCGGGGTTGTGAGAAGCAGTCAAAAGGATACCACCGTCGGTCTTGAGAGATCGGATGAGGGCAGAGACGGCGGGGGTGGAGAGGATGGCGTCCTTGCCGATGATGACATGCTTGATACCGTTACCGGCAGCGAGACGGAGGATGATTTGGGAAGCCTCGGGAGACTGATACGTGTCAGTGCGCGCAGGGATATAAGGGCAGCAGGGTAGTCCCGTAGCATATCGACAGCAGCCCTGGGCAACCCTCCCGTAGGCGGCACGCTAATAGATGTCCCGCTACGGGGCCCCTGCGCAGTGTCTTACTTACAAAGTATCGGCCATCACCACCGACGACGATGGTCTTGTCCTGGGAACCTCCAGGCATGGCGGTGAAGGTGGCCTGGATAAAGTTCTCGGTGTAGTGCTCCTGCTGGAAGATCTTGACCTTCTTTCGGAGACCAGAGGTCCCTGGCTTCTGGCCTGGGAAGGGTGTCAGGGGTGGTTAGGGGGGGCGGGGTGTGCGTACCAGAGAAGGGCTTTGTGTTCACGGTTTTGATGTCAGACCTGGGGGGGTCAGTCGGGCCATGGCAGCGGGGAGACTCACATTGTGTTGTGGAGAGAAAACAGAACAAGTCAGAGCAAAGTCAGAGGCGAACACGGTGGCATCACGCGCCTGTTACGTCATCACCACACCATATCTCCGAGCGTGGCACTGAGCGTTGGGTCATTCCTCGTTCAACCATGGCATCTCTCTTGTATTGGCAGTGTATCCTAAGCAATGCTCAGGGGGCTCCTCCCAGGGTGTAAAGCAGGCAGTACGTAGATGCTCACTTGGACAGCTCCGGGTCTTACAGCCTCTGCCCTCACTCAGGAGGCTCGATTCCTAGCTCTACATGCACACCCCCTGCCCTTCCATACGACTCACTCTATGGCTCACGAACTCCTTCCCTGTCAATTGCTTTCACTACACTGCCCAGCACTCTGCTGCTAATGGCTCAACAAGTCAACACGACGATCCCCAGCAGCGGCCCTCCCCGCCGTGCCTGCCTCCATCTTATCTTTCTTTTTTTTCTGGCCCACTGAATATGAAGCAACCCATCCACGAGCCACGCTCTCCAGGGGCCACCCATCCCAAATGTCCCACCAGATCTCCTTCCCCGCCCCCAAATCAGACCTCACCGTCCTCCTCCTCGGAGCCGGCGGCAGAGAGCACGCCCTCGCCTTCAAGCTCGCCCAGTCCCCCCGCGTCGCTCGAGTCGTCGTCTGCCCCGGTAACGGTGGTACAGCCCTCATGGGCGGCAAGGTCGAGAACCTCACCCTCCCTTGGGGTGCTCCTCCCGCCTTTGCCTCCATCGTCGAGTGGTCCCAAACCCAGAACGTTGACCTCGTCGTTCCCGGGCCTGAGCAGCCGCTTGTTGATGGTGTCGAGGGCGCTTTCAAGAAGGCCGGTATCGCCGTCTTTGGCCCCTCCCCTGCTGCTGCCATGCTCGAAGGCTCTAAGAGCCTGAGTAAGGAGTTTATGGCGAGGCACAACGTCCCCACTGCGGCGTTCCGATCTTTCCTCTCCAACGAGTACTCTGAAGCTGCCGCCTACATCAACTCGAACCCCTTCCCCTCTGGCCGGGCCGTCATCAAGGCGTCTGGATTGGCTGGTGGTAAAGGTGTGTTGATTCCCGAGACCAACGAGGCAGCTCTTGCTGCGCTCAAGAGCGTCATGGTCGACAAGGAGTTTGGCGATGCCGGAGACGAGGTCGTGGTGGAAGAGTACTTGACTGGACCTGAAATCTCCATCCTCGCCTTCTGTGACGGCTACACCATCATCCCCATGCCCGCTGCCCAAGACCATAAGCGTATCGGCGAGGGCGACACTGGCCTCAACACTGGTGGTATGGGTGCTTATGCCCCTGCTCCCATCGCTACCAAGGAGATCATGGACCGATGTGTCCAGGAGGCTCTGGCCCCAACGATCAAGGGTATGCGAGAGGAGGGTCACCCCTTTGTCGGCATGCTCTTCACTGGGTTTATGCTCACTGCCAACGGTCCCAAGGTGTTGGAGTACAATGTCAGGTTCGGAGATCCCGAGACGGAGGCTTTGATGCTGTTGTTGGATGACGAGACAGATTTGGCTGAAGTCTTGACTGTGAGCGTCTTGTTTCTTGATGGTTCGTGCTGACGAGATTAGGCCTGTGTGGAGCGCCGATTGGACTCTGTCAAGCTCGACTACAAGCCTGGCTTTGCCATCTCCGTCATCCTCGCTTCTGGCGGCTACCCCGGCTCTTACCCCAAGGGCGTCCCCATCGACCTCGGCTCCAGGCCTCAGGGTAAGTCCCTTCCCCCCACAATCAATCCTTACTCACAATCACATAGGCGTCGAGGTGTTCCACGCCGGTACCAAGCTCCAAAACACCACCACCCTCACAGACGGTGGCCGAGTCCTCGCCGTCTCCGCCTACGCCCCCACCCTCCGTGCCGCCGTCGACCTCGCCTACTCTGGCGTCGACCAAATTGCTTTTGAAGGCAAGACCTACCGCCGAGACATTGCTTACCGCGCCCTCTCTTCCGTTCCCGTCGAGGTCACCCCCGCCAAGGGCTTGACCTACGCCGCTGCGGGTGTAGACGTCGATGCCGGTAACGACCTCGTCGACATGATCAAGCCTGTGGTCAAGGCCACCAAGCGGGCTGGTACCGACTCGGACATTGGCGGTTTCGGCGGTGCGTTCGACCTTGCTGCCGCTGGCTTCCGAGACCCCGTGCTCGTCTCTGGTACGGACGGTGTCGGAACAAAGCTCCGTGTCGCGCTCGACTATGGCAAACACAACACTGTCGGTATCGACCTCGTCGCCATGTCTGTCAACGACCTCATCGTTCAAGGTGCCGAGCCCTTGTACTTTTTGGACTACTATGCGTGCTCCAAGTTGGACGTGCCCGTGGCTGCCGATGTCATCACTGGTATCGCTGAAGGATGCCTCCAAGCTGGCTGCGCTTTGATTGGAGGAGAGACTGCAGAGATGCCGGGGATGTACCACGCCGACGACTATGATCTCGCGGGTTTCGCCGTCGGTGCCGTCGAGCGCAACCTCATCCTCCCCACCCCCGACATCACCTCCGGCGACGTCCTCATCGGCCTCGCCTCCTCCGGACCCCACTCCAACGGATTCTCCCTCATCCGCAAAATCCTCGCACACGACAACTTGTCGTTGCACTCCCCCGCGCCTTGGGACAAGTCCATCACCGTCGGCGAGTCGCTCTTGACGCCTACAAAGGTCTACATCAAGGGCCTCTTGCCTGGTATCAGGCAGAGCCTGTTTAAGGGCATGTCCCACATCACCGGCGGTGGATTTACCGAAAACATCCCTCGAGTCTTTTCTACCGACCTCGGCGTGACGCTGGATTTGACTTCGTACAAGCTCCCGGCTGTATGGAAGTATCTCATGAAAGCCGGTAACGTCGAGGCGAAGGAGATGGTGAGGACGTTCAACTGCGGTGTGGGGATGGTCATCATCGTCAGCAAGGAGAAGGTTGAGGCGGCGCTGGCGAGCTTGAAGGAAGGTGGGGAAGATGCGTGGGTGATGGGAGAGGTCAAGGAGGGTAAGGGGGTAGAGTATATTGGGTTGGACAAGTTTGGGCTGTAAATAATTTGATCATGGGGTGTAAAATTTAGAAACGAAAAGAGAGGCATCAACTGCCGTTTGGGATTGTGTCTTCATATGCATTGTTTTAGTGATTCGCAGGTGATGGTGGTTGATTCAACGTTGAGAATGATGCGCACAATGTTGTTGATGTTGAAAGCGGAACCAAACATTGGGAGGATGAGACCGACGCGTTGACGCGTTTGCTTGTTCTTTCCTCGCCTTTGGCTTTTGAAGCTATGGAGAACGCCCCACTATGAAAACTGGGGAGGGAAAGGGTGGTAAGCACCTCTCTCTCGTCTGCATGGTGGCCCTTAACGTCGGTTTAGGCATTGGCCGGCGCCGGCTGTTGGTCTCTGGTGTGGCTTTGGATCGTCCTGTCGACCCGGCTGTCATATCAAGCAATTGCTCCTCCCATGCTCCGGTCTACGAGCTCTTCCTGGATAGAGCTGAAGTACGAGGGGTCAAAGTCCTCTCGTTGCAGCAGTTGCGTGCTCTACATCTCTCACACGAGACTATAAAAAGCCCTTGCAATCGAATCTTGCATTCCCTTTCGCATCTCTTCTTTCTTGCATTATCAGACACTTTATAACAAAAACCCGCTGCCCTCCCTCCCCTTCTTCTCTCCTCCTCCCCCGCCATCCCAAGCACCATTGTACCTTGATCCTCACCACCGTCGCCCGAGTCCACCAAGGTCGACCACCCGACCGGCTCACCACTGACATAAACCACAGCCTCTCGCCTCTCCGACAGTGAGCCTCGCAAAGAATGTTTACAGTAAGCACCCCTCTCACCACTTGTAAGCACTCTCCCTCCCTCTCCTACCTGGCCGATAGATTAGAAAGTTGGCTGACCCTCGTATAGTAGCTCATTTTCCACACCACGTTCCAAAAATGCTCACGAAATCTCTCACGCTGCTCGCCCTCCTCGCTTTGTCTATTGTATCTTCGCGCCCTATCGACATGTCTGACGGGGATGATGTTGATGGGCCATACCTGGCTCGGGGCGGGTCTGTTACGGTGTCTCCTACCGGCACGGCCAAGAACGCGGAGGAGAGTGGGGGTCATGACGAAGATGATGGGGAAGACGAGGATGAGAATGAGGAGGACTATGGGACAGAGTCTGTCAGCTTCACCGAATCTGCCACCTCAGCGTCAAAGTCATCATCCGCCAACGACGATGAGAGTGCTTCGGTCAGCGTGTCTTTCGTGAGACAGAGGGCGATTGCGACGGGGTCTGTCAGTGTCAGCTCTTCTGCTGTTTCTCTGGCCGCCAGTCAGCCTGTCACGCCTATCCCCTCCAAGGCATCTGCTACACCAACCCTTCCGACTGCCTCGGCCCAGACCTCTTCCTCTTCCTCTTTCGCACCTACACCCACCCCTTCTGCCAGTCCCAGCAGCGCGACCCACTCTCAATCCCACTTCAGCCCCAGATCTACTTTCAGCTCCCTCGCCCCCTCTGGCACCGCTATCAACAGTACCCTCGCCGAGCCCACCGGAAGCCTCGAGTCCTTTTCAGACCCCGTCGGCGTCTCCGTCTCCACATTCATCGTCGTCTTTGTCGGCACCGTCATCGCTCTCTTGGGCATGCCTCTCCTGATATGTCTTGCTCCCGCCGTCAAGAGAGGACATGTTGCGAACAAGGAATGGAAGGGCAAGCGACTTGGGAGCGAGTCGTACTGGTCGAGCCGAGGAAGCTCGTTGAGGACCCAGTCGGCTTTGGACTCTCACTCCAATATCGGATCGAGTGCGGGTAATTCGGACAAAATCCCACAGGTGGCGACGCCGAGCACAATGTTGGGGTTTACGCCCACGATTGTGATTTCTGATAGGGATATTGAGAGAGGGCCATTCGAGTATCCCATTTTTACTGAGAAGGCTGCGATGACGGAGAGCAGGGCTTGAGAGTGGTCGGTACGAAAATATGGACAGTCTTTCAGGGTTCTATAATGAGGTCAGTCCTTCTCTTCAACACGTGAAAGCGTACTTACCAAGGGTAGTCTGGGTATACCCCTCTTCACCACCACCACGGACAATCCGCCCTCGCGTCGCGTTCTTTTGTTCGTCGTTACGAGATCTTTCTATTTGTATTCGATTGAGGATGTACAGTGGTCATTAGGATAGTATATAATAGTAATTCACGAGCGAGACGACAGGGATGCGTAATGTAACGTCAAAAGTAGTTCGGGTTTGTCTGTGATTGGTTCTGATGTCATGCTATTTGGACGCGTCGACTCTTCGGACGAGTACATAGCGCGGACCGGAGTGCAATTATTTATTTCTCGATCATTTCATCTCCTCTTCATTTCTCTTTTTTACAAGTGTACATATACTGCCACCACCCCTTGTACACCCCGCCCCCCTCGCAACTATCTATACCCTCGTTCCCACCAAGCACTTCTTGTCACAGCGGACGACCTTTTCCCGGTCCGAACAACACACATCAAAACTCGTTGCCACCAAAGCTTCTTTCACCGATCAGCCCCACATTGTCACCTGCAATCACCCCTCACTCCACCCCCAGCCTCACCATGCCAAGTCTACCACCCACAAGTTAACAACTGCATCCAAACCACTTCTACTGTCGACCTCTCTTCGCTTCCCGCCTTTTTTGACGCTAGCGGCCCGCTACAGCAACTAAAAGATGGCAGAAGTACAAAATGGACTTGCAGACAGGCATACGACCGTATTTGTGGTCACTTTGGTGTTTTCTGTCTTTGCGACGGCATTCATCGGGATGAGAATGTTGTCAAAGGGGTGGATAGTAAAGAGGTACACGCCTGATGATTGGTTTGCTGTTGCCGCTTGGGTGAGTAACTTTTTGAAACATGGACGGAGCTCATACTATGATAGGTCTTCTCTATGGGGGTCTCGGTCTCCGTCATGATAGGCGCTCAGGCTGGCTTGGGCAAGATGGATTCTGGTGAGGGAACGCGGGAGTGGCATTAACGACAACTAACGTAAGGACAGTCCTCTCGGATTACCAGAGCGAGTCTCAAAAGAAAGCCATCTACGCCTTCACCATTTTTTATAACCTCGCCCTCTCCACCACCAAGACTGCCGTCCTCATCCTCTACGTCCGCATGGCCGCAGCCCACTTTTTCCTACGTTGGGCATCAATAGCCACCATGGCGGTCGTCAATATGGCAGGTACGGCGCTGGTGCTGGTCATGATCTTCAGGTGCCATCCTGTCAGCGCGGCCTATACGGACGGAGGGACGTGTATGAACCTCATCTCGATCTTTCTCTCGTCGTCGCCAGTCAACATCCTCACCGACTTTGCTATCCTTCTCTTACCGCTGCCAATCTTGACACGGCTGAGGATGGAGTTTCGACAAAAGGTGGTGCTTGTCGCGACGTTTATCGTTGGTGGCTTCGTCACCGTGGTGGACGTCGTCCGAGTCGTCTATCTGCAGAACGCACTCAAAGACGAATTTGATTCTGGTAACAGCAACGCCCTCGCCACCACTTCTGGCGAAAGCTCGAAAAACTATGGCTACCATATCAGCTACTCGCTCTTGTGGTCTTCAATCGAGGTCTCTGTCGGGTTGATGTGCTGCTGCGTGCTAGTACTCAGGCCTCTGGTCTTGCGCATCTTGCCAGCAATCATAAAAAATCCGAATAGGACTACCATCACTTCCGGCGGTCTCGGATCCTTCACTTTCGGTGGACGCGCCAGAGCAGAGGCATCCGACGAAGAGCCTTTACGAGATGGGCGAGAGTCGTCGGGGGCTACCAATGGGACTGCTGCGACTGGTATAACCAATCAGAATGTCAGTCACGCCGGAGAAGACCCCGGGCGCGTCAATGGCGGATCCACTTCCTCCGGACCCCAGCCTTGGGACAACGAGCTCGACCTCTTTGCCATGCTTGCTAGCGATCCCCCTGCACAACCACAATCGAAAGCGCCAAAGAAGATGTCGGGCGCGACGGTAAAGCTGCAGCAAAAGTATCCGGCATTGTTTGGACGACATCTGGCGTCGGCGTCGACCGAGGCGAGTCAGGAGCCGACTCAGGCGTTCTTTGATTTTGTACAGATGGGAGGGAACAAGTCGTTGACAGAGCTGAGTACAAAGGAGGCGAGGAAGGTTGTCTTGTTTGGTACGTCCGAACCACATACACTCGTTCACCCAACTGATTCAAAACACAGTCAGCATCCTCTTCTTCCTCTGGGGTTTCGGCTACGGCCTCATCGTTACTCTCAATACCCAAGTCCAAAAGATCCACGGTTTCTCCCGCCACCAGGCTTTCGCCCTCAACTGCGCCTACGGTCTCGCCTACTTTATCGCCCCGCCCTTGATCGGCTACTGGGTCCTCAAAAAGTACGGCTTCAAAGCCACCTTCATCACCGGTCTCACCATCTATTCTATCGGGGCTATGGCTTTTTGGCCGTCGGCTGTTTTGGGCAGTTATGGCGGGTTCTTTGTGAGCAACCTCATCATTGCGATGGGGCTGGCGACGTTGGAGACGGCGGCAAATCCGTTTGTGGCACTAGCAGGCCCGGGAGAGTTTTCGGAGGCGAGGCTCAACTTTTCGCAAGCCTTTCAGGCTATCGGGGCATTTGTGGCGCCCATCATTGCCTCCAAAGCGTTGTTCGGGGACGGCGACGTCTCGGAACAGAGACTTTTTCGAGTGCAATGGTGTTACCTCGCCGTTGCCATCTTTGTCCTCTTCCTCGCCATTGCCTTCTTCTACGTCCCCTTGGCCGAAGCCACCGACCAAGCGCTCGACAAGGACACAGAGGACAGAGAAATGCGGGCGGATCTTTCGCATCATGCCAAATGGTACGGGCTGTCAACCAGGATCGTACTACTGTGTATGGGAGTCTTCACGCTTTGGCTCTACATTGGCGCCCAAGAAAGTCTTGGTTACTTTTGGCCACTTCTTTCGCGGACCATCAATCCGGGGTTTGACACGCTCTGGGGCCGCACTATCAGTCGAGGCGGTCATGCTATTGGCCGCTTTGCAGCCGCCATCCTCTGCTACATTGGCGTCCCACCTCGATTTATCATTCTCTTCTGTGCCCTGGGTTCTCTGGTAACGGGCCTTGTGTCTATCATTGCTCCGATAGGGCACGGCACATACGCAAGCCTCATTCTCATCGAAGTCTTTGAATCCGCCATCTTTCCCACCGTCTTTGCCATCACCTCGCGCAACCAAGGCCGTCATATCAAATCCACTTCGGCCGCTCTCATCATGGCCGCCTCTGCCGGCGCCGTCTGGCCTGCCGTGGCGTACGGTATCAGGATCCACCACATGCATGTACGGCATCTCTTGATACCGTCCGTCGTGGCCTGGGCATTGGTTGTACTCTACCCTCTAGCGCTCAGTAGTGTCAGTCAGTTTAGAGGGTGGATAGATCCAAAGGCGAGCAGGATCAAGAAGGATGAACATGTGGGGCAGGCGGAGAAGGGGCAGCAGTTGGAGGTGGAAGTGGGGGATATGGAAATTAGTCCGAGGAATGTTGGGGATGACCTTCCGGGTTTGTCGGGAAATAGGGGTTTCGGGGGAAGGGAGAGAGCGAGGACATTGAATATGGAAGAGGTGCTGGCGGCGCCGATGACCATGGGTTTGGGGCTGAACCTAGAAGCTGAAGAAGATTTGCAGAATGGGGGTCAAAGAGAGGGATAAAGACTCAAAAGTATAGAGTAAAGTCAGAAGGGTTATGTTGTTCATTCTTTCTATCTTGGGGTTTGTAGTGCCACTTTATAACTATTGTAATGATCCTGTCATGCTTGCTATTGCTGACATATTGCATGTAAACGATGACTGTACTAGACTTCGTCCATGCCGCGGATTTGGTCATGCCCCAGCACTGCCCTTGCCAAAATCCATCAGCCCCCACAGCGCAACCTTCCCGTCTTTTCCTCCGCTCGCCATCCATCTTTCCTTAGGCGGCACACCGTCCATATCTTCATCCGAATCACCATCGTCTTTATCGCTGGTGTCGTCGGATAAGGGGACGATAGTTGATTCTGCTGTTTGTGTCAGGTTATCCTGCTCGGATAGCAGAGGGGCAGGAGACGATGAGGGCCGATGGGCGAAAGCGAGGGCGTATACGCTGTCCCTATGGGAAGAAAGGGTTCCGAGAGGCTTCGATGTCGCTGCGGAAAACAGCCGTATCCTTCGAACATAGTGAGCACAATTACAGAGGCTGATTGATGAAGAGATGCTCACTTGCCATCCCAGCCGCCCACTGCTACGACTCTATCATCCCCAGAGACGGCTATTGAAGAGTTTCCGATTTGTTTGGTAGCATAGGGCTTCATCACGTCCTCATCGTCTTTTCTTAGTTTGCCGTCCCATACCTTGTTGGAATATCAGCATACTCTGACCGGGAGAAGAGGATGATCACTCACTTGATCAAATTCATACCTCACCAACCGATGATCTGCACTAACAGTCCACCCCCTCCTCCCCCGACTATCACAGGTCCCAGCCATGATAGCCTCATTATGCCCCTTCCCCATCCATCTACAATCCCAAGGATTGGGTCGTTTCGACATTCTTGCGTCGTAGACCTCGGAGAGGGAAGAAGCGGGTGTCGAGAGGATGGCGGTGTGGCCGGACTCGTAGGTTATCATCAAGCCCACATGATCCTCAGTAGATATAGCAGATGGATCCGGGAAGAATAGATTGAGCGACATGACCAGTCCGCTTTTGGACGTCCCGGGAAGGTCGACGCCAGAGGGCGGCGGGGCGGGCTGAGAATGGAGGTTTATGGAAGCGTGTAGCCGCTTTAGCGAGGGAACGTGATATATGTCTACCTATGCCTTCGTTAGCATAAACCCTTATGAAGAAGAGTCCGCTTACGAGCTCAGAGTCGATCAGACTGGGTACAGCCATAAGCCCCTCAGACTCTTTCCCTTTTCCTTTGCTGCCTTCCGTCCCATTCCGCGACAGCTGGGTCAAAGAGAAGCGGCAGAAGTTGAGAGCATTTGTAGGCAGTGCATTTGCAATCTTGGGCCCGTGTGCTGTTGGATCTGGGTTTGTGGAAGTGGGAATGGCAATGTACGGTCTTTTGAGAGGCTCATGGAAAAGAATGATGTTGTCCCGGCCATGGCTAATGTCCATTAGCTCCTTCACCCAGGCCCAGTAGCAGCACGTACCTGACTACACCACCCCCCCACTCTCCCAGCCCAAGCACGCCTCCTTCATGTGCTTTCCAGAAGGCCACCACCCGCCGCACCCTGAGATCCAAGACCGATATCCAGCCCTCCTGATCCCCAGAGTACAATAGGCCATTCGATGGGGAGGTGGAGAAGTGGAGAGTAGCGAGAGGAGATGAGTGGGTACGAAGGGTGTGGAACGGTGACGGTGCAGCAGAGGGCATTTGGAAGATTTGGGGAGAGAAAGAGATGGAAGAGGAGAATGAAAGAGCGCGTCGCGTCGAAAGCGCTGGCGGCCGCCGGCGTGTTGCGGAGGAGTTGCATTTGCAACCGCCTGTCTCCATATATACATGCATTTATTAAACTTTGCATGAAATATGTGATATTGACTCATGCTTGCCTCTCTCTTCACCGAGCCATTGCTCAATTTTCGTCTTCATCTTCTGCCTTGAATCATGATCAGACGAGCTCATCATCTTGCGATTCCAAACTTCCCTTCTAGGCGGACGCTCTTCTTTCAGGAGCTGGATTCCTTCGGGCAACTGAGAGCCTATTGATTGATTCGTTGATAGTAGCAATCTGCTCATTGATGATCAAGTTCGCTTCTTTTTGCATCCTAGGCATGTACATTCCAAGATCAACAGAAGGACAGTAAGGAGGCTGAAACTTGACAAAGGGAGGTATGTGATGATCTCCGTAAAGTCCTAGGCAATAGCAAATCTGCGCCAGCTATACTTGGCATCTTGTCGCGACCGGTATTTCGAGACTCGGTCAATATGATCATGTAAATAGCAATCGTTTACCTGTTGTAGAACGATGAGACTGGTCCAACACTAGAGGTATCACCTTTCTTTGCGAGTATGGCAAAAGAGAAGGGGCCATCCACGAGTCGCTTATTTATAACCAAGAAGCAGAAGGCATACCATCGCCGGCGACCATAATTAGAACATTCCACTCTTCGACAGACTGGTTTGCTCAGCCGTCGGCTGATAACCAGACATCCATTGAGTACTCTACTGTTCAGATGAGCTTCGGCTGAGTGATTGTTGTCCTTCACCGCCTGCTGCATTTGCAGTATAGCTCTGAGATCTACCATCGTAGTCATGCACGCCATACACCACTTCTGCCCTCCAGCTTGTCCGTCCTCTTGAAGAATCCGCCGAATCTCGAAGTTTTGCCGGATATGACTACTGCTGTGAATATCGTGAGTGAGAGACCAGACTTTCGATACGTCTTGGGAATTGCGGCCTCTTGTTGACCCTTAAACGAGGCCCAGCTGTCGTAAGAGTCGTAAAGCTGCCAATTGAGCTCCCCATGAAGAATGCACACGACAACCAGTGACAATCCGCCTCTGACAACCTATATGCATGCCAGCATCTCCGTCCCCCCATATCCCACAATACGCCTCCGACGAGTTCCTGCCAGGAAGATGAAAAAATACAAGAGAAAAGTGACCAGTTGAATATGTCGATGATGATGGGATGGACGCGCGCAAGAAGTATGGATACTGAGCTTTTTCGAAAAACAGCGACTAGTTGCCATCACAGTGGGCCTTGTAGGCAGCCTCATCGAGGAGGTCGTCAAACTCGGCGGGGTTGGAGAGCTTGACCTTGCAAAGCCAGCCTATTCCAGATATTTAGCCTAATGCTTTTTTCCAATCCATCATCCGTCACACAGAGATAAGAATGCGACGCACCGTCCTTTTCGGGGGACTTGTTCAGCAGGTTGGCTTGCTCGCCAAGGATCTCATTGATGGACTCGACGACACCAGAGACGGGGGCGTAGATGTCAGAGGCGGCCTTGACAGACTCGACGGCGCCGACGGTCTCTGCAAGGGGTGCCTTATCAGCTTGAGATCTTATCATCAAGCGAAATATAGCATTGACCCGAGGGAAACACAGTACAGCTAGGGGTGGTGATGAATTGGACGTACCTCCTTGGGCGACTTCAGTGCCTTCTGAGGGGAGCTCGACAAAGACGACATCTCCCAAAGCCTTCTGGGCGTAGTTGGTGATACCGACGGTACCGATGTTGGTCTCAGAGTCGAGAGTTACCCATTCGTGGTCGGTGGAGTACTTGGCTAAGCAGGAGTGGAAGCACAGATTGGTGAAGAGAGAGATAGTGATCAGCTCATGTACACGTCTATACCAGCCAAGACAGACGCGAGAGGACTTACTGGTCGAGGCGAACCTAAGCGCGGCGAACCTGGAGGCAACGACGGGCTTGGCGACGCAAGACCGGGCGAGGGGGCGGGCGAGAGGACGGAGGGCAGAAAGCATGGCTGAGACGGGATTCACGAGAGGAAAAGGAAAGATAGATCTTTCGCAATGGGGACAGTTTACGAGGAGCCGATTGGAAAACACCGGGAGCCAGCGTACCTAGCCGGCGAGGTGGAGGTCTTCATTTGGTTCCGCCGGGCGACTTCGGTGGCCCCGTGGGGTAACGTTGAGCGACTCTTCGAGACCAAGTGGATCCCCCAAAGACAGGATACAATGTGCATTCCGTACAATGTGGTATAGTGTAAGAAAATAGGTGACTGAATACCGAAAATGCCCGTCTTTACCCCTTCATAGACCAACACTAGGCCGACTCACCGCACCCCTCGCACCTCTTCGTCCCTGGCCTGTTTGCGACCACCTTTCCAGCCCAGTTCTTCATATGCTCCCGCTCATCAAATCCTCTACTGGCGTACTGTCTGGGGACACCTCCTAGCTGCTGGACCACGTTTTTGAAACAAAGATCGATATCGGCGTTGGTGTTGTTGAACTCGATCAACTTTACACGTCCGAGAGAGCGCTCGACCGAACGGTAGCTACAAGCAGCGTCAGAAGTATGCAATGTGACTGGACATATACCTGCTCACCCCTCGTAGATCTTATGGCTATCGTGAAAGAAACCACCCAGCCAACTCTCTATCTCATACTCATGCCACCGTCGCTCCACCTCCTCCCAGCTCTCCTGTATTCCGGTATCATCATCGTGCCCAGCCATCTGCTCGTAGTTGTGTTGAGATAGTCCTATCAGGTAGAATTCGAGGTGCTCGACGATCAAGTTGCATCTGAGGTAGCCGGGGTTTATATTGTGGATGACTAGATGATGCGTAGTAGGGAGGTATCCGGTGTCGTAGGTAGGGTCGTACAGCACGAGGTCGGCAGTCGCAAATGGGTACTCTTCGGGATGGAGAGGGTGTACACATCGGTGGCGGCTGAAGAGGCATCGACTGGCGAGATGGAGAGCGCACACAACTGGTGAAGTCGTCTTTCTTGGTGTCGTGATTGGTTCAACATCATACCGTTCATCATCATCTTCGTCCGGAGTCAGACGCCGATAGTCGGCAGCGAAAGCTTTCGGATAGACGACCCATCCCAGCTGAGGAAACAGTCTTTCCTCGAAGGGAAGTGTCTGATGGGCGTGTAGGGGCGCTCCTTTGATGAGCTGTAGGGATGTGACGAGGAAGACGGCGATATACTTGAGCGCCTCCACATCGCGTATGACCAGAGCTTCGGTATGGTTGTGGAGATTCCTGAACCTGTGTCGCAGGTCGTCGATCCAGGACGAAATCTCTCCTATGTATCCATGGCGTATGGGCCAATAGAGCGGCTGGAGGTAGGCGCGGGTGCCGGGCAGATGGATGAGGTCAATGTTGGTGTAGGCAAGCACGAGAAAGTGGTCTAGAGACTCGGGGAACAGTTTGCCGAAGAAGCTCTTGGAGAGGGTGAAGTCGAGGTCGAAGTGACCGTAGACCTTCTTGATGAATCTTGCATGGAAGACTTTGTTGAGACGAAGGAGCACAGCCGTCTCCTCCCGGTTCTGGTCACACACCAATTCTCCCGTGATCTCGCGGATGACATCGTCGTTCAGGACGACACGAGAGGTTGGAGAAGGCGGGGCGCCCGGAGGCCCCAAGCCTTGCGCGAGGTCTGATTGGGAAGGGGGGTAGTCGACAGAGAGAGTGAAGGAGAGCAGATCTTCATCGGGCAGGAAAGGGTCGCTGGGTGCAGGAGGGTAGTCGCCTCCGGTGGTGAATCTGTGGAAGAGGTCGCTGTCTCGAGTGAGGCCGGATGGATCGTTGTCGTCCTCTGGGGTATCAGGATTGAGAGAGGTGCCGAGCATGTTGGGTAGGATGGTGGGAACCAAGACCGGCCGCGTCGTCTGTAGCGTTGTTGATGAGCAAGACAAGGAAAGACGCGACAACGAAAATCACACACCAGAATTGATCCCGTGAGGCTATTGCACGGCACGTTGAATGACTCGTCACGGATGTTCCGTGTATTGGGGCACATGCAACAGCAGTAACAAAGCCTTATCCAGCACCCCTGCTTCCTGAATTACTTCCATCAACCCACAAGCTAGTCGGCGATGTGGGCAGGGAGAAGAAATGCAGATCACATAAATGTCTAGGCTGTAAGAGGAGTAAAGAGGGAGGTGGAAAGTCTGGATAAGCTCAAAACTCTTGCTCAAGCACCTCCTGTTGCACTCGGGCAGTACCACGCCCTACTTTGACTCTCCGCACCCCTCGCACTTTTTCGTCCCGGGCTTATCTGCGACCAGGCGTCTATCTCAGCTCTTCATAAACGCACACTCATCCAAGTCATCCCGGAAGGACACGAGCGCTGCGTCACCAAGATCTTCAAGAAGCTGTTGGATACAGGAGTCCATATTGGCGTTGGTATTGTTGAATTCGATCAATTCTACTGCGCAAAAGGAGAGATTGAACGCAGGATGACTATCATTAATGTTAGCTTCATCCACAGAAATATATTACGTGTGAGGTTACTCATCATGAAACACTGCCGCATGGTGGCAGTAAACAACCAATCACTGATGACATCCTGATGCCAGTACTTCTCGACCATATTCCAGCTTTGCTCCTCGTCAGCGTGGTAGTTCCACTCCTCGAATGTCTCTTCGTCAGGTTCTGCCTTGTAGAACTCGAGGTGCTGGGCAACATAGCGGCTCGTAACATACGAAAGGTTGATATCGTGGATGACAAGGTGATGTGTAGTCGTATGGAAGTCTGAATCGTAGGCAGCGTCATATAAGACGAGGTCACTCGGGGCGAAGGGGCTCACCTCGGCATAGAGGGAGGGGTGAACGCATCTGTGAGAGTTAAAGAGGCATTGATTCGCGAGATGAAGAGCGGAAGTGATAGGAGAGTAGGTCTCTCGGGGTGATGTGACTGGTTCATCCGTGTCACACGGGTGCGCTTTTGCCCTCCACGCCTTTTACAGCAAGTGAGCAAGGCGCTTGTAATCGGCAGCAAAAGCCGCCGGATACACGGTCCATTCAAGCTTGGGGAACGCTATGCATTTGAAGGGAAGGACATGGTGTGCGTATCGATCCTCTCGGCGGACGAGCTGTAGCGCTGTGACAAGGAACACGGCCATATACTTGAGCGTCTCTACATCGCCTATGACCAGCGCTTCGGTATGGTCATGTAGAGCTTTGAACCTGATTTGGAAGTCGTAGAGCCACGAGAGCTCCTCCACCTATTTCAGGCGTACAGGATAACCGTTGTAGAAGGGCAGATCGATAGAGGTAGGAGAAGGTGGACAAGTTTGGAGGGTGTAGGAAAGCAGTAGAAAAGCGTCTAGAAACTAGGGGAATAACTTCCCGAGGAGCTTCTTGGTGAGGGTGACGTTCAAATCAAGAGGACGATAGATTGGTTTGCTGCATCTCGCATAGGTGTCCTTGCTGAGACGAAGGAGCGGCACTATCTCCTTGCGAGTCAGGTCATCTACCAGGTGGTCCGTGATCTCCGGCACGATATCTGTGTTCAGAGCGACAGCAGTAAGAGGCGGAGCATCCGTTGGCACCATAACTCGGGAGGGGTTCCCGTTGGGGTCGGGGCGCGAGAATGATGTTTTGCTGGGCATGATGATGGGGCTATTGTGGCTGTCGTTGCTGTGAGTGGAGCAGAAGAGAGTGTCGACGGGGCTTTGGAGACCCGGATTGAAGCGGAGATGGATTTGTCAGATGCGTTGTCCCCTCGAAAGCGTTGTGATGAAGAACAGACAAGACCGTCGCAACGAAGGGCCTGACCCTAACTGACACACACAGATGACACACAGCATCGAATTGATCCCGCGCGGCTTTAGGAAGGTGGGTTGAACGACCGCTTTGGAAGATTGACGACTGGGAGGTTCTGTGCATCAAGCCCCCTGCTACAGCAAGACACAGCTCTCTTCCAGAACCCCCTGCTCCCGTACTCTCCATCTCCCCCAAGCTTCCTCCACCATACCCTTACTGATAACTACCTCCATCCCCTTCCACTCGCCCAAATCCTCATCTTCAACTCTTTCCTCCTCCACTTCTCCACCTTGCCCTTCTTCTCCGTGTATATCATGTTTATTACGCGTACGTTTGCGCATGGGGATGGTGGCAGCGCGGCGATGGCGGAGGAAGCCGAGTTCGGAGAGGGTGAAGGCTACGTCGTCGATACGGAGATGGCAGGTTTTGGCAATGTCGGAGAGAGCGAGAGCGATGTTGAATTGGCCGGAATGGCCTGGGATCGGCATCCTCAGTACATCTTCCAAGTATATCAGCATTGAATATGCATAAGTGCACGAAAGACTCACCGACATCGCCGGCAACGATCGTCTCCCCTTTGTCCACAGCCTCCTTCCTAGCCCTCAAACTTCTATCATTGGGAACTCCAGGCTTGACAGGCGACGGCCCAGCAGCAAGCGACCCCCTCTGCTTCACCGGCGATTGACCAGCCGCAGGCTCCGCATCCCTCACCAACAACTTCAAAAAGCGGAGAATGACAGATACCCAGTAAGCTGTGTAGCCTTTCAAACCGAGGTCTGAGAGAGGTCTTTCGGGGGTTCCGGCAGAGAGATATTTGGAGCGGGTGGCGGGGTGTTTGGTGAGGTAGTAGCCTTTGGGATGTTAGTGCTGGATAGGGATGATTGAGGGTGGGGCTTACTGAATTCGATGAGAAGCTTGCCGAAGCCGCGATTCTGGAATGGCGGGAAGGCAACGATGCACGCTAGATTATAGTCGTCGTAAGAGACCTTTTCCTATGCCAAGAATCAGCTCTGCACGGGATCATCTTGACTTTGACTTACTTTCGAGAAGAAGGCCATGGCCTGTTCTCGGCGACTCGTCGCCGCATCACATATAATGTAGAAGAGGAAATTTTCGACGTGGAAGAATATTGACTGGCAAAGCATCAGCCAGAGTCCGACCTCATTTGCGAGACGCTTACCTTGTGATCGATGAACAACTTGCCAAATAGCGACAGGTTCTGACAATACAACTGTGGTCTGTCAGCGCAGCCTCATCAGAGAATCTAGAACGTACCGGTGCAAATGCGCCATCCACTTCCCATATCGTGTAGCTTCCCCTTCTATACACTCGTCTTCCTGGCGGTTCCATCATCGTGCATGAACTCTACACGGGTGTTAGTCCGCAACTTGATACGCGAAAGACCACTTACGCAATGCCGATCCCAAGCTGCTCTAGTCTTCATATACTTGAAGCACAGCTTTGGTTGTTGTCAGCTCACGACAAGATATGACAACACAAAGCACTCACATCGCAAACCCATAAACGTCTCTTCCCACCTTCACCTTTCTCCGCTCCTGCCGCAAACATATCGCTCGCTAGTCTGCTCATTTGCGACCGATCAGGATGAGCAAGTCCTTCTTGTGGTTTGGATGGCCCAGCCGTAGAGTGAGACTGGGCAGGCAGTCTGGACGAAGAAGCTTGATGCTCAGAAGTACCATTCGTTTCAGATATCTTTCGCTTGCGAGAGGACGCCGCTTCGAAGGTATTGTGATGTACCGGCGGGGCTTCTGTCTGGTTTATCGGATACGGCGAGTAGTACCTGTCTGAAATCAGTTGTTGATCAAATACTCGCCGAATCGCACTTCACCAAGTGTTGATCAAGTACTCGCCGAATCGCACTTCCTCATAGTTTCGCAGCCGTGTCAGCGAGGCATGTTCTCGCTCCGGACTTGACTCGATGGAAGGTGAAGGAGCGTGCAATTTGGGATTGTCGGAGACTTCGCTGAAGCTGCGTTCTGGAGTGCCCGCGGCAGCGCCGTTCTGTCAAGTATCAGCCTGTCTTCTACTACAATGAATACTGAATGTGGAGAGAGTCTTACCCGTTTGCCATGATCCTCTGTATTCCCCGCATCCTCGGTCACTAGCTCTCCGAGTTCATTCTCGGGTATCCAGCTATCCAGCCGTTTATCTTGCCCTGGGAAAGAGATGTACACATCTCTGGAACCCTTTCGATTCGCCCGTATGTCCAGAACGGTTGCAGGTTCTACATGGAACAGGACCGAGAGAGAAAAACGCGTCGTCAGCCAGTGCACACTAGATGCTAGCTGCGGGGTGTGGAAAGTAAAAGGCCGACTCACGGGGAAAATGCCCGGGTCTCTGAACAAAGTACTGCGCTTTGACCACTATCTGTTTCCCCACGCTATCCCCTACCATACCCAAAGAGGATGTAGCTGCCTCGGCCATGGTTTGATTGCTGGCTTTGGTTATGGTGCATATTTCGGGAGAGATGATCACGGTGAGTGGGCGCCGATTTGATCCCGCGGAACCAAACTCGTTTCTCGACGCGACGCGTTGTTGATGTTTTCATGGTGAGAATTGTGTGTCAGGTCACTCTCTGCACTTTCGTATTTCCTTCTTTTCTCGAGGCAGACGATGGGATGGTAGGACGGTCATGGAGGAGTGATTATGAAGAGGAGGAGATGGCATGGCACGCGGATCAAATCACTTGCTGGATAAATGATTTCTTGGCCGATCAAGATGACCTTTTCGATGCGTGAGTTCCTCTCATTGTTGATACCTGCGAATGGCATGCTGACTCTAAGCTCCAGTGAAGACTTTCTAGAACGGTCCCTTGGTTCAGTTTGCCTAATCGAGTTCAACAACACCAACGTTGACATAGAGGACATTGACGATATCGTTCGAAGAGCATCGGGAGGCCTGGAAGACGCATCGTGGGCCTGGCCCTGGAAGGGTAAAGTTCGGGTCAACAAGCCGGGTGAGAGGCGGTGTACAGGTTGCGGGCAGTCATGAATTTTGGGGAAGGAAAATGGGATCCAACGCGACGTATTCGGTTCTTATGATTAGGCAGTTGGTCGTTCCTCAGGTCACCTGCGCAATATGTAAAGACTGTTCCCTGTACAAAAGATATCTTGAAAAAGGGCAAAGTATCACGAAGATGAATCCGTCGCGGGGAGGCTGACGCGATGCAAAATCGGCGCGCGATCTTGTTGTTTTGGAAGGACGTCATGTCCACATCACGTCGATCATTCTGCACTCATTGCCCTTTTGCAATTTCTCTTTTGCATCTCTGCAACCCTCCGCTTCCACATGGCGTCTTTTCGAAGACTCTCCCTGCGTCCTGCGGGAGACGATGCTGTTGTCCCATCCACGCCCCCTCTCCTAGAGAAGAAACGGCGACATTCCAGCTTCTTTGCCAAGGCAGCCGCCTCCTCACCCAAATCTTATCTTTCCCCAAAAGACGATACCCCTCCTGCAAGCCATCACCAAATCATTGCACCCTCCCCCAAGACAGCACGCTCCTTCCGGCGTACAGCTGTCAAAACACCCGATCTGTGCTACCACGTCGTCCGCCAGGTCATATCCCACTTTGCAGAAGACTCCACCCTTGCTGAGCGCACGGTCCTCCTCCTTCTCAACAAAGAGATCCGCTCCATCTATCTCCCCTTTACCTACCAGAGGCTCTCGCTAGACCCAACCTTTTGCCGGCAGTTCTTCTGTCCTCTCTTCCGGGCTGTCAAACTCGACTCTATACTCCTCTTCGCCCATACAGGCAATACCTTTGGACGCCTCACTCCATCGGACGTACCGCTCGTCTATCCTTACCCTCCCGCCCCTGCCACCTCACCAACAGCTCTGTCCAAGCTCAAGGCCAGATGGAGCTCTCTCATTGTCGTCTTCGTCCCCACGCCGACACAGCAAGAGTTGAGAACAAGGAGATTGGGAGGCAGATACCGCTGTCTGTTAATGAACACAGAAGTGTTAGTAGTGCACGACGTCATGTCTCTCAAGTGTCTTGCAGCCTTCCTGCTGGCTGTCCTACAAGACCTTCTCGCTATTGATCTACAAGAGCACGTCCCCCTGTCACCCGACTTCAGGCTCTTGCCCGCCATCCGTTGGGTCGTGTACACTGCAGACTTTGCAGCCGACATCGATATCACAAGACCCACCCTCCCAGCCGAATGTGCTTTGCATCTCGCCAGCCGATGCCTCTTCTCCACCCACCGATGCGTCCATTCTTCCCCAGGCAACAACAACATATTCGCCTCCAAAGACCTCCTTCTCTTCCCCGCCACCGGAAAGCGGTTCGTCCCCACCGTCAAGCATCTGGTACTCCACAACGTCCTCCCTCGGGAGGTGAAGCACTGCTACGTCGTACCGCATATCGAGATGTATCTCTCCAAGCTTCAAGACGCGTGGTGGGAAGAGGGTGGGGTGTATGGGCGAACAAAGTGGGACAATCGGGAAGAGGCAGAAGTGGCGTGGCATGAGGTGTCTATCAAAGATTGGTTGGTGAGGTTCTTTTGTGGAGGTGCAGAGGGCTTTGAGCTGTGAGTTGACATGGGAGTGAGAGGGGCAACGGCTGAAGTTAGTGGTAGAGAAGGCCCGATGAAACGTTATCTCCCAGCTGTCGAGCTGATCGAATTCAACAATACCAACGCCGATATCCAAAAGGTCACCCAAGACACCTACGAGCATCTCTACAGTAAAGGTATGGTGGAGAACATGCTAGCTTGGAAGGGCGTGATCAAGACCAGCAAGCCTGGCTGGAAATGCTGTGAAGGGTGTGGCGAGGCGGCGTGATCGGAATTTGGAGTTGGTTCAGCCAAGGGAGGATATAGTATAATCTGAAGAGGTTCTTATTGATTACAGTTGATCTACAGGGCAGGATATGTGCTTTCTGACTTTTAGAAATCTCAATGCCGCTAGCAAGTGTCATGTAAGCGTGATTCATGTATAATCATAGAAAGTTGCTATGTATACATGTCTATGAATCCCATGTCGGCGCTGTACACCGAGAGTCGGTGAATAGTGATTTTCAAGCTATAATCTCGCCCCTGCCATGCCAGCCACTTTCATCTTCCACCCGGCCTTATCCCTCTCAACAAGCCTCTCAACCTTATCCACATCCTCCTTGCTCACATCAAAGTAGAGCTCAAGTCTCTCTCCTCTCGCCTCGCCATGCTTCGCCGGGTTGGCGAGGAAGACTCGAAGAACCCTCGGGGCGGTGAATGGCGTATGATAGCTGACTTCGTGTTCTTTGAATCCAAACAGAGGCCAGTATGAGCTACATCCCACTTCAGTAAGAGTGTATCATACAATGTTTGGCGATTTGAACATACCGGATACTCGAGTTGATCTTGACCTGTCCTTCCGGCATCAAAGCAGGCGTCTTCTCCTCGACTGCAGCTTGGCGGAAGTGATAAGCACCATCACTGATCCATTCCAGCACTTTATCTGGCGATGACCGAAGCTGGACGACGTGCTCTCGGATAGCCGTTGCAACTCGCGCCGGTGAATTCTGAGACGAAATATTGATAGGGCGGGTGAGAGAGGCGGTACCACTGAGGGTCGGTAATGAGGGCGGGAATGAAGGATGGCCTATACACCATCTCCGATACTAGGTGACGTTCAGCCAAGCACTCGAATTCAGAGAATCGCACTCACATTGAGGACATAGATGACTGTTTGCACGTCCACACCCACCCGTCTTAGCAGATCGATCCACCAAGCTGAGATAACATCCTGATCAGAAAGGTAAACCCCGACATCTTGCTGGTACTGAGCTTTCAGAATGTTCACTTCCCACATGCTCAGCTGGACAAAGACCATCGACAAGTCTTTTTTCGCATCCAAGTAGGCTTGTAAAGCCGCAGCGCTCGGCTGACTTGGGACGATTTCACCCTGATTCTGGGAAGGCACATACATGGGGAGAGGACCGACGTCGGGGAAGAAGGTTGGTAAGGCGTACGCGGCGTTGGGTGGGATACTATCCAGCGCGTCTTGTCCCCGTAGATACAAAGCTTCCAAAAGCAAGAGCACTCTCAAGCCCGACTCGCTATCTTGAGCCAGGTGAGACATTTGGAACCCCAAGACCGACATGCCGCTGGGAAGGAGTGTAGTGAGACGGACGGAGAAGAGATGCGACTCGGAGTTGAGAGTACGAAAGTTGGTTGGGAGGGTTGGGATGTAGGGGTTGTCTTCGGTAGGTTGAATGAAGCGTTTATCGGGAAAAGCTTGGTCGCGCTCGATACTTTGAGTCTCGAAGGGAATGGGGGATGCGCAGAGTCTGATCTACATCGTACTCAAGGTCAGATACAGCCTCTAGACTCGTACAGGAACGGCTTACCGAGAAAGCAACCTCACCATCTCCCCCAACCTCCCGCTGATACCTTCCCGCCAGAGTAGGCCAAACACTCGTAAGCAGCCCAATAGCTCTCACCAACCTTGCCTCATCAAGAACTCCTTCAAAAGCGTAGAACCATAGTATCGGGTGGCCTGAAACAAGGCCCAATGGTGCGATGGGGATTTCTGTAGTGCCAGTGGGGAGATGGGGCGTGTTGATGGGGGCGCAAGGGATGAGGATGGTCTTGACGCCCGACATCGCAGTCTGTTCGCGCCCGGCACTTCAACTCGGGGCGGCGAGGGGGGACTGGGGGATGTGAAGCGATGCAATGAGAACTCAAGCACGTTAGTCAGTTACACTTCATATGTGCCTCTGAGCCCATCCCGGGGGTCAGGGGTGTCACCCTCGGCTAGATAGGCATAGCAGGCACCGTTCAAACGATGTTGAGTGAAGAAGAGGTGCTCGTTGCTGAGGTACCACACTCTGAATTACCATCAATAGAAACTGAAACGGGCTGTATATATATAAGACCTTGGCATTTGACTTGCAGCCTCGCTGGACTCGCGGGCTTCGCGGGCCTTGCCCCATTGCGCTAGGTTGGGGACAAAGCAACGCGATAAGTATGGTAGCAGCAGGATACTGGATCGACGAATGAACAGCAGGTGCGCAGAATTTGACGACGCGCGCCTGGGGGCTGAGGACGCTGGCTGCGGGTGCGGTGGGAACGCGGTGTCAGCCATCTTATGCCCCACCATAAAGCATATACACCTGTAGCCCCCAACTCCGTTCGCCTTCGATGAATGCACGAGGTATAACGGTGAACGGCGAGTGAACGGCCAGATATACAAATGGAAACGTCACGAGATGTAAGAGAACGGGATCAAATTTCCGCGCTCATCTCCTCTTCCACTTTGACGGACGCATCTCAAACCCCTCCCCACAGTCCCAAAACACCCCAATCCACAATGTCCCAAGCCCATCGCCCCACATGGAACCCCACCCAAGGCCGCGAAACCAAATCCGGCTCCCAGCAAATCTCCAAGCTCTCCCTCGCCGCGCACACTAAACTCAAATTCCGCCAGCCGGGGCAGACCAACCAGGGGGACGTCGTCAGGCGGGATCTGAAGGCGGAGCTAGCAGAAGCGGAGAGGAAGGCGGCGGATAAGAAGAGGAAGGCGCAGGGGCTGCCGGCGTTGGCGCCGGGGCCGGAGGGACAGTTGAGGATAGAAGGGAATGGGGAGGAGGATGAGGCGGCGGTGAAGAGGAGGAAGGTTTTGGAACAGGCGGCGGAGCTGGATAAGGATGATGAGTCGGGTAGTGAAGATGAGGAGGAGGCGCCTAAAGACAAGGGGAAGGATAAGGCGGTGGACAATGAAGATGAGGACAGTGATGACTCGTGAGTCTGAAGCCATCAATCGATGCTTGAGGCTGACGATTATCACAGCGATGACGACTCGGACGATGAAGACGATACAGCAGCGCTCATGGCCGAGCTCGCCAAGATCAAGCAAGAGAGAGCTGAAGAGAAAGCCCGTCTCGTACGTCTTCACCCACATCCATTCATTCGCCAGGCTAACCCTCTACTTCAGGACGAAGAAGCAGCCGCCAAGAACGCCGTCTCTCGCGAAGCAGAAATCGCCACCGGAAACCCCCTCATGAACCTCCAAGCCGCCCTCGGCACCGCCCCCGACACCCCCGGGTCCACCACCGCTTCTTCCGTATCAGGGGGCTTTGCAGTCAAGAAGAGATGGGATGACGATGTGATCTTCAAGAACCAGGCTGTTGGGATTGATGATAAGCCAAAGAAGGGAGAGTTTGTGAACGACTTGCTGAGAAGCGAGTTCCACAAAAAGTTTATGAACAGGTGAGTCCGACACACGGGTGTGGTGAACGCGCTGACCTCGAAAAGGTTCATCAAATAGATTAGTCGAGGTGTATTGTATATTGTCATGCATAGTCTCCATTCCAACCAACCGATTATCAAAGAAGAAGGCGAGCGGTACACGGGTCTGCATATCAAAGAGATCGGAAATCAAAACGAAGTAGCGATGCCAAAAATATAAACAACTGGTAAGAAAAGAGAGTGCGTTCAAGAGCATGTATGCGAGTCGGTAATGTATACGAAGGTATCTAATATCTTACAATAGAGTAGAGAAGCCAAGGCGATAATATATAACAAACAATGGCAAATGACGGAAAATCTACAGTGTCTCTACGCCTACTTTTTCATCCCCATCGCCCCCTTCAAACTCTTTACCCAGCCCTTCTTTTTATCACCGGCAGGAGCACCAGAAGAAGCACCAGTCTTCACCCCCATAACACTAGCCGCGGCCGGAGTGTTGGGTCGGGCAGGGATCTCGCTATCCCTCTTCTCGCCACGGAGCGTCAAGCGTGATGAGCGCTTCTCGACTTTTTGAGTGGGGTATGTGGCGTCCGAGTAGGTCGCGTGGTGGCGCGAAGAGTCGCCGAGCAACGCCCTAGCACGATCACGGAGCGATGCCATAGAAGACGAAGGCTTGACTTCTCTTCTGGGAAGAGTACCTGTCCACCCATCGCCTTGCCTCGAGACGTTAGAGTCGCTCGAGAGCATAGTCTCATACTTCATCCGCCTGTCAGAGACATACTCTGTACCAAGGTCATCGTCGTCCGCATCAGCGTCGTACTGAGGCCCAGCACGGAAGCTGGCAGGAGAGGGAATGACGGGCATGGTGTTAAAGTTGCGCAGGTTGGACTCGGACTTGCGGTGAGGCACCTTGGAAGGCTGGCGGATGGTAGCAGCGCCGCGGAGAGCAGGGGTCGAAGGAACACCTCGGAGGGCGTGCGCTGGAGGCTTGAGGGCCACAAAGTGACCAGGTTCGGGCGTACCAGACCTCGACCCGGGAGCCTTTTCCTTCTCACCACCAAACAGCTTGAGAACGTGGTTGACAGAAGGTCTCTCCTTCTTCTTCCTGCCCTGCTCCTCCATCCAAGCATTCGCAGCCTTCACCTTTTCTTCGGCCTCGGTGTAAGTCATCCACTGAGGAGGAGTTGAAGGCTCAACCTGGACAGAGCTCGTACGCAAATGGGCGGGGATGGCGTTGGGCTTGTCGGGAGTGACGCCGAAACGGTGTTCTTGCTCGCCAGTAATCTCGGTCGGAAGACTGAGCACAGGAAGGCCGGGTTCGCGACCCTCGGCAACAGCTTTGCGAGCATCTTCGATGATGGCCTCGACATTCTTGATCCAAGACGACATCTTGTCAAGTCGGCTGTCCATGGTAAGAGCCTCGATGGACTTGGTACGAGACAAGATGGGCATAGACCTGACTGTCTCCCGGGACGAGCGGTGGCTCAGCGTAGGCTTGACCTCGGCACTGTGGCGCTGGGTGGGCGTAGGTTCACGAGAGGAAGAAGGCTCGGCAGATGGCCTGGGAGTAGGCGAAGTCGACCTGAGAGTCTCCACCGCGTCGGCCAAACCGCCAGACGCTTGCCTGAACCTGACGAGCTTTTCTTGATCAGAGACAATGATCTTGTCTCGCAGCTCTGAGAGTGGCGACTCGTCGTCAGAAGCGGGGAAGATTTTGCCAGTGGTAGCGTCGAGCTCGGCATGAGGACGGATGTTTTGTCTTCTCGACTTTTGAGGGGAAGGCGTCGGCATGCGAGATGCGTTGGAGATCTGTGCCCGAGCTGATATATCGTTAGCGGGCACTAGAGACAGGTAGACAAAACGTACGAGGCGACATGGGAGGTTCCTTCTGTGCAACCTTCTTTTCTTTCTCTTGGTGATGGATTTGCACATCTACCTCAATACCACCTTCTTTGACCTTGGCATCAACGTCCTCCTCCTTGACGCCCAGAAGCAAAGCGCGGTCGATACCAAGACTCCTTCGCTCATCAATCTTCTTCTCCTTCTCCACAGCAGAGTCCAGACTCTTGGGCCGAGGAGGACTAGGAGCAGGTCGCTTGATAGAAGCAAGAGCTTCCTGCGCCTTCTCCTTCTGCTGCGAGGTAAAGAGCTTGCGAGTACCTTCCAAAGAGCGCATAGTACGAAGCACAGCATCTTCCTTGTTACCAGAGAGGAAAGACTGGCCAGACGCGCGCTTGTCTTTCAAAGTCTGAGAAGACGTAGCTCGAGAAAGCTCCTTGGCGCCAGAGGCTGCCGAGTTGGGACGAGAGAGGTTGGTGAGCTGAGAGTTGGAAGTGCGGGGTACAACCTTCTTGTCGGTAAAGACGGTATGTTCCTTGACCTTGAGAGCCTGAGCAGGCTTGGACATCTTTGTGGCTGCTGGATTGTTAGCATGGTCCGTCCTTGGAAAAGTAAGAGCTCACGAGTGGGGTCCTCCTCGACATTCTTGTCATCCTTATATTCTTCATCACGCAATTTCTTGATGACAAGCTTGCTCTGCTTCTTCTCGACCTCGACAAGCACTCGCTCATTCTCCTTGCCGTCACTGACTTCGCGCCTGGGCTTGCTGATACTGGTGTGCTGCTTGATGGACTCGCCGAGCGCAGGCGTAACAGAGCGAGAGTGCGCCTCCTTGGAAGCCTGAGTAGGCTTGACCTTCTTCTTCGACTTGCGCTTCTCCTTCTTCTCTTCGTCCCTCTTGACCTTGGCCACAGCTTCGGCGGAAGGAGCAGGAAGAGGCTCTTCCTCAAAGTTGGCAGCTTGGCGGACAAAGTGAGGAGTAATGATGACGCTGGGGGCAGAAGGCTGGAGAGACTCGTCGTGGTACGCGTCCATAGCGGTGATACGGTAGGCCGGGTCGGGGTTGATCATCTTATGAAGGAGGACCTCTATATCGGGAGGCATGTTCCATTCACCGACCCATCGGCCGACCTTGGTACGCTCATAGTAGACGACAAGCTCTTCAGGCGTCGAGAACTGCTCTTGGTCGTCGGCTTCAAAGGGCGTTCTGCCGATCAAGATCTCAAACATGGTGATCTGTGTGTACGTCAGCTGAGCCCCTCAAATTGCCATCAAACATACACCAAGTGACCAAACATCCGAAGCACGTTCGTCATGGGGCATACCCTTCGCCCTCTGGGGGTCGAGATACTCGGGCGTACCCCAGCTGATACTACTGAGGAAAGTGCCTCGCGTGGCGATATCCCACTTTTGCGCAAAGCCAAAGTCGACGAGGACGGGAACGTCGTTGTGACTGAGCAGGACGTTGGCGGGCTTGATGTCGTTGTGCGTGATTCCTCGTTCGTGGAGGTAGCCGACGGCAGAGGCAAGCTGGCGAAAGTAGGGAGTGGCGCGGTAAGGCGGGAGACAGACGGGAATAAGATGCGAAAGGTGAGGCATGATCACGCTACAAGGCATAAGCTATGGTCGATTCGCAAGCAGGGCCAACTTACAGAGCATAGGAGGGAGTGATGACGAAAGCCTCAAACTGGATAACGCTCGGATGGGGCTCGTGTCGAAGCGAGCGAATGATCTTCATCTCGCCCCACAAAGCACGGACTCGAGCGGCGGTAGTCTGGTCAAAAGTCAGTCACATCCTGATACACGTCGGGCACCACTCACCGCAGTCTTACTCCTGTGAACGAGCTTGATAGCAACCTTCCCTCCAGCTCCACTTCCTCCAGTAGCAGCAGCTTGCTTGCCAAGCCTCACCACCGCCCCTTGCTCGAGCTGGCTACTTCTCGCATGCTTGGGCTTACACAGCCAGACACTACCCCAGTTACCAAACCCGATTTCACTGATAAAAGTAAAACGGTCAGACAGTTGTTGGTCGGTGAGAGAAAAAATGTCGTCGGCACCCGAGGTGACGCTGGCGATATTGGGGTTGAGGGTATCGTTCCCGCCTGGCGGTGGGTACTGGGAAGGCGCTTGGAGGTTTTGCGCAGGAGTCTGATACGTCTGCTCAACAACAGACTCCTCCGATACCAACGTCAAATTCGACGCGCTCGCCTCCTCCGTAAACCCGCCAATACTAGCACTCATCGCACTGTTGTACGAAATGGTGTCAAACTCGGGACGTTTCAGAGGCGGGCTGGGAGAGCTGGTATCGTAGGTAAAGGCGGAGCGCGAGTCTGTGCGCGAGGCAGAAGAGGCGGTGGTGGATGTAGAAGACGCGAGGTTGGTAGAGCCGGCTGACGCGATAGGGGAGAGGTGAGTGGCACGGGTAGAGGTGAGACCTAGTCTCTGGCGGAGGTTGGATTTGGATTTACGGAGTGCGGGCTGGGCCATTGTGGAATGTATGAGAGACTAGCTCTGATATGGATGTGCGAGGAGCAATGAGCGACGTTGGGTGGGCGGGTGATTGGTTGTTGATGGTACTGGAGTTGTTTATGGAGTTTGTTGTTGTGACAAGAGACGCTGGGCAGCAAGACGAGGGTGCGAGGTGGAAAGTCAGACAGGCGACTGGGGGGGCATGGGGGATCGTAGGGGGTCGTGGGGGGTCGTAAAGAGCGTCAAGAGGCAGGCGGGGGATGGCAAGAAGAAAGGCGAAAGAGAAATGGAGATGCGAAATGGGGCGGGTGTTGTTTGGAGGGAGCGTGACACAGCGATGGGCGAACTGGACACACTCCTTTCAGGGGGGCACACAAATCAGTCGCGTCCCTGCCTTTTCGGGGCTGCTGTGTCCAGGCGTGCGGGGGCTGTGGTGGATGCGTTCCTATGCATGTATCAGCGGGGGCACGGGTGCGTATGCATGCGAAAAGAGCGCGCGAAAAGAGACAAAAAGTGCATCCCCAGTGTCACGCTCAGGAGACATGGGCGCACTGACCACCGCGTACCATCAGCATAAACAACAGCCACCCACCACGAGGCAGGTGTCCGGTGTCCGCCTCCAACGATCACTTTCTGCGGGCAAGCGGCACCAGTGGTCACTCGTGGCGCCGTCCAAGCGGGGGGCTAAACAGCGAGCTTGTCTCTACCACGGCGCAGAGTCCCGCCAAACGGTGCATGGCGCACTGCAATGCCAATCCCCGATTCATCCGATAAACCCCCACTCCTTCATCACCCCACCGAAAGGCCGAAGGGCCCGTTCGAAACAACAACCCCGAGGAAAGAGGGGCAAGGACAAACGCCAAACGCGTCTCGAGTCATTTATTGCTGTCCCACTCACATGTCCGCTTACACGTCACGTCCTCCCCTGTCCTTCTTTGTCCGTTTCTCGTCATCCATTCTTGCTCAACTCCAGGCCCAGAGGCAAGAGGCCAGAGGCGGCGTGTATTTCTGTATTCGGGCCCGTTGTGGTATGCTTGTTTCATGTATCACAAACACAGAAAAACACACCACTCGTTCTACCCCAAACACGTCCACCCAGCCACCCAACCACCAACGTGTGCCAACGTACCAATCACCATCCATCCTCCTTGCCTCTATTCATCTCGCCTCCTCTATCGGGTCCTCATGCACCGCCCCATACCCATACCCATTCCCCTCCCCTCCGCCCGACATTTTCGAAAGCCCGCTTTGCGAGAGATATTGCCCGGCTTTGGGTGTGGCCGAGCCAGAGTCGGAGGAAGAGGAGGGTGAGGAGAAGCGGGTGATGGGGTGGGCTTGTGGTGTTCGGGCAGTATGTTGTGACCTGCCTCTTCATCAGTAACCACCAAAGACAACAGAAGAGTAGACCCACGGATTAGCAGAAGAATAATCACAGTGCACATACGCCCTTATAACCCCATCCAAACTCTCCAAAACACACTGCACCGTCTCCCCCACATCATGCGCATACCGCAACGTACTACTTCGGGGCAAGATGACGTCGACTTCGACGATGAGGTCGTCCCCGATGTGGTAGCATTCGACGTCGGCGATTTCGAGGACGGGGTTGAAGCGGGAGACGAGGTAGAGGACGCGGGTGATTTGGTCGGAGGGGGCGGCTTTGCCGGATACTACGAGGGGTGTTAGTGGAGTACATGGGAGGAGGGAAAGAGGGGGCGTACGGTTGGCAAAGTTTCCGTGCAGAGTTTTGATCCATTCTACGATGATGTACGTCGACAACACCATACCTCCAATCGGATCCAACAACCTCCATTTCAGTACACTTCCTATCCACTACCACCAAGTCAGCTCTTGCCAGCTCATGTGCTAGAAGGGAACGTACGGGGAAAGCAAGGGACATGATGTTGAAAAAGACGTCGTTCTCTGCATCTTGTGCGAGGGCTTGAACACCGGAGGAAGGAATTTTGGAGCACCATACCCAGAGGATGGATTTGATGCCGATAGTCGCAAGCATCGTTCTGTCAAGCCATGAGCGGTGTACGAGAAGAGCTAGGTTCAAGGACATACCCAAGACCAAGAGGACCGAGGTCGATTTCCTCTCCTTCCCCTGGGCGGGTGGCCCGCTGGAAAGACTCGATGAAGACTTGCACGAACGAAGCAATCATTGCGACTGAAAAGATCAACTGAAACCATCTTATCAGCTCCGTCATACTAAACAGGTGAAACAACTCACTACACCCAGAGGCTCAAAGCGCCTCTTCCCCGCTGGATACTTGTGAGTATCTCCCCCAGCACCCATAGCCAAGCTGGTACCCAAAATGATGACCGTACTCAGCAAGTCGAGCGCAGAGTCGACGAGGGAGGCGGTGAGAGAGATGGAGGCAGAGTAGAGCACGGCGACGGCTTTGAATGCCACAAGAAGGACATTGACTATCGTATTGACTACAGGATATGTCACGAAGTTACAAAATGAAGACAAGTTGCTCACTGTGCAAAGCCAGCTTGGCTATCCGTTCCCGCCGTTCGAGCTTTTTCTGCATCTCATCCCTCTCCAACAACCCCGTCCTTTCCCCAGCCTCTCCTCCCTGCTCATCGCTGTCACGATGCCCATTCGCCCTCCAATAACTATCCCTTCTCAACAGCCCCGGGCTAGCGACTTCTTCTTCCAAATCACCCAGTCTCTGGATATACGTCCGAGAGGTAGGTGCGAATGAAAGCGCAATGTTGTGCGTTATAGATCCAGATAAGATGGCGTCTACTTCGGTATAATGGGCGTGGAGAAGCGCGAGCTTTTCATAGTACGGCCGCAGCTTCCTAGGCAGTTTCTTGATATCCCCGTCTTCTATAGGTATTGTCTCAAACAGAAGACTCCCCTGAAAGTCACTGATGATACCGCCCCGGTGCGCCTCTTCAAAGGTCATGCCCCGCGGCTTTCCGCGCCGCCCCGTTTGTAATAACGGTGATGTTGGGTCTGGGGAGGGCGGGTTGGACGTGGTGGGGTTGTGGAAGTGGGCCGAGAGGGAGGTGGAGGAGGGCGGGAATGAGGAGGAGAAGCCCTGTGAGCCCGGGGAGGGGACGGAATGGATGAGAGATGGGCGGTTGTTGGCCATTGTCGATATCTCCTATTTAGCTGAGGGTAATAGCAGTAAGCTCTGGCCTCTGGATATCGCTCCTCTGGTTATTTCGGGCGGAACCAAAATCTTGTCATCACGGTGCCTAGGTGATAGAGTTTCGGCAGTCACCGCCGCCGAGAAAGTCACCGTGTCGGCCGCGTCTTTCCTGTCGACGCTTGTAAAGACGCTGCAGACGCTGCAGAGACGCTGTGGCTATGGGCGCTGGCAGAGATGCAAATGTGTCAATACTGCAACACTGCAGGATCCAGAGATGAGCATCACCACCCCAACGCTCTCTCCGACACCACCACCATCCCCATCGCAGATGTCTCGCTCTGGGCGGTTGGAGCGGTCCAATCTGTGCTCTGCTTTGAAGGCGCTCTGGATGAAAAGAGGTTGAGGAAGGCTGTGGGGCTGTTGTCGGGTGTGTGGCCGACCTTGGCTGGACGGTATGAGAGGGTCTAAAAGGGCGACGACTATGAGTTTTCTGTAAGTCTTTACCACTAGTTGTGCCGTGTACTGATGAAGATTAGTTGAGACTCACGTCTTCTCTTATACCCTTCGAGACCCCAACCATCGAATCAGACCAGGCTTTCCCCGACAAACACGTCGTGCAGCCCACTCTCAGCCCCTTCCTCCCGCCCCTCGGCAAAAACTACCATCTCCCCAATACCGACGCCCACCTCTTCTCTGTCCGCCTCACCACCCTCCTCCCCAGCGGGAAATCTGTCCTAGGCGTAGAGACGAGCCATGTCTTTTATCGACGGTGAAACCAAGAGAAAGCTGCTAAAGGTGCTGGATGCGTTTTACCGACGTCCATGGAGAGGCTGCGAGGGAGAATATGTTAGAGTTGGCGGGGTATGATCTGCCGACGTTCTTCCCTCATGTGGGGCCCTTGCCGGCTTACGGCCCTTTTTGGAACCTCGACGTGGGGCGCGCGACCAAGGGTCACGACTTGTCGGAATGCGTTAAGCAGTATACGGCGGCCGTCGCACAGTCGGTGCAGACTGTCGTTGAGCTTTACCGGTCGGAAATCAAGCTGTTGAGAGACCAGTATCAGCAAGAAGCTGGTGTGAAGCTTTCAGAGCAGGATGCACTTTCGGCTTGGTGGATTTATTTGATAAAGAAGGTAGGAGTGGATGATGTGAACACTGTGATCTACATTTGCAATGTAAGCTTCCCCTTTCCATACCGGGACTTACAGCTGACCAGCCATAGTACCGCTCCTTCTCACCCGAGCATCCGTCATTCCCACCCAACCTCTCCACCCTAGCATCCAACGGCGCCCAAATGCGACACATCCCCATCCCTCCCACATCCTCCCCTTCCGCCTCACCTGCGCTCGTGGCAAAAGCCATCCGGGAAGGTGTCGTCAAGCTCCGGTATTCCAGCGATGAAACTCTCCGATGGATCGCTACAGTGGCGTACGAGCTGAGAAAAGCGGCGATAGAGGAGAAGGGCCAGATCGTCCTGCCCCGCCCGGGAGAAGTTAGCGTCAACTCCAACATGCGGTCAGTCCTCTTTCTCTCCTTCTTTGTTGTTTTTGTGTGAGCTGATGGGAAGAGTAGAATGGATTGGAATGTGTCGTACGGATTCCCAACGCATCAAGTCGCTTTCCATACCGTCTTTTCCGTCCCGCGCTTCCTCCGAGTGTTCCGAGCCAACCCGAGGGAAGGAGAGGAGAAGGGCAAGAGGCTGGAGTTGATCTTTAATGTGGCGGATGAGGGTGTGAAGAGGAAGGTGCAAGAGGCTGTTGATGAAGAAAGGAGAGCTTAGAACCAAAGTAACGTTCGATGAGAGTATGCTATCGGGTCACAGAGGGTTATGCACAGCAGCGTCCACTGTCATCCGTCTGCACTTGGATGCCTGCCGTTCCATCTTATCATCTATATCATGCTTATCACTACAGGCTGAGTACACACTAGACACTCTTACATTCGCCCACTCTTGGTCTTCCGACATCAGGGTCAAAGAAGCCATGGTGTATGTTTTAGGGTCTACATTTACTAGGGACTGTACGATGTTGATTACTTGTATCTTTCCTTTCTCGCTTGATGAAGCTGCCATACATATACAGGTCATAACTGTAGAAGCCATATATCGATCGATCATCAGGCTTGATTGAACGGGCTACTCTGAGTCCTGTCCTGTCCTGCTGGCGGAGTGGGACTGGCGGCCGCGTATGTCAGCACACTGTGAAGCCCGCCCGGAATTGGCCAGGTTCCATCCTCCCTGTCGGCTGTCTTTCCTTGCCTTGAAGATCTTTGCATGCACGCTGATATGATCGTTAGACTCCAGTACCTCTCCATTCATCGTCCGCTCGTCGCATCGCTTGGGGCATAAGGATCTCAAAGCGGGTAATGGAAGGTCATATCCTCTATTGCGGATGCAGAACAAGTCATTGCATTAAACATCATCTCTGATCTATACCATGTACACGACAACCTCACGCAAGTTGAGCAGCCACCCACTTTGCCCTATCACATTGGACGATCTCTCTCGCCTTCTCGGCTTGCTCGTTCGGCACGTGGAAGTATACCTCAACGTTGTCGCCCTTCTCGTCCCCTTCTTGAAGATTGGCTTGATAAACTCGGAGATAACGAGAACAAGTAGGTTCGGTATGATACGAGACCTGATGCTCTTTAAAGCCAAAGGAGAAGAACCAGTCGATACTGCGATCATTGTCCGCATTCGGCCGGAATCATCAAGACAAAGGTACTCACCGGATGTTGGAGTTGACAATAGCATACTTCGCACTCTGCTCTTCATCTCCCGAAAATACCATATCACGACCCTGAATTGCCGACTCATACAAGTGGCGAGCAGTGCGCGAGATCCAGTGGAGAGCTTCGTCGTTCTCAGAAGAGCGGAGTTTGGTGATGTGCTCGCGGATTGCTTGAGCGACACGACCCGGGGTTGTGACAGCGGAGATATCGATAGGAGATATTGAACAGACGACAGCGGCCAATGAGGGAAGGTTGGAAGGGAAGGAGGGATGGCCGATGCACCATGTGCGGTACTGTTGGCTTGTATCAGTACGTGGAACCAAGCTGGTCTTTTCGAATCAAGACTCACTTCAAGAATATAAACAAGGGTCTCTACATTCACGCCCACATTGTTGAGCAGCGTCGCCCACCAAGCAGAAATAGCATCCTGGGTCGAGAGCTTTACTACAGAGTCAAGTTGATACTGGTCTCTGAGAGCCTGCAGCTCGGACTTCGTGAACCGCAAAGCGACTCTGGACGAGGTCATAACGTCTGCGACGTGGCTCTGGATCGATTTCGGGAAGGGCTTGCTCGGGATACCAAATACGTCGTCGTCGGTCAAATACTGTTCACTCGCTGGCAAAGGCTCCACACCGCTGACGGGGAAGAACGTCGGGATAATGACCTGTGGATCGGAACTGTCAAGTGCAGCTTCGCCGTGGGTGTACAAGGCGTCGAAGAGCTTGAGCAGATTTCTACCCACGGTGGCGTCCATGCCCAGATGGCACACCTGTATACCGAGGACGGACTTGTTAGCAGGCACGAGGGTGGTGAGGCGGACGGCGAAGAGATAATTATCGGTGTTGGGATAGCGGACGTTCGGATCCATGGGGGGTAGGTAGGGATCAAGAGTGGGTTGAACGACATAGTTGTCGGAAAAAGCACGGTCACGCTCTAATGTCTGGGTCTCGAATGGGATAGGGGAGCTTGTCAGCTCGATCTATCCTAAAGTTATTAGCCTTCCAGAAACGCCTAGCTCGGATGCCCGACTCACACTGAACTTGGTCTTGTCACCTTCACCAACGCTCTTATAACGACCAGCCAAGGTGGGCCATACGCTAGTGAGCAGCTCTACAGCTTTGACTAGCCTCGTCTCGTCGATGAGGCCGTCGAACACCAGCACGGCTGGGACTGTGAGGTATGCCATCAAGCCGAGATCGCTGACCGGAATTTCGGTGGTGCCTGATGGGACATGAGGGGTGTTGATGGACGAGCAGGAGACGAGTGTGGTCTTAATTCTGGCTTTGATAATAGCCTCAGACTCTGGTGAGAGGAAAGACATGGCGAGAAAGAGGTTCGAGAAGATGCGTGTAAGGGTTGGTGAGATGGTGCGCGACATAGGGGCGGTTACGCGGTGAATCTAGCTAGGGGCGCTAGATGTCGACCTGGGACAGGCTGGCGGTGAGAGGACGGATAAAGGTGATGAGGAATATACGAGAATACATCGATAAGGAAAAGGAGGCCCAGCCCGGCCTAACTCGTCCCTGAGAACATAGCGGCAACCAGACTCTGCGTTCCAATGTCCACGTCACTACATCTCCTCCTACTGACCAGCTGCAGTCCGTACCAATCCCTTACAATCTGCTTACAATCAACTTACAATGCGGATTGTTGCTTGGGCTTCCCATTACTTATAAACGCTCGCAAGAAGGCGCACATGGCGTCGCCGCTGCTGCGGCCAGCGGCGGCCCGATGACTCTTCGGCACACGCTCGGCTTTGACCTCGGCATCGTGTTGTCTCCTGTAGCCTGTACTGTTCCAGTCACTCTTACGTGTCTCAACAGATGGTGATCGTTCCAGCAGCTATCACTATTGTGCTTCATGCTTGGTTCCAGGCGAACATGCATCCCATCACGGCCATACGAATCGGCGCACACGACTGGTTCGCGGGCTGGGGAGGGTTTGTACAGAGCGTCGAGGAGCTTAACAAGGTGTCGACCCATCGTCCTGTCCATTCCCAGATGGGATACCTGGGCACCCAGGACCGACTTGTTGGAAGGGAGAAGCGTGGTGAGGCGGACGGAGAAGAGATGGTTGTCGTTATTGGGGAAACGAACGTTCGGATCGAGGGGAGGCATGTAGGGGTTTACAGTTGGCTGGATGACGAGCTTGTCGGGGAATGTCTGGTCGCGCTCTATGGTCTGGGTCTCGAAGGGGATAGGGGAGGATGTGAGTTCGATCTATGATCCAGAGTCAGTTGAAAAGGTTCACGCTCATGCCCTCGCTCCAGCTCGGATCACCGACTCACGCTGAACTTGGTATCGGCACCTTCGCCAACGCTTTTGAAACGACCAGCCAAGGTCGGCCACGCCCCCGAAAGCAAACTGATGGCTTTCACCAGTTTGCTCTAGTGTCGAGAGCTCCATCGAAAGCCAGGACCGATGAGACAGTGAGGTATGCCGTCAAACTGTTGTCGCCGAGAGGGATCTCGGTTGTACCGGATGGAACATGGGGCGTGCTGATGGGCGCACAGGGGATGAGGATGGTCTTGAGGTCGGCTGAAGATCCGGTGGCGGGGAGGGACATGACGATGGAGGGGTTGTAGCAGGGTTGGAGAAGAATCAATCGCTGTTCGGCCTTGTTCATTATATGGGGATTGCTACCTTCATCGGTCGCGGCCGTTAGGCCCTCGGCGTAGTGGCGATGAAGGATGAACAGTGTGCCTCAGGGTGTGCTAGGGGTTATCAGCAAGATGGCGTGTCAGCTCTGTGTAGGTGTGTACTACCAACATTTGTATCTATCTGGGGAACCCAACAAACTCACCCGCTGAATCCTCGCTTAGGCTGTTGGGGAGCATTACTTCGGTTCTTGGCTCGGCCCCCTGACTGGTAGAACTGCCCATGTCCAGGACCCCCAGAAGGTAGAGCCGCTCATCGACCTGCAGAGCCTGTTCTGTCTGTCATTGTGAGGGGTGAGTTTATATGTAGTCAAAAGTGGAAAGCTGATACTTCCGAGTGCAGCGAGACAAGGACCGCAAGGCGGCGTAACTCGCGCTCGCTTCATCATCCGATGATTCTGGCCACTATTCTCAGACTGTTCTTCTCAGCGCCATTGATGATGTTCAGGATATGGCCTCGGCCCTTCCGAACAAGAAGGTTTGTCACCCAACATTCTCGCGCCTTATTTTATTTCCCTGCCCGCCGCATCTCTCACTTTCACCATTCCCCATCATCTCTCCATCCCCCTCTTGTCCCCTATCTCCATCCCAACCGCCCCTTCTTGAATGCCTCCCAACAGAAGCCTCATCACCTTCCCAATGTCCACCGACTCCCCTACAATCGAACAACACTGCCTTCCGGGCATGAACATCATGCTCTTCCACACCGGGCTTGGCGAGGAGATTGTGACAATCCGTGGGGATGGCAAGAGTCCCCATGCGGAGGTGCAGTGTCCTGAGCTGGTGAAGGATGATGGAGAGGAAGAGCAGGAAGAAGAGGAGTACAACTACGAGCCCGAACCCGTCCCAGCCCACTTCCACATCCCCTCTCTCACCGTCACCGTCACTCCACGACCCACACCGGCGTACGACCCCACAAGATTCACCGACTTTACCCTCCCCGGCGGACGGCCCGCTTTCATCCCACGGGGGTTTCACCATAAGGGCTCGAGGCCGGGGTGGAGGGGCTCGAAGCCGGGGTGGAGGATGCAGAGAGAGAGGGTAGCGGGGTGGGACAGGATGTCGGATGTGGAGGAGAGGACGGAGAGGTCGGGGGGGAGTGCGAATAGCGGTAGTGTGAATGGAAGAGGTGGGGTGGGGAATGGTGTTCAGAGAGGTATGTTGGGAGGATGGAGAGAGGGATGTTGGCTGATTGGGGTGGTAGCTACCCCTGATTTCTTGGCCCCTCCGGATCAAGCTAAGCGACAAGTCACCAAGAAGAGGTCAAAGCCAATGGAGATGGTGCATAATATGAAGAAGAAGGTCGTGAGTAACACTTTCTCAACGCGAGAGCGGCGCTGACAGATCCCAGATGAAGAAGATGCCGAGCTTCGATAGGAAGAAGAGAGAATAGTCTTGTCGCGTCGTCACTATACGTTAATGATACCACCGCCACTACTCATACGCGTGAAAGCCAGTCTTATGAGGAAAATGCAATGCAACATACAAAGATGACCACTCTACATTTTCTAAGCCCATCCAACTTCCCACCACCAATAACCCAACGCCTCGTCCGTCCGCCCTTCGCCCTTCCGTCCTTTGACTGCGCGTTTCCCGTCGCCTCGGGTGCCGAGCTTGAGACCTCTTGCTGTACCCAGACCTTCGCCGCGAAGTTCGGGAGGGATTGAAGAGGAGGCGGAAGAGGCTGCGGCTTGACGTTCGGCGAGAGGGGTGTAGGTGGAGTGGGGAGGGAAGAATTGGACGATGGATTCGATCTCGGGTTGGAACGTCGGTCGAAGTGGAGACAGGATGTGCTGCGACTGATCAGCGAAGCACTGAGCGAAAAGAAAAGATACTGACGAAAGTCCCGCCTTGGTCGCCTTCACCTTCAGGCAGCCTCAACACCCACCCAGCAACCTCGCGCAACAACCGCGCATGCGTCTCATCATACACACAATCACTCGCCAACACCAAATCAAACGGCCCATCTTTGACAAACAGTGCCGTCTCTTCATCTCCTTCTCTCTGGCCGCTAGCCATGAATGCAGGGAATGTGGTCCAGTCGAGTTTAGCGACGTGAATCCCGGTATCGCGGGAAATGTCGGTGGCAGAGTGGATGCCCGAGTCGGTGATGGCTGGGGGGAAGTTGAGGTCGACGCAGACTTTGAGATTGTCGAGGACAGAGGGGAGAAAGTCTGTGGCGACTACGAGTCCTGGGTGGGTGGTTTCGGCGACGGCGTGGAGGTCGAGCAGTTTTCGGCCCAGGATGGATAAGAGGCCGGTGCCAGCGCCGAGCTCGAGCACGCGCACACCGCGGCTGGTGGAAGGGGGGAGGAAGAGGCCATAGTCGGCGGGGTGGAGAGATATTTGTCGGCCCAGGAGGATAGCGCTGCCCCACGTTTGGACGCCGACGGACAAGTGGTCGTTCATGGGCGCGTCATGCAGAAGAATAGGCAGTAGAGGGTATTTTGTACGGCGCGAAGACGTAGGAGAGACGGAGAGGTTACTTCGAGTAGCAGTGGGAGAAGAGGGGAGATGCTGAGTGAGGGTGAGGGGAGATGTGGGAGATTGAGAGAAGGACGCGAGGAATGTGGACGTGCTGGGAGAGTGCAGGGGGTTGGCCTCCAGTTTGGCACGCACTTGAGAGAGAGCTGGCCCAAGATACTCTGCCATGGGAAAGACGAGATGTCGAGTGAAAGACCCAGCAGCTGGTAAAGAGTCAGCAGAGTTGAGCGCAGATGCAGCGACTTACCACTGGTACCAGCCATCATCGCAAGGACAGCCGTAGCGTCTCGCAGTACAGCTTCTACCTCCTTGATCTCGGCCACCTTGTTCTCGACCTCCTCATTCTCTTCCAGCCATCCTTGGCTTCTTCGTACAAGTCCATTGAGCCACTTTTCAGACCACTCTCGCTCGAATGGATCTAGATGAGGCTTCTCCTCCTCTTGTTCAGACTCGTACGCCTTGGCGGCATCTTCCCCTTCACTCCGATCTTCCTTTTCCTCTGCTTCCTGATTCTCCATAATGGGGTGCTCCGGGGCTGCCGTCAACGGCACATCAAGCCCTAACCCCATACCTCCCATCGTCTCCACCAGCCCAGCGCTAAACCGTCTCTCCCTCTTCTTCTCCCGCGTCTCTTTCCTTACCTGAATGACCTTTTCCTTCCCTTGCTCTCCTCCACCATAATGCTCTGACCCATCACCGTCATCAAGCACGTCGGCGGCTTGGAATCCGCCATGGATCGGGGGCAGGTAGAGGGTGCGGAGGTGGGCGATGAGGATGAGGAGGTCGGCGGGGAGGAGGGGGTGGAGGGTGTACTGTGACTTGGGGAGGCGGGGGAGGAGGGAGGAGGGGATGGTGGGAGGGGAGGACATGGCAGGATATAGATGGCAGAGAAAGAAATTCCGAGTGAGGACAGTGGAGCACTAAAGTGGAGGCAGACAATTTGGTCCCGCTCACCTCCACCCATATTATGACCACCAAGCAACCACCAAGTCGCACTTACTGAAGTATAAGGAGGGCTGCAAATCGATATGGCTACAAGGGTCGCTAGAAGGGTTGACGATGTGACGGGGGTCGTTCAAAAAGACAAGGGCACCGATAAGTGAGCTGCCGTCTGACATACCACGTATATCTTGTTCATCGCTGATAACATACTCAGGCAGCAGTCTATAGCACAGTACACGAAAGCTCAGTACTCCAAGGCTGACTGTTTCGAGGCTGCTCTCGACTGCCTCATTGATTTGAACTTGGTATGTGCAGTTGACAGGCTCAGTCGCTTTTGGCAATTGTAGCTGACATGACGCTGTCAGCCTATCATGACTGTGGACCGCCCAGTCTTTCGCCATCTCATGCTAGTCTGCGGCAACGGCCGACTTCAAGATGGGGACATCTACCACCGGACCAAGGCGACTTCAATGATTGAAGACCGTGCGGACGTAGCGGTCGAAGAACTCAAGGCGCTTTTGAAGGTAAGCTCATCTCGGTGTCTTTGTCGTTTGATCGCGCTGACTTCTTTTACAGAAAGCGCACGCCAAGAAATCCATAACCTGGGACCTTTGGACCAGTGCCGACTGTACATCCTTCGTTGCTGTCACCGTCCACTGGGTGACCAACAAGTTCAAGATCACATCTGATCTCTTGGAGTTCAAGGAGTTGGAATCAGCTCACACTGGCAGCAACCTTGCCGAGCTTCTGTATCAACTCGTGAAGGAGTATGACATCGCCAAGAGCGTGAGTGCTATACAGCTCGTCATTTAGCGTTCTTCAGATAACGGGTCGACAGTTGATGGTTGTCACGTCGGATAACGCTTCTGTGAACGACAAGGCGACACGAGAATTTGCCAACCTCCTTAGCGTTCGCGACAATGTGCACTACACGGAGGACAGGCTGCGTGGAAGGTGCTTCTCGTCCCCTTCATGCCCTTAAGATGAATGTGGCGCCTTTGCTGATCTCTCACACTTCTGCAGGTGTTTCTCTCACATCATTGGGGTCGCTCTCGGTCACATGCTTGTCGCAATGAACGCCCTTCCCTCTTTTGAATTCTCTCCCCTAGTTGACTCTCATTTCTTCGAGCCCGAGACCTTCGAGGACTTCTTCCCCTTTGGCCAAACGCAAGAGGAGGACACCGAAGTGGACGCTGAAGAGCTTGAGGCTATCTGGTCGGCTTTAGCGGAGCATGGTAGTGAGGAGACAGAGAATATTGAGCGCGTGGATGTGGGCAAGCTCTTGGCCAAAATACGTCAGCTCATTGTTAAGGTGAGTTCGGCGGATCTCTTCATGACGAACCACCGCTGACATGGTCGTTACTGTTAGGTCCGAGGCAGTCCCAACGCTGGAAAATACTTCGAAAAATGCTGTGTGGACGCCGACGCTTGTCAGCTCGTTCTCCTGCCCTTTTCTAAGACAAGGTGGGGCTCAATGTGTACTGTGATCGAAAGGGTGCTGGTGCTCAGACCTGTAAGTCGCCTCCATATCTCCATGGACGATAGCTGATTTTGCTGCATCTTGCCAGGCCATAGACCACTTCACCAGCACCGCAGACAAGGCTCGCGACGTTCCCAAGGCCGGGCCCAAACGCCAGATGTATCGTGACTTCACCATATCTGATTGCGAGTATCAGGTGCTCGAGATGTTGAGGAAGATCATGAGAGTGAGTCAAACTTTGGTGATGGTTTGCCCGCAGCCTGCATTGTTCGCTGATTGCCTTGCCATATAGCCTGGTGTTGACATCCAGCAGATCTTCGGCGCTCAAGATCATCCAAGTATTGGGCTTGTGATGATCGAACTGAGCAAACTGATCGAGACGTGGGAGCGGATGTCCGAGTCGTTCACCAACTTTAGCATCCAACCTGCCATTCAAGCAGGGATCAATAGCATAAAAAAGTATTACAAGAATGCTATCATTGCGGGTGTACCGGTCTTCGCCCTTTGTAAGTCCGGTGCTCTTGCCTACCTCTTAGAGCAACGCAAAGGATACATGCTGACTGTCCTCTTCTCGTCTATTCAGTCCTACACCCTGCATTCAAGGACATCTGGTCCATGGTCCATCTCGGTGCTGAGACGCACGAGGAGTTGCTTCAGGCTTTCACAGAGGAGGCGCGGTGGACCAGGTCGCTCGAGAGTCGAGACTGTACGGTGGCAGAGTGCTAACAACCAAACAACAGTTTCGCCGCTATCGGAAGATCTACGCCACCACTTCTACCACATCTTCCCCCGCCACGCCTACCATCGACACAGATCTTCCTGCCATGAGCGCCTCCCAGATGAAGATGCACAAGTTGAAGATGGAGAGGAAGAGGAGGGCGGAAGAGTTGGCGCGATCGGAAGCTGGAGATCCCGAGCTTACCGAACTCACCGACTACTTCAAGCTTCTTGAGGAAGAACCCGTGGTTCCGAAGGGTGTCCAGCGACACGAATTCGTCTCTGAGTGGATCTTGACGTGGTGGTATGTGAGTCTACCAACATCTTCTTCTCGAAAAGGGTCCCTAGTTGACATCCAGTGACAGAAAAAGCAGACGATATACCCGGTGCTCTCCAAGATGGCTCGTGACATCTGGGGTGTGCAAGCCTCTTCGGTGCCTTGCAAGCGGATGTTCTCTCAGGCTGGCTTGGCTGATACCAAGAGGCGCCAGTCCATGACCCCCAAGCATTCTGGTCAGCTACAGCGCCTCCAGGCCCATGCCAAGGTAGTCAAAGAGGTCGCCACGAAGCGTAGTGCCTAGATAAGCTACGGGGAACTACTGTGTTGTTGGCGATTCATGAGCAGCATGCATATGGTATATCGTTTGTCCCGACTCTGTACAGCCAGGGTAATCATATCCGGGGGCCATGATGTCCTCATTGAACCCGCCTCGTCCTGTCCTTCTTGCTATTCTACAGTCTTCCTCTGGTCTTTGGGACTTTCACTATTTGCAAATCAACGGCACTTGACGATAGTACGCCTCCCCAGCCCAGAAGTAGCAAAAAGGTCACTTCGGTGCCGGCAGCGCAGCCCCGTCCAATTTCGAAGAAGCATGGCAAAACATTCTCGAACTCATGAAAAGACGAGATGAAAGTGAGGAGAAGTATAGCAGGCTGCAGCAGCACCCCGAAAACCACGAGATGAACGACAGAGTGCGCCTTGCCTATCCGGATGGTTCTTCCCGGGACGAGCTGATTATCGTTACCGAAACAGAGCCGTACTCATTCCAAAAAGGCCGGCGAGTTCAGGTCCATTCGCAGTCATGTGAATGACAAGACGTACCCCGATGGTATCAAAGAAGCGGTACGTACCCCCAAATCCCCTGGCTCTTCGTACTACAGTCGCTGATTTGTGGCGCTCTACGCCTAGATCTGCCACTACGATGTCTTTCGCCATCACAACCATGGGCCGGAAGCTTCTTCCACAGCCTTCCAGAAGGAGAGGCTGATTTCCTTCTTGTCTGGGCAGGATATCTAATGGTTGTATGGGCGATCATCACGCCGTGTCATGTTTCTCCTTCCAGATACGATTTCTTATTACCTATAGCCTCTGTGCCGTAAAGCGTCAATAGCTGTACTCGAGTACTATACCAGAATGTATCAAACTATCTGTATAACCAGGACGATATCTTTCTGCACCTCTGAGCTGGCGTCTGTTTCCTGGACTAGTGCTGAGAGGTACTCAATACATCATATCAAAAGTCCGAGAAAGGGGCATCGTCTCGCGCATCGCGCATCGTATAACGTATCAATCATTACAAACAAAGAGTCCGGCTCTCTATCCCAGCCTTTTTCCCACTATCGGCTAGGTCAAATCATGTTCGGCGTAGCCTGGGGCCACCCCACTCTCGGCTCCTCCTTCGCATACACCTTCGCCCCCGTCCCATGCCTATGCAGCCCAGCGCCCGCGCCGGTATGATGATTCTCCACGCCCGTAGAGTGCGCTTCTGGGAAACTGACTTCATTCTGCGCGGGCGGTGAGGGGTGGGTGAGCTGGTGGGCGGATGGTTGGTGAGGTTGGAGATGAGTGTTATGAGAGGGGGGTGGTGGTTGGGCGTTGTAGGTGGGTAGGAAGGTATCTGTGGAGGAGGCTGGTTTGTAGCCGTAGGCAATGTCTTGTTCGTGCACCTGAGGGCCGTCGACGTCGTATATCGACATCTGATTCGAGTTTTGATAGCTATCTCATTGTCAGCGTCTTCCACTCGGGTCGCGACGGTACTCACCTGATATCGTAAGGATTCTGATAACTCTGATGCCTCTCCAACCTCCCCTGCTGCCTCTGCCCTCGATAATCGTCCATCCCAAGCGTATCCATCCTATACCCCTCCTCCCTCTCCCTCTCCTGCTCCCTCTCATGCTTCACCAAAATCGGGCTCCTCGCCTCATCCTCCTCCTCCGCCCTCCCCGGCCTCAGCGCATGCTCCCACTCCTTCCCCCTTCCCGCCAGCCCGTCCATCCCCGCATGCGGACTCTCAATAAACTTGCCCGTCTTGGGATCTAGAGACATGCCCTTGGCAGCGGCTTCGATCTTTCTGCGGCGCCAGACGATGGGGCGCACTTTGTGAACTTCGTGCCAGATGTACCAGGCGGAAGCGATGGTGATTAGGAAGCCGCCGATGAGGACGCCGCGGGAGATCCATTTTTCTTTGGAGCTCGAGTCGGTGTCGTCGAAGAGGACTCCGAGGTATACGACAATGAGCTGTGTAGGATGTTAGTGGGTGACAGGAGTGGAGGGAGGGCGACTTGCCTGTTTGGGAAGAGTGAGGATGGCGGCTAGGGTGAAGATCCAGATGTTCATGCCGCAGGTCGCAAAGACGGCGGTCGTGAAGTGACTACTGGTAGTCAGCACAACACGAAACACCTTCAAGCCATGTGTTTACCCAGGAATAGCGCTCAGCCTGACCACAAAGATGATAAAGAACCCTCCCTCTCTGACTACATGGGCCAAGCAAGCATAGTTCATGTTGTTCTTTTCGTATTTCTCGGCGTGGGATTTGAGGCAGTATTTGAACGCGTAAAAGTTGCCGATCTCGCCCAGGAGAGTACCGGCAGATGTGATACCTTGATGATGGTCAGCTACGAGTCAAGCGGCGAGGAGGAGTATGCACATACCGAAACCTTCCCATAGACCCCAGACAACACCACATAGCACAGCAACGATTTCCTGCGGCATGGTCAGCTTGAGATGGGAAGCAGACATGTAACTTACGTGACCAAAGAGCGGGGGGAATGAGAGGACAAAGAATACAGCAATGGGGATGACCCAGCCGGCAGTCAGGCTAAGCTGTGCGTGAGCTTGCGTCTAGTAGAGAACACTTGACGACCTACTCTTTCATCCAGTTGGCGACGGGTCTCAGCCAGTCGACGATCTACCGCCATGGTCAGCTATGCCATTTGAGAGTAGACGATACCAACCTCGTCATGATACAGAGACATCAGACAGACCAAGACGATGCCAACGGCTCCCAAGATATACCAGACTGCCGTCGGTCAGCCCGAACCACATAACCTTTTGACGGTACTTACACCACCATTCTTTTCTGATCCAATATCTCCACTGCTTCAGCGCATTCCAATCTATCATCCCCTGGCTCAAAAATTGTCTCTCCGCCTCCTCGTCCTCCTTTGTCCACCCTTCAGGATAGTCTCCCTCTTTGCTCCGGCTGGCCGAATTTGCCTCTCCGCGTTCGGGGTCTGCTAAGGGTTGTGCCGAGGATGAGGACGCTGAGCGCATCATGGGTGCTGGACTCGATCCATACAGCGGCTGCTGTACACCAAGATTGGGCGACGGGCCTCTAGACATCTCGGCATAGGGGTTGTCGCCAAGGTATGCCGGAGGGTAGGCCTGTGCGGCGGCAGGCATATCTGAATTGGCGTGGCGCTCGTCGCGCCTGCGCTGGTAGTCGAGGCCTTGGGGGCGGGCAAAGTGGTCTGGGGGGTAGGGGTGTGATATGGGGGGGCGGTCGTCCATGGCGGTGAAGATGCGGATGAGAGATGTGTCGCGAGGAAGTCGGGCCTTTAGCGTGGTTGCGGTGTTGCAGTGTTGCGGTGATTGTACTGGTGTGGCCTTTGACCGGGTGGCGGATGAGTGATGTACAATGTCAAGATAGCTTTTCCATGCATCCCTCTGCACAGCCATGCATAGCTTCTCGGCGGTCGCTAGTCGCTACTCCCATGTCCCTGAAACGCGTAGACGCGTAGAACGCGTATTGTTCTCTTTCTTCTGCGAAATTCAAAGTTTCACTTGACTTTGACGTTTGACTTGGCAGTTTCGGCCCACACTACAGTAGATGACACCCTCACATGGACAGGGCACAATTGATGTCAGGCCTTTGTCTTGATTCACAGCATCAAACAGCACTGTTTCCCAGCGTTTTCCTTTGTCTGGTCGCCGTGAACTGATGACATATGCGTTTCCCACTCACGCAATTATAAAGTGTGTAGTTTCGGGTATTTGGTCCGGGCTGATATCATTGCACTATTTGGCCCCATCCGCCGCATTGATCGCCTGCATGGCATCTCTTCGCGGCCCCATATCCCGCAGTCGATCCCCTACGCCGTTAGCAGCAGTAGATTCTGATGATCAGTTTGGCTCCGCGATGACCACAGGTTTCCAATATGACATGCATGAAGCTCATATGTTTACACTGAATGCAGACAGCATTTCAATACACGGCAACACCCTCTCACGCTTTGGAGGTCCCATGGCCCAAAAGCTCCTCAGCCGATTGAGTGCCTCGTTCGCTATACCACAAACATCAGTAACGACAAGTGCGTATCGAGTAGACGATACTCACTACTCACCTCTCATGGATGGTTCTTGATGAGGTGGTAGTTCATTTCGTCGCTGACAATAGAGTCTTGCTTGTAAGCCGGGCGAGAGGTGATGAGATCCAAGTGGCCGGAGTGGGCAAATCGCCTAGGGGAACGATATCAGCTATGTTGTCTTTGAGAAGTCACTCGCAAAGCCCACCCTTGGCCCGAAGCTTGATGAGCTCGAGGTATTTACTGATCCCATCCATCGCATCCTCGTCTGCACCAACAATTCTGAGGTATCCTTCAACAGCACCCATCAATCCAGGGAAAGCGCCTCCATCGCCATTGATGATTTTGTCCAAGCTCATCTCTTGTATATCGGCTGTGCTCTCAGAGTCAAGAGAACCTTTGGGAGGAAAAATATCCTTCCGAAAAGCAAACTTGTTGATAGCGGCGTTCTTATCATCCAGTGCTGCTACCATGTACTCAATCTCAAAGAAGGTTGTCAGAAACGACCCTCTTCTGGTTGAACAGGCTAGCGCTTACCTCATCACCCCAGAGGAACTCGTGGCAGACTCTGCCTTTAGTTCTGTCCCAGATCTTGAGGAACTGCGTGATTCCGTGGCTCCAGATGTGCTCTGCGAGAAGCTCGGTAGCTTCCCAGCTGAGAGGTTTACCATCGACAAGAAGACCCATTGTTGGAGTATGATTTGACTTTGGACGTAAAAAGAGACCGGACGAAGAGAGGAAAGAATGGAACGTAAGTGGTACTCGTTTCTGGTACAGATGAATGTTGGATGCCGGCTCTTATAAGGGGAGGAAAACGCCAAGACCTTGCATTCTACTGACAACGTCGAGTCACCCACCTTCCTAGAATAGGGCCAAGTAAACTGATTGAACATCGCTAGAAAATGACTTCCTTTCTTCATCTCATTACGGCAAGCAGTTTGTGAGAGCCGCATGACGTGATGCTCGAAAGTCCGATAGAAAGTCACCAACGTTTGCCGGTGCTCCTCACTTCGAGCGAAGTCGAACACCTTGCTGCTGATGTAGGGGTGCGAGCATCAAAAGAGGTTTCAAACTCTACCGACAAAGCAGTTCGTACGGGAGCTGAGATATTGCCCTTGCTCCGTCATTCGTCCGTTCCGAAACATCCCTGGCCCCAGTCAAGGCCGACGTGGGTTTGTCGTTGGTGGTGATGTTAAACATTTTGGAGCTACCCACATAAGGTCCATATTTCGGGAAGCTTCGATCTCGTATAGATTGCGATTGTGATAGAAATCAGTCACCATGTCGTTCCCAGCCGCTTCTACTTGCATTCCTCAACGTTCACAAAGGTCCTGACCTCGCATAAAAGTCCTTTCCCAAAAGCTCCGGGACTGACCTCTGACCTCTCTCACTGTATCACTTGTCAGCGTCACAGATATATGCTGGACACCTACTCTACTCACAGCTCGTCGATAGCCTTTACGAGGTCGTAGTTGATCTCATCGCTGACGATAGAGTCCTGTTTGTAGTCGGGGTGAGAAGTGATGAAGTTTCTGATCCAGCTTGCAGGAGTCATCAAGTCGCCTTGAAAAGAAAACGTTAGCTGCGGTATGATGAAGTGTCACTTGAAGCGCCCACCCTTGGCTCGAAGTTTGATGAAATCGAGATAACGCCCGAGACCATCCATCGTCTTCTCATCCGCATCAACGGTCTTGAGGTATTTCTCGACAACACCCATAAGCCCAGGGAAGCCGGCTCCATCGCCGTTGATGATGTCGTTCAGGCTCATGTCTTGTATATCGTCTTTGGCTTCAGAGTCAGAAGAGTTTTCGAAAGGGAAGATGTTCTTTCGGAAAACGAATGTCTTGGTAGCGGCAGCATTGCGTTGATGTGCACGTTCCATGTTCTCGTCGACCTATCAAAAAATATCATCAGTGATCATATGACCTTGTGTGCGAACGGGAAAGAGGCGGTACCTTCGAGATGGGAATGTAGAAGTTCAGCTTGAGACTGGTGATCGCCCGGGTGAGCAGCACAACAAAGATCGAAAAGGCAGCATTCTCGAAATCCGTCATCTGAATCTCCATCGTCCGAATCTCGACCCTCCAGCCGATAGTCGAGTCCGGAGGAGGAGGCTTGAACCGGACACTCGGCCAAGTACCAGTGTTGATCCCATCAAAGTGGAGGGTGGACTTGCTGTCGTCTTGATTGACGAGCTCAGACATTTGAATGAGAGGATCTCGGATGAAAAGATGCGCAATGTGGTCAGCCATCTTGTTGTCGATGCCTGAAAATACTTTGTAAGCGCTCACCCCAGCTGTCACCGGGCCGGACTGACCATGTTCAAGCAGTCTCTTTCTTGCTTGTGCGTTGGTAGGCACTTCGATACCGTACTCGGGCTTGTTCTTGTCGTCGTTGGCGATGTACATATTGACGGAGTGCCAGCGGGGTCTTATCTGAGATCGTAGCCCTTTAGCAAATGACTGCGGCAAGCACCAGAGAGGACAGCTTGGAGCAATGCCATAGTCTGCAACGCACCTTTGCGTCTTTCTTCTCGTCTTCCGTCCGATCATCAGTGCTACTGACTATCGCGTCCCAGCGGGTGTCAAGATCCGACAGACGACCATGGAACACAGGACTAGCCGCCGTAAGTGCGAGCTGGCAATCATACTTTTGTCAGTCATTGACATCCAAAAATATGCGAAACCTACTCACCATAATCGGAGCAACCGAGACCAAGCCATCGAACAAGGTTCTTGCTTCGTCAACGTCGGAAGCTTGTAAGGTGACCTGCAAGCAGCAACAACCGATGCCGTACGCCATGGCATCCATGAAAATTGTGGGAATACCGGAAGCTGTTGCAGTTGTGAGCCAAGATCATCTTCTGTTCGCGACATGCCAGGTAGACCTTCCCTTCACTTGAGAGCCGTCTGGGTGGTGCACCTGCTGCTTCGTGTCGGTATGCTTGTCGATAAACAGCTGTATCTGAATATCGAACGCTCCTGCCCCTCGTCTCTGAAGAGTATTGCTACCAAGCGCACTGGGCATCGCGTCAGCCTCGGGTTTCATTCAAAGATGATCGGGCCCAGCCAAACAACTCACTCAAACCTGGGATGGTCAGTGTTCCTGACAAGCTTGTCGACGTCCACATGTTGCTCCTCCAAGTCCTCGTCCTCCTGATTCTTCGTTTCCATTGGTTCTTCGGTAGTGAAGGCAGTATCGGTGACTCCCATCCTTGGCCAAGAGGTGATGGTGAGGAGTATCTCCGAGGGCTGTAGCTCGCGGCGGATGATCTGTCGTCGAAAGCGCATGTCGCCTTCCACGGATAGAAGCGAAGAAGGGGCATCGGAGAACGGGTTGCCTGGGGTAGACTCGATTTGGTACCGTCCGTACTCGTGATGGAAAGTGGGGATACCGGCACTGTTTCCCTTGCATCAGCAAAGTTAGAAACGGGCTATACCTGAGGATTTACCTGCTTGCATACCCCTGGTCCATCGCGAGAGAAGAGTCAATACCGTCTGCTTGCAATGCTTTGATAGTCACGGAGCTCTGTCGCAAGCTCAATCTGGCGGACTTGCGCTCGTGGTCCAGAGATGCGACCATGTATTCGATCTGGAAGAGGGGTGTCAGCAGTACACTCTGCTGATTGTACGTTGTAAGGATCACCTCGTCACCCCATAGGAAATTGATGCAGGTCCGGCCCTTCGTCTTGTCCCATATATTCAGGAACTGCGTGAGACCGTGATCACGGATGTGCTCGGCGAGGGGCTTGGTCTCTTCCCAGCTGAGAGGGCTGCCTTGTACAAGGAGGCCCATGTCTTGGAGACGATGGTGTTGGTGAGAGTGGAAAGAGTAGAAAAGGAGAAGAAGATGGGAAATATGTTATTCGGGGTCCTTGTAGTTGTTTATTGCGACACGACGCACATCTGTGTTAAGATCAGCGCCCCCGAGACGCGACGCGCCGAAGTACGACAGCTTGTTGCAGGCGTCCAGGTATGCAAGACACTGTGAGCTGGTAGGCAAAACCTGCCTTGTACGGCAAGACAGCAACCAGCTCGCAGGTCATCGTAGTGCTCTTATACATGCCGGAGTTCCCTACGTATCCTATACCCAGGCGCAAATCCCTGGCAGATGCGAGCTTCTACATCGCGCCCTGATCTAGTTCTCAATGTTGACAGACACATATCAGACCCTCTATACCTTTCTAAAGCGCATCCGTTGGTCCTAATGTAGCGTAGTCTTTACCCAGGAGCTCAGGAGCTGACCTGACACCTCTTTCACTGTACGAGTACAGTAGGCGTCAGTGTTAACGCATGCTTCGATTCCCTATACTCACAGCTCATCAATGGCCTTGACCAAATCGTAGTTGATCTCATCGCCGACAACAGAGTTTTTCTTGTATGCCGGGTGTGAAGTGACAAAGTTTCTCATCCACGTTGCAGGGGTGATCAAGTCGCCTAGCATAGTGATTTCAGCCAGGGTGCCAATGAACACACAAGTCGCACAAAAAGCTCACCTTTGGCCCGAAGCCTCACGAGATTGAGGTACGAGCGGAGGCAAGCCGCTGCGTCTTCGTCCATCTCCACAGTCTTGAGGTATTCATTCACAAAACCCATAAGCCCAGGGAAAGTAGCTCCGTCGCCGTTCATGATCTCGTCCATACTCATATCTTGGAAATCATCCTCGATCTCGACATGGGAGGGGCCATTCGAGGGGGAAATGTTCTTGCGGAAAACGAACATGCCTATAGCGGCAGCATTGCGTTGATGAGCACGTTCCATGTTCTCGTGGACCTATCACACTTTCGATCAGCGCTGAGACGTGTGTATGACTAGACAAGATGCCGTACCTTCGAAATAGGGATGTAAAGGTTAAGATCAAGGTGCGTTATCGCTCTGGTCAAAAGAACAACAAATATCACAAAGGCAGCATTCTCGAGATCCGTCATCTGGATCTCCATCGTCCGAAGCTCAACCCTCCAGCCGATAGGTAAGTCAATAGGAGGAGGCTTGAACCTGACACTCGGCCAGACGACAGTGTTGATACCTTCGAAATGAATGGTTGACTTGTTGTCATCTTGGTCAACGGTCTCGAACATCTGGACGAGAGGATCTCGATTGAATAGATGGGCTACGTGATCTGCCAACTTGTCATCGACACCTATCGGCCAGTATTGTCAGCAACCGTTCTACTATCATCCGACAGACTTACCGTGTTCAATCAATCGCTTCTTTGCATCGTCATTGATAGGTACATCCACATCGTTGTACACAGCCTTGTTTCTCTCATCGTCGGAGACATACAGGCTGACGGAACTCCAACGGGGTCTGACCAAAGAAGAAGCCTTTTGCTTGGTCACTGGCTATGAATTGAGTCAGCTGCTGTAGAAGCGGGAACAATTTGTGGCTTACGTCTACACCATTCTCTTCTTCTTCTGTGCGGTCGTCAACGCTCGCTGCCACTACACTCCAGCGGGTGTCGATGTCTGCCAGGCGACCCTGGAATATGGGACTCGCTGCCGTCAATGCTAGCTGTGATGCTTTTTGTCAGCCATTGACGTCGGGGGAAAGATTGCGGCTTTGACTCACCATGATTGGGGCGATAACGACCATGGCATCGTGTACATATCGAGCTTGATCAATGCTAGATGCTTGAGAAGTAACTTGTAGGCCGCAGCAGCCAAGGCCGTAGGATACCGCATCCATCTGGATTGTAGGGACGTCTGAAGCTACGCAGGTCCCTGTGTGAGCTGAGACAGTCTTGCAATCAAAACAACACGGCGAGACTAACGATTGCAGTCTCCATTGTGACGAGCCGAGACCCGAGGACCCTCGGTATGTGTCAGCTTGTCAATGAACAGTGGGACTCTAATGTCGATTGGACGGCCTCGTCTCTGGTGAATGCTGTCATGAAGGGAGCTATGTTTCTAGTCAGCTTCCACTCAGGCTTCGTAGGGCTCTCTAGGGGGCCAACGCACCGGAATCTGGGATGATGAGTGTTGGTGAGAAGCTTGTCGACGTTCTTGGTAACCTTCCCGGAGCTCCCATCAAAGTTCATATCGGCGGGCGCCTGGGTGAAAGAAGTATCGGTGACCCCCATCCTCGGCCAGGAGGTGATGGTGACCAGCACCTCAGAAGGCTCGAGCTTGCTGTAGATGATTTGGCGTCGGAAGCGCATATCGGCTTCTACGGATAGAAGAGAAGAAAGAGCGTCGGAGAAAGGGGCGCCAGGGGTGGTTTCAATCATGTGACGTCCGTACTCTTCGTGAAAGATAGGGACCATGGTGCTATGCATTGCGTCAGCGTTGTACGTTCGAGACTCGGATTCGACAACCTACTTCCCAGCCGGCTTGTCCTTCAACAAAGCAGGGTCGAGGCTTTCGTCTCGTAGTCTGTCCAGAGTCACCGAGCTCTGTCGCAAGCTCAGCCTGGCGGTCTTGTGCTCGTCATCCAGGCATGCAACCATATACTCAATCTGGTACGCGGTAGCCTGTCAGTGAAAGCAAATCAACCAACGTGTCGTGTTGAAACATACCTCATCGCCCCATAGGAACTCAGTGCAAATTCTTCCCTTCGTCTTGTCCCAGATGTTGATGAACTGGGTGATGCCGTGGTATCGGATATGTTCGGCGAGTGGCTTGATTGCATCCCAGCGGAGAGGAGTGCCTTCTACAAGGAGGCCCATGCTCGGAGACGTCGATAGATGCGGGCGAAAGAGATGTAAAAGAAGACGATGGAGGACGAAAGCAAAAAATGGTCTCGTATTATGAGCGAAAGAATCCATGCAGTCCGTGCACACTCCTGCCCTCGAGCCAGCTACCTGCCAAAGAAGTCAGTGAATAAACTCAAGGGAGATAAACGTCTACAGCCGTTCCCGATCCCAAAGACGCCAAGGCGTTCTGAAACGAGCTTGCCGTGCGCGAGACCCAACAATCCGACAACAAAAGATAACGTCCATCGTCACTTCCCTCAACATGTGGAAGCGCGACCCTGTGATCCTGGCTGATAAAACGAGGGTAGAAAGAAGACTGACAGCTATGCATGTATGTGTAATCTCCCTTGACCATCAGATTCCGGTCACCCCACAGGGGCAGGCGGTAAAGTTGCGGCAAGCACGCTCTTGGACACGCTGCATTTTGAGTGCCGTGGCGTTCTTTGTCAAGAGAGAATGAAGATAAGAAGAAGAGAAGAACATTTACACCCGCAAACGAAAGCCCGATAAGGATCTCGTAAGTCCCGCCCGGATGCAGATCATCATCCTTCAACGTGGCAGGGCACCCCTATCAACATTACGAAGCAAAGGTCCCACGAGACCTTTCTGCGCGATTCCACCAATCGACGCCCTTTTGCCTCGAGGTATCGATGTAAGGTACTCGTACCGATCGAACCCAATAAAATCTGAAACACGAGTCGTTGTCAATGTTATTATACATGCTGGGGTCACCCACAGAACCTTCTACCCATGCGAAAAAAGTCACCATCGGATACCGCGCCCTCATCTAGAATTGAAAATGAAAGAAGCCGCTATACCACATCGTCTATATTCTCCTTCTCTTAAAGACAGCCCGTAGGCCCTGACCCAACATAGTCTTTACCCAAAAGCTCGGGGGCTGACCTCACACCTCTCTCGCTAATGACATAATCAGCATCGCCACCTCGTGTATTGGGTTTCTGAAACTCACAGCTCGTCGATGGCCTTGACGAGGTCATAGTTGATCTCGTCCGTGACCTCCGAGTCTTGCTTGTACGCCGGGTGCGAGGTGATGAAGCTCCTGATCCACGTAGCAGGAGTCACAAGGTCGCCTAATCCCACCAACATCAGCCCATCGTCACACGACCATAACAATCTGTTCAAACTCACCCTTCGCCCTCAACTTGATCAAGTCCAAGTACCTCCTGATATCACACTTTGTATTCACATCCACATTCAGTGAATTCAAATACGCATTCACAACCCCCATCAACCCCGGGAAACCCCTCCCGTCGCCGTTCATGATTTCGTCCAAGCTCATCTCACCAAAGTCGTCCCCGAGCTCGTCGGCAAAGGAGCTGCAGGAGGAGGCGGTAGGTGAAGGAGCGCGGTCGTGGGAGGTACCGTTCGGGCGGTGGCCTTTGCTGTTGCTGTTGCCATTGGGGCGGGAGTTGAGAGAGGAGGAGCCGGAAGAGCCTGGGGGAGAGACTGGGCGGGAGTGGGGGTCGAAGCGGGAGCCAGAGGAAGTTTCGAGAGGGAACACGTTCTTGCGGAAGAAGAACTTGTTGTTGGCAGCCGCATCGCGCTGCTGACCACGCTGCATATTCTCATCCACCTGTCCTAGTCAGCTTGCGCCCACCTTCTGAGAAGAGTGAGCTTACCTTTGACAGAGGCATGTAAAAGTTCAAGTTGAAACTGATAATGGCCCTAGTCAACAGCACGATAAAGATCGAGAACGCCGCATTCTCAAAATCAGTCATCTGCACCTCCATACTCCTAAACTCGACTCGCCACCCGATCGGCGAGTTGACAGGCGGCGGCTTGAATCGGATAGTCTGCCAATTGGTGGATTGGATGTTTTCAAAGTGGTCCATGGACTCTTTGTCGTCCTGGTCGATGGTCTCGGAGAATTGGACGAGGGGGTCGCGGATGAAGAGGTGGGCGATGTGGCTGGCGAGTTTGTCGTCGATGCCTGGTACGCGTTAGCCCAAATTGTGCAGAGTGGGGTCGAGCTCACCATTCTCCAACAGCCTCTTCTTGACCTTCTGATTGACCGGTACATCAATATCCACATACTCGGGCTTGTTGCGCTCGTCATTCGCAATGTACAAGTCGACAGAGTCGTATCGCGACTTGGGAATCCGATACTTGTCGTCCTTCAACGGCTACCAACATTTATCAGCGACCTATCGGTCTTATCCGATCGACAGTACTCACCTTCAAACCCCTCTCTTCCGGTGTCCTATCGTCCACACTGGCAGCAATCACATTCCACCTCGCATCCACATCTGCCAACTGTCCCCTATACGCCGGGCTCGCCGCAGTCAAAGCCAGCTACCCCATTCCGTCAGTCTTACACCCCAACCCCATACAGTAGTTGGATACGGACCATAATGGGAGCCACGGGCACCAGCGCGTCATACACTCTTCGCGCTTCTTCGACGTTCCAAGCTTGGAACGTGATTTGCAAGCAGCAGCAGCCCATGCCGAAAGCCATCGCGTCCATGTGGATGTAGGGCGTGCCGGGCAGGGGTTTGGCACGTCCAGCTAAGGTCAAGGTCAGTAAAGATCGACTAGAGCATGAAAGAGACTCACGAGCACTGGTGGTGGAGAGCTGTGGCCTGTCAAAGCCTTCTGGGATCGGAGTCTTCTCGTCAATGTACAGCGGAAGTCGGATATCCACCAAGCTCCCCCTCCTCTCGCGAATATTGGCCGTCAAAGTCCTACCCACCCCATCAGCTCCACCCCCATCCACACTCATCAAAGCACTCACGGGAACCTCGCATGAGGGTTCGTCAACAGCTCACCCACATACTGACTCTTACTACTACTCTTCTCCACATCCGGCTTCGTCTCTGGGTCAGTAAACGCGCTGTCTGTCACTCCCAGCCTGGGCCAAGAGGTGATGGTAATCGGGATTTCAGTGTCTTGCAAGTGCGATCGGATGATTTGTCGGCGAAAGCGCATGTCGGCTTCCACGGCGGTGAGGGAGCATGGGTTGCCGGAGAAGGGACCTCCGGGGGTGGACTCGAGCATGTATCGTCCGTACTCGGGGTGGAAGGTGGGGATTTCGGCGCTACAGCCATCGTCAGACTATACATCAAGGACGCTTTTGGGAGGGGCTCACCATTTTTTGGGCTTGAACTTTTCCAAGGCAGGGTCGAGAGTGACGCTCTTGAGCTTTTCGAGGATCTCAGTCTGGCGCAAGCTCAATCTCGCAGCCTTGTGCTCATCGTCGAACGACGCAACCATGTACTCGATCTGCAAGCGTCAGCTCTTTGTCATCGTAGCCCATATATCCACTGACCTCGTCGCCCCAGAGTAGCCCCTTCCCGGCTTTATCCTTCCACTGGTCCCAGGTATTCAGGAATTGTGTGATACCGTGGTCTCGGATATGCTCGGCGAGAGGCTTTGTCTCCTCCCAGCTGAGAGGAGTACCGAGGGCGAGGAGACCCATGTTGTTGCAGGTGTGAGGGTGTTACCGAAGGTATCCGATGGTATTGGAGCTGGGTGGTAGATAGCTCTTGTTGCAGGGCTAGCTATGAAGACGACGTGATCAGACAAGAGAGCGGGAGGATGGAAAAGGGAATGCTGACTCACAGTGGTGGTTGCAGACAAAAAGTCGAGTTGACGACTGACCAAGGCAAAGTCGGGAAATTCGGAATTCCGGGGCCTGGTGTGGGGCGCTGATTAAGCACTGGGTGGAGGTCGGTGTGCTGCAGGGGAGGGGGGATGGCGAGGGGGGCGTGGTGGATGTCAGAGGCGGCGGGTAAAAAAGTTGTGCTGTCGTTGGGCTGTCGCACTCTGCGGGAGTGCGATGACAAACATGAACCGCCAGCCGCGCAGAGCCAATCTCGGGGCCGCTTTTAGGAGTTACCAAACCGGCCTCGAGTCTGATTATCTATGCATCTTGCACCCTCAGCCTCCTATATATACGGGGGAAACGAGACAGAGGGGGGCTGGGTAGGGATAAATGCGCACCTTAACGAGGGCGATGGCGTTCTCTGTCCTCATCGGATTGCAATTCGTCTCATGTAGGTAGTACCGCCCGCAGCGGCAGCAGACGGCACGATGGGCTGGCGGGTGTTGGGCCATGGATGATCCGAGGAAGCATGGCCAGGCGAAAGTGTGTAAAAGCTTCTCAAGGCCCCATCAGCCGCCGGCTCCAGGCAGACCTTTTGAGGGTCGAAGCCTGGTTGAGGAACACAATGAAGGATAGAGCGAAACCCAAAGTTGGCCAAAAATGATCAACAAGGTGGGTGAGGGTGATCGCCTGCGACGACAACAAGTACCCTCAGACTTTATAACTATCTACCTTCGACAGTCTACCTCGGGCTCTGCTTACTCAGCTTTCTCGCCGCCGCCCCGCACCCTTGTGGCCAGCATGAGGCCCCGGTCCGTCGCCCGTCGGGCTTTCCAGTAAATACAGCCTTCGGTCTGAAGCTAATTGGCATCATCTCAATGTCTCTCCCGTCTTGAACGTGCATGTTGTCACCTCGAGTGAAAAAGGAACAGGGGCCATTCGACAGCTCATAGCACGAATGATGAGGGTGGGTGGTGGCGCCGATGGGCGAAGGGGGTGGGGCTTATGCAAGCGCGCTTTTCCTCTATCAAATGAAAGGTCCCTGATTGGCAAGTCTGATCCACTTTTTCGTGCCTCTACACACCCCACTTCTACGGCTCTACGTGGATGGCCAATGCCCGGGACTGTAGGACTCTAACCAAGCTGGTGTACTACCTCCACTGACAAGTCTCTTGGACTCTATGTTAAAGCCCAGCATTCAAAGCAATGTCATACTCAATTCATTATCCTTGTACGATTGATTCTGATGGTCTGGTTGCCCACTACTACCCCCGACTCCCGACTATTACCTATTACACTCATCGACAACCACAAACTTTACTTTGATGAAAAATGAAGAGAGGAAGGAGGAAGGAGGAAGAATACGTTTATGATAGAGAAAGACGAGACGGGAAAACTATGCTGTGAGGTACAGGATACAAATGACCAGAGGCAAGATGTTACGAGCCATATGTCTTCTGTCAAGCAAGAAATGGCTAAAAGAGGAGAAAGACAAAAGGGGTAAAAATTATACTTGGTTTGGTGTTTGGTTTTCGAGTTTTCTTTGCTAAAAGTTGGAAGAATGGAACACAAGTGGATGAGAAAGCTCCCCTGAAAGTCTCTCCCTAGTCCATGTCAACGTCGCCTCCCCTTGCTGTCCGACCGCTGACGATATTGTCATCATAGTCATCATCTTCCTCTTCAGAAGAAGAGTCCTCGTCGTCTTCATCATCGACGGCGTTCTCATTATCAGAGTCGCTGTCCATCTGTTGATCCGCGAGCACCGATTGAGGCTACGTTTCATATCAGCGGCCATCCCTTATCCCAAAGCTCGTATGACTCACCATGAGCGACTCTCCAGTATACGTAAACCCTCTAAAGTTTTCTTGCACACTGCTCGTCAATGGGCTCCCGCTCGCCCCAGGCAAAGGCGGCCTCTGACTCTTATTAATCGCAACCCCATCCGGTCCCCCTTGACTTCCACTCAGCCCCGCACCAGGACCGAGATACGAATGCTTCCCCGTCAAGCTCCCGCTCCCCACCCCAGCCTCACCCGCTCCATCATTATCATCCCACGGCACAATCCCCGCATCGAGAAGGGAAGAGTTTGTGAATTCGGGATCAAAGTTGGCGACGGATTCGTCAGAGTCGACGATGGGTTTGAAGGGGGGAGTGATTTGTTTCTTGTAGAGCGCGTCCCAGTCGATGTTGGCGAAGAAGGGGTGTTCTTTGAGTTCGACGGCACCGCGTTGGGAGCCGAGACGGTTTTGGGGGTTTCGGTTCAATAGCTGCGTCATGTCAGCGCGCTCCACTCCATCACTGTACTATACTCACGCCCTTGACAAACTGCTTTCCGTCGTCGCCAATGACATTCTTGGGGAACCTGATTTTGCCGTAGCAGATCAACCTGTACATCTCCTGAGTCTGCTCGGCATAGAACGGACTCCAGCCGCAGCACATCTCAAAGAGAAGCACACCGAGGGACCAAAAGTCGACGTGCTTGCCGTAACCCTTCTCATCAAGCAATACTTCCGGTGCGAGGTATCTATCGGACGTTAGCTTGTCACTTGAAGACGCGACTCGACTCACTCGGTGGTACCACAGAAAGTGTTGGTCAACTTGTCATCCGTCAAGTCGGGCTTGGACAAGCCAAAGTCACAAAGCGCCACATGACCCGTCGCATCCAACAAGATATTCTCCGGCTTCAAATCTCGGTACACAATATTGTACTTGTGTAGATGCTCCAGCGCCAAGACGAGCTCGGCAATGTAAAACCTCGCCCTATCTTCGCTGAACCTGCCTTCCTTTTGCAGATGCCAGAAGAGCTCACCACCGCACTTGTAGTCGGTGACAAAGTAGAGCTCGGTGTCGGTTTGGAAGGAAAACTTGAGGCCGACGAGGAAGGGGCATTCGAGGGAAGCTTGGAGGATCTTGCGCTCGCCGATGGTGTGCGCGACTTCCTTCTTGGCGACAATTTCCTTTTTGGAAAGCACCTTCATGGCGTAGATACGGCGCGTGTCCTTCTTGCGGACTTGAAAGACACGGCCGAAAGTACCACGGCCGATGAGCTTGAGAAACTCGAAATCGGAGGGCTTGAGGGCGACGTTTTTCTGTAAAGTGTCAGCAATGGACACCACGCCAATGCACTACTCACCCTGATTACAGTGTACGTCATTTGGATCCATATTTCACCAGTGACACTTTCTTCGCCCCGCGTACCGAGTTTGTACCAGTTGTCGAGTACCATACCGTCCTGCAAAGCCGGCTTGATATTGAGCATACCCAGGAAACCCTCTCCGTCGCGACATCTGTCGTACACTGAGAGATGAAGGGTAGGCTTGCTAGAGGTCACATCGCTGATTCCGGCATGTCAACAACAGTATCCCTTTGTCGCAAGGGGATGAAACTCACAAAGAAACCTCTTCCTTCCAAACTGGGTCCCCTGGACCTGGCTTGCCCAGCCAATTGCCACCCCCGCCGGACGCATCCTCTGCTTTCGGCGTCATCGCGCCGCTGCCATCCTTTTCCTTCTTGCCTCGGCCAACGGCATCGGCAAATGCTCGAGAGATGGCACCGACACCCAAACCACTAGTGCTCCTGGTAAGGTTGGCCGGCGCAACAGGCTGTGCGGTACCGGTGGTGAAGGGGACGGAGGAGGGCGATGCGGCAGGGTGGGGAGGTCGGGAGACGTACTCGTTCTTTTCAAATTGAATGACGACGTACGGCTGAGAGTTGGCGCCGGGCGAGTTGGCGACAGCGAGACCGCGGCCAGAGATGACCTTGACTCGAAGGGTACCTCTCGGGCCAGTCGTAGGCGACCTGACGGACTGAGTTGGCGAAGCGGTAGATGCAATTTCATTCTTGTTCATAGCCTTGCGCATTTTTGCTGGCTCATGCAGGCCAAAGCCGATACCGCCGGTCTGGCCCACAGTGTCGCCTTTCGTAACGCCAGTGGTCGGCTGTCCCGCGCCTGGCGTCCCGAGGGGCAAAGAAGTCAAACCTTGACTGGTAGGCGTTTTCAGCCCAGACGGTTGGTGTTGAGTGCCACCGGGGGCGACGGCAGCACGCTTCGGGTCGAGCGAAAGGCTGGCGGTACTCTTACTCAAGCCGGCGGCACCGGGTGATTGGGCTCCGGGTGGGGCCGCGTCAAACGGATTGGGCTGGGCGGATGCTCGTGGCGTGGCCTGGTCTGATGGGCCGCCAAAGTTGGAGAAGGAGGGGGAGGGAGAGTGGCCGGGGGTGTTGTTGTTGTTGGCGTTGGCGTGGTTTGACGGCCACAGCTGCTGTGATTGGTGTCAACAGATGACTCGGGCGGCAAGCAAATTTGCCGGCCAGCATTCCTCTCCGTTTCGTCGCGAAAAGCGTTTGCTGGGTGGTGATACCTGACGTTGGTTCGAGAAGGAAGGCTCACCTTGACACCCTTGAGCATGTTGGATGAGATGTCCTATGGACAAGGCGAAACAGATATGTAGAGAGGGCCGTCCAGGGGCAGTGTTTGTGTGGTGGATGAGGTCCTGCGGGGGCTGGACAGCGGGTGTGTGGGGGGTAAGGTCTGGCTGGCGAGTATAGGGCCCAAGCTATGGAGAATAAATGCGCAGAATGATAGAGATGAATAAAATCCCCATCCATCGCTCCAGGCTCTGGCTCTGATGCGTCATAGCACACATAATTTGGTCCCGCACATCTGCTTCCGCTCATGCGCATCACACCTGGGCCCAGCCTGGGCCCCAAAGCGCCCCACTCTCAGCCGGTGACTTCTTTCGAGATGCTTCTTTCCATCTATGTATCTATGCATGCAGTCTACCATCAATCCCATCAATGTATCATCGTCTCCCATTGCACGACTGCCTCGGAAGCTTGGTTGTAATAGTGTTTTCTCAGGTTGTGCAAGCGCTCGCTATGGAGGAAGCTGAGATTCGAGGTCTCCATGTTGGGGTGACCAGCGAAAGAGATCACTATCTTGGGCAGGACGCCTACTGAGTACTTTGTCAACATGTCAGCTGACATGCGAGCAGTCACCAACGTGACGAGGAGGAGAGCTTACTGAATGTGGCGCTGGAACAGGCAAGTAAGACTGCCCCTATCAGCGGGTACGCTTCAGCCCGTACGGGGGTGCTGTGGATGAGAGCTTTGAGCTGTACATTTGTGAGCAAAAGGTCAAGATTGACGAGAGAAGATAACTCACAGGTCCGACCTGAGCGGCTGAGCTGAGTTTTCTGGCGGCTGTCGTTCGTGTGGCGAGCATAGCTCTCTTCAGAAGGAGTTTGCGGTACATGATGGATCTTTGAGTTGTGGGTGAAAAGTGCTGTTAGGTCTGTTCTTATATTTTCCGTGGTCCAGAGGCACAACACGCTATCCAGCAGAAACAGATCTACGCAGAGGTTACAGCGGCATACATCTCACAGCCCCGCATGCGGCTATGCCACCCGTGTCCCCATCTGTCAGTCGGGTGCCAGAAAGGGGATCAAGTCGGAATGAACAGCTTCGAGGCGAAACCCTGCAATGCTGCAAACCAAATCCGACTTGTTGAGCGTTGAAAGAAGGACGAAAAAAAGCCGAAGAGTCACGAGAGATCGGAAACGCGCGGAGATGGGCGTGCCTGAATATCACGGATCTCTTTTGATGATGGACCAATGATGGACGATGGTGAGTAGTTTTGTTTTTGCAGTAAATGTCAGAAGGTGGTGCAGTCTGGAGAAGAGTGTTGACCAGATGCTGGCAACAACATCGACTCAATCAGAAGGTGCAGCTATATAGTTACGTAAATTCGGCAACATAAGAAGGGGAGTACGCTGGAGTAGTACTCATTCAACGGCGAGATTGATAAATTTCTCCTCTCCGCTCATACACATTCCACATCCAAAATGTCCAACTCCCTCCCTTCAAACCATCCGGGGCCCAAATCAACCTCCAATCCAACCCCAACGACTACGGCCTCGCCCACACCCCACTATTCTGCAGCAGCCCAGTGCTCGTAAGTACAATGGGCTGCTTCGGCGCGATCCCGCTCTTCCCCGCCGGTCAGATTCTAGAGCAAGATGCTGAAAAAGCTCTAGAGCGGCTTTGGACCATGTCGGAGTCTAAAGAGCTTGTTGATGCGTAATATTTGGTTTGCTATCGGGCATTTTCAGGGTGAGTGGCTACTTTCAGTCTTCTCGTGTTGAATGACATCCGCCGGCTTGTACTGGATTAGAAGCATGATGTATGTGTGCTCGGCTTTTGCTCATGACTTCTCAGCTTCCAAGCAGTATCCTTAATTCTACTCCAGTGCCGCCCCGGGGACTACCGATGCTCTTCCCGACAGGGTGCAAGCCAATGAGTGGGCCGCCTGCTTCTTCAGCTCGTCCACACCTATAACTGATATTTCTTCAGTCCAGAAACAGACTCCTGCGTCACATTGGTGGTACCTGCGCCCTCATCCACCCGGTCCGAAGTCTCTTATCAGGAACCCCTCTCCCTCCCCAGCACCTCCTTCGTCATGTGAGTGTGGCAGTCGTCGCCTGGCATCACATGTGTTGAACCCATTACTGGACTTAGTACATAGCCTGATCAATATTATCCTGTAGCTGTCTTTGGCCTCTCCCGAAGAAATTGGACGCCTGCCTCCAGCATTACGGCCTGCTGGAAACCATCCCCGAACAAGAGCTCAAACCATTTGCTTTGCGGGCGTTCTTGAGGAACAGTCGCCTGAATGTGTTGAGGCCGATCAGTCCATGATATCGACCTCATAAGAGTCATATTAAACAACTATTTATGTACCAATTCCATGTAGCACGTTGCCGCTGAACATTCCGCCATGCTTGCTTGCTTCTTGTCTTGTCAGTCAACCCAGTTAGGACTCATTCGTAATAAGCAGCATAAAGCAAAATAATTGGTCCCGAGCCGCAAGTTACCGAAAACGGTAGTTTCCCATTTAAGCTTCTTCGTCGGGTGCTTTCGTCCTTCATCTCCCGACCCAACCAACAATTTGTATTTTCAACGCCAATCCGACCCGAGAACGACCAACAACATTAGCGGAAGAGACAGGAATCAGCACACCATGCACGGTTATCTTATCGAATGAAACCCCCTGAGCACGACGCCAGCTCGGAGCAATACTCCTTCCCAAGGACTGTAGGGTATAAAAGCCGTCTGCTCTGACCAAGTTGGTCGTTTTCACCCACCACATCATACAGCACAACACCACTTGCCTTACCAGCCTACCAAAACCACCCAACACAACCCCACCACAACAACACATACCAACATGTTCGCTCGATCCCTTCTCCGAACCGCCTCTACCACCATGCCCGCTGCGAGGACCATGGTCGCCCGCAAGGTATCCACAGCTGCTATCCCATACGAACAAATGGGTATCGTGCGTCCACCTCTCCTCCCCATCCTCTCTCTGCCCTCATAGCTGACCATCAAACAAAGACACATCAAATGAAGAGCTTCTTCACCCAAAAAGGTGTTCCCGTCGACGCTTATCCGATCGTGTTTATCACCTTGTTTATGGCTAGTGCTGGTACCTTCAGTACGCCTCTCATCTTCCGTCCTCATTATTAGTAGGGTATAGAAGCTGACTTGGACGTTAGTGCTCTCAAAACATATCAAAGAAGACCATGACCACCTCCGATGGATGCCTCGACAGGGCGGCTACGAGTTCCGACTCCCTGCTGAGAAGCTGTAGTAGATTTTCCAAGAGCATGAAGAGAGGGAGTGGTATCTTTAGCATGGGCACATCATGATTATTTTGGGATTAGGGTATATAGATTGTTGTAGCATCAGTGTGATATACAGTTTTGATGGATGAATCGGCTTGGCTTCTTGTACATGGAATTGGAACGTGCACTCTCAACATGCCGTCTAAAAGTCTAAACCAAAAGTCCAGAGTACTTCAGAACCTGCATATGTACGTATAAAAGCTATCTATCTAGGAAACACATGTAACGATATTACCTCCTCAACGCCGAGAACAGAAAGAAGGAAAGAAAAGTTCTAGTAAGGGACCAAGCCTGCAAGCTGCTTTGCTCGCTCACTCAAGACCGCAGGCTCGTGGGGTTGCTGGGTCTCATCGTCAGTGAGTGGACCGTGTGCGTTGGTTCCAGTGATGAAAAAGTCGAGTGGGTCGTGGGTCTAGAGACAGATGAGCACACGGAGAGGATGCAATTGATGAAGACGTACAGTTCCAGAGTAGTCGGCAAGACACTCTTTCTTCTTTTGGAGCATCTCGGGGGAGATACCTGCGGCAGGTCTGTAACATACATCTACAATACCATTAGCGCCCTTCACATGGGCCGGAAAAAAACTCACAAGTCGCGACTCTCGGCACTTCACCCGTCGCAGCAGCGCCATAATGCACACATCGACTATCCCACAAGATCAAATCCCCCGGCTCTGCCTCCACCTTCTTCCATCTGCATCCCTTGCTCTCAAACCATTTGATGTCTTCTTCCCTATACGACCACGAGTCGCGGGTGGGCCAGCCTTCGGCGGGCTTGACTTCGGGGTGAGTGTCGAAGAATTCGGTGTACAGCGGGAGGGAGTTTTCGAGGACCATAAGGCCCCCGTCTTTGGGCCCGTTTGGAGCCTGAAATACCGTTAGTGAGATGCTAAGGAGGGGGGGGGGAAGGGAGACTCACAAGGTTCGCGATACCCTGGATGCAGTGCTTCTCCCGTCGCCTGGGACTCTGATCAACATGAGGCCATGGGGCGGCCGCGTCTGCGGGAAACTCGTTCGCTACGAATGGCAGAGAAATGTTGACACCGTCTGTCTCTGTGATCAGCAAATACTGTATCAACAGTAACGCTAGCACTCACCGAAGGATACGAGCAGCTCGTCTGTACCCCAGATCTTCGAGAACGCCTCGATCAGCCCGGGCTCGGCACGAATATCCCAGGCAAACTGCTCGTGGTGTACACCGTGTCGATTGAACAGACCTCCCCTACAGACCCCATTAGCCTCTGCCTATCGTGCAGTACTGCAGAGCTTACTGTAAGAATGCTGGAAGGTTGGCGAATCTCCAAGTCTCCTTGTCATCCCTGACAAAACCCTTGCCAAAGCTTTCGAGCCACTGGTACGCCTTGTCTTCGTACTCTGCAGCACGCGCGGGTGGTATGGCGCCTTTCACAACAGTGTACTGCCCACGAGTCAGTAGAGTGAATGGAAGGCTATGCTATACGTACCCCTTTGGATTCGAGCTCCTGAAGCATGACGGTATCCCATCCGGGCTGGTGGTGTCCTCTGAGCTTGAGGACGCCAGCCTGGGAGGGCTGCTCTTGGACGGTGGTGGCGGTCGAGCTCATTGTGCTATAGGTGTACTGGGATGTCGAGCAGATTTGTATATATCTGTACCCGGAGTGCAGTGATATCACGAGAAAACTAGGAAGCGATAAGGTTCGGATAAGGTGCCATACAGCGGGGACTCGGGCAGTCGGACATGGCCGACACGGCCAAGGACGGCGATCCGACCATTATTTTGGCGCAGATTTCTCTCTGGCTTCTTTTCTCCATGCACCCCTTAGACCGACAATGTTACTGCTGGAAGAGGACGGTGCAGCTGGTGAGGGGAGGTATGCCGTGCATCGGAGACAATTCCATGAGTCTCTGTTCCCTCAAATGATGAAAGAAGAAGCCATGTCAGCACAGACGACTCGCATCCATGGCGGTTTCTTTGTCGCCATACCCGTCCCCCCGATGCGAGTTTGAGCGTATACGGACGTTCTCCGGCCCATATTGGCTACCAGGCCTGCCCTGAAACACTCGACACGACGGGGGGAACGCCTGGCTAATGTCTATGCACGAGCCGCATGACCAGAACGTATGCCTGAACCGAGGCTAGAGGGGTTTCAGATCAGCTCGAGTCTGCACATGGCGCAAGGGATGAACATACTCGATCAGTAGCTTCTTGCAATTGCCCAACTGCGTTGATGGGCGCCATATGGGCAGAGACACCATCGTTATTTTCGTCGGCGCTGGGGGTGACTGGTGGCATGGGCGTGAGTGGCGGTGAGATCCCGCAGGGGTGAGGACGTGCCCCTGCTCGCCGGAGTACTGGAAAGTGATGAAAGCAGTAGCAGGCAGGAAGGGAAGGGGAGGAGGCGTGGCTAGAGGCGTGACCACGCAGAATGTATGTGTACAAGGCGGGTTTCTACACATCAGGATGAGAGGGAAATGGGGAATCTGGGTGCGAAGGGGTGGCTTTATACTAAAAACAGCCTGCCATTTGCCCTGTGCCTTCGCAGACCGGCCATAAACTATCCACTAGATTATTCATCCGTCCCTCTTAGATATCTACAAGCTACAACTAGATCCACATATCCGAGCCATTGTCGAAAATCTATACACAGTACGTCTACGCTAAGCGGTCTTTGTTCCGGCTGGGGCTCGTAGGCCAGGCTTTGGTAGGAGACCGGGAGTTCGCTCTGGGCGGCGTGGTGGGTGAGAAAGGGGTGTGGGTTGGATGGGAGGGAGAAGGCGGTATGGATAAACATTTTGAGGTGCTCTGGGTTGTGGTTTGGTTTGGGTTTGGGGAAGGATTGGTGTTTGGATGGAAGAAGGGATGAAAGAAAGAAGAGATGTGAATTGTCGCGCAGAGTCAATCGTCGTTGCGGGAGCTGACTCTTCATATCCCTCCCAGAATTGCACTTCACGCATCCACAATCGTCTATGGTAGAGCACACGGCCCATATATCCACTGCTCAAGAACATCATAGGAACAGCGTGCCAAGCCAAAAGAAGAAAAAAATGTCTCCCATCAGCCGCCCACCAGCCCCAGGCCAGACCGGTTCGGCCTCTTTCCTCCGCCAACCAAAATAGAGATCTTCGGTCCCGAATCCGTTCAGCACCCGAATAATCACCTATAACTTGATACATTTGCTTGACCCATTTGGGGTCCTTTCTGCTCTATACGCGAGACACCTTGGCACAGAGGCTTTGTCGATGGGAACGACGATCAGTGCCCCTGTTCGGACGCCCAGCAAGCGAGAATCCAGTCAAAATTCAAGGAGACAAACTTGACATCTGGATATGCATCTTCTGAAGCGACCATGCTAGGCGGGCTTCAACCTGCTTTGTCTAATCATCCAGAAGAGCTGTAGTCATCCATTTCATGACACGATGAAAGAACGTTGAACGACAAAGCTTTACGTAAACCCCTTTTTCCACATTCCGGCGGAGCATGTACCGTCGTCCTTGTGCCACACCTTCTTCTGCCACACAGCACAGAGTCACCCTGTATCACCTGCTCACCTCACCTGCCACTTGCCACCTGTGTACATACATACGCGGTAGGCGGCTGCAATGGCTGGCGCAACGGCTGGCGGCTGTATCCAAGCTGTTGTCTGACACCGACAGCGCCACAAGCGCCATGTCACATAAGGAGTAGAATAAGAGTTTAGAGTTTGTTTCTTGGATCATGTAGCTTGGGGGTCGTTTCGAAGGATACGCACTAGGCCCACTAGGCCCACTAGGCCACTTGAAAGACAAGCATCCAAAGAACAGATAAGAAAAAGGAATGCAAGTCTGGGGGAAGGATTCGCGCCCGTAAGTAGTATTGTATTATTGTGTTGTGTACAGTTAGTCGCTGAGGACGTGAGCACGGCATGGCCCGCAGCAGGGCGGCGGATGTAGTCGGCGTGCGTGCGTTCATAGCCTACATACACCATCTACATGTCGTCTGCCCGTCGTCCGCGTTCTGTCATAGTGTATGCTCGCCGACTGCCATACGTGCAAATAGCTCGACACCTCAGTAACACGGCATTGACAACACTCAAGCTGTCAGTCCATGCCGCAGGCCATAGTCGGCGGACCGTCGGCCCTCGGCCAGTGACGAAGAGAAAGCAGTATCAGAAATCAAGCCACAAGCAAGTATCTCGTCCAACAAGAACCCGCAGAAGACAACACCCTCAAACTGGATGACGCCCCAATGATGCCACGAGATAGTTTGAGCTTTGCACTTTGAGGCAACTAGGGGTAACTGAATCAATCAATTCCATTCCCACACCCGGCCACTCAGGCCACTCACCGACTAATCTGTGAAAAAGTCTCCGTATCGGGCAATTTTGAACGTGGGGGGGTGAGCATTCCTTTGGCTCTGTGACCTTTGGGTATGTGTTCTGGTATCTAACCACGGCTACACGTTACAGGCTACAGGCAGTGTTTGGGATTGAAGGGGTACATGTCAACAGTCAAGACGGACGACTGTTGACGAAGAAGACTATACTCGAGTCGCCAGCCGCTAAATAACCTCGTTCGTTGCATTACGCCCCACAACACGTGTCTCTTCAATCTGGCCCCGTGGCTGTCCGGCCATCTTGCCAGAGATCTCATCATCAATAAACACCACGGCACCACGGGTCGTCATAGATGATATGCCACAACCGATACCGTCCTCTTCCCTCATCCTTTCTGACACCCTTCTGTGGTCCTGTCTCTCATGAATCTGTCTCATCAACCAAGACACCCACCAGCACACACAATCAAGGTAGTCAGCACGACCTCGGCCCAACTGACACATATATCTATGGCCGAGGGGGGTACGAACGGCTGGTTGGGGCCTTGGGACGGCGCACGGAGGAGACGGAGAGGTACTGAATGAAACGACAAACGAGACATTCTGTGACATGCTACAGACCGGCGTTTGAGAGGTAATTAATGGAGCAGTGCTAGGCATGGGACATGCGGGTGCAGAGTTCATTGCGGGAAAGAGCGTGCCGAAGGAGTCCGAGGACGTAAGCACCACGCATGGTTTGGGGATGAGCATGTACTGTTTCCATGGCCATGTTGAACTAACTGGTGAGTCGTCACGGGTTACAGCCCTATCTCGGAGGATATTACTGATGGAGGAGACTGTTGGACGAGTTTGATTCCGGTTCATCATGATCTCGGGCGTCTATATCATCCTGCCAAAGATGGACACTACGGGCGCAAGTCACTCCCCTAAACCAGATGCGTTGATTACGAGCTAGTTCTCTTGGCGATTCTCACCTCCAGCACTGCCCGATGTCGAGCAGTGATGAGATAGGGGCAGGTCCGGAGGTCTGTGTGTCAACTGTCTCACTACAGCCTACAACCGTTAAATGAACCCGTCTCCTAGCGCTTCCCCCCCTGCTGCCCCCGCAACACGGATCATTACCACCCCCCATACTCTCCGTGTCCCGCCCGCGACACCTGATGGGCCAGATCCGCGTCTGTGCGCAGGTGGGCGGTGCCTGTGAGGAGCCGAGTAAGCTTGAGATGAGTGACAGGGTGGGGGATTCTGGTTTCGATGTGTAGACAGCCGGTACCCGTCTTCTGGGAGGTATAATAAACCCATCACTCTCTTCTTCCTTGCAGATCCCATCCCCCTCCCCGGCCGACGCCTCCCCTGGACATGCTGCCCGCCCCGCACCTCGTCCTGCCCCAGACACAGGAGGCCATGCTGCACTCTGCCCACGCCGTCCCTGCCCAAGACTCGGAGAGGACGCCCAGGTATGGCCGCGGCTCTCCCTCTTCTCCCGAACACTCTGGGGAAAAAAAGGAGACTACGCCGACAACGCTGCCTCTTTGTGATACCGCAGTCCCCCAGGCTGCCTCCACCTCGCCTTCAGCTGGATTGGCACTCAAGAAAAGACCAACAGCCAAGGCAAAAGACGGCGAGACCCGGCGTAGTACGCGTCGACGAGGTGAATGCAAAGGTAAGCCCCTCCCCGTGCATCTTTCTGAGATTAGAGGCTGACGTGTGGCAGATAAGAGGATCATGGAACGATCCCGCCCTGCCCCAGCATGGCTCACTGGCTCAGCCCCAGCCATCCACCCTCCTCCTCCCAGCACACACTTTTTCCCTCAACTAATCTCTCAAGTCCGGACAGTACCCGTCACTCGACCAGACTCGACGTCTCCTGCTTCTTCTTCAACCCTGAAGCAGAGAAGGGCATCAGTACCCAGTGTTGTATCGCACAACACCGGGAGAGTGGCAGAGGATGAGCAGCCCATAGATGTTTTGCGCCTCGCAGCCTATCTTGCTGGCGGACAGTCTTCTGCTCCAGGGCCTCTTGGGAAGAGTCAACGTGTGGGCGGTCTCTACGTCGACCCGATATACACTGCCGTCTCCCCTTCACCTTCCCCATCCCCCGACGCTTACCCCTCATCCACCCCTCCTGCCTCTTCCACCGACTGCTCAGCGTCCACTCCCTACCTATCGTCTACGGCCAGTACCAGCACCGCTCCAAACTGGGCTTCCAGCCCGGTCCTCCGCCGCGCGAGCGAACCCAACACAGCCTCATCCTACACTCCCCTGCACGCCGCTACACCGTCAACCATCAACACCGTCTCCACCTCCCACACCACCACTTTCCAAACACCCCGCCAGGTATCGAGCTGTACGGCTCCATGGGCAAGTGTGCCGATCCCTTCTTCGGCTGCTTCGTCTTCTGCGGGGGCTATGTTTGGGAGTTGGCAGGGCTGGCAAGGGCAGGGGCAAGGGTATGGGGGGTGGACGTTACCGACTGTGACGGAGAGGCATCTTTTGGACGGAGAGGCGTCGGCGTCGAAATGGAGGACGTCGACGGTCTCGGTGGGGTGTCATCCATACATTCTGTAAGTTATTTGCGACACTCTAGATCATAGAGCCTGTATCCTGAATATCAAGCTTACGAGAGATGATAGACCGTCACCGATGGATATGGGATGGACGTCTTCTTCTTCAACTTCGTCTTCTTCCGAGTTTTCTGGTGGTGATTCGCAGCGTAATTCTATCAGGTAAGCCTTCTCTCTCGTCATCGACTCCATCTTGAGAATGAGCGGCAGAAATGAAAAAAAAGGCGAAATGATGGCTGACGGCGTGGATCATAGTAGCACGGCAGGACCGAGTACACCCGGGTCAACAAGTCCTTATCTCTATCCTTCGTTCTACGACTTTGCCTCGGGGGCTTCCGGCAGTTCTGCTGCTCCCGCTCTGCCCCCTGCGCCTGCTCCTATCCCCGCGGTAGAACCAACATACCCCTCCCAGGCGTCTTATCTTCCGGCCCCGCCTTCATACCCCCCAGAGCCTCCGATGGGCACCTACTTGGCCCCCTCCCAATCCAATTTCTCGTCAGATCACGCGTTTTCGAGCTATCACTGGCCGGCATCAACTTCTACAGCTCCTACCTCTACATCCACATGTGCAGCTCCGCTTGCACCACCACCTCATCTCCCGCCTCCCCACGTCGCGCCCACAACAACGACGACAGTGCCAAACTACCCAAACTACCCAAGCGCACCGCTCTCCCCGCCGCCTGAACAGGGGGTATACAAACTCCCCCCGTTCCCTGCTCCTCTTCCCCCTCTGCCCGCTACGTGCAGTACCAGCGCAAATGGGGATGGGGATGGGTCTGCACCGGCTTGGAGCGTCATTCCTGTTGACGGGCGTCAACCTGGGGAAGGGGTGAGGGAATTGGAATTGAGTGGGTACGGTGATCCGGCGTTGGGGATGGAAGGTGTGAGTGGGATGGATGGGATGGGGCATTCGTCAGCACCTGGTGGGAAGGTGTACAACTATCAGGACACATTCCTGTGCGAGATTATGCGCGGGAGTAGGGGTTCAACATCCCAGGTCGTCGGTGATCATACGATACATTGATCTTTGGCCTATCGCTTTAAAGTGGTATAGAAAGAAGAGAAGATGTTGTACTGGACTGTCCAGCCTTTGGTATAGTCTTGTTTTTTAGGATTAGTAGATAGTTGATTTTTGGGTATTCCTGGCATGGGCAGCGGATCTGGTTTTACAACAACAGACGCGCCTTTTTCTTTTCCCCGTTCCCCGTTCCCGGTATACAAGAGGGGTATCTTTTGCGATTACATGCATCCTAATTACTTCCGAGTCCATCACGATCCTCCTCTCCGAGTAACCACCCAGTCATCGCGCCATCGAAGCGAAAGAAGGGGACGTAAAAAGTGGAGGGTTGGGTGACTGACCCAGGGGCCGCAGGGTTGACAAACCTCAAAAGCATATTCTCCCTCGGCGCGGAGAAATGGGGTTCGGATAAGAGGATCATGAATTATCTAATGGATGCACCTCAGGTGAATATGCACGGGGAATCCGCGAATTCCAGGGCTGCTCGGATTGATATTGCTGGACTGGCGAGCAAGACGAAGGCCGAACAAGAAACATGACCCAGAAAAGCGTAACGAACGCGACTGATTTCAAACAATTCCCCCGCACGGACAAGAGGGAGGGGATGGGAGGCGGTGCTGGCCCCTGGGATCTATACTCGGCATGCATGCACCGGATACTGGGGAGAGGGCATGCGTTGTTCCGTGTATTCCGTGTATGTATGCAAGGTAAAGGACAGGGTGACAGGTGACACTCTGCAGGGACAGCCGGCATCAGCTTTCGCGTGCGCTTTCACATCCATCCATCCACCATCTTACATCCTCATCTATATTCTCCCGTGGCTTCAAAAGGGTCGTCAAGCATGGCGCAGCAGCAGAGGTATACCCCAGTTGATATTTCGGCGTTTGGCGAGGATGGAGGAATGGCGGGTGAGTTGCTTTTTCCGTTGTTTTCGGGTCGCGCTCGGGGCTGCTTTGTGCTGCCTGGGGGCTATTGCACTTTGCTGCGGGAAGATGCGGGCTGGGGGCTGGAGGGTGACGGGCAGGGCAGGGGTCATTCCTGGCGACGGTCGCCAAACAATCACCTGGATACGCTGTGGACTCGTATACCAGCCATCCCCTATAAGACCGTCCCCCTTCCATTGTTATATCTCAGCACATCAACAAACTCACATTGGCTGCTCCAGGCTTGCGCGACTCTCGTTACCCCTCAGTACGTCCCGCCATCCATACCCCGGCTATGACCTCTGACATTCAGTACAGCCCGGTAGACTTTCCAGCTCCGACGCCACCCCGCCACGCACTTCCTACCCCGACTCTGCCAGCGCTACACCCTACACCGACACCTACCCCATTCAAGCATATCCCGCCGCAATGCCAATGCCAATGATGCAAACCCCCGGCCCGCGTCCTTTTACCAACCCCGACGCCCACCTTCCCATCCCTTCTGAAAACTACTTCCCCCTCACCGAAAGCAGCAGCGCGGATCAAGGCAAGACGACGTGGGAGGATATGGCGGCGCAGCAAGCGGCGAGGAAGAAGAAGAGGCTGTGGATTATAGCAGGAGTCCTTCTGGCTGTAGCGGCGGTGGCGGCAATCGTCATTGGTGTCGTTGTGAGCCAGACCAACCAGAGCAGTGACAACGATGGGAGTACCAACTCGGGCAGTAATGGCACGTTGACCATTGGGGATGATGCGAGTGTTTTCGAAAAGGATAGCAGGCTGCATCAAAGCTTTTGGGGGTTTGCTTATACGCCTCAGGTGAGTACTTTTCATCAGTTGTGGGTGAGGGAAGAGCTGATGGGTAATAGAGTGTGCTGCTTCCGTGGTGTGGTGCTATTCAGTCGAATGTTACCCGAGATATCCAGCTCCTCTCTCAGATCACTTCGCGGTAAGCACGCTTCCATCCCCAAGTCGTTCTCTGACAAGGGCTAGTATCCGTCTCTACGGCGCCAACTGTAACCAAACCGCCATGGTTCTCCAAGCTATCCACGATACAAAGGTCAACATGACAGTGTGGCCTGCTATCTGCAAGTACCCTGTCTGCTGACTGGTGAACGACATTGACGGGTTGATAGATGTCGATTCGAACGAGACGGCCTACGACGACCAAGTCACTTCACTCACCGACGCCCTCAAAACTTACGGCACCGACCACATCTCTGGCGTACGTCCCCCCTCCCCTTCCCCCAGTCCCCTCTCCAGTTCTCACACTGATACTTTACCAGGTCACAGTGGGTAACGAATACATCCTCAACACCGCCGGAACCGACTCCACCACCTCCTCCACCTACCTCTCTGCCGTCAGCACCATCACCGACAAGATCGCTAAAGTTGATAGCACGATCCAAGGGCTGGGGCTGGACAAGGTGTTGCCGGTGGGGACGTCGGATGCGGGGAGTATTATGAGTAAGAAGCTTGGAGAGGGGGTTGATTACTTTATGGCCAACGTCCATCCGTCAGTCCTTCCTTCCCTCCTTCCTCTCCCTTCCTCCCCCCTGCCTCTTCACCCGGACGGTAAGCTAACAAAAAAAGCAGATATTTTGGTTCCCTAGCAATCGACGACGCAGCAGCATGGACGACCTCCTTCTTTGAGGAATACGACGTTGACGTAGCTGCCGAAGCGTCCAACAAGCCTGCTACCTACATTGCAGAGACGGGCTGGCCGACGGGGAGCGATGATGAGGAGGATAGTAATAGTGGGGCGGGGAGTCCGCAGGGGGATGCTAGTGTTGCGAATTTGCAGAGTACGTATTCTTGTCTTTTGTTCTCCTGGAAGAAAGAGTGGGCGTTGATAGGGTGATTTAGCGTTTTTGGATACGTTTGTGTGTCAGGCGAATAACAATGGTACCGAATATTTCTAGTACGTATCCTTCTCCCCTCCCCTCCCCTCCCTCGCCTTCGTGACTCGGGCTGACTTGCTCTAGTTTCGAAGCCTTCGACGAACCTTGGAAAGCGCAAGTCAACACCCATATCTCTTTACCGCGCCCCTTTTTGACAAAAGAGATGGATAGACTGGAGCTGATGCGATGAATAGGCAATATGGCGGTACAGAACCTCATTGGGGTCTTTTCGACTCTGATAGGAACCTCAAGAATGTTACTATCCCGCAATGTTCATAAGCCTGGAGTCTTTTACCACTCAAACCGCGACGACTCGGAGGTTGTTGTCTCGGGTCTGCCAGAAAAGGATAAGGGGAGAAAGGAGAGAAGAAACGGACAAATATCAGAAGGAAGAAGGCTTTTTCTTTTTTTCACGCACGATACGAGTACATCAGAACTCATATTTCGCTATCCATCCCTTTACCCATAACCACCATGTGTTCCATACTTTTATACGCTCTTTGGACTATTTGGACATTTGTTACTAGCATATCATTCATGTATTCCGCAATTCTGAGGGTTTCATGGTGACTTGACGGGCAAACAAGACAGAGATGTATAGGTGATGCTATCGTCAGCATCCTAGACGATCGAGAAAGTGGCTTGGTGACGCTGTGAACATGTAGTCATAGTCATCTGGATGGTTGCGGAGTGACAAGAAGAGGGGAATGACAGTCGGTAACGAAGAGCGAGAGCCGGCCCTGAAGTGAAAACGAGCAGCGGGTACAGGCAGCGGGTTTTTTTGCTGGCCCTACCATCCCATGCATGTATCCTCTTAGAGCTATGTGCACATGTATGCAGTGCATAGCAGTAGCCGTACAAGACGCCCATTTCAAGTGCCACATTCTGATTCCGCGCGCCGAACAACAACAAAGAAACGCGTCCCATCGATCCATCGATCCATCTCTATCATTCCCTCATTTCTCAAGCCGCCCTATATCTCCCCACCGCCCATTCCACCGCCACGGCATGCCTGTCCCCACCCGCCGGCTGCAGTAGACGCACACCCCCGACACCCCACCCGCCTGCCAACTCGACAGACGACGCTTGGACCCGCATATAGACATTTGCAGCATGTCCCCTGTACCCCCACCACCGGGCGCATTCGTCCCCTCCGACGACTGGACAGACGACCCCTCATTCGACCTCTCTCCCAACGCGTCCCAGCTCGCCCTCCCCGCCTCCCCATCACCCTCATCCTCCTCCTCCCATCGATCCTCGATATCCCGCTCCCACACTTCCTCGCCGCTCCGTCAATCCTTCTCTTCCGCTGGCAAGTCGAGTGGTCTGAAGCTGCGGCAGCATCAGAAGCAAGAGATGGACGCGCTGGATGACGATTTCGACTTGCCAGAGGGCGACTTGCCTCCCCTCTCTCCCCGCCCGACGCCCAAAACCCAATCACGTCCCCGCTCCAGCACATCCTCCTCCTCCAGCAGCCTCATCACCCGCACCATCGTAGGTAACGGCCCGCAAGGTGTCGGCACCATCACCAAAATGGGTTTCACCTCCCCACCGACGAGTTCGGGCGTGATGGCGGGTACAGTCAAGGCGCGCGCGAGGGCGCTGGAAAAAGCCTGGGAGGCGGATGTGGACTTGGATGAGCTGGATCAAGCTGTGGATAAAGCAGAGTCTGTAGGGGGGACGTTGAGGACGAAGCCGAGCTTTCATGGGAGACCGTTGCCGCCGAAGGATTTGCCGGGGGAGGATGCCCTGGATGGATTTGGGGATCTGGACGACGCGACGTTCAAGCCTTGTACGTGACTTTTTTGGGATCAGGGATATGCTGACATGACTATAGCAAAGTTACAATTACCACCGAAGCCATCTCCATCGCCGAGCCCATCTTCGAGCAAAATGGGCACCGTCAAACTAGACAAAGCTGCTGGCTGGGAAAGGTTCGGCTCGGGCTCAAGCAAAGGCGGCTCGCTGCGGATGAAGCCAAGCTTTGATGGCCGACCGCTCGCTCCGATCCAAAGAGAGCAGGCTGGTGCGGATGCTTTGGACGACTTTGCTGATTTCGATGACGACGAGGCTACTTTCAAACCTCGTAAGTGGTTGAGATACGATACTGAATAGGGCTGATGCGGAGCGCAGCGATATCTGGACTACCGACAAAGAAGGCGACTAGCTCCAAGATGAAGACTATCAGTCTGGAATCGGTTTCTAGAGGAGGGACGTTGAGGATGCAGCCGAGCTTGGAAGGAAGACCGTTAGCCCCGCCAAAGCAAAAACAGCCAGGAGCCGACGCTCTAGACGATTTCGACGACCTCGACGATGATACCTTTAAACCTCGTGCGTACAACCGACCACGCACAGAACTAGACTGACGTCTGAGCGTAGCCAAAAGCCAATTACCGCCCAAACCCTCCAACCCCAGAATGGGTTCAATACCCTTCGATCAAGGCTGGGAAAACTTTGGCCAAGTCGCCGGCAGAAGACTATTGTCACCACCGCGAAAGACGCGCCCAGGCGCTGAAGCTCTGGACGATTTTCTTGATTTGGAGGACGAAGACCAAGCGACGCTCAAAGCGGGTGCTACCATCAAAGCCCTCCTCCCGCCGCCAAAAGGCAAGAAACATTCGGTATCTTCCATCCCTGACGCGCCTGCGGAAGATCCAGAGCTCGAAGCAGACTTTGCCCTCCCGCTGAACCTTACGAACCTCGCTTTGGCCTCCCAGCCTGCGGCCAAACCTCGGCGCAAAGGCCCGAGAGACTCGGCGGCGTCGACGGTGATTTCAGAGTGGGATTCGCCCAGCGCGTCGTCAGCTGCTAGTGGGCGGAAACAAGGTTGGGGCTGGGGGTCGGAAGACTCGCCTTCGGGGAAAAGGAAGAGCGAGACGAGCGCTACGAGTGTGAGCGACGATTTGGAAAAGGATGAGACCAAGAAGGAGGGTGATATGTTGGATGAAGAGGAGGACCTCGAGTCGGGGTTGGTCTTTGAGCCAGCGTTCTTTTCGAACGATAGGGCGAAAGACCTCAACTCGATCCTCGACCGCAAACGTCGGCCGCAATTTGCGCCCCAGCCACAGACGCCTCCAGGCGCGAGGAGGGGAGGGGACGATTCCTTCGAAGATGGGCTTATGCTGGATGAGCCTGGTGTTGAGCTTTCGCGCCATCGGCTGCGAGCGCAGAAACGTGCGAGAGACAAGTTGCCTGCTCCAAGCTCTACCTTGCGGAAGGGTATACAACCCCAACCTCAGAAGACTGTGGTGAAAGAGCGCGAGAAGGCTTGGGAGAAGCAGCGCGAAGCGGCTTGGGGGCGGAATACGCCCGTCCAGCGGGAACGCACGCAGAGTAGTTTGGGCATGTCGTTGAGGAGTCATTCGATATCGACTGTAGCGCGCGAGACACCGCGCGGAGCTGAACCAGCCGTAACCGGGCGAGAGAAGGAAGCCATGCGTTCTAGAAGCGGGCATCTACATTCCATGCTCCCCCCTCCACCGCCTGTTCCCTCATCCCAACCACCGACGCCTTCTTCATCCCGACTTCGGCACCAGAAATCGCATTACCAAATCGGTGCGCCGCCTCAGTCGCCGTCTTTGACGAGAAAGCAGTCGTTGTCGAGTTTGCAAGATGCGATAGCGGAGCGAAATTATGGGACGCAGCATTTCGATGCTCTGCCGCCGCTGCCGGTACCGACGAATAGGTATCACAACTCCACGTCCCGGCTTACGATGCCCACTTCCAGCTCCCGCGCCAAGATCCGTCCGCCTGTCACATCCATCTTCCCCACCTCTTCTCCTTCATCTGCGAGCACAACGATGTCTGATCAGAGGGATAGGGATAGGGAGATCAGGAGCAGGATGTATTCGACGCCGATACCGCGGATGGTCGACGTCCCGAAAAAGTCTCGAGATTATGGGGATGGGACAGAGCTGGATGGGATTGATGATTTGAGGGTCGAGGAAGATGCTAGAGAGGCGCAGAGGAGTATGGTGGGCTTGGGACTTGGGAAACCGTCGAGACGTGAGTAATCTTCCTGTCTGTGGTGGGGTGGGGTAAGAAGCTGATGAGGAGTAGATCATGAACCGAGGACGACGTCGCATGGGAAGGAAAAGTCGGAGAAGGAGGAGAGGAGGAAAAAGTCGGGTGGGACGACGACGACGGGGTTGGCGACGAAAAAGATTAGGAGAAGAGGGTTGATCAAGCACTTGGGTGGTACAGACAAGCGTAAAGGTGAGCTGCTCCCGAATGTCGACGAGTAAGAAATGCTGATGTCCGTTAGTCGTGGGCGAGATGATCTGGAATCCCAATACGCTTCGCTGGGAAGGCAACGAAGCCGTTCTGCGCGACTTTGACACCATCTCCTCCTCCCGCCCTGCCCTGATCACCCACTACACCGGCTCCTCCGTCGGCGTCGGAGGCCTTTCCTCCCCCGTCGCATCCGTCGCCGCAGCCGCCCCGCGCATCGTCAAAGACATGCAATTCGACCCCATCCAAATGAAATGGGTCAGCGTCCACCCCGAAGACGACGAGCCTGATCCCTTTGAGGGTATGGCGGATGACGAGGATGAAGAGACGGGCAGGGGCACGATCCGCGCTGGGGCAGGGCGCAAGTATGTGCCCATTGGAGGGAGTTCGATGGGGCCGGGGTCGATGGCGGCGACGAGCTCGACGTGGTCGCATCGGATGGCTAGTGAATCTTCCATGGCTGCCAGTACAGCGTCGTGGGAAGATCGCGCGTCTCATCATGTGGGCGTTGCGATCTCTAGCGAGCTCTGGAGTGAATGTAAAGAGGCAGAGGAGAGGCATAGGAAGGAGATGAAGGGGTGGGGGCTGAGGGCGCCTTCTGGGAGTTCAGAGTTGCGTGAGAGGGAGAGGCGGGAGGAGAAAAGATTATGGGAGATCCGGCATCTGGCCATGAAGAGTTGAGTCTCGGTGGGACATTAAGATTATCATGTAATTACGACCGCGTTATGCTATATGCTTCAATGTCTAAAGTGCAACTCAATTATGCCTGGTGATATCTTAAACTGCAGAGTTTTGTGTTGCTTGGTCAGGCTATGGTATCTTTCCTTCAAGCGCTAGCTTCATAAAGGCGTGCAAAGGCGCACGAGCGAGACTTTGTGTGATGCGGCATGAGTCACGGTGGCGGACGATAAAGCTGGCTCTCCTGCCACCGCTTGCTGATGACCGGGAGGGGATTCATGCGCTTGGCAAGCTTGGCAGACCTTGTCTGAACAGGTATATCGGCGGTAGCTGTCGAGATAAGCAAGAAACATGTATAGACAGCAGGTGAAGTGGCGTGAAGAGCCAACAAGCGAGACAAAAAGATATTCTCCATCAGGGAGTTGAACCCTGGTCTACCGCGTGAGAAGCGGTTATACTAACCGTTATACTAATGAAGATTTGTATGAAAAGGCTAAAATGATTCATACACGACAAGAATAATGCTGACCACACCGTTATATGTAACGAGTACGTTTCCCGTCAAGCTGGTCATCCGCCTGCATCTATCTTAAATGGGGTCAGCATTTTACACCCGGCCATCCGAAGGGCCGGGTCGCCTCTTCTCCCGCTCCGGTGCTCGCTGAAAGTGTCATGGGATGGCAGACAGGGATGCTGAGGGTTCCGATGGTATTCCATTCCCGGGCCACGTCAGAGCACGTACGCTGAAAAGGTTGCCTCCATCGGCCACATTTCGCATTCTCCCGCTCGAAATTCGTCGCCCGTCGCTGTCACTCCAGGATGATCATCCCAACACCGCCTTGCTAGCATCCCATGACCCTGCAGAGTGGGTAAGAATGGCTGAAGGTCATATGCTGCGCACTCCAGATCCCATTCACGGGTCTCGAGATCGCCGGATGATGAAGTGTGCGGCGGTGAGGCCAGGGGTGAGGGTGAAGGACGCGCAAACTTTTTCGCACCCGCCTGACTTCAGTACCTTGGTCTTGGCCCCCACCCTCAGGCCGGAGACCGTCGTCCCTGGAGAGTATAAAACACCCAGCCAATTCGCATCTCTGTTCTTTACCCTTCACGCTTTTCTATAATACCCACCTCCATCTCCACTCTACCGCTCCCACCCACCTCGAGAACCCAGCCCGGTGTCAACAATGTTCTTCACCACCATCTCCATCCTCGCCCTGCTCGGCAGTACTCTCGCCTCCCCCGTCGAACGGGCTACCACCCCAAAAGTACGTTTCCCCCTTCCTCTCCTCCTCTCACACATGTTTAGCCAGAAGGCTGATACACTCAACAGGTCATCGATAACTGTACCAAGAAAGGCACTGTCGCGCTTACTTTCGACGGTACGTTCAAGTCTCACCTCTTTGGCTGTCAGAGTAGTGGTGAGGGCAAGAGCTGATGCTGTGTGGTTTTGGTGGTGTAGATGGGCCTTACAAGTATGAGCAAGACATTGTGAATGCTTTGGACGGTGGGAAAGGTACTTTCTTTTACAATGTACGTTTATCCTTCCTCTTTCCCTCTTACCAGCTCTAACCTCCCACCGCTGGGGTAACATGCCAAAGGATCAAGCTGATATACTATTGCAGGGAGACAATTATGACTGTATCTATGACCGAGCGGACGATATCAAGGCTCTCTACGACGCCGGCCACACTATCGGGTCACACACTTGGTCGCACGCCGATTTGAACTCGTTGAGCGAGTCAAAGATCAACGAAGGTAGGTCATCTCTCCCCCCCCCCCCTCCTCCCTATCTCTCTCTTTCCTCTCCTTGAAAAGAATGAATGCGGAAGGGAAAGCTGATGGAATGGGGTACAGAGTTGGAGAAGATTGAAACTGCTTTCGTCAAGATTCTCGGAGTGAAACCTCTCTACTTCCGACCGCCTTATGGGAACCTCAATGACAAGGCTAAAAAGGTGCTCGGTCAGCGTGGATACAAGAGTACGTCCCTTGCCTTCTTTACCAGGGTGTGGAGTGCTGACTATGACGGGGTAGAGATTTTTTTGTGGTCTGATGATACGGAGGATGCGAATGGCGCTTCGTCTGGGAGCAGTAAGAAGGTTTTGGATGGTATCGCTAGTACGTCTCTCCCCAATTCCTCGGGAGAGAAGATGGAGCTGACGGTGTTGGTAGAGGACTATCCCAACCCCCACCTCGTGCTTGACCACTCCCCCATCAAGACCAGTACGTCCATCCCTCCCCTTTCCCGGTATAGGAAGACCAAGCTGACTCTGGGCGTAGCTTCTCAAAAAGTCCTTCCCCACTCTGTGCCCAAGCTCAAGGCCGCGGGCTACAGCCTCGTCACTGTCGGTCAATGCCTTGGCACCGACGAATCGCCGTACAAGAAGGTTGGGTCTCCTCAGAAGAAGGACAGTTCTTGGAAGTGTTAAGCGCGTTGTACGAGTAGTAGCATGGTCGTGTCATTCGTTTCTCCCTCATTTCGAGATACATTCCTGCGATATTTTATCTTTAATAATACTCTCCGAGTGAACTATATATCACAGGAAGAGCTGTCGAGATATGCAACAAGCATTGGACTTTTTCTTTCCGTAGTTGGAAGGGCGAACATCGCTATGGTGCTTATGGCGTCCTCGCTATGGACCGTTTGGGCCCGTCTTTGGATAGCGTCATGGAGAAGACCAAAGAAGACGAGTTCAGCCTCAAAACGACTCTTCAAATCATGGATCAAGTCATCACCCGTATTCAAGCTTTACATGAACGACATTACATCCATCGTGGCATCAAGCCCGACAACTTCTGCATTGGCCTGCCAGGGAGCAAGACCGAGAATACGGTGTATATGATCGATTTTGACAACGTCAAGGTATTCAGGGACCCCGAAACCCATATGCATATACCCTATCAAGAGGACCGGAACCCCACCGTCAACCCATACTGGTCGTCTTTGACTGTAGACTCGAGGATTGAGAGTTCTAGGCGAGATGATATGGAATCAGCTGGCTATATGGCGGTCGTGAGTATCTACGTTTGGAAGGCAACAGGCCTAAGCTTACACATGACTAGTTCTTTCTCAAAGGCTGTCTACCTTGGTGGTACGAGCGTGAATGTCGTCCAGCATACCCAGAGCACTGTCAAAGTAAGAGAATCAAAATGTTTCCATTAAACAATATGACCAGAACGCTGATATTCTTTTCAGAGAAGGACACCACTCTCGAGTATCTCTGCGCGGACCTTCCCGAAGAGCTCTCGACATACATCAGCTACAGCCGTTCACTCAAATTCGATGATGAGCCCGACTATGAGTATTGCCGTGGGCTCCTTCGACGAGTGTTTGAGAGAGAAGGTTACAAGGATGATGGCGTTTATGATTGGGCCAGGAGTCCCCAGGTTTCTGCATGGGGAGGTGACGATACCGATGTTGAGACGAGCGAGGACGGGCCTTCTGCTAGCCAGACCGAGGTCACGGAGGCTTGTTCTACCCCGTATATGAGCTTGCGATCGCGCCAGGTGGGTTTGAAGGTTTGAAGGTGACTCGATTTGGTTGAGAGTCTCGAGCAAAGCATGGGATTTCAGGTGATAGCTGCTGTATACGAAAACAGTCACATGCAGAGTCTACTAGACTCCTTGATCTCTTCACCCTCCATTCCACTCCCAGCGAGCCAGCCTCATACCCTCCATGTCGTCGTGTAGCATGCTGCATGCCTCTCCGTATGTAATGTCGGTCTGTAGGCGCGAGGAACGATCAGCTTGCGTCATTCTACACGCGTTCTTGTTGTCCTCTCCGCCTCTCTTACAATACAGGATGGGGTGAAACACGAGGAGATGGCGTGGCCCAACAGCCCCCCTCCTCAGATGACTATGCCATGCTCAGTGTGTCAGACCGGGCCTGCTCGGGGACTGTGCGTGGGGGGAGGGTATATAAAGGGAAAGATAGATTTGCCACTCTCTCCTTTCTTTTCTGTAACAGAGAACATGATGACGGGGACTGAGCATACCGAGCAAGTCTGACGTGTACTGGGGGGCGAATGCTGATGCATGCCGTAGACCAATCGTACCCTCCGTCCAAGAGGAACAAGAGCAACAAGACGGTACCGATGCGTCGTCGCCGTCCAAGCCGGGCATTGTAGAGCGAGCGAGTGATATTCTCAGGGAAGCTTGTACGTCCATCCCTACTCCTCTAGTAGAAGGAAGAGAAGCTGATAGAAGGCATTAGTTGGGAAACCAAAAAAGGCAGAAATCACGCCGTCTACGACGGAACATGTCGAACACACTCCTCCTCCGCCTCTCAGCGAGTGCACCACCTCGACTGCTCCTGCCGATCAGGATATCTCTGAACACCACTCCAGCTCCATACCCCAAAACATCTCCTCCCCGCCTACAGCAATCGATATCCCCTCCCCCGCCGGTAACTTGTCCGAGATCATCCACCACGGCGCCCCCTTGACCGGCCGACCCCAATCCAAGAAGAAGGCCAGTCTCGGAGGTGAAGAGGGGAGTACTGTGGTGGACAGGGCGGTGGGAGTGGGGCTGGAGGGAGTGGAGGATACGCCGATGGGGGAGAGGAGTAATCCGTTTAGCTCGGTACCGCTTGGTGAACTTGGGCTTGGTGCAAAACCGACTCCGGTGGCGCCGTCTTCCGAGCATGGTGAGATCGAGAGCGATGGGTCTGATAGTGAAGAGGAAAGTGGGCAGCTCGCAAGGGGCGTCCGAGAGTCTGCGCCTGAACCTGTCGACCCGCAGTCTGAAGGCAACACCAACATCCACTTCTCTTCCCAACCTCGTATCTTGCCAGCATTCGACACCAAGCCTTACGTCCCTCCCAGCTCCCACTACCCCTCGCAACCCCAAAACCAAACCTCTCCTTCCCTCTCCCCCAAAACCAGCCCCAAACAAGAAACAATCACCCTCCCAATCTATCCCCTCCCAGCCTCCCCCTCCCGCTCCATCTCCGCCCCCATCGTTTCCTCCCCCTCCTCCGCTCAGTCTACTCCGCTGCCACTCCCGATTTCTTCCAGAGGCGCGCCAGGGCAGAGAGATGTTCCCCGGATCTTCCCGTCGCTGGGGTCCGTGGTGGCAGAGCCGGCTTGGTCTCGCGAGGGATCGCCCGAGCTCGGCTCAGAGCTTGAGGTCATCCCGTCTTCTCCTCCACCTTCTTCCCTCCCAAAGGGTTTGTCCTTGGAACAGGATGAGGAAGAGGAGTATCATCCAGGGAAGAAGAGGGACCACGAACCGCGGCTTTGTGAACCCCGAAGTGAAGGACCAGAAAGTCTGGCTTTTGGGAGTTTGAGAGTCCATTCCCCTGGTTCGTCTGTCTCTCCTCTTTCACCGGTTTCGCCTGATATCACCACACCACCTTCTGTTTATGATTCTGCTTCTGCTTCTGCGGCCTCTGGAGGCGGGACTGGTGTGCATTCGGGAAGTGGAAGTGGTGTTGGGACGGGGACAGGGACGGGAACGGGGAAGGGCAAAGCACCGCCCCTCCCCTCGACGCTTGTGGCTACGTTGCAGCAGCAAGCGGAGGAGCAGGAAGAAGGTGCGGGGTTGAAAAAGTTGACGCCTATTCATCCGGAAGAGTAGAGGCAGTCGTGTCTATGGGAAGATGTTGAGTGAGAAGATGGGGGGTTGTTTTATAGACTTTTCGTAGGATTACGAGACGAGGAGGGAGGTCTTGTTGATGATGGAAGAGTGGATATGGAGTTGGGTTCAAGAGCTGTTGTAGATAGGAATGTATTATGCAGATCTATGCACATATGTAATGGTCCAACTACTGTACTTTCAGACATCGAGGGCTCTTTGCAATTTCCCAATACTGGAGTACTCGTACTTGAACAAAGTTGAGAGAATCTGCCACCTGTGCGGGGGCTGCCGCTTGATGACGTGAACAAGATGAAACACGTTGTTTCCTGTCGGCTGTCCGTTTGTCGGGCACACAGGTCTTTGGTTTGGACAGGTTGCTTGACCACTTCTTCAAGAGCTTGTACCAGACTTGTCTTCCAAAGTTTGGAATGATACGCCCAATACATATACGAGTAGAGCTATCGTCGCTGAGCTAGTAGCTCTGGGAGGAGGTATTTATCGATGACGCCTGCACCTCATTGCTGTCCTCCGCTCGTCAAGCGGTGCTAGAACCTCATAGCATACTGATCTACTAGTTTCAGTATGTATATTTGGTTGAGGGCGAAGGGCCAGACTGCATTGCATCAGGAAGGAGGCCATTATTCACCCCGCTCAAGGCGAACCTGCCCTTCCTCCTCACTTTATCCCCAGCACGCGATGATCAGGCCAAATACTTGACCAAACCGAAACCCTATGCCCCAAGCCCCCAGACCCCATGGACAAGCACTTCCTCACCCCCCTCTGGCCTCTTTCCCAGACTTTCATAACTGTATATCACCCAACGCCACCCTCCTCGCACCTCGTCCGTCCAAACTGAAGCCTATCCACTCGGAAAAGGGATCGTCTTCTGATCTTGTGGCTTGATCCGACCTCGGTCTCTCGGCGTTTGTCGTTCGGGAAATGCTTTAATGACCTCTCGGAACTCGGAGAAAAGCCTAGCCTGGTAGCAAGTTGATGGATGATGGTGCCATGAATCAATCCCCAAGACGATCTCACAAACTGGCCGTTAAGGCGGGACTTGGCATCTCATCGCATGCTCTCCTGGTTCCCTCTTCCCCACCCTGGCCTCGCTCCTCCCAGTATGGTCTGGGGTCTGGGGCTGGCGTTTTGAGGTGTCATGCCGCTTTGCCCTCCATCCATCAAAGTCTTCCTTCAACGTTTGGCTTTCGAATCTTCTTTGGCGCCGTTCTCGCCGCTACCGCCATGAGTTTACCTGATCGAGAGCTGGACCTGTCGGGTCATTGACCCCTGACCCCCAGCCTAGGGTATAACGAGTCGACCGACGCGATGATGATGGTTGGGCCGTCGGTGGCATCACCAGGTCGGCCGGCGTGTCTCGTCTTTTTTTGATGGATAGCTGTTTCTGGTACTAATCGTAACTGGAGCTTAGTCGGCCTAGACGGGATCATGAGACATTGCATAGAAACTCTGGCTCCAGCATCAGATGAATCACCAGTCCATCCCCTGCAACATCATGAGCCAACCTACCGATCAACGACGAGCCTCGAACAACGGTCTATACCTCGATGGAATGAGCTGATCTCGTCTGCTCCTTCATCTGCTGGGGAGTATGAGTTGATCGATCATGAAAAGCTCCTTATCCTTCGCCTCGAGAGCAAGCTCATAACCGTCCATAACCTGTCGCCGACACAATGGCCACCATCAACGCCGACATCTCCATCCACGGAGGAGGGGGATACGCAAGCTTGATGGTTGAGGAGATAATCACCTCGCCCCAAGATCCTCATCAATACCCTGCCTGGCTGCTGATGACTCTACTCCAGGCCCCAAGCAGCAAAGAGCTTCAAGTCGACTGACTGACGGACTGTTGACTTTGATTTGCGATTGATGTCTGGCAGGGTGCTTTTTTGAGAGTGGCAGGTGAGGAAGATCGTATGGAAATGCCTCAACGTTGTCTTTTAGGGGAAAGCGACGCAAGCAAGCTACCATGGAGGATGTGGGTATATAATTGAGATGTTGGAGCCTCGCCACTTTTTTGTTTACCACCACTTATCGCCCAAACTTCTTCATGATGTCTCGGCAAGGTACCACGTACGCCTCTCTCCACCCCAATTCATTGGAACAAGAAGAGACGAGTGCTAATATTGTTATCTATAGCCCACCTTCTTACCCTCCCATTGCCCGTGTCCAACCTGGCCCGTCATCTGCCGACGTACCGAAGAGGGACGCTACGTTGATCGAGAGGATTAGCGGGAATAACTCACGTCATCAGACTTGTACGTCTTCTCTCTATGATCCTTCTTTCCAGTCACTTGACTGAAGCTGGGGTTGTAGATACCAAGTCCAAAGACGACATCCCCTTCCCAGCCCCCAGCGCCTTCACCAACCCCTGGCGCAAACCCAGCCTCCGCCCCCCTTCGCCCAGCCACAACCCCCCACCCAACCCCGCCCCCGGCCCCACAGACAGCCCAGCCCTCTCCTCATGGCGCTCTTTCCTCAACATCCACGACACCAACACCAGCCCGCCCCTCACCCCCGCCCCCACCTCCTCCCCCGTGCTTCTTCCCACGTCGTCTTCGGCGGCGGCGGGTGGTTATGAGGTGCTGTCCATCCCGGCGCTGGGGAGGAGGTTGACAGAGGCGGAGGAGAATGGGCATTTGGAATGTTTGGGTGCGCAGAGGGGGTGTTGGAAGATGCCTTGGGCCATGCGGGCCGGGGCCAAAGACAAGGAGGAAGAGGGGAAGGAGGGAAAAGGTGATGGAGAGGATGGAGGGGATGGGGAGGATGATGATTCGCCGTTCGAAGAGAAGGATGATCCGTTCAGCTCTGTGCCGCTTGAGCGTGGGGCGCTGGGGTCACTTGGGGTTTCGGGGGATGGGTATGAGGACCATGACCAGGACGAGGCTGAGGAGCCGCGATCGAGGGCGCAATTTCAGCCTGGGTGTGGGTCCGAGTCTGGCTCCGGGTCCGAGTCTGAGGAGGCAGAGTCTGAGGCAGAGTATGAGAAAGACAACGACAACAAAGACAACGTCAAAGACAAGTCCAAAGAAGAAGAAGAAGACGACGAGGCCGAAGAACTCTTCAACTTTGCCCCCCGCCGTCCACCTCTCACCCCCAAAGTCTCCAGCTTCAACCACACCAACCGTTACCGCTTCTTCGGCCACATCAACTGTCCCGCTTTCCCCCGCCCTCCCCCAGCCTCCCCGAGAAAGACAAAGACGGTGATGGTGCCGGGGAAACCGCTCCCGGAGAGAGCTTGGTCTGTACCCACGATGCCGGGGGCGGGGGGGTATGGGACGAAAGTGCCGAGCAAGCTTTCGGGGTCTGTCATGGCGGGAGGTGAACCTATCCCTACCCCGAACCCGAACCCGAACCCGAACCCCGACCGCCCTCAACCATTCCCCCAACCCACGCCTCACCCACCGGGACCAAGGCGCTCCAACACATTCTCAATCGCCCCCTGCTACAACGGCCTCAAACAAGGGTACGGCGCCCGAACGCAGATTATCCAGAATAAGGCGGATGACGAGACGGGGCTGGCGTTTGGGATGTTGAAGGTGGTGGAGCAGAGGAGGGAGTGGGCGCCTGTGAAGCAGCCGGAGAGGTGGGTTTTGAGGGGGGAGTTCAAGACGGAGAGTAGGGTGCCGACGCTGGCGAGTTTGAAGAAGGAGAGTGGGCATGGCCATGGCCATGGGCAGCATGGGCAGCATGAGCATCATCATGAGCATGAGAAAAAGTTGGTCGAAGGTCAATCCTAAGGCAAGGCGGTGTTTGTGCAGAAGAGAGAGAATATCTGGAAGTATTACTTGATTGGTTGACAATGGGGCTTGTACTATAGACCTTGTACTATACCTCGCCAGAGCTCCAGTATCATTGAGTGACTTTGACGAGTAGGCAGAAACGAAACGAGCGTTTACGTATCATCACAAACGGGACGGCCCGACTTATGCACTTGTATCTATGATCTAGCAGCTCTGGAAGAAGTCGACGACGTTGATCATGTTCTAGCCCCGATTTAAGGCTGTTTCGGTACCATCGTCGGAGGAAGCTCAATTGCATCGCTCTCGTTCACGTGTCTCGTTCGACAGCACCCGGCGCACACCGGGCCTTGCTTGGGTGTGCGCCGAGGGATGTTGCATGGCAGGGGGAAAGGGTGCATGCATGCGACAGGAAAGGCAAGAGCGGACGCGTCTGTGGGCCTGGAAGGGTTTTTGCGGGACCCTGAAAGCGAAAGCACCGCGGTCTGGACTCTGGACTCTGGGCTCTGCAGGTTTGGACTTTGGAGGGTACGCATCCATTTCTCTGCTGCATCTCCATCTCCACCATATCTATCATATCTCGCTCGCCGGGCAGGACCCCGCTATAGATACAGAGTCTCACACCTCCCACTCTCCCACCGACGGATAAACGCGCGACCCACCTCACGACGCATTGTCCCTCCAAAGTATTCTCCATCTCTCTCATCTTCTCATCCTTTCATCCCATCCAGCCCCAGCTCCTTTCGCCACCTCCTTTGCTGCCACCCATAGTGTGCAAATATCAAACTCGAAACGAAACGCTGCGACGACGCCATATCAAACCAGACCTTCATTCCACCCACTGTCCCTACTCTCAACAACGGCTGGCCCGTGCTCCCACTATGCTCCCCCATCCCCATGACCTCTTTCCCAGCCTGGACAACCGAGACGACTGTGTTACTTGCAACAGCACCAGCCCCACTTGTAACTGTGCATCGGGCGAGAAGTGTGTCCTTACATCAAGGTATGTCTTTCGGCTTCTCTACGAGTGATACTGACGGGTATGAAGAACGTGCAACCAATGCCCATCTATTCAATGCATCAAATCCGCATCCAGCAGCTCTGGGTCGAGTGTGAATGCGGGTGTCATTGCGGGGCCGGTGGTCGCTGTGCTGGTGATTGCCAGTCTGGGCTTGTTCTGGTGGCTGAGGCGCAAGAAGGTGAGCCTCTATCGTCTTCCAGGGGTACGGAGCTCACTCGGCCCAGAGACGCGACATGAAGCGTGTCGAAGGCCTCGCCGACCGCGCCCGCAAAGCAGAATCAGCAGGCTTCCAACTATCACCCTCCCGCTCGCCTCCTCCTTCTACCCGCCCCAGCTCTTCCTTCCCCCTCCCACCACCCTCTGCCTCACGCCGATCTCCTCTGCCACCCGCACCTGTTAACGCAGAGTACTATGACCAGAACGGCTCGACCATCCGCGTCTACTCCAACAATGGCACGATCAACGCCGACCCCAACGGGGATCCCTTCTCAGACAGGCAGAGCATCTCCACCATGGGCAGCGGCGGCACGGCGAATATCATTCCTATCCAGTACATCCCGCCCTCCGAGTCGAAGGATGGCCTGTCGAAAGTGGCGTCAACGGACAATGGCGAAACGGCTCAAAGCGCTGCGGCGAGACTCGACCAAGCGAGGCAAAATCTTTCCAAACTCGGTGCTCCTTCCCGTCCAGCCCGAAGTCCCGACCTCGACCTCCGGCTCAACCCGCCCAACGCGCCGTCGGCCTTCGACCCCGGCGCGCTCCGGTCCCCCGGGGCAGGGTCGGCCAACTGGCGCGATTCGTACTTGTCTGGCAACTCTGCTGCGCCGTCGTACTTTTCAGGGCAGTCGGATTTCCAGCTGGATCAGCCAAAGATTGTCACGAGCAGACAAGTGCAGGTGGGCAGGCTGCAGCAGGCGGAAGTCGTCAACTTTGGGGCGAGGGAAGGTGTGTTGAGCCCAGTGAGGGACGAAGAAGATCCATTCGACCGTACCCCCCCAGCCCCCGGCCTCTCCCCTTCCGACGCTTCCTTCCGCTCCACAGGCGAGCGTATCCTCACACCAACCAACCGCAAATTTGGTGCCTCTGCCTCCCCGACCACCGCCAACGGCCAAGAAGAACGCCTCGACGCCATGTCGGGAGGCTCCTCTGGCGACTTGCGGTTCTCGATGGGCAGCCTGGACTATCGTAATAGCGTGAGCACGATGGGTACGAGTCGGTACCTCGCTTCTGCCATCACCGTCCCCGTGCTCGGGCACGCCACCCCAGCTACGGCTACGACCCCCAACTCGGCTTTCCCCGATTCTGCCACCACCCCTCTCCCCACCTCTTCCTCCGCTTCCGCTTCCGCTTCCGCTTCCGCTTCCGCTTCCGCTTCCGCTTCCCCTTTACCGTCTGCCTTGCCTTTGTCGCGGTACAACTCGAGCGGCACGGGGATGGCCACAGCAGATACAGATACAAGAGGGTCGGTACTGTCGAGTAAGAGCTTTGCGGATTCGTTCCTTGGGGCGTTCCCTATGATACCGCCAGACCAACAACGGCCGCCCGTGCCCAGCATCGTCTCGCGAGGAGCTACTTCTCCCCTTTCTCCATCATCGTCACAAGGTCAGGGGCAGGGGCAGGGGCAGGGGCAGGGGCAGGGGCAGGGGCAAGGGAATGTGGAAATGATATCTCGCCCTCCAATAGCTCATCGTCCGCCCCCACCCGGTCCCAGACCACCTTCCTCCGCCCGGGGGTCCGGTATGGAACGCCCGAGCTTGGACGATGAACGCGCAGGAGGAGGAGGAGGGGGAGGAGGGGGGAGGAAGAAGAGACCAGAGACGCAAGATAGTTTTTTGGGAACGTTCCCGTTTGTACCGCCGAATATGGATGATTTGGCGGGGATGCCGGAGGCGGCGGCTGGGCCTGGGCCTGGGCCTGGGAGAGGGAGTGGGGTTGGGTCGCCTGTGGGGGGATCTGGGGCTGGGGAGGGAAAGAAGTGAGGGGGAGAGGAAGGGGATAGTGGGGTTGAGGTTTGATTTTTGGGACTTTTCTGGCAAGCGGAAGGAGAACGGGAATAGGGGAAAGGAAGGCAGGGGACAGGGGAAAAGGGAGGGATGCTTTTTTTCACGACCGTTCAGACATTCTTCACGACCTCACCACCGACCATACACACATACATATATATATATATACGCTTTCAACAACAAACCACCTTCGAGATGATTTGACATGTGTGATTGTAATTTCTGCCTCTTTATTTCTGTCGCTTTCGCTTCATGGACGCCTTTCTACTGGGAAATCTCTGTTGGAGAGTCGAGAGTCGAGAGTCGAGTATGGTCAAGCGGAGACCTAGCATGACCCGCCTTTCTCGCCTTCAGGTGCGGTACACTTTGGAGGAGATCTGTCATAAGGAACCAATTGCAAGCAGCGTCGGACGTCAGGTGACTGATTAGAAGAAGACGATGGCGAGGGGGATGGAGACGGAGGACGAAACTAAAGCTGGTTCTTTTTCGGCCATATGGTCAGTAAGGCTGTGCAGGACCATGTGGGCGGTGGAAGGTAGATGCAGATGCGAGGTGCCATGATAGACACCAGTAGTCCAAGGGGATGAGGGTATGGACTAGAAGACTACGAGTACTGTGCAGCGAGGGTTGCTCGGGCTAGAAAGTGGGCGTCTGTCGGCCTTCCGAATCCGTACGACGGACATCAAGCGTGGCGTGGCATCGATGTGGCATGTGTTTTTTTGCCTCGCCCGTATTGCATTGCACTTGCCATATGTACGTGCTACATATGGTTCTCGAATCCTCATGTTCTACAAATGTCTTGAGCACTGCATGGTGTTGGACTGTCAGGTCCAGATCGAGTTTTGTGGGCGCTTAAGAGACTGGTCGTTGGAAAACGAAGTTAAGATGTGACTATGAAGCCGGTTTTTTTGAAATGGGCCAGATTTTCGGAGCTTCTTGCGTGATTGGATCCATCTATAAGATGTAATGCTTCTAGTGTGAGCTGAGAGAGTCTATTGAAGTACTTCTAGCATCCGAAGTAACGCAACATGGAACAAATCAGGCTGTTGTCTCACGGCTCGTCGGTCTCGCAGAAGCAACGAGGCATCTCATCGCATGCTGCCTCCTGCACCGCCCCAACATCATTCGTACTCTAGCCCGGTAGGCGACTTCTTCCCATCACACCTTGCAAGCCAGCAGCATACGAGCCTCGGCGCATTGGAAAGGATATCGGGGCAGGCGGATCTTCGAATGCGGAAAGGGGGTGATGGATGGCGAGGCGGGCATGGCAGGACGGAAACCGCTGATCCTATGGCCAGGCCGGTTTGTGGATAAAACTGGAGGATGAATCTCTCATTTCGTTCCATTCCCCAACATCTTTCCCATCACCCACTACTTCAACTCATTCCAACAACAAATTGCGTCGTCGACATGCAGTTCCTCACAGTCTTCACCATCCTCACTCTGCTGGGAAGTGCTTTGGCCAACCCTGTTTGCAAGCGTGCTACTGCCGAGGTCAGTATCCATGATGGTTCTACGCATGGATCATGCTGATATTGTCTGCTTTAGGTCATCGACAATTGCAGCCAGGACGGCACCGTGGCTTTGACCTATGACGGTACGCTCTCATGCTTCTTTCCGAGCTCGGCGTTCCGTGAGGCTGACACAATCGCAGACGGTCCTTACAACTATGAGCAAGACATCATGAGCGCTCTCGATGGAAACAAGGGCACCTTCTTCTACAACGTACAGTATCCGTCTCTCCGATATGAGATTGTAGCTGACAAGATGTAATACAGGGAAACAACTACGACTGTATCTACAACCGCGCTGACGACATCAAGGCGGTTTACAACGCCGGGCACACTGTCGGCTCGCACACTTGGTCTCATTCCGACGTTACCACGTTGAGCGACTCTGACTTGAACTCTGGTTTGTATCGGTCGCTTTGCGGCAAGAGGGATTGATGAGGCTGATGAGCGGTAAAGAGCTGTCCAAGGTTGAAGATGCTTTCGTCAAGATTCTCGGTGTCAAGCCCAAGTACTTCCGACCTCCCTACGGCAACATCAACGACCAAGCGCTTCAAGTTCTCGCTGACCGGGGTTACACCAGTCAGTCATACTCTCATAGCGCGATTGCCATACTCGTACTGATGATAAATTAGAGGTCTTCTTGTGGTCCGATGACACGGAGGACTCGCTTGGTGGTGGTGCTGCCAAGGGCGAGGAGGTGCTTGACGTTGTGGCCGGTACGTCCCTTTCCCATATTCGCGTCTCACATCCAATGCTCACAAATCATGATAGCCGACTACCCAAACCCCCACCTCGTCCTCTCTCACTCTACTTACCAACAGAGTACGTTCCCCTGAGCCCCTTCAACAGAGACATCCGTTAACCCAGATGATCAGACCCTGACACTGTCCTCCCTCACTCCATCCCCAAGCTCGAGGCCGCGGGGTACAAGATTGTCACTGTGGGCGAATGCCTTGGTACGGATGAATCGCCTTACGAGTACGTTGGCGAGCCCCAGTCGAACGATGGGTCTTGGACTTGTTGAAAGTTTTTTTGGGGCTATAATGGGCCAGGGTTATAATATGGAAGATGGTGGGAGGAAAGAGGCGTTTATGGAGCTGCTATGGACTAGGGTGTCCCACATGATGTGAACAATTACTGAACAAATGATGTATCATGTCCGAAACACTGCGGGTCTCCATGCTTTGGCACCATCGCGAAGTTGCGATGGATAACGCTCTCTGCATTATATGTAGCACAATATTGATTAGCATGCACGCCTTACCCCAGTGTACTCATACCATAGAGATACGATACGTCAGCCTGAGCAACCCGCCACGCCACGACGAAATATGGTATCGCGGGAAGAAATCACACTTTTAATCCTCCATTTGCGTTTCTTCTTCTGCCCCACCAAGCTTCGACTCAAACCTTCACCCATTCATCGCCAGCACCATGGGCACCCGCGGTCTTATCGGCTACATCCTCCGCAACAGGCAGCGCAAGGCCATGTACAACCACTTCGACTCCTATCCCGAGGGCCAAGGCCACGACATTGCCCAATTCATCTCCCGCCTTTCTCCCGAGCAGAGCAAAGAGATGGCTGATAAAGTGGAGAAGATCGAGGTGAGTACAGCCTGCCTGTCATATGGTGCCGCGCTCACGAATATCGCAGTGGATCGAAGACGAGAGTGCGATCATTCCCGAGGACATCAAGAAGCGCTACCTGGCCGTCGACGGTGGAATCTGGAAATACGATTTCCCATACGGTGGTCCTGAGCACTGGTTCGAAGACGAGCGCACATTTGAAGGTCTTTCAGAAGCGGCCAAGATGGACTTGATTGAGGAATGGAAAGCGTATGCCGCAGAGCTGTTGAGATTGGAAGCAAAATACGACACAGGTTTGAATGGTCCCTTCACGTTCCATGGCTCCATGGATGCTTGGAGTGGCGTGATGACGGAAGCAGAGGGGGCGAGGGCGCTGCCGTTCATCCTACATGTACAGGGAAGGCTCAACTGTTTGATCGACTGTAGTGCATTCGCTGTCATCTGGTGACTATTCTGCTGATGACCCGTGGCTGGGTGTTGATGTAGTCCGCTTCATGATAGAAGGCGGCTGCTCTTGTGAATGGGAATACTTTATTGATTTCAACAATGAAAAGCTCGAGGTATGGTCTGAATTATCTTTCTCCAGAGAGGTGTCATTTGATATGCTGCGAGTGCACCGGAGCATATGCTCAAGGGGGGCTGGTTCAGTGACGAGAGCGACGAGGAATAGAGGACGCCCGGAGAAGATGGGTAGCAGCGGTACCAGTGTCATGTGCTCGTGAAAACATGCATCGGTACAAGGCCTCTGCAAAAGTACGTGTACAGGGTTCTACGCAGGCGTCACCACACCCTCATCCGCCCTCGTCCCAATCGACAAGTCCGTAAACATCCTGGACTCCCACTCTTCCTCTCTCGCCCTCTTAGACGCGTCTGCAGCTACAAGGAACTGTACTTCTGCGAAGGTATCCATATCCTTATGCCGGATTGTCACGTAGCTAAAGTTATCAGCAGCCGTAGGCCTCGTCACCCTCTTTGCAGAAGGAAAGTAGCTCGCATCCAGGCTGAAAGACGTCCTTCCTCCGGACTGGTCCGTACGGACAAGCTCGATGGGTTTTTCAAACTCTGGCCATAACCCCACTGGTTCCCCGTTCTCATGCACATCATTACCCTGCATCGACTCGTACTCGATCTGATCCATCCGATCTTTGTCAGAAGGGAAGTCGGAGACGATTTCCATATACTCTTTTGTCACGTAGATATCGTCCCCACGGATGAGAGGGCCGTCCGTTTCCATGGTGCGGTTGTTCCGAACGGGGTGGAAGCAGGTCACTTCAGTAAAAAGTGGCTCGCGTCCAGGACTGGCAGAGGAGATGACATTGACCCGGCGAGAGCCATCCTCTTCTCGCTCGACTGTATATTCAGCTTGCGGATAGTCGGACGGTATGACAAACTCGATCCTTGTGATGGCCTGCTGCTCTGGATCAATCGCCTGTGTATACTCTGCATCTGCACCCCTATTCAGAGCTGATGCTGAAGGGATAGGCCGATGCAACGTCAAGTGCATTCTCCGAGGATGGTAATGCACCCTCGTATCGCAGATGGCACCCATGACCCTCTTCTCGTCGTCCCCAGTGAGATCATCGTTGAGTGGGTGAGGTTGAAAGCTCCAGCCTTCGGGCTCGCCGTTGTCGAAGTCGGTCATGCCGACACCGCCGAGGACAGAGCCAGTGGACATGCCGTGGAATAGCCCGGGGATAGCATGGGGTGGGAGTCTTTCGTCTAAACCTTGGCTCTGGGTGGCTTCTGACATGGTGTATACCTTGGGGTATGGGGTATGGTTTGTGATTAGCTCAAGTAAGGAAAATAGTTTGTGTGGTATCAGGCTTATATGTACTGCAGCAGTCGGAGGTTCTATATATTCCTGCCAAATTACATTCACAAGCGGCGGAGATCTCTTTCTGGGAAGTGAGGGTTGAAACTCTATCCGGAGAGTCCTTGCACCGTGTCCAGCTTTGATATCCCGCTGCACAACAATGGCAAGTCTACGCAAAAAAGTGCCCCACTCCATTCGAAATTGTCGGACTGGGCGTGAGGAAAGAGATACAGGGGCAGCTGGAAATAGACGCTCTCATGTCCCCAGTAGATGCGAAGAAGGGCTTCGAGACGAAAGAAAGGAAGGTTGACAGCTAGCTTTCCTATTATGACTCTCGATCGTACCGTATCCAGATCAAGGCCATCAAGGCCCCCAAGGGCTCCAAGGTCCACATGTAAACACTCCTTCCAACATCCCACCACCCTTTTACCAGCCTGAATGATCCTACAATCATTAAAGTTTTCGCAGTACATATCCCGAGAAAAGAAGCGAGCTACGATAAAGGCCCCGGAATTCAAGAAAATGGATCCCGAAGAGGGTTCTCCGACCAGAGCGATCGTGAGGCGATCGTAGATCGTACAGCACATACATGCAAACCGTGGCACCCCAGGAACGCCACTGTTGAACGACACCAAAGAACTGCAGCAGGGTCCTGGACTGTGCCGAGGATTGCGGTGTGATTGCCCTGATACACACTGCAGGGTGCAAGCACATGGACAAGGGTCATTCGTCATATATACACGTCTGGTACGTTTGAGCGTCTGAGCGTTGCGTCTCAGATACGCCCTGAATCCCCTGAATTGAGTCGTTTTGGCGGGCGTTGCCATGGTATTTGCTACTATGTACGGCAGGTCGTCTTTGTGATTTGTCATTGACTCATTGCTGTCGAACCTGGTTGATCCGGTAGTCCTTTCGAAGGGGCGCTGTTACCAATAGACTTTGCCGGCTTGTTGGGCACGGGCGGACAAAGAGACGAGGTGGGTACCATCATGCTTTGCCTGGTGGTACTTGTACAGTTATTTGCGTCAACAAAGTTCTGTATATTCCCAGACCTGTACGTCGTGCTGCAATGAGTGCATACTCCCAAATTGCATAGGCGTCCTTCGTAGACCGCGAGCCTCTTGGGTCTCTTGCTTCCTGGCCCTCTATTATTCCAGTGGCTTACGACACGCGCCGCCATCAGACGCTGATCACCCGTGTTCCTTTGAGCGATGCGATCGACGCACTACTGGATCCGACGTGTCCGTGCATCCTCCTGATTCCCGAGACCAGGATAGCTGCTCTCAGCTCAAGACATTTCCCGAAGAGGAGTGAGCAGGGGAGATGTTGTGTCGGAGCATGGGCTAGCAGCGCGTGGTGAGGAATGAAACGTATGTGAGGGGGATGACTGGCACCCTAGACCCGTCGCCGTCGGGAGGGGTAAGTGTGGAAAGGCTGGTGGTGTGTGCTGCTCTGCAAAAGTAGATTGCAATGCTTTCTCATCTCATCTCTTTCTTTCTTCTCGTCCTTCTCTTCCCTAAAAGGATACAATCTTCTCTCATAACCAAGGATACAGCCTTCTCGACCAGTAAAGGAAACGGTCTTCTAATCCCTCACACCTTATACTTTATATACCCCGCTCCCACCACTCTTCTCTATCCACACTCAGCACCATGCAATACGACAACTCCGACAACCCCGCCACCCCCCGCTCCCCTTCCCCTTCTCCCTCTCTCTCCTCCACCCCAGGCCCGATGCGCATAGCAGTCACCGGCGCCCTAGGCCTCGTCGGCGTCCAACTCTGCCACCACCTCCTCTCCCTCCACCACTCCGTCGTCGCCATCGACGTCCTCCCCGCTTCTGCCCCGCAACACCAGATCGATCCTTTGAATACCAAGGGGTACAAGTACGTCCAAGGCTCGGCGGAAGATATCGATGGGTATAGAGAGGCGTGTCGGGGGTGTACGGGTATAGTGCATTTGGCGGCGGTTTATACGCGGAAGGAGAGGCCGGTGCCGGACTATGTGAGTGCTGTGCATGTGATGTAGAGGCTGGTCTGGGGTGCTTGTGCTGGGGAGGCCAAAGGGTGTAGGGTTTGGCCTCAAAAGTTGGACGATTTGCATGTCGCGCTCCATTCACCTTTTTGTTTGGTTCCTTCTTTTGCCCTTCTCCGCTTCGCCCTTCCCAAAGTATACCAGCACTCAGCTGACTCTGTATACAGCGCATCCACAATGCCAACGTCGCCATGTCCTACAATACCCTCTGCATCGCCGTCGAGCTGGGTATCAACCGTGTCGTCTTGGCGAGTAGTGTCAATGCTATCGGCATGTGTGAGCCCTCTATCCCTCCTGCTTAACATATAGAGAGCTGAAAAGAAGAGAAGTGTATTGCAATAGACCGAAATTCGACTACCTGCCCCTGGATGAAGACCACCCATGCCGTCCTGAAGAGCCCTACTCTGTCAGCAAATAGTACGCCCTCGCACTTCTCTTCCCTCTTTCCTTCGAGCACATACTAACCCTCTCCCAGCCTAGGCGAACTCCAAGCCGACTCTTTCATCCGCCACTACCCCTCCTCCCCCCTCCGCATCGCCTCCCTCCGCTTCCACGGCGTCGTCCCCTCCCACCTCTGCTCCCCCTCCTCCCTCCACGAGCTCGGCGGCGCCTGGAAAGACCTCTGGGGCTGGGTCTCCAACCCCGGTGTGGCGCGCGCTTGCGAGCTCGCCCTCACCGTCGGGGAAGACTCTTTCCCAGCGGGGCGGCATGAGGTGTTTTTCGTAGTGGCGCCGACTATTTGTCAGCAGCGGTCTACGCAGGGGATTTTGGAAGAGTTTTATGAAGAGTATAAGGGGGAGGAGGGGAGGGGGACGATAAGGGGGGAGAGGAGGGAGGGGAGGGGCATGGAGGGGAATGAGGGGTTGTTTGATTGTGGGAAGGCGGGGAGGATGTTGGGCTGGGTGGAGGAGGGGTTTGCGCTGGGGAGTGAGGTGAAAGTGGCTGGGAAGAGTGAGGGTGGGAGGAAGGCATGAGGTTTGAGAAGGCTGGGGATGGGTGTTAGTCTGGATGTCGATGTTATAGCGGCGACAAAAAGTCAGAGAAGATAGTAACCTTGATGTTCATACGAGCAGCGTAATTTTACAAATATATGTATAACCCACTAAACCGAGTTTGACATATCACATATCAACCCATGTTGGCGTGGACAGGAGTGCATTCAGCAAAAGTCGAGAAAGAGAACAAGAAAAGAGATCTCCAAACCTGCAAAAAGAGATCTTCGTAAACGATCGTCGTTTCGTTTGGTTCCGTCAACCTGGGGCCTGATGCCGGTACGATCATCCATATAAGCATAGGGATGATCAACTTTTTTTGCAAGCTTCACCTGCCGAGGCTTGCCGGAGTACGGGGTCGGATAGGCTCGGTAGCAGCCGCCTCCTCCTCCTGGCGTCGTCGGAGCGAGTGGCTTGTGTCGAGCCTAGGGGTCGGAGGGCTCGGGGTATGTACTCGGAGTATGGGGTGCGATGTAACCTCGACGCTCGAGACCCTCAATGCTCAAGGTTCAAGGTCCACAAAGCGATGATGAAGAAGGGTAGAGGCATTGGTACGGCCGGTACGCAGACGGCGAAAGCCGGCTTTACCTCTTTTTGAGTCTGTGCTTGGTTCGTCAGTGGGCGAGGCCGAGCACTCGGAAAGCTTGATCGCTACTCTTGAACCTTTGGGAGATACGAGTGGTATCACGTTGTTGGACACTCTCCTTCCCGATTTGCGCTGAGCTGGTTATGGCTGAGTCACGAGTGAACATATGTACGTAGATGGAGAGCAATCCTGGGGTTTTTACCGCTCTGGAGCTGATACAGCTTCTTTGATGACTTGTTTTGGAGGGCACATCAATGGGAGCGAAGGGTGGTGAATATGACATGAAGGGCAGTGCGATCATTCTTGGTTTACAGACCCAGCAGCTCTATCAGCATAATAGGCATTCAACATACCTTCCCGCCCTATCGCGTACAATGATTGTATCAACTGTCGCAAGACGGATGAGCTGGTGTACATGGTGAGAGCAGGCGGCGAGTATGACAGTACTCAAACTCGGTCTCCATTCTCCATCCCCCCTGGCACCCTGCCCCTTGAAGGCCTTGATGGATCATGGACCTAGATCTACACACTCGAGGGCTCGAGGATTGAGAATCGAGGGACAGGCCATTTGCTCTACCCGGGGTCAAACATTTAACTTTGCACCCATGTATACAGTACTACTGTCATCCGTCGCGCATGTCTCAAACGCATCCATGTCTTGCTCTTGCTGGAAAATAGCTGCTGTTTCTGAAAGGGGAAATATAGAAGACAAGCCAAAAATGGCCGGCCGCAGAAGAAAAAAAATAAAAACAACGTGCCTCTTTTTGCTCTCGGAGAGAGTGTCTCCGATACTGGGTCCTACGCTACCATACGCTACGGCGGCGAAAACGCACCCGAGCAGCGCAAATAGCCCCATCAGACAGAAAAAATCTTCTCACGATTCCCAGGCGGTATGGCTCGGATGCATGGGGGATGAAGAATGGCACAAGAATGGCACAGGAAAGACGGCGAGCGCAGCCAGCCCAGACGCGTGCTCGCGTTTTTGCAATGTTCCCCTGGCTGTGTACGTAACAGAATGACGTAAATGTGAAGATCTGAGGGATCGACCATCGCTGCCGCGCTCCCATGCAGCGTACCCGGGGCGAGGGGGCATGCATACCATACCCCAAGAAGGAGAGGGGGAGATGCAAGAGGAGATGGGCGGGCCACGTGGGGCAGTGCCGGCATAGATGCAGCATGGTGCATTCCGTTACCCCTGGGCCCTGGATCCCGCGTTCGATGCTCGGCGAGTTGTTACCACTTTCACCTCTTTTCCATCTTTTCTCTTGTCCATCCTGCCCATTCACCCCTGCCCCCACCCGCATGCCCCCCACGCCGGCCCAGTATTCCCGACCGCCCACCAAGGGCCCCGCCGTACACCCCCGCCGTTCCACCACCCACCCATAATAATGGCCCCCGGACCAGAGGGCATCCCCCCAGAAGAAGAAGGAAACATCACCGTGGAAGACTTTGGCGCGGAAGAGCATGAGGCTGCTCAGCAGGGGGCACAGGACGGCATGAAGGGCAAGCCGCAGACGCAGGAGGAGTGGGATACATTCATCTCGAGGTGAGTCACCGCCCCACTTTCGAGAATGCCGCAAATGTGGACGGTGGATATGTCGGGGGCGAGGGGCATATATCCTTGGTCGAGGGCAAGCCGCCACTCGCCAGATGCTGCTTGTTCTTGTGGAAGCGGGGCACTGCTGTCTCCCGCTCTGGCTGCCTGTCATTCACAACTTCCGGAAATACTTTTCGCTGACATGTACTCTAGTTACTCTGTGGGCAACACTGCCAGATACACCTTTCACTCTGAGGACGAAAGCGATGACCCATCCCCAGCCTCGCGCTTGTCGAAAGAAAGCCCATCCCTCGAGCGCCAATCCAGCACGCCTCTATCCAACGAACGACAGGCATCTTCCTCTTCCCTCGAACCTCCTCCCCGCCCACTCCTTCACCACAACCCCTCCTCCCTCTCCCATGCTGTCCTCTTGCCCAGTGGTTCGAGCCAAGATCCGGTCGATACCTCGGGGTCCGAGTCCCGGTCCGATGTGGCTGGCAAAGTGACCGCTGCTGAGGCCATGAACCAGGATCCAGCTATCCCCGATATCGAAGACAAATATCTCCCGTCCATCTCTAGAAGCTCTTCAAACGCCCCTTCCCAGGCTAGCGAAACATCCAGCAAAAAGGGGTATCGCGGCCAAGAAGCGATGACGAGCAACAACATGAAACGTCTGGGCGAAGAGTACCGCCGGGAAGAGGTCAAGAAGGCGTCTACGGAAGGTTCGGGCAAGAAGGCGAAGCGGAAGATTGTGGAAAAGGCGACGCTGGAAAATTCGAGTGAGGGAGAGGGCGAGAGGAATGCGGCTGTCGAAGAGGCGTCGGTTCGACGAAAGTCTACGAGGCGGCGACCTAGGCCGAGGGGAGCATGGTCTTCGGCGTCGCATAATGGCGAGATGCTACGGCGCGATTCGAAACCCTCGCTCGACATGTCTCTCTTTGACGACTCGACCAACACCTCGACGTCCATCTCTCAGGCTGATCTGGCGTACGACCATGCCGCAGAAAGGACACGGATCAAGGAGTTCTTTGAGAAGAATGACTTCTTGTGTCCCCCGAAACAGCCGCCTGGAGCGTATAGACGGCGGCTGAGGGTGATCCGTCGCATGGGCCTCGAACAGCCTGAAGGCTTCCACTGCGACACCCTCGACAAACTCTCCCGTCTCGCCAAGTCCTTTTTCAGAACGCAAAGCGTCGTCATCAGCGTTTTCGGCAGGAGCAGACAGATCTTTCTCTCAAAGATTGGGATCGATGCGCGTTCGGTGGATATTGACAAGTCGATTTGCTGTCATACCCTGACGCTGTCGGGCAATAGCGAGCAGTGCATGGTCGTCAAAGATGCGGCGAAAGACTGGCGGTTCAGGAAGAATCCCATGGTCGGCGAGGGTCGCGGACCTGTCAGATTCTACGCCGGTTCGCCTTTAAAAGTCGGATCAGACTCGAAAGAATCCATCATCGGCGCCATCTGCGTATTCGATACCCAGCCCCGCGAATTCACCCGCGACCACCGCGCTCTCCTCGCCGACCTCGCCTCGTGTGTCGTGAGCGAGCTCGAGCTCCTCTACTCGCAACAAGCGTCGATCGAAAGCGCCAAACTGCATCAGATCTCGGTCGACTTTTTGCGTCGGTCGTTGAAACATCGGCCGTTGGAGTATGCGGGGCAGAGTAATAGTGGGTCGACGTTATCGGGTAGTAGCGGGTCGATGAATGTGGAGGGAGATCCGGTCAATCCTACCGAGGTCAAATCCGTACCTACCCCCGCCCCTACCCCTGCGTCTGCGGCTGCGCCCGATACGGGCAACAGCACCGGCGAAGAACAAGACGACTCTGCCGAAGACTCCTCCCCATTCAGCGAAGAATCCCCGCCGGCCGCACCGCTCAACAGCAAGAAACGTATCGAAGGCGCCGACGCCAACCAGAGCGTCGACGCGGTCGATATCTATGATGAGGCGTGTATAGAGATCCGGATGGCGCTCGATGCGTATGCGGTAGCAGTCGTCGATTTGTCGCAGTTCCATCTCTTTTACCCGGCTTATCAGAGTACCACCAACGGCTCCAACTCGATCCGTACAGGGTCTGTCACTGAAGTGCCAGGGCGGAAGAATAAGAGCGGGCCTTCGACCAAAGGCGGGTCGACGGCGCGCCAGTCGTCTTCGAGTGGGCATAGTCAGGATGATAATGAAGATGGGTTGGGCTTTGATTGGTCGAATAAGCAGAGAAGGGCGAGACCGACGTATTCGGTGAATGATGCGGTGCAGCCGGCGAGGACGCCGCAGGTGTTGTTTGTACCGAGTAGACCGACGATGAGGTCAAAGAGGTATCGGCCTCAGCAAGAGAACGATGATTCGGTGAGTGATTTTCTCTAGCTGTTCGTGCGTGAGACTGACGAGACCAAAGCTTTCCGTACTGGGGTATAGCTGCGGCAGTGATGGCTTTGCGTTCAATTTTACGAGTTCGCCGGCTGCGAGAAAGATTATTGCAGACTTTATCGCGAGCAATGTCGTTGTAAGTCACTGTCTTGATCCTTATCAAGAACGATTTCTGATGGTGATATAGTCGCGAAAAGTATGGTATGCGAGGGATGATAGCCAGGGAATAGCGCAGAGTATCACGCACCTTATGCCGCCCGGGACGGAGACGAGTATGGCGTTGCCAGTATTTGGCTTTGACGGCCAAGTAAGTGTCTCAGCAACAGAACGAAGGGCATAGAAACTGATGATGGTGCAGGTCGCATTTGCCGTGGTGGCATGCTGGAAAGACCCGCTGTACACATACCCCTCCGGCGCTCTACAATTTGTAGAGACTATTGCGGGTAGTCTTCTCGCTTCAGGTACGCCGTCCATCTTCCTTTCCAACCTCCTGACTGACCCCCATCTAGTTCTCAAGGAACGCCTCCACAAAGCCGAACGTGCCCAACTTAACTTTGCCTCGGCTGCTTCTCACGAACTCCGTACTCCCCTACACCAAATCAACGCCGCTGCCTCCCTCCTCCGTTCATTCGTCCAACCGGTGTTTGACTCTATGCGCGGCGACGAGGACGTGCATGTCCCACCCGAAGACCGGGTGGAGATCCTCCAGCAGCTGGAGATTATCGAGTCCAACGGGTTGAGTCTTGGCAACATCTTGGAGAATATCATCGATACGCTCGATATCGGCAAGATGGCGTCCAAGATGGATACTGGAGGTACCATCCCGAGTCTAGTACACAAAGATACAGCTACGGGCAAAGAGGCCGCTCCGCAATTGACAAGCCTGGTGGAGGTACTTGAAAAGGTTGTGGAGGATGCGATTGAACTCGAATCAAAGTCGCGTAAAGTGTCGGGAGGCAAGGGAATGGATCAGGTGGAAGTCATCTTGGAAGTGTTGCCGAGGAAGAGGGGTGGATGGTTGACCACGAGGGATGTGGGGCCGTTGACAAGGGCACTTGGGAAGATTGTGCATAACGCGGTCAAGTTTACAGAAAAGTGCGTTCTCTCACGGCTTATCCGGGCATCAACTGACTTGATTGTAGGGGCCACGTGCACATCACCGTCCAGGACCTTTCGCGAGAGGTGGCATTACCAACTGGGTATGACAACTCTATGCGAGAATCGACAATCTCTATCGATGTGAAGGATTCCGGTGTTGGAAGTAAGCTACAGCCAAGCCCTACACGAGCATATACTGACTTTCTTTCCAGTGTCAGCCGCCTTTCTCGAGAAAGAAGTCCTTCAACCCTTCGCCAAAGAAAACCCCTTTACAAGTGGCTCTGGTCTCGGCCTCGGTCTCGCACAACGTATGGTCGAGCTGGTGGGCGGTAAACTCGCTATTGCCTCTTCTCCGGGCAAAGGTACCCTCGTACATATTGAAGCCCCCCTATTTTTCCTCAATGGCGACTCCATTTCCGATGACGAAAATCTCAACACCAACAGAACGGCCGATCAGGTCATGGAGCCCGACTACAAGATCAGACAGGATGGGATCCTTCTTGCAGGGTGGGAAAACTGCAAGGCGTCCGTCAAGAGGGTGGCCAAGTCGCTGGTGCGGCAGCTCAAGTTGCATCAGTGCAGACTTGTCACGGAGGCGCAGTATGCTTGTGTTATCGTCATGCCGGATGGAAGTTTGAGCGATGCGCAGCTGGCGGCGATGTGTAGAGCGGCGAGACCGGGTGTGCAGGTCATCGTACTCGAGAAAGATCGAACAAAGTACGGCCAAGGCGACGCAAACAGTCCCTGCCTTGCTTCTAGCAACCCCAACGGAGTCACCAGGGCCGCTCGTCTTGCTTGCCCGCCAAGGTCGCCCAAGGGGAAGGAGGACGCTGCTTTCCTCGCTACCATCCCCTTCCTTCACCTCTCTCGCCCGCTTCGACCCAGTATTCTGCGAGCTGTCATGGCGCCTAATGATAGGCCAACTACTCCGCCTGAGAGGTATGTGTCGGATGTGGTAGGAGGGGAGGATGCGCGAATGGGAGCAAGGATGCCGGTGCCAGTGCCAGTTGGTACAGACATAGGCCAGCAAGCGGTGGGCAACGATGAGCCCATCTCGCCACTCGAAAATCTTTGCACTCCTCCCATGTCACGGAACAACACCTCAGACCCGGGCGATCCTCCAAACGATCCACTTGCTACCCCAATCCCGGGCTCTTCTCGTGAAGCCCCTGTTCGATCACAATCGCTCTCTGTCATTGATAGTCGCGGATCTACCGATGATGAGGGTTCCGAAGATAGGCCGCAGTATACAGCTTCAATCATATCGGACATGTCAGCGAGTGATAGCAGCGAGGGGGTGATGAGCTCGATTGGGTCGGAGAATAAACAAGTCGAGAGACGGAAGCGGGTTGAGATGGATCCATCAGCACTAAAGGGTGAGTACTGATTTGTTTTGGCATGTGCGTTGGGCGAATGCTAATGATGAGTAGTGCTTGTGGTGGAAGACAATTCCGTAAACCGAAAGATTTTGACGACCATGCTCCGGCGAGCTGTGAGTTTCTTGTCCGTTGTGTAGGTCATAGCTGATTCTTGTGTAGACTTGTCATTTCGTCGAGGCGGTCGACGGTGTTGAAGCTGTTGAACAATTCTCTGCCTTCCTACCAGACCTTGTCCTACTCGACATCACCATGCCCAAAAAAGACGGGTTTGCGGCGGCCGCGGAGATGCGCCAGCTCGAGACCAAATGGGCAGGAAGACTTCGGAAAGGATGTGTTATCCCTGGCACCACCGACGAAGATCTGGAGGAAGCTATGGTCTCGATGGATCTCGAACCTCAGAGTCAAACATCGTCTGCGCCCAGATCTGCTATTCATCGGACTGGTTCGGGTCGAAAACGAGCGAAAATCATCGCGGTGACGGCCATGAGCGCAGAGCATCAAAAGAGAAAGGGGCTATACGAGTGCGGGATAGATCATTGGATGACAAAGCCTTTGAGCATGGGGCTGCTCAAGTCAATGGTGGAGGATATGAAGGAAGAAGTGAAGAGGGGACTGCAGGGGGTCGTTGCGGCTTAGCGAGCCAGATTATAGAAGAGCATCTAGACATCCGTTTTATCTTTCTGGGTCTTGTTGGGTATTCGCAGGTGATTACTTTGGGATCATATACTAATCTTCAGATCTTTCTTCATTTACATATGCATCGCGCATGAACTTGTATCGGTTTCATGTTTCATTGAATCAGAGGCCAAAATGAGGCGACTCCGAGACAGAAGCCGTTTCAGATGGCAAAAGGGAACAAGCAAAAAGTGAAAGAAAAAAGTATTCTCCATCAGGGAGTTGAACCCTGGTCTACCGCGTGAGAAGCGGTTATACTAACCGTTATACTAATGAAGAGTTGTATAGATATTCTACCAGCGGACCAATATATCGAATAACGCATCAGCCTCTACATGTGCTCGTTTTCTGGAAAAGATTGGAAAGGTCGCATTGTGTCCGCGGAAAAAGTTCGTGGGTTTACGTCGCATTGTGGCTTGGGAAAATTGCATATGACGTCATGGTCGCATAATGGCCGAGGGGAAAATGTATGGTCGCATTGTGTCCGGAAAATTCGATTTAGGTCGCAGGAAGTCTTTTCCTCAGTCCTTCACCTTCTGTTCACCTTATTCAATCAAAGCGAGATAAGCGCAAATCTGGTCCTCTGTATCCACATTTGGGTGACGGCGAATCCCCGGATCCCCTGATGGAGACTTTGTTATAGGCGATGTGCGGACCTGACGCGTAGACAAAGGAGCCACTGACAAGAGCTCTGCAAGATGCCTGCGCTTCAAGTCGGCATATCATCTCCCAAGAGGCTTTGATTGCCCTCTGGTTGATCCGAGAAACTCTGTTACAGCAGTACGGTACTCGTAGTTTATACTCAGCAGCTGACTGCATTCGCGTGCGCAGTCTGTTTGATCATTCGACTATTGGAGTCTACAAGAGATCCTGACCAAATCTACTTTACATATCGAGAATACATCTGACAATCTGTGCTCCCACTTAAATTGTGTCAGCCTGATGACCACCTCATATCTGGGCGGTCATTGCCGATTTCCGAGCAAATGACATTTGTCGGACTTTATAGGATGATCACTCGGCAGTCGGCACAAAGATGCTTCTGATCCGGGACCGTTCCAGCAAGTCTTCTTCGGCAAACAAAGAGGGGCCCTTCGGGGCACCGGGCTGATCAGCCGCAATGACATTGCCCCGCGGTACGTTTTTGAGTATATATATCAAGAACAGCGAAAGAGAAGACGGGCACTCACCTCTAACACTTTCTATTCATGACGAACCTGGACCTCAAGCAGGAAGAGTTTCATCTTGAAGACATCAAAGCTGAGGCCGAGCTCTCCAACGCTCCGGTCCTAAAGTCAGATCTCGATCAGCTTACAGCTTGGCAGACGGTCAGGAGGTTTTGGAAGGTGAGCTATCGATTTTGGCTGTTGTTCAGACGCTGAAAAGATCAAAGGCTGTCTTGCTCTGTAACCTCCTCTCCTTTGCCGCCGCCGCGGATGGTTATCAAGTACGTCTATCCTTGCGCTGAATGGTGTACATCCTGACCAGCATACAGATCAATCTCAACGGCAACATCATCGCCAACTTGGGTTTCGTCGAGCATATCGGACAGATGAATCCTACGACCGGGGCATATGCCTTGACGAGCTCCAGTACCGCCCTGTGGGGTGCACTTCAATCCCTGTAAGCCATCAATGACATCAGATGGTGCATGATACTATTGCTGACCATGATTCTATACAGAGGCCAGATTGTCGGCATGGTCCTCCTCAACCCCGTGTCCGACAAGATCGGTAGAAAGATGACTCTCTATCTCCTATGGTGCATCCTCTTCGGTGTACGTCCATCCTTCTTCCTATATATCCTTTCTCTGACTGTCATCTGTGACAGTCTATCATGATCGAAACATTCGTCCACAACTGGCAACAATGGGCGGGCGCCAAACTTCTGGCTGGAGTGGGTATTGGCTGTCTGCAAGCTACCTTACCCATCTACGTCACCGAATGGGCTCCAGTCAACATCCGAGGCGGTATGCTCTTGGCGTATTCTTGCTGGAATCAGACGGGCGGGTTCTTGGCGCCTCTGATTCTGTTTATCTGTCAGAAGACACTTGGGGCTGAGGAGTGGAAGATCCCCATCTTGAGTCAGTGAGTTTGCCTACCTGCAGTCAGCGTTTGTGAAGCCGTCGATGTTGACGTTGAAAAGATGGGCTTTCTTGGGCATCATGTTCCCCATATTCATCTGGCTCCCCGAGACTCCTTGTAAGCCTCCCTCGCCTCTAGTCCCTACTTCACACATATCTGACTCCCTCGAAGCATACTACGCGGCCCGAGGTCTGCACGATCAGGGCAAAGCGGTCCTCCGCCGTGTCAACGGCAACGTCGAAGGCTACAACATTGATGCCGAATACCAAGTCATTCGCAACACCATCGAAGATGAGCAGGAGCACATGACCGCTTTGGGGGAGGATGACCAGAGTTGGAGGAGTATTGTGAAGAGTTATGGAGAGTGTTTCAAGGGGACGAACCTTGTGAGTACAATCTGTCTCGATGGTGAAGGCGAGAGGGAACAGCAGCTGATATCGATCACAGAAAAGGACTCTGGCAGCTTCTTTGCCGGCGAGTTGCCAGCAGCTGACTGGGCTCGCATTCCTCTCGGGCTATGCCTCATGTACGCTAACATTCCCCCTCAACGATCTCTTGTTGACTGACGATGACGGTAGTGTTCTTCAGAGAAGCCGGCTTCTCCAACGCCTTCGAGATTACTTCCATCCTCTGTGCCTGCCCTCCTCTCTTATGTGTCTTTCTTTGTTGCTGACGTATTCGCTTTCTGATTCCAGTTGCTGTCAAAATCGCCATGGTATTCGTGTTCACCTTCACCACCGACCGCATGGGCCGGCGTACAGTCGTCATCGTCCTCGGCGGCATCTGCTGCCTCACCCTCCTCATCATCGGTATCCTAGGTCATATCGAGCATACAAACTCTACCAACATTGCTCTGATCGTCATCGCTTGTATCTGGTCAGGATCCAACGTCGGTCGTAAGTTCCACACTCTCTTCTTATTCTAGGCTGGACCCTGATACAGATGGCACAGTGGGCGCTTTTGGCTGGAGTTTTGCAGGCGAAGTGGCTACCCAAAAGCTCCGCGCTCGTACATCCGGTCTTGGATCTGGTATTGCCGTCATCTTTGGCCTCACATTTAACACCTCCGTTCCAATCATGCTCCGTCAGTTTCCTATCTCTATTCTCTAAAGCCACACTGACAAGTAGCACAGTCGACAGCGGCGCCCGTCTCGGCGGCAACACATACAACACCGCCTTCGTCTTTCTCGGTTTTGGCACCATCTGCTGGCTACTCACTATTCTCCTCTTGCCCGAGGTGGCGAAGCGGAATTCGGCAGAGATGGATGAGATGTATGAGAAGAATGTGCCGCCTTGGAAGATGAAGGGGTATGTGACGGATGTGCAGAAGGCGCATGTGGCGAGACCGGAGCAGGCCTTGTAGTAGGCTTTCCCTCGTCGATTAGGGACAATGATGGGCAATGGACCATAGGGACAAATATTGGGCTATTCATATTGATTTTACATGTACGAACAGGATACTTCAATCTACCAATCAAACGTCTCCTCACTCTTCAACATTCTCAAAGTCATTCACAGTAATGGTGTAATTACCATGCACAGTCCTCCTGATCATGCCCCTTTGATAGTAGAGTTTGATATTTCGGGGCGCTTGCGGTGTACCGATGTAGCAACATTCACCAGCCTTCTTCAGCTTAATACACTCGTAGCAAGGAAGCATTCCCTCGCACTACAGTCAAACGTCAGTACATGGTCTGAGTCCAACCATCTTCTGATGATCATGACAAGCAAACTTACGCGACGTTTGGATTTACGACAGCAAAGACAAGTTTCTCTACAACCCTTTCTCTTTCCGGTGTCTACAGGCTTGTTGGTCCACATGTTGAACGTGGCGTACTTGAATCCGTCGTCAGGGAAGGGTCCCACCAAGTACTCTGGAGGCTCTTTCTCCTTTTTGTGCTGTCGAGACTTGAAGGGACGGGCGGGTTTTTTGCCTTTTGAAATTTGCGCTCGGGGCTTGAAGGTGGATTGGGACAAGTTCTTTCGGTTCTTAGCCGGCATATAGTTATCATTGTAGAAATTCTCATCGTCATCGTCCTCATCGTCATCCTCCTCCTCCTGCCGATATACTCTTCCTCTTCCTCGTCATCATCTTCTTCGTCGGATGCAATGTCGGCATCCGCAGACTTCTGCTTGGACGCGAGACCGCCCGATGTTGTTCTGCGCCGTTTGATGTTGGCGCCAGGATCTTCTTGGTCGGAGTCGCAAGCGTCCTCGTCAGCGCTCTTACGCTTGCTTCCAGTTTGCTTAGGGAGCTGGTAGGCTTTGAGGTTCTTCCTGGCGGGATACTTGCCCTTACCAGGCTGCGTGTGGGGCTTGGACGGGGTCGAGGCCGTCTGAGACTCGCGAGCAGTCTTAGTCGAACTGGATGACTTGCCAACGTTTCGAGAGCTATGTCCTGTAGTTGAGGTGCTCTTTCCTCGACCACCAGCCCGTTGAACAGCAGGCCCCTCCACGACTACGCCACCATTGGTGAACGCCACAGGCGCCTTCGGAGGGCCACGGGGAGGAGGAGACGAAAAGTTGAAATCCTCATCAGAGTCCTCGGCATCCCACTCGTCCCTTGTTGTAGCTGTCGAGTTCGAGTCGTACCCATCCCCCCCTCCATCCTTGCTACTGTCTCCGATGCCAGTGTAAAACACATGCTCGCATTCGCCGTCCGACTCCTCGTCTTCCGAAAACATCTCTTCTCCGCTGGCCTTCCTGCGATCATACTCTTCCTTGAGCTTCTTTTGGTTTCCGGTGTATGCGTGGGAGGGCAGAGAGTGACCGGGAGGAAGCGCTTTGCCGCCGTGTCGGATGGCCCAGTAGGGGAAGTCGTTGGGATCGTAATTTACGCCGCCAAACAGAGGCAGACCAGTGGAGTTTTTGTCGTCATCGCAACCGGAGAGGGAAGGTGAGATACTCGTGTCGCTGGTATCGTTATCTTCAAATATCTCGTTGACAGTCCCACTGCTGACTACAATAAAGATCAGCTCGCCGGATGGTTCAAGTCCCAAGCCGCCTGATGCACGTACTACTGAAAGGCTCTTCAGAGTCGCAATCGCTGTCGCTGTCGCTCTCAGCTACCAATATTGTCAGTGTAGCACTTTATGGATGTGCAGTATGAGCGTACCGTCCTCCGAAGTACGACGAGCTTCTCGTTCTTCCATTGCGAGCCTTATCCCCTCGGCCTCGAGGGACAAATGAGGGGCAAATCTGTCGTGCAACTCAGGCTCGCGCCAAGACCAATGTCCGTCCGAGTAGTACTTTGTGAGGTAGTGCGTCGCTTGGGGGTAGTAGATGTTTTGTTGATAGAGAACGGTGTCGGGGGTGTGGCTGAATGGCATCTCCATGGAGAAAAGCTGGTTTGGGAGCATGTCGTCGCACATAATGGCAGATATGAATACTGCGATGAGATGGAGATGTTGGGATGAACAAAAGCTGGCAGGGGCGGGAGGGTGTTATATACCCTCCAACAGTCGCCACTTCACATCCTACGACTCCGTGATAAGATATCCGCGAGACGCTGAACATGATTCCGCATCAATAAAACCCTGGTTTCCGCGGCGTACGAGTCTAATTCGCTGCAATTCCGAGAGTCGTCATAGGCCGCGGTCAATTATACGTAGTATCCGAACATACATCAATGCATGAATAGTATGGGAAAAGTGGGGGAGATTGATTTAGGAAAGAATGTCAACAAGACCATCGTCATACTTGGTCGTCGTTATCCGCGGCGCTCGGGCTTCCGAACCCGCCCGATGTACTTTCCATTCACCCGACAAAAAGTCAGCAACAACTGTCCAGGCATGCTCTGGGTCATGATGAGAGATGCTTACTTGAAAACTAGGTTATATGCACGACTTGGTAACAGAGAGAGCGCCATCCTCACGGAAACCTCTCTATCTACCAAGCTTCATGATTACCCGAATGGCCGTCGGGCGAGTCATCCCTCGAAGCATTCGTCCACTTTGGACCTTCAGAGATGATTAGTGTTTCTGTGGCAGTACGATCATCGTTCTAGTGGAAGGGGCACCCCATATGTGCGTTATGTTGCTCATGTACTTATAGGTAATCCTCCGAGAACGGTTCCAGCGACGACGACGACAAATCCCCGGGTCAGCATGATTGTTTTTAAGAGGGAAGAGGTGCTCTCGAGCTGTTGGGGAGTCGGCGGGGGGGTAGGTGTCGCGGCCAACGGCGAGAAGCTGAAAGTACGGGTTGAAATTGACAAACTTTCGCAGTAACCTCAGAGAGACGTGGGGCATAGTGCTCTGTACCACCTCCGGATCCAATCCCGGCCTTGGGAACAGAATGGATATACCGGCTGGTCATAGTATTTGTTGGTGCACAGATCCCCAAAGAACGATCGCACATTACGATCACTCAGCCAGACGGTGTCGTACAGGATGGGGATGAAAGTGAAGTACGTCGTCTCGCTTGTACAGCAGAGGCTGATGATATCGGATGTCGATGCCGAGACTTCGACCTCGGGGGGGAGGCGAGTGGGGGCGCGCTGCTGGGGACATTTCCTTGGTGATGACTGTTGGTCGTTTCGAGGCTCTCGTGGGCAATTTGCCGGGATATTTTGGCGTTCTCGGGGGCATAACGGATGAGCGGCGGGAAGAGAGTGTACGTACATAGTCACTATGTGGTTGCGTTTGGGCGTTACGTAACTCGAATTTCTGCTGTTGCATTGCCGGACTGTCTATCTCGTTCACTTGCATACAGTATACTTGTCACAATGGTGCATACGAGAAGACCTACTTTTGATGACCTTGTTGTTGAAAATCGATACAACCGAGGTGATCAGCGCCGCCACGAATGCCCGACGAAGTTCGTCAGGCCTGTGCCTCCGCCTCCACAGTCAACTTCAAACTTCCATTGCCAGCATCGTAGCGCATGAGCACACGCTAGTCAGGAGAGTAGTGGGGCAATTGAACGAGACATTAATGAATTGCATTCAAAAAGAGTCGTTGGTCGTCACTCGTCGCGTATGTGCTTCAGCTCGGGCTTCCGAAAACATCACTCACTGTGGGCAAGGGCCCCCTAAGATTTGGCGTTATGGCATCGAAAGCGATCACTAAAATCCCGACGAAGGGCTGCTGCAGCGACGCCTAAATTTCGAGGTTAGGCGCGCTTTTTCCACCCCCCAAATCTCAGCGTTAGACGCGCGAAATCGATCCCTACCCCCCTAAAGACGGCATCGCTGCAGCGGCGCTGAAGCATTCCCTAAATTTCGGCTGCAGAGACTCTTTAGCGGTCACTTCCATGCATTCATAGAGATCACTTTCTGCTCTGTCTATGGACGTTTGACACCAAAGAACACCCCATATCCTCCCCTTTCTCTGCCTTCCTAAAGTCGCTAAAATATAATAATGACACTCCCAAATTATCGACCAGCAGCAGCGCCAGGAGCTGTGGACGACCTCTTCTTCCTCCATCTTCCGCCGTCATCCTCCATACAATTAATACCTTCCCAAAGGCTGCCGTCCAGGCCCTCGTTCCACCACCTACGGCCTCAGCCGATCCGAATGCAACAGCGTCATCACCTCTCCCACTGCCTCCTCTCCCACTGCCTCCTCCCCCAACTCCCTTCGCGTTCAAATCCTTGGTTCATTGGCTTACAAGGGTGCACAAGATGATCGTGACTCACACATCAACCAATTCTGCCCCGCTCTCTCCTCACACAGTCGACGTTCTCACCACCATCTCGTCGTGTCTGAGGCATGTCGCGGAGGAAGCTCAAGCGACGGACGACCTTGAAGACCGAGTAGGGGAGCTCGAGGATGAGAGTCGGAGGCGACAGGTGCGAGAGGCTGCCTGGGAGGAGCGGCTGAGGCGGCTCGAGGAGGCCGATACGAGTGGCGGGGATGGCAAGAAGAGGAAGAAGAAGAAGGAAGACCTGGACGTGAGCAAGGATGAGAGAGTGAGCATGCGGTTTCGTTAGGCTCGACACAAGCCCCTCGCTCCGACGACGCCAGGGAGGCGGCTGCTACCGAGCCTACGGTTTCGTATACTTATGATCGTTTCGACCTACTGACATCCTGTTGTCTCAGGCCTACGTGGAATATCATATGAGCACCCTCACACCAGCCGCAATCATAAACGGGGGTTGAACTCACGGTGTCTACTGGGCGCGTGACGATGAAGTGCCCCTCCCTAGGCCAGCCATGCCGCTGAGCGGACGGCGAAGAGCGTCGGCAGCGGCGGCGGATACGGAGGTGGTTGCCAGTGAACGGTGGCCCAGATGCTGGAGGAGCGATATGTAGCTGGACGTGTCTATGTATGGAAATGGGCAAAATAGAGATGAGGATGATGAGGATGATGAGGATGATGAGGATGTTGAACGAGGAAGATGCATGACGAGGACGTGCGTGGATGATGGGACGGCCTCCACCGCGCGAAGTCGATTAGAAGGTGGGGTGACAGAGTTGTAATGGGCATTAGGATTGAGAAGCGACTATTAGAAAACGCGACTTGGTCGCCCGACGGGCGGACTGGACTCGGGTCCTGGCTCGGCACAAGCCCTTCCCGACAAGGGCTTGTGCCGAGCCAGGACTCGGGTCTGATGGGAGGGGAAGAGACCGCTTCAGCTTCCCTGTCGCTGAAATTTAGAGGTCTCTGCAGCAACGTTGCTGCAGGGCATCTACAGCAAGCACTGCAGCTGCTCTGCCATCAAATCTCAGCGATCGCTGCCAACTTGTGTGCAAAGGGACGCTAAAGGCTTCGATGCCTCCACCCTACCTTCGGAATTCAGCGATCACTTCCCGCGTTTCAGACACAGGGACGACAAATCGATCAATTTAGCATCCATGCCCGCGGAATCTATTTACCCTCTGGCCACAGTGACTATGCTACACTATCTGCGCGTGGAAAGAACGTCAGCAACGTCATCCCCAATAAACTCTGAGTCAAGTGGGGAGATACATACTAGATGACTCAGTCGTTAAAAATTGAGGTCTTGCAAGCCAGAAGGTAGAAAGTAAGTCGTCGCCACTAGGCGCTGACTGCTCTGCGCATCCTCGCGGGTCGTCGTGCCCTTGGCGGACGTGTTTTTTGATATACACAATGCCAGATACGGCCACAGATATGAACAAAAGAGTTCAGTCATAGGTTTTCGGATGATATACATGTCCCTGACAATCACCTGTAGAACCCCATCAGCGCCGAGCCCCCAAAAACGCAGAAAAGCAACTCACTGGAAACAATCCCTTCACGCCTCTAACTCACATCCATCACAGCTCTTCGCCGGTAATCCCTTCCCATCGACCACTAGAGTCCCTTTCCACTGGCTCCAATCTTTGGATGCTGAATCGTGAGATCTGGCGAGGATGTCGACGACTTGTTGTTGGGTGATACTGGCGTTGTGGATCTCGAGACGTCGTATGCCGTGAATATCATGATGTCGGCTATTCAATCGTCAGATCATGCAAACCTCAGACGGAAATGACTCACTCGGTACCAGGTACAGAAAACATATAAGGCAGACCATTCGATATCGACTGCACATGCGAACACCCCGCCTTCTCCGGCTGCAGATAATACTCGATATGCTCCGCCGGCAGTGGGAAAAGCTCGGTACAGAAATGCGCATTGTGAAGCACAAACTGCTTCAACTGCGGCCTGTTGCTCGTCCACCCCACCCCGAGCTCCGAGACCATATGCGCCCTATCATCCGTAAACGCCCAAGCGCAAACGCGGCGAGGCGCCACATGCCGCACCGTCACTTCTGCCCAATACCATCTCTCCGTCCGCATCGCTGCTCCTCCATCGTTCCACTGCTTCTCCACATCCTCCGTAAAGCTCTTACTGAATACCAGCCATTCGACGTGCTCGAAGCCGAACTCGATGGCGGGGTAGACGCTCTCTTCGGGTTCATAGAAGGGGAAGCGGCGAAAGCGTTTGTATACGAGATCGGAAAAGTGGCGGAAGAAGTGGCAGGCGGCGAGGTCTTCGATGATGATGGTTTTGATAAAGCGGCAGAGGAGGATCTTTTTGAAGAGGCAGGAGGTGCTTTGGAGCAGTTCGGGGGAAGGGCTTTCGAAGCCTAGAGTGACGAGTTGGATGTAGGGGTTGAAAGTGATAAACTTTCGCAGTAGCCTCGATGAGATGAGAGGTAAGCATCGCTGAAGCACGTCTGCATCCATCCCCGGCCGTGGGCACAGAATGGATACCGGTCTATCATTACACAGATCCCCAAAGAACGCTCGCACATTACGATCACTCAGCCTGACAGATTCGTACAGAACCGAGACGAAAGTGAGATACGTCGTCTCGCTCGTACAACAGAGATTGATGATGTCGGATTTCGATGCTGAGAGCTTGATATGGTCGTATATTATGGCACCGATCTCGGGTGGGAGGCGGGTGAAGAAGCTGGGCAGGGGCGAGGTGGGGACATCTTCTTCTTGGGGGTGGGTGGCGGTGCTGCGCTTCTTTGAGATCTTGTTTGGGGGGTTTGCGGTGTACTGGCGGTTCCGAAGGAGCATATTCACTCCCCGGAGCACAGAAGAGCGTTGAGGGGGATGAGATGGTGAAGGCAAGATGAACGAAAGGCGCACGACCGCCGGCCGCCGGAGGGGAGATGTGGAGGCAATTACGTAACGCTACCTTGAGCTCTGTCCAGAACAACCGACAGAACCAGAACAGAACTCTGGCGTGAATGATTCTGCATCTGTCCCGGATACACAAAGATGATGAAGGGAAACAAACGACAGATGCCCTCCTGGGCCCAGTACTCAGAACCCGGCACCCCAGGAGCGCGTAGTGCCAAAGACGAGCCGCAGGACGAGCCAGACGTCAAGCCCGATATCAAGAGAGTCAAGAGTAAGCCTTGCCTCCCATCTCTTACCTCCATTCGGGATAGGCGCTAATAGTCTTGTAGCACATCTGAGTGGAAATCATGGAATGTACCAGGATACCCGAACGGCTGCTATCGACCTTTTGAATATCCTTCGAGTATGTCCTGCCGGGAAGCTTGCGGAGAACGCTGACAAGTATACAGAAATCTGTGACGATGAGGTACGAAGATGCGTACTTCCGGGTGCAAGAAAACAGCCCCGGGACAGACCCTACCAAAGCGCTCGAAATCCTGAAAGGCCTGGAGCGTATAGAATTCAACGCTGGCAACCAAGTCTTTTCTTACATCGTACATTTCTTTCTTCATCACATCTGTTTAAAAGCTCATGGATCCTCCGCAGCCCGAGTTGACTTTGATAACGGCAAGCGAGATTCGGAACCATATCCGTGTCCACTCCACACCCACGTCTGGCTTGCCGCTCAAGACACTGAAAGAAGCCATGCCCAACGGCGTCGAACCTCTGAAAGACCTCGAGTCCCGCGGGGATGTCATGATCATGCGTGGTCTCGGAGCGAATTTCAAGGATATCCCGCTCCCGAGATTGGGTAGGCTCAATGTGAATGGGGAGGATTTGTTGAGCGGGCCGACGACGAGGTGGAAGATGGTATTTTGGGATCATTTGAAAGAAGCCGGGCGGGCGGGGAAGAGGGTGGATGATGGTAAATATCTTGCTGATACTCGTTGGGGTAATGCTGAATTGTCGTAGAATTCATCTTCTCCTGGGCCGACGTTCCCATCGCGGAAACAGACGACGTCACAAAACTCCTCGCCGACCGTACGTCCTCCCTCCCTCCCTTCCCCTCTTGCCTCTCCCTCTTGCCTTACCCCACTGACCCGTTCCACAGAGGAACTCTCAGCTTCATCCCTTACACCAGCCGCCCCCAAGGCCGTAGCCGCCGCCCCAGCCAAAAAGAAGAAACGCAACACCCGCGCACTCAAGATTACCAACACGCATATGAAGGAGCAGGGTATCGACTTTTCGAAAGATTATGTCAAGGGTGCGTGAGCTATGGGGATGGGTGCTTTGTGAGTGGAGCTTGGGACAGCGTTTTGGTGTTGTTGGATGGTATCAATTTGTAGAGTATTAATCTGGCATAGAATCTGAATTGTACGCATGTAGATTGAATTTCATCCTCTCCTGGAGAGCTAGGAGCGTTAGTTGTAGAGCTATCGTAGGCAACCTTTTGCAGCTCTCATGTTCATACTCGAGCTGTATCTGGCCACGTGGCGAGTCTCTCTTCTCGCCTCCTCAACAAGAAATTGCAAGTACATAAGTACAGTACTAAGAAGGCGGCAGGGTTTTGCATTCGTTGTCTCTCGTCTGCGAGCGGCGGCATACACGGCGTGTGCCTGGATGACGTGGAGAATCGCCCATGTGTTGCATCCTATTCTTTCGGTCGTCCTTTCTCTTGTATGGCATGTCTGCGCTGTCCTCCCGGTCTTTGGGTCAGCGGCTTCTCCCAAGCCTCAGACGACTGGGAGTGACAGCACACGGCACAGGACGGGGAAGAAAATACGGTGCCCCCTCTCTCTAAGCTCATCTTCCCCTTCCCGAGTGCACCGGATGCGGACGCTAAGACTGTGCTTCCCTGCATTCTCCACATGGGCCCCGCGCTAACACCCTCAATCAGACATGCGGCTCCACCAGGGCTCCACACCTGGCCTCCACCTGCGGCAACTTTCCCTGCCCCCTTGCCCATTTGTTGTCATCGGTACCAACTTCCACCGGCAGGGACATCATGCTCGTATGCGGCCAATTGACAGACCCTTGCCGAAGGCGGCAAAGAGGCAGAGGCCGGCGGCTCTGGACTTGCAGATCGACCGGTGAGCGCGAAATGACATATTGTCAGGAATACGTAGACGCTGATAAGCTTGATACCCGGAAGATTGATGCACGAAAGTGAGTTAGTGAGTCAGCAAACGTAGATGAATCTGTTCCGAATTCTGAAGTCAATCAACAGGTAATTCAGCAATTCGGGCCGGTCACTCGCTCGTGTAAGACAATGTTAGTACATTGCCCGGTCCGTTTCCGAGGATTTGCTGTTTATGCGCTATATATAAAGCCAGCGATGCCGTACTGACCTCCAGTGGGGCCTTTCGGAATCGGTGTCTTGCTATATCCATACATTAGACTTGGGATCGGCCCTTTTGATTAGCTAGGCGAACGCCTCAAGAGTCAACACCACCTAAAGCAATGCGGCGCTCAATCATCTTTTGCTTCTTTGCCGCCTGTGAGCGTCTAACATAGTCGAAGCTTGGATCGAGCTGATGTTGTGATAGTCGGCGGCTGGGTCTTTGGTTACGATATGAGCTTCCAGCTTATCGTTAATCTTTGAACGCAACTGACCAATTGTCTTCGATAGATCGGTTACATCTCAGGATGCCTCATCATGGTAAGCTCGAACCCCCATCTTCCATCTCCCCTTCGCTGACTTTCTTCTCAAGCCAGACTTTATCGAGCACATGGGCCAAGATGACGGTACCGGCGCCTACGTTCTCTCCTCCCAACGCCAGAGTATCATCACCTCCCTTCTATCGGCCGGAACATTCTTTGGGGCTTTGCTTCAGAGTCTTACGAGTGATAGATTGGGTAGGAAGGGTAGTATCTTGTTCTGGTCTGCTATTGTGAGTATTTGCATCTGCAAGAGGGAGACGGCGCAAGCTGACGAGTGTCTAGTTTACGGTTGGCATCATCGTACAAGTTTCTTCTTTCGGTCTCGCCCAGATCACTGTCGGGTAAGCCTTCCGCTCCTTACCTCCTCATCTGGCATACTGACTCGCCTCATCAGCCGATTCATCGCCGGACTCGGTGTCGGTGCTCTCTCAGCCATCGTACCCCTCTACATCGGCGAAGCAGCCCCCAAGAAACTCCGTGGCTCCCTCCTAGTCTTGTACCAAGTCCAAATCGCTTCCGGCCTCTTCCTCGCCTACATCATCGACCTCGGAACGTACGCCCCCTCCCCCCTCTTCTCTCAGAGCAGTACTGATATAAGCTCTTGCAGACACCATCTGAAATCTTCCGCATCATGGCGTATCCCCGTAGGCCTCCAGCTCGTCTGGGGCGCATTCCTCATGATCGGCGGTTCTCTCTTACCCGAATCGCCGCGTCTCCTCCTGGGTAGAGGCGATAAGGAGAAAGCCATGAAAGCGATAGCCGCGCTTAATGACTGTAAAGTCGATGATCCCCTCACGCGGGATGTGATGATGGAGCTCGAAGATGCTATTAGGGAAGAGAACGAAGGTGGGCAAGCGGGGTGGCTGGAATGCTTCAGTACCAGGAGTATGAGTGGGTCTCCTCTTGCTCTTTGACAATGGGTGTTGGAAGCTGATGCGATGATAGTGTGGAAGAGGACGCTGAATGGGTGTATGGTGCAGTTCTTGCAGCAGATGAATGGTCAGAACTTTTACTACTACTTTGGCCCCGTCTTCTTCGAAGCTGCCGGTACTGAGCTCTCCTCCTACTGTAAGTCTGTCCCATCTCCCCAGAAATTCGCCCACTGACACCCGAACCAGCCATCCAAGCCATCCTCGGCGGCGTCTCCCTCGCCATGGTCATCCCCGCCATGTGGACAATCGAACACGTCGGCCGTCGAAACTCTCTCCTCATCGGCGCCGCCGCCCAAGCCGCCTGCGCCCTCATTGCCGGTCTCGTCGGGCACTATTTCACCGACGTCGCCGGCGTGTCGGAGAGTCAGAAGCAGACGGGCGGGAAAGTGTTGGTGGCGTTTGCGGTGATGCATGTTGCGATGTATAGTATGTTCTGGGGGCCGACGCCGTGGGTTATCCTTGGGGAGACTTTCCCGTTGAGGGTAAGGCCCAAGTGTATCGCTCTTGCTGGTGGGTCTCTGTTGTTTAAACCGTTGATCAAGGCTGATGAAAGTGTGATAGCTTCTGTCAATTGGCTCTGGAATTTCCTATTGTCTTACTTTTCACCTCTTATTACCGACGACATCGGTCCTTTGTAAGTATTCCCCTATCCATCGTTTCTGAACGCGAGCTCATGAGCATGACAGAATTCTGATGATCTTCTTCGGCTGCCTGGTCGGCGCATTCGTCTACGTCTACTTTATGCTTCCCGAAACCCGAGGGGTACGTTCAACATCATGCCTCATTCAAGCCTTTACTAACATATCACCTTCAGATCTCACTCGAAGAAGTCGACGAGCTCTACCGTTCCAAGATCCCCGCCTGGCGTTCCACTTCCTGGAAACCATCCGGCCACCACGCAGCCCTCGACGCTATCGAAGGCGGTACCGACCCGAGCCGGACGCAAAAGACCGGTGCAGGCGCGGGCGAAGATGTGCCGGGGCTTATTGGTGGGGATGAGAAGAAGAAGGAGATGGATGAGCATTTGGAGCATGCTCCTGGGACGGGGGCTGGGTTTTAGAAAGAGAAGCGTGAGTTTACGGCGTTCTAGGATAGGGAAGGGATGCTGATCAAGTGGCGTAGCGCTTCATGTGGTGTAAGGTGGTATGATCGAGATGAGACGGCAGGGTCCCTGCTCTGCGTGTAGCGTTTACTATTTTCTCCTTAGCTGTATCATTTCAAGAAGAATGGTATTTGAATTATGTATCCATGTGCCATAAAGCATGATCGGATGGTGTGTTGTTGAGAGGCTGATAGTAATCGATGAGCAGCACATATGAGAAGATTTCAAGCAGCAGGAGAAACAAACACCATCTTGATAATGGTGTGCAGTTGTGGGACGAAAGAGGGCAGGAAAAGAGTCTTGAGTGGACATGGGAAGATTGTGGGAAGAACTGGGGAAGAACTTGGGAAGAACAAGTTGAACAACTGCTCAGCGGCGGTGCCCGCCGCGAGTGGCTCTAGGACAGGTTCAGGAAAGTGAGCGAGTGACCAGACATCAACATCTTTTTGTTCTCCTTTTCACTTTTTCCCCTCATCTACAGAGCACCGGTTATCCCTGGAACACCATTTGACTCTCCCTCCGAATCCCAGACTCTCCCTCGCCCAAGCTTCCTAACCCCAGCCTACCACCAGCCATACTCGACCCTTCCCCAGACCGGCCACCAAGCTACGACGAAATTATGGACGACGACATGGACGATGCCTATGGCAGCTACTACTCCTACTACAGCCGCCCCCGCGATGCTCAGCCCATAGTCAGGCCTGATCCCATCACCGACTACAACATCCAATATGTGGAGGGCAGCGGGTCGAGTCGTGGCAAGAGCATGTAAGTGGCGTGTCACCAGATCGGGCGTGGTAGTCTAAGGCTTTAGGGAGTGTGGCTGAAACATGCTTGTAGCGACCTCGTCTTCATCCTGGACTGCACTGGGTCGATGCAGAAATATATCAATTCGGTCCGCGACCATATCATTGGCATCTGTGACATGATCCGAGGGGAGGAGGGGTTGAACGGCCCTGACGATCTGCGAGTCGCTGTGGGTCCTGTCACCGACTTTATTGTATACGCATCGCTAACATGGTTTCGTCAGGTCGTCAACTATCGAGACCACCCGCCCCAGGACAGCACCTACATCTACAAATTCCACCCCTTCACCTCTGACATTCCCGAGCTCCAAACTTACATCAAAGGCCTCACAGGTACGCACCACTCTGCCCACCCTATGCACGTCATACTGATGTGCTGGCTGCAGCTTCAGGCGGAGGGGATGGCCCCGAGGCAGTGACGTCCGCTATGGCCGCCACCCTGACCGAGCTCGAGTGGAGGCGGGAAGCGGCGAGAATGGCAGTGTTGGTGGCGGACGCTCCCCCGCACGGAATCGGAGAAGGCGGTGACCAGTTCAAGGGTGGTGATCCTCTGGGTGAGTGGAGATTGTTGGTACATGGGCTAGGCTGACTTGGGGTAGGACACGACCCTCTGGTTGTTGCGAGGACAATGGCTCAGAACGGTATCACTATGGCAAGTATTGTCAATTCATCATGCTATGAGCAACATGCTTACGCTCCCATAGTTTATGGTCGCTTGTGAAGACACTCTTTCGGGCTACAGCGTACACCTTCCTCCTCTCCAACCCAAAGCCCCAAGCTGACCCCGTCCCAGCACGCCGTCGACTTTTTCCAAGCCATCTGCAATATGACCTCCGGCGTCATGCTCCCCCTCTTCTCCGCCGACTTGCTCGCCATGACCATTGTCGGAAGTGTTCTCGAGAATATGGACATGGAGCGACTCATAACGGAGATCGGCATGGAGGTGGCGCAAAGGATCAAGGAGAAGGGAGAGTCCATGGAGAGTGTTGAAGAAGTTGCGCAGTACGTCCCTAGATCAACGCCAGGGGTTTTGCTGACATTTTGGTGCTAGAGAATTGCACGAGCGATTGCTCTTGCGAAATGAACAGACCAAGCAAGTCCGTTTACCGGAAGTCTACGTCCCGCACGAGAATGCCAAAAAGAACGTCTCCACCTGGATGAACGCCAGCTGTCTCGGCGATGCCGTCCCCCACATCCTCGCCGTACGTCCCCCTCCCCACCCCTCTTCTTGCAAGCTGTTGCTGACTTTGATTAGGTACCGGGAAAACGCCTGACTGAAAAGTTCCGTAAACAAAACTACGCCGCCGGGTTCAACTACACCCCCGGCGGCCGTCTCCCCCCACGCCGCTCCACCTCCGCCTCCATCTCTTCCCCACCCTCCACCACCACCACCTCCGCGCTCGGTATCCCGCCCACCCCCTCCTCCCCCACCGCTCACTCCCCACCTACAGCAACCTCCCCCTCACGCAGGGTCGTCTCGGACTTTAAACCGTTCGGCGCGCCGGCAGCTGGGGATGGGAAAGGAGTGAGCGTCTTTGGGGCGCCGATGCTCTCGACGCCGGGGCCTGGTGGGGGGATGTTTGGGAGTATGGGGAGGGCGCCGGCTAGTAATGGGGGCTTGAGAGAGAGGCAGGAGGAGGAGGATGATGATGATGATGATGAGGGGGCGAGGTTGAGGAGGGAGGCTATCAGTTTGGACCAGGTACGTCTTGACGTCGAACGCGTTGGGTGATGGGTGCTGATAATCATGTAGGCGAGGCGTATCGCTACCCAGGCGGTATTCCGGGCTGGCGGATTCTGATTGAACGAGGCAAATGTGCAAAGTAGAGACACCCCAACGAAATCCTTACGAATTTTTCAACCCGGTCAATGACTTTACTTTCCCGACTCTTGAACGATCATCTACTTTTAATTTTTGGAAAACCTTTTGCAAAAGTTTCATTCACCACGAGACTAGAGATCTGCGATATGTATAGAGTAACGATGTCGGGACATATCTGAATGGCGTGGAATACAAATCATGTGTGGTCAGATGTCGGGCGTTGAGCCAAATTCTCGCCATGGACCATGGTCATGTCACTCCAGACGCTATAGTAGTGCTGCCAGCAGCCCGCGATTGAAGCCCTAGTGTGCTCTTAAGACAGGTGTAGCAGACCGGCACATCCAGTCGCTCTTGCCCAGGAATAAAGCCATTTAAATATCGCCCTTGGCCATCAACCTATCCTGTCAAACTTGTACAAATGCATATAATGCCACAATATACCAACATCCTCTCACTTTCTCGCATACGTGACCTACACCACATCATTAGCATCATCTCGCGGACACACCTCCAAACTAGACTCACCTTCATCTTGGTCTCTCCATCAATCTTGAAATTATGCAAAGCATCCTTCGCCACCGTGGCAGAGTCTTCATCCCCAAACTCTACAAACGCAATATCCTTCTTCGCCGCAATCGTCCTAATCTCCACCAGTCCAGGATGCACCTCAAACACCTCCCTCAAATCATCCGCCGTCGTCCCATCCGGCAGATTCTGGACAAACAAGACAGAGTTCGGGGGCAGGTATTCGTCGGGCATCTGGGCGATGCGTTGTTTTTTGGCGGCGGAGGGGTTGGAGGGGGCGGAAGAGTCGGGGTCGGTGGATTTGAGTTTGGATTGGGCTTTTTGGCGGAGGGGGTTGTTTTTGCGTTTCAGCTCTGTTTCCCACATGTCAGCCAGGTGAAATGAGAGAGGGGGATGGGGGGGAGGGATGTACTCTTGTCTTCTAATCTCTTCTTGGTATGTTCTTCAAACGCCTTTTCGTCCCCCGTCTTCTTGACCACCGCATCCGCCAACGTCCTCGCGAATTTTATTTGCTACAACCCACGCATCAGCTCTCTCTCCCTTATCTTCATATACAAAAGAAGACTCACAATAGGCTTGCCGTATAGAGGAAACTCGTGCACATCCCGCCTCGCCTGGTTGGCAGTCTCTTTATCCGGAAACGACACAAACGCTTGGCCCCTCATCCTCACGTTTCTGTGTGCCGTCACAGGGCCTAGAGGTCTGTATGGTTTGAACAGATTCGACAGTGTCTCCTTCATCACTACCCTCCTCCATTAGCCTATTTGCACAAGATAAGAATAGGGGTGAAGGGCATACCTTGTATCCGGACTTTTTCATTCAGGTTCTGCAAGTACAGCGTTGGACAGGCATCGTCTGGGATCTTGTTTGGATCTTCTTCCTCTTCCTCTTCTTGCTCTTTCCCTTCTTGCTTCGCATCGCCTTCTTGCTTGACTTGTTCGCCCTCGGCGGTGGACGCTTCGGCGCTTTCGGCAGGAGGGTTGGCGTCGGACATGTTGATGTCTGTTGATTCCGGGACGGCGACGGGTGGGGGGGCTACTTCGGCCATTGTTGTAGACGGGCTGGATAGAGATGAGATGGAGGTGACAACGGGCAGATGGAGGATGAAGCCAGCCAGAGAATATCTGCGCGTGCATTTTATCGTCTTTATCCCACGGCGCACACCGCCTATCATGGTTGAACGAGGGATCGTCTTCTTCGTCGCTATGCATCCATCCCTGGCATGCATCTCTCCTCATAGCCTTAGCCCATGCAGCCGTCTACAAGCATGACCTTGAGGCGTGTACTCTTTCAAGTGCCCGGCTGTCTCACTCGCCCAGTGACCCCCTCATAGGCTTAACGCCGGAACCCCGAGTACATCATCGTCGCATGCTTCAGGCCTGCTCTGTCTTCCTCTCGTGCCCCCCACATCGCAATACATCCACCCACCTACCACAGCAGCTTCTCATCTCCTCATCATCACTGTAACGGCCAAACCATGTCCTCCCCCACCACTCCCCACCACCCCCTCCTCAAAGCCGACGAGATCGATACCGCCCCCTGGCGTACACTCGCCCACTCGTTGAAGCCTGAAGCTGTACGAACTCAGTTTTCTATGTCTGATGCTGGTACGTCCACACTGCTCACCAAGTCCTCAAGGAAGGGCTCAAGGAGGGCTTGATGGGGGGGGGGGGGGGGCAAGAAGGTTTTGGACAACGGCTAATACGGAGATACCCGATCAGTCGGCATGAAGAACATTGGCGTCCACAAAAGCAGACTTGAACCAGGCAAAGAATCATGCGTGAGCCCCTCCCTCTCCCACTCCCACCTACCGCTCTATTGAATCATGAATTAGCTCAACCACTACCACCTGAACGACTCTGAATGGATGTACATCCTCTCCGGCACCGGTACCCTCATCCTAATCGACTCTTCCCCCTCCCTCCTCTCCCAACACTCTCTCCCGCCCGGCTCCTCCCTCTCCGGCCCCATCCCCCCCCCGCCGAAACCTGAAGATCTGCCAAGGGAAGAACGACCGCTCGGCCCGGGGGATTTTGTGGGCCTCGAAGGCGGGGCGGCGGCGGCGAGGTATTCACATTCGATGATAGCCGGGCCGGGGGGGTTGGAATACCTTCTTGGGGGGGTGAAGACTAGTCCGAACGTTTGTACTTATCCCGAGTGAGTCCTTCTTTCATCCATACGTGTGTTTAGTCGAATGGGGGCTGATGGAAGGGGTGAAGGATTGGGAGGACGTTGGTTTTTGAGCGGGGGGAGGGGCCGGAAGGACCTACTATTGAGAGGAGCATTATCAGGGAGCATCAGGGGTAGCTCATGACTGCATTAGGGTCGCAGGAGAACTAGGAGGGACCGTAGTATGGTATTGGTTGTATTGATTTATAAGGATGGTGCCCCTGGCGGAGGACGCGGATGGCCGAGGTTCGTTGACAGCGGTCACCTGCCAGAAATCCAAACCGCCCCATGCATTTCTCATCTCGTCTTCTCATCGCAACCCAGCCCTATCTTTCCTTCTTCTACTTCATCACCTCCCCCATACCATACATAATGTCCCACGACCTCCCCCACCCACTGCTCAAATCCGCCGAAATCGAAGCAACATACAAGACCTCGCCACACGTGCTCAAACCCGAAGGCTGTTAGGCATTAAGTTGATATGTCTGCTGCTGGTACATCAGCCCCCAGCCGAAAAGATCCGGAAGAATACAAGCTAATGAGGAGGGGTAGTGGGTATGAAGATCCAAGCAGTGTACAAGAGCAGACTCGCACCCCTACACCGACTCTATCCACTAACTGCTGATGGAGGTCTTTGGTAAAAAAAACATTACCACTTGAACGAAAGCGAATGGGTCTACATCCTCTCAGGCTCTGGTTTTCTAAACCTCATCGACGCTTCAACCTTCCCTCCTCCAACCCTCCTCCTCCTCCTCTACTCTGAGCGGTAAACTCCCACCAGCACCTGATGGGGGTGGATGTAGGCTGGGAAGGACGTTAGCTTATGAGAGGGTTGTTGAAAGGGGTGAAGAGTCGGAGGTGCGCTCTGTTATTCGGGAGGTTTAGCCCGGGATGTGCTTTTGATGGTACTCGTAGACTATGTAACAGGTTGCATAGTTTTCTTCTGTCTTCTTTGTCGTTCTCAGCTTTTTCACAAATCTCCTATAAGGGCTTAGAGGGTCAAAGCAGCTTCCACATCGCTCTACCCACTCTTGTCAGCACACAATAATCCAGACAGCGAGTGGATTGGAAAGGGAAGGGGAAGAGAAGAAGACGTACGACCTTGGTCTCACGGGCAGCAAACCATTTGATCTGTCCGTCCTTGACCAAAAACTTGGAAAAGTTCTACATACCCCCACCGATTTATCAGCTCTTTACTCGCCAAAAACACAGAATAGAAAGGGGGATGAGGATTGAACGTACCCAGTCGATGTCCTTGACGGGGGGGTCGGCGTGTTCTTTGAGGTATCTCCAGATGGGCTGGGTGTTTTCGCCGTTCACATCCGCCTACAACGTGCCCCGAATCAATACTTGATCTCTTTTTCTGTGAAAAGAGAAGGAGGAGGAAGGAGAGCTTACTTTCTTGGCAATAGGGAACGTAACGCCGTAATTGAGCTGACAGAACTGGAGCACTTCGTCGTCCGACCCAGGCTCTTGAGCTTTAAACTATCCCATCCCACACCTCGTATCAGCTCTGCTCTCACAATCTGAACAATCTGAATTCGAGGAAGAGGAAGAGGAAGAGGAAGAGGAGGAGGGGATGGAGAAGCGTACCTGGTTGCAAGGGAAGCCGATGATGACGAGTCCTTTGTCACCGTACTTTTCGTGCAGAGCTTGTAGTTCTTTGTACTGAGGAGTGAGGCCTGTTCGAACCAAAGAGCCAAAAGTGTCAAGTCAGCTTACAAGATTCCTAAGAAAGTCCCAGGAAAGGGAAGGGAAGGGGGGACGTACCGCATTTAGAAGCGACATTGACAAAGACAATAGTCTTGTCCTTCAAATCCGCAAGGGGAAGAGTAGATTTGGAGAGCTCGACCTATCATCACCCCGCCCCCGACCGGGGTCTCTGTCAGCTACACATGAATCCCTCTGAGCAGACTCTCCATGGGACGTACGTTGTAAGAGTAGATATCAGACATGGTTCTTGATATGTGGATAAGAGTGCGGAAGAGAGATGGAAGAGAAAGTGAGGGATGGACAAAGTGAGAGAGAGAGAAGGAAGGCGATCTCCGTGACCGTCGGCGCTGGGCGAACTTCGCATGATGACGTGCGCGCGCCGCTGGTGCGTGCCTGGGTGTTTACGTATTCTCAGTAATGGTCTTTTTTTTCGGCGGCCGGGATTCTTACTGCTCTGCTGCCACTTGCCACTTTGTTGCTGCTGTAAAAAGTCTGCCCGAACCAGGGGGTCTGGTCAAGAGTCCCGAAAACACAGCAACCTACCGCCTGTCCAGAGTGTACTTGCAGTGTAATCTGTAGTCTGTAAATCTGTAAGATGGGAAGGGAAAGGCATGTTGCTATGGGTGGACGGTGGGGGGACACGCCGTCCGACGAGGTGTAGTCATGTCAAGTTGAACCATCATCAATTTCTGATTTCTGATGACTTGACGATTTTGTCGAAGAAGACAGAAGTTGTCGGTGATTGAGGTAGAAGATGTGCACGCAGGGCAGGAGTATAGTCGGAAGGAAATGAAGTGCTCGGAGGATAGGACATACGGAAAGACGATCGATGGGAGAGAGTGCATGGACGATCGGACAGGTCTTGGAAGAAAGAATGGGGAAGGAATGGGCATAAGTGGGAAAAGGCGTACAAGCTGAGGATGGATCGATGAAAAGATGATAATCCTCTCGTTTGGGAGATACGCTTGTGTACTTTGGTCGCTTTGTAGGTGACACAGGAGTTGAGATATGGAGGATAGGATAGGTGTAAAGATAGAGCTTATTATGAAAATCATAAGAGCGCCGAGCAGCAAATTTTGTCTGCCTGCTGATAACGAGACGAAGTCGAAAGAGCGTACATCCAACGTTTGCTAGTCCCAAGGACCTGTGCTGATGGTTGTCCCCATCCGTATCTTGGGGGCTCAAAATTTGACATGGTGACACTTGCAAAGCCGCGGGCAAGTAAATTTTGAGCGCTTGAGATGAAGTTCTGAAACGACAAGAGACAAGATGATTTCATGTTGGACTATAATTGGATTTCGCATATTGTTGGAACTTGGACGATACGAGTACACCACCACCAGATGCCAGATGCAGCATTGCAACGCATATCATCAAACGTAAACAGACGTGGAAAACAGGCAGGGCGAAGAAAGCGAAAGCAAAAAAAAAGAGACAAGTTGTGAGGGCAGAGGCACAGGGAGGCAGGAGAAACGGCGGTGACATCGATGGGGCGTTCTGCGTGTTCTGCCGTCTCCCGTCTGGTCTGCCGCAGTGATACTTTTTTGACTCTTTGACACATCATCAGATTTGCGATTTGCGACACCGACGAGTATACCGAGTACCGAGGCAGCTCAAGCGGGCGAAGGGGAGAGGTCCAATACCTGTGGCAGTGAAGGGGTGAGGTTTACTGCGGATGTGTCATCCGAAGTAGAAGTGGCCCCTTTTGTAAGACAGACCCTTATGTATTATGAAACCGCAACCCAGCCCACAAGTACCTGTCATGCGGCCGAAAGAGGGATCAATATGGCATGCCACTAGCCCAAGTGCAAGACCACAAGTTCAAAAAAGTTGAGCCGAGATGGGCACCCGCGTAAGACCCCAGGCACGGGCAGATAGGCAAGGTCCGGATGTCTTGCAAGTTCAAACGCCGGGTAGCATTTAATTGCCTAATGGGGCAGTTTCACGGTTTCACCAGGAGATTAATCTTATTCCGCCATTTGTAGTTTGTGGTGCTTACTCTGCTTAGTGCGGTTACGGACAGGTTATTACGTGTACGGAGTAGATTTGTAACCAAATGCGGACCAATTAGGACTGCCGTTGATTACAAATGGATTGCGCAAGGTCTGAATTGGGATCTGCTTCTGCCGATCGATTAATGATTTACACTCGAGCTTCTTTCTTTCCACCTGTTCCCCTACGTCTAGCACAAGCCACAGCTCACCGCCCAGCGACACCCCAGCCCACGACAACGGCGACAACGGCGACAACCGCCAGACGAGGGAACTTCCGCACACTCCTTCCTTGCCATCGCCCCTCCAGCCTCTTCCAAACTCTTGGGAGAGAAATCTGACCCCTGTTCCCGTCTACGCGTACAGCCCAGCTGCGCAGAACACCATGTGTGCCTCCGCGTCGCCAACAGCGCCAATGCGCGACCAACAAGTGTGTCCTTCCCTCTCCATTCTCTCTCACTTTTTTGCTTATTACGATCAAGCAGCCAACCCGCCAACCCCCGACAGACCCCTCCCTCTTCATGCCCTCCCGCCCCACCTACTCTGCCCCCACCTCCGCCTCCAGCAACCCCCAAGCCCCGCCCATGCACTCGGCCCCATCCCTGCCACAGCCTTATCCCATGTACGGAGGTAGTAATACCGGTTACTACCATCGCCAAGATCCTTACCCCTACCCCCCTCCCCCTCCGCACCACATGTCTGGCCCTCCTCCCCAGCGCATCTACTACAACAACGCCCTGCCCCCGCCGCCTTCGCACTACAACGCGCGCGACGAGTGGCACGCCGAACATGCCCGACACCGTGATTCGCCCCCTCGTCAGCCTATCACTGTGCGACGTGATGGGCTTGAGGAGCCGTCGCCGGAGGGCGGTGAGCAGCCTGTGAAGCGGCGACGGGGGAGGCCAAAGAAGGTGCCGGTGCCGGTGGAGATGCAGCATGTTAATAGTGGCGAGTATCCGTCGGTTATGGCGCCGCCGTCGCCTGGGCGGAGTAGTGGGAGTGATAGGGACCCGCCACCGCCGGTCAAGCAATGGTCTGGCCAGGCTATGGGCCGGGGGCAAGCACCTGCGCCTCAGTTTCTCCAGTCGAGCCATCATGGCGACTTTATCCACGACGAGCCGGAGCAAATCGTCTCTATCAATGATAAGCAGGCTAACCGACCGCCGAAAAGGGCAAGGGGCAGTGAAGAGCGAAGCAGCGCGATGGGAGGAGATGCCGAGCTCGAAGCTGGTATGGCGCTGGCGGGACTCAAGAGACGCGAAAGCGCGCCCACGTCCGATTTGAAAAAGACTTCATCGCTCGTCAAGACCGAGCCGGGAGAGGAAAAGCCGATCGTCAAGAAGGCGGAAAAGCCGTCGAACGCAAAGAGCTGTGCCGAGTGTAGGCGGTTGAAGGCCAAGTGTGATAGGGTTTTCCCTTGCTCTAATTGTGAGTGGCAAAAAGTGCGATGTTGGAATGCTGTGCTGACAGGTGATAGGTCGGAGACGAGGATGTGCTGTTGTCTGTCCCGATGGCGATTTGAGCTGTATGCAGGGTAAAAGACTTGTCCTCGCGTCGACCGAGCAGCTTCACGAAAGAGTAAGCAGCTTCACTCGTCATCGTCGAAGACTCCTAACTCGATGTAGATATCACAACTCGAACAAGCGCTCGCGCAGACCCATCGCTCAGCTGTCGGCGGTACGATTTACCACCCCCTCCTCGCCCCCCAATTCCTCGACGGCGGCTTTGCCAGCGTCGAACAGCCCCCCATCACCGTCGACTACAAACCACCCTCCTTCTCGCCCAACTCGTCTCCAAACGGTCTCGCCCACGGTTCACCCAAAAACCCTTCTTCCGCCCCGAGCTTTACCCTCGCCACGCCATTACTGGGTCCGGAGAAGAGGAGTAACAGGTCGAGCCGGATGGCGGTGGAGAGTCTGTTGACGGAAGATTCGGCGGTGCCGGAGGGGAAGAGGGAAGATGAGTGGGCGGGGGAAAATGCTGCGCCTGCGATGATCATCGGTACCGTCGGCAAGCCTGAATCTGCCGAAGATATCGAACAGCGACATTCAGTCTTTGAGCGACTTAAAAAGATCATCACCATCCTCCCGCCGAGAAATGTCAACAAACAGCGCGCAGACCACTTTTTCGAGACGTCCCTGTGGTATCAGACGGTCTTGCAGAGGAACGAGTATGATACAGTGTACGAACCCGCCGTCTACGCGCCTACAGCCGCCAACCCTCTCTCCCCGCACAAACTGGCGGTCGTCCTCATGGTGCTCACTTTCGATACGTACCTCGACATCTCGGCAGATGAGAACGACCCCAAGCTGGCGGATTACTGGGACGGCGCCCAGCGGTGCTTCGATACCCGATTCGGCTGGGCGGCTAGTGTAGCTGGTGTACAGGCGTTGGCGCTTGCGACGCTCTTTGTCGGATTTGGCTGGCGAGGGACGCGGGCGAGCAACTTTTATTGGTTACGCCAGATGACGTCCGCCGCGCTCCAACTCGGCTTGCACCGTGATGCCCACAGCTCTTTCCCTGATGAAGAGAAAGAGTTCCGCCGACGTGTGTTTCACGAGATCTATGTGATTGACTGTTTGATTTGTCTGAATCATGGGCAGCGGGCTTCGATCCCTGTAGAGTTTATCGAGACGGCGTACCCGACGCTGAGCTCGCCGTTGGCGTATAAAAAGTATGACTTTATCAGGACGGTGAAGAGTCAGGTGATTGATATTGGGTCGTTGCCTGATTCGGCGCCGGCGAGCTGGGCGAAGGTCAAGGAGGTGGAGGAACAGTTGATGGAATACGAGTACGTCTTTCTTTACTTGTCGAGGAGCCAGCTGATTTGTTTGAAGCGTTGAACGACTTCCTATCGTCCACTGCCCCTTGCTCCGCGGCGAACAGCCCCCCGACCCCGTCGAAGGCTTCACCCACGCCGACGCCGTCGCCCTCCAGACCACCACCACCTCCATGTGCCACTACAAAGCCATGCTCTACCTCTTCCGCCCCTCCCTCCGCCGCCTCATCGCGCGTATCCGCTCCAGCCCCGCTTCATCCATCACATTCCAACAACCCGACATTGACACTGTCAAAATGACGCTCCGCGCTTGCAACTCGATCATCCTCACGTCTTATCATTTGGCGAGAAAACATCCAAAGTTGATGGCCAAGTCGTGGATGGTGTGGGTGCAGACGTTTAGTGCGGCTGTGAGCATGACGGCGCTGGGGATTTGGTGTGGGCCGTATATGGAGCAGGGGTTTTTGGAGGATGTGAGCAAGAAGTTGACGGAGGCTTGTAATATGATTGGGGAGAATGGATCGCCGAGGTCGCAGGGTGTGCTTGTGAGTATCTTTCACTTCTTGTTGAATCGATGCTGATGGTGTTGATAGTCGCTTTTGCCTACGCTCAAATCGCTGCTTGCTGGGAGATACCCCCAGCTGTTGGGGAAGGACGCTAGAGACGCTCGTGTATCGCCCGAGGGTGAAGATATGCTCTTTGCGCTTTTGGGCGGGCACGTCGATGCCGGGTCGTCGCATGTCCAGCCTCCGCCTGTCCAGTCTCAGCCCCAACCCCAGCCCCAGCCCCAGCCCCAGCCCCAGCCCCAGCCCCAGCCCCAGCCTCAGTCGCAGACTCAACAGCCTCTCAAGAAACGAAAGTCTAGCGCCCAGACTTCATCTCAGCAGCAGTCCCAACCGCCTTCGTCCGGCCAATTGTCTACCGAACAGCTTCACCCCCAACAGACGACGCCTTTCCACGACGCAAACCAGATGCCCACGCAAGAACAGCTCGTCACCCAAACGCACATGCCCCCACAGATCATGGGCGCCCACTCGAGCTCGCCTGTACAAGTATTCAGCCAGCCGCTCAACGTCAACGGCACCGCCGAGGCCTTTGCCTCCGCATCGGCTTCTGCCTTCTGCCAGCCCCAGCCCCAGCCCCAGGGACAGATGCCCATGAGCACATCATGGATGGTGCCCAACATGCCCGTAACGGATGCCACCTGCGGGCCCGTCATCCTCCCTCTCGCACCTCCCAATCCCACAGCCATTCCGTACGACAACTTTATCCCCACTTGGTCCTCCAACAATCTGGGCATGGATGGGATGGTGATGATGGACGGTATGGGTAATGGGGGAGATCCGTTCGGTGGGCCGCTCATTGACAATCCGCCCGAGCTTTGGGAGAGATTGCAAGCTCTTTATGAGCCGCAAGCGCCGGTGTTTTGGAACGGTGGGATGGATGGGGGGATGACTGTTGGGGACTTTGGGGGGTACGTGCCCAACATGAACTAGGTTGGGAACGTAACGTGTACAATACGGAAAGATAGATAATAAAATATATATATATATTTTCAAAAAAAAAAAAAAAAAACAATCTGTAGCATCTTTTTCTTCCTCGGTAGCTCGTTCTTTTTAGGTTGTCTTGTTGAATTTTTGCTCTTCTCTTTGCTACGATACTATATCTGCCTTATATTGACACTTCTGCATGCAATGCTCTATGTCCACCCGTTCACACTCTCGCGATGTCTACAGCAATCCCAATCTCTCTCGCCTGCACAGTCGTCAGTGGCGCACAGAAGTAGAATCGAATGGCAAAACTCACAGCTTCCGCCTCTTGATCTCTCTCTTCACGACCCTTCTCTCCCTTCTCGACGGCCAAAGCACCTCCTTATTTACCACATCCATCACACTCCGCAGAATCTGCTCGTCGGTGTCCTCCAAGCCTTCTTGCCCAGCCAACCTCTCACGTTCTCTTTCCAACCTTGCCCTCTCCATCGGTAGCTCTCGTTCTTCCATCTGTTTCTCATTTCCGCGCGGAACCTCTGCAAAGAGATATTCGACTCTCGCCGAACAAGCTTGTCTCTCTCGCGCGACGATGAGCCGCTCGAGTATCCCTATCAACGCCGGTAGTACCCTCTGAAAACTCGATCCTCTTTCCCCACTCCCGAAAGTCCTGAGTTGCTCAGCATTGACCGTGATCGTGCTCGACAGTTCCTTCTCCGCCTCTGGGTGCGGTGCCAAGAATTGAAAAGAAGGATGAGCCTTCGCAAGACGAGCAACAGGCATAGAAAACGGCAGATGCACAACCTCCACCTCTCTCCCCATCTTCACCCGCTCAGCATGTACTGCCTCCGTCATAACATCCCACTCTTCCGCCCCCAGTCCGAACCTTCTCCACGTCTTCTCCTTCCCATTCCTCCTCCTCCTATTCGGCATTGCGGGAATACCGAGGGAGAAGAAGAGGTGGGGAGGGAGGGAGAGGTTGCGCGCGGTGCGGTAGAGGTAGGAGGAGAGGATGTCGATGGTTTTGCGGTCGGCTGGGGGGGAGGTAGGGGTGCCGCTTAATGTGATTAGGCGGAGGATGACGAGGGTTAGGGGGAGGTCGATCTCGTTTGGGGGCGTACTGGGATGTGTAGTATCGAGAGAGTGGAAGATGGCGCGAAGGATGGCGTTGACGACTTCGGACGTCAAGATGGGGAGATGTATAGCCCGGTTCGGATTGGGTATGGCGTCTTGCTCGGTGGCTTCAGTACTCTTTGGGGTTTGGGTGAGGAGACGCCGGGCGAGGACGCGGGTCGGCGGTAGAACGCAAGGCGTAGTGTAGAGACCAAAGACAGACGTCCACGTCTTTGAATCCAGACGCGGTATACCCTCTTGCTCCTTCCCTCCTTCTCCAACCTCGTAGCTCTCCTGCGCTTCACCAATCATCTCCACAATACTCTCTGCCATCTCCCAATTCTGCGCAACCTTCTCCGCGCGCAACCACGCGCTCAAGAACTTGACGTCCAGACCCGCTTCACCTCCTGCGAGCTCTACCAGATCTTCCGCCAGACTCTCCGGGATGCGCGAGCATTTGGAGCGAGCGGTGGTATCTTTGAGAGTGGAGAGGCGCCAGATGTTCATGGTGGTGGTGTAGACTTGTACGATGGCGGTTCTTTGGGCGTGAGAGAGTTTTGGCGGGGAGGAAGAGGATGATGGGGCATCGAGATACGCTCTAACGACTCGCTTGAATTCACCTAGCCGCTTGACAGCAGAATGAAAGTCTGCTGTGGGGACATGAGTCGTGATAAGAACGTCCCAGATCTCCCATGGCCATCCATCCTTGCTCGTGACACCATCAAGCGCGAGACAGTCGTTGATGAGACCCTCGACAAATGATGGGTCGGGCGACGAGTCTCGGATGACTGCACGGAGGAGCAGGTCGAGGAGGGGCACATCAAGCCGGTCGGGGAGAAAAGGCATGACGCTTTGAACGATTCTGACGCGGGCCTCGGCGGACGGATTCTCTAGCGACTTTTGAAGGATCCTCGTCAAGGTTACAGTCGAAAGAGGCACCTTCTCCTTCATCGCCCGTTCTACCAGAGACGAAACGGCATCTTCTGATCGTGCGGTCAAGGCAAAGATGAACTTGGAGTAGGTGACCTGTCGGCGGAGCAAGTCTGAGACTGTAGGAGAAGGTGGAAGAGGGTAGGTATCGAGGTAGGCGTGGGCTGCTTCTTCGGCGGGTGTCTGCGCTCGTCGGAAGAGACGGTTCGCATTCAGTCCTTCGATCGAGCGAGGGGCTTTGCTGATGGGTCTGGGTGGGCGAGGATGGCGAGAGATGGAGGCGACAGGTCGGAAGTCGGGGGTGTGGGAGGCCTCAAGTCTGGCGATAATCGACTTTGGGAGGACTGCCCGCATTGCCGTTTACAGACCTTTAGCGAAAGATGTCAAGAAATGCAAGACACCAACAAGACACTGCAGCTCTCGAGAAGGCAGAGATGCCAGAGGCTCATTTTCACAACAAACCTCGCGCAACAGTATCTCACGAAACAAAGCGAGCTTTTAATATCAAATCTTCATTAGTATAACGGTTAGTATAACCGCTTCTCACGCGGTAGACCAGGGTTCAACTCCCTGATGGAGAATATCTTTTTGCCCAGGGCATCAACTTCTTTGTCCCGTGAAAGTGCGACTTCCATTATCCGCTCAGTGCATGTTAACAATCCCGGATCTAGATAATCTTCCCCAGCTGCTATAGGATCAAGCCCAATTGGCGTTTATTCCCGGCCTTTTGACAAGAGAGACAGGCTGGAGCAAGTTGCGCCTCGAACATTCGCTGTGTCTGATAGAGCCCGGGCAACCAGACTCGCATCTCTGCGAGTAAATGAGGCCTCTTCCCCCATGGTCCCCTCCTGCTCAAGTAGGCAAGTACAAGAATAGAGTGCAAAAGTGCAAACAAGAGCCAAGACACACGTTGAACGAGGATCCCAGTCACGTGACCGGACGCTGCTCTTTCGCTTTTTCAGAAATTTCAAAACCACGTTTCTCTTACATCCACCCGTCTCTACCACCATGTCCGGTCTCCCCGCCGCTCCCGGCACCTCCAGGCAGCTGCCCATCAACCTCTTCACCCGCTCTGGCACCGACGCCATCCCCGCCTCCACCTACTTTATCCCCTCCGACTGGCGCCGATTCCAGCTGTCCGAACTCATCAACAACGTCCTCCAGAACACTCCCGAGAACGGGCGTAAGCCCGTGCCTTTCGACTTTTTGGTGAATGGTGAGGTTCTCCGGGGCAGCTTGGAGAGCTGGGCAAAGAAGAACCGAGGAGGGGATGAGGAAAGTTCGATTGATGTCGAGTATGTGAGGAGTGTGATGCCGCCTGAGGAGGCTGGGAGGGTGGAGGTGGAAGACTGGGTTTCTGGCTTGAGCTTGGGAAGGAATGGGTAAGTGAAAATATATGTTTGGGAGTGGGGAAATGTGGGAGGTCAGTCTGAGATGGCTTGGACAAGAATTGCATTTCTTCTCCCGGCTTTGCAGGGTTCTATGTCTTAGCCACTTTGTGGACAGGCTTGTCGAGGAGACGCAGAGGGGTGGGATCTTTTCTTTTGTGCACCCAGCATGTGAAAACTGAGGATCAATTTGACAAGGAAATGAAGGAGAACGCAATACTGACTCTCGCATAGCTACATCCTCCTCTCCTCTTACCTCTCCCACCTCCAAATCCTCCCCCTCGCCAACCCTTCATCCACCCTTTACACCCTCCCCCTCCCCACCTCCCTCGGAGCCACCTCCTGCGCATGGGTCTCCCCCTCTTCCCAACAACGCGACATCCTCCTCGCCGCCGGCAGCGTCGACCGCCAAACCCACGTCTTCTCCATCCCTTCCCTCTCCCCCGACGAGACCTCCACTCCCAGGGAGATTTACACTCTGCACGGCCACACTGGCCCTGTCTCTGATGTGATCGCGAGCAAGAGCGGGTCTGAAATCGTATCGGCCTCTTGGGATGGGTCGGTCAACCTTTACGCTTTGCCCAATGAAGAACCTACCGAGCACCAGCTCCCTGCCGACCCCACCTCTTACCTCCCTGGGCAAGGTACCAAGAAGCGCAGAAAGCTCGAAAAGAGCCGAGAGAAGGATGGCGAGGAAAAAGACAAGATTGAAGGTCTTACCGATTTGGACGCTACCGGCGAAGGCGGATGGAGGAGGACGCCTGATATCACTTTGCGGGCGCATACCGGCAGGGTAGGCGCGTTGGTATGGGACAAGCTGAATGATGCCAAGCTCTGGTCTGCTGGGTGGGATGGAAGTCTGAGAGAGTGGGATGTGCAGGCTGGAGGCGTGGCTGGTCAAGTGAGGCAGGGGCCGTTCGACAAGAGTCTGTTGGGCGTGGATATGTGGGCTGTGAATGGGGTGATCGCTACGGGAAGTATGGACCGTACCGTCTGCTTGTGGGATACTCGTCAAGGTAAGTCGCCTCACGATTCTGTGATTGATGGAAACTGACGATAGAGCAGCGACATCTTTGATCTCCTTGACGCTCCCCACCACATCCCCCGTCCCCTCCGTGACCTGCCACCCCACCTCCCCATTCACCCTCGCCTCCGCCACTTACTCTGGCCTCGTCCAAATCTGGGACATCCGTTCCCCCAAATCACCCCTCTTCACCGTATCGAAAGCCGCCAACAAGGCTGCCTCTGGGGAAGCAAGGACAGTGACGAAGAATGGTAAAGTGTTGGGGGAGCGGTTGTTGAGCGTTGATTGGGATGGAGATGTTTTGGTTGCTGGAGGAGAGGATGGGGAGGTCGGCGTTTGGAGGGCAAGGGGAGAGTAGAGTACTTGAATCCTCTTGCATTTCTTGTTCAATATCACACTGTTATGGTACGCATCGCTATACGCATTACAACGCCAGTGCTACAACTGCCTCCTGGATCGGCGTCTCTCGCGAGACCAAAACAAAAGTTGACATCCCATCTTCCCTCCCAACGAGCTTTCATCCACTCTCGGCATCATCAGCCACGCTTCTTCAACGTTCCAGTCCAGCATATATAGATCAGGTATCTCCATTCCAGCAAGAATCATGGGACAAAAAGGTGAAGGGGACAAAAAGATATTCTCCATCAGGGAGTTGAACCCTGGTCTACCGCGTGAGAAGCGGTTATACTAACCGTTATACTAATGAAGAGTTGTATAAAAGTGTGGCAATTAAGTCTCTAGATCGACATGCAAGCAAATCCTCTCGAGATAAAGGGTCGAAGCGTTCCTGACAGATTATTTGGTACTTGTTGCTCCAGATACTCTCGAATCCCATGCTGTTGACTTTCAAGAGGCTCATACCACATGCATGCAAGATTCAGGTATTAAGAGGAAACGTTATGGGGCATGGGAGACGATGTTGGGAAGCAGGGCCGGCGCAGAGTGATTGGGCCATATACCCGTACGTGGCAAGCGGCGTGGCGAACCTTGGTCCTCCCCGTTACAGCTGCCCGAATGCCTGCAGCGACAGGCATGAGAGAGATAGGAGATCGGCGGAAGAGGACATGAACGCACGGCGCACGGACCTCTGTTGACAACTTTACCGGTGAGTAACTAGGCACATGACGGACCTCGGCTATTAGATCCATTTCCATGAGCGATCCGTTCTCATGGTATCGCCAGTCAATGGAGAGTAATGCCTATCATGTCTCTTCTCCATCTCCTCTTGCCCATATACCCCTCGCGCCCGACCCATGACCGTGCAAGTCTGGTCTGTCACGCTCGGCGACCCCAAGCCTTCGTCTCAAGTGGCTGTCTCTCCAGACATCCCCCACCCCCCAGTCTCTCGCCGATCTCTCTCGCCCTTGGCTTTGCTCGGGCGTGACGCGCTTACCATCCTCCGCAATGCGATCTACATCCCTCTCATCTTCTGGCCAATCTCTCTCGAAGGGAAAGGGGCTGATATCACCAACACGGGCAAGATATTGCAGGTAGTGATGTTTGTGTCGTCTATCGTCTTGACAGGAGGGGCGGTGGGGGCCTTCGTGGCTGGTGTGCCCTCTCCTATCATAGTCGTTGCCTCGATTACGGGGTTCATCAAGATCAACAATGTGATCCAAGGCGGTACGAGAATGGATCCACCCGAGCAACACTACCAGCGCAACAAGTACCCTGAGGAGAGCTGGCTCTTGTAAGTGTTGCGCGGCCGAGCTCCTTTGTCAGTGTTGACCATGTCGTAGTGTCAACGGTATTGCAACCTCCACCTCCGGCCTCAAACTCATCCAAGAGCGTCTTTTCAACCTGTTCGGCCGACCTGTGATTGGGATTCACAACAGGACCTACGGCATCTGGTTTGACTTGGTGGAGTGTATGGTACAGAGGGACTTGTTGTGGGAGACGACTGATATCCGGGACGGTTACAATGTGAGTACAGGTGCTGGTGGTAGGAGAAAGTGCTGACGCGACAAGCAGGTATTGACCAAGGAGTTGGAAAAGCCGGAGAAGAAGAAGGTCGTCCTTATCGCCCATTCCCAAGGCGGTATCATAACCTCCGCGTGGGTTGTACGTCTCTTTTCGGTGATGCTTCAGGGATAAGAGCTGACATGTTGGTGGTAGGACCGACTCGTCTCTCAATACTCTCCCGAAACCCTTTCCAAATTGGAGATATACACTTTCGCGTCCGCTGCCAATCATTTCTCCGTCCCTGTCCTCGAACGCCAACCCTCCGCGCCCACCTCCACTTCGTCAGATGATTCTTCGACAAAAGTGGTAGGCGGCAGGGACAAAACGGGGTCAGTGTTCAAGCACGTGGAACATTTCGGGAACACTGGTGATTTTGTGTCGAGGATCGGTATGTCGACAGCTGATATTGAGCCATACTGATTCGTATCTCCAGGTGTCTTGGGATTTGCGCCCCACCCCAAGCAAGCTGTTCTCAAAGAAGGAGAAGAGGAAGGAGAGATATTGGAGCTGCGAGGTATCTTTGCTGGTATGATCTTTGAGCGCCACAACACCACAGGCCATCTCCTCTTGAGCCACTAGTACGTCCCTTTGCAGTTTATGCTGCCGTACCACGCTGATAGAGACACCCCTAGTCTTAATGAGAACAATTCAATTTTGGACGAGAAGAACGTTAGGAAGAATAGTCACCTTGTAACGTACTTGCAGAAACAGACGTCGTAATCTTGATCCTGGTTTGATTATCTTGCTCCGCTCAGAAGCAACTCTAGTATCTGTACGACTGGGTACCATGCTACTCAATGCCGCTGGCCCACAGATGAGAACATTAGACCTTTGACCCTCGGCCCACTGATACCCTGCTTATTTAGCTGCCGCAGACAGCAGGAGAGCTCGGCGGTGTTTTGAAGCCCCGCCATTATCTCATTTTCTTGCTAGACCTCTCAAGTTTCTCTCGCTCCCCTTGAGACAGGCCGCTATCATAATGGACCCAGATTTTCCCACCAAAGAAGAATCTATTCAGGGTTATGAGGTCGCCATCCAGAAGGCTGGAGCGAGGATTTTGCTGGTGACTTCGGAAGAGGCGGACATTCTGTACGCGCGGGCTGCTAGGGATGGGTGGGCCGAGATCCTGAAGAGCGTCCCTACTGTTGTGTTCTGTATACCAACATTCATCATCTCGGTCAGTTGTCTATATAACATCAAGTTGATGAACACTCGAAAATTACATGCACACTGCGGGAAAGAGTCGAGTTCGTAGGCACCTTTCGCTGCAGATCGAGCGTTTCCTTTCCTTGTTGCAGTACTGTCCTGTGAGCGCAGAACGATAAACCGGTCTTCATAGCATGTGATTATAGTGTTAAAGACCATCAAACCGCCTCATCGCCCGACTCGCCAATGACCGAGTCACTCCTGAACTCTTTCAACGCCCCCGACCTTTGTTTCCTCTGCACCTTCTTCTCTACTATTGTCTGCATTATCGCCAGGGTCTCTGATAGGCTATCAGCACATACACTTGGATCAAGAGGGGAGGTAACATACCTGCAAAATTACCTCCTTCCTTGTTGGCCTTGACGAGCCTGTGCTTGAGGTTGGAGAATGCGTTTCGGACGTCTTTCTGGGTAAGGTGTAGGAGGGATGGGGCGTCATGGACTTGGGACCATTCGATGTGCTTTTCAGAGGGATAGTCGAGTTCGCGCAACCTGCTCAGTATCAGCACGTAGACATTTGACCAGAGACAAAAAGACCTACCTCTTGATCACCGCCAACGTTCTTACATCCGCATCACCCTTCTCCAGCCCGCCCTTGCTCGAAGCCAAGTGCGAGCACGAGTCTCGCCATTTGATACGGCACTGCGTTATACTGCGCGTCCCCATCTCCTTTGCCACAAGATCCCACGGAATGTCCACATCCTCCATCAAATCCACCAACTCTTCTTCCTCCTCCTCTTGGATCGGCGCTCCAGCAAGCTCGGCCTTCATGCTCTTCAAGCCCTGTACAACCTTTCTCACCGCTTTCTCCAGTCTCTCCACCTCTTCTTCTGTCCAACGCCCACTGACTCTCCCCTCGCCACCTTCGAGTTCCTTGAGGTATCGGTCTCTGCAGTCTTGCTCTGTACGCTCGACGAGGGCAGAGATCTTCTTCCATTCGCGTGGGTGCTGGGCGTAAGCGCGGGAGAGGAGGGCGTCTTCTGCGGGGGTCCAGCGGCCTTTGTGGGCGTAAGGGTTGATGAGGCGGCGGACGAAGGGTTGGATGTTGAGAATGGGGCGACCGGGAAGGACAGATGCTGCGATGGGTATGAGTGATGTGAACATAGTGAGGGTTGGGTCACGCACCGATATCTCGCCAGAATTCACGGACGGCTTCTTTGTCCGGGGCATCTTGGACCTTGAGCATGACCATTTCGACGATTTCTTCTTGCGACATCCGGTGAACCTGTGAATTTATCAGCCTTGGTCAATCTGGGAACACAAGTCAACGTACCTTCTCATATTTTTCGAGAGCTTTACGGATCGCAATCTTTTCAGTCTCGGTAAACTTGCCTTTGGTGTATGAGATGACTTTCGATAATGTCAGCTCCTCGTCCAACCTAGGCAGAAAATGGACTCACCACCCGCCTTCTCCAACCTTCCCAACTCGGTCTTTCCGATATTGGCAGTCGCCAACCACTGATCCAGCGCTCCTTCCCCCTTCAACCTCTCTCTCAACTGCGCATCACTCTCCTTCGGCTCGACATCCTTCTTCTTCTCCTTGTCCTTCGCTTTGCCCTTGGTAGTCTTTGCGCGCTTAGCTGGCGGTTCCACAGCTGCATCAGCACTGGAAGCAGAGGCAAGGGCAGCTTCGACCATGGAAGCGTCGATAGACACCATCTGCGTGGCGGCTGGTATAGCCGGGGAGGCAGAGGTCGAGCGGTCTGCAGCGGGGGCAGGGGAGGAAGGCGCGATGGAGAGGGGACGTTTCTTGTTCTTGCCCGTGCCGTATTGCGTTGGTGCGGTGGAGCGAGAGGCGGGGGTGCGAAGGCTAGTGGAAGCATGTTGAACTTCAGGCTCTGGCTCTTGGTCTGACACCGCCGGCGAGACAGCTCTCTCCTTTCCCTTCGCTTGCCGCTTCTTCTCCTTCTTCTCCTGCTTTCTCTTCCTCTTCTCCTCTTCTGCATGACGAGCAGAGTTGTCGATAGCTTGGGCGAGCGTAAGGGCGGGGGCAGGGTCTTCGAGAGAAAGGTCGACTGGAATATCGTTTGACTCTTCCACCGGTTCGGTCTGAGTTTCCTTATGTTTCGCCTTTTTCGCCTTCTTCTCCTTCTCGCTCTTCTTCCCCTCGCCAGCCTCTTCCTGCTGCCCACTCTCCTTCCTGGCCCGCTTCTCAGCCTTCAGCGACTTTCTCCTTTCCTTCTCCTCTTTCGACCTCTTTCTCTTCCCGCCCTCTGCTTCCTCCCCAGGTTGCTCTTGGTCTTGCTCCTGAGGCGGCCCTTCGGGCAAGATGATACCATACCGCCTCTCCAAATCTTCCACGCCGAGTTCGATGGATTCCATGGTAGCGTTGATTGATTTGTGGCGGGGTGGCGGATGCCGTTGTGTGTATCTCGTGGCTGGGCTGGAAAAAATGGAAAGAGGAGCGGGGGACTTTGAAAATTGCAAGGAGAGGACTTAAGTGGGGGGCGGGCACGGGAAGCGGGTGACTACCCTGACAAAACTCAAGACATGCCTGCAAAAAACAGGATATGGGTGTCCCGAGCGCTGTGCGTTCTCCATCGGGTTCCCGACAACGCATGAGGCAAGCATGAGTCCACTTTTTACTTTGCAACTCAAAGTCTTCTGTCATTTGCTTCGGAAGATTGGAATTTTCTGGTATATTGGAACTGAGATATCATGCTTAGCGCCTACCTCCTCGTTCCCGAGGTGTCGGGGACACAAGAAGGATCTGCCTTTTTCGATGGGATGTCGTACAGAGTGATTATGGTGCATGTATTATATGGTACAAATCGGATGAATGAATGAATGTGACGTATGTGGGTGAGACTATGATGCTGGTTTTGATATGGACAATCATAAACATTGAGACAGTCCGTTGATTTCAAACAGATTATGCGCGATCTTTCCTTCTCTTACCAAATAGATTATACAGTTATACAGATGGATGAGAGCGTGGTTATGAAGCCGCCGAGATGGGATAGAGAAGGACGTTTAACAAGTCCAAGAGTCATCCCTCGCCTGAGGCTCCCCAACCCACTCGTAAGGCCATTCGTCAGTGCCGACACATTGGCCGGCGGTAACGAGGTTGTAGCCTGCAGACTTGAGCTTCGGGAGGGAGTGAGGGAGGACTTCCTGGGAGTCTATCTTTCTGTCAGCCTCGTCCTGGCAGGGAAACAGAGGATGAGAGGGGAGGGGACGCACTTTGAGGATAGGTCGAGTGGGAGAGAACGAGGTGCGGGTTGGGATAGTCGTCTATGATCAAGTCAGTATGCAATTGCAGATAAGAAAAAAGAAGGGAGCTTACTAGCAACACCATCAAGCACCTCTTCACCCCTAGCAGCACCCTTATCAAGAGAGTCTTCGGTATCGTCCGACCACATGAACACCTCTGCGCTTGAGTCAGTATAGTCTTTGCAGTCAAGCGAAAGGAAATGAGACGTACTGGAGTAACCACGGTTCTCGAGCACGTTCATAGCGTTGTCGTTGATGTTTCCATAAGGCGGTCGGAAGTACTTGGGCTTGACCCCAAGGATCTTGATGAATGCCTCTTCGATCTTCCACAACTCTATTAAATCTAATCAGTTCTTCCACTCTTCCAAAAGGTAAATGACAAGGTGACGTACCATCATGGAATTCGTCCCAAGAAAGCTCGGTAACATCGGCGTGAGACCAAGTGTGGGAGCCGAGGGTGTGGCCGGCGTCGTAGAGGGCTTTGATCTGGTCGGCGCGGTCGTAGATGCATTCGTAGTTGTTTCCCTACAGCCAAGTCAGGTCAGCTCCGGAATTCAGAGAGTGAGATAGTAAAAGGGGGCAGGGAAGGACGTACGTTGAAGAAGAAGGTAGCCTTTCCACCGTCAAGGGCATTGGCGACGTCTTCCTCATAGTCCCAAGGACCGTCTACCGCCATGTTAGTGCTGGAGCTTGGACGGTAGAGGGACTTACCGTCGTAGGTGAGAGCGACAGTACCATCCTGGTTACAGTTGTCGATGACCTATCATACCCATCAGCCAGTCACCATGATGTCAAGAAGCGGAGACATACATCGGGCCAAGAACGTTTGCCAACGATGGGGTTGGCGAGGGCTGTGCTCAAGAAGGCGAGGGCGGAGAGAGAAGTGAGGAACTGCATGGCGATGCTGCTGGTGAGCGGTTATTATATAGAGTAAAAGATATGAAAGAATATAGAGATGGGGAAGAGAGGGAGAGATTGTAATTGCGGGTGTTTATATATCTGCGACACCGGATGGCCGAGCGTCCGAGCGGGTATACGTAGCAGATTATCCCCCTAGCTTAAGCCCTGAGCATTCACCCACCATGCACCCACATGGATTTGCCTCGGGGCAGTGCTCGTGTGTGTGTCTATAATCTCTGATGATGCGGCGGGAGAGGTTAGCGGAGGTGAGGCGGTGGGGTGGGGCGGGACTTACCTTTTGTCTCGGATTCGTCGGATGAGAAGGCTGACTTTTGGCCAAGAGACGGGAAGGTGGACTCTGCATTCGCCCTAAAGAATGCCGGGCTAACCATGCGGACGAGACAGAATCATCATCAGTCAGCAGTCAAATGATCAAATCTCGGCAGATCTGGCGGCTTTTCACGTAATTTTATGCGTCATGGGCCGGTGCCTGGAATGTTGATCTTCGATCTTTGGTTCGCCTCGCCCTCTATGCGGTGTGATGGGAGGCGGGATGGCCGCAGAGAGCCACATACCATGTGTAGCAGCCAGACACCGAGCCGAGAACGCAACACAAGGACCTCGACAACAGATGCCAGAGTCAGCTAGTCGTCTCGATGCGACTGATGTGTGCCATGAGGTTTAAGGTGTATGTGTTTGTTGAACAATCGACAAGCTCAATCTCTCTGGCCTTCTACCTCATGCTGTGACAATATCTCCTCACTGGGTAGCGACGAATCATCTCCAGTACTATGAGTATGGCTCTCCTCGAACTCTCGCCCGCCAGAAATCGAACAACATGACATGATCAACAGACCCTCGGCGCTTGCATTCGGTACGACGGAGGGGCTAGTGATAGCGCCTGCGGCTTACTTCATTGCGCGTATTTTGAGGTGAATATTTACATCGTACAGTGGCCGACTGCTATGCGGCGTCAGAGTCAAAGTCATTTCTTATGTGTTGTTATTAGCCCCTTCTTCGCTTGTTATTACTTCCTGTCTCACGCAACTGTAAATACATCATTGAGCCCTCCCTCATATTGTATGGAGGATTTGGTTGTGTCTCTAAGCTTCTTATTATTAGACGGAGAATGCTGACCACCGTCCAACGACTCAGGAGATGGTCCGTAGGTCTTGGGGTGGCTTTGACCATTACTACGATCTTCTCTGGCATCTGGAGAGAGCACAAACGAGGCCGATTGTCTGGATAGTATGCCCTGTCCTGATCATTACCCGTAGATAAGGTCCTCGCAGAATCGGATACTGTATGCATCGTCTATGACATAAGACGAGGGAGGTTCAGCTCGTCATCAGGAGACCTCACGGTCCCTTTTTTTGTGTACTCATGTCCCTCCTCGTGCGTATGTACAAGTATAATGAGCCTGAATTTCAAGTATCTCTCGGGCTCTTTGGGCTCCTGAAAGGTGACTCCGTTGTTTCTTCAGTCGGTGAACTCGTAATAGACCTCCATACGGTCTGCCATGACGACCGCGCTACGTCAGAGAGCTTAGGCCGTCGGCGCTTGGATGGAGAACTGGCCGCTGGTGATGTACCTTCTGTTTCTTTCTGTTGCCGAGAGATGATGTGGTGAGCGGTTCCGCGATCAGGTGTTGACAAAATGACTTACGAAGTCCTCAGCAGTGTTATAGTTTTCATCATTCTATCGCGAGTAAGTAATCAGCCTTTCGAAACAAGCGTCGAGAGAGAAAAATCGACCCACTTTGTAGGCGGGATAAATGGTCAATGGAACAAATGAGTGATATGTGCTCCTGTTCTGCTCCTCAGCTGATGGGTGTCGGAAGTATTTCGAGTCGAAAGTTTCGGAAGGGTGTTCCGTCGACTCGGATGGTTCCCGAGAAGGGGATTTGTTCTCTTCGTTGTTCGGGGTTGTCGGTGTGCTAGGGCGTGGGGCGGTGGCTGTCTTTTTATCCTCAGTCATGCTGGCGTCATCATTCTACAAGACACGAGTAGTTAGCAACCACCTCTACATCGAGTTGCGATCTGAGTGTCGACTTACCGGAGAGTCGAGCAAATCATCAAGCGGTGCAAATGAGTGATAGGTGCTCGGAGTTGTCTTGTTATTTTCGGACATGCTTGAGAGACTGCTACTTCTGGTGTTTCTTTGTCAGTAGTCTGAAGGGCCATAACTTTTACTGCTATGCTATTTATATATTTCCCATGGGTGCGCGGCATTCCGTTTGTATTCATGATCGGAACTTATCGGACTCTATACTCGTACTCATTCTTCTCGAAGTCTATATTAGCGACTTCGCTTCTTCTGGGAATCTCAAGCTCCGTAGCGGACCTTCAAGTAGATGTGGGAGATATGTGTTTGAGGTAGTTTAGGCACTGTTGGTACCATTCGCATGACGATTATAGATAGCCTTCCCGTTAATCGCCAGACAAAGGAGCTGAGTCAACAGCAACATGATGATAGGGCGGTCTGCGACACGTCAACACGATTGTGGCCCAACGGCGCGGGACAAAGTTTACGATAGCAGAAGGATGACAAAGGTAGTAGACGTATCGGACTTTAGGACTCGACTGGGAAGGAAGACAATGACATGCCATACCAGCAATGTGACGGCACTGACTGAGGAGAGAAAGGAGACACAAAAATAACGTTCTCAAAGCGTGGACGTAAGAAGGACGCTGCTCTCTTCGCGGGCAAAGCGCCGTAATATACGCGAACGAAGAAGAATGCATGAGAGAGAAGGCCAAATGTACCATCTTCTATCGAGTCATCAGTGATGATTTAGTTTTCTGATCCTTCCAGTTCTTGTGTGGCACCCTACGTAGGACGTGGAATATCAGTTATATTGCTGGTACAAAAGATTCTCATATGGAAATTGAAACAGACAGCCCTCCATTTACGTATAGAAGAAACAGGACGAAGGAGGCCGGTTTGACCCACGGCTAGACTCTTCGTTTAAAGGACAAAGGTCTACTGATGATGACATTCACTAAAGGTTCTTCTGGTACATGTTGGCTATGCACAAAAGTTCATTCTTGCGCAGCATGGTAGCTAAGATAACTTTTCATATACTGAAAGGTTCTCAACTGGCATAGAATCCAAGTACTATTGCGCAACCTTTGACAGGTTTAATATAATTTTGATCAATTCCTGCGGCCTCTTTTCATCATAGAAGAGAGTTCTAATGTACCTGTACTTCGGACTGTCATACTTCTAAGTCAATGTGACCTTCAGAGGAGTGGATGATATCATACATAAGGATGATGGTACATATCAGTCCTAAACACCAGACTCGTCTAATCAGCCCAAACAACGGCTCGCGAACCAATCAATCAACAACCGCAACATGCCATCGCAGCAACCCGAAGATCTCGAAGGAGCAAGCCACCAAGAGGAAGCATACACACACGACTACCCTTTAAGCGAAGATACGACATTCGATTACGATAGCCAAGAACATTGGGGTACTCTGGGGAGTCTTGCCGAACAGGGCTTCTATGATTTTGACGCCCCTATGGACGTTTATTTGTATGTATCCCCTTCTCTCTTTCTCCTCTTGTTGAGCTACTGAAGCGGGCCTATGAAGACGTACGATGGGCCGCCACTGACAGTGATCTATAATAGTGAGGTTATACAGCAAGCCAGCAACCAGCTCCACATATTTCACGGACGACCCTTCTCAGAGGCAGAAACGGCCATGCACAGCATCATCCAGACTGTTATGGAATCGTTCCTACGGAGACAACGGGAAGCTGATAGGACCGAGGAGCGCCAGGCTGGGGCAGAGCAGCAGGAGGAGGTTACGAGACAGTTTGGTTCGATGCTCGAAGACCCTGAACAATGGTGGTGAGTATCTGAAGGGGGTGGTTGGTGGTGATGTCGTCCGCTGATAGTGGTGTGTTGGTACAGGCCGGAAGGGCATGGGGCGGAAGAGACTTTGCAACAATTGAGAGAATCCATTAGCGATATCAATCTCCCTGATGTGGCCGAAGAGTGAGTGTCTGCGGCTGACGGTTGGATGTTGCCGAAGTGTGAGTGTCTGCGGCTGACGGGCGGATGTCAGAACGGTGATCAGTCAAGCTCTCTCGTACGGCCAAGCGAATGATTCTGGCCTTAATGGGTTGAAGATGGTAGTCAGGAGCATCGCAAACGGTACTTTAGGTAGTCATACATAAAGAGACTGCTCCGATAACTGGGAAGAAGACGGTGGCATCACATGAGAATGGCGTTGAGATGATGAAGAGAGATGCGAGCCATAAGTTCAATCACGAGTTTGAAAATGATTGGCATCGCAAGAATGGCTCTCAAATGGGAGAGGATGGGGTAATGTGAAGTGATGCTACTGCAAATTGACCTGATTCAACTATGCCCCTGTCAAATTTGGGCCTATTGTATCTCCTCCCTGTGCGAGCAAGTTGACAGTATCGCCCATCTTGTCTACCTGCGCCTCCATGCCCGTCTGGGCAGCGTTGACAAGCTCCTCCATCAAAGTGAGCCCCAGATCTTGTTCCAAAACTTGTTGGATGAGGGAACGCGATGATGCCGGAAAGATATGTTCATGGGAAAGGGTGTCGACGATGTTAGATTTGATAGAAGTGGTGGCAAATGAGCTCTGGGAGACATGATGTGAACAGAGTGAAGAGTGTTCTGATCATCGTCAGCTTTATCGGAGTACACGTGAGTGAGGAGCTTACCACCAGTCTCCTTAACTGTAGCTTCGGCAGCCTGGCGCACAGCGACAGGATTCATAGCCTCAACCACAGACGCTCTCTCGGTGGCGAAACCTTCTACCGCCGCTGTGCGAGCAGTGTTGGCTTCAATGACTTTTGAAACTCTTCCTGGTAATCATCAATCAGCGGGCTCAGACCGGCATGAGGCTATGTACCTTAGTCATACTGATCACTCGGTCCAAAGCGAAATCCTTCCACTTGGCAGAGTTCGTCGAATCGACATCCTTCTCTCTTTGCGCTGTCTCTGTAATAGAGTCCATCGTGTCCCTAATGCAGCGCTTCTTCCTTCCTAAAGCTTGAGGGTAAAACGAGATACAATAATAAGACCATTTGCATAATCGCAACCATATATATGTAAGTATGTGGGTTGAAGCTCAGCTTCTCCGATCCTGTTGGGGCAGGTCCGACATACACTCGACAAGGGAAGCGCTGTTGATGTAGATGCAACAGTAAGCCCCTGGCGATTTTCGACCCCAGCCTAATCTTCATGCATTGCCCTGCGCCCATTTCAGAATTCCCCAGTGACAAAGGACGACATGTATAACCGCATTCCGGGCAAAATACAAATACTCGTCACCGCATGTCTCAAAGCCACGTCAACTGTGCTGTATAGCTTGGGACTCGGAGCATGGTGCTCGACATGCATGAAGGCCATGAAGAACATCAGCGTACATAGCTGTCGACTGATATCGGATGCATGTATGATGATGCATGACTAATGCATGAACAGAGTCCTGCGAGGCCGGCCATAGGCCAGGCGGGGAAGGCCGACTCGTATACGTCATTCGAGAAAGTCAAGTCTTCGTCGAGATGGATGTGAGCTGTACAATTTACATTATACATTCCACAGCATGAGCGAGAAACAAGCCTGCCACCCAGAAGGTGAGCTATATTACGTCTAATCAGAGACTGACAGCCCTGCAGCATGCGCGATCCAGTCGTGCATCATGAAGAACAACTACGACGAGTCGCGCTGCCAAAAACAGATCGAAGCCCTCTATCGCTGCTGCAGCAACATGTACGAAACGGCAGAGAGGGAGGGAAAGAACCCGGAGAGTGATTCATGTCCTCTGAAATCAGTGGTGGAACGGCGGATGAAGAGTTTCGCAAAGTAGAGGTTTACGGCGCTGTAAGTTAGTTGTGATCCAGAAGGAATATGCGCTTATAAGGGCAGGTTCATAGGTATCAATACTAGATGTACTACTACTTCAAAGGACTACTAGAACGATCAACGCTCAACTCTCTCTCTTTGAAACCTTCTCTCCCTGCCTCTTTCCCTTTCCCTGTCTCTCTCTCGTCCTTCGCCCCTTCGCTCTTCAGGACTTTTCGCCGGCGGCCCTCTTCTCGACTTTGACCTTCTGACCCTCTCCTTCCCTCCAGAAACCTTTGCCAGATTCTCTCGAGTCAATGCGCTCCTATGCTCGCCAACAACAGCTTTTCCGCTGCTAGTCGAGCTTCCAGCTGAAACAGCAGAACGCGCAGGCGAACGCGGTGTTCTCGTTTTCGACGCTGCTGGAACTCTATCTTTACTCGGAGGTTTCGGACCTTGAGCTGATTTACTATACCCAGTGTCCCTACCCGCAGCAGGGGGCGGCGGTACAGGCTCATACGACCCTCGCCCTACCCCAAGCCCTCTCGCGCCAATCCCCGCCAATCCACTCAACCTCCTCCCCACACTCATCTGAGCCTTCTCATCCTTTACCCCTCCGGCTTGCCCTTTCTCAGCATCACTAGCCCTATCACTCCCGCTCCCACTTCCCTTCGCCCGCCCGGGAACTTTGGGCACAGGGGGTACTTCCATACCTCTATTCTCTTTCCACCGGCCTAGGACGGCTACGCCAGCTTCTCGGGTTTCGTTGTGGGCGCGGCGGGAGGCGTATATGGCGAAGAGGATGGCTGCGAGGAGGAAGAGGCCGAAGATGGTTGCTAAACCTGGGGAGGAGGGAGTGTTAGCAGGAGGTGGGATGAGATGCGGGACTGCAGGGAGAAAAGAGAGGCTCACACAGGATGATGATTTGGGTGCTGTTGAGGGCCATGACGAGTTCATCGGTCGTCGGTCCACGCTTGGGGATGTGAGAGGGCGATTTAGAGGGTGGGAGATGTTGAACGAGCAAGGGAAAGCGCTTTAGGAATATGAAATGAGTGGCGTAGTCGATTGAAAGAGAGTGGTGCTCGGGGGAATCTTACGACTGACCTAGTCACCGCCGAGGAAGAACGAACAAAAGAAGGATATACGTATAGCCAAGGATGCCACTGCACAGCCGGATAAATTGCTAAAGATCACCAAACCCTCTCAAAGGCATCGAGGTGGACGGCAAATCAGGGATGCAAGGACATCAGGTGCGCAAAAGTGGGTGATGTTGCTCCTTTCATATCACTTCCTTTGTAAAGGCTTTCCCGCAGAGGACGGAGACGTGATGGCGCACTGGTACAAGCTGCATACGTAGAGATCAAGCAATGATCCACGGGCCCTTGGCCGGATACAAAATAATAAGGATTCGACAACGAGATGAAAAGAACAGAAGATACTCGAAATAGATTCTACCCGTCAAGACGGGCTTTTCGCGCCCCATACACCCAACTACCTTTTCACACTCTCCCCCTTCAAAGCGTAATACACCAACACCTCTGACTTATTCTCTGCCAAAGTCCTCAACTGCCAGACGGACGTGCGGCCATTGATGACTCCCAATTCCGACTTTTGAGCTAGGAAAAGCTCGAGATCATCTGGCGTCAATTTTGTCTGGGTAGAAGGGGTTGCGTCGTTGAGTTTGTCGGCGATGTGGGTGTAGATCCGTTTCGCCCTCAGGCTGCGGTTGGCGAATACCGTTCGGCTCCTGACCTCAAGTCAGCTTTCGTCCCTCATCAAGAAGGAAAGACTCACGTTTCGGATAAGAGCGGCAGACTGCTCCCCTGCTGTGGCTTCAACACAAACGTCACCCTCGGCACAGGCTTCTCCTTCACCCTATTCGCAAAAATACAGTCCAAAAGCCACATTGGCGAATTCATCTCCAGCGCCTCCATATCCCTTTCCGTAGTCGACACTTGCGAGCGATAAGTGACCACCCACGCGCCGGCGTTACCGACTTGTTCCGAGAGGAGGAGGGTGGTGTTCGGGGGGTAGTGGATGGGTGGGGCTTCGTGTGGGGGTGGGGGGTGGAAGTGGTGTGAGCGGACGAGGTCGAGCATTTCGAGTTGGGCGGCGTCTCTTTCGGATACTTTTGGACCCTGTTCATCATCAGCTCGATCATCGATGAGGGTTGGAAATATGACTCACAGTGTCTTCCTTGAAGATCTCTCTCTCTTGTACAGCAGGCATGGCAGATTCGGCCGTCTTTTTCTTTCCGAGATTCTTCAACTTTCCCATCAATCCTCCACCACCAGGCGTCGCTGGCGACTTTCCTATACTGCCATTACTCTCCTTGCCTCCTCCGTTCGCGTTACCCGGGGGAGACGGGTCGGTTTTACGGGGCGAAAAGTAATCTTTCCCCGAAGCGCTGGTATACGAATTGCTCAACACACCAGACCCCATCCCGAAAGTGTGGCTCTCCACCGTCGGCGGCCCCGACAGTCCCATCCTCCCCGGCGTCCCCGCCTTGCTCGTATCAAACCCTCTCCACCCCTCTTCCCTACCCCCCTCTCTGGCCTCTTCATCAGGCATATCCAAAAAGACAGCCTGCCGGCCCATGGTAGGACTCGTAACCGGGATATTGAGCGTGGGCCGGGTTTTGGAGAAAGAGCCGGTCATGGCGCGTTTACGGTGGGCTGAAGTTTGGGGGCGGTCGATAGGTGTTGAGAGGGAGGGGGCGCGCATGCGGGAGGGAGCGTGGGGTGCTTCGAGGAATGCGGGGTTGGATGGAGATGAGAGAGGAGGAACTTGGGAGGTGACTTCATGTTCTTCGGCGAGGATCAGCCCTCTGAACAGGTTCGAAAGTGCCCATTTGCCCAGATTAACTACTCATCATCAGCATCATCCAGAATCCTGCTCGTACAAGGGCTCACTCCTGATATCCTCGTCAATATCCCCACCACTCAACCCCAACTCATCAGCAAACGCATCCGCATCAAACACCCTCCCCTCATCCAGATGCACCACCAAACTCCCAATCTTCGTATCGATCCCCGCCAACCACGGGAAAATCTCCACCTCCCCATCCACCCTCTTCCTCACAAGATCGATAACATCCGAAGCATGCCTCCGGATCTGTTTACGCACAGCGGCCTCGCCGTTGGGTTTTACGGTAATGTGGAAAGCTTCGGCGATTTCTTGCCAGTCGAATATACCGATACAAAGGCCAGACATGATATTCCAGATAGCCACCCCTCCAAGGGTATCGACAGTGACAACATGTTGTTTGTCTAGGCAAGTACCAGAGCGGATGAGACCTTCTCGGCCTTGGATCCTGCCGTCTTCGTCGGGGGTGGGGCGGAGAGGGATGGCGGCGGAGTCGACGTCGCGATTGAGGAATGCTGAGCGTTTGTTGGGGTCTATAGGGTCGGTGGGTTGGCGAGGCTCGTCGGGGCGGCGGGCGAAGGACGCTACGGACCCGCTCGCTGCTCCAAAGCCATACACACCCTCATCTGGCGCCAGATTCACAAGCGCGCTATAAGGCAACCCGTTCCGAGTCCCGACATCTTCTTCCTCCGGGGTGGTAGTGTCTGAAACAAAGGAAGAAGTAGATAGAGACGAACGATGGTTGAGACGGTCGCGTAAGGCTGGGGGCACGGCAGATACGGGCGAGATGGGTGAAGCCGGCTCATCCGAGTTGTTTCGGACAGCAGGCACCGGGGCGAATGAGATCGACCTCGAATCCCTCGTGTCCGTCCTGGTCAACCCATCTTCCCCAGAATCGAGTAGACGCTTGTTGATCGGGTCTACAGCGCTGAGAGGGTTACTATCAAGCCAGCTTCTACGCTTGAACGATGTGCCGCCAAAGTCCTTGTCCAGCCGGCTGATCCGCCGGCCGACATCTCGCCAGCGGTGGACATCGGCGCTACCAGTAGACGTCCAGACGTATTCGTCGTCCATCGCCACGATGGACCGGATCCCTTCTTCACCCTCATACGTCCCGCCCACCCTTCTCCCATTCTCTTCCACCTCACCTTCCCGCGCAAGGACGACACATTCTCCCTGAGATATATCGCCGCACCCTTCGAAATCTATAGCGCAAAGATGTCCGTCTCGAGACCCAGAGTAGAATCGTTCGAGGTTGGGGTGGGAGGAGAAGAGGGACCAGATGGAAGAGGAGGAGTGGGTGAATGTGTGGAGACAGCGATGGGCGGAGAGTGACCAGAGTTTGATGGTAGAGTCGGCAGAGCCAGTGAGCATCTGCATCGTCGTTAATTAAGCCCAAAAGGAGATGGAGGCGACGCACGTATTTGCCAGAGTCGGAGATGAGGATGCTTCGGACACGGTCTTCGTGCCCGATCAAGTAGCCAGTGCTCTTTGGACCAGAGCGGGCATCCCAGAGGCGGACTGTACGCTCGGCTGTACCGGCTGCAAGTGTCGTACCAGCTTGATCTGTGTTTTGTCAGCTCTACCCAGAAGAAAGAGAAGAGGGACGTACCAGTACCGAGAGTGTATACACTGCCACGTTGGTCGTCGGCGTCGGTGATGGGTACGGTAAGGATGGGATCGGACCCGCGGGTCTCCTTGACATCCCACAAATGGATCTTTTGGTCCAACCCTCCAGACCAGAGATACCCATGCCCCTTGGCCCAGGCGAGACTCTTGACATAATCGTCGTGCGTGCCTATCAGCGCCGGGGTCGACGGAGACTCGTCGTCGCCAGAGGTGTGCGGTGTCCATGCACGGATAGTCCTATCGGATGAGGCTGTTATGGCAGTCCGGTTGTAGTTGCAGAGCAGCATCGCGTTGACCCAGTCGGTATGCGTCTGCGCGGACTGGCGGAACGTCGTCTGCGGGCTACGTTTCGCAAGCTCGACCTTGTCCACCTCCCACCTATCCTCATACGGCACTTCATCAAATTTCTTCTTCATATCCACCCACTCTTCATCACTCCCACTCCCCTCCGCCGGGTCGACTTCGTCATCATCTTCGAAGAATTCGGCGTCGTCGCCGATAGATTCCCAGCGGATGCGTTTGGGCTTCTTCTTGCCGTCGAGGGAAGAGTAGCGGGGGGAGAAACGCCGGGTGTGGGGGATGTCGAGGTCCCAAGAAGCGACGAGCCCATCTCGTCCCGCAGTATACAATATCCCACCTGGGCTCGAATCTCCCTCCAGGACAGTCGTCGTATCCAGCGCCAGCGCCTCCACGCCCAGGCAATGTTGCGGGTGCCCCGGGCTTTTTCTCTGCTGGCTGTCCCGCTTGGTTTGGAGGAAGGGGTTGCGGGAGCCGAATGTGGGCGCGGCTTTGGGGAGGATGAAGGGGGTGGGATGGCCTTTCTTGTCGTGGTCGAAGGGCGGGAGGGAGAGGAGGGGGGGAGGGGCATCGGGGGAGGGGTTGGGTAGGACGTAGGAGATGCGGCGTTTTAGGTTGGACATGGCTGAGAGGATGGAGAAGAAAGAGATGTATAGCGCACAAGAACAACTGCGAGAGATGGCATTCGGCCCGTTTCCGGACGAATGGCGCACAGTTACGTAAGAGCTGCATGTACTGATACAGCAGCAGTGCAGTGATCGATACTGCGACGACGAGACGAAGGTCTTCAGACAATGCGGTCGAGTCACAGTGAATATTCACATGAATCTCCGAGCATTGAGAACAAATCTTCGATCCCCGAGAGCGATCTCGCTCCTTCTTGGCCGCCGGTCACGACGAGAGACGCAGCAGCAGCATTCCCAAGGGCAATAGAGATGGCCAGTGATATGGTGATGATCTAATGTCTAATCCTGCTGGCCAGCGCTTTGACTGTAGAGTACCATGTCAGCATAGTTGACCTCCTATCTTGGGCCAACTATATACATCAAAGACCTTAGACATTACATTCATAGAGTCCAAAACGGGATTCACTCGACGACTTGTCTGGCCGCCACGAGAAATCATCAAGTCTCCATCGGCCGTCCTTTCAACCTCGAGCGTTCTTGCGCTGTCGTGGTTGGCAAAAGAGTCGAGCATCTGATCTTCTCACATATGTTGGGATCTGGTTTCGAGAAAGTACAACAACATTTCGGCTCCGCAGACAGATATATAGCACATCGTGTACGAACCCACAGACAGGATAAAAAGTATTCTAAGGAAATCTGAATATGAGCAAACAGGCCGAATCTTTCTGACCCCCAATGAAAGGACTCGAATAAAAGTATACAGTAAGTCGCCCCAAAAGAGATTGAATTCCTGCATAAGAACAGCGATGAAATCTACAATGAGGGCTTGCTGACAACATTCACGTAGACTCTAGGAAGGGCAAGGAGTACAGACAGAGACAGGAGTAATCGAAAGCCAGAAAAGATGGCTACGAGTTCAAGTTGAAAGCAACGTGACTCTTGGACATTGATGAGAGAGTGATCCCAGACTTCTCGACAAGGGACAGGATCGTGTCAACGTCTCGGAGGTGCTGGTCGAAAGAACGGCTGTATACGATAATGTCGTCGATATAGACGAGCGCGATCTGCCACTTCCATTTGCCTAGGACCTTATCCATGAAGCACCCCTCTCAGGAACTCCAAGCCTCCCGGGATGTTCACCGAATTCGTACGTCCGCCGACTGTAATTCATCAGCACCCCCAAGACGCGCAAGAGGTCGTTTACGCACCTTTCCCGCCCTCTACTCAGACTCATAGAGTCTCCACTTCTCAGGCTCAGCGAGCCTCCCTTGACCAGACTCATAGAGTCTCCCATCTCCGGTTCATAGAATCGCACTCACCAGACTCATAGAGTCTCTCATCCCAGGTTCATAGAATCTAACTCACAGGTGTTCAACGCCTACGCCATATCACCATGGACCAGCAACAGCAAAGCCGTCGATACCTTCGCAGCCAAGGTGACGCACCTCCGAATGCTGTCAATAACGTCGATCCCGACCACGTCGCTACCAGTCAATCCCCGCTGACTCCTCCTCCTTCCGAACCGCCCGTCCCTCTCTCCCCCGTTATCGATGGACTCGCTCCTAGAAGCCTCCAGTCCGAAGTCGGTAACGGTACGAGCAACTCTAACCCTCCTCCCTCTATTCACGACACCCCGTCGAGCGCCATCAACACCGCTCCACAGGCTCTCGTCCAAGGAGCGCACCCTCCTGTTCCGACGGTGGAATTTCTGATGCAACAGAACCAATTCTTGCTGTCTTCGCTCGCCAACATGCGCGACGAACTGCGCTCCTTCCGCCAGAGCCAATCCCGAGAACCCACCCCGGCACACCCCCCCTCTCATCGCCCCCACGCGCCGAAGCTGAAGAGATTCGTTGTTCTTGAGACGTCGGAAGAGGGGCGTGGTTCGCACCGAGGTAGACAGAGCGGATGGCATCTGACCATTGCGCCATGTACGTAGAGACCGGCGGCGCTCGGGCTCGAGGTCTGTGAACCATCGTTGTGCAGACCTTGTAAGAGGGCGGGCAGGAGGAAGAGCAAGTCGGTATCGGTGGTGCCAGAGAACTCAAAAAAGCGGTGACGGAGGTGATCCAATGATCGACGTCTTCGTTGTCGTGGCCGCGAAACTTTGGAAACATCGCATGCTTCAGCTTCGGCGCTTGGGGGCGATGAGAGGGGGGGTGTGCCGGGGTGGTTTCTCGGGACTGGCTCTGGCGGAAGGAGCGCAGTTCGTCGCGCATGTCGGCGAGAGAAGACAGCAGGAATTGGTTCTGCTGCATCAGAAATTCCACCGTCGGAACGGGAGGGTGCGCTCCTTGGACGAGAGCCTGTGGAGCGGTGTTGATGGCGCTCGACGGGGTGTCGTGAATAGAGGGAGGAGGGTTGCCGTTACTCAAACCGATGTCACTCGAACCGTTATCGACTTCGGACTGGAGGCTTCTAGGAGCGGCTGGGTTAGATTCTATGAACCTGGGATGCGAGACTCGATGAGTCGGGTGAGTGTGATTCTATGAACCGGGGTGAGGGACTCCATGAGTCTGGTGAGTGAGATTCTATGAATCTGGGGTGAAAGACTCTCTGAGTCTGGTGAGTGAGATTCTATGAATCTGGGGTGAAAGACTCTCTGAGTCTGGTGGTTGAATAGGCGGTGAACCTAGTATGTTGGGTGTAGAGGCCTATAGCCTAGCTCCTGCAGAAGCTCTTCTCGTGCTTCGTGGCGTGAAGTCGAGGGTGGGTGAGTGATGGGACTGCGAAGCCGAGGTGATGGCAAACGGTGCAATAAGACAGACGTCGTGGAGTAGAAAAATTTATATAAATATGACAGAAGACGAAGAACCTAGATAGAAATTTTGTCGTTTTGTGGGGTTTTATAGTGAAAGGAAAGAAGAACCGAGAGGAGACAAGTCGTATTTTTGGCGTCTAGAGGGTAGCTAATCCTCGGACGGGGTTTTGAACGTTTTGAAAGATAACTGACAAAAAATGGTGGTGCGATGAAGTCGGAGGGGCGAAGACGCTGAAAAGACTTTCCCAGTTAGGCCCCCAAGTTGTGGCGGTGTCCGGAGACAAAGCACAAACTGTGGCCTAATAAGTCGGGATGTAGTCCGGAGCGTCTTGTACCTCTTTGGGGTCGGCTGGGGCGAGTGCGGCGAGAGGAGTGCGAGCGGCGCAAGGCGTAGCTGAGGAAGTAGAAGAGATAGAACAAGGATAGCCAGGAGGTTCTTCAATAGGCGTAAAAGCGATAGAGAAGAGGTCTCCGGAGACGGAAAATAGGTATCGCCGTGACGCCGGGAGTGTGGCGTTGGTGGATGGCTTGTGGCGGTCACGCTACATCAAGTCTGGGCTGGAAGACAATACTCTTTCCTATCTTTGAAAAGGACACTATACCCGAGCCGTCTCAGGAGGTCGTGGACGCGCTTGCTACCCAATTCGGAGAAACATTGTTGGGACAATCACCAGCAGTACGTAGCAATATCAACAGTATCAGCAGTATCAGCAGCAGTGACGGATGTTAGCCTATTGTCTACACCCTTAGAGTAGTGCATTGACATGTACGATGGCATGGCAGTTTGGTAGCGTGCATACGAGTAGGAAGCGCAAAAAAGACTTGTCAGTCGCTCGTCATTGTGCATCCGAGTCTTGCTTGTCTGATTGTAGGCTCAACAAAACCCCTCCACGTCACGAGCGACGAGCGGCGGAGCCGCCTAGTAGTCTGAAGGTACATGTGATCTGTACATTAACTGATGCTTAAGGTGACTAAGACGATGATGTCTAGCTACGATCTCTCGGACCGTACCTCTGCGCAAGAGGGTTGAGTGATCTTCCAAGCGCTACCCAGTAGCTGTGCCCTCCTTGATAGTTCTGCTGCGATATACCAACTTGTATGATGGGGCCAGAGCTCTTTCCCGATCGATGTATACCAGTTCAATTCTGAAGAGCATGCGAGTAAAGATTGTGGACGCCGCCGGACATGACAGTGGACGTGAACTGGGTTTTCTCACCCCGGTGGATTCGGCCTGTCTCCTTTCAGTCTTGAAACTTCCCACTCTGTTCTGATTGGCCGAAAAGTTGAACTCGGCATATGAGCTCATCACATATATCACAATCTGATCTTGTAACAGCATGTGAACTTCCCATATGGCCTTACGACCTTGCGAACACCACCATTTGGGCTCCGCAGACGACAGATACATATAATAGGAGGTAGGTTCGTTGCATGTCCACAGGCAACGTATAAATTCCCTTAGAGAAATTCTAATTGGAGTAACCAGGACAACACATTCTTATGGCGGGGGTTTCTGTAAGGGATTGGTACAGACTGGTCAGTAGGAGGAGATGTAGTGACGTGTACGTTGGAACGCAGAGTCTGGTATTTGGGGTTGCCGCTATGTTCTCAGGGACGAGTTAGGCGCGGAGGCGAGAGGAGGCTCCCCGTACATACATCCTGCCGCGTCTCATATCCTTTTCCTCATAGATGTATTTCCGTATATTCCTCACCTACCTCGCCTGTCCCAGGTCGATATCCAACACCCATAGTTGGATCCACCACGTAACCGCCCATAGGTTACGCCACCTACCATCACCCTTACAGAGAAATACATCTTTTTCGACCTCCGATAGGCACCCACCCACCCCAACCTACCACAATACCACCCAAAAAGACTTGGGTCCCAACCCGCTCGTACGCTTTACGCTCTCAACCCACCATGGCCGACGAGCTACCACAAGAACAACCCAATCCCAACCCGGGCCCAAACCTGGACCAATCACAGTCGGGCTCCAACCCGGACCAATCAGAGTCGCCCTTGACGGACCAGACAAATCGCGCTAGCTCCTCAGGCCAAGAGTCGGGGGGACCGGCGCCGGTGAGTCAGAATGATCCTCCTTCTGCTACGGACTCGTCTGCTGTGGATTTGTTCTTTTCCCGTTTGAACAATCAATTGTCCTCCTTTTCCCCTTCTCCAGTCGCTCCCCCTTCGGAGTCGACTCGGAAGTTCGATGTTGCGGTGCCCGATACCTTCACGGGTACCCCTGACAAGCTCTCCACTTTTTTCTTCGAAATGGAGAACTATTTCTATGTGAAGCGCGTGCCCGAGGACATGCAGCTTCCTCTGGCCACCACCTACCTGAAAAAGGACGCTATTATCTGGTTCCAAGGAATCAGAGAAAGCGCTCCTCACCTCGTTGACTCCTGGGTAAACCTCAAGGAGCAACTCCGCCTTGCCTTCGTCTCCATTGATCGCAAACAAGTTGCGATCCAGCGCCTTAAATCCTTCAAACAGACCAATACCGTTTCACGGTATTATACCTCTTTTCTCTCTGAAGCCCACTACACTGGGTTGAACGAGACTGCTCTTGTCGAGCAGTTCAAGGACGGCTTGAAACCGGAGATTCTCCGTGCTGTCATCATGTCACAAGGAGGACTTCTCCCAGACACTGTCTCTTCTTTTGCCGCTGTGGCTGGTCGTATTGATACCCAGCTACAAGCTCTTCCTTCTTTCTCTTGAAACAAACCCACTTCTTCTTCTTCTTCTTCGTCTCGTTCTTTTTCCTCCACCACTCCCAAGACCACTCCCCAGCCTCCCAACTTTCCGGGCCTTCCACCTAGAAAGCACGAGGTCTGGGTGACCGTTGACGGCAAGCGTCGTCAGTCGTCCGAAGAGAAAGCGTACCGTGCGGCCCACGGACTGTGCGAAGTCTGTGGCCACCGCCATGCACGCAAGGATTGTCCCGTCGCTCGTTTTG